AACATGTATCCGGTCTGGAGTATCGAACATGCCCAGGTGTACATAAGCCGCTCCGTTTGCCAGACGGGACGGATGAATGGATCCATAACTTGATTTAATGGAAGTCAATTCCGGAGAAGATCGTCAGAGAGATCTGTAGTGGACCAGCCTCCAGTTTATTGACCATTGCATACATCCGTACAGCATATAATTATTGCATACATGATCGAATGTATGATTCATAAGCTACGATATCAAGAAAAAGTGTAATATCCAAGTCCCGGGGGCTTGTCGGGAAATCCCACAAAGTTAAGATCCTTGCTAGACACGCTACTTCCCCCGATTCCCACTTTTTCCACGGAACTGCTTTGTGTCCCGCTCAGGGAATGATGAGCATGTTTTGTTTGAGATCGTCTATCTCGAGGGCTAACCGAACTCCTGTACTCCGTAATTATATGATACACATCCAATATGACCTCCATGTTCAACAAATCGGAGATCAGGGATATCTTCCCTTCACCTCCTTACCGTCCCCCTAACACGGAGTTATCTCCAGATTACTCCCCGAGGAAACCCGGGCTGGAATGGAGACGGCTGTCGACTGATCTGACACATGCTGATTTTCGAGTGACATGAAAAGTCAAAAGAAAAAGAAAAAAGAAAAAAGCAAAAGCAAAACCCTTACAGAAGAGACCCGAAATAGGGAGCGGTGAACCCCTGTTCTAATTGATAGATCATATAAATCTGATTCAAGATGGAAATGTATTACGATTCAAATCATCGAGAGAGTACGAGATTAATAATATGTGGTGAATTAACGGCCCGATCATTGGGTATCTTACAATGGAGCCCCTGTTTGCAGTAGATATCCACTTCTACGCAACGGTCCAAGGGCAGATGAGAACAGCCAGAAGACGCTAGGCAAAGAACGGATAGAACGGATATGAAATATTAATGGGTCGATTCTAGATGGCTTTCACATGCAGCAATCCAGGAGAAGAGCGTAAAAAGAATGTGATCGGAACACATCCGGAAGGGTGGTGTAACTATATATGAGCAAAGGTACGATACAAAGAGATGAAGAGGATAAGCGTAAGAGAATCAAAGAGGACACGAGAGTGAAGAGAAGAGAAAATGTAAAAGATCAAATAAAAAGGTGGAAAGTGGATGGAGTGGAGAGGTTCTATTCTTCCATCGACCTTCCAGGAAGTTAAGGCAAGTCCCGGCCTTCGACCGAAAAAGTTCCCTTTAGCCCCTTCGACTATTTTATCATTACACTTACTCTCCCTTCTTTTAATATCTCACCTCCCTTTTTCTTTTCTTCCTTAAAACCTTTCCCCGGAACCTGGTCACTGTGTGGACCCGCATACCGGTCTTTCGTCATTATTATCCAGTCATGCCTGGCGACAATGGATTAGAGATGCTGGTTATTGCTTGATCAGGTCCACCATGGATTTCATTGTAGGTAAAAACTAAATTCAATATAGAGCTTGCACTGACCTTTCGAAGCTTTCTTTGACGCACTTCTGCGAGGTGCATGGTCCCACCTCTATCATTTGCTCGCAGGTTCTACCTTTTTCATGCCCGCAATGTCACCCCGAATCCGACTCCCCTCAGAGTACTCCGGCTTCGGAGTCTCGCTTCGATCAGCGATCTCACAAATCTATTGATTCCAAGTCGCCCAGAATCGAAGATCACCCATACTTTCTGAAAGGACACCCGGCCTCCCCCGAAGACAAATCTAACCGAGGTGGTGCAAATGGCGACACCTGCGCCAGTTGCAGCTTGTCTCTTCCGGAAACTGTGAGCAAACAGCTACCTCCCGGTGCTCCTGGAAGCCGCGACGCCAAAGGCAATTCGACTAGTCCGGTGCTTCGCTCGCGTGAGCTCGTTTACTCATGTGGCAACAACCATTCGGAATTGGATGATGAGACCGATTATCACACTCATGCCTCTCCTCCCGATTCCCTTCACTCTGCCTCGGTGACCTCCGATACCTCATGTCACACACACATCCACACCTATCTCTCCCAGCGAGGACCGCCGAAACCCGCTGACTATGCACTTCTCCGACGCTCCTCAATTCGCACCCTCAGCTGTGAGCTCTTGCCCCGAGGACTTTCCTCCGGGCCCATTTGTTTCGGCGACGGAGTCGCTGGTTACACAATTGCCTACATTTTCCGTCTTCCAGACCCTATGGCCCGCGGCAAGCGACGCAGTTATGCATTGGTCGCACTGGCGGGGCGAGATGCCGGAAGAGCATTCCGCGCATGCCCCATTATCTGGCGCGCTTTCGGCCGCATTGCAACCAGCATCGTCAACGCCGCTGAACGCTTCCAGGAAGACGAGAAGACCCGCGATGAACAGAACAACCCCGGAAGACAGCCCGGTCGCCAGTATCCTCCTGTTTCCTCCTTCCTCACTGGCCGCGGTATGGATCCGGCTGGCCGGCGTGCAGCCGGCCAGATTCGTGCCCGTAATTTGGCCGAAATTGTTGGCAATGAATACATCTTTACCGAATTACATGCTCATTTCGTCGCACTTCTTCAGCAGCTAGGCTCAATGTTTGGCGGGATCCCTCTCAACGAGGAACGTTTTGTCTGCAGCACTATGGGGGACGAAGGAAGCGCTAGTCCTTCTCAGCCAGTCCTTGTATCCCAGGCAAGACAATCAAACGACAACCAAAGGTTTGACGGCAACGCCATCGATGTGTCAAACCTCGAAATTTCCGCGGGACCCAAGGCGATCCCCATTGCGCCTCGCCGGCCTGTCATGGCTTGAAATATTCTTTTCATCATTTGCATGAACCTCTTATTGAGATACCCGCCTGCTTTGTTCTTTTTGGTTTTTCAGGCACTTTCAACCTTGACCTTCTTTCTTTTTTTTTATGTGCTTTTGTCCGGGTTAGCAAGGAGTTTCGACCGATTTCTGCATTGCTCATTCTGCACAAGGATTCGGCCTATTTTCTTTTTCTCTTGCGTTATGGGTATGGGCATAGACTATGGCGTCTGATAAACACGGAACGGAGTTTCTTGTTTTACCAGCCTTGATTTCATATTTTTCTCTGGAGGGGGATATGCCTTTCTTCTCTTGGGCACCTCGTTCGATCTTCACGGAGTTCAACGATTCAAGCACGTCTGTTTAGCGGGTTTCCATTCTGGTGACTGGCGCTAGGTTATGATTGAGATGTTATGATCGCACGAGGCATTCAAGAGATATGTATTCTATGTATTATTTGAACACGGATTCAAGGCCATTGGCCACTTTTTTCTTTTTCTTTTCTTTCTTTTTTTTTTTTTTCGGAAAGTCGAGTTGTATTGTATAGTCCGGAAAATTACGGGTAAAAATACCTTTTTAGGTTAATCCGACCGCGGCCACAATCAAATCAAACCTTGGAAAATCCCACCAAAAAGAACAGCAGAGACAAAAGACCCGCATCACCTCCCTCCTCCCTTTAGCAATATCAAAATGGTCGCCTTCGACAAGTGTGAGACCCGGCCTGCCCATATTGAGGCCATCCTCAATGGCCTCGACCGGTACAACCCCGAGACCACCACCGTCTTCCAGGACTATGTGTCCCAGCAGTGCGAGGACCGTTCATTCGACTGCTACGCCAACTTGGCCCTGCTCAAGCTGTGAGTTGGATTCCTTTCTTTTGAAATTGTATTGCGAAAACAAAAGCTCTACTATGATGAGTATCTTTTAAGCGTTTCCTATTACCTGACATCCCCATAATCTACTTGGGCATGTTGAGAAATTCTGTGAAGATACTGAATGGGAAGAACCCATGCATTGGTCAAAACCAGTAGCATCGCATGCTTCTCACGAACACTTGAAAGTAGTATCCTGAGATTCTTGAATCCAAGCTGACAACATTCCTCTTCGAACAATCCAGCTTCCAGTTCAACCCCCACCTCATCCAACCCGACACCGTGACCAACATCCTGGCCAAGGCCCTGACTGTCTTCCCCTCGCCCGCCTTCTCGCTTTGCCTCGCCCTGCTCCCAACAAGCACTTTGCCCTTCCCCTCCACCGCTGAAGCTCAATCCGCTTCGCAGACCTCCGACTTTGTCGAGTCCGTCCAGAAGCTCGCCCGTCTGTCCACCCTCCTCGAGTCCGCCCAGTACGCCCAGTTCTGGTCCACCCTGAACTCAGACGACCTGTACGCAGACCTGACCGCCGACGTTGCCGGCTTCGAGGAACTCGTCCGCATCCGCATCGCGATCGAGGTCGGAAACACCTTCCGCTCCATCACCGCCGAGATCCTCGAGTCCTGGCTCGATATCCGCAGCCGCGACGCGCTCGACAAGTTCGTCGTCGATGTCTGCGGCTGGAAGGTCGATGGCCCTCTCATCCGCGTGCCTACCAACAAGGAGAACGAGGCCCGCTCCGAGGTTAAGAGCGAGCACGTCGGCATCGAGCAGTTCGGTCGTGTCATCCGTCGTGGCTTTGAGTTGCCCGCATAAATGCTTACGGAAACTCATTGTTCTTGATTTTTTCTTCTCACGTCGATTCGAAATGTTTCACTTCTTTCCGATTTTCGTATCACCTTTTTTAAAATCCCCAAAAAGCTGTGCGAGGGAAAATTCGTTTCCCATCCATGACATGAGTTCATGAATCCCGACCCCGATCAAGTGACGAACCAACGATAGATTTCGCATGGAGGAGGGGCTCGGAGATGAGTCGGGACCTGGCGCATCTGGCGTTGTTTCTTTTTTTTTTTTTTTTTCCCTTCTATTTCTCTTGTCTGTATTGGATTCTTTTTTTTACTTGTCCATGCAAATATTTGCACTGGATAATATGAGGAAGAGAGAAAGATGTCATGTGCATACCATAACATAACCTCAGTCGTGTCTCCATGTAGGGCCGGCTTTGCTCCCAATATAAAAAATCATACAGAGCCAGTTCTAGATGTAGAAGCAAGGGAGATATAGCACGACATAGTGTCACTATAGAGGGTACAAGCTCAGATCACATCAATATTCAATATATCCAGCTCCTCCAAAGCATCACTAACTAGATTACAATTTAAATGGATTGATAGGAGGAACCGGTCCAGTGAAAGCCTCCCCAGTCGCCGCCACTGTCTTCCCATTATCAGCAACAACAATCTGACCATTAATCGCCGATGCCAGGTCTGAAGCCAAAAAAATAGCAACATTGGCAATTTCCTCCGGCGCACTGCATCGATTATAATAGTATTTCTGCTCTTCACCTATTCCAAACCCCTGATAGACACTAGCCGAGCGTTTCTGAATTTCCTCGACCGTCTTTTCAAGTTTATATTCCACACCTTCTTCAGCAAGTCTTGAAGTAGACAATAAGCTTGTAGCGACAGGACCAGGCGCAACGGCATTAACGCGGATATTGCTAGAGGACAGTTGAACAGAGCCGCTTCGCACGAGACCATTGCAGCCATTCTTCGCTGTTGTGTATGCCATGTCTGCAAATGCACCGCTGAGTGCTGCACACGATGAGGTAACTATTATATTTCCCTTTGGAGTGGGTTTGTCCGAGGATGTCACACTCATGGCCTGGGAGCCGTATTTCAGTGCGAGAAAGGTTCCGGTTTGCATGACTGCCATTGCGCGTTCGAATTGTGACACCGAGAGGTCGTTCAGACCACTCAAGCACTAGTTAGCTTTACTGTTATCGAGAAATGGAAATATATGAAATCACTCAAAACTTACCGATATATCACAAAACCTGCATTGGCAAAGTAGAAGTCCAAACGACCATAATTCTTCAATATATGTTGCATTAGGATAAGCGTCTGTTCCTCGGATGAAATATCGAGGATATGACATTCCACTGTCGTGTCGTATCCGGTGGCTTTCACAGTCTCTTGGAGATCTGCAAAGTAGCTCGAGCTGATGTCGCAGGCGTAGACGACTTTTGCTCCGGATTTTGCTGCTGCAAGTACTATAGAACGACCAATGCCATAGGCTGAGCCTGCGCCGGTGACAACACCGACTTGTCCCTCTAGAGTTGCTTCGACCATTGTGGGTAGATTGGTTGCTTTGGGGGTCTTGTTGGAAAACTGGCGTCCAGGCCAATCTTACTCAAATATATAGTGGATGGACGGACACTTGATGTCGCACAGCTACTCGATTTGCATCGGTGAATTATTCAATCCTGCATTGAATGCTGAGAGTGAGTCTGGCTGCGTCAGACTAAGACCGAATCGAACACCGTCTGCATTGTATGATTTGTTGGATCGGCTTTCCAGTTGACCCCAGGTCATCATAGCTTGAAACTGAAGTATATGTATGGTCAGAAAGGTCTATGTGGTTATGCCCAAAATTCTGCCGGGTGTAACTTCCTTCATATGTATAAAAACGCAAGTGGCAATAAACGTGTCCAGAATCTATCGAGTAGGGTCTGGGCACTCAAGGGCTTTCTGCTGCTTTCTTCCAAGATGGTGCATTACCTGTGTGGTTGTAGCGTTGTGGGGTCACCAGCTGTCAGCATTGCCTCGAGATATTTGGAATAAAACAACTTCCTTGCGCTTTTATCTCTCTTAGGATGGGAAACATCTTGGCGTGTGTATGTGGAGTAGATGAGGTTACTTACAAGTATTAGGTACCAACAAAGGGATACCCAGAGAACCGAAATGGCAAGAAGAACAACCGATGGTAGCGATGTCATATTCAACAATCGGGAAATGTAAACACTTACTTCCCCACTAACCCATGGCGATAAAAGACTCTGTTTCCTCTGCGTCTGGTCGAAAATCATGATATCGTTTGATATGGTATCTGCCATAGTTTGTCAAATACAAAGCTCAAGCCATTTGATTACTTGGGGCGACTTCATACAGCCAGTTCACCAGCCCAATGCCCACATTTTTGCAGCATGTGACAAACATGAGACCCTTGTTGGCCAACCCTGGCCAACCCGTTATTAGATGCAAGGGCAAGGACATCCGGCACAAGGCTCTCGAAGGCAGTATAGCTATCATTAATAAGTCGACAGGCATAATCAGTTGCTTCCTGTGGCCCCAATCCTTGATGATAGACGAGTAAAGGAATGATGTTATCCACATGTTTACAGCGCTAGACCTAGTCAGATGTCGAGGTTTTGTAGAACTGTTGACAGAACTTACCAATTCATTGCGAGCGGATACAATATCGTTGCTTCTATGATGAATCGTTTAGCAAAAGGTCTATATTACTTCGACCATATACATACAGTGATACCATGACGTTGATATGTCTCATCATTTCCTTTGGTACAGTATGGTTGATAAACCACGCTGGAAGAGCGATATCCTGTAAAATTCTGACCTGAATTTTAATAAGTTGCCGACAAAGTAGTGAGGGAAGACTCACAAAGCCTGCCCTATCACTGCATAGACACCTGAAGCTTCCATCCGGTCTTTTAAATAGACATCTAGGTCCATGATTATACCATTCTGAAATGCGTCTTCGAAGTTGACTACTCTCGTGACATATCTACAAAGTTCATCACAGAAGAAGTCTTGGAGGGGCTCTGTACCATTGATTAGCCAATAATTCCTCAAAGGTTGAACGAGGAAATACAAACATACCAAGCTCCGTTCCTTCTTGAAGCGGGAACCCTATGCCATAAAACGATTCAGCCAGAGTAACGGGGGGATCTTTCCAGTCAGGTGGCTGTTCTATGTCAGTCTTTCCTAGAAGGCCTTTCTGAATAATCCTTGACATCTCAATTCGTATTAGCTCTCGTTGCCTCGGCCCAGCATTGAAGCTGCCTAAATCGAGGGCTGTCTCACATTAGTTAGAAGCAACGAGATCACGGGATATGGAGGTACCGTCATCCCAAGCAAAAAGCTGGTGTGGATTCTTTGTTAGTCAAAGAGATGAAAAGGATGCTGATTCCAGTACGTACCCAGCTAGTGAATCTTGCTCCAATCTGCAAGTTTGACAAGTTGGCATCTGGACTTGCAGCTCGCGTGAAGTAACCACAGTCGGCAGTCAAATTACGCTTGTAAGCAGTGGGCTCCAGTAACCAGCTTGGGGTTTTTAGCATGGCTGAAACATATCAATCGACTCAATTTGCATACCGTTGACGCCATAGTTCCAGATTCTCCTCCACTTTTCCATCCAAGTCTGGAACCACTCTGGGATGCCAGGAAGGGGACAATGAATACAGAGATGGGAGTCGGACTACTTGATCCTTGAACTTCTCCAAGATCTGTTCGATAGTAGACATCTTGACGTTGTTTTGACTGGAGTGTAGAGTAAGTAGAGTAAGTAGAGTAAGTAGAGTAAGTAGAGTAAGTAGAGTAAGTAGAGTAAGTAGATTAAGTAGACAATGTTCATGAACTTCAAGAGAGAGGATACTAGGACTATATATAGGGAGTCGTTTCCCTCCCAAGACTAGTATCCATAAGTCAGTTTGTAATTGTTTCGCTGATCTTGTCTATTCTTGTTCATACACTCAGCCATCAAAGGTTTTCTGAGATATCAGGTGTTATGGCCACTGCATGTGGCACAACATGACGATGAACTATACCTCTAATCCAACGATGCTATTCAGACATCCCAAGGTTGTTATAAACATGCTTTCTACGAACACGGGGAATCGTCGTACAACTTTGACTTTTGATGCAGAGACTCGACAGAGGGATGCCATTTCCCGTATTTGATGTTAGACAAAAGTTACAAGGCGTTCCCTCGACAAAATATTGGGTATGCTATGTAGAATTCACTCTGAATATAGGTAGTAGATATTTGATTTTCCTGGTAACATTGCTATGTACAACGTAGGGTAGGCAGAATACTCTCATCTAATGCAAAAAAACATTACACCTACCGCGTCTCCTCCCACTGCACTCCAGCCCATTCCTCCCGCCACCCAGTAACGCCCAGCTCCTGCGGCGTACAGTTCTTACCACAGACTCCCATGATGATAGTGCCCCACTCCATGCCCGCATCGTCCTTTCCAAGACCAACACCAGCACGCCCCTCCTCAAGCATGCTGATAGCATGCGGCACAAGCTGGAACTCGAACACACGCTGACTTCCACAGTATTCACAAGCTGGCATGCTCCCTGCACCGGTTGTGGTGATCTTGGCATTAGAAGCACTGTGAGCATGCAGACGGGTACCGACTTCATCGCTGGTCGAGTACAGCAGTGGTGTACCAAGGAACTCATACCGCAGCACTTGCTCCGGGTTGTGCTCGAGGCGCATGGAGAACTTCATAAAGTCCTTGTCGAGCTCGGACTCGAAGGTGTCCTTGAGCTCGGGGCCGCCCGCACCTTCTTCTTCCATTGGTTCGATCTGCACATTATCTGGCACTGTGGGTGTAGACGGAGTCGAGAGAGTCTCGTATTCTGCGTCTAGGAAGAAATTCTTATACGGCGGAGGGAAGGCGGACTGCGCGGGCCAGGGCGCCGTTGTGCTCGATTCTGGTGTTTTCTTTGTCGCGGCCGAGGGGGCCGGTGAGGAGATGCGCACTTTGTCGGCGAAAGTTGAGGCCAGGGCGCTTTCAGACACGGTGGGCTTCTCGGTTGTAGGTGCCGTTGCCTGGACTGGGGTTGCGAAGGGGTTGCTTCCTGCGGGTGTTGGGCCCGAAGCTGATGAGAAGGGGTTCGGATTGGAGGTGACATTGCTTGTCAGGTTTGTTGCGCCGAACAGGCTTGCACCCAGGTCCTGCTTGGGTTGCTCTGATGCGACGGGCTTGGTTTCCTCTGCTTTCGCTTCAACCTGTCTGTTCTGTTCGCCGACGATGAATTTGCGCGCTGCACGGAATGCTCTTATACTGCCTGGTTTGCGGTTGCAGGGTTTTCTGGGGCAGCCAAATATGTATAGGCGTCTTTCGTCGGTTGGGAAATGATCGGGCAGGTCGGCGTGCAATTCGAGGAGGAGCAGCATTGGGCTGTTGCAAACTTTGCAATTGGCAAAGTCACCAGGTGCCGGGGAGGCATCATCAAGCCATTTCTGAACAAAAAATTGCGATTGTTAGTTGGAATGGGTTTGTATAGAGTGATCCCTCGCAGTGGTTACACATACAGGCCAGCCTCCAAGATGGCTGATTACATCTTCGACGACATCCTCAGCAGCATAGCCTAGAAGAACACCGGTATCGGTGAAGTCTTCATCCAAACTGGAGTCACTGTCGTAGGGATCCATCTTGAATTAATTCGGAGTTAAGTGAATCAAATCTGTGAAGCGCCCCTCTAAAAGATAAGCGATATGAAAATGCACCAGTCCTAAAGTAGACTAGCGTGACATCGATACGTCTACCAAGTTGTCCGCTCTTGACCCTTCGACCCCCATTCATCCTTTTCATCCATGGACATCTCATATTTGATCTGTATCTAATATCTGGCTAATCAGTATTGGCTATTCAACGGCAAATTAGCTCTGCCAGCTTCTAATACTACATAAATCATGCGGTCTATGCGACCTCTCTTTCTCTTCCTATACTCCATCCTACTCGTCTCCTTTGGTAATGCAGCAGAGCAAGAGCAAGAGCCACTGCGAGGAGCCGTTAGTGCAGCACCCAAGCGGGTGGCAGTAATTGGTATGCTTCTCTCTATACAATAAGTGTAAGACATACGGGGCTAATATCGTTCACAGGCGCCGGAGCTGCAGGCTCGTTTACTGCGTATCAACTGCGCAAGCTCGCAGATGAAGCCAACATCCCTGTCGATATCACCATCTATGAGCGTGAATCACATGTCGGCGGCCGTTCGACAACAGTCAATGTATTCGACAACCCAGCGTACCCTATTGAACTAGGCGCTTCCATCTTCGTCCAGGTCAATTATAACCTGGTCAACGCTTCCCGTGACCTTGGCCTAACGGTCCATAGTGCTGACCATGCAAGGCCTAGGGAGGCCGATGAGAGCATCGGGATCTGGGATGGAAACCAGTTTGTTTTCACGATGAAGAATTCGTATACCTGGTGGAATATTGGCCGGCTATTCTGGCGGTATGGACTAGCGCCACTACGTACTCAGAATCTGGTGAAGAGTGTTGTTGGCAAATTTCTCCGCCTTTATGACGAGCCCTTGTTCCCTTTCAGCTCTCTTACTGAGGCAGCTATTGCGGCTGACTTGATAAATGCCACTGCATCTTCTGGCAATGTGTTTCTCCAGGCAAATAGCATCGACTCGCTATTTGCGAGGGAGATCATCCAAGCGAGTACTCGAGTGAATTATGGGCAGAACCTACAGCTGATTCATGGCTTGGAATCTGTTGTCTGTATGGCTACGGATGGGGCGGTTTCCATTGAGGGTGGAAACTGGCGCATTTTTGATGGCGCGCTGAAGGCATCTGGAGCGAATATCAGAGTGAATACCACGGCCACAGAGATTTTGCGCAATGATGATGGAACTGTACGGGTATCCTCAAAGCTAAACACCGCTGCCAACTCCGAAAATGAGGTATTCGACGAAGTTGTTATTGCCGGTCCTTTGCAGTACTCGGACATCTCCATCTCCCCGCCCTTGGAGTATACCCCAGATGAGATTCCGTATTCCAATCTGCACGTCACGCTCTTTGCATCCCCACACCGCATCTCACCCGAGTATTTTGGCCTAAATCCAAATGCTCGAGCGCCTGAGACCATTTTGACTACTCTGCCCGAGGGCCTTGATCTGGGTTCGAACCCAGCTGGAGTTGGGCCTAGCAGCTTCTGGAGTATTAGTACACTCCAAACAGTAGATTATCCTATTGCGGAGTCTGATGATATACAGCAACACTACGTTTACAAAATTTTCTCGCCAGAGCGGCCCACGGCTGGATTCATTGCCCAAATCCTAGGGCTGGAGAGTGAGACTGCGGGGAACAATACTACCATTGGAGACCTCTTGAAAGGTGACATCAGCTGGTTCCATGAGAAACTATGGAATCCATATCCTCTTGAGTATCCGCGAGTGACATTTGAGGAGACTCTCCTGGCTCCAGGTGTATGGTATACGGGTGGTATAGAGAGCTTCATATCGACAATGGAGACCAGTGCGCTGATGGGTCGGAACGTGGCAACTCTTATGTTCCAGTCGTGGTAGAAGCAAGGACATCAGATATTGATACATCGGGGAGTCGGGTAACCGTGCCAAGTGCCCAATACACCCTCTGTGTGTTGGGCGCTTGGCACGGTTATCTTTGACTATGTGAACGGCGGACCTGTGAATTACTGTATGCGGTTAGCTTTGCCCTTTTAAATTTAGCTCCCCGATACGGTCCCAGTTGGATCTCCGTAAGCAGTTCTCGGAATTTTATTATTCCTCTTGCGTTGGTTATTCATGACTCCCTTACCTAGGTAGGTAGATAGTTAGTTGACTCCCTAGTTAGCAGCAAAACTTCCAAGGTGGTCGTACTTCTGTCGATCCCTCAAAGCCAAAATTGTCACTGTACTTGACATTGGTACTCATACACAAAGCAGTCAATTATCAAGTATCACTGCTCAGCCCTAGGCTTTCATTCTGACCCTTGTACACACATCAACTTCTCCCTTTTCCGAAAACTCATCACGTGGGTTGTTCCTCAACCAGCACCTACGAGATCATGCCACAGGCTTTAGAACCTGCGTTGGCATCATCCGAGAATATCCCCCTTGACTACGGATGCTCGAAATGGCGGATTAGTAGCCAAAGAGCCGCAGATTTGTATAGTTCTGGTACCAAGCTTTGGACTAGAGAGGATCTCAAAGATATAGAACAACAATTGGCCCAATCCTATTCCAGGGACCGATTTTCTGTTCGTCGAATTGATGGAAGCATAATTCAAATTTTCAATCCTTTATTTCAAGTACAGAATCCTATCTGGTACGTGGTTATAGCATTCTGACCTAATATCAGCCTACAACCTAACTTTTCCCGAGGAAACCCTATATCAAGTTCCAAGAATATTGGCGACTTGTGAAAGAACAACCTAACGGCCCAGTCGAAACCTACCTATGCTCTTACATTGTGGATTGGAGTAATCAGACGGCACGAAACTTTCGAGGGCTTATAACACAGCCTACACAAGTCTTTGACGCGAAAGACTTACTATGGCAGAATAGCACGACCTGCAAACAATTGATAACTTTAATCCAAGATTTACTCAATACCAACACTGTGAAGAAAGTCCTCTGCTTTGGGCTTGGTGATTTTTGCCGTTGCGCTCCTGAGTGGCTTAAGAAGCAGCAAGACTCTTGGGATCAGACCTCTGATGTGGAAAATGTAATGGGCAGTATGATCCAGCATTCGATGGCTCTCACTATAACTCAACTTTGTTGTGGCAATAAAATAGAGCCATTACCATTACTCACCCAGGACCCGGATTATACAGAGGCAGCAGAAACGATCCTAACCAAGAAAGGATTCAAAATTGTTGGACTCTACGGCGCAGGAGGATTCGCGGAAATCGACGAGGAATCAATCGTGATATCGCCCTTTGCTGCCGCCCCAGTGAAGCAGATTATCGCCGATCTTGCTCGTCCCATACTCATTATTTCCACTGGCTTTGATGTCTTCAATAGCAATGAGTAAGGTGGCCTTTATCAATCCTCGAATCTAGCTAACTAGGGCACTTCACAGAAAGCCATTGGCGGATGCTGAATCTCCGAGAACAAGACAAATGTGGCTTGATTATGATACCTTTAGCCTTCCAAGCCATTCTGATGATGTCGAAATAGGCTGTGCATTGAAAGGATTATATTTGTATCATAGACGCCAGCAACCTCTGGATTCGCATGGAGCTTGAGCTCACAGAACTTTATATCCAGGGATTGTGGATCACAATGGCCTTGAAACAAAGTTGAGGGTATTCCCAGCATGTGTTCGATTGGTGGACCAAAATGGCGTGAGGCTGCTCCTTCCGCGTTTCTCACCTCATACACAATTGATGCACACTTCCCTAATAAGAAGCTTCCTAGGAAGCTCACCAAAGTCATTGCAAAGCAATGTTTGATCGGGCTCAATAGTTGCACCAACGAAAAAGTAGAGGTAAAGCACTTTCTCAGAGATCCAGTTTAGATAGTAGAAGTCTCTCAGAACCATTATGTGATGTTGTTTGTGAGATTCAAGAGAAAAAATATAGGCTAAGATACTTCCTGCTTGGGGTGGACGGTATGGCAGATAAATACACCAGACACAGTAGCAGTGTCATGTAAGATACGATTTGGTTCTAATCTTGGAAATCGGGGATCGACAACACCACCTTTGAATACTAGGGCGCCAAGACGTTCCAAGGCATTAAGGGTTGAAGTGTGATTTGGTCCCTGTACTTGCTCATACCCAATTAACACTCGTATGGGCATTATCTCGGCCCCTTCCGGCTTGCCTTGGTTGATAAACAGCATCCGGAGGCATCGCGCAGCGTCAAGTGTTGAAATGTGATCCGGTAGCGTTTTGTAGCCAGCTGGCTTTGACTGTAATAGATTTGATTCCTTCCTATTTGGGTTAGTTTTACTTGTTTAGGTTTAGTCCCCAAATGCGCCCGACATGGAGATCTTCAGCGGCAACCCTAATTCAACTGGGATGTGTGTTGTAGCATGTATTCTGACGTCTGGTAAATCGAGTCTAGCTACGGTGCAGTCTGATGCTATGATCGCAATCCGAAGGAATTGAGTATTGTGTGAAGGCTGTTCCATTAGACTTCTGTATATATATTCGATGGGAGCTAGTAATCTGCCTCGCTCTCGCTCCCGGGGTATGCCTTCTTTCTTAACTTCCAGAGTGATTTTTCTCGTCGCGCAGCAGCTTCACGCTGGTGGCGACTGTTATCTTCCACGACAGTCATCCAAGGCACATTGCTCGCCCGGCGGACCCTCTCTCGCAGCAGTGCAAGCGTTCGACTATGCTCAGCCGGATCGAGGTCGTGTGTCTGTTCACTACCAGAGTCTCCAGATTTCCTCGTCCCAGATGTCGATTGCTGGTAGCGTCGCTCTGCCGCACGAGCGGCGTAGTATTCCTCACTGATGGCCCAATTTGGGTTATCAAGCTGACCACGGACCAGCACAATGCCATGACCTTGCACAATGGCCTTTTCTAGGTGGGGTGAGGGAATAGGAGTGGAGAGCTCAAGCTTGCGCGAAGAGATATCGATCGAACGGACCAAAGCTAGACCAAGACAATTCGACGCCTTGGGGTCCAGTGGGGTGCAACTGCCGGAACCAACAAAGAGGTAAGGAAGATCTTCGGATGTTCGTACAATGCTGTCAGCGATGGAAAGCTCAACTGGATTACCCGCGCCTGAGTTTTCTGGATCCATGTCAATATCTCCATGGTCTTCCTCATTTGGCGTCTGTGATATTTCCATCCCACTCATGATAGCCTTCGGCGATTCCACTGCCACGACTCCTACAATAGAACCTTCAAGCGTTTCGTGCAGTAGATCGGGGTTGATCTGGGATCCCATGACCATCACGCCCAGAATACCTTGTCGTGCGCCAGCATAGTCCACAGTAATGGGCCTCGTGCGAGATAGCGGAACGTCCGACCAAAGCGAAGTGCTGAGATCATTTGGATGGAACATATGAAAGTACGACTGGATTTGCATCGCTCGCAGTTGAGCGCTTGATCGGCTCACGAAATCAGTGGGCTGAGATGGGAGGATTGTTAAGGGAACTTGAGCTTCACGGGCAGCCAGGCCTAGCGGATCCACAACTTCTGAGGGGCCCTTTTCACTCATATATACCACATCGGAGAGACCGAGAGATCTGACCAGCCAGGTTGCAACCTCTAATCCTTGTCCAAAGATCCAACCGGGGTAGTTGATAATCAGGGGGCATTGGGGATGTTCCTCCAGCAACGAGCGGTATTGATCCATAAGATCCATGACGGCCAGTGCATAGTGATCTGGGTCTTCTTTTGGTGATGCTGCGCCGATATGATGCGCCCGCACTATTTCACCGTCATGGGACTCATTCAATGATGGATGGGTGAAAGGTGGGCCGAAGAAGGGAGAGCGCAAGCGTGCAAGATAAACTTGACCCATGGGAGCAAACTCAGGCTGACCTGGGTCTAAATCCAGGAAAGCAACTCCATCGGTATTAGTATATCCATTCTCGGTCTCGGGTGTTGGGCTGAGAACGTGATTCAACAAGTAGCGACTAAAGGTGGACTTTCCGGATGCTTTGGGGCCACAGATTAGAACACGGAGTTGTCCTTCACGCTGTGAAAGAGCTTTCATTGATGCGCTCCATTTTTTATCAAGGTGAAGCGGTCGAATATGTCTATTTAAGGAATCATCTGCCGATGTGTACAACTGTCAAGTCAATTAGTTTTAAACAAAACTTGAGCTCGGAGTCGAATGTGATGGCATACCACTGAGAAAGTCCGCTTCGAGTCTTTTACGGCTCCTTTCAGGGTGAGATTATCTGCGGCGGTGTTATCGCCAGCCCAGATCCTTTGATACAGTGGCGAGAGATCACGGAGGCGGGAAATGCCGCTGGTGCAGGACTTGATCTCCACTTCTGCGTCGCCATCAATACCAGCAACGCATTTGATAACGGGCAAAGAGTGAGTGGAGGGAGCATAGACTCTGTGCAGTTTTGAGGATGGATGTAATTTCGCGCCCATCAGACTGACAACACCTCTCTTGACCCAGAGGTCATAATGGCCCAACAACGCCAGGTTCTAAGTCAAGTAAGCATTCACCCCGAATGACTGGAAATGCTTATCCGTACCGTTCGTTCCTTAATGCGAATGCAAAGTGTGTTCTCATCACTGTAGACGATATTGCTTTTGTTCAAACGAGCTTTGGATAGAGGGAAATTCTGGAGTTCTGATGGTGTTTCTGCGGGTGATTCATAGCCATCAGCGTCACCCACAACAGATGCAATATCATCCTCATCCATCTCTTTCGCGTCCTGGCCTTGATCTTTTTCAGCCTGCTCGTCTTCGGCCTGCTTGGGTATATCCTCCACTTCGGGTTTCGCTTCAAATTTTTGAGGCCTAGTAACTTTTACTGAGTGCTCCGGTGTTTTCTCTGAGGGCAATGGCTCATCTTTCTTCTTTGCTGCCTTTGTTCGTGTACCACGACGCTCTTCATTTGTTTCAGTTGTTCCAGGTCCCTCGAGAGACTGCCGTGACTTTTTTGAGGGTGGCTCGCTCTCAATGATAGTCTGCGGGACATCTTTTGGGACATCCACGCTCTGTGCTTGCTGTTGCCGAGCTCTGCGGGCTGCCAAAGCGGCGACGGCACTAACAGGGCCTAGACAAACAACAATATTAGCCTCGAATTGGTGTCGCATAGCATTAACAGACTTACCAGCTTGGTGCTGTTTTTCGGCCTTTCGCTTCACCATGATATTATACAATTCGACTGCACGAGCTTTGAGCTTGTGTTAGAAAAAAAATCGACCTCGATAATGCGATCCAAAGCCGATAAGCAAAAAAAGTTGACTGGTGGTCCGTGCTCCCGCGGAGCAGAAAAAAAAGATCGTTGGACCATGAGCATCCTCACTCAACGTCGATCCAATTAATTTTGCGAAATCGGCTGTGCTGAAACTTTGCATATATAATCTGTGCATTATCCCATTTTCCAATTCCATTCATCTTCTGGATTCCGGGAGTGCCAAGCGCCGCGCATCCTTGCGAAAGCATTTTGAGTCTCGACTTCGAGTTTGTCCGACACATTGAACTGCCGCCATGGCATCCTCCGACAGCGATAGCAGCTCGAGCAGATCGACCTCGCCTGAGCTTATGACTGAAAAAGAGAAAAAAATGACGCAACATCTGAAGCCGCAGGAATCAAGTGAAGATGAAACCTCAGACTCAGGTTCAGACTCGGATAGCGACTCCGACAGTAACGAAATGAAGCCCAGCTCCAGCTCAGGCAAGAAGTAAGAGATTATCCTTATATAAGCTTTGATAATAACTAATAAATGCGCCCATAGGGTCATCATTTCCGGTCCTCAGCCATACAAACCACCAGCGGGTTTCAAGTCTGCGAAGAAGCAAGCCCCGCCATCATCCAAAGTTTCCTCCCTTCTCTCCAACCTCAACGGCAAACAAATCCTCCACCTCACAGCACCAGCCTCTCTACCTTTGTCCAAGGTCAAAGAGGTGTGCATGGCCAAGATCATGCAGGGTGAACCGATCATCACCCACGAGGGTGTGAACTACGGTATCCCAGTCGATGCTCTTTCCGAGGCCGATCCTGCCACCAAATCGTTGCTTATTTTCGACGAGAAGACACAAAAATATTGCACAGCAGCTCAGAGTGTCCCAAGTTACCACGTTCAAGAAATGATCGGTCTCCCAAGCACATCGAAGAAGACCGACGCTGCAGTGGCAGAATTGCGCAAATATGTCAAGCCAGCCCGGCCGCAGCCGAAGAACTTGAAGATGCGCTTCCGACCTGTCGGAACAACCGCTGCGCCCCCAGAGACTCTTGGATCTGACTCGGAATCCGAGGCTGAGGTGCCTTCATTCAAGGTTCCCAAGGGAGAGGAGCGGAAGAGGAAGCTTGATCATGACGAAGCTGAGGATGAAGCTCCCCAAGCGACAGCGCTTCCTCGGAAGAAGTCAAAGAAGCACTCACAAGAAAAGGAGGAGGATGATAGTCAGAGTCGGAAAAAGTCCAAGAAGTCCCACAAGGATAAGGAGGAAAAGAAGCGGAAGAAGTCCGAAAAGGCATGATTTGGCGTTAGTGATTTTTGAGAATAGCTTTTGTTTTAACGACGTCCCCAACACTGTACAATCTACAACTTGATCTTTTACTTGGAACTGGTAGCTCTATAGCCAGCTGCAAGCTGCAATGTGAACAATATTAAATGTGTTTGGCTTTTCCATTGCCTATATGTTCAATATTCACAGGACTGAAGAAGTTGGTAGTAGTCTAATGAGATATTCCCTGAATATCGCCCTAATCTGCGGTTTCTTTTAGCACAAAGTGACAGGCGCTAGCTTGAATTCGGCATTTTAACATTGAATGACATCTGCCATCCGATCTCCAAATACATAGCCTGACCATGTCAACTGGTTTTGGGCATATATAGCAAAAGTACAACCGAGTCGAAGGATCAAGTCAAAGTTAGAAAGATCAAAAAATAGTTCAAGAGACACAAAAGAAGGTAGAGCGCACGCATAAACGTTGTATAGAGATGATCTACATATTTTGCCTCAGGCACTCAGCTGACATAAGGGCGATAGTCATAGATCACATGCATGCGGAGAGAGCCCAGGTGATGTTTCTCCCTTTGTGTATTCTAAGATTTCTATGAACTCTTGGATAGATCTGCGCTTTCCATTATTTCAATTTCCTTATTTGCAATATAGATCATGGCGCTTGGATGATTTGAAGTGTGGTTTGACAGCTTCATCCATATCTACCTAGGTAGTGTCCAAGCTTCAAAGCGCTTATCGGCCTAGACCCTGGAATCCCGTGCGTTGCTCACCGTTTACACTTATCACGATCTGGCACCTGACCGCAGTGTTGATATGACAAAGTCACTTGGTGTCTAGGTTGTTGTGTATTCTCATTTGACTGGTGCATACCTGATCGTCATAGTCCTATCAGCGCCGAGCTGTCACCTGGCTCGAGCTTCTGACTGCCCGACCGTTCTTAGTGATTCACCACGCCCTAGCATCGTTTACTCCCATCCTTGACCTACATTTTGCGTCGATTGTATCGTATCGGTATACCAGAGATAAGGATGAGACCTTTAAGAGATGATGCCAAACGCCGGGCAGACCGGCAGTTAAGCGCAAGTATGAAACCTACTGCGTCCAACCGTCAGTTTTCAGACCGAGTGCCAGACAGATTTAAGGATGGGGATGATGCCCAGGTTGATTTCACAGCTCCGCCGCGAGGTATGGGCTCACGGGACGGCAATGTGCATTATATGCAACAATCCCTCTTCTCCATGATTGCTGCTGTTGGGTCCAAGTCAGACTTCCATGCCCGGTTTGAGGAATCAAGCGATAGTGACGGAGAGGTGGAAAAACACTCGCGGGTGAAGCAAAGCAGTGGAAAATCATCATTTCCGACGCCTGTGCCATCCTTGGACTCCCACCAGCCAAGTAAGAGATCAGAACCAAGTCCGCTCGTTGAGCAGGAAAGAGGACGTCGACATCAAAGGGCACGATCAGACAATAAATTTCTGCAGAGACTATCCATGTTAGATTCAGAAGGGGGGTAAACGAGTCATCTAACCAAAGGGACTCGATCCTCAAGGCACCTCCTCTAAGGCGAACTCGCAGTGCGACACCGCGAGCAGCCCCGGTCCTAAGTCGCATGGTTGAAGCACAATCTCACTTTGACTTGACATTGGCAACACCACACTTGCCATCCAACCCAGACAAACCCATGGAAGACCAACAGCAATCATCTGCGTCCGCTCTTTCTACGCGATTGATGGAAATGTTCGAGTTTCCGAAGCCTGAAAAGGTTTTGGTGGAGTATGCTTGCTCGTTGCTCCAGAGTATGCTTCTCCAAGGCTACATGTATGTGACCGAAGGTCACATCTGCTTTTATGCCTACCTTCCTAAGAAGTCCAACGTGGCGATAAAGTCGGGATACCTATCCAAGCGTGGCCGCAAGAACCCCACATATAATCGCTATTGGTTTGCTCTGAAGGGTGATGTCCTCTCATACTACGCAGACCCCTCCAATCTCTATTTTCCCAGTGGACATGTCGATCTTCGATATGGGATCTCTGCGTCTCTTGCAGAACGGAAAGACGGTGATACGAAAGACTTTCAGGTAACCACTGATCAGCGAACTTATTTATTCAGAGCAGACAGTGCTACCAGTGCAAAGGAATGGGTGAAGGCTCTACAGAAAGTAATCTTCCGGACGCATAACGAAGGTGACAGTGTCAAAGTATCATTCCCAATAGCGAATGTTATTGACCTGGAGGAGAGCCCAATGGCCGATTTTGCGGAGACATTCAAGATTCGAGTTCTTGACAGCAGCGAAACATATGCAATTGACGAGGTAGGTCGAAAGATGAAATGTCACTACGTTCATTGCTGATCATTTCACAGTACTTCTTCTCGTTCTTTGATTCGGGCCAGGACGCATTCAACTACATCAAAGGCCTGGTCAATGCTGCGTCGGCTACCGCCGCAATGAAAGAGTCGCAAAGCCAGCATGACATCAAAGATCAACCTGAATCAAGCCGTGCCGCCCATAAAAGACAGTCAGTCAGTAGCGTTCGAGTATCTGATCAGAGACAGGAAGGGTCACCACGCAAGCGAAGCTCCAGCGTAGGAAATCAAAACCAAGGCTCAGCAGATTCATTTGCCGAGCAAGGGACCGGATCATCGCCGATTGTACAGTCGATGACCGACACCACTGAATCGGCCAGTCAGATACTGAACAGAAGCGACGTCTTTCAATCACCAACTATGCATACACTGCAAAGGCACCCATTGGATGCGGGAGAAACTATTCGGCGAGATTCTGATGATACGACTCCCTCTGCATCTGCGCGGCTGGAGCTGGGTGCCGCGACAGGCTCTCCATCTGGAACACTAGGTCGCAATGAAGCCACAGAAGACACACGATATACCGCTGGCCAATCTCATCCAATGGAATCTTCAAGACCGAGCTCTGTCACTCATCTGAACGAGCTTGTCAGAGCGGGCGCATATCCCCTTCAACGCGCCGCTGGTTTTGCAGAATACTTGAAGAGCCGCTCGAAACAAATGAGTACACTATTAGCAACAGAGTCAATGGGCTATATAGAAAAGGTCTCGGGTATGTGGATTGGTGGCCAGAAGCATTATGGAGAGCGAGAAGGGCCATTGCTTGAAGACCAGAATGTTGATCCTGAGGACAATGAAGGTGCATTCAATTATGGGGATCGCTTCCGTGCGCACTTTGCTCTTCCGCCTACCGAAAGACTGCAGGCGACTTATTACGCCTATTTGCATCGCGTGCTTCCGCTGTACGGCAAGATCTATATAAGTCAGAAGAAACTTTGCTTCCGCAGTCTGATTCCCGGAACTCGGACCAAAATGATCTTACCGCTCAAAGACATTGAGAACGTGGAAAAAGAGAAAGGTTTCCGCTTTGGATATCATGGACTTGTTGTCATCATTCGTGGCCACGAAGAGCTTTTCTTTGAGTTTAATGCTGCAGACTCACGAGATGATTGTGCAGTCACATTACATCAGAATCTGGAGTCTGTAAAATTCCTGGTGGAATCGGGCTTGCTAGCTGATGAAGAAAGAGACGAAGTTGAAGCAGCCAAGGCCGAGCACCGCATGCTTCAGGAAGCAAGGCTGGACAGCCCTGAGGAACACGACTCACACCCGACTTTTACTGAGGATTCATCAGAGATACATCCGTTCTTTGATGATCCCCGCGCTTCTATTATCAACTTCAAACCTCCCGAGCCTCTAAGAATCACCTGCCTGACCATCGGCTCCCGGGGCGATGTACAACCGTACATTGCGCTTTGCAAAGGATTGCTTGCGGAGGGCCACAAACCGAAGATTGCAACCCACGCCGAGTTTGAGCCCTGGATCCGAAAACATGGAATCGACTTTGCACCCGTTGACGGCGATCCTGCGGAGCTAATGCGAATTTGTGTGGAGAATGGCATGTTTACATATTCCTTCCTCAGGGAAGCTTCATTGAAGTTCAGAGGATGGATCGACGATCTTTTGTCGTCCGCTTGGGTTGGTTGTCAGGGTAGTGACCTTTTAATCGAGTCACCGAGCGCCATGGCTGGAGTTCACATCGCAGAAGCCTTAAGGATTCCGTACTTCCGCGGGTTCACCATGCCATGGACAAGAACACGCGCCTATCCTCATGCTTTTGCAGTGCCAGAAAATCGCATGGGTGGAGCATACAACTACATCACATACGTCATGTTCGACAACATCTTCTGGAAAGCCATCGCGGGGCAAGTGAACCGCTGGCGAAATAACGAGTTGGGATTGAAGGCCACAACCTTGGACAAGATGCAGCAGAACAAAGTTCCGTTCCTTTATAATTACTCGCCTTCCGTGGTGGCCCCGCCTCTCGATTACCCGGACTGGATTCGCATTACCGGCTACTGGTTTTTGAATGAGGGCACAGATTGGACTCCTCCCATTGAACTATCGAATTTCATTGCAAAAGCCAGAGCGGATGGCAAGAAGGTTGTGTATATCGGATTCGGATCGATTGTGGTCTCCGACCCGTCTGCCCTGACACGGACTGTCATCGAATCAGTTCAGAAAGCAGATGTTCGATGTATTCTCTCAAAAGGGTGGTCCGATAGGCTTGGTGACCCAGCTAGCACGAAGAGTGAGATACCTCTACCACCAGAGATTCATCAAATCCAATCTGCACCCCACGACTGGCTCTTTTCTCAAATTGATGCAGCAGCCCACCACGGCGGAGCAGGAACCACCGGCGCAAGTCTCCGTGCCGGTGTCCCCACCATCGTCAAGCCATTCTTCGGAGACCAATTCTTCTTCGGCTCCCGGGTGGAGGACCTAGGCGTTGGCATCTGCATGAAGAAACTGAATGTCAGTTCCTTCTCGCGCGCTCTCTGGGAGACGACACACAGCGAACGTATGATTGTAAAGGCACGCAATCTGGGCATTCAGATTCGCAATGTAAGTTAATCCCAGTCTCTCCAGGCTAAGTGCATGGGTGCTAATTTGTTATTCTCTGTTCAGGAAGACGGTGTGGCCACTGCAATTCAGGCCCTCTATCGTGATCTTGAATACGCTAAGACGTTGGCCCGACAAAAGTCGCTTGCCTCGTCCACCCCATTCTCTCCTACGCCTACAGCTAAGACCTCCCCAGATGGAGGCGATGACGACCTTGATGATATTGAAGAATGGACCTTTGTCGGCGAAGAAACTGGCTTAGACATCTCGAAACGGATGCGTGAGCGAGCTGCTTCAGATGCTGAAAGGCTAGGAACCAACATGTTCCAATGATTCTGTTCTAAGTTGAATGATTAGCATTTTGTTTTTGCTTTTTTCGTTGAAATACAGCAGCGCACTGTCGAGACCTTCCACCATCTTCGAATCCCCGTTCTGTCTCCAACAAGGTGATGCACAGGCGCGGACTGGGAGATGTTCTTTGTGAAGGTAGCATCCTCAAGCTTCGGATATTTGGCTGATCGGTTTCTTTTTCTTCTTTTTGTTTTTGACGATTTTCTACCCCACGAATTATGACATGCGTCTCTTATTTTTCGTTTTATGTGCATAGGGCATCTGGTTTAGAGCTTTTCTTCTAATATCCATTTCATTTCAATGTTTCTCGATTGCGTTTTATGATTTCCTTATTTTTCCCTTGACGATTCACCTGGAAGATAATAGACCATAAATTTTTATAATATTAAATCCCTTCAAATTCAACACATTCAGCCACCAGGGCGCTTATTTTTTATTGTCCTCATCACCCTTGCCTTCAGCCTTATCTTTACGTCTTTCTACGACGTCCCAGTTGTATACACGCGCCGTAGCAACCTCCAATGTCTGCAAAGAGCGTTAGCAAAAGTGCCATCCCAACCCCACACCTCTCACCGAACTAACCGTAATCTGCTCACGCAAGAATTCTAGATCTTCCTCGCAATTCTGCAAGCTCAACTGCGCAGCATTGAGCTTCTCATCTAGCATAGTCTCCGCTTCGCCGAGCGGATACGACAACATGACATTCGCCCCAAGCCAGAGGTAGACCTCTTCGGCATCAGCAGGCGAGATAGAAGCACGGGCGTAGAGGGTATCATTGAGTTCGAAGTTAGTCTCGAGGTCTGAGCCGGGGTTGGACTAGAGTAAGTAGAGCGTCAGTTGATTTCCTTTCAATTTCCACGCCGTCTTTTTTCCATGGATGCGTTTTACGAATCGCGTTTTCCCTTGGCTGGTATGAATAGGATCACAGGGGAAAGATGTACCTCCTTGCGCAGCTGCAAAAACCGCACCATCTCTAGCGTCTTCTTGATATCGGGAATCTTCTCGCGCAGGCCCTGGCCGCGACGCTGCGTGTTCACTTCCATGAACTGGTACTTGGAGATCATCTCCTGGAAGGAACGGAGGGTAGGCTCGACTTCCTCACGAGAGGAGACGTAGTCACTGACATTGTCGATGAATGGGGCGACGGGGATCCCGCGCGGGTTGGTTTGTGTTGTTACCGTGCTGGGGTGGAGGGGTTAGTTTTTTGCGACTGCGGACATGGGATTGAGGCTGGAGGGTGGACGCTAGAGGAGGAATTCATGTAAAGATGTGAAATCGGAATTGAAACTCACCTCTTCTTGGAGTCCGCCATAGTCGCTAATAGGTGTGTGAGAGAGAGAAAGAGAGGAAGATGACGATGTGGGGAGCTTAACTGCCACTTTTTTGGGGAGTCTCCGCTTTATCTCCCGATGAATTCAATGCATTTCTACTTACCCTAACTTCTTGAATTGATACGATCATGGTCCTCCTTTTTACGACAGATCGCATTCTCGCCGCATTTGAAGCAATTCCAGCTTCGCGCCACGAGGAACTAGACCTACCTACCACACTCGAAGCACAAGGCCCAATAGCCCACGAGCAGCTTATCCGACTCGCCAGATACCTCCAAACCGACCCAGAATATAAAGATCATGCCTCTCACACCCCAACAATCCTCAGTTCTCTCCTCCGCGGCACGAAAGTCTACGTTCCTCCGCCGCCAAAGAAGCCAGAGCCCGTGAGTAGTCTATACGCAACTTCATCCCAACCCGTTCCATCCCTTTCTTTCGACGTGAAAGCCCATACCGAGCCAGATCAGATCCTAACATGTATGAATAATCCAGAGTGCCGAATATCTCGCCTCAAAAGCCCGTCTCCTCGCCGCAACAGAACAAGAATCCTACAAACGCCTCCTAAACCCAAACTACCAACCAAACGCCGACCATGCGGATCCGCATACCTCGCCATATACAAGCGACGGCCACGTAGAAGAAGACACACTGACAATATCGCTTGTCTCTAGTGTCTTCATTTCGGTGTTGGTGACCGGCTTCGCCGTGTACGCCGCGCTCACTCGGTTCCCAACGCCGGAGATCTTGGCGAGCGAGGCGGCTAAGGTTCTTCTTGGGCTTTTCGCGGCGCTGGGTGTTGCTGTTGCTGAGTCGTTCTTGTATTGGACCTATATTGAGAAAGTGGATCGGGCGAAGGTTAAAGAGAGGGCGGTTAGAGAGAGAAAGGTTGTTATTGGAGCTGTTGGGGAGGATAAAGCCGTGGCCGAGGGTGTTGAGATTGGGACGGAGAAGGAGGAGATTTGGGGGAAGGGGGTTAATGGGGGTGTTAGGAGGAGGGTTAGAGAGAAGTGGGAGAAGGGGAGGGATGGGGAGGATGTGAGTCTTTGATATGTAATTGTACAGTATTCTCGAGATCAAGGATAATAACTACACTAATGTGTTTATTCAAATGTGCTTTATTTTTTTCAAGGGACTTGGATTTGGTTGCTTTTGGTGTTCTTTATCCAAAGCTACAATGCGCTGTCATTAATCTAACGGGTATGGATGCTGTGCGATCATTAGTGCTCATCAGAGGGTTCAATCTCACAGGTCGAGATAGAGATGTTTAGTGCCAGAAATATAGAAAAGAGACCAAGGCGCACTGCCGGAATGTCAACTTGTCCCACGCGTGGACAAAAGAAAAAAAATATAGAAGAGAGGGAATACCTCAAACACGTTTCTCAAGAAGCAGCTTTCCATGTGGCGATTGGCTATCGAAGCCCTGTTCACGGCTGAAGATACGTTCACCACGCAACCAGGTCTCGCGGACCATGCCGCGCAGGGTACGACCTTGGTAAGGGGAGCATTTGTTGCGGAAGAGCATAGTGCTCGGCTCCACAATCCATTCGGCAGAGTCGTCGAAAACGCAAATATCAGCATCGAAGCCGACAACCAGGTCACCCTTTTGTGATTGCAAGCCAACTTGGGCAGCAGTATTGGCACAGCAGAGACGAACGACGTCCTGGAGGGCGTTCTTGGTGTTCTCGTCTTCTGGCGAGGAAGTCAGGCCCTTGCGACGGCTGAGGTCTGTCCACAGGATAGGCAGACCCAATCCAACGGAAGAAATGCCGCCCCAGGCAGAGAAGAAGTCACCGGTCTTCTCGTCCTTACCGCCAGCGCAGTGGCCGGGAACATTGGCTGGGAGCATCTTCAGGTCCGGTGTGCAGGGGGAGTGATCGGAGACAACGGTCTTGATGACCCCGTCGGCGGTGTGTTGCTCTAGCTCTTCCCAAAGACGATCTTGATTCACCTTTGAGCGGATAGGTGGGCAACACTTGTGGCGAGTGTCGCCGTCGCGTACTTCCTCCGCTGCCAGGGACAGATAGTGGAAGCAGGTCTCGGCTGTGATCTTGACGCCATTGGCGCGGGCTTCCCGCAGCAATGGAATAGCTTCCATTGCAGAGAGGTGAACGATGTGTAGAGGCAGATTGGGAGCAAGATGAGCCAAAGACAGAATACTTTCGATGGCACAGGTCTCGAATGAGGAGGGTCTCGAGGCCAGGAAAGTTGCATACGCCTCGAGGGGACCGGCAGGAGCGGCAGGTGCATCAGATGTCTGAACCTCGTCACCCACAGATGCGGTAATAGGAGGCATCATCTCGGCGTGAAACATGAGAGTTGTTGGTTCATCAGCCAGCTCGGCCATGACCTTCTTGATATCCTCTCTACCGACAGCGGGGAACTCATCAACCTATTGAAGGGTGTTAATACTAATATGACTCATGATGCTGATATCATGCACTTACACCACTGTCAATCAAGAAACCCTTGAAGCCGCGGACACCTTCCTGGACAAGAGCCTTGAGCTCGCCAGCATTGCCGGGGATGATACCGCCATAGAAACCGACATCGACCCAGCACTTGCCCTGGGCAGCCTGGATCTTCTCTTTCAATCCATTTACAGTGGTAGTGGGTGGGATAGCATTGAGAGGCATATCAATGACGGTAGTCACACCACCAAAAGCAGCGGCTTGGGTGCCCGTATAGAAGCCCTCCCATTCCGTGCGGCCAGGCTCGTTCAGATGGACATGTGCGTCAACCAGGCCGGGCAGCAGGACATGGGGTGAGTAGTCGGTATAGGGAGTATCCACAGGGAAGTTTGATGCTGGAATCACGGAATCGAAAACAGCGGTGATCTTACCGGTTGTCCGTGAGATCACTACGGTGGCAGAGGTCAAACGGCCGGAGATAACGGCACGGGATGAAGCCACAACGGCAATGGAAGAGAGATTAGCCATGCTTGAATATGCCAAACTTGAGGTATGAATTGGGGATATAAGAAAGCCGCTCAGATAAGAAAGATAAGAGCGGGCAAAAAGTCCAAGATAAGGGAATTGGGCGAGATATAAATACGCCAGGGATAGGTACAATACCCCCAATGGCCCAAGGACCAAAAAAAAAATATTAAGAGTCTGGGCCTTGGGGTCGGATTTCCTTTTTTTTTTCCGGATCGAATCTGCAGAACTTCTACACCACTGCCGAGGCATTATCATTTCCGTGCAATTGCTATATAGTCAACCGATTCAGACAGTCACAGCCCCCGGGGAAGACCTGAAGACAATCCCTCTCTTCGATATACTAACATGTTAACCTTGGAGCAGTATAGCAGAGTCAAAGCAAATGCCGTCGGGCACCTCCGACATGCGGACTCCAAACGCTTATCAACGGGCCCGCTTTATCAGATTACTCGATCGAAACTGTCCTGTCCGCGTTCTTTTTACTCGATCAAAACTGCTTTCGGGGAAAAAACTCTTCACGGAAAGGGATATGTTGTCTCGTGATCATCTTGGCCCTGTTTTCGAGGGGATTTCGACAATTTCGCCATCGCATAAGCCGAGGTTGTTAAAGAGAATGAGAATAAGGGAAGAACTATTGAAGAGGATCAAAGCAACATTGAAGAAAATAGGTAAAAGAATAGGCCTTATGGTTCCCAAACTTCCAGGGATTCTTCCAAGACTGATGCCTGCTTGGATCTCACCCATCACTGGTCCGTCATCAGCAGTGTAATCCACCTAGATGCTTAATACGACGTTCCGAAGTATATGCAAATGTAGATATCTAATATATTGATGGTCATTCTAACACCGGCCGGTCAGTTGATGGCTTCGTAATACATATGAACGTCGCATATATGATAGCTTCCCTTGCGTTCTGGTGCTCAGCCCTCGTCGCTTTTTGCGTGAGATAGAGCACCTGTGGCCGCCCTATGCCTTACATAATCATCAAACCCCAGGTCACGAGGTCAGTAACTATCACCTGACTATTGTATAAGCAAAACAATATGCCCAGTTGCCCACATCTGCTAACCGCCGTCTTGCTGCGTCTGATTGCGCTTTGGGGTTTGTGGGCTTTGTGGGCTTTGCGGAGCGGTAGTCACACCAGTTACGGGACGTATTGTCACACTGCGTCAGGAACCGTGTCTCTTATTCCCACTATCAACCCAGTAAGCCAGCCAGCCGTGCTGAGGTCTACATATTTTGCGTCTAGGCGCTCATAAACCGGCCTAGAAAGGAAAGCACCCGGCAGACAGTTATTATATCTATATAGGCGCATACAATGAAATTCATTGGGGAACTTAGTCAAAGGGGTTCATTCACTATCTCAGCAGATGTTGCTAGCTCTCCTTTTTTGTGGTTTTCTTATTTTCTTGTGAATTTGATCTCAGGTATGGAGGGAAGAACAGCCACCTGCGCACGAGAAAAAAGCGATAGATCAAGGTTCAAATCAACCGGTAGAAACACCGGGAAAAACAATTCATCCGCCAGACAAATCCAACGCACACCACAGCTTCACGAGGAACCAGGCGCACTCAGAGGATTTACTCCTCTTCCACCTCTTCGCGGATATTCTGCAGATCACTGAGGTCGAACGGGCCAGTCTGGCCTCTGATAACATCATCATAGTGTGCACCTTCCGAAACTAAAGCCTCAGCGGCCAAGACAGGAAGATTGTCACATAGCGCGGAAGAAACAAGGTCGTCATGGATTGCGGAAGGAATCGCCGGAGCAACCATATCAGAAGGGCCAGTCACAAGGTCAGGGCGATTATCATATCCGTCCTCTTTCCCAGCTCGGTCACCTTCCGGAATCGGAGCATCAGAAGCCGTGACAGGAAGGTTGTCACGTAGCGCGGAGGAGACAAAGTTGTCATGAAGTGCGGAAGGAACCGCCGGTGCAAACGGGTTAGAAGGGCCAGGAATAGAATCAATACGAATGTCATATTCGTCATCTTCCTCAACTCCGTCAACGATCGAAGCCTCACTGTCACTGGAAGTGTCATCATTGTCACCGTTGTCATTTGCAAAGCTAGCCATCTCATCGGCGTGCTTATCCTTAAAAAAGGTAGTCATCTTATCGGTGAGCATGACACCGGTCAGGAAAGATTTGAGATGGTTCAGGGAGGTGCGCATTTCAACCTCGTCATCAGTGAGTTCAATGTTGTTGCCCAGTGATGCGGAAATCATCTTGCTATTGAGATCGGTCTCGCCAGGAATCACATCAAACTTCTCCATCGCTGCTGGGCATAGATACATGACATTCATCCATGTCAAGATGTGTGTCACACCACGAGTGACCATGCACGATGACTTGGTGCCTTCCCCAGACGAGTACGTGTTGCAACCACCGTGAAGGTGGTTAAGACCAGGCACACGCGTGCCAATCGGTTTATCACAGATAACCCAGCCACGGCAGCGGTACTTCATGAACCACGAGAAAGACTTTGGATCGTTCAGGTCCTCAATATTGGTATCGGTCTTGGCAATGGTCTCGGGATTGATTAGGGACAGGGAGGAGACGTTAGGAAACCAGAAACTCCCTAGGGGCCATGTCAGTAAACCATCCTCAACTGTCGTATTAAGTCAGATACTCACATTGACTCTTCAGGTATGTAATGGCAGCATGGCCGCCTTCAGACAGGCCAATGACGTCGATTTTTGCATCGACTTCGAAGTTGTTGCGGATCAAGATTCCTTCAAAGATGTTGCGGATGTGCTCAACGATGCCGCCTTTGTCAAAAGTGTTACGAGGACTTAGTTGACGTTCGCGGTCCACAGCAGGGCTGCAGTGGTGACCATGATAACTGTCTTCGGTCACGGCGTACCAACCTGAGTTGTACCAGATATTGTGACCGGCGTTCGCAATGATGAGGGCATTTGGTGAATTTTGAGCATTCTCGCCGAGCAGGGCCTTCGCAAAGGCAAGGATCGAACCGAAAGAAACGCCGTCGTCGCAAACGTCACGGTACGAGAATATACCCAAATCTTCGATGATCTCACCGCAGAAGACAACAACCCGAGAAGCAGTGTAGACATTGCCCGACACGAGGATGGGCACATGACGCTTGCTGCCCATGGAGATCTTCTTAAAATGCATCCCCATTCCCACGAGCCGGTCAATCACGATGGTACGGATCGCCTCTGTGAAACTGTCAGCGCCATTTGATCCATCAAGACCTTAGCCTACGATGGAAATAAATCTGAGGGTTTACTCACTATGCAAGGCCTCAATGTGAGCCTTGTTGATGCGCGCACTCCGGTTGATCTTGAACCGCGGGCCATGGTCCGGGGACCCGACGTACCGGATCGTGTCATCGTCGGTGATGACGAACCTGTGTCATTCAATCGACTGTCAGCCTTGAAGTTTGGAATGACCACGTTGGGTACCATGGAAAGAATGCCTACCCGAGCTCTAGCAGGTCTTCAGGGAAGACCGTGTCGTCGGGGAGGATATCTCTCACAATGCTATTCATTGTGGCGATGCTTCAAATCAATGTGTGAGTTTGATTTGAGAAGAAAGTCAGAGAGAGAAGAGGGGAGGATGATTGATGGTCGAATGAGAGAGGAGGAAGGAAGAGAAAAGAAGAGGAGAAGAGAAGGAGGGGACTATCACACGCAGAAACCGGAAGGCGCTGCGCTTTTTCAACGCAATGTCGACGGGGCAACAGTCAACGACGGCGTGATTATGGCATCAAAAAGCTTCCCATTTGCTTGATACCCTGGGATAATGCGACTGTCAACAGGCTACGCCAAAGAACCTTGCCCTGATATTGAGGATCTATGCGTTGAACCTTTGGTTTATGGCCCTTAGACGATATGACCGGGGGACTATCATTCAAATCAACCTGCCGGTCTAAAGTTGACCGGCATAATGGAAGCAAACAACCCAATTGACATGATCTTAACAAAGAAAGCTTCATCTCACAGCATCAGCAAACGAGGATCATGGCCAAAGCAATGCTTGGACTTGTCAACAAGTCAATGCTAACGAGCCGAGAGCAGCAGAAGAGTCAGAACGACAAAGAATTATCTGATTTCTTGTAACAAGAATTGCATACTGTACATACTTCCACCCAATGGAAGTAAAGAAGAAAACGCCATCGTACAAACAATTCAACTAGAGGTCTCCATATATCACAGAGGACCGGCAACAATATCATGCATTTACCAACTGGCCTTCCTCACTCCGGGCAACTCACCAGCGAGGGCCTGCATACGGAATTGGTACTGTAGCAGACAGTGTGTTAGCGGCGTGATATCAAAAGCTTCGAACAAGATGCGGCCATTGGCCGGAACTCTCCACTCACTCTGTTGATTCTGAAATCGCGGAACACACTGCGCGCAGTGCCTGATGCCACACAACGGTTCTTGATCTGCGTGGGGCGAGTGTAGGCGTGCATCTGCGACAATTGAAGCTGAGCCTGTGCGCGAACTCGGGCAGAGAGGGAGGTATTGCGGATCATGTAGCGGAGAGCTTGTCTGCAAATGAAGACACAGTCAGCATTTGTGTCTCAAATCCCAGCAAGGATTTCTCAGCTCGAGACATCCATCCTCGGTCAAGCTACAACATCTGGAAGGACAGGGAACGTACCGTTCGGGCTCGGTCTGCTCGAAGGCCATGCGCTTGTTGTTGTCCCGAATCAAACGGGTATTGACAAATCCAGAGAGGTCCAGCTTCTTGGGCCGGAACAGGCCTGCCATTTTAGTCATTTTGGTGTGTTTAACTGGGGGAATTGCGGAGTTGAGGTCGGAAAATGAGTGAGCTTCGGCCAGGCGGAGTTGGTGAAAACTGGGTGCCCGATTGGGTTTAGCGTGCTTTAGTGCAAGATTTCACGCTGAGCGGCATCAAAGTCCTACTTTACTCCTTGTATTTTGATGGATAGCCTAGCCGTTAAAAACAAAATTAAATGACACATCAAAAATGAGGCCTAATTATAACTCATTGCACAGTCGCAAAGAACTACAAGACTAGCCCTAAGTGAAACAGCGTAGCAATGAGCAGATGCGAAGTATAGAGTCCACAAACCCGAAAGCTTTACCCATTATACAACATACTCCGGAATACTCGGCTTAAGTTGCTTTTTTCCCTCTGACTGATGGGATAGTATATAGTAGAAGAGATACTACGATAGGAAAGAGTGACTTGCTCGGAATGGTACTGGTACATCTTGTGAATTGACACCCATCGAGGTAGGTATAGTCTATATGCTTGGACAGCGAGAAACTGCCCGCACAGTAATCACAAAAAGTGCAAGCCGGCCATCGATGACCAGGGCCATCTCCGTCCACCCACACATCGCGACGGCTCGTCCTGCTCCTCTTCAACGAGCAAATGAGATCTCAGAATGCATTCAAGGTCGATCCAATTTAGTGGCCAGCCTTGCCAGCGGGCTGAGCGTTGGGGTTGCGGGGATCGTTCTTGTACTCGGCGGCTGTGCGGATTTGAAGGTTAGTTGTTTATGCTCATAGCACGCTCATCGGAGTGTCGTTTCTCGGATATTGTCGCATGACCCAGAAACTCGTGGATGATTTATGTGTAACTGCGCGGACTGGACTCACTGTTGGACAGAGCGTTCTGGAGAGAGTTGACGCCGTAGAGGACAATGAGGCCTGCAGAGGGGAATCGTCAGTAATGTTCCCCCGACAGCCGCTTCAAGTGTGTGGCATTCCATAGTGGCAACCCATGCGTTACGGAATATCAGGAAACTTCGGGATCTAGAGAGTGTGCGTACCGGCAGCGAAGAAGGGAGTCAAAGGCTTGGCTGTAAGTGAATATGCGTCAGTCATTGTTCCTCATATCGTTCTCCCACAAGTCGTAATCGAGGTCCACAGAACACGTACCCATAGCGCCGGGGAACTTCTTTCCGAGGAGAGACATTGTGACAGGTGAATCGAATGCGGGGAGAATTCGGTATTCGGGAAGATGGTGAGGCAGGAGACGGAAGAGGAGAAGTGAGGTTTGGGAGGTTTGCCCGGTCCCGAGACCACGCCGCCTTAAAGGCGGTGTCATGCCGCTTTTACCGCCCGATCTATCCCGACCGTAAACAATCATCTTCAAATCAAGCTACAAATCATACACGATGGCGTCTTCATTATCCTCCTCAGTTACCTCGTTACAGTCATCTCTGCAGATTCTGGACAACTCTATATCCATCCTCGATTCGGGTGTGAGCGATTACCCCCGTCTATGTAAAGTCCTCCAGACGACGCGAGTATGTTCTTCCAAAGCTCCATTCCTAAAAGAATCGAAAGAATATGAGCCTAACAATTTATCTTTGAACAGCACTTTGAGCTCCTACCTGAGCCTACGTTGCGTGAAGCGCAGCAGTCTCTCCTTGACGAAATCACTCCCAGCATCGCCCACCTCCTCACACTATCATCAAACCACGTTGAAAAGCTCGCCCGCCGCGAACAAGGCTTAAAGGCGAAATGCGAACTGCAAGAAGGACGACTCTCGTCTAACCCGGAGAGCCGGTCATCAGCCACTCGCAGCCAACCTCAAAGCAGCTCACTGCGGGGTCGCATGGCGGGGCCCAGCGCTGGCTCGTCGAGTAATGCAGCAGCAGCCAAGGCAGCGGAGCTGAGAAGACTCGTGCAGAAGAAAGAACGGCTCAAGTTCGCAGTCGATCGATTGGAATTGCAAAGTACACAGAAGCAAAGACAACTGCGAAAGAGTATGGCTGCGCAGTGAATGTGGCGGTATCACTTTGCGATACAAGAATATCTGCTATTACGAAAAGCGACAGGTCTGTCAGGAGAAGTTTTTCCTAACATGACCTTTGACTGCTTTCCATCCACATTGTCATCGACTGCGCGGGCTTGGCCAACTTTGGCTGGAAGGGCACGAGGCCTGAAGCCAGCGACGGCCTTTTTCAGAACATAAATACCTCTCGCGCCCGGTGCATTTTGAAAGAACCTTGTGTTAATTGCAGGGCTCTATTCACTCGGGAAAAGCTTCCGATGGCTATTGGCGCTCCTTGGGCCTGGCACTGTCCCCCCCAGGCCGTGACAGAGCAATGCTTCATCACAACCGAACTAGCGGCGACCCCAATGGCCTCTACAAAGATTATCTCATGGAAGAAAAGAAGAATTAACTCGGCCCCAAACAACCCCTCAGATACTGTGGCAATCAATCAAATACATATCAAACATTGATTAGAGTGAAGATGCTATATTTACATTAGTGGAAGTGCGAGAATAATATCCTAGTGTACAAGATCCAGTCCCCAGTCCCAATGCCAAATGCTGCCAGTAGTTAGTAGTATAATACATGTTTTCAAACATCCAAATCCACAAAAGAATTGCGCCCAATCAAACACACTTATTCATCAGCAGAACGCTTGTTGGACGCCTGGCGAATCTTCTTTTTATCATTATGCTTCTTCCAACTGGGGATATGCTGGCCCCTCTTCTTGACAGGGACATCAGGAACATCCGAGTCATGGAGCTCATACTCTTCATTCTCCTCTTCTCCTTCATTCTCAAACTCCCCCTCTTCCTCGGAAGCCTTGGTCGCCGCACGGCGAGCCAAACGCTCCTTCTTACCCTCGCCATGCTTATCGCCAAGGTTCAAGTTGCGCGGGATGCGGGTCTTGGCTCCGAGAGCCCACAAATCTCCCCAATGAGACTTACGGGCGTCGCGGTAGGCTTGGCGGCTGTAGGAGCGCGGGACGGTCCAGCGCTCAATTTTACCGGCGGGCGTGCAGAGATCGAAGATGACATGGCCGCGGCGTTTCATGGGTGGGTAGATGGCGCGGGGAAGGGACAGAGCGTGGAAGGCCGGCTTGTTGGGCATGTCAGACTCTTCGGGGTCCTCAAACCCTTCAAATGCGGCATCTGTAGCCTCAGAGTCTTGGCGAATTGCTTGGTCTTGTCGTAGGTCTACCCCACGCTGCACGGCGAGGTAGCTGAATTTGAGATCTTCGTGGTTGCGGTCTTTCGCTCCCATGATGCGCTGCAAAAATGGAGGGCGAATGTATCGCTGCTCGAAATGGCAGAAGTCCCTACGGCCCTTGGTAGCGCCTGAAGAATTGTGCATCGGACAGGTTGAGTGGTTGGTGCAGGGGGCCACGATCATTCCACGCTCCTTCTCAATGACCTCGCGTTGGTCAGGGTCTTCGAGGAAGTTGTCGTATTCGGTAGAGCCGGGGCTTGCGATATGGCGTTTCAAAAGCATTTCACGTGCACCAGAGATAGCCTCGAAGCCCTTCTGGCGGCCCTTCTCGAGCAGAATAAGAATCCCCCCGTTGGGATTCAACAGAGACCATAGATTTTCCACGTGTTGTTTACGCTCGTACTCTTCTTCAAGACCAAGAAGAGAGTGCGGTGCGATGATGATATCGTACTGCTTGCGCTTGGGGGCTTTCCGTGAATCATCAATTGTGGGCTTCTCGCGTACATGGACGTAATCAGGTAACCGTGGGAGGAAGGTAGTGTTGTCCAGCAGGACAGAAGCACGTTGCCGAAGCGCATCGGAGCCTGTCAGAACAGTTGATCTTCCATAGGGGATGGGGGCTCCCGAAGGATGATCCGGCACCATGAGTTCCCATTCTGCGCGAATGATATCTCTCCAGGCCAGGATGCCGGCACCACCACCGCTGGCGTCAAGAACGTTTGGCCCGCCATCTTGTGCGATGAGACGGCGGATCCAATCAACACCCAATCGCTTGCGAATCTCAACCATAACACTAAGCGTCGATGCGTAGATTCCAGGGTACAAAGCTGCTAAGTATGCGTTGGCCTCCATTTCTCCCATCTGACGCTGCGAAGCATTCAGAGCAACAGGAAGTTGTGGTAATTGGGCGCGCGGGGGCGCAGTTGTACTCGAATGGGGCAATCCGGGTCCTCCAAACAGGCGCCGAGCAGTCTCAGAAATGTGCTTGTTGGAAAATTCTGACAGAATCACCGATATGGGACCAGTGACAGTATCCTTGGGCAGATGAATGGTTGTAGGATCAGTTCCGAACTTGCCCTCGAGAGTGAGCGGGTGCATTCTGGGAGCGGAGTCGGGGACTGCCTCGTTCTCGAATTCCTCAAGCATAATCTCGCCGCCCAACTGCTCTGCCACTTCTCTGGTCCGTTGCATGGCAATTGTTTCCCGCTCTTCTGGAGGTATGTCCATATCATACACGAGTTGAACGTCGTCCTCGGCGGCGCTATCTTCTAGATCGACTTCCTCCCAACCTCCTTTCCCATCTTCGCGGAGCAAGCTCATATCTTCCTCTTCCTCCTCAACCATTGACTCGACTTCTTGCCGAATGATTGGTTCTCCATAGAGGCGGGCATATATTTGCAGCTCGGCATCATCCAACAGGCCCTCTGGAATCTCATCTCCGAAGCGCTGTTTGATCATGTGTACCCATGACTCTGCGGTGTGTTCGTCTCGTTGGTCGATCAGCTCGATGAGCTCGTCTGCTTCGCCCTCCTCGCCCAGAATTTCCAATTCTCCAAGTATTTGTGCCATTTGCGCCTCATTTTCGCCGATTCGATCGATCAGGGTATTTATATGATCCGGTTCGATGGATTGGCTGGGTTGAGTCGGCGAGTCGGCAGACGCTGGGCCTGACACAAACCTTCGCTGGGGCTGAGATTGTGATGTTGCATAGTCGGAAGTGTTTCTTCGGTGCGCAAGACTGCTTGACGCGATCAAAGGCGACGCTTTTTGGACAAGAGTACGTTGGTGTGTAGGTGTCAAACGGTTGACAGGTCCGCGGAGTTGTCGCGATCCAGGAGGGCAGGCAAAGGTGCGAAATAGTTCGCGCGATTGTGACCGACTGGCACCTGATGCCGAAGACCTGGATAACATTTTCCAGCTCTTGTCGACAATTCCTTCTCAAGAGGTTGAGGGAGAAAGAAAAATAACCAGGCCCAGAAAATTGATGCCAAGACAACCATTCGGCCATCACAAACTGTGAGCCTCTCATTGGCTGGTCCCTTTTGGCCCCGGTTTTAACTCGGTATCAGAGATCTACAATATATATCATCCATGGACTGTTTTGTCGCCACAAACATATTTATATTTTATACTGTACTGCACACGGTATGCTGATTGCTACTGTATTGGTATATTATTTATTATGCGTCAGGCCAAAAAGAGTTCTAGAGCTAGCGTTATGATTGCTGGAAATATATCTCAAATAACCCATTTCATAGTTCTGGAGACAGAGACCATGTCCTAAGTATCGTATCGTATCAAGCGTTACAAGCAGGTGTTCATAGTGTAAATTCAGTAGGGTATCATTCTATTAATTAAGCCTCACTCTCCGTATCTTCCTCGCCCATGAGTATCCGCAGCGCAGCAACGCACCGCATCACCTCATGCTCAAGGGCCGATAGTTTTGCCATGACCGCCATCAGACTGGGGTCCTGACTCTCTACCCGGACCTTTTCTTTGACACGGACTTCTTCTCCCTGCCATTGAAAAATGCTACCGGCCTCATCATGGGTTGGTGCTCGGGAGCCGAATATCCGATCACGTAGAGAGAACCCAGACAGGGATATCTCTGAAGAAAATGCATTTTGCGCATGATTGAGGGGAGTGGCCTCTAGAGTCCGAAGAACAAGTACCAGGGCGGAATCTGTGATAGAGAGATGGAATGAAAGATGTGGCGGAAGCGGAGGGTCAAACATCTGTGCATACATATTAGCGAAATATTGCAGGAGTTTTGTCAAAGAAGCTGAGCCTACATTTTCGGTGGCACTGGTATCCCACCACTTGCCTCGCGTCTCGTCGCTGTCTCCTTTGAGCATTTGTCGTGCCTCGCTGATTGTCTCGAGCAAGAGGTGTAGTTGACTGAAAATGAACCTTGCATTGAGAGGATCGCCTGTCCATGTGCTCACATCCACAATATCCAGGCTTTGAGCCACAAGGTCTCGAACTGATACTAGCTGTCGAAGTACTAGTTCTGGGGCCTCGGGAGACTGGGATAGGTTCAATCGGGTACTAGGTGCACCCCGAGGAGGCGGTAGCGACGCCAAACGAAGTTGAACATCCTAGAGAAGAATCGGGTCAGTTGCATATTCATTGGTCTTCGAACAAGACTCGGAATACATACGCCCTTCACGATCTTAGTACCGACTCTAGTCACAAACCCCTTCACGCTTTCCGACCGCAGCGAGGACAACACCAAGGTTGACCCCGGTTCTTGGGGAGCTAGGAGGGTGGCACATTCTTGGAGACCTTCCTTCAATGAGACAAGTGAATCCTGTAGTGAATGCAAGAGCCATTCTAACTCGCGAGCCTAAGATAGAGATGTTGGCATTATACTAGAAAAGCTCCACAATGGATCATAGCTACAGCCAACCAGGACTCTTTGTAGAGCGCACCTGTTGTCGAGGTCCATATATGTTTTACATACCAGCGCAGTGTCCGCCTCACGGTTGATCTGCTCTGCGGGCAGTGGGGGGTATGCCCAGGTCGCCATTACAACGTCGTACAGAGAAAACTCGTAGGGTGAACCCTCGGGTCGAGCCTCAGGGGTCAGGTAGGGCAGGACAAGGTTTTTCTTTTTTCAAGGGCGAACGTGTATTAAGGTAGGAACGACGAGATTTTAGTCCACGTCACTTCTTCCATAGGTTGATGTTCCTTGTGAAGGAGCTGTAACGTCGTTTCCTTAGACGCGCTTGACTTCGTCATGGACCACACAGACTAACCTGATATGGCTTAGTCTATAAAGTAGAGTGTACGCTAACCAGGAACAGCTAGCTTGTCAGGTGCAAGTATGACGTTATGATCGTCGATACTCTCAATATTGTAGAAACCTTGACAAGAGAAGAGCATGATGCCCACTCGTCATTGTAGGTGGTCCCCGGATACCCCGGCAGTTCCTGCAGCCTTATACCAGCTAGTCCTTTCCGCCTGACCTCTCTTTTGTCTCTCGACTTTCTCTTCTTGAGCAACTTGTTCCCCTTGGAGATCACGACACAACCTCGAGAGGAAAAAAAAAGCCCCTCAATCAAAGATTAGTGTGGCCTACCAAAAACCAGATATGGGTTTCAGCAGTAAGTCGACCCTGATCAACGGCTCTATAGTACCTGAATCCTGATCATCTATAGGAGCAACACTGGGCCTTACAGGCCTGTTTTTCATGTCAGGGGCGATCTTGTTGATCATACTCACTCTCTTGGGAGGTGTAACCAACACGACGCCACTGAACCGAATCTACTTCCTCCAAGCAGACACGGGAAATATCCCTGGTGCACCGGCAGTCTCACGTTGGACATTCTGGAACCTCTGTGAGGAGAGAGACGGCAAGAGTCATTGTGGAGATACCCATGTGGAATTCCCATTCGATCCCCCAAGCCACCGTAACTTCGGCACCACCGAAAATGTGCCTCATGAGTTTATTGGGTAGGTCACCCACTGATATATTCTCATTCACCGGGTCGTGCTAACCATGCACCGTAGAACGAATCACTACTTCTTGACATCGCGGTTCATGTTCCCCTTCATCATTATCGGCCTGTTCTTCGCCGTCTGCTCTTTCTTCACGGGCATGCTGGCCATGTGTACCCGCGTTGCCAGCTACCTCTCTGGTTTCCTGGCCTGGATCGCCCTGACTTTCCAGATCATTACGACCTGTCTCATGACGTATGTACCACTTCAATTGGAACTTAGGTTGTCCCGTGAAGAACATGCTAACTAGATTTCACAGTGCTGTCTTTGTCCAGGGCCGCCAAGCGTTCAAGCACAACGGCCAGGGTGCACACCTGGGTGTCAAGGCATTCGCCTTCATGTGGACGGCCTCTGTCTGCCAGTTCATTGCGTGCATGCTGTACTGCGTCGGTGGTGCTGTCGGCCGGAAAGATACCAGCAGTGGATACAGTGGACGCAGGGAACGTCGCCGTGGTTTCTTCTCCTCGCAGCGCTCAAATAGCGTGAAAAGCCAGAAGAAGGAGGGCACAAACTACGCTTAAATGGATGTACACCCTCCAGGAGAAGCCCGCCTCCTCATCTCGACAAGAACAAGCCGGAGTACTTGAAAATGTCGACTCAGAACTGTCGATCTCCGGACCTTCTCACACCCGACTTTGCCTTCCCGCGTTGATATCCCCTTTGAGAGTTTATTCTTTCTTCAGGAGGCCGCTTGTTTCACGTTGATCTCGTCAAGCTACATATGAATGCCCTGTATGCAGCCTTGAAGATCGATTTACCCACTCGCTTGATGCTGTTACAAAACCCCTCACGATCTTTACTTGCTTAATAAGTCTGCGGCCTTCCTGCATAAGGTGGCAATTGAGCATTCTTCGCGCACTACTCTCTCTGCCTTGACTCCAGTTATGTTCAAGGCACGTGAGCCTTTGATGATTTGTTGATGAATCCCATGGTCCAACGATTCTCCGATTTGAAGATTATGCAGGAATTTGTGCTTTCGGTTGCGAACCTATCTAATCTAGTTGTAATATAATTTCTCTGTTACCTTATCTTTGGAGTGTAAATTTTATACAGTCAAATATGGTGGATTCTCAATAAACAGTCCTGGGAAGCAGAGGGGGACCTAACAGAGTGAAGTGGGCTGAAAAAGAGAACCAGTATTGATTGATTGAATCTAACTGAGTCTATTCAAGAACTATAAAAGGGAAAGACTCCATGACGATAACTGCAGTATAAATCGTGGACAAAAAGAAAATCACAGCCTCTATCAGTCGTGCATGCATCATCACACCATAAACGAGATCCAGGTCTTTTTATTTTATTTCACGGGGAAAAGAACCTAAGCGGAGCCGTTGACGGCGCCGCGGACGGCATTCTGGGAACCGACCTCACGGACGGCGATCTGCAGACCGAGATCGGGGTTGACGTGGACCATAACCTCGATCTTGCTGCCAGCCTTGACACCCTTGACGGCGAGCTCAGCAACGGGCTTCTCGGTCTTCCAAACAATCTCGCGGGTCTCCTCTTCCTCCTCCTCCTCAGAATCGAAGTCGGAGTCATCCTCATCCTGGGCGGGCTTCTCCTCCTTAGCCTTGGGCTCGGGCTTGGTGACCTTGATCTCGCGGACACCCTCGCACACACGGACCAGGACATCGCCACCCTCCTTGGGAGCGAAGTACTGGGCGATGCGGCGGGCGGGGAGGGCGGTCTCGGCGCCAAGGAGGGGCTGGAAGTTGGTCTCGGTCTCGGAGGTGAACTCAACACCAATGGCCTTAGTCAGATGAGGGGTGACGGTGACCATAGGGTGAATGGACTGCTCAATGTCCTCGTGATCGAACTCCTGGACCAAAGAAGCCTGGAAGGCGGCACCACGGGCAGACAGCTCAGAGGGGTTGATGGCAGTGACGGAGGCGGCGGGAGCCAGAATTTTGGTCTTCTCGGGGAAGATATTGCTGGCCAGGCTGGCGAGCTTGGGGGTGTGGGAAACACCGCCAGAGAAGATCACCTCGTCAATATCGAGGACATCGAGCTCAGCCTTCTTAACAACTTGCTGGATCAAAGCGGTGAACTGGCTGAAGACCTTGCCGGCGAGAAGCTCGAAACGGGTGCGGTTAATGGTAGAACCGTAGTCAACACCGTCGACCAGGGACTCAATGCTCAGCTGAGCGTTGCTGCTCAGGCTGAGGGCCTTGCGGGTGGCCTCACACTCAAGCTTCAGCTTGGCCAGACCACGAGCGTTCTCGCGGGGGTCGGTCTTGTGCTTCTTCATGAACTCCTTGGCGAAGTGGTCAATGATGATCTTATCCAGGGAGGCACCGCCAAGCTCGTAGTCGTGGGCAGTGGCCAAAATAGTGTACATGCCACCGCGGGATGCAACAACGGCAACATCGGAGCGGGTGCCACCGAAGTCAGCAACGACAACCAGCTTGTCGGTGACAGTCGCCTCGGGACGGGCATCGTAAGCCATAACAGCGGCAACGGGCTCGTGGATCAGCTGGAGAACGTCAAGACCAGCAGCCTTGGCGGAGGCAACTAGGGCCTCACGCTGGGCATCGGTGAAGTCGGTGGGGATGGTGATAACGGCGGCGTTGACATCCTTACCAAGATAGTCAGAGGCGGAGCTCCTCAGGCGCTTGAAGTGACGGGTGGTGATCTCGGAAACGGGGACTGTGTTGGGGGTCTCGCTCTCGGTGTCGCGGATGGTGAAAGCGACAGTTGAGTCCTGCTGTTGGGGGTGGGCAGACTGATGGCAGGGAGTAGGGTCGATCGACTTGAATTCCTTGCCGATGAAATCGCGGAAGTACGCGACAGTGTTGGCTGAGTTGCGAACAAGCTGAGCCTTGGCTTGTGTGCCGTGGTACTCCTCACCCTCAATGTAAGAAAGGATGGAAGGAATTTGACGATCTGAGTATGTTAATTCAAGTTCTCAAACCATGGGGCTTCATTGTCCTCACCTCCTTCCTCGTTGGCAATGACCTCAGCTTTTCCATCCTATATATTTGTCAGTCACCATTTGCTGACTCGAAAAATGAATATCAACACATACAGGCGAGATGTGGGCAATGGAACTGCACGAGTTGCCAAACGAGATACCGATAGCAAAGCGCTCCGCCTCAGCGGGGGCACTGTTGGCAGCGTCACCCATGTCGAAGTTGTAAATATGTACTTTTTTTGGATTAAAAGAATAAGGGTCTCACGTCACGGCGTGAAAGTAGATTTGAGGGTATCCGAAATAATTGGTGGAAATCTCGATTGAGGGGGAAACGATCGAAAAAGATTTTTGAAGATTTTCGTCTGCCGCAAATGTGGCTAGTGCTTATCGATAGCGGTTGTGGCGATTTTGATTAATGCACCGCCACACTTCACATCCCCGTGCGCGGACGGTTTTCTATGATTAATATGGCTATCAAGTAAAAAAAAACATTGGGAATGAGTGAGAAATTTCAGTAGCACTCTTAATTATCCAATCTCTTCATATGTCCAAGGTCATTCCTAGGTAGGGATGGAGCTTGGTCAGTATACATACACCAGAGTCACGTGGTGATAAGGAAGGTCGTTTTCTTTCGCAGAATCAATGCGCAAAAGCAGGCCAATCTATCTGCACGAAATAAATCCAGCAATACACAATTGAACCTCTTCACTCAGATAAATCTACCCTTGGGCTATTCCCAAAACACAGTCTACCCAGTCTGGCATCATGAGTGCCCCGCTTGTCCTATTACCTAGCGACGAGGTACCTCAAGACCATCTTCCTACCAACAGCTCCAATCCTCTACGACTAGGCCCCGGCCTCCGCATCCTATCACAGCCTTCCTCAAAAGGAACCAATCATGTCTTAACAGCAACACAAGCTGGTCTTTTGACGACCGATGCGAAACGAAACACCGTCTCACTTCTTTCTTTCCCGAACCGCCGATACATTCCCACCGTCAACGACTTTGTCATCGCTCAAATCCACCACTCCAGCGTTGATTTCTTCCACTGCATGGTGACTCCACACACGGCCCACGCGCTCCTGGGTCAGCTGTCCTTCGAGGGCGCATCCAAGAAGACGAGGCCAATGTTGAAGCAAGGCGAGTTGGTGTATGCCCGAGTACAGTCTGTGGGAGTCGGCGCCGGCGCCGAAGTTGAACTCACCTGTGTCAACCCAGCAACTGGCAAGGCTGATGGAGGGTTGGGACCCTTGACTGGGGGAATGGTTTTTGATGTTTCGACTGGTATGGCGGCCCGGTTGATTCGAGCAAGCTCTTCCTCTGCCGAGAACACGGATGCAATTGAAGGCTTGGTAGTTCTTTCTGAACTTGGAAAGAAGTTGGAGAGCCTGGGAGGATTTGAGATTGCAGTTGGTCGCAATGGAAAGGTGTGGGTAGACTGCTCCAACGCCGCAGAAAGTGCTGTCAAGGTCACTATCGCAATTGGACGTTGTCTACAGGAGACAGATCAGCAGAACCTGCACCCTCATGACCAAAAGAAACTAGTGACGAAAATCCTCAGGGATCTGAAGCTTGTTTCGTGACTATGTCTGTAGGAACTGGAGTATGGGTTTTATGACTTGCAGTTGCTTTTTATGTTCTTTATGCCAGCATGTACACTATTAATGCAATCATGAGCATGATACCTGCCAGTACTGTGTTCAGTAAATGCTAAATGTCCGAAGACAATTCTTGTGGAGTCTTGTATGGATTGCATGAGTCCCTTTGTAGTAAATGATGTACAATGGTATTGTATGGCAGTCTTCAATGAATCTTAGCTTGATCTTTAGAATATTGTATTTTGGTGCCTTGAAGAAAAATTCTAAAGTCCTTTCGAGGCTCCTTCTTATCTTATTATTTCTATTGTACTTTGTCTCTTCCTGCAACAATGATATACATAGATCATCTACTCCGTACAATAGCCATAAATTGATACTCGATTGGCCCCGCATGGGCGGTCAATGCCAGCGGTGAGCCCCAATTGCCGGGTTGCACGCTTCGTGGGCCGTAAATTTTGAGGGCCTCGGTCTCTCCTTTTTATCGCGTCCTCTAATTTTCCCCTTCCTCTTCATTGTCGCAGCTTATTGCCATGGGAAATACATCGTCTCAGCCTGAACCATACCCCGAAATTCCTGAGGATTTTGGAGATACCGGTTGGTGAACACACCTGATCTTTGCGCGATCTGAAACTAACATGTGCAATCTGGCAGTTCCTGAAACTCCGAATTCTTCCATGGTGGATGCGACGAAGAAAAAGAAGAACAAACATTTCCCCTTGAAATCCAAGCCTTTATCGCCGGCAATGGCGGAAACCAATGGTTCAAACCGCACCCCAGAATTAGACTCCAATATGTCGAATACTTCAAAGCGAAAGCGCGAGTCTGAACCTGAGCGCAAGCAAAAGTCCAAGAAGCATCGCAAATCAGACAACTCCGTTGCCATGTCAGCTTCACCAGTGAACCACTCACCCCCCTCTGCAATTGCTGTCCAAAATCCCCCAACCCCCAGCCAACCCATTCCATCAAACCCCAAGGCGAAGAAGGTTCGCAAGCAGAATGGCGAAGAACCGAAGTCAGTGGCTGCGTCCAATTCTCAACCTACTCCTGACTTGACGGCTGCAGAAGAAGAGCCCGCTAATAAGCAGCTGGCTGTCACCAAGCAAACTCCAGCCTCTGGCTCACCCAACCTCGAGGGTAGCACCACGTCAGGAGACAGGGCCAAGGGAGTTAGAGGCTCGCGCACCAGGCAGAAGGACAACTTAAGGATCGGCTTCTATACGCCCGATGAAGTGCGAAAAATTGAAGCGTACAAACTCAATTTTTGCACCGTGCATGGCATTCCTAGTGCCAAATTCGACGAGATGGTTCAGCATTCTGAGCGTGGCGCAAACGGTGAATTTCCTGTCTCTACGGACATCATCTCAAAAGGGGACTTCTGGGACGAGATCTACGCTCTCGTTCCAGACCGAGATCGACGATCTGTGTACCGATTCATGCGCCGACACTTCCAAGCTTCGGCTCAAAAAGCACACGATTGGTCCAAGGAACAAGACGATGAGCTTATCGAGCTCCACGCTAAGCACGGTCCAAAGTGGACTTACATTGGTAAGCTCATTGGGCGCAGTGATGACGATGTCACTCAGCGCTGGAAGAACAAGCTTGAGCACCAGGGCACCATGAACCAAGGCGCCTGGTCAGAGGAGGAAACCAGGATTTTCCTGAACGCCATCGAATCAACGTGGAACACCATGAAGCCAATGCTTGCCGATAAGGCAGGCAAAGACATGTACGAGCTGGATGAACGCCTCATTGTATGGGGTAACATCAGCAAGGAGATGGGACACATGCGGTCTCGACAACAATGCGCAGACAAGTGGCGCAAGATCGTGAGACAGGTCATGATCATGCGGGCCAATGGCCAGCCAGGCGCAGTGTTTGATCCGAAAATCGCCGCTAAGAAAAGTGCTCACTGGAACATGAGACTGGAGGCGCAAAGAAAAAGCTCTCAATTCGTGAATGAGGATTCTGATGATGATGAAGCTACAAGAACTACCACCGCAAAGCTAAATCCCAAGGGTGACGCAGCGGCATCGCCCATTGCTAATGACAATGTCGAGTCCGGACAGCGAGGACAGTCTGAGGAGGGTGAGCCCGACTTGCCTGAGCCTCCTAAAAAAGTTAAGAAGTCCAAGCGCAAGCTTAACGAGGACCCATCCCCACCCGTCAAGGAACCCCTTTCGTCTTCCGCCGCTCCTACAAAAAGCAAGGAGGAGCGAAAGCGCGAGAAGAAAGAGCGGCGAGAGAAGGAAAAACAAGAGCAGGTTGAGCAAGAAGCCCATGAGGACAAGGCCGCACGCAAGGAGCGCAAGCGGAAGAAGAAGGAAGAGAAGAAGCGAAAGAGACTAGAGGAAGAGGAACGTATCGCTGCCGACGAGGCCAACACGGCACCTAGCAGCGATGCGGAGGCCCCCGAGCCTCCCAAAAAAAATAAAAAGTCCAAGAAGCAGAAGCAAGCTTTTGTTGACAGCCCTGCCCCCTTGGATGAACCCTATCGCTCTGTTGTTCCAGAATCCCCATCGCCCGAATCACCTGCTTCTCACAGATCTGCCACTGAGCACGAAGCTGTCATCGATGAAACTGACTCAGACGGCGGAGATGACAACAGCAGTGAAGTCAACGTCAAGTACGAGACCGACTCGGATGAATTGTGAAACTGCATGAAACGAAGAGTTTACCTTTGCTATGGCTTGCTTCCTGTGTTTCAAATTATACCCTTGTTTATAAAGATATCAATTCTTTGATAGCGAGCAGTAGAAAAAAATGTCCATGAAAATACACAGGTCATTCACTATTCCATCCAAATAAATGCAACAAGTGTAATCATCAATGCAATCGCTTTATCTAATGAAACCCATTGGGTCAACTATAACTCGTCTTTGCGGTCCTCGCCAGTCTGCACAAACTCAACACCGGCAGCAGCCTGTTCACCAGCAACCCGACTCGCCAAAGCTGCAATCTCATCATCATAGACAGTCCACTCAGGAACCTGTCTCCTAGCCCGATCTAGCTTGGGCTCCTTGGTAAGAGGATTATTACATAGGTCAATAGTCTTCGCCACATCCAAATCCTCATCGGAACACCAAGTCTCACACCAAAGCCACTCCTGCGGTAGACTATGGATGGGGATATGATGCTGCATGTGGTTGGGCAGATCCTGGTCAAGATTGCTGAGACTGTTCGGATCCGCCGAGAGCATTTGATACTGGCCGCGCAGACGATCGCCGGCAGCAAGCGCGCGGAAGCGTTTCAGGTCGACAACATACAGCGCCGAAATGTGGTAGGGCTTGCCGCGGAGGAAGGTGGACCAGTAACCCTGTTTCCAGAAGCGGAAGCCCTCCATTTCGGTTCGAGAGTCACCCATCGGCGTGAAGCCGTAGGGCGCACCTTGAAGGTCGTGGGTGACTAGGTCGTACATATCTGTGCGCACAATCTGGTCCGCGTCGACGAAGATTACTTTGTCCAGAGAAAGGGGGAAGAGCACGTCCAGGAAGAGCATTTTGTATCCCCAGATCTCGCGTTGCTTTTCTTTCTGGGCGCGCAGCCAGTGCGGCCATTTGTACGTTACCATCTCATAGGAGAAGCCGTATTCATGGGCGAGGGAAGGGAGGAAAGCGCGGAAGGAGGGTGAGAGGAATTGCTCGATGAACCAAAATTTGACGGTGTGTTTGGTGTGTCGCATCACGGAGACCATCATTATGTTCAACATGCGCTCGTAGAGATGTCCGCTTGCCACCGAGAAGATGTTGATATCGGCGTGTTTCTCGCCTCCGCTCTTGGACCCGACCCCAACACTGGAGAGGACGCCGGATGCAAAGTTGAGTCCTTTGGCAAGATAGTCCATTTTTGAGCCTGGCTGGGCTCCTGTCTCAAGAACATCATCCTCCTCATGGCCTGGCTTTCGGGACAGGCGAGGGAACAGCGTCCGACCATGGAACGACAGCAGAGCAACCTCGTTGTTCTCGTCACCGGGCTGCGGACGGTATCCTAGACCACCGACGCTATCGATCTTGAAGATTTTCTCGCTGCGGCCGGGCTTCAAGTTGATCTGCCACAAGCCTGGTTGTGCCTTGAATTGGAAGTATCCCAGGTTAGCCATGATGATGGTATCGGCGAAATAATGATCGTTCTCGGTGCCCAAGAGAAGTTGGACACCTCTGGGGGCAGAATTCGTTGTAAGATCACGAGAGTGGCCCTCAATTAGAATGTGTTCGAGAGCGTAGATGGCGTCGACGTCAGTGCCAGGTTTGACCGAGCTCAACTTAATGTTATCCAGGTCGTATACTGACTCACTGGGTGCTACGAGCCAAGATGACGGCACGTCCATACCCAATGTCAGTAGTGCCTCAACTGGCACGCCAGCGAATGACGCTTGCGGCCGAGCCAGAGCGCCCTCGTTCGTGAAAGATGGCTCTGATTCCAAGACATATCGGTAGAATCGTTTGACCGGAAGCTCCGTGAGTTCTTCTTTCGGGTTCAAGAAAATCTTCACCTGAACGCCAGAGAGCTCTGAGAGAACCTTAAGAATCGGCAACCAACGCTGAGCAACCTCAGACGCCGGGTCAAGGCTAACAGCAACGTAGATCGTGGGATCATCGGAGTTAGAAATTGTTATCACAGAGTGCTCCGTCCTCCATGTACTGGACACATCCACTCTGAAATCAGGAGTGTTTTCGAAGATGCCATCAGGGACATCCGAGATGGTGGAAAGAGCCACAAGTGAGGTCAATTTGGCAAAATCGAGCGGGTTTGAGATCTTATCAGCGAATCCAAGTTGGTCAACAGCCGCTGCAACGGAATCGAGGCGTTTCATCCGTTCGTAGGCAATCAGTTGGCTCATCTCTTTTACACTTAACGAGTGTTCCTCCTCAATAGGGCCGACTGCCCTTCCATTGACAATGAGTCCCTCGGTACCAGGGTTGAATCCAAGCTCTTTGGCTAGAGTTCGGTGCACAGATTGCATAGTAGAGATCTTTTCGGCTTCAGTCTCTAGGACTTCAGTGTTACGATCGCTGGATGCAATCTTAGTCAGTACTTGGTCAACAGACTCTCCCTTTGCAAGCGAGAGATAGAGAGTGACGAGATTCCTAGGAACATCATCTTCGGCATCCGATGCCGCATTGTGCAGCATCAGAATCTCCACATCACCGTTCTCCTTTCGAAGATTGAGGGCATCGGTAAGTAGTTCCATGCCAGTCTCTGACTCGAAATCGCCCACAACTATCATATGAGCGCTCTCCAGTGCGTCCTTGTCCGAGGGAACGTGGGGTATCTTGCTCAAGACATCTTCGTCCGATGCAAGGATGGTAGCGATGTCCACAATCTGTACACTCTTAGGATCCTCGGGCATGAGGAAAGTATTGCGTCTCTCCAATGCACCAGCAAGAAAGAACTCCGGAAGCCATGCGTCCTCCTCGAAAACTCCCTCTACAATGCCTTGCTGGACCAATTTCAAGTCCCTGCTGACCTGCATGCTCATTCCCTGCATCCAGTTGCCTTCCCGGGAGATAGGAATACCGTTCACCAGGAATTGAGGTCCGTCGCCGGTAAGACTCAACCGACGCTGGTAAGCAGAGGTTTGGGACACCAGAGCATTATACTTTTCGCTCTTCAATACTTGATCAAGAGACAAGGCTTCCTCTTCGTTAACGAGCTCATGTTCTTGAGCCGCCGACTGGAAGCACGATTTGTCTGGGAAGCCTATTTTGCCTTTCGAAGCAGACTCTTGCAAATATTGCACAAGAGACCCTATGCCATAAGCATCGAAAAGGTAATGCGCTGCCTTCAGTTGAGCAATTGACTCTGGCGACGAGGCTGTAGGTACCAAGCCAAATCTCACAGGAATCCCTCGCATGACGAAGGCTTGCAGGTTTCCAGCAACAAGCATCATGTGTTCTGGGTTAGACAAGTCGATAGACACAACCACGTTGTGCAGATCTCGGCCCACCGGCGGTAGTTGTCCGGGGTAAGAACCGGCGATGTACTAAAATTTTGTTAGTATGTGTTCACCCCAATATCCATACAAGATAATACGGACCGCTTCGAGAGCACCAGGCCAGGACTCATATCTAGAATCTTTCTCCAAATCGTTCATCCAAATAATGACCTGGTTACCTTCTAAATCATCCCGGTAGTCATAACGTTGCTCCTCAGCACCAGCCTGGGCTTCGGTGAGCAGTCGGTGTGACAGTAGCTTCACGACATCGTTCGCGGAGAGACCCAGGCCGCGGAATTTATCAATCAATTTTCTCTCTCGGCGCAGATGTTCTAGAAGTGAGAATGCGTCAATCTGCTGTGTGTCCATCTGCACACCGTTGATCCACATAGCATTAAAACCACCAGGGAACATTTTTGACCGGTTGTGGCGGATCTCCTGCGCCATTTCTCCAGTAGAGTTGTGAGCAGCTACGATGGATGAATACTTAGGAAAATTTTGGGACATCTTGACCAATGTCCCCAAAGGATCAGTGTTGTCCATGACATAGCTCGCAGATTTTAAGCCTAGGCGTGTCACTTCGGAGGAAGCCAAAGGCTGAAGGTCATCTGGAGCATCCTCCTTCGTCTCGTCCGGATCGGTTGGAAGACTTCTGGCGCTCTTTTCTTCAAGCTGCTCCGCATCCCGGTCATCGATAACAATGTAGTCCGTTCGCTTTAAAGCAAGCTCCACGCCGTACCCAGACACAAACAAGGGACGAGAAATCCAATGTTGGGGAGGCCGATAGCGTACACGGTATGATATCTGTCCCTGTTTTGCCAAGTCGCTCAGGGTTTCATGGAAATCCCTGAACATTGGAGAGCCGACGTCTGCGTAAAGAACAGCTGGAGGTAGCGATGCATCCCCTAGGACGCGATCGAATGGTAGCTCTCTAGGATCCCTGAGGCACAAATTCAAGTCAGCTACCAGAGTCCACACCCCACAGCCTAGGATTTACCCACAACTCTCCCTCGACATCCTGTTGTGCGCGTTCCATCGCAGAAGAGCAATACTGCTTTCCCTCTGTGTGAACCCATACGGGACATACCGCATCTTGGGCCACCATCAACGACTGCTGAACCGAGGTGTTATAGAACTGGAAGTGTGCCTCAATACGAGGCGCCGATGATCGGAGCGAAAGCGATAATTTAAAAGATGAAAGACTCTCCGGAGTCTTAATGTGACCATCATCCTTCACAACTGTCAAGAAGCGGTCGTAGAGCTCCTTCTCCGTTGTGAGGTCCTCAAACGTCCCGTCGGCGATGCGGTCCAACAAAGGAAAATAGGAGGTAGAGTTCTCTTCGGCGGCAGACTCCCTGAGCTCAACTCATTAGTCTATCCTTGTATTGGCAGGTTTATCCCAGGCGGGGGATCATTCAATGTGCAACGTACAGAAGCTCGACCAGGTATGGGGCCGAGTCGAAGGAGGCTTGGAGCGCCACGTTCACAGCTGGACTAGCACTGGCAATCCAGCCTGGTAACAGAGCTCCGACGACGGTGTACCACCGCCAGGAAATCTGAGATCGCGTAGAGACCCTCATTATCGCGCAATGCAGTGTGGGGGGCAATTGTGTATATTTGTTGTATTGTATAGGGGAGAGCCTCGTGTCGAGCAATCCCTATGTGATGCGGGGTGGAATTCCTAATTAACAAACATGCAAGTCAATCTATTTGCAAGCATCACGGGCCAAATGAGCCAGAGCTCTCAACAAAGATGGTAGTAAGATCGAGGACGAATCGGCTGATCTGGACACTTGGAGGGTACCTAGGTATCTTATCGCAGCTTCTACGGCGGACTGAGCGGCAACTGGCGCAGTCTCCGAGATCAAGATGGCGGCTTAACTTAGCACCTTGTATGCATTGGCTACATGTGTGAGATCCTAGGTGTGCTTACATTCACTGAACTAGAATTACGAATAATGATAATGATAATGATAATAATAATAATAATTTTGGGTTCATATCCAGTTAGCTGGACGCTATCGTAAAAACATTAAGTCGTGAAATCAACACCCCCATATGCTTCCCCCTCGAACGCCCTTTGTTTGTTCCGAAACACCTAAGGTATGTCACATAAATGCAGCCCGGCTGGCTCTGCAATAGAGGCCCGGGATTGGCAAAGTTGGGAGCGAGTGTTCCCTTTGAATTTTGTGCTCGCAGGGGGACGGCTGCAGCAAGAATGAGAGAAGAGTAAAAGATGATCGAGTCGAATGTAAAGAAGTCAAGTGAATGTGAGCAGCCTGTCCAGTCCCCTCGTTGGTTTTTTATTTTTCGGTTTATTTTTCGCTTTTGGAGTTTTGTTCGCTGGTTTCCTTTGGTTGAAGTGGGAGAAAGTTGCGATTAAACAGCCTGACCGATGTTTTGAGTCGAGTCGATTGCTTTGCGAGCTTGGGCTTCATCGATCAAACGCCGGCGCTTATCGTCAGTCAATTCGAAGGATATATTTGCGTTGAACTTGGCTGGTGTATTGATGCTGCTAGCCCGACTGTTGAATGATCTGTTGGACTGCATCTTCTTCAAACTGCGCGCAAACTCCCTATCCTGCTCCTTCTTGGGGCCTTTCTTCTTGCCCCATCCCGACAAGGAAGAAAATCGGTCCAGGAACGAACCATGCTTGCTAGAGCCTGTGTTCTCTTCTGGGAAATGGGGAAGAGGCTTTTCGGTGTCTGAGGATTGGGAGATAGCAGGACAGGGGCCGAAATCCGGACCGAAGCTGATGCCCGAGTCGGTGCGGCGCTGCACGCCGGACTTGCCAATCTGACAAGGCTCGTTGATCAAAATACACTCGTCGATCATTTCGAGGACTGCGTCCAGGTATCTGTCAAGGGTTTCATGCAATGCAGGCCACCCATTCTCCTCGTTGGCTCGAGCGCCTTGTGTAATGATAGCTTCCAGCATTGAAGGATCACCCTTGTAGTTGGTAATGTATTTGAAGAATGTGTCACGGTGATGTCCAAGGGTGGCTGGCGTCAACTGCTGTGTTGGGGTCGGGCTGTCTCGGTGAACAGGCGGCAGTAGAGTGTTGAGAAGAGCAAGGCAGTTGGCCTTGTCAAACGGCTCAAGCATCATCTGATTGACCAGAACCTGAGGAATAAATGTTAGACACGGAACTCATTGTTTGAATATCGGAATGGGACTTACCCAGCGACGCAGGCCGACATGGATTTGAGTGTACATAAAATCGATCAGGCGTGCCTTTTGACTGATGTCTTTGTACCAGGTCAAGACATTAGGATACTTGCGAGCGACCTCCGAGTGCTGAGGGTCACTCGCGTCCTTGGGAGTAATGTCGAGCCGATTAAAAGCGGCATCAATCTCCTTCTTCCAGCGACCTTGGATAGCTTTAAGGTAATCAAGAGCAGTCAAAGCCTGGGCAAAGTCGACATCGGACAGCTCCAGACAAAAACAACGACGTACAAAGGAGAGAATGAAGCTCGGAGGGAGCGAGCAGGGTTGAGAAGGCAATTCGGAGATAGCTTTAGTCAAACAAGCACGGAATTCGGCATTGGTGTCGTAAGAAGGAGCATCAAGAGAGGAATTGGAGTTGCGAGAGTTTCTAGACCAAACAGAATTGCGTAGGATGGAGGGTGACTGAGGAAGAAATGAAGTCCCCATTGTGTTTTTTGATGGGTGGCGATTGAGTTCGTATGCAGCACGTAAAGAGATTTCGTAGCTGTCGGCGTAACGCAGACAATGATCGAAGATCCACGTCAATGCTGACCCATCGGGTGCATCCAATGTCTCATAGTTGGGGGCTTGAGACATACTATGGGTCTTTAATATATTGGAGTATCAGGGCTGCTATCAACACAAGAGAGTGTGTTATGAAGAAGGTGTAGTGAAAGTCGTGATGAGAAGAAAAGAGTGGAGGTCCAGTGGCCAAAGAGCAGTAGTTATGGTCGACCCGAAGAGGCGGATCCGTTGTGGCGGCTAGGATAGCTCAGAGCCCGTCAAAGGGGTAGTGAGAGAGACCTGATAGGCCCAAATAGGAATAAAAAGTTGATGGAGGGACCCGGTTGGTCGGATCAGCTCTGTAGTTTGGACTTTTGAGTCACCCAAGGAGGCCAACAAAGAAGAAAAACTTTCGCGGAAGGCGAGTACTTTTTCCCCCTCTAGGATATCCCTTGAGAAGCAAAACCAATCACGATGCAGGATCTTTCGGATCTCCTGCACGCCAGATCTGATGTATGCAAAAAAAGGCAAAAAGCGGCTTCAATGGCTGGCTTCTGTGCACTGAAACGTGAGACAGGTCTTAACCCCCTTCAAGGTTCGAGTAAAGAACGTGAGACGGATAAAGGGCCAAAGTTGGGGGATATGAGACCAAGCGAATGTAGAGGGAAGTTGAGAGAAGTTGAAAAGGTTCAAGATCCAGTGGAGGGGAAAAGGCCCATACAAAAATGCGCGAGATGTTGCCCCATGGCTGGACCAGTCTACTAGGTGGGGACTGACTCGAACGCAAAAATCCGCGAAACAAAACTTTCCGTCATTAAATTGTTTTTAAATTGTTTTTTAATTATTTTGATCAATTAATTCGATAATTAAATTAATTAAATTAAGTCAATCTTCCCTCTATCCGAGTCCAGATCCATGGATTCTGTTTTTTAAGGCTACTCCACCTGCACCGACCCGCCGGAAGATATCATTAGCCCCGATTCGCGTGAATTACAATTGGTTTGGAATGCTTCAGAGACAGCCGTTGGCGCCATTGGGACCCCACTAGCATACGTTGAACACCATACCTCTTCGGGTAGGTTCTAAGCCAAAAAGTCTAGCTCACATTTCTGATTGGATTGTTACCCCCGTGCCTTTCCGGCTTGAGGCGGACTAGAACTGTCTTGCATTCAAGGATCCAGTGCACGCGGAACTCTAACATCGCGACCGGGAACTGGGGGAGCCGTTACGCTTAGCAAATTTTTCAGTCCTGTCAGATTCATTAGCGCACCGTGGTATGTATGTATGTACTTTTTATGCAGAATGTGTACTTCTCCGTCGGACTGGTCAATTTACGGGGTAAACAAACTTCTTGGAGATCCGCCTCGGCTATACCATCACACTCAGCTTATATCTACAATTTGTACGGACATGCAGATTTTTACAGATTGTGGCTCATGTGTGTGGCCACGTACTTTTGTCTTCGCCTCCAGGAAAAATTCAAACACAACATGCATCTATTATTGTACCATATGAGCCATTCTCCCATGCTTGCTATTTCAAGAAACAAACCTCCCATTAATAGCTCTTAGATCCGATTGCGATTGTGCTCGCTTCGATCGCCTGTGGGGCTACCACATAATACGTACGCAATACCTTTTGTGTTTTCCGTACTCCGTGTAATATTGTGTTTATACATATCCCCGGTGGTGAAACCACTGGGACCGTTGCCTTGGGTCCACTCAAAAAGAGCCGTTGGAGCAGTCACACGGAACAAGAACGCAAACTTGATGTACGATATAGGCAGAAAGCCGTGATAATCTTCAAGGCTGTGAGGCGATCAATCATACGTACATTTGCGGATAAATAAACAGCGGTAATTATACACTTGACCCATGGTTCAGGATGTGTCTTTCGTGGTAATCTGACTGTTATACCGCGGTTGTCCAGTCGGACGGGCCGCTGTCTATGCCCTAAGTGCCCGAGGGCCGTTATCTGCCTGAGGCGCTTTTTGTTTGCCTGATGACAGGTCTAATGTACTTTTAGCCTCCAGGGCTTACATCCCGGGAAAATCAGCTACATCGACTCCGTACTTAATTTGATACATAACTAGGGTGCATACATAAAATTAGGGATCAAAAAACAAACATGCGCATATTCGGACCCCTTCTTTCATGATCTAAGATACACCGACACTGATCCACATATCCGCCAATTTCGGGACCTTCCCAAACAGGATCACCTGATCAACATTCAGCTGGAGGCGTTGTGTCGATCCGTCAAGCCCAGATACAATGATCGGCAACGCCTCTCTTTGCTTCCGATATTGTATACTCCGTACACACTCTGTAACTATGTACAATATAGAGCACAAAGTACGGAGTACGGAGTACGTCAACCAATCTCAGGGGAATTTTTGCCAGATCATTAGGGGGCCACGCCGATCATTTCATCATCGCCGTTGTGGTACGGAGTACCCCATAATGGGGATATTGCTAGCTACCAGCTACCAAATACTCGGGTGGCCTCGGTACTGAGATGACGACAGTGGTTCTTTCGAAGCTTTGATGGGTTATCATGATGGGTACGGAGTACAACATACAACGTAAGCTTGTCAACAGACCCCTCTTTGAATCTGTACAGTCATGGCTTTCTTAACCTGTGACAGCATCTGCCCCTGACTAGAGATATAAAAAATGATCTATAAAGACATTCGACTACTGGAGAAGGTACCCAAGGGGCTCCTTCCACAGTTGGGTATCTACAATATAGGAGAAACATCTGGGCAGGCTGTTCATATCGACATTCTCCACTTTAAACTATCTTGTACAAAGAAACCCCTTTCCGCATTAACCACATCCTAAATTTGAAGACGTCTCCAACTGAGCAATCTCAATGCGTATACTCCGTACGGAGTACGGCGTGCTCTGTAGGATGGTCACACAATCATCGGGAACCCACTGGGGTCCGCTAGTTAGAAGCCTCATTCAGAATCATAGCAATGATTACGGAGTACACTGCTCAGAGCCAGTAAAGATCTGCGGTCCACAGCTCACTAGTCTCCTGGCGTGGTTTTATGGGAAACTATCTTCTCTCCGAAACGCAACAAGCTAAGTATCATTAGGCGACAGAGCATGCTCCGGGTCCTACAAAGCCCATCCGATCAAAAGGACCTTCGATCCACTGAGGTGTTTGACCTCCATACGGAATACGGAGATATGGAGTACCTAGATCCGCCTTCCCAAGTACAAAGTACGTTGTATTGCTCAACAATATTACACCAGGCCTAATGATTCTTGACGATAGTTGTGCCGTCGTGGGGTGGCTGTATATCAGCAATTTCCAAGAGGGCAGGCTGTAGTAGCATCATATGGAATATAAATACTGTACTCTGGCAGCTGGCTTGCCATTTCTGCACTGTGGAACTCCAATTGACTAACAAATATGATACTGCTCGCTTGTCAGATATCATAATCAACTACAACATAACCTTGGAAGTAAGGCTGATCAACATCCCTAACATAACTAAGCAATGCGGAGGAGGCATATGAGCCTAGCTTCCTTCCTTTTTTTCCATGAAAGATAGATAGAACATTACCGATCTATAGCGCGCCGCCGGCCTTCCGTCGGCCTTCCGTACTTTTTCCGTGAGCGAATCGCTTGATGTTCTCTTTTACGTTCAGATGCAGACATTGGTGTGTAGAGCTGATTTGCTTAGAAAGACCAAGCTTTTGTCATCAAATTGGTGAGGCGTGCTACAGCATAGGTATCATTGGATATATTTGCCGATTTACTTCGATGTACGAAGTATATTGTACGGAGTAGATACAACATGTCATTCCCATAGAACGGCAAGTTCAACAAATAATGACATAAGCAGACCGTATCGGGCAGGCGGCCCCACCAACCTGGCAGAAAAAGGCAGACGATAAGACGCGCAGCTGCAATACTTTGACCTAGCTCCGCAACTTTCATTCGTACAACGCACATCTCAGTCATGGCAAAGGGGCCATTGGAGACCAAGCTCAAATTTGAGAAAAAGAACAAAGATCTTATCAGACTACCAAAACGTCAGCCTTCCTATCCGAACGCCTAGGGTCGATGACCAATGCTAGAAACAAAAGATCACATGCGCTGACTTTTGGACCACAGATGCCAAGATAGAAAAGCGCCCTATACCTCATGCACCAGTCGCCTCCCCGTATGCCGGTGCCTCAGTGCCCAAGATTGTCTATGTTTCTAAGACGACGCCGTTCATGAGCGCCGTCAAGCGTGTCCAGAAAATCCTCCTGCAGGCCGAGAAGCGTGCTACTGCAAATATCAACCTTGAGGACACGCGCAAGAGCGAGAAGCAGATACTCGAGGAGCTGTCAAAGGTGTCAGAGAAGCGAGAGGAAGTCTTTGTGAAGGCGACAGGACGAGCTATTGAGAAGGCGCTAAACGTCGCTAAATGGTTTGAAGAAAAAGGAACCGAGTACACAGTCCGTGTAAATACCGGGAGTGTGGTTGTCGTGGATGATATCGTTGAGGATGAAGAAATGAAAGCGAAAGAGGAACAGAAACGACAACGGCAGGAAGAGCAAACCCCAACTGACCAGGGAGATTCGGCTTCTAAGCCGGAATCCAAGTCGGCTGCAAAGAAGAGGAAACTTCAGGCTGCCGCAGCGGAAGATGACGCCGAGCTCCCTGAGAGCCGGACTAGATGGATCAAAATGGTTGAGGTCGCCGTCAGCCTCAAGTGATTTCACCTACGATCAATTCGACAAAAACTCCTACGATAGCTGGTTATCCAATTGCCGACCATCGTTGGCTGATCTGAGGGTAGTGGGCTGCAGCATTCCACATCTATGGCAGGGAAAAAGGCCATTGTCATGAGCCTGGGGCCGAGCCCAGAATTTCCACCTAGAGCTTTGGGCACACGCACAAATCACTGAATCACTATGATTCAATTGGAACGCCCATGGTGGCTATACACAACATAGTAACTGAGCGCAGACGACTTTTATCCTGAGTGCCTGTTCTGGGATGTTGCTGGTGGAAGCAGTCAAACCTCAAGTCCTCATTTGAGGGTGGGTGTCCTCTTACCACCCTTCGTCACATGCATATACCCAGTACCAAATGCTCTACAGGTGCAATATCCACGTGACAGAAGCCCGGAAGGCCTTTGAGCAGGATTAGAAAAGGAACAATTCGTTTGCCCTTGGGTTGTAAGCCTAGCACAAAATCATGTACATCGAGATTGTCCTTAAATGAACTCTGATTTACCCAGAGCGCACGCTTCACCCGACCTCAAAACCAACCCAACGCGTTGTAGATGCTGGACAGAGTTGTATCAATGAGGAAAGAGAGAGACAGGACTATAGAGTAATAATAACAGCACTACTCCAATCAAGAAAGAGTTTTAAAGAGGGAGCCTGAATCATCGAATCTGCCAGCGAAATGAAAATGGCATCAATAAAAAACGAAATAGTACGAATAAAAACTCCTTGGTACGCTCACAAAGTCCTGTGCTGACATGACATGATGAATGATAATGCCTGAGAACCCTTCATCGAACGGAACGTTTTAAAGAGAGGCTGCAACTCATGAACGTATCCTTATTTTCCCCATCATGTACAGACAAAAGAGAAAGAGGTTTGTCGATCCCCGAGGGGGCGACAGGCTAATAGTAACATAGTAGGAAGTAGAAGAAAAACAACGAGAAAGGAGATGAGAAGAAAGAGGGGGAGGAACGGACATCGAAAAAGACGACCAAGAAGGAGATCACGGAGGAATCTCGAGAAAGTCATCAAAAAATTCGTGAAATAAGAGAGACAGTGTGGGCTGAAAGGGAAAGGCTCCGAATATGAAGGCAAAAAAATGATCCTCAACCGAGAGGGGAGCGAGCAACCAGAACATTCATCGCCAGAAAGTCGTGACTGGCGAAAACTGAAATCTGATGAGAAAGGTAGGAGACATAGTTAAACAATGCAAAGGGCCTATGCAATAGAATAGCCGTCAAAAGAACATGAAGCCTGAGTAGTAGCATGCGAGGCCAAGCTGGGTCAAATGTTCATTTGTCCATCTTTTGCCAACCGTTGAGATAGGCCATCAGGCCTACTCCTAATAAGACCACGCCAAACATGGACGCGTAAGGACTTGCTTCTTCCACATAGTTGCGTTGATAGCGTTGTGTTGCAAAAGCTGTGGTTGCAGCGGCGGTATCCACGTCCTTGTTCTGAGAGGTAACCGGATCGGAGCTCTGCATCGACGGAGTGTTCAACTTGGAATCCTTCAAAGTTTCATCGCGTGCAAGCAAGTGTTCCGACAAGCCATTACTCGGCTTGCTATCATGCGTATCGGTTTTCTTCTCATGCGCCGTCGCTAGTTCTTTTTCAGCGCGTTCCTGGCGCAATGTTTCAATCATTTCGCTCAGGGACTTGCGAGATTCCGAGCTCTCATCTTCGGCCTTCTCGGCGCGATCTTTAAAGGATGCCATTTGCTTCCTCATCTCTGCCATCTCCTCCATCATGTTTTCCAATCGAGTCTGAAGTTCAGCAGTCTTATCCTCGACAAAAGCCTCTGCCTGGCTGTCTTCGGGAGCAGGAGTCTCCGAAGGATGGATACCGTTGACCTGCACGGTTGCTTCCGTATTGCTTTGCTCTTTCTCTGAAAGTGGAACAATTCCGTTGTCGGGTTCAACTTCTCTGACATCCAATGCGGAGCGCATCTCCAATTCATTGACTTTGTCTTCTGCCAATTTTCGAGCAGCCTGCTCCTGGAACAGCAAACTTTCGAGTTCCTTGACACGTGTGCCATGGGTTTCAATCTCTCGCTTGGCAGAAGATAGCGCCTCAATGAGATTCAAGATCTGACTGGAATCGCGCGAGACAGGGGAACCTGTACCACTCTTGGGCTTTTCCGTATCGCTGCGTTTCAGTGGCGAGAAAGACTCCGAGGCGCTTCGTGATAACGCATCGGGTTTCTCTGGCAGAGGTTGTTGAGGAGGAGGAGCGGGAGGATCCGAGAATCTTGAGAAGGAGTCGACTCGAGGCATTTTAGGCCGGCCGTTGATCTGGCGATGAGCACTGTTCTCCAAAGGAGTGGGCTTAGTGAGCTTTTCTTTCTCTGCATAGCCAGGTTTCATGATCGTCGTCAAAAATTCATCTGCTTGAGAAAGATCTGTTGTTTGTTGCTTTGCAGATTTCAGTTCGCCCTATAACAAGTTAGCAATATGTAGTATTCAAATAAGGTGTGAATCGCACCGTAAGCCGCTTGACGACCTGTTCAATGGAAATTGGCGAGTTCCAGTAGTTCATTTGCCGTTGCTGATGTAAAGCATTGAGCTGGTTACTGGTAACACTCTGAGCACTTCTGCTACTCGCGTTGCTGCCGGCTCGACCACGCATATGAGAAAGCGGTTGACTCAGGGGGAAGGGAGAAGACCGCCCCCGGAGGCAGGATCCAAGTCTCCGAAATTCAGATCAAGGATATTGGGGGTAGTTCCATAGGTTCCGGCATGCTCAACCTTAGATGAGACTTTGTGATGGACGATTGTGGATTGATCCTCGCTGACAATATCGATACCCAGCTCTAGGGTATCAGTTTCTCGCAGTTCGTGCGGCTCTGACTCCCGGTTCTCAGGAGACAGCCGGTGGCCGTTCACAAATGTGCCGTTTGAGGATTTGACATCTCGAATCCAGACTTTGCCAGACTTATCGGCCCACACCTCCGCATGCTGCCGAGAGAGAACTTTAGAGTCAAAAAATCCATTGAGAGGCGTAGGCACTGTTTTGGCGTTTGTTTGTCGTCCAATTCGGAGGACCTCGGGGTAGTATGGTACATTGATCTGTTTCCTGTCAAAGGTGCCGTTCAATGGCAGTAGAACCAAAATTGCCGGGTTGTCCGATGGCGGACCAATTGGCGCACGGACGCCATTCTGCTGTGATAATTGAGGCATCTGTTGCGATGGGACAATGTTCGAAGGCTGATGCATTGCGGACATTGTCGATGATGCACTGGGTCCCGACGAGAAAGCAGGCACTGCCTGGGATCGCGCGTTCGTTACCCCTGATACCGGCTCGGATTTCGAGCTAGGCCAAATATTCTTTGAATACTTTTTTTTTGATGATGACCAAGTCTCTGATTCGCTGGCGGAACTCTGCGCGGCATGTGTATCTTGAGAAGAGGTGTTCACAGTAGACGTGGAAGTGGTCGAAGAGTTCGACCCCAGAGAAGAAGAGGAGTTTGAGCGTTGAACGTGTTTCCGTGGCATGAACATCCGCGACACGTCGTCTGCGTTCACTGAAGACAAAGCTCCTTCTCCTCCGCTGTTAGAGCTGTACCATCCCAGACGAGACCCCGATTCGACGCTAGGTGGAGATGCCACAGCAGTCATGGAGAAGGATGCGAATGGTTCAAGGAAATGGGATATCTAGACGGAGCACGGAGCGCGTCGACGGTTCCGGATTGTAAAAGGGGAAAGGGGCCGTATTCCGAGATAGTCTGAAGGATAGAAAAAGGACGCCTAGTAATGTTGATTTTATGTCCAAGGGTTGGGAATATTGAATGCGCGCAAGGGTGATTGGAGCTTTAGTTGACTAAAATGAAGACGGTCGCGTTAGTGCTGTTTGGGGGAGAGACAAATATAACTTGGCTCCTAGGTCGAGGGAAGACCTCGACCCCACAAAAAAAGGTTTGTATATAGAAAATAAGGAGTGAACTCACTTCTGAATTGTGAACTGAGAAATATTGAGGAATGAGTAAAATAGGCGCTTCAAGATCAAGGAGGTGTATGGAGAGGGCCAGAAACCGTGAGCGACCGGTCTCACGCCAGGGCAATGATAGAAGCACAAGACGGGACTGCCGCCTCCGCGCAGGCTTCAGGCAGCCCTTTAGAAGATGTAACGAAAAAGAAATCAAAGATCGGGGATAGATGCCATGAGGGAACCCAGGCAAGAGCGCAGGGCCATTTCGTTTCCTACTCCCTTGACGCCGCCAGGCAAAATAGGTCACGTGCGAAGTCGGCACGTGTGCACTTTAAAGTCCGTCGACTCACGTGATGATCAAGGCGGAGAAGCATCAAGCCGGGGAGGAAAAAGAGCTCGTTCCTTGACTTTCACTTCGGGATCTCTCATTCAGCTCATAGCTGCTACCTGCTATTTTAATTTGATTTACAAGCTTTTTGTTAGCTTCTCATAATGCCTGTGGTTGCTGGACCTCCCGCCCAAGCGGGCCCAGGGGGTGCTCCCTCAACATTCGACAAGAGTATGTCCTCTACAACCCAGTGATGTAGATCACACCGCGCTTGATTCTTTGAGGTGTGATATTCATGTGGATTCAATGTGCTGACAGACTATTAGTGAAAATGGGCTGCATGATGGGTTCCAGTATGTGACCGCAAACCCACCGAGCCTTTTATCACCAAGAGCTTTTGCTAACATAGCTCTCCTCACAGCTGTTGGTGGCATCATGGGCTTCATTATTGGTTTGACCCACTCAGTTCCAAAAATAAAGAAGGATCGGATAAGCTAACACAGGGCAGGAACTGTTACAATCTTCCAGTACGGTGCTGGCCCCAACGGTGTCATGCGGACTTTGGGCAAGTACATGCTGGGTTCAGGTGCCACTTTCGGGTATGGTTGACTCTTTAGGCTTGGAAGCTGTACTGTTTTGGTTGAGAATCACTAGCTAATCAAATTTCTCTCAAATAGACTCTTCATGTCCATCGGTAGTGTCATTCGCTCTGAAGGACCTCGCAACGATGCCTGGCTCCGTGCTCGAGGACCCCCGATGATGCTCCCCCGACAGAACCCCCTCCGGCCCATGCGCCAGTGAACACAATCTTTCTCGCAGTCTCAAGACTATATTCGAGAAACATGCGACATGACCACACCCTGGCGACGTCCCTTGTACGATATAACCTCTATGGTTAAGAGATACTTTTTCAGGTGGTTTCAGGAGACAGGACAACCACTGAAAGATGGCTGTGACAGACAGGTTCATGGGTACCTGTTACTTCAGCACGCGATGTACATAATCTAGCAGTACCCAGAACATGGATATCAAAGTTCAATTGTCTCAGTTGTTCCAACCATGTTAGGCGTTCTTGTGATAATATATCCCTCTTTTTTTTTTTTTTTTGCGGCTTTCCACAATCCAAGTCCTATCATTGGAACGGCACTCCCCTGCTTGTGAATCAGCCCAGCGATATACTTCGCTATTATCGGGAAGCTGTATCCAGCTTAAAGGGAGATATATTACTCTGTACCAGGCCAAAGATCCTTGTGTATGATTTAGTCTGACTATGGTACCTTCAAAGTTGTGGCAATCAATCTGGTTGGTTCTGAGCATGGCTACTTTGATCAAGCTTTGAATAAAGGCGCCGATTGTCTTGGATGACTGAGGTGCCTATTTTGTTTCAGACCTGGCTTTGAAGGTGCGGCTCAAATGTAAACCTGGGGTCAACTTCAATGCTCACGCTAAATAACATTTCAACTTTCGTCTAAGCCTAGATATACTCAACTTCCTTATCTATAGTGACATGTTATTTTCTACCTTGCCTAGTCTACCTTGCCTAGAGCATAGTCACCAAGCTATGAAAACATACTCGGTCACTTTCTAGAGGATCTCAAGTCGTAAGTTGCCACGCAGTACGGGGTACCGGCGATTCATTTCTGTTTGTTTCCGTGTTTGTCCGGTGGACTCCGAATGTAGATGCGGACATATTGGATTGCTCTTCTAACTGCACTCGGGGAGTTCAGATATTTAATCCCAGATTATCCAAGTTGGGAACTATGCTATTTGGCTGGACATGTGCAGACGGGTATGTACCATCAGAGTATGGGCAACGGAGGCGATTGGATGGCACAAGTACGGTCGCAGTATGAGAATAGCCTGAGGATGACTACTCCGTACAGTGTTATTCATAATCATCAGCTTTATTACTTCATTGCTCATCCCGAAAAAGCCACTGAAAATACAGTCAGCCCCCTTATACTCCGTATGTTTGTCCACTGTACCAAGTACAATGTGAGTAGCAAGGCATGTCTACACACTCGCCAATCAAAGCGCAACAAACGGAGTAAGGAGCATCGACCTACGGTGTGAGCGGCTGGATTCTAGTTCGATCCGCAGATTACCCAATAATGCATACTTTTTTGCTCCAGGTCTAAGATCAGAATCCATTTTTGTTTCGATAGGCGCTAGGACACCAGCCCCCTGGCACAGCCAACTTGAGATGCGCATGATTGACAGCTCCATCCAATGAGGAATCACTCGGCCAACACCCCAAGGTTCTTGATATAAGCCCCGGAGTTGAGCCTCAAAATTAGGGAATATATAAGAAACCACGTCTGCTAGGGGTAGTTCTTTAAGCCTTCCCAACTTCCCATCATGACTACTCAGCTAGCATCTCGGGCCCTTCATAATAGCTGTACTTTGATATCAAGCCTCTACATTGTCATCTGCATTTTATTTAATCCGGTAAAGCAAAGAAAGTCTCGCAAACGCCGCAGGGGACCTCGAGTCATCTTAACTACCTTGGTCATTTTCACATATGTCAGTCAAACAGTTCTCAAATTCATCACCGATGACTTGGACAGCTCTCAGCCGTTCCTTGTGCATATGACCTCTCAAGCGGTTGTATGGACTGCACTTTGGCTACGACAAAATCCTTCCAAGTACGAAGTGGCTGGAGTCTCGTTGGTCACCGCTGGTTTTGAAGTTCCACTCCTTGCGCTCTCCTTGTATCGCAAACCGAGACAGTGGGTACCAATCACGCAGATCACATTCTCCGCAGTCCGGCTTGCCCTGCTGATCTTTGTGACGGCTGCGATCCTATCTGAAACCAGACAGAGGAAGAAAAAGACATCGGAGGAGTCGCGCCCCTTCTTAAATGGTAATCACACAGGATATGGTGCAGCGAATGGCAATGAGTCAGACAATAGCAGTGTGGATTCCAAGAGCGAGAGCGACTCGGACACAGACAAAAATAAGAATGATGCTGCTACACGCAGAAAAAGACTCCGCAATGGGAAGTTGCAGTCGCTTGGGGGCTGGTGGGATTATCTGAAAGGTTTCTCGATCTTTCTGCCCTATCTGATCCCCAGAAAGAATCGCAAAGTGCAGCTCTGTATTGCTACCAGCATTTTCTGTCTAGTATGCCACCGAGCTCTGAATATTCTCATTCCTCAGCAACTTGCAGATGTGACCGATAGCATCTTTGCCAACAAAACCCCATATGCTTCACTAGGAAAATGGGCGCTGCTGCAGCTCATTCGTGGGGGAGCTGGGCTAGGACTGATTGAGGCCCTCGTCAAGATTCCGATCAGGCAGTTCTCTTACCGTCAGATCACCAATGCTGCCTTCAGTCATGTCATGAATCTATCAATGGATTTCCATATCGAGAATGACTCGGCAGAAGTGATGAAGTCCATCGATCAAGGTGGAGCGCTGAACAATCTGTTAGAAGTTGCCATTCTAGATATCATCCCGACAGTGGCTGACCTGGCTATTGCATGTGTTGTTTTTTATTTAAAGTTCAATGCCTATGCCTCCCTTTTGGTGGTGATAGTATCTATTGCTTACGTTGCGGCCGAGGTCTTCACCTCTAACTGGAACATGGACGCCAGACGTGAAGTCACACAGACACAGCGAAACGAAACTCGCATTATGCATCAGGCCGTGCAAGGCTGGCAGACAGTCACATACTTCAATCAGTTCTCGTATGAAAGGTCTCGCTTTGGAGAAGCAGTGGACCTATGCTTGAAAGCTAGCGCCCGTTTTGGACAACGCCGAGCAATCGGCAAATCACTCCTAGATTTACTCAAGCCAATTTGTTTCGTTGGTCTCTCTTCGCTCATTGTACACGAGATCTCCGTGGGCCGTTCTTCGACGGGAGACTTTGTTTTCTTCATTCAGTATTGGTCATCACTCATCTCTCCTTTGGCCTACCTCTCCGCACAATATCGTTGGCTTGTCTCTGATCTAGTCGATGCCGAGCGACTACTCTTCCTGTTCCAATCCAAGCCCAGCGTCAATGACAGGGAAAATGCTATGCCACTGAAATCTGGCGATGGCCACGTTTCATTTCATCATGTTGACTTTGCCTATGATACGCGGCTAAAGACCCTCAAGGATGTGGATATATCTATTGAACCCGGGACAACGGTTGCACTAGTTGGTATGACTGGTTCTGGGAAGACAACAATTCTCAGACTTCTTCTTCGACTATACGATGTTACTTCGGGCCAAATCAAGATCGACGGCCAAGATATCCGTGACGTAACCCTCAGCTCGCTACGACAGACTATCGGCGTCGTCCCACAAGATCCCGTCTTGTTTAATGCGTCTATCATCGAGAATTTGCGTTATGCCCGGCCCTCAGCCTCGGACGAAGAGGTCCACGCAGCATGCCGCGCCGCAGCTATTCACGAGAAAATCCTCACTTTCGTTGATGGATACAACACCACAGTCGGAGAGCAGGGTGTCAAGCTGTCGGGTGGTGAACTACAGCGCATAGCCATTGCTCGGGTTTTCCTTAAGAAGTCCCCTATTCTTCTATTAGACGAAGCAACGAGCGCCGTAGACTCGAACACGGAATCGGATATCCAGGTTGCGCTGGATCGATTGAGAACCAAGCGAACTACCTTTGTGATTGCGCATCGGCTTTCGACTATTTCCAGCGCCGATCGCATCCTTGTTGTGCATGAGGGACAGATAGTGGAGAGCGGGTCACACCACGAGCTGCTGAAGAAGGAGGGTGGAAGATATCAGAACCTCTGGCAGAACCAGTTCGGGGGGATCAATGGTGGAAAGCCCGCGCTGTAGGCAAGAAACTGGAATAGTTCGAGATCATAGGACTGGGACGATATTTTAAAAGAATCGCAAATAATGAAATTGACACTTTTGATATTCTTGGGCTTTCAAAATTACATACAATCTTTACTTATAATGCTAGAGCGTATAGAATCATTACATATTCCATGAAAGACCAAGCGGTACCAGTAATTCCCAGCTCCTTAAGAGCACAAACCCTCCCCGAGAAACATCATGTTTTTGTCCAGTCCCGGTGTGATCGTCATCTTGCCTGTGGTCATCTTTAGCATACAAATGTGGATTTCAGTTGAAGGTCGCGCTGTAATTGACTGCGCTATATGAGTCTCATAATATATCTAGACAATGACAGATATCTCCAGAGACAACCATGATGTGTATTGGCCTGGATGCAGCTAAGAGTATAGCATTTTATGGATCAATGAAATGGCGATGAGTACCAATATATATCTCCCATCCAGCCCTTACAACATCGCTCTCAAAAACTACCATTTTCTCGGCATAGATATATAACCAAGGCTGGATAACCACTGTCCTTTCTTTCATATGAAATTCATGGTCGAAGTCATGTGCGAGATTTGATTGCCATCAAAATTTGATCAAAGTCCATGCGCGAAGGGAAATTCCCCCTTAAGGCCTTGCCAAGTACTCATGGATGAATCAAGAAGGTATACACAGATACCCTTGTACATGGCATTGTGAAGAGCTTAACGCACACACACTTCTATCCATACCCTTCATCTTGCTGAGACTGCTGAATCTCGCTCTGGGCTTTATGCATTGCAGGCGTCGTGACAGGGCATAACCAGGAGTGGACGGGCCCATAGCATAATTTATGTGGAGTACGAGTATCAAGTAGGGAGTAGACTAGTAGCAAGTAGGAAATTGTCCCAGCAACTGAGATGAATACGAGTACATGACCTAGTACGAAATCGATTCCATTGTATTCTTTAAAGACAAGAACCTTCAAACCTCTTGCCCTACTGTCAGTATCTAGCACTGGAGACCCTGACCATTCAATCGCCTAATCGCACTTGTTTTGGGCTACTCCGGACAATACAATCTCATTGCACGAAAAGTAAGATTAGATTGAGCACAAGCCACAAAGAAATAAGAGAGAGGCCTTTTCTACTTGGTTTTCATTGCCCCCTTCTCTTTTTCCCTGATCCAATGATCTTAGACAGATGACTATGGAGTGCTGACTATGGTATTCAGACCATGGTATTCAGACTATGGAGTGAATGAGGATCTTGAGTTTCCAATTGACACGGAGTATAGCTCGTATCGTGAGGTTCGTGTTCAAAGTGGACACGGAGAACATAGGGCTTTGCGAGCCCAAAGAGTGCAGAGCCCCTGAAAAAGACCCCTCTTTCAACATATTCATACCAACACATAGACTCCGGATTAATGTTTTCACTAAAATGTACTCCGTACGAAGTACTCTGATGATATTATGAATACAAATGACAGAGAACCTTTGAACAACATGGAATGACTCACCATTCCTTCCTGAGCGGACCCTCACACTATGGAGTAGAGATGCCCAACACAGTAGGCCCGAGCGCTGATCAGTTCATCTTTAGGTACCTGAATGGAACTATGGAAGCGATCTACAAAACCTTATAGAGTACAACATGTAGCAAAAGAGCCTTTTCCTGATAGTGTGGGAACCGGAAATTGAGGCATATCTCAATCTCGGCTAACGGGGGAACCGGAATCACTTTACAAGGTAGAATGTAAGATCTAGATCAAAGTCAAATATTCCATAGAATGTCTGTTATTGTTATGTTTAAGATTAACCGAATCACCAATCGTTGTTCCTGCACATGACGCCAGGGGCACGGAACTGACGGAAGCCTCCGTGAGGGAGAGTGAACACCTGCAGTAGTGCATGATGCCCAGCGAGAATCGTCATTCTATCACTCTAGGGGTAATAAGACAAAATGAGGTAAAATTAGCCCGTCCAAATAGAAGACGGAGTATGGAGTACAGTCAACAAAGGCGCTTAGGGAAACACACAAGACCAACAACCTGTTCCACGATTGAAATTCCTCACTAGACTGGGATCGGGAAGTGCTGAAATTACACAAACTTATGGAGTAAACGTAGGCGAAGAATTCTCGTATTAGCTGCACTTGAGGGACACGGGGCGATGGGGCCAAAGGCGAACCTCCAAGCCTTTTCCGGCTATAATTCATTGGAATTAGAAAACTGATGGCAACGAACGTATGGCATACACCGCACGGAGTAGTAATCAACAAACTCTTACCCCTGGCGTCAAAAGTCTGTGCGGAAGACCCTTTGTTTTTAGGGCTCTGAAGGGTCATCGGTCTGAGATGGAGCCCAATGGTTAGTTCCAGGGTCCGCGTGTTTAAGGGGCCAATAGGAAGAGTATATTCCACTCGAAAATCAATAATAATCTAAGAAAACAAAAAGCAGAAGCGCCACAGCACTTCTTTGATGGACGAATCGCCCTGTTACCCCCATGTTGTGGACGACGTCCTCGTGCCTGGACTCTTATTAAGTCTGGGCTTGCCACATCCTGGTAAAATTTCTTTTTTTTTATTTCCCTTAGGCGCATTAGAGATTTTCTCGATACACTCATTTCACTCATTTTATACTCCTTGAGCAGTGCTCTACACGATCTTTACATCGAACATTTTTGCCGCTCACCTATTTGCGATCAAATTTGAAACACATCTATTCTATCCAAGATCCCATACTTCAAACGTTTCATAGCAAACCTTGAGACTCAACCTTGCTCCCTCTTCCATATATTCACTTCAAAAACGCCATGAAGTTCACTGCTATCATCGCCTCTCTCTGCCTGGTTGCGGCTCCATATGTGGCTGCAGAGGATACTGTTACCTCAACTGCAACCACGACCATCACCAAGACTCTGGTTCGCGTCAATTCAGTGACCCCCACTCCTAGTTCCACCGCAAGCTCCAAGGCAAGCAGCATGAGCACAGTCTCTGCTTCGACTTCAACTCCTCTGTCCAACGCCTCCTCCTCTACGTCTGCTGCCGCTGCTGCCACCTCGATCGGTGCTGCAGCCAACATTGGCGCTGGCATGCCGGCTGCTTTGGTTGCCGCTGGCTATATCGTTGTGATGATGGGCCAAGCCCTGTAATCACATTTGCAATCTCGCGACTCGCAAGAAAGCCCTCAAGCAGGCAACGATCATGAATTGAGGCCATTGTCAAGATTTAACACCGCGCTCAATTCATACTGCATCACGGCTGCCTTGTTGAATACCGTTCATCTACAGCAAAGCCGGGAGCTTATTTTTTTTTCTTTCTTTCCCCCTTCTTATACATAACATTTCTATTCCTCTCGGTTGGCTGAAGAACCCATTTTCGGAGAGGAAACGGTTTAACGCTTTTCAAATACCCCCATTTCTTTTTCTTTTTCTTTTTCATTTCATTATGACTTTTTGGACCGATATGAGTTGATGTTATTATTCTCTTCTTCAACCCCTGTTTCATTCAATTCGTTTGTCCATATACTTTGTCGTGGGTGACTTCTGAGTCGACTGATCTGGCTGAGATCCACTTGCATGTCAACTTTTGAGTCATCCACAGAATATAGACACTTCATTTCTTCTCTCCTTTGATATGTTGGACTTCCTGTAAACACCGATGTATACAACAGAGTAGAATAGAGAGCAGATCATGTCGATCTAACATTCCAGGGCGGGGACGCCATTCGTTCCGGGGTCAACTGATGCCCGTGCACGTGTGATCGGATCTTATCTTTTGATCTGATCTCTTTTTTCCAACATTCGAACGATTTCTTTTTCAGATATGACAGGTCTCTCAATTGATTCCAGATACTAAACCCTTATCTCCCCCAATCGCGCTATTAGCGCGTTTGTTGACCTATCCATCGCGGGTCTCCACAACGCGTCGCGCAACTCTGAACATCAGATAATCCTGTGTTTGAATAGAACCCCTAATGATCCAGGCCCAGAACGAGAGACTCGTCTGAACATCGCGAAATCGAAATCGCAATGGACAGCGAGATCCCCCTCCCACCGCCGCGGCGGATCCGGCATCGCTCACCCGCAACCGCGAACCCCTCAGCGACAGGCGCGGTGTTCTCCTCGTTCCAGCGCGCACAGCGACTGTCGCGCTTCGATGACCGCTCCAGTCAGCCATCCAGTGATCCTGCGCTCTTCTCCAGTGACGATATCCCCGCTTCTGGGTTGGAGAACTACCATGCGACGGTGTCAGGCGCGGGTCGCAAACGGCGGTATCGGGGGACCTGGTGGGGGGAGCAGGTGATAGATCCGAAGCGGAAAAGGGCTGACTTTAAAGACAAGAGGAATGTTGATAGTGGTGTGTGGATGGGGAGTGACGAGTCTGGTGCTGAGTCGCTTTTGCCGTCAGAGGATGGCTCGGCGTGGGGGGAAGACTTGCGCAAGTCTGTGCTTGATCCTAGAAAGCCTGGAAGCTCCACGCCTTTCATGAATGAAATAGAGAACACGCCTGCGCAGACTCGCGTGGTGTTTAGAAGTCCTGAAGAATCCGATGCTCATCGATTTGCGCGGGAGGTTGTCAGCGATTGTCTTGATAAGGGACATGAGAGCATTGATCTTGGGTATGTTCTGATTCCATCTGATGTTTTAATTCATCCGATATCCCTCTGATCCGAGTCAATGATACTAATGGCTTTTTTATCCTGCGCAGTGACTTCCATCTAAGAACTATACCATCCGGCCTCTTACGACCTTTACAACACCTAACGAAGCTTCCATCAGTCAAGGAAGCCCCGGTTTCAGAGAACGTCTTCACATCTCTGCAGCCGTTTCTTCACATATATCTCCCCAATAACTCCCTATCAACCCTGCACAACGATCTCTTCGAGCTCAGCAACATCAAAGTCCTCAGCTTGCGAAACAACAAGCTGACCGAAATCCCATCTACAGTCCGCAGACTGATAGCCCTGGAAGTCTTAAACCTTTCTGTCAACCAATTGACCTCTCTTCCTTGGGAGGTCCTCAAACTCATGCAGCAAGGCGAACTGAAACACCTGACCGTACGCCCGAACCCATTCCTTCCAATCGAAGAAGCGCAGATTGCAGAATGGCACTATAAACCGACCAATGAAAAGGAAATAGACAACGACGAGGACTCATCAGATGAGCAGTCATCTCCCTCGCTCCAATTCCAAGAGCAGGGATCTTCTCTCAACGAGGGCTGGACCCCTATCCACGTTGCAACAGGCCCGATCACTTATATGAATATGGAGGGCAATCCCATCAGAGACACTTTATCCCGCAACAGACCCACTCTCACACCATCGGAACTGGCATCTACTGTAAACAACGCCCCATCCCTGCGCGAACTCGCACTCCGTGCTGTGAGTAAGCTCCCCTACCTGGAGCAAACCACCGACGAAGAGCTGGCTGAGTATCCGGCGCTGATAGTGCCCTTGCTGCAACAAGCGAGGGAAGTGCGCGCTGCAGGTGGAAAGTCCTGCTCTGTTTGCCAGCGTGAGTATGTGATTCCCCGCACTGAATGGATGGAGTGGTGGGACTTTACCCCGTGTGAGAATGGGATGAAGATGCCTCGCTGTCCAGGTGAGAAGCTTCGACCTTTACCGTTCCGGCGGTTTGGTTGTAGCTTGTCGTGTGTGCCAGTGTGTTGAACATATCATTGATTTTTCTCTCCTTTGAGTGATGGGTTGTTTATTTCGGGGTTCACTTTGTGGGTATCTGGCTTGCATGTTTATATTGTGGTGCTGGGACCTTGTATTTTATTTTTCTGCCCGGGGTTTTATTGTATAGAATGATGACTATATCTAGTACCTTATCCTCTACTCCGTACCTAGCTATACTTCCCGTACTACAAGGATATAAATTCTTTAATGTCCGTGACTGCCTTAAATCCGCTCCTAAGTCCGAGGCTTGCAGTAGGAATGTGATATAAAAGAGCAGTGCTATCCTGGCATCATATCATCCTGAACCATAGATTATTTACAAGAAGACATCACAGAGTCAAACAAACAACACGACCCATCCATCATATATCACCCAACACCACTCACAAACCAACCATGGCAGAACAAGCCCCAACATTCACCAAACCCAACCGTCCCTTAACCTGGCTGATAACAGGCTGTTCCTCCGGCCTGGGCCTCTCACTAGCACGCGCAGCCCAATCAAACGGCCACATGGTACTCGCAACATCACGCCAACCTTCCCGCACCCCAGAGCTAGTGTCAGAGATTACCCATAACGGGGGCGAATGGTACCCACTAGACGTCGACAGCCCAACCGCAGCTTCTGAGCTGCTATCTACCCTCGATTCTGCAGGACATAAAATCGACGTGCTGGTCAATAATGCCGGATACGCGATTCTCGGGGCCGTCGAGCAATTCTCGGACGAGGAGGTGCGTGCACAGATGGAGACGGTGTATTTTGGACCGAGTCGGTTGATCCAAGCGATTGTGCCTGGGATGCGGGAGAGGCGGTTCGGAGTTGTTGTTAATGTTAGTTCTGGGGCTGGATTGGAGGGCAGGGAGCGGATGGGTGCTTATGCGGCTGCGAAGGCTGCTATGGATGGTATGTTCTTCTCATTCTTACCCTTCCTTCTTCTTCCTCGGTGTGTGTAATATGCCTCATTTTTTGACGTATATTGATGGTTATGTAGGTTTATGTAAAGTTCTCGCTAAAGAAGTTGCGCCTTTCAACGTCCGTCTTCTGACGGTGTGGTTGGGAGTGTTCAACACACAGTTTGGACGTGGATGTCTTTCTCCTGCTAAACCTTTACCGGCGGACTATGTTGGCTCTGAGGCCACGCAAATGATGGAGGCTATAAAGAGTGGTAAGCATGTTGCTGATGGTGATACGGATAAGGGTGCCAAGGTGATTTATGAAGTTGTCGTTGGTGAGGGCGTTGGTGTTGGGCGTGAGAATGAGGAATTCTTACCTCTGGGTCGAGATATGATCCCTCGCGTTGAATTGGTGCGTGATCGGTTGATTCATGCACTTGATGTGTTCGGGGATATTGCTGCGAATGTCTATATTGAGAAATGAGGCATTGGGTCTTAGTCTGGACAATGCTTTGCCAGTTCATCATTAAAGTGTGATTATATGGTTAAATTAATGGATTATAGTAATGACAAGTGCCAATTGAATCCATTCAGATATCCTTACCAAAAAACATAACATACAAGTTTTGAAAACGATTGACCCGCGGTATATCCCAGCCGCTTCAACAATGCTTGCAGGCGATTTGCAAGACCGCCGATCAGTCACCCAACGCCAAGCAGATTCAAATCATAAGAAAATCAAAACCATCGCTAAAACAGTATGCTTCGATACAAGGAGAGCAAATCCCACATGGAAAGAGGAGTGAAAAAAAAAAGAGAAGAAAGAGTGGATAGAATATAGATATTAGCGATTACGGTCCGCACGAGCCTGGTGCCATATCGTATCGCCACTCAGAGCGGAAAAGCTAAGAGTAGCCAGGTTTCGCCAGCTTGACTGTGGGGCAGAATTTGCATGGTCCCCAAGTAGACCTGCATTTTGTTCAGCATCCAAAGCATCGTCATTGATGCCTTCAATTTGCATTGGAGCAGAGGATGTGCTGCCTTGAGAAACCGACTGGGTGGACTGGACATCATCACTGGACTGCTCACGACGACCCTGAGAGTCACCGGATTGACAATGGGACAATGAGCGGACAACATCGCCTTTACAAATTGGGCAAGTTCGTCGACGAGTAGTCAACCAGGGAGTACTGAGAAAAGAGGTTAGTAGAATGTCAAAACAAAGACCGAGTTCTTTCATGTCACTTACATGCATTCCACATGGAATTCATGGCCACATGGCAATCTCATAACCCGGCTCAGACCATCGACATATTCCTCAAGACATACGACACACTCCACTTGTCTTCCTGTGTACTTGCGTCGCCACAACGTAGATCCGTTTTGCATATTGCACTTCTCTTCCTTCGGCGAGGCAGATGAGTCTAGCATAGTGCCCGAAAAGGTTTGTGAACGTGATCTATTTGATCGGGATGCGCTAGGCCGGCTTTCATTGCCAAGGAGTGGGGAAGTCGGAGAGAGAGGACCGGGACTAGGGGGACGAGTTGAGTTGGAAGACGATGAAGAAGTGGTAGCAATTGTATGGTATGTTCGAACAGGAAGTCGTTCTATAACCGACTTCGGGGCACGCCAGCGACGACGACGGATTCGGGACCGGAGCAGCAAAAGAGCATAAACCACCGTCAGCGTGAGTAGTGGACTGACGACAAGGACCAATAGAGTATCGAAAAAGGGACTAGTGGACATGCTGGTAGGCGTCATGGTAACCCAAAGGCCTTCGTGCTCGGAAGTCTCCCCGCCTAGATGGCTCGATGAGTGAGGGCTATTTTGCATTTTCTGGTTCGATGCTGTGTTTTTCTGGAGTGAGGGCGACAAAGAAGGTTGAGGGTTTTGATGAGTATTGTCTCCCCATCCAAAGTGACTCGAGAACCAGCCCTTCGTGGAAGATTCAGGCTTCCCATAACTTCCGATGGAACCTTTGTTGGATCCCTTGAGGCGCGTGTCATGAGAACTAGCACTGGATTTATCGATGCTTTGGTATTCTCCACTTCCTGGTGTAATGCTACCACCCGGAAGACCATTAGGCGAGGAAGCAGTATCTTTATCCGCACTGGCAGCCTTGGAGGTGTCCTTGCCAGTTACAGAGGTGCTAGCTGTCGGGGACGCGGTACTCTTGGGGGGGCATCAAGTCGGGATCTCTCCAATCCTGAACCCCGATGACAAAGTCATCATCCTCAAAACTTTCAGGGGACATATCAGCCTTGTGGCTGTCGAATGTGTCACCCTTGGTCCGACCACGATTATTGAGATCCGTTGATCTCTTTCGGGCGTTTGAAGGGTCTTCTTTTTCATGCCATGAACCAGGGTTGATCCAGTCAATGTTGCCGCTGCTGGGCGGACGTCGGCTGTCTTCCAGATGCCGCGAACCTCCATTCTTATCGCACAACCCCAGAAATGCACCAATTGCGCGGAAAATCCCGCCATTCGAGTGAGACGTAGGTGCAGGTCTGTCTTTGGTTGTTGAATGACTGCTGGCAGTCGGAGTTGGAATAGTTGTTGCTGTGGTAGTTACCACCCGTTCTTTGTCGGCATCAGCTTGTCCTGCCAACTTTGCTTGTGAAGATTTGAACACGTCGCCCAAGCCGGCAGTTCCACTGGCATGTCCGGGAACCAATGACGATAAAAGATGAGCGGTAGTGTAGGATGTGAACAATGCCGGTATCGTGACATTCGATGTGTCGCCTCGTGCGTACATAGTGACCAAGTTGCCACCTCGAGTATCGTCGCCGACAATCAAAGCAACACCTCCTCGTCGTTGGGCCCACTTTGCCTTCTCCAAAAACCCACAGCCACCTCGACTCAACAGCACCACCTTACCCTGTATTTCGGCAGTTTCCTGTAGCGATTGGATGTCGGCATGCGCAGGTGGCTTGTTTTGGACGTTGTCTCCATACTTCTGATTTATCTCAGGAAGTGAATGATGTAGATGATCGTCGGTGCCATCGTTCGTCAAGGGTGGGTGGGCTGGATCATCTCTATCGTTTTGAGGTGTGGTATCGGCCTGCGACACCGACCGCGGGCGGTTTGATAATTGATCATTCCTTGTACTACCTCCGGAAATTCTGGAACTCTGTTCCGCGCTCCTGGAGGTTTTGTCTTGCTTCTTATGGTTGGCGCCCTCACCCCAACCGGGAATATCGGAGCAGCCTAGTTCCCCTGTCATACTAGCTAATCCACCCTCACCAAAGCCACTTCCCACCCATAACTGACCGCTGAGGCCTTTTGTTGGAAGCAGCGGGCCAAATGCCGCTGGCCGGGCGAGGAAGAAAGTCGAGTTGTCATCAGTGAGACTAATAATGGCCGACGGAGGGAAAAGGGATGATGGTATGTTGAAAGAAAATAAAGCGCGCAGCCCAGTTGTCTGACCAGCGAGTGTATTGGGCGTTGCTACGTTGGGCGATGTGAGGGCGGAAAAGAAGGTGAGGAGAATCGGAAAGAAGATTAGGCAGAAGAGGACGATGAGCAAGCGTGGCGGTCGCATGTCTCTGATATATGATTCAAACCACTTAAATTGAAAAACGACTTGGCCGGAGATATCTAATCACAGCAAGGACGGGTGGATCGAGTGAATGATTGACGATGCCAGCGGCTCCGCTGGACCACAGTACTTTCGGGTGGGCTCTTTACGACCAATCCAACGGTTGGCGGCAGACTAGCAGGCCGCCACTCATCGAGTGCAATGAGCAGCACCACGGCTGGTTGAAGGAAGTCGACAGATTACAGCCAACGTAAGCGCGGGGGAAGTCAAAGCGAGGGAGAGGAGAAGAGAGACGGGAGTTCGAGTGAAGTCAGTCAGATGTAGAAGGAGAAGTGAACTCATGATATGGATTATCTAACCCCGGGTCGGCAGGTGACGGCATGCCCGCCGTGTCATGTGTTTGAAGCCTGAGGCATTATATTGGCATTGATGCCTCGAATCACATGACGCTCTTAAGTAGCTGTAACATACATCCATGGATTGGAGAACGACATTGGAACAGCCACAATTTTAGAGCTTGAATGGATGCTATGGCGGATTATCTAACCACTTGTATAGTTCACTTCCCAATTTTGTTTTCAACCAAGTATCATATGCTTGTAGGTGGAATGATGCAATATTTGCTGAAATAAAGATTCCATACTGGCTGAAACACACAAACTCCAGTAGTATGAGAGCGGAATGAGAATTTAAGACATTAACAAATTCTGTAACTCATACCATGTCATCTTATGATAACAAGACAGTAATGCCTCTCGGACCTTAGAATCTCGCAATAACATGCATATATTATTTGATATATAAAGTTGAGATTTCCGAGGTTCTCGCCCAGAGCTACCGCCGATCATGCCATCACTGCTAGGCAGCTACGTAATCCACCGCCTTTTCGATTTTTGATTCACGTTAACGTAGTATGTATCCGTATATGAGACTATTGTAATAACCGATCGAATCATATATGTGCATATACCCTGCAATAGGGAATATGATATCAAAGGATATCAAAGGATATCCAGCATACACCCGTAAGATATTTTTGGACATCGATAAAGCTTGGCCCACTTACCGTATAGGGATTAGCGTAGTAATCTACCCCTTGGGGCATCTATGACGTATGCTAACCTAAAAGGACATAGTACTCCGTACAGATATTGGAATCATTTGCAATGTCTCTGTGCATATGCTTACTGTTTCGATCGGAGTAAAAGAGCCAAGGACTCAACAATGAACACAAAGTGATATTCGACTGATAGCTTCATTTCCCTTGCCCACATAATGCTTCGGAGAATTAACACTCGTGGAACCCAGATGTGGGAACCCACTTATGTAACATGAAATTCCAGCCCTGCAGCCCTTGGGTCGATGGATCTACAAGATATCCTTGCAAGTAGCTGGCTCAAGTGGCGTTTTTGGTTTTGCAGATCCGGAACATGACGATTAATGACATTGATATAGCTCTCGTTTTCAGCCAAGAATTCGCATCTGTATGTGGAAACCCGTTTGGAACGTCATGACAACCTTGAATGGGGCCGTCGGAGAGCTCCCGTCCATGTTTCACCGGGGATTGTACTCGTGGAACCCCCGCGTTATGGCGTCACTCAGTCTCCGCAAGGATTATTCTAAGTACAAGCAAAGACAAGCATATATAAACTCCCTACCGAATGCACTTTGGTCTTCTCTTCTTCCATACAAAAACATCTGACTTCGATATCTTCACTATCATCACTATCTCCAACCAACTTTACCAAAGCATAATTTCCACCCATCATGTCAAGCATTATCCACAAGGTCAAGGACGCCGTGACCGGCCATCATGATAAGCAGGCCACCCATGACTCTTCCAAGGCATCCAACAAGATTGATGGTTCGTTCTTCTTCAAGAGACATCGTACGCCGTGATACTAACAGGACTTGTTACTCATATAGATGCCCAGGATAGTTACAGATCCTCAAACAACACCACAGACAACAGCAAATACACTTCTACTAGTGGAGGTAACAACACCAACACTTACGGCTCTGGCTCTGGCCCTGGCTACGAGACCACATCCACTACCGGCGCGGGAGGCTACGGCTCTGGGGCGACCACTGGCTCTACCACTGGCCACGGCCATAGCTCTGGCACTGGCACTGGTCTAAACTCTGGCTCCGGCTATGAGAATACACCCACCACCGGTGCTGGAGGTTACGGCTCCGGGGCGACCACTGGCTCTACCACTGGCCACGGCCACAGCTCTGGTACTGGTGGCCTCAACTCTGGCTCCGGCTATGAGACCGGTACCTCGACTGGAGCTGGCAACTACGGCACTGGTAGCACTGGTCACGGTGCCCACAGCTCTGGCACCATCCATGACGCCCGCAAGGGCCCAATTGATGTCGGCCCCGGCTCGGGAACATCCGGCAATTACGGATCCAACACTGGATCCAGCACCATTAATGCTGGCCCCCATGACTCTAAGTTAGCCAACAAGGCCGACCCCCGCGTCGATAGCGACCTCGACCACCGCGGCTCCAGCAACCCCTTGTCTGGCAACAGAGAAACCTACGGCAGCAACACCTCGGGCCGTTCTACTGGAGAGACCGGTTATGGCTCCAGCAATCCTCTGTCGAGCAGCACCACCGGCCACTCCGCTGGTCACTCCTCTGGACAGACTGGCTACGGCTCCAGCAACCCCCTCTCTAGCAACACAACCAGCCACAGTACTGGACAGACTGGTTATGGCTCCAGCAACCCTCTGACCGGTAGCGATAACTACGGTAGCTCCACCGGTCACTCCACTGGGCAGACTGGCTATGGCTCCAGCAATCCTCTGTCGAGCGGCACTACTGGTCACTCCACCGGACAGTCTAGCTATGAGTCCAGCAACCCTCTGTCGAGCGGCACTACTGGTCACTCCGCTGGTCACTCTTCTGGACAGACTGGCTACGGCTCCAGCAACCCCCTCTCTAGCAACACAACCAGCCACACTACTGGACAGACTGGCTATGGCTCCAGCAACCCTCTATCTGGTAGCGACAACTATGGCAGCTCCACCGGTCACTCCACCGGCCAAACTGGCTACGGTTCCAGCAACACTGCCTCTGGAGCTGACACTTATGGCAGCACTGGCCACTCCACTGGACAATCCGGCTACGGCTCCAGCAACACTGCCTCTGGAGGCAATAATTTCGGCAACACTGGCCGCTCCACCGGACAATCCAACTATGGTGCCAATGACAGCTACGGAGGCGGTGACAGCAGCTACAACCAGTCAACTTCGAAGACTGGAAAGACCTCTGGGCCTCACGGCTCTGACCTCTTGAACAAACTTGACCCCAGGGTTGACGAACACACATCATCCCTCGGCACCCAGCGCAACTACTAAGCGATTAATGAGTGACCTTATGACCTTTTCCAGAGTTGTATTCCTAGCTTGTCTTTAATCTTTTGAAAGTTTTATGAGAATGACCCAATATCAATATCCTTTGCCGTTGTTTATCTTATTACTACAATATAGAAAATGATAAAAATAGCTCCAAAGAATCAGGCCCATGCTTCGTATTTATATGTCTCTTTTCTATGACGATAATAATAGCTCTTCCAACAATCATTTCTTTGCCGTCCCTTCTGTGCAGTTACCTATTTCCACATTGTCATTACATCTATTCCGTACACATGCAAAGGTATCCACGTGACGTTGTTTGCCCTCTTTGGCTTCTTCCCCATAGAGCTGGTATACCATATCGAGGTTATACATCAAATGACATATATAAATTGGGAAGTATACAATGTTGCGTGATATCAGCTGCTGGATATGATACAATTTATGTTGTGTTATAGGGTAACGGCTGGAAGGCAAAAATATATCGACAGCCGAGAGGATGTCTGGGAGAGATCAATTAATCAGGGCCAGAAAGTGGGTTTGACAAACGGAGACTAAACTAGAAATGGCCAGTCTACTCCGCACAGCTAAATAAATATAAAAGGGAAAAAGATAAGTCACTTGTTCTATCAGTCAATTTAGGACAACCTCAGGTGCTATGTGCCCACCTTTGCTAAAGTGAGTAGGCACGAGCACTTCAAGCATTATACGCTCCCCCGTCTAGAAAACAAGCCTAGCGCCCATTACAACAAGTATTGTGCTTGATACTGAGGAAGAAATGGAAGACGATAAGGGCAAAAAGAAGTTCATAGACCCGAAACTGGGTACACTGCCTCACATGAAATAGAATAGATAGATGATCGTCATGAATATCAAAGGGTAGTGAAGCAACCCCAAGGAAGCAAAAATCGACAACGCAGAGGCATCAGTGTATTGTATGGTTCATGAAGACAATCGCCAAGACGCCGTGTAGATTTGTTCGTCGGGTATGCAGACGCATATTACAGAAATGGTAATATTAGGACAGGAGAAAGAAACGATGCCATGAAGGTCACCACACGAAGGTATCATGAATTTCGGAGCTGAGTTGGAATTAGCAGGACACGAGGTTTACATGATGGTCGTTCAATGCGGCGCAGGCAAGCACAGTCCGGTGGGGATGGAAGGCAGTGCTGGCAATAGGCGAAGAGCGGTTGTGATGAAGGAAGCTTGAGTATGGCTCGAACGTAGAAAGATAGGTACCGTCCACATTGAAAGTCTTGACTTCATGGCGATTTGTACCCCTGCGTCGTGTTAGCTTTGCACAATGAAGATATCGAAAGATTGGGGTGGACGAAACGTACACGCTGAAGACGGGTGCGTGCTCGTGAACACTCAACGTCCGAAGGGTGTCTTTGGTGGCATAGATGGTGGAAATCGGGCTATCCATGCGAAGATCCCAAAGTCGGACCTCACCATTACGGCCACCTGAGATCAATTCTCGTAAACCACCACGCTGCATATGGACATTTGTAATCCATTGCTTGTGTTCACGCCAAACCTTGACCATGGACGTGGTTGGCTTCAACCGTTGATCAAAGACTCGCACAGCACCGTCACCGAAACCGGCAACGAATATGTTGCCCGCTACTTGATCAGATGTCAAGGATGTAATGCAGGAACCAGATCGTGCAGGAATATCCTGTTGTTGAACTTTAGTGAGGAACGCGATACATTCTGTGAGACCAGATGTTGAAGACTTACATTTGTGCACACCTCAGTAGCAGCATTCCAGACACGGATGACCTTGACATCGCCCGCAACGAGAGCTTTGCCCTGACCCTGCTGCCAATCAAGCACAAGGCCTGCGTTGCGATTGCTTGGGATCAGTTCAGGGAGGGCCCTGAAGGCTGTGACCACTTCAATATCCTTGTTAGTCTCGTAGTGGCGGAAAAGTTTGATTACGCCATCAGAGGATCCAGTCATAAGCAATGCCTGGTCATCCTCATTGATGTATCGGACTTCGTTGATCTTTGACCCGGCCGGATTGCCATTTGAGAACTGATTGAGGCGTTTGTGGCTCTGCCAATCCCAAATCCTACACGGTACCAATGATTAGAAGAACATGAAGAGCAGATGATCTGTTGGTACTTACGAAATCGTATCCCGATCATCTGCGACAGCAATGTGATCCTCGAATTGATGGAAGCACATCTTATGCGGCTGGCTACCATTCGATAGCAAAGCAACCGAGTTATCCCACCGACTCGCTCCAGCTTTTCCTTTGAGGGGTTGGGTCTCGGCGATGATCTTTTCGTTGCGGCCACGTCTCCAGAGGCGTTGGTTGTAGTCAGAGCTACCAGGCTCATCCGGCTCGTTGGGTTTCATCTGGGGCTCCCGGAAATACTTGTGGATGGTGAGTAAATGTAGGTAATAATAGTTGTGGGACTTGATGGATTCGAAATCCGGGATTACCTCAGTGGACCAGTCTAGGAATCTACTCTTTAGAGGAATAACTGGCAAAACATCAAAACCTTTGGGTTCGAACCCTCGGGATGTGGGAATCGGGGCCTGGTTGTATCCCGTTGTGGGAGCAACATGGTCGTTTACTTCTGGGGGTCGGGTCCATTCCGGAGGGGCTCGGCCGCGTGGGGTAATTGTCATACGGCCGGTTGAAGGAGAAGGAGGGTTTGAACTGTCCGATGATGGGTCTCCTGTTGAATTACCAAAAGCAAGGTTCTTCAGGGAGGCAGCGACGCTGGCAGTTCGCCTAAAGCCCAAAGAAAGATAGCCTTCTTGTTTTGAGGATGGTGTGCCAGACACGGGAGGCGTCGAAGGTGGCGCAGTTTTCTTTGCCTCAGTTCGCTCGTGATGTTGGAGTTTTGTCAAGCCTGTGATTTCCAGAATCTCGTTCTGAAGTTTGTTAGTGAGTGGCGCCATTGGGGATTCCAACAAGGCAAGGTGAATATAATCAACGATAACGGCAGCATCCTGCGCGATATCAGGATGAGGATCGACTGAGAGAGCCAGCAGCTGCTTCCAGATAGCCCCGAAAGTTGTATTGCGAGAGAGTTGTGGCTGTTTCACATGAGAGGATGGTGCTACGACCTTTCCTTCGGAGCGGCTAGTTTGAGAGGTTTCATTATGCCGGCGATGAGACAGGGTTCGCTTTTCTTCCTCAAGCTCCTCAAATGCCGCGACCAAAAATTTGTTTTGGTGGCGTCTGACGAAGGTTGAGAAGAATACTAGAAGCTCCTTCCTCACAACCACACTTCCATCGGCAGACATGGGCAAGACTGCCAATGCCAAAGTCTCCTCGATCTGTGCAACTTGGTCTGTCAGATCTGGAATTCCCAAGAAAGTAGTCACAGCGTGGAGCATAGCAGCGCGAACTTCGGGTACGGGGTCAAAATTCAACTCGCAGAGCCTAGCGGGGGCTGCACATCGAATGCCCATCCATTTTGCTTCCGGGAACTCGCACCAGAGCATACTAAGGCAGAGACAGGACCACTGCCGTAGCAGGGGATTTTCCACATCACCAAGATGCCTGAGGCAAGAATCAAACAATTCACCAGAGAGGCAGACATTCTGTCCTTGGGGGTAGTTTTTGCAGAAGATCGAAACTATGAAAGCACACATGGCCCGGTGTTCGCTGGCATTTCCCACAGGGATGGGCGAAGACGGGTTCAGAATTGAGATAAAGTAGTGAATTCCATTGTCTTTCAGTAAATCATTTTGTACAGTGTGGTCGACTGCCATGATTCTTGCCCAAATGAAAACCATCACGGGTTTCAATTCTTGAGCTGCTGATTGCAGCAACTTAACGACATAGGGAAAGATGCCAATGCTGAGGGCAAGGTGAACAGCCCATGGGCCGAGGTCTAGGAATTTGCTCAAAAGAATCAAGGCTCGCAAGCGGTGTGCTTGACTCAGGAGGACTTGGAGGACAATGGGAAGCTGATCTGGCGGGTTCTTCTCCGTAGGACCGGACGAGAGATATATCTCAAAAGCAGTGAGTTGCTCAGCGAAGAATGCCGAGTGCTGGTACTCGTACTGCCGGCGCCCTTCCTCTTGATCGATGAGGGCGGGTAACTGCGACAACACCATTTCGACTGCAAGGTCCCAGCTTTTCCATAGAGGGTGATGATGTGTGTCTGGCAATTCAGGGGAAGATATCGGGTGACACTTATATGTGCGCATGATACGTTCGCTCAGCAAAAAGTTGCGGAAAAGAGCGGCGACCATTAGATCCTGTCGAAAGAGCTTCTTGAACAAAGCCCGGGGTAAGGTGTTCCATGCAATTGTATCAGTAATTGCAGTGAAGATCCAATTCAGTTCTCCAAGAGGGCTTCGACGATCTTGAAGTCGACCGGGAACTCGGAAGTCGTCAATGGAAATATTTGTGCGTAACGGGTTCTGCAGGATGAAAAAGCGCAGGGCGATTTCAATCGGTGTTGTTAAGCAACATGTGAATAGGTCTGCAGGGAGGTCCGGATTGGTCGGAAGGGACTCTGTCTTCTGGCACGCGGCTAGGAGGATGCAGTCACCGTAATTCTGAATGACAGCATTCGGGTCTCGTTTCTTAGCCTCAACATTCTCTTTCTCATGTTTTTCCACGAAAGTATGGAAATTTTGGACAATGTTGCCCGCATGTGAAACATCAAAGACAAAAAGACTAGGCCCAGCTAGCCAAGACTGCAAATCATACAGTGGGACAGGTATGTACTGGGTATAATTCTTGTTAAAGACCCATATTTCACCCGACTGAGTTGGCAACGGCACTCCGTGTCCATTGTAATGTAGAAGCACTCGCTCGTCCTTGGCATTACGGCGAAGTGAAATGCAGAACTTCTTCGTCTCGTCAACTGATGGATCTAGATACTGCTTGTATCTTGTTCGGAGACTCAAGGTCTCATATTGCTCCTGTAGCTTCTTGCCGATCTGCTCCATGATCTTATTTTGACCACCGCCTGTGGTAGAAGTCGGGTCTACCCAACATTCCAGCTTCGATGTTGGGTTGGTCTTGACCACATCGGGAGGGTCGACTCCGATGTTCAAACAGATGGCCAAAGCCGCTGACACAGTTTTCAGGCGATCTTTCATGCGCCAGTCCTGACTTGGCCAACTCCCAACCGGGTCCCTGGGAATGCCGTTCGTCTCATGACGTTTCTCGGTGAAATACATGTAGAAATTCTATATCCAGCGGGTACTGTGTTAGCTTCCGGAAACTCATGATCAGACTGGTCATGCTCACCGAATGCAATATCTTAAGATACTCGCTAGATGTATACTCCTCCTGCCACCCATGTCGCATGGCAAAATCTTCATCGTCATCGCCCACCACCTTGTCGAAAGTTATCCGACTTGGCCCATAGTCACTTTTGGCTCTCTTCAACATAGCCGGCCGGCTACTCTCCGATCTTCGAGGCGATGGGCGGCGGGGTGGGATCTCTCCAATGGCGCTATTCTCTCCAGATGAGCTAATTGGGCGCCCATGTGGTGTCAGTGTGGGGTGCTTATGTTCAACTGCTGTGAGCGAACGCTGATGGCCACTCGACGGAGCTGGAGATCTTTCGCGGGTAGGGATCGTGGTCTCTAAATCAGGACCGAATGCGACGCGGACCGATTTATTCGGATTGCGACGCGAGACCGTCGACCCGTTGGTCGTTTGTTGTGAGTTTTGTTCCATATCGGTATTGGGATCCCTCATGTTGTATGATCGTTCATTGTGTTACACGAGTACTGAGGGGGGAGTAAAGGCTGGAACGTATGTCAAGGTAGGCCGCAGGTATCCCCGGTCGGTCACCGGTCACAACTAGTGAATTTCCTCCGGTTCGCTTGCGAGGGTCTGGATGTTATCGACTGAAGCTGGGGAAGAGACCGATGATGAAATGGCCCGAGTAATGTTAGAGGTCGAATTTATAGTAAGACAAACTGATCTCAAATTGCGACTGCCCTGGAGATATTCCAGGAGCGCAGAGAGAACTCAGCGCACAGCCTATGGATTCTGGTCCAAAGAGAGCTTATCTGCGTCTAGAGCGGATGTGGTTCGGAAAGGCGAGGTGCTATGCGGAAACATAGATTATCCGGGGATTACTCAGAATGGTGTCTTGGCATTTGAGGAAGTATAAACGTTTGATCAAACGTGTACGGGGTACACATCTGTAGGCTTTTCACAAAATGATCATGACTTATCTCTGACTTCTCTTTCTTTTTTGTTCCAAGAAGGTTGGCTATGGCTGTATTTAGAGTCTATGCATCTATACTCTAGAATCTAGTGGTAATAATGCTCCAATATGGGTATAAGCATTGGTTACATCATGGAGTACAACATAGGGAAGTCCACCTTCCGGACTGCCTAGGTGGGACGAAGCCCCTGTTAGTCAGCTAAATATCTACCAAGTAGCATGTCAAGGTTGCGATATTTGCTCTTATATAATAATAGAGACATCGCATGGTTGGAAATGTCTAAGACAGCAATGGTAGGGGGATATCAAAGGTTTCACTGGGGGAAGGATGGACATCTACAATCTGACACGTCGATTTTTATACAACAAACAACATAGGAGACTAAAAATATACAATATACTCAGACGTATACAACATAGTATGTAACCAATGATAATAGATTATAGCCAAAAAAAAACCGGTCAGTGTCAAGAGGTTCATACCTACAGCCCAACCGGAACACGAGAGATCGCCCGTATTATTTCGATAGGCATGGGAACCCCCTTTTTCCTTCCCTCTCTCAGCTTTGACACCCTGACCTCTTTTTCTTCCCAGGTATTCCAGAGCTGACATTCATCAGGTCACATGCCTAATTATCATGTTGTACGGGCTTAATCCATGAACAATTGGTATTTCTACACATTGTGGGGTATGGATCGCCGTGTGGAATTGGGGAATGCAGTGTTAGGATACATTATCATTGGACCTGCAGTTGTTCAGGCTGTGGCCGTGTCCTCGGCCCGGCAAATAGCCATTGCAGTGTGATAGTGTGTGTGATGATTAGGGTTAGCAAGCCTGTGAATGGCATTTCAACCCTTGAAAGATAAGATTGAATGTAGTCCAACATTTTGAAGACTTTGTAACATTGCTGTGAAAGCTTTTCTTTTTATTCTACATCCTACTTTCTTTGACCTACTGATATCTATCAGAAGGCTAAAGAAGTGTGGATATACCATACTCAATAGTGGAATGTGAAACCCCCCTCGGTTCCTGGAGGCTGGCAAAAAAAAAGAGAGACTGGGGAAAATGAGGAAATAATACACTGTAAGCAGTACGGAGTGCATAGATATAGACATATCTAGTAGAACAAGCATTGAATTAAATCAAAGAAGTGGAATGTCTTTAAATATTCGAGTAATAGCATGCCCCTGAGTATGCACGTTCAATGAAACTAAGACTAGTTCGACTTAGAGCATCTCCGGGAAATTGAAACGGCTTCCATCTTCGCTTTTCACATTTCCCTACCACCTCCCCCTTTCTTGCCTTGGCTTTAGCCGCTTTGATTTTTCGAGTCCCCAGTGCGAATGCTTCTCTTTAGAGGTCTCCCCTTGCCCACTTTTATTTTTTTGGGGGGACGTTGAGCGGCTTGTGCATGGAACGTTTTATGGTTCCTAGTGGTTCCTGGTTCCCACTTCACATCTGAAATAGACAACTTCCCCCTATCTCTTCGGATTTTCCACTTCATCCCTCGGGACGACGCCATTCCTTTGATTTTTGGGTGTCGGATCGAGACCGCACTTCGGCGCAGCTTGACTTTGCGCCAGATCCCCAGATACGACCGACCACGACCACATAATTACGATGGCCTTTTTGTTTAAGAAGAAGGCTCACGCCCAGCAGAGCCAGCAGTCGGCTGCACTTCCCCCGGCGACTAGAAATGTCCACACTTCCGAGGGTGCCCCATCCACTGGATCGCCCAATATGGCCAACGGGGTCAAAGGGGATGGCATGCATTCCCAGACGCCAACTCCAAGCGGTAGCTTCAGCAATTCCCTACATTCCGCCACAAGCCCGACGAGTCCAGACGCAGTACGATCGCGGCAGAGAGCAGATTCGGAATCACAGGTGGGTATCTGTTTTGTGATCCATTGGTCGCTCTTTGACGAGGACAGAGCTCTAATGTCTACAACAGATGCAAAGATCCCAGCAACCACCCAACGGGATCCCCCTCCAAGCCCCAGTTCATCCCTTTACCCATGGTCGCAACGCCGTTTAAACTTCTCCTCTCCCCAAATGAACCCGTTTCCTCGCTATGGAGCAGCAATCAATTCGGTGGCATCTAAGGAAGGAGACATATATATGATGGGAGGCCTGATCGATGGATCAACCGTCAAGGGTGACCTATGGATGATTGAAAGCAGTGGTGGTGGTTTGAACTGTCTGCAAGTTGCAACAGTGTCCGAAGGCCCTGGCCCGCGAGTCGGTCATGCCAGTTTGCTCGTTGGGAACGCATTCATCGTGTTTGGTGGTGACACCAAAATCGAGGAGAATGATTCTTTGGATGACACTCTGTACCTTTTGAACACATGTGAGTGTGGTATCAATAAATTCATATTTACCATGCATCTGACAATTTTTGTTTCATAGCTTCTCGCCAATGGTCCCGCGCTATCCCCCCAGGCTCTCGACCTTCCGGGCGTTACGGTCACACGCTGAACATCCTAGGCTCCAAACTCTACGTCTTCGGAGGGCAAGTGGAGGGCTTCTTCTTCAACGACTTGATTGCATTCGATTTGAATCAACTTCAAAGCCCAACAAATAAATGGGAGGTTCTGATCCCGAACAGTCACGAAGGTGGGCCTCCACCAGGCCAAATTCCCCCAGCAAGAACAAACCACACCATTGTCAGCTTCAACGAGAAGCTGTACCTATTCGGAGGTACGAACGGCGTACAGTGGTTCAATGATGTCTGGTCTTATGATTACATTTCCAATACCTGGACCGAAATTGATTGCGTTGGCTTCATACCGGCTCCTAGGGAGGGTCATGCCTCTGCTTTGGTTAATGATGTGATGTATGTGTTTGGAGGCCGCACAGATGAAGGCGTGGACTTGGGAGACCTGTCAGCTTTCCGCATCTCAACTCGACGATGGTACTCATTCCAAAACATGGGTCCTGCGCCGTCCCCTCGATCTGGGCACAGCATGACCGCTTTTGGCAAGCAGATCATTGTTATGGCGGGCGAACCGAGCTCGGCTCCTCGGGACCCCGCGGAGCTTAGCATGTCCTACATCCTTGATACTAGCAAGATTCGGTACCCCAATGATTCACAAGCCGGAGGACGCGCCCCCGAAGCGGCGGCCAGAAAAACAAGTGTTGATAAAGCAGGTATCTCGTCTGGGCGCACATCTCGGGAGGCACAAAACGCTGGCCCAGAACAGCAAATGCGACGCGGACCGACGCCATCGCGTGAGAGCATGATACAGGGCACGGCTGCTAATAGGCCAGGGGAGTTCGGCTCGAACCCAAATTTGGGACCTGGATCTAGACTACCACGGGCATCAATTGCTCAAGCCCCTGCCGGTCCACCCCCTCCTGGTCAAGCGCCATCTCCTGGTCCTCGTGGCAATGGCCCTGCACCTGGTGCGAACCCCCCGCAGCAAGACCCCGACCAAAAACGATCGCGGGTACACCCCAACGGTTGATGTTCGTGTAGCGAGCGGCGACGGCGGCGAAGAATCACCAATCATGAAAGAAGGCCCACAAGATCCCCAGGGACCTCCATCGGCTGGTCGTCGAACCCCTACGCAGCATCAAAAGCCATCAGCCAAGGCCATGGAAGCAGGCGAGGCAGCTCCATTGATTAGTGCCCCAGGCCGACAACGGTCTCTCCGGTCTCAACGACAGCGTGGGTCTATTGACAGCGCTGACGAATCAATCCTTGGCCGGCAGTCTAGCGTTGAGGGCTCAGTGGAATCCCGAAACTTCCGCAACTCCAAGACTCTTGGTGATGAGCCACGGTCTCCTCGACTTACACCCCACCAAGAGGCGTTGATAAAGGAGCTGGAGGTTACCAAGGCCCGTAATGCCTGGTATGCCTCTGAACTTGCACTCGCAAGAAAGTGTGGCTATGTCCCCAATGCAACCAGTAACCCCGCGCTAGACGATCGGGCCAACGAGGCCCTGAGTGATGAGGATCGCCCCTGGTTGAGGCATTCTTGGCTATGAGGGCAGACCTCAGCAAGATGCAAGCTACCGTGGATCGACAGGCGGCCATCGCATCGAAACGAGTTGCTGAAGTGGAGCATCAACGCGATATGGCTATCAATGAAGCTGCATACTCTCGGGCCAAGCTCGCCGCTCATGGTGGTAGTCAGCGGGGAACCCCTCAGCCTGATGCTTCTCGAGATGGAGATGACGAGCGACCTACCGACATGGGACGTCGCCTTGCCCTCGCTTTGGCATCCCAGTCTGAGTTGAAGGCTAAATTAGATTTGCAGACTACCGAACTTTCGCAAGAACGCCAAGCCAAGGAACTTGCTGAAGAGACAAATGAGGCAACCCGCAAACATCTGGCCGAGCTTGAGATGCAAAGTAATACCCTGGAAGCCGAAAACTTGCGCGCTGAGCTTCACCAAGCAGAGGCTCTCTCCAGAGAAGAGGCCTTCCTGCGTGCAGAGGCCGAAGCCTCGCTCCAACAACTCACCTTGGACAAAGAAGAGTTGATGGCACAGATTGAGGATTCCTCAATCCGCCTGAAAGACTTTGGCTCCAGCTTTGATGACCTCCGAGAAGCTGTGTCTGTTTCCGCCGCGAAGACAGCCCTCGTTGAGAAGCAATTCCAAGAGGAGCGAGAGCGTCGTGAGGGTCTGGAGAGAAAGCTTCTGCAGCTCCGCTCAGAACACGAAGAACGCACCACTGAAGTGGAAAACCTTACTCGTCGCCTCAAAGATGCGGAGGAGTTGGCAGAAATGCACGCCAAAGAAGCCGAAACTCACAAGATTGCCTTCGTTTCTGGCCTGGAACGCGCTGCTTCTACAGGCTTGGATGATTCGTTCCGATCTCGTGCTGACCAGCGAGTCGCTGCTTTAGAAGCCCAGATTGAGCGGTCCACCACTCTAGCTAAGGCCAACCAGGCAGCCGCCAACGCAGCTTCAGACAAACTCCGGCGCGCAGAGGAACGGATTGCTGGTCTTGAAGCATACCAGGAGCAGGCCAGCCGCGAAGGCTTGCAATTGCGCCGACAACTTCAGACTGCTATGAAAGAAAGCCAATTGGCCGCCACTGAGAACCGGGACTTGAAGACACAACTTGAGGCTCACCAGCGAGAGGCTGGAGCTTTGGCGGTTCAACATGCCGCTTTGAAGGATCTGCTTAGTGAGCGTGGAGTGAGCAGCGACACCAGACGGTCCCCACGGCTTGACTCCCCCGGATCACGATTCGGTACTCCAGAGCAAGGCCGACTACGCGAGCTCGAGCAACAACTCTCGGCTAGCATTAAGGCTCATGACGACCTAAAGAATAGCTTTGAAACCCGTGAGCAGGAAGCCGACCGAACCTTCCGAGAGAAACTCGAGCAACTTGAGAATGATTACCAGTCCGCGGTTCATTACGTGAAAGGCACCGAGAAGATGCTGAAGCGTATGAAAGATGAGCTGAGTCGGTATAAGACCCAAAATGCCAAGATCCAGTCTGAATTAGATGTGGCTCAGAAGAGCCTTGAGAATTCAGACAGCCAGACATCTTCCGCCGAGTGGGACGCTGAACGGTCCCGCCTGGAGCTGTCGATTTCCGATCTCCAAGATCGAACTTCATCTTCTATCGCCAGCCTTGAAGGCCAGATCACACAGCTCAAACAAGATCTGGATCAGGCCAAGGCCGAGAAAGAGTTATCGCGAAGTGAACAGGAGCGTCTCAAGCAAGATTTACTCACCGCGGCCGAGCAAAGTCGCACCGAGCTGGACCAGCTCAAGCAAGAAAATACCCACCTTGAAACTCGTGCATCGGATGCTGAACGCAAGGTCAACATGCTTCTGGAGCAGGTTCAGACGTCAGTCGGTCATTACCGCCGTCAATCTCAGCATGGGCAAGGTACCAATGGAATCTCGCGCACACACAGCAATGCTTCTAGCAACACAGTCAGCGGTGGCCTTGGGCGGGCACGAGCTGACAGCAATGTCTCGCAGGACTCTACATTCCTTGACAATCGTGGTTCGATGGCTCTGGACTCCCTTGCCAACGAGTTGGACGCTTTGCGTAGTCACTGGGAAAGCACCAACCGCAATTACCGTCTGAGCAACCAGCTGGATCTGGATCGGACTCCCACCAAGGATAATAGTGAGGGACCTGCACTGATGAGTGATAGCTTGGCAGAATGGAGGAGGAGACTGGACGATGATGACCGGGTTGGATTTGATGTGCAAACCAAGCCATTGAAAACTGGAGTTTCACACTCCGAACACCCCAACGTGATCTAAAAATCTCTTCGTTGTTCTACGACCATGTGCCCTGAGATATGTCAATTTGCACCGTCTAAGCGTTCTGCACGTGTATTTGCCGACCCTTCTTTTCCCCCATTGTGTGTTCTACTCTCATTTCTACGTATGATGGGTGCTTTTACCCTCTGTGTTCATCTTCGCCGATGCGCAGCGTATTTTTCTGGTTCTGTTTCACCACTGCGCTCATTTGTTCCCCCCATTTCTCGTTTTTGATCCGTTTTTTAACCCCCCGGCTGCCCTTTTTTATACCCCGGTTTTCTGATGTTCACTGGACTCTGGCTGTACTACTAGCATATTTCACGCGGATTCCTTGTTCATCCATAGTCATAAAATCGTTCTAGTTGCCCTGTGGAGGCTCTGATGTTGTTTTTTTTTTTAAGGGTAACCATGACTGGGATATCCTAAAGGTCAGTACGGAGTACGGAGTACACTTAATAACACTAGGATGCCCAGGCCCACTGGTGGGAATGATGACCTGTCATCAGCCCGATTCGATAGGTGCAAGCTTACTTCCCATTGATGATATTTCCGATGTAAAACTAGCCTATGTCGAATTCGATTTCTTTCATAGCTAGTAACTGATTGCAGGCGTAATCCCCCATGTTTGCCCTAGATAGATTGAGACAAATTTCCCATTGAGGAAAATCGCGCATACTATAGGATCTGGTATTGTCAATTCAGGGTCTATAAGTGCGAACACGGTGGATGCCATGGCTTGCAAGAGGGCAATAATGTGAGTGTATATGATCCGAATGGAAACCGTATCTATCCAATTTCGAGTATCTCTTCAAATTCCAGAGCCTGTTGATACCTGGTTTACTATGGTTGTTCAGTTTTCATTGATCACATACCCGTCAGCTGAGGGACTGCATCGCCACCAGTGACGGTGTAATCTTACGGAATACATCTGGTTGAGAAAGATGCAATATTTAATCACTTTACCTCAAATTCTACAAATCACAGTGTATATATCTGTAGATGCCTTTCATACATGTACAACATAGGTACTCCAGCTGTCAAAGTGGTATAGATGCCCAATACCAAACTTACCATACCACGCCCAATGACATACAAGACCCGAGGTCAGGCGTGTCCCCTGCATATTAAACCTGGGAAAAAATACCCTCACCGACTCCCTTCTCCTTCTCATCTCTCTTCCTTTTTAAGACGTTTAGCTTTTGAAAGGCTTTGAAAGGCTTTGAAAAAGCCCTTTGCCCTTGATCTCTCTGTTTCTCGATTTTCCACCCGGATCTCCCCGGCTCTCCTTTTCTTTGAGAGCAATTATTTCACGGTCGGCAGCTCTTTTGATCCCGTTATCTCCAGGTATGTCTAGATGCTTTTCCCTTTTCTTGAACCTTTTTACCTTTTGACTTTCAATCATTACATTTGCCTATTTTCGTTGCATCATTCGAAGTGTTGGAAGTTGATCTGGCCCTTCCCAACATTGAAAGTTGCCTGAGGCTTGCCAACCCCTCTCATTCCCTGTTTCCCTCTCACGCCTCTCTTCCTCAACCTCAATCACACCCCTTTTACCCATCTCAGCTTTGCATATCCCGAATTCGAAAACACTAATATTCTCTCTTTTCCAGAAAAGTTTTTCACAGCTAATCGCTGTGTCCCCATCGGTTCAATATGACGACCATGGTCAGTGTTAGCCACCCCCGATTTCTTTTCTTTCTTTCGTCACTCGGAGACTTCCAAGTGACTTGAATATTACGTTCGGATCATACCACGACCGTATGATGATCAGCACGTCCTGGGTTGTACTAACTTTGCCTGCAGGATTTGCGAGTTGGTAACAAGTACCGCATTGGCCGTAAGATCGGAAGTGGCAGTTTCGGTGACATCTATCTCGGTATGGATACAAATCTAACTTTGTCCCTGCACCACAACTCATAGCTCTTAGGAACAAACATCATCTCCGGTGAGGAGATTGCCATCAAGCTCGAGAGCGTCAAGGCCAAGCACCCCCAGCTCGAATATGAAGCCCGTGTCTACAAGTCGCTCGCCGGTGGTGTCGGTATTCCCTTCGTTCGTTGGTTCGGTACCGAATGTGATTACAACGCTATGGTTATCGATCTGCTCGGACCTAGTCTGGAGGACCTTTTCAACTTCTGCAACCGCAAGTTTTCGCTGAAAACCGTCTTGCTTCTCGCCGATCAGCTCATTTCCCGCATCGAATACATCCACGCCAAGTCCTTCATCCACCGTGATATCAAACCCGACAATTTCCTCATGGGCATTGGCAAGCGTGGTAACCAGGTCAATGTGATTGATTTCGGCCTGGCGAAGAAATACCGTGACCCCAAGACCCATTTCCACATCCCTTACCGTGAGAATAAGAATCTTACTGGTACTGCCCGTTACGCCAGTATCAATACCCATCTCGGTGTCGAGCAGTCTCGACGTGATGACATGGAATCTCTAGGCTATGTCATGCTCTACTTCTGCCGTGGCTCCCTCCCTTGGCAGGGTCTGAAGGCTGCTACCAAGAAGCAGAAGTACGACCGCATTATGGAGAAGAAGATGACCACCCCTACCGAGGTCCTCTGTCGTGGTTTCCCCAACGAATTCGCCATTTACCTGAACTACACCCGTTCGCTGCGTTTCGACGACAAGCCCGATTACTCCTACCTGCGCAAGATTTTCCGCGACCTCTTCGTCCGCGAGTCCTTCCAGTACGACTACGTCTTCGACTGGACCGTTTACAAGTACCAGAAGAACGCCGCCATGATCGTCGACGCCTCCAAGAAAGATAAGGATGCCGAGGATCAGCAACGCCGCCAGGCCCTGCCTGCTGCTGGCCCGATGGGAGCCAGTGCCGCCGCCAAGCCCGGCGCCATCTCCAGCCAGCGCCGTAAGGTCGTCGAACGGGGCACTCTCGACACTCCGGACACCAACCGTGCCGTGGGAGGTAGTGACAGGATGTGAGTACATGAAACCTGGTTCCGAGTAGGGAACCCCTTCTTTCTTAACTCCTACGTTGAGTGATTTGCTTTTCGTGACGCTGGCGTGGAGGACCCTTATGTTCTGAATCTGACTAATCGCATAGTCTTCGGCGTTAGGCTACGTTCTGCCTCGAAAGGTGCTGCTTTGGGTTATGGACCTTCTGGTGGCCGTTCGAAGCGGGATGAAGGGGCGGAGGCCCAATGGTACTAATCGTGTTTACATGACAGTGAGGCTATGCTTTGCAGCTGCCCTCCTGTCTGTTCACATTCTTATCTACTAAGAAACCGGGGACCCGTCTACGTCGCTTTGGAGCGGACCATGTCGCACTCGCCTTCTCGGATATTTCTTTGTTTTTCTTTCTTTCTCGGATCTCTATTCATTCTGCACTCCCCGACAGCCCTCCTATCCCGTTTTCGATCAGATTTCGATCTCAGCCGTTTCGATTCGCCTCTGTTTATCGCCTGCTCGCCTTCAGCCCCATGAAACTTTTGCTAAATGGGTGGTCAAATTTGCGCTGAGCCTGCGAAAAACCTTGTCGACAATTTTCTGTCTTTTCGGATTTTTTTGTACCCGTTCTGCGGGACAACCGATTACACGTCTCGAAACGCTTCTGATATTGTGGCTTATTTTTACGTCTTCGCCCTTTGGTTTCTCTTTACAACCTGGCATCTTTGGTCAGAACGACCAGAGGGCAAGACGAAGGGAGATGCAAACGACGGCGTCAGACCGCAATTTTCTTTGTCGGATCGTTCACTCGCTGGTACTGGAGATCCTTGAATGCATCCTCGGATGCGCTGCCCATCATTGCTTGCCCCTTTTCTTTACTCATGACGTTTATTCTCTACCCTTCGTCTTTTACTGATTCTTTTTGCGTTGCGTTTGCCTGGCGATTAATTTGTGAACTATCGACGCTCAATGGGGACGAGGTGTGGCCTTCAATCTGGCCAAGGGAGGGGATGGGGAGACAGCTTTCGGGAGTATTGCTTTGCAGGCTTTCTGGATCTCTGCTCAAGCTACGTTGCAGAAATTTCTGTTACAGAAGGTCGCTTATGCAATCCCGCTTGCGGGAGAAGCTGGTGTGGTTGGCGACGGACATTGGTTAGGGTCGCTTCCGGGGTGGTATGCGTCGATTTGTGTCAAGTTATTTCTCTTAGCTCTTTCTACATTGCACTCTCAATTTGCTTACTCTCTGGAATGCTATTCACCTGGCAAACCTGGAAGGCCCTTCGAGCATCCGTACTTCCGGTCCCAAAAGAGTAAAGAAAAACGGTGAGATCATCGAAGTTTGGCCCATGTATGAAGTACCGAGCACTAGAATGGATCTTTTTGAAAGGGATTCTATTCGATATGTAAAGTCTGCAAGTATACGTTGAATCGGGATATAGGAGTGTCATGACATGGAAATCATGTACATTGTACACGGAACACCGCCGGTACATGAAACTTGAGCAGATAATAGATTTTCCTCCTTTTTCCACCTTCACCTCCTAACTTTCCGACAAGAGTTGAAGACCTTGGGAACCGTCTAAAATTCCGTAATGGATTACTCTTTCTACGACCCTCGATCACAGCCCTCCGGCTTCTCGCTCTATGGACTGCCTACCCCCGACCAACCCCATGCGCAACCAGATACATTCGCCCCTCTAGTGAGTTCTTTGTTCCCCCGTTCAAAAACTGTCACTAATGGACTAGAATAATTACCAGAACTTCCCTAACTATAATCCCTCATTCCCCATCGACTCATTTGTTCCGCCACCGCATTCACCGCCAGAATCAGTCAAGCACTCTGCTTCCAGCAGCGATGCTGCCAATCAGCACACACGCCCCTCATTTGACGGGGATGAAACCCAATTCGCAGACCCAACCCTAGGGAGGAGCAGCAGCGAGGAAAAGGAATCAGCGCCCGCACAAAGCAAACGCAAGGCCCAAAACCGAGCAGCGTATGTGATATATCAAACCCACGTGGATCCAAGACACAACCCCCCACGCAAACACTAACATCCGTTACACAGTCAACGAGCATTCAGAGAGCGCAAAGAACAACATGTCCGTGACCTTGAAGATAAAGTAAACACCCTCGAACAAGCATCCAGCACCTTACAAGCCGACAACGAGCGTCTCAAGCGCGAACTAGCCCAATACACCACTGAGAATGAAATCTTGCGCGCCACATCACAAGTCCACCGAGGACATGTTAGCTCAAACGAGAACCCTACGCCAACAGTCACAGGTCCAATGAAATTTTCCCCCACGGACTTTCACGCCACCTTCATGCCGGACGGCCCTGGTACGCCCCGAAGCCCGCACCACCGTCTGACTGTGTGTCCGATCACCGGCGAGAGATTGTTAGATGCGCGTGCGACGTGGGACCTCATTCAGAAACACGAGCTGTTTGAGCGTGGTCAGCTTGATATTGGTGATATCACGGACCGGTTGAAGGGTATGTCGCAGTGTGATGGGCAGGGACCTGCTTTCAAAGAGGGTCAGGTTCGTCAGGCTATTGAGGAGAGCGCGGCTGTTGACCGTGATGAATTGATTTGATGACTTGAGTGTTAGTGGTATCTTCTACGTGTACCGCCGATATGGTTATGAATTTAATGTTTTTTGGAGCGTTGGGTTTGATGGGATGGATCAATAGGATGAATGGCGATTGGATTATCTGATTCGTTGTTAGTTCGGTATATAGGGGTTGGTTGTATTTAGGAGCGTTTGAGTCATTTACACTCAAATTTGGGTTTGTTCATTTGCGGTCATTGCAATTGCCTACATAGTTGGCAAATTGATCCCCTGGCACTGGTATTCGATAGCTAGTCGCCGTTATGAACCCCAGGCTGACCATCCGTGCGTCAATTGAATTCCTATGTATGTATGGATATCTAGAGGCCAACTCTCAAGCCTTCCACCTCCAACTGCAGATGTGGATACAGCAGATCCTAATATGGCAGATTTCGGCAATTCAATTCATATCAAAACCGACAAGCGCGTCATGTCTTACAGCCTCGTTCCCTTGGCTCCTGCCAACATGGAGAGAGGGTCATCATTTTTTGGATACTTTCATAATATACAAACAAGTCTGATCATAATATTTGCAGTAATCAATCGCAACCTTGAAGGAAATCAATCCCAGTCATCATCGTAATCTTCAACGTTCAGGTCATCCGCCTTTTTGTAGTCGTCCTCGTTATCACGCTTTTTGAGACGAACATCGCTCTCCTTCAAAGCACCAATTTCCACGAGCAAACGCTCAAGATCTATGTAGTTGATTAGTATATAGCACTTCTTTGATTCCTACCTTTTGAACGGAACCTACCTTCAATCTTGGTCCGGGGACCCTTCAACTGCTGGAGCGTAATAAGCTGCTTCTTAATCTCGGTATCTTTGTATACCAAGATTGTGGGTGTATTCTTCTCCGGATAGCCCTCAATACACATGTCGGCACGAATCTCGCAGAACTTAATGTCGCCGAATTTGGCAGCAAGCTCCCGCCAGAGCTCCGTCAACACGCGCGACTCAACGTTCCCACCCATCGATGTGAGATTGACTAGTACATAAGCACTGTTGGATGCTTCTGTTACCTCACGGGCATAATCGACTTTCTGAAGTGGGAAGACCTGGTTGAAATGACTGGTTTGTTGGAGGGTGGAGAGCTCGGCGAGCCGTTTTTGACTGTTTGATTTGACCGTGAGCAAAGAGGGACCCTTGTAGATACATGCATGACGAGACAAAAAGCTTACCGATAGCTTTCGAGGAATTCTTCATCTTCTTCATCCTCTAGAGCGTCCAACTCGTCGAGGTCCTTGTCCTCAAGTCGGTTCTCGTGCGCCCTTTGCTGTGCGGCGATCAGAGCCTCTTGGATCAGAGGTTCGGGGTCTTTGGGCTTTTCTGGAATAATGCCATGTTGGCGGAGGATATCATTCCTATATAATATTCAATAACTGGTTAGCAACACTACATTTAGTTTATACCCCGGCGGGGGTATGTGCAAGTAATAGGCTCACCACTCGGTATCCTCGTTAGGGTCGACTTCAACCTGCATGGTGGATTGAAATGATCAAAGATGTTTAGATCAAGTTCAATTCAAGCGAAATATGGAGAGAATGAGGGGAGTTGGAGGGATAAATGCGCTGCCTTCAATCATGATGCCACCTGTTTGCAGTGTTTGGTTCGGGCCAAACAACACAGAAGGCCACCTTCAACTTGTCCCTAATAGCCAAGTCCTTTGGAGGTTCAAGATTCTTTACTACCTCTTTTGCCTCAATCATATCCTTGTATTTCTTTCCAATCTCCAATCGTTCAGCTCTCAATTCCTGGGTGGCTATGCGAATGCTGTAGTCGCCTACACCGCCCTGCCCTGCTTCTGTGTACTCGACCCGTGTCCCAATTGCACCAACTCCACCTTTCTAATACGACAGCAACCACTCATTGCTGGTGTGATACCAGCTGCTGGGCAAAATGAGTTACATGAAGAAAAACGAAGATGAGGACCAGGTCATGATCAAGCTTGATCGGACCTCCGTTTTCCAAGATGGTATGCAATCAACAAGACCCCCTGGCGCCTCCATGCGCTGTACATATTCAATGCTGACTATATAATCCTTCCAGCACGCCTATTCAATTCCTCTCCTATCTCGCCGCGAACATGCCGAACATTACTCACCAAGATCGCTGTCCTCTTGTTCACCGGGGAGCAGTTCCCTACGAATGAAGCCACCACCCTCTTCTTCGGAATCTCTAAGCTCTTCCAGAACAAAGACCCGTCGCTGCGGCAAATGGTATATCTGATTTTGAAGGAGCTAGCTAGCACTGCGGAAGATGTGATCATGTCCACAAGTATCATTATGAAGGACACTGCAATGGGAAGCGATGTTTTGTACCGGGCAAATGCCATCAGAGCGCTCTGCCGCATTATTGATGTAGGTCGTCAGCTGTGAGGACCTCAATGGTTGAGGGGATTTGCTGACAATTTCAAAAGGGTTCCACAGTGCAGGGTATCGAGCGACTCATCAAGACCGCCATTGTTGACAAGACCCCGTCGGTGTCCTCCGCGGCCTTGGTCTCTTCCTACCACCTCCTTCCCATTGCGCGCGATGTTGTCCGGAGATGGCAGAGCGAAACACAGGAAGCCGCCTCATCATCGAAATCATCCACCGGGTTCCTTGGTTTCTCCTCGAGTTCACAGAGCCACGCCATCTCCAACTCGAATTTCATGACACAGTACCACGCCATCGGTCTTTTGTACCAGATGCGCTCGCACGACCGCATGTCTTTGGTCAAGATGGTACAGCAGTACGGTGCTGCAGGTGTAGTCAAGAGCCCGGCTGCTCTGGTTTTGTTGGTACGTCTGGCGGCCAAATTGGCTGAGGAGGACCAAGGTCTCCGGAAACCCATGATGCAAATGTTGGATGGCTGGCTCCGCCACAAGCATGAGATGGTCAACTTCGAGGCGGCCAAGGCTATTTGCGATATGCGCGATATCACCGATGCCGAGGCAACACAGGCAGTTCACGTTCTCCAGCTCTTCCTGTCCTCTCCCCGGGCGATCACCAAGTTTGCAGCCATCCGTATCCTACACAGCTTCGCCTCCTTCAAGCCACACGTCGTCAATGTCTGCAACCCCGATATCGAGTCCCTTATCTCCAACTCGAACCGCTCTATTGCCACGTTCGCCATTACGACACTGCTTAAGACTGGCAACGAAGCCAGTGTCGATCGCCTGATGAAGCAAATCTCCGGTTTCATGGCTGATATCACTGACGAGTTCAAGGTCACTATTGTCGAGGCTATTCGCACTTTGTGCTTGAAGTTCCCTTCCAAGCAGGCCGGTATGCTCGTCTTCCTGAGTGGTATCTTGCGCGATGAGGGTGGCTACGAGTTCAAGCGCACTGTTGTTGAGAGCATGTTTGATTTGATCAAGTTTGTCCCGGAAAGCAAAGAGGATGCGCTCGCCCACCTCTGCGAGTTCATTGAGGACTGCGAGTTCACTAAGCTCTCGGTTAGAATCCTGCACCTGCTTGGTACTGAGGGCCCTAAGACCAGCCACCCCACCAAGTATATTCGCTACATCTACAACCGCGTCGTATTGGAGAATGCCATTGTACGTGCCGCTGCTGTCACCGCATTGGCCAAGTTCGGTGTTGGCCAGAAGGACCCCGAAGTCAAGTCTAGTGTTCATGTTCTCCTCACCCGTTGTCTTGATGACACCGACGACGAGGTGCGAGACCGTGCTGCGCTTAACCTGCGTCTGATGGGCGAAGAGGATGAGTCGGCGAGCGCTTTCATTAAGAATGGTAAGACCTTATCCATGATTGGCAATAGTAAATTTACTAATGGCTCTAGACTCAATGTATTCCCTTTCCACGTTTGAACACCAGCTCGTCATGTACGTGACATCTGGGGACAAGGAGACTTTCGCTGCTGCTTTCGATGTTGCCACCATTCCCGTTGTCTCACACGAGCAGGCCCTGGCCGAAGAGAGGACCAAGAAGCTTACCTCGGCTACTCCTACTCTCAAGGCCCCTTCGACTGGACCCCCGAAGGGCAAGGCAGCCGGTGGTATGGCCGAAGCGGCCAGCGCCTCTGCCACTCAGAAATACGCAGAGCAACTTATGCAGTACCCCGACATCCAGGCATACGGTGTTTTGCTCAAATCCTCTGCACCTGTCGAGCTTTCCGAGAGCGAAACCGAATATGTTGTTACGGCCGTCAAGCATATTTTCAAGGAGCACATCGTGGTGCAATATGATATTAAGAACACACTCCCGGATACCCTTCTCGAGAATGTTACTGTGGTTGCCACGCCAGAGGAAGAGGATGTATTGGAAGACGACTTCATCATTCCTGCCCCCAAGCTGCCCACAGATGAGCCTGGTGTTGTTTACGTTGCTTTCAAGAAGCTCACCGGCGAGAACAGCGTCCCCGTCACCTCCTTCACAAACATTCTCAAGTTCACCAGCAAAGAAATCGACCCCGCAAGCGGCGAGCCAGAGGAAAGTGGCTACGACGACGAGTACCAGGTGGAGGATCTCGAGCTGACAGGCAGCGACTATATCATCCCCACATTCGCCGGCAGCTTCGACCACGTCTGGGAACAGACCGGTGCCAATGGCGAGGAGGAAAGCGAAACCCTACAGCTCAGCAACATGAAGGGTATCAATGGTACGTACAACAAGTCCTATATCTCTCTATTTTCTATAAACACTTATACTTACTGTCCCAACAGATGCCACAGAACAACTGATCGCAGCGCTATCCCTGCAACCCCTCGAGGGCACCGATGTCGCCCTCAACAGCAGCACACACACGCTCAAGCTGTTCGGCAAGACCGTCTCCGGCGGTCGTGTTGCTTCTCTCATCAAGATGGCCTACTCCAGCAAGGCTGGTGTCACTACAAAGATCACCGTCCGGGCAGAAGAGGAGGGCGTTGCTGCTGCTGTGATTGCTTCTGTGTCTTAATCTCCCTTTGTTTCCCCTTTTGTTGTTACGTGCTTAATCCTGGTTGGGGGGACAAGAGCGTGTTCTTTTTTCATGTGTCTTGGTTCGTTAGATTGCGTCGTCCACCCCTCAAAACTTGTCAATGCAACTTTTCATCCAAATATCATATCATATTCATGCCGATTAGTGTTTCTGGTCTTCCTTCGCTGTAGCAGCTACTAGTACATAGTCTTGAAAACGCCCGCGCTTGATCTGCAGAGCTACCTGGCCGTTATTCAAATTAGGGTACATCATAAGCTGCCGAGTCATCAGACTCCAAGGGGTTTTCTTTGTACTCCCCAAAGTAGGATAATGCCGTCAAGCATATATATATGAATGAAAGAATAGAAAAATATTTTGTTTTTATATGCTAGTGATGTTATGAGATAGTGCCGTATGGTGCTTCAAGGACGCAGACGCTGGGGGTCACGGGGGAACAGCGAAGCCAAACGGACATTAGGCAAGCCAAGGAAGAACATAACAATACGGTTAAGACCGAGACCACCACCAGCGTGAGGGGGACAGCCCTGGCGGAAAGCATTGAGATAATCCTCGAAGCCCTCCTGATTAGGCTCAAGACCCTTAGCACGCATGGACTCCTCCAACTCCTTGATATCGTTGATACGCTGGGCACCGGACATGATCTCCTCACCACGCATGAAGAAATCGTACGAGTTAGAGAAGCGCTTGTCTTCGGGATCGGCCTTGGTGTAGAAGGGACGAACGGCCATGGGGAACTTATCGAGGACGTAGAAGTCGGTGTCGTACTTCTCGCGAATGATCTGGCCGAGCTGCTTCTCCATCGCGGTGGAGAAGTCGTTCTCGAAGCGTTCTTGCTCCGAGACGTCGACGCCGGCTTCCTTCAGAAGGGCGACTCCGTCCATGTAGTTCATGCGCAGGGCCTTGCCATCCTTGGGGAGCTTGAAGTCGCCGGCCTTGGGGTAGGACTTTTGGATGGTAGCGATTTGGGGGGCGTAGCGCTCCTTGAGCTGGGTGAGGATGAATACGAGGAGGTCTTCGGCGAATGACAGGACCTCGTGGTAGTGGCCGCGGAAGGTCTTCTCGAAATCGAGACCGGAGAACTGTGGGACATGTTAGAAATGATCTGTCTTTCGTGTTTGAGCATATACATCAGTAGATCATACCTCGGTCAAGTGGCGGTGGGTGTTGCTGTCCTCGGCACGGAACACAGGGGCGATCTCAAAGACATTCTCCATATCACCGGCGATACACATTTGCTTGTAGAGCTGGGGACTCTGGGCCAGGTAGGCATTGCGCTTGAAGTACTTCACCTCGAAGACACCGCTACCACCTTCTGTGGCGGCACCGACCAGCTTAGGTGTGGAGATCCATCGAGAGCCACTCTTAAGCATGTACTCAGCGAAGAGCTGGGAAACGCCGCTGGAGATCCAGGTGATGGCCTGGCTGGTCTCGGTCTGCAGATCGAGCACACGGTTGTCGAGACGGGTCTTAAGGGTGACGATGGGAGTACCCTCGGAGTCGACCTGAGGACCTTCCTCGGTGGTCTCAGGAGGTGGGCGCTCAGCATCCTTGACTTGCATGGGCAGCATCTGCGCAGCCTCGGAGATCATATAGACCTTGTTAATGTGGATCTCGAGGTGGCTGATAGAGGCAGACGAGATGGGGATCTCGGGCTTCTTGACAGTACCAGTGACCTGCACGATAGAGTTGACGTTCAAGCCGCCAGTGTACTTGATCATCTGTCGCGAGATGGGCTCCGCAGCCGCAATGACGGCCTGCACCTTCTGTCCCTGCTGGCGCAGCATCAAGAATGCAAGCTTGGCACTCTGCACACGCGCATTGTCCACGCGTGCCACAACTGTCACTTCCTTCTCGTAGTGTTCCTCTGAGAGTTCGGTGAATCGTGTGGCTGGGACGAGGTCCTCGGCCGCTGGGAGGGGACCATATAGATGCTTGGCCGTATCGTTGGCATCCTGGGCGGCGGCCTGGGCCTTTTCTTGTGCAGCACGTGCTGCAGCCTTCTCTGCCTTGATCTTATCCTTCGCGGCCTTCTTCAGGGCGTTCTTGCTTGCGTTCTTGGTCTCACCTTCCGCGGCGGGAGCGGAGGCATCCTGAGCCTCGGGCTTAGGACGGTGGGGCAATTCGGAGTCGGCCATGGTGCTGCCAGGACAATTAGAGGGGGCAAGGTGTTGAATTGGGTTCAGTGGATTCTACCTTGAAGATTTTCTATCCCGAGGAATTTGCAGGACTTAACGCAGCAGGCTGTTTGTAAGTAAAGCTGCAGAGAAAAGTGTTCCGTTGACTCACCCCGCCATGCCCTAAGAGGGGTAGGCGGTGTGGGGATTGGAACTAGATATATTGTCTACCAGCTTGACTGTATACATGCATGTAAATCAATTCTATGTACAATTTGGTGTCACTTTTTGGCTTGAAAAAAAATGTATTGGATATGCTTATGTGACTTTGCGCTGGTAGCTATTCAGAATACCCACACATAAACATACAACCAGCGCCACATTCATGCTGATCTTCATACTAAGATAGTGTGTCTAGCGTTCTTTAAAAATCACGCTGCAGGCCAGCTCGAGTGCTTCAGTGCCCATCGAACACCTTTGTGCACATCATCAGCAATTGTCTGAGGGATCCAAGCAGGCTCTCCGCCACTGTATACACCAGTGCGGACAAGGATCGAGTGCCAGCTACTGCCAATTTCACTGCGATAGGAGTTGGCTCCTCGAATGTCTGACTCTGGATTATCACCAACCATGTATACATTTTCCAGGGGCGTGAAATTTGCAGAGCTTCCAAAGGTTCTCAGTCGGTTCCGAAGCAATTGACGTTCTGCAAACTCGTAGGTGAATTGATACGGTTTGCCGATCACGGTCTTCTTCAACTCAATACCCTTGCTAGGACCACCTGTAGTCGCAGCCCAAACGCCCTCAAGTGCTTCTCGGAATCCGCCCTGACCAAGGCGGGGCAAAGGGTAAGCGGCAGCCCACCACAGATCTGGATTAGAGAAGTACAGATGGGGCTGGCCATCCTGCTGATATCCATGGTTGGGAAGATCAATTCGGCCGTTCTTTTCAGACAAAGTGCCCATGCGACCTTGGGACGAAAGGAGGAGGTCCATAATAACCTGAGTGTCCAAAGCCCAATCACGAGGATCATTGAACACAAAGACGGCGTCGATTTTCAAACTCTTCGATGGATCTTTGAAGTCGATGGGGGTCGGAAGCGGCCGGGCAAACTTTTTATAATAGTCGCTGAAGTTCTTCGAGAAAGGCCAGACAGCGGGATGGGCCATGAGAATATCGGCCGGGGTGACAACATTCTTAAACCCATACCTATTATCTTTGTTCAGCATATACCATTTAGTATCAAGAAGGGGCCCTTGACATACTGTTCTGCCACGCGCCGACAGTTATCCCCATCACCTCCGGCCACTAACACGCACTTATGTTCCAGAGCGTTCGACTCGTCCGATCCCTTGACCAATTCAGCAAAGGGAGAGTGACTCTGTACAATGTCTGTGGCATCTAAGGGGACTCCTAGTTTCTCGCTAATCTCTGCGACGCGCTCTGTCTCGTGTTTACCGCCGCCATTGGTGAGCAGAATGAAGGGGATGCCTTGCTCCTTCAGGAGAGCCAGCGAGTCGGCGGCACCAGGTATAGGTTTCGATGCGCGGAGGAGGACGCCATCGATGCTGTATCATGTGAGAAGAAGATCAAGTGGATTGCGTCTGGTCAAGACTCACTCAAATGCAAATGCGAAGTTGGGGACCGGTCGAGAAGTAGCTATAGGACTAGCTGTTTGAAGAGATCGGTAGGTGATTGGTTTCCGATAGGAGATAGATTGGCGCTGCAATAGGCCGAATGACCGCCAAATGGTTTGCGATCTCATGGTGGAATGTGTACAAAAGGAAATGTACGTCATTGCCAGGTTCCCCGGGGGCCGTATCGGCCAGGTCTTCTCTCCGAACTTCCCCACTCTCCACTTCACTGCAAATTTTTGATTTCTCAAACTACCCTTTCTATTGAAAGCTGGAAATAAGGCATGATTCGAATCAAATACGGGTTAGAATTAATTAAGCCATGATGTAGCCAGAATATTCACCACGGTGCTTCGTTATCCTCTTGAATATGTGTCTTTTCTTCCACTTATACTCTCCATTAAGTCGGTTTTACAAGTTGTGATATTATACCCTCAGAAAAGAGCAGTTGGGATGATGATATGAATTATGACAGGCTGGTGTAAAGAGATGTATTACCTAAATATGCAACCTTGAAAGTCCACCTAAAAAGAATGGGCACTTAGCAAATTGGCTCACTATCCATGATAACAAGTCCCATGTCAGAGAGACAATCGAGTTCCTCTTCCGAACACTTATCAATATTCTCCCAAACCCACTCGTCAAGTCTGGCATGTGATGCTTCAGGTAATCTCTTAAGACAACCAGGGCTAATACCGAGATAGCACACTTCAGAAAGAGTAGTTTTTAAGGCAACACAAAGATCATCGGGAGCAATCAGGTCAGAGAAATCGTCATCATATGGTGCCGTGAGCTCTAGCTCCCGGATTGACGTAGCAACACTCATTGGGTCAAGCCCGGGAATAATAAGAAAATGATGAAGCAGATCGATGGGTATCCGAAGGGAATTCAAAGCAATGAGGGTCGGTAAGACCTCAGATGGTCCCGCCTCAAACATCTCGCGGTTGGAAGAGTGAATGACCAGTCGTGTAAGCGTGGTTCTGATCTGCTCGTTGAAAAGGATCTTTTCCAAGACGGGAGTGTCTAGATTCTCGCAACCACACAATGTTAAACTGTGTAAGTTAGGGGGCCACCTGAAGGAGGACATCTTCCCAACATCAAATCTCCCGCCAACCTGTAGGCATTCCAAATTGGATGGCCAATCTTCAGTGGAACCATCATCCGTGATAAACATTGAAGAGGGAAGCGTAAGCGTTTCCAGTTTGCCGAGGCCGCTGATGGCTTTCTTGAGAGCAGAAAGCGGAATTGGCTCAGCCACAATGTCAAGGCCAAGATAGGAAAGCTCCTTGCACTTGGCCAAGGGCGCAAGGCTGTTAATTCTGGAGAAAGAGGTTGGCTTAGGACTGGATTGGATGTTGTGTTTGTCAATATATACTTACGAAAATGAGACCCTTGGAGCAATAAAAGTCCTCAGATTCTTCTTCACTCGACCTAGAAGCCGTGCTGTCAGGCTATTGGAGCTCTGATGTACCAATGATCCGAGGTTCAGTTCCTGAACGAAGGAGCCTAGGTCCACTTTTCGTTCCCTGGAGCGAATTGACGGGCACACAGTGTTGGTGAAAAGCAAGAAGCTATTCCCTTGTTGAAGTTGGGGTCGGCAGTAGAGAAATTCAATGCCAGCAGAGTACCACTGGCGAGAGACCGAACAGAACCTTTGAAGTGTGGCCTGAGATCTGGGAATATTGGAAATAAATTCGGCGATCTGTATTAAGATCTCTGTGGGGAAGTGAACATATCGGCGAGAGGTCGTCACTTCGGAGGGATCGATGAACTTTGACATTTCGCAAGTCAAAGAGTTGAAACTTTTCAAGTAGACATTGTAGAGCACAAGTTTGGGCGAAATATCATGTAGGACTTTTAGTCACAATCAGGGATGACGATGAGAACGAAGAAGCAACAGAAAGACCGAACCACTTCCGTGAAAGGCAAATACACAGGTCATCTCAAGGGAAGCGGGATTGTTAGGCAGTATTTCCTTCACTCAGGTTGGTGATGGAGCAGAAAATATTTCCAAATGAGACCAGTAAAAAGGGGCCCAAGGAAGATAAGTGGAAAGTAAGTGGTGAAAAAGACATGAAAGTGGGATGAGAGTCAATAATCGAAGATGTAAAGATAGGCGATGACGATCCTTATCTTTTTCTGCCAGCAGATGCATGTCCCCCGCCCTCGATAAACAATAATTCCACACCGCCTTGGGCTTGCTTGTATACAGTTCCAATATTATATGTTGTATGTGGGATTATGATGGCAATTTAAAAAAATACAATAAACGACTGAAAATGGTTCCCCATTCTTTGAGTCTCTTGTCACATTTAGAAAATACATGTAGGTCGCCAATTCCATGTTGCAAACACCATTGAGCCGCTGTCTGGACTCTGCAGATGGCCCAAGCTCCTTCGATCCTACAGGGCGAAGTACCACCTTCACCTCACCATGCCTGACAAGAGAAAAGCCACCATGTCGCCCCGCCCCTTGAAACGTCCTCGGGTATCTTATGACGATGAAGGTGAAGCATCTTTAGCAGCGTCTTACGAACGTCCCCGTCAGCATCCTCTCTATGGTCAGAAGAGCGCCTTTCCGGGTTTGGATGAAGGCGATGAATTGTTGTACGATGATCCGGAGGATGGATTAGAATATCTACGCATGGTTCGGTATGTTTATTGTTCGGTCCCAAAAGCCTTTTTGTTCTAAAGGATGCCGAATCTTGCCCATTTCTGCGCATGTCGAAGCGTGAACTAATTTTTGCTCGATAGATCCGAAGCAAACTCACTACCTGTGCTATTTTCTGCGCCTATCCAGACTCCAGACCAGTCAAATTTAACATTGAACGCGCAACACGACCTGAAGACACTTGATTCAAACAACCCTCCTTTGCCAGCAGGTTTTTATGAAGACGAGGCCTATATTGCTCCTGCGGGAGATCTGTACGAAGACAACGCCGCACATTCCCCTTCAAAGCTCGATGAACTCTACCCCGATGCACAAAGGTCCTACAACAATCTTCTCCGACATCGATTCCTCCTCTTGCGATCGACCCTACGATGCAGTCCGCCCGCTGGTGCCATCAACGCCCTCGACAATGACCATCCTATCAGTCTCCCACGAAAGGCTGCAGCTGCACACAAAACCTGGCGCCGACTCTTGGTGACAGTTGAACCACGCATGGTTCAACTGGCAAGCATGGACATGGAAAGCGTGTTAGAAGTCCTGGAAATACTGGCGCGTATGGTGTCTGATGTTGTGCGGGGTGACGACACCCAGCGCGTACGGCGCATTGGAGCCTGGGCTTGGGGCTTGTTGGGCAAGTGCCGTGAGGTTGGGCAACTTTCTACTCAAGAGGTAGGGGTTATTCGAAATCTAGGCAAACGAGCTGCGACAATTTTGCGCAAGGTGCAAGAGCTAGAGAACGATGAGTACGAGGAGGAGGCCGATTCTTCTGTCGCAGACCCAACAAAAGAGGAAACCCAGCAGGGTAATCTCGTCGAGGATGAGAAAGTTACGAAGGACAACGCTCAACAGGGGTCTACAATCCAAAATGAGGGAGTGACCAGCCAGGAAACCCAACCGGGACCTACAGCCCAAGGCGAGGAACTGACCAAGCACGGGTATCAGCTGAAGGCTACAGTTATGAACATGGAGGAAAACAAGCAAGAAGAATTGCCAGAGACTGCAGAGGCAAAAGACTCTAGCATGCCTGATGCATTGCTAGAACAACCCGAGTTGGAGGCGGCCAAGGCACGCTTGCGGGCTCAGCTGCAGAACAATCGCGACTCTATTGAGACACCTGCTAGCTGCGAAGAAGACGACGACTGGTCGATTCAAACCCACGCCCTGCTCGACATGATCATGACGGTGGTTGGTGAGTTCTTTGGCCAGCGGGATCTGTTGGCTGAACGAGAAATCTGGGATTAAATGGATTTAATTTGTATGTACGAGATACCCATTGTTTAGTTAATATTAATTCCGTGTTACAACGTGCCCATGTCTTCTGTTCTATACGTAGTGCTGATCATCCCGAGGTCATGGTGCTTGGTGGTCTAAGCTTCCAAGGTCTGCGTCATGCACCAACAACCTCTCTCCTTATCTCTTTTGTTTTCCCCAACTGTTGAGAATAATGATACTTCCATTTCAATTCTAATCAAAATGGCGCCAAACGTGGAAATAGCGATCCCCAGTACCACTCTCTCAAACACCTCCCCGCCATATACCGTCTACCACATCACCCTCCGCCTCCCGCTCCGCTCCTTCACGGTCTCCAAACGCTACTCAGACTTCTCAACCTTCCACAGCACTCTCATCTCCCAAACGAATGCCTCACCACCAGCTCCATTACCTCCAAAAACCTGGTTTTCGAAAACTGTCTCGAATGAACGATTACGCGAAGACCGTCGCCGCGGCCTAGAGGAATACCTTCGCGCGATCAATGAATCTGAAGATGGGCGCTGGCGCACTTCCCCCGCGTGGCGTGCATTCCTCAACCTCCCCACGGCAGTCGCATCAACGGGTAACGGACCAACAAAGACCTCCAGTCGACTCCATGCCGCCATCACAGACCCAGCCGCTACAAACGCACCTATCACAGACCCGACGCTATGGCTCGACTATTACCGCGACATGAAGAATCATCTCCACGATGCACGACTACAACTATCTCGCCGAGACCAAGAGACAACGCCTCAGAAGCAACACGAGAGCTCTGCACAGGCGAAGGGCAGCCTTGTCCGTGCGGGGACAATGATCACCACTCTGGACGATGGACTGAAGAATCTAGGACGCGACAACAGCTCCGCATCATCCGGTCTCGGTGGAGGCGAGATCCGCCGACGAAAAGACCTGCTCATTAATGCGCGCAAGGAAAAAGACGGCCTAGAGAATCTCTTGCATGCGATGGCAACCAAGAGCCGGCTTGACCATACTGTCGCATCTATTCAAGATAAAGAAGCTTTGATGAATTCTGGGGATGCGGCTAGTGGGCGTAGGACGCCGGCGCGAGCGGGCAGGGTCCTTGGCAAAGAGACGGAGCGGACTCGAGAGCTTGACAATGAGGGGGTGCTGCAGTTGCAAAAGCAGATGATGCAGAGTCAGGATGATAATGTGGATGAGTTGAGGAAGATCATTCTTCGACAGAAGGAACTCGGCACGCAGATTAATGAGGAGCTCGAGGTGCAGAATGATCTGCTGAGGCTGGCGGATGAGGAGGCTGATATGTTCGTTCACATCCTTTTCGCACTTTTTTCAATTGCTTTGATCTATCTTACTAACGACGTGCCTAGATTGAAATCCAAGATTGACATTGGAAGGAAGAGAATCGGAAAGATATCTTAATTCTAACTGCATGTGTTCCGGTGTGTGTAGAGCATTCCTCTCTATATCTTTGAGCTGATTTCAGCATCGTTCTAGCCAATTTATCTGCAAATAGCATATTGGTCCCGTATACCAATCTACTTACTTGTGCGGATATCGTTTTGCCCAGTAATAATCCTCTAGAATGGGTAGAAGGTGCAGGTTTCCATTCTCAGTCGCTTCAATCCGGGCCCGGTCAAGTTTATTCTTCAACTCCCTCAAGGGGATTTCTTTCCGATCAATTGCATCAAGCATGAGGTTGAGCACTGCTTTATCGCCCAGTCTCACACATGCTAGGAATGGATCATCGTGTCCGTCATGACCTGTCAGACTCATGCGCTGCCGCACAAATTTAACCATTCTGCTGGGAGGACCGTCATCCTCAGGCCCGATATTAGAACTAGGGATTGACCGTCTATTCATGAATGGCGAATCAGAATGAGTGTGAGCATCACTTGTCTCTGTCACGAGCACACCCCAGTGGTCATGCTTGGCGAAAGGATCTGCGCCTCTCTCCAACAAGAGTCGTACCTCTGCTTGATCGCAAACCCACTCCTTTTTGGCATCGACATGCATGACTATCCTGTACAAGGGAGTCATGCCAGGATAACACCGTTCCTCGATGTCAGCACCATGGGCTAGGAGCAGATCAAGAATGGCTGTAGCATTACTGCTACCGTCAGTGCGAGGGGAATATGTTGCAGCGACCAACAAACATAGCGGAGTGTAGAGCGAAGGTACTTTGGGATCGACGCCTCGCTCAAGTAGTCGCTTGACCACTCCAGTCATCCCAAATTGGACAGCGTGCACTAATCCTTCTTGTGCCTCGCTACTCTCAGGATCGATTTTCAACAGTCCCCGATCCAAGACCAGCTCTGCCATCTCTTCTCCTCCCAAAAATGCTTCTTCTATCAATTTCTTGGGAATCGTTAGGAAGCTAGGACCCTGGTGGTTCCTGGGCCTCTGTTGCTGCTTGGGTAACGGAGGCATTTCCAAGGCAACGCCTCTCTCCATCAATATTTCTACCACATCCACTGCACCGAAGTACAATGCTCTGGTAATAGCGTTTTCGCCAGAAGATGGATTGAAAGTGCCATCAGCACGAATTGCAGTTTTCGTCGGATCAGCTCCTCGATCAAGCAACATGCGAAACATGTCGGCGGATACCATGGCAGCCTCGGCCAAAGCTGTCTCTCCACGGCTGCTTATGCAGTTCATGTCAGCCCCATGGTCGAGTAAGAGCTCTGCAATTTGTACATTGCCCAATTGGATTGCCAGGGAAAGCGCGCCTTCATCCATGATTTCGCCGTCGTATTCCTGTGTATTGGCACCATGCTCGACAAGGGCCGTGATCTCTCCCTGGTACTCTTGTATATTGGCGCCATGCTCGACCAGAAGTTTGGTGGTTTCAATATGGCCATTGTCGATGGCTTGGAGTATCGGCCTCTCGTACCGTGTCTCACAGCGACGATAGACTCCATCTGCAGAAAAGCCATGCTCCAGAACACGCTTCACAATATCATCCCATCCATAGCCAATGGCTATATAAAGAACCTCGGCTTGTGCTTCTTCATCCTTGTCATTTATCATATCCTCAAAGTCGGCGAAGGTTCGAAAAAACTCAGCGAAAACAGCCTTTTTCTGCCTCTCAACTAATCTCCAATTTGGGTCTCCGATTACCGATGATAACAAGGCGCGTTTCTTCGTCGGTTCCTTGGGGTATATGTCCAATCCTCGCGCCAACAGAAGATTAAGGATTGTCAGTTGACCGTGTATAGCTACATGGTAGAGTGTACTCAGCCAACCTTGAACCATATCAGGATCGGGATCTGCTCCGTGGTCTAAGAGCACTTCCACAATCTCCACATGGCCATGGCCAGCCGCACATGAGAGGGCCATTGAACCACAGAATCTTTTGTTGGGATCTGCTCCCCGTTCCAGAAGCAATTTGACCATTTCCAGGTCCCCGTTTTTGGCGGCAGACATGATAGGCGGCTCCTCTTGAGGCGAGGGCTTGGCCCCTCCATCCAGCAAATATTGAACCAATTCGGTATTACCCTGAAGGACCGCAGCATGGAGTGGTTGCTTATGCCAGTATACGCTGTCTGCGTCGTTCAATGCGTAGCCAGCCTCGATGAGGACTTTCACAACGGCTAGATGACCATTTTCTACTGCTGCAAATACAAGATCGAAGCATGTTTCACCGCAGCAGTCGTGGTCATGTTCGAAAGTGACGTTATGGGCAATCAAGAGCTTGACAATCGCCACGTTGCCACGCACTGCCGCCAGATATAATGGATGTAGGACTTTTGAGGCGGTCTCGGGTCTCTGATCCTCACACTGGCCGCAGCTCTGATTCTGGATGAATATACCAGGCTCTGTGTTTTGTTCCAGTATCAGGCGCACTATCGTCTCACTGCTGTTGTCCACTGCCGCGACGAGCGATCGTCTGAAGTTGTAATGACAGGAGTATGTGGAGGCTCCAGCATCAAGTGCTCGATGGATGGTCAACTCAGAGCTATGCTTTGCTGCCCATACAAGGGGGTACCCGTGTAATAAGCGATTGCTGTTTTGATAGAGAATGGGGTTTAATAACAGATGTAGCCCCGAACATGTTTGCGCCAAAGAATTGAGGTAACGTGCTTCTCTGAGAAACTTGACGATTATGTGGATCAGCTCAGCTGGGAGATGTGTGAGAGACATGGGCATGTTGAGTATAGAAATCTATGTGAGAGAGGAATTGAGTTTCTCGGAAATCGCAGACAAACAAGTGAAGTGTCTTCATATTACGAAGGTGGGGGTGTAGGCAGTCACTTGGCGGCCCCTCTATGCAAGTCATCCTCCAATTCCTCTACTCCGTTATCTTTATATATTTCAAGAGACAGATATCTTGCTCAAGTATCTACACGTTGAACCCACTTTGAGAAAGACATGCATGGCGTTATGTACTCCATTCTCCATACATATATATATATACATGGGTAGGTGCCGGCTTGGGTCAGAGCAGTCGGGTTATCTGGTCATTCCATGCTGACCTGCATACTCTGTATACCCGGCCCCGGGGCTGAGTTCAGCTTATGCAGCCCTAATGCACTGGCCCAGCACACAAGGCACATCTCTCGAGGCACGTGCAGGGGATGTATTACTATTGAGTCAGCCTAGCCATATACCTAGGTAATGGATGCTTTCCAGTGTCTTTTTTATCGAGAACAAATTTGACGTTATCTATATCACCGCTCCACAGATGTTGACACATCAACAGATCGGGTCACTCCTATGCCACTCAATGTCAATCTCGGCAGATCTCCGTGCTCACTATTACCGTGGATCACTGTTTCAATCTTCGGATTTCCCTGTGCATTGTACATAAGCACATCTTCGTCGGAGCCTGTCTCCCGCACACTCATCCGATTCTTGCTTCCGTTCATTGTCCCCGGGTTCCGCATCGTGCTCATTTTGTAGTCGGACTCCAGGGTGGCTTTGTTACTGGAATATTCGTGGTGGATGCGGATAATGAGAGCCGAGAGGGAAGGGAGGCAGGTGCAGATAATACCGATGGAGACTTCCGCGTTACTAGAAACAAATTCTCAGTCAGAATGTTGAGTCAAAACCGATAGGCTCAGCGGAACACACCCTAGCATGTTGATTCTCATAAACGCATGAGAAAGATCTTTCGACTGTCCGGTAACGACAATAAGTGCCAACCGGATGATACTGGCTGCCACAGCCAGACCACCTGCTCCCAAAATACCCATCACCCGCATCTTTTTCTTTGCAGACATTTGCAGAGTCAATGTCAAGGGCAATGGTAAGATGAGAACGATCATATCACTGACCACGCTGACAACAGCATCAGCCAAGATGATCGACGTCTGGTCTAAACATGTGCCGTGAATGCTCTGGTCCCAGAATTTGGCGATGGGGTTGCAGATTCGGATTTTGACAATGACAGCCGGGATGTAGTAAGCCAACATGACTCCCATGAATATCTTAATAAACATGACGCATTTTCGGAAGGGACTGAATACACGAGTCATTATCCAGAGGAGGCACACTTTTGTGAGATAGGCTGTTGGTCCATACATGACCAGTGTTGCGTAGATAGTCTAGAGAGTCAGATGACGGGGTGATCAAGTATTCCAGTACTTTGCATACCTTTTGGAAAGGAATCTTGTTCTCATCGGGGACGTTCCACCAGTGTAAACCTCCTCCATATTGACCCACTATTTTTGCGTTAGAAAGAGCTCGTCGCATGTGGTACTCGAGACATACTAAGGAGGGCAATGATTGAGTAACAGACACCGAGAAACTATTCCAATCATTTGTTAGCCTGTTTCCCCTTCTTCCCACATGTTAATCTTACCCAGGCAACTGCGCATGTCACTATAGAGGCTGTCAGCATTTCTCTGTTCGGTGCGCTTCCATCCCAAAATCCCACTCACAATCCTCTTTCCCGAATCCATTGAGAATGAACAATCGAGTATAAATACGAAGACCGAAGAAGGCTGTCATTCCAATGATGCATAATGACTGGCAGGCGTAGTTCCACTGCTGCACACTCCGATCAATGGACACATCCCCAGAGCCCCGTTCTAACAGCAACATGGAATGCATCACGGGTTTTTGTAAGTCTAGATTTTGTAACTGGGGATGGCTGTTTCAAGACAACCCCGTCTTTTAAGCGATAATATGATGGCCTCGGAATCTCAACAATAAATCGGCTCAAAAACTGGGTCAAATTTCAAACTGACCTGCTTCCACGAACTGCATGGTTGAAATCGGGCTATGATCGCCCACGATCGGCTCCCCTGAAATAGAAGAAACACTAATGCTGTCAATGAGAACTCTAGTAAGGTGCCAAGCGTACCAACTAGCACCGTTACCCTGGTGTTGGTGCACCTTAGCAAACGCTCAATCTTCGGAAGTATTCCTTGTATGACTTGCCCATACAATGGATACTTGGGCGCATAGACATGATTTGAATCTTATTGTCCTTTGAGATAGTTAGGAGGTATAGGAGGATGTACATAGTGTCAAGTCTGATTCGTTTATCTAGACTATGGTAATTAAATGTGCAAAAAGCAATGGTCTAGTACTATGTATCTAGCACGTTTCTACTCCATAGATATAAGCTTTATGTATTATGTTTCTTGGAACGCTGCACTTGTTTCACGTAAGATTTATGAAATGAATCCGAGTATTCAATCAATTAAGCCAGTCATATTACTGTATATGAGTATTCTGTCTCTCTCTTAGCTAGTGTGTGGGGCAAGGAATATTATTTAATACCTGTGAGGTGTTTAAGTACTATCCTTTGTATGGGTAAGTCGTATAAACGATACCTAATTTCCGAAAATTGGGCGTTTGCTAGGGCGCACCAACACTGGGGTAGGGTTATGTATTTGGTATGCTTGGCACGGCTATCTGCTCACAAATGGAAACAGGTAGCCGGAGCTAATTATCCATGCACAAAACTCGTTAAGAATGAAATGTTTGACGATGACTCGTTCCTCGGGAGTGCACTTCGCCAACCCTTTTTTTGACTTGTTTCGACACTGTATAGCCCTGACGCACGGTGTAGAAGCCACACACAAAATACATCGTGGCGTATATTCAAGCTTTCTTCCTGTCATCTAAATAATATATAGTACATACAGGACCTGTCACTCTACATATCTTACAGACAAGCTACTGTATGTTGCACATATAAAATGGCGAAATTAAGTCAATCAAAGTGCATTTAGAGATAACTCAGCCCAAACATAGGTATATACATATAATATAAGAAGATATAGGCGTCCCTGACATCTCTGATAAGGCAGGTAAGGTTGTAATTACAGACCTCGGGAACTCTGGACATCAAACTGAGTTAGTGGCCAAAGCTAGTATACGCGGGAAGTGGACCCCAAACGGTTCCATCAACCATGGTTGCGTAAAGCAAAACGTGATTTAACTTTCGACCCACGGCATTATCTTGGACAAGTGCAGTTTCGTCACGGTGGAACTTGGATTGTGGACCGCAGGGTCTATCCTCTGGTGGAGGGTTCAATTCCAGTCTAGTCCCGGAGGCAAGGCGAGGTCAAAAATACGAGGCAATGTCCACATTTGAATAGTGTGCTCTCCTTGACCCTACTAGGTAATTAAATCGCAAATTATTATTCACGGTATACTAAACGGCTATTGGAGGAGATAGTTCCCGTGCCGATATGGATTCCCTGGTACGTTCGCCCCGAGCCTTCGGCCCACAGTCCACAACATAATGTAACATATGTATATATCGTACATGACACTTGATCGTCCCCGAGCTACCTTTTGTTGCCCCCGAAATCGCTTCTTTTGCCCAACATAGTGGGGCTATCATGTCATTTACACACTTGGAACGGGACGGCACCACCCGAGTCAATTGCCGGTCAATAGGGTTTACATACTAGCATTTCTGCCGAAAATAACTGTCCTTGATTGAAAGGGTGACAAAATAACCCGTGCTCAATACGGGCCTAAAAAATAGCCATCACATTCGGAGGCGAGGATACTCCACCGGGCATGTTCAAAGGCACGGATGCCACGAAAAAACTCCACCGCTGGAGTTCCTGGCAGGTGCGTGCCAGTGCCTCAAGATCGAATAGCTCCCCTATTGTCTATCCGTCAATATAATGGATCTGCAGACCTTGGACAAAAACGCCTCGTCAACTTACCGATCGGCATCCCCCATCCAGCAAGCACATACTCATGGAGGAAGATGTCAGGAGATTGTGGCGGGTAGACCTGTGGGTCCGTCAATTTATTTTCTTGATCGACTCGACACATGACGAGAATTTAGAGAATTATTTCTCTTATCACTTACCTCCCAACTGATTGCATCACCAGCGATGGCGGCAAATCCGGTGTCCCACAGCCAGCGGAGAACTTCTGTGGTCGCCTCAACTCCAGCATGCTCTGGGCTGGGATTATCCGCATATGCTTGTTTTTGGTCGTCTGTCATGGACGTGTCCCACTCCTTGGTCACTCCTACACGGACGAAAAGGATATCACCCTTCTGGAATGTGATGTTATTCTCCTTGGCAATCTCGAGAATATCAGTGAACCGCACTTGGTGGGTCGAAAACGTGGTGTATTTGATCCCCTTTTTCTCGGCCCATGTTGCATAGTCGATCAAGACCCCACGTCCTATTGGTATTGCGTGAGATGGTGTCAGGGAATTCATGTGAAGGGGATGAGTACCTGCAATGCCCTCTCGGGCCCAATGCTGAAGACCAATTCGATCATTTTGGCGATCATTGATTTCTTCGCTGGTTGTTCCACCATAGAACAAACGCTCAGATTTACCAGGCACTGTCTGAGAAAAATGGCGGAGGCCATCCCACTGGCTACTTTGCTCTGCCAAGGAGTCAATATCTCAAAAACGAGAAAATCAGAACTCATCTCAACTCACGTGGGTTCATAGTATAGATATCGTCGAATGCCACACCCCCTAGAAGAGGAACAATTTCATGATGGCATGGCTGACGGTTGAGATTAGGATAATCCAATTTCGTCATCTCCCATCCCATCGTCACACGTCGACCACATCTGATCTCGCTGGCAGAAGCCGCGGCGACGACTTCAGGGGTAAGGATCGCTAGCTTTCCCAATCCCTCCTCATAGCTACCTGGCTTTCCTAACCAAACCTGTTTTGGATTCGGAAGCTGGTCAAACGGGGTATCAAAAGGGGATTGGGCCATTGTTCCGATATTCTGTCGTTTCCGCTGGTCGGAGTCGTAAAAAATATATGTACTTTTTAGTCCCGGGGAGGCCGTAGTCTCATTCTAAATCAAAGTAACTAGCATATGAAGTACTCCATACAGCGCATAGGCCTTTTGCCGACGCAGTGGGGATGTAATTTGTGGACTCAATAGTGTCGGATCTGCACTCCCCATGACTCCACAAACGCATCCTTGGAGAATACACAACCAACGTAGTACATAGAAAATCATAGATGATATACAGCGTAACATATTGGAAACAAATGTCAACAAACGAAGATTAGCTTATGAAAATATTTTGAGATGTGTCTGGACTCAAACAAAGAAGTCCTCGGTGATCGGCATACTAGTGGTATTCCCACGAACTTTCTGCAGCCACAACTCCACAGAGTTAGTTCCCCTGCTCAGCTCCGTACAAAAATGCTGGAATTTCTCTCACATTCCATCTCGATGCTGGTATCCTTTGTTATATACCCTTGATTGATTGAGAGTAAGAACTACAATAAACCATTATGGGGAGATTCGGGTCTCAGACCAGTACCTATAACAGGCTGGTTATTGTTTTTGTCGCGATTGGGTCAATGGTAAGCTTGGGCATCTTTTTACATGACTATTTACTGAATTTACACAAATAGACATATGGTTATTGCTCTTCGATCATCTCCAGTACAATTGGCCAGCCAGGATGGTATGCCTACTTTGGCCTGCCCGCTGAGGGTGAACCGGGATACGCAACCATCACTACCCCTGCAATCTCGACGGCAAATGGTGTCTTTAGTGCTGGTGGTGCTGTTGGTACACTTTTTATAATGTGGTCGTGTGATTTCTTCGGCCGAAAGGCAAACATCCAGTTCGGTGCTTTCTTTTCACTGTTCGGAGGAGCACTTCAGGCCGGCTCGAATTCACTGGCGTATGTCACTTCTCCTGCCTTTTTGCAATTCGACTGTTACTGAAGACTTCCAGCATGTTTCAGGCAGGCCGCTTTATTTGCGGTCTTGGAATCGGTATTCTTGTAACCGTCTGTCCTATGTATCTTTCCGAGATGTCGAGTGCTCTGCGCCGCGGCTGGCTGGTCGGGCACCATGCCATTTTCCTAGTTTTTGGGTATATGCTTTCAGGATGGGTGGGCTATGCTTGTTATTATGCAACAGGATCCCTTTCGGAGTTTGGTTGGAGATTTCCTCTCGCCTTGCAATGTCTGCCTGCCTTGGTGCTGCTTTTGGGGTCCCCTTGGCTCCCGCGCTCTCCTCGCTGGTTGATATCGAAAGGCAAACTCGATGAGGCGCAGCATGTTCTTGAGCGGCTCCGTGAATCACCGGATGACCCCAATAACTTGGCTGCCAAGGAGGAGTTCTTCCAGACTAAAGAACAGATCAAACTCGAGGCTGAGAAATTGGCCATTTATGGTAGCGTGTGGAAGGCTGTCTTTACCAGGAAGACATACCGAAAGCGAATGGCTATCGGTTTCCTTACCCAGTGGGGCGCTGAGTTCGGCGGACCTTTGATCATCGTGAGTGTGGCGATACCTAATTCAGATGTATACCCCACTGACAACGGTTAGAACAACTACGCCGTACTTCTGTACACAAACTTGGGCATGGAGGGTGGTATGCCTCTACTCTTGAGTGCTGTCTGGCTGACAACAGCTGGTGAGGCTAAATACCCAAGATCTACTTGTACCTCGTTTGCTAACCTAGCTCAGGTGTGATCTACAATCCTCTGGGCGCCTGGCTCCATGATAAAGTCAATTCCCGGCGTGGCATGTATATGATCGGCTTTGTCGGCATTATCATATCTACATCCTGCCTGGCTGCTATGACTGCCCAATATGCTGGCACAACCAACAAGGTCGGAAATGGATTCGGTATCTTCTTTATGTACCTTTATCTGGCCTTCCAGGGGTGAGTCAAGTCTTAACATATCAAAATCACGATACGTCGAGCTAACATTTCTGCAGTACCTTCTGCGACACCACTATGTACCTTTATGTTTCGGAGATTTTCCCAACTGAAATTCGTCCCATTGGCATGGGCTTTTCTCTCTTCGGTCAATTTGCTTGTAAGTTGTTCGTTACAATTTCACCTTGAAACTCTAACTGACAAATGTAGCCACCCTCATCCTCCTGCAAACCGCCCCCATGGGCTTTGGCAACGTTGGTTGGAAATATTACCTTGTTATTATTTGCTGGTCTGCATTCTTCATTCCGGGTATGTTTTCTTCCTGATCAACCTCCAACCATCAACAAAACCTCGGTTAACATATATTATAGTCATCTATTTTTTCTTCCCCGAGACTGCTGGTCTCACTCTAGAAGAAATCGCCAAGAACTTCGGCGAGGAGGTTGCCGTCAACCTCACCAGTGCCACGGACGAGGAAAAGGCTCGACTCGACCACCAGCTAGCCACGGGTGAGAACATTGAATCACCTATACGCTCAGATTCGGAGAAGGAGGCCAGGCTGTCGTCAGGAGATGGGGTTGAGCAAAACGTGCCGAAAACAAACTAAACACATTGAGTATGTTTGGCTCTCGAGCAGAGAGTGGCATACGGACAATGTATAATTTTGGGCTTGATGATTTCGAAATCACAGTCATATTTCGCACATATATCATACAGAAACAGACCAAACTCCCTCGCTCGTACTCCCTTATCGGGGCTGGTTAGGATTGGTTTACATGTTAGAATTAGTTAATGATAACTTCAGCTTATAAATCAGCAGGAGCCTCACTTTTCTCGGGATCGAGACCCTTTGACTCTTATACTCACAATACTCAACTATTTCCCCCAATCACAATGGGCTCAGATTTGAAAGTGACTTTGTTTCCTTGGGATCCCAACTCGGACGTTCATGTGAGATGTCTTGTGTCGCAGCGAGTCGAATGCAGCTGGGACCAAGAAAAGGTTGAGATCAAGTGGAAGAATCAACAGCTCAAAGGCGAGAAATGCATTTATTGGATCGTGAGTTTCATTCAATAGGACGTACTTGTTCGTTGTATTCAATAAGCTACATGGCAAATATGCTTACAGTTGGTGAAAAGGTCCTTCCATCAGATGAGTCACAAGAGATACCGCTAAAAGTAGGCATCGGAAGACAACAGTGCAACTTGAAAAAATAGCTAAAATTTCACTGCTAGAAAGATGAAATGCTTCAAGACACAGCCACAACAATCAATGCAGTCCCACGCCAGCCGACAAACGAAAGCTTCATCCCTATTGGTCATATTTCACTAGATTCTCAGAACCCCGATGCAGGGCATCTTGAGCTTGACCTGCCGCCCAGAAACGTCTTCTGGATAAAGTCATTTTATGTTAGGCAATCCATCCAGGGCCAGGGAATCGGGCGAGCTGCATTGGATGAGGTCGAAGCCATGGCAATCCGAGAGCCACTACTAGCCAAGATTCTGATGCTAGACACGGTTCAAAAAGACGACCAGAAGAGAGAAGAATTTGCGATTGCAACATATGGTGGCATTCCAAAGGTAAGTCTTACTACACAATTTGAGATCCTCGGTCAAGTAACTTATATCGTTTGCAGACTACGAACGAGGAATGGTATGCTCGTCGAGGTTACCAATTGATCAAAACAGTGCAGAACTATTATCAAATCCCACATAAGAATGGCAAGATCTGGGATACTAAGACAGTTTTCATGAGAAAAGATATTGCGAAGGATCAATAAAGGTGCAACATGATGTATATCGCATCGATGGATAGAATTTTTGGCTTTTCTCTCTCAGCACTGAACATGCACCGAAATAAAATATGTAGAAGGCCATAGATTAATAAATCCAAGTTTTGCTATCGAATCACTTTCCATGTACTTTTCTCATACTTCGAAATTCCCAGGTGTAACACGCTAAGCCTAACTTGGACGAGGCAAACTGACCACGGGTATATTTTTCCCTTTCTTTTTTTTTCTGAATCATTTACCACTATGCCTTGGTCCTCGAACCATGAGAAACGACGATCGGCGTTCTGCATCGCCTGTCACGCGTAAAAATGGCACTTTGCAGTCGTGTGAACCCTGTCGGAGATCCAAACAGCGATGTGACCATGACCGGCCGATTTGTCGCCGATGCACTTCAAAAGGAATTAGCGATAAATGTTTTTACCATCCAGCTCCAATGACTAGGCGGAGGCCTTCTGATCCAGCAAATCCCGCGAGAGTCTCTAGTCGACTGACCAGTCAACCAACCTCAAAGTAAGCACCTCCTGTAACGGATGATAGACCCATAACTAATGTGTAAAAACAGTGCTTCCAGCCCAGGCTCAGGCTCACTGGCAAATGGACGTTTCTTCGCGCCTTTGGAACCACCCTCAGCTCTTCCTGGATATCTGGGCTCGACAAGCTACTCTGCGGTTCTGACGGAGCACCGCAGTGATATTTCGTTCGAGCCTGAAGATGGTACAGATCCCTCTGCGGGGTGGGTAGTAGAACCAGATCGACTCCAATCCGGGCTTGATGTACTGCAGTTTCTGTACAATCTCACTCTGCGTGATTTGCTAATTGCACGGTTCTATGCTCGGACATTGAACATCGTCGTGCCCAAAATGGTAATGAACGAGATTCTGCGCTCAGTGCGCCAAATCTTCGACGAGTTCTCTAGTGATCCAACAGCACAACTGCAAGAGTTGGCGAATCAAATATTTCAAAACACCTCCCGCCCGATGCGGACGCACAAGTCTATGTCACTCGAGGAGTATCTCTCCTCTTTCACCGGTCGCAACCTCCGGTGGGAGGCTCTTGGGTCTATCCTCACTCTCTGCGGAATGCAATTGGCCATTACGCCAGATAACGATCCTGACATTACGCAGGGCTCGGATGACCCTCGAGCAAAAGACCGCTTATTAGAGCAGGTGACTGTGATAAGTACAGTATGCCTTGGCCTCTGTGACCAGGCATCTTCGGCAAACGAATTGCTGGCAATGTTGCAATTCAATGATGTTATGTTACGAACACAGCAATATGGTGATTCCAGTAAGACTTTCTTGATTATCCTGGTCCCAAATTTATTTACTGACCACCTGTTAGGCTATCAAGCATGGCGTCGATTGGGCGACCTTGTATCCACAATTTACGCAGCTGGCCTACACTTGGATACTAATGGTACTGAGAGTTCTGAGAATTGTCCATTCTTTCTTCATCAGTGGCGGAGGCGCTGCTTCGTTGGCGCCTTCTACATGGATAAAATGATAGCAACATTTGTCGGACGACCACCCCTGATGAATGGTCGATTCTGCACACTTGCTGCTCCATTGGATCTGAGCGACGAAGTTCTGGTTGCAGGCGGGGATGTCCTCAGAAAGGCTATTTCAGAGCTAGACAGTGCCGGGTGGAATACTGAAGGGAAAATACACCTAGTGACCCCAACTCGCCTCCGCTATCAGCTGGGTATCATTCGGGAAGAAACCCTTGAGGTTGTACTGGGGACTTGCGAGCAACACGATCTAATTCAGAGGTCCGAGTAAGTATATATTCTCCTTCAACCCACATGTTTTCTTGGTACTGAAGTATTTTTTTTTTTCAACAGAGAGATCCAAGCAAAATCCCGCGCCATATGGGCAGCTACTCCGGATCAGCTTCGATACGACCGGCGATCGAATGATCATTTTCATGATGCGTGGCTTACCATTGTCTACTTTTATTTGGACTATCTAATGACTTGCTTTTTGCTCTACCGAGCAGTCGTTAAGCATACGAACACCGGCCAAGCCGATCTTTGCGATGTGTCTCGTCGGGTGCTAGCCATTGTCATTCAGATTAATTCATTCCGAACCCCAATGGTTGATCTTGACCGGCACTTCTCTTGGATAGTATGTCGCTCATGGCTGCCATTGATGGAAGAGATACATGTGCTAATAAATCTAGGTTCTCACATACGGTGTTCCTTCTGCCAGCGTCCTTCTCCTTGAACTCCTGCGCCAATCGCATGAGCCCGGTCCACACGCTGTTCCTCTCCCGCGCGCTGAGTTGATCCGCAACCTTAGCGTGTTTATTTCTTTCCTATCCTGGGTCGCCGGTCCCGGTCACGGCAACTATCATACCTGCAAACAAGCCGAGAAAAAGCTATCTCGCATTCTTGATCAGCTACTCGATCCAGAGCCCGTGCAGCAGCACGTGGTAGACGATGTCACAACCGGGCTCGACAACTTCCTCAATTGGTCGAACTACAATACGATCTGGGACTTTAACACCGATTATATGCCTCCTGCCGAAGGCTTTGCTCTTTGAGTATTGGTCGCTTTATCGGGAGGATCATTTGGAGGCCAAAAATGTATTCATTACGTCGTGATTGTAGAAACCCCTCTGGTCGTTGGCTGGTATCTGCTCATACCATCCACACGTAATCGTTACGGGGCGGTGTTTCGGCCACATAATAGGCCCGATGACACAGCGGGCAATTAAAGTGGTCTCCCAAGAACCACTTTTCTAAGCATTCCCGGTGAAAAACGTGCAAGCACCGCAGATCGCGAATCTCCTGTGTGCGGTCTACTTGCTCCAAACAAACGGCGCTGAGTACAATGTCAGTCACTGCTCTACCAGCAAAGCATAATAAAAAAACACATACCACACGAATTGTCCATCGACGGCCTCAGACAGTCCAAGATTCCCTTTAGTGGTCGTCCACCACTTCTCGAGCGTGCAGGTTGGCGAAACCTTATCCAACTTGCGCAACCGCTCACTGGGATTTTTCCTTGATCTTAGGAATGACTGCCTGTCCCGGCGGTTGATGAGTATTGTCAGACTGGATGATACAGTTAGGATGAGATGGACTGGAAGGATTTATGTAGCATTGACGGAGCGAATGTATTGGTAAGAATGGGGCGGATGGAGGGGATACAAGATATGTCATGCAATAATATACACAAGATACAAAGAAATCAAATCTCACTTACATCAAACTAAGCACGATGAGTAGCACCACCCCAAGTCCGATACCTAAGACGATCGCCATATGGTTCTTCTTCAGGTTGGTTTCTTCAGCCATCTCTCCGAGTCTAGGATGCTCTGTTGCACGAGTCAGAGTTGCGTCGAGGAGATAGTGGCCAAGGTCGAAAGCGAGATCAAAGACCGCAATATCAAATAATCCTAACTTGGCGATCACAAGCTAAAAGTAGGTGCCCAGGTGTCACAGCTCGGTCGCCGTACCGGTTCAGAGAGATTGCAGTCTAACAGACCCGATTTTCCCCCCAAAATAGGGAGAAAGGCACACAAAGAGCCAAAATACCAGTTCAAATCACAGGAAGCGAGTGCCAGGTCTGAGAATATCAAAATCCAAAGAAGATTAGACTTGTAGCAAGGATTATCAATCTGGGGATCTCCATGTCCAAGCGTCAGAGCGGGGAAAAAGATGATCATAGCTAGTATTTGCTATTATCTGCTATTATTTGCTAGTATTTGCTATTTTGTTAATTTCTTGGGCATTGAGGTATTGAACCAATCAACATTATGATATGAAGGGGGGAATGTTGATCGGCTGGATTGTCCTTCTGTTGTACGGGGGAGGGGGGGATAAATAAGTACGGAATAGATACTCTCTTATTATTCGTCTATTGTATTAGCTTTCAACTTCGTATCTCAGATTGGTGCCATCGCAATGTGCCAGATGACACTGTTTTAAAAGACTAATATGCCTCCCTACATTATCATTGCAAGGGTCGTATTGTAGATGGACACATTCCTCGAAGATTCTAGGCAGTGTTTCACTGTTCTGGTATTCTAGACTCCTACTTTATTTCAAGGGACTGTTAGGGTCTAGATCTATGTCCGACTTGGTGGATAGGTCCAATACTCTCAGCAAGTAGAAGAAAAAGTCAATAAACGTTGAGAAGCTACCCCGGCCCAGACCCCAGCTAGATGTTGTAAGTACTTCTTGATCTCCATACTCTAAACTCATTGCAGAATGCACTGTCCTCTTTCTTGTTGATTAGTTGCCGCTGGTGTTATGCATATGTGCTATGTCACTGCTTCATGTGGCTTGCTCAGTGTGCGTCGACCGAAGAAAGAGTCAATACTATTGGTTTCTTACTGCGCAAATTTGGCTTGATAGACTGGGATGAAGATGGGACATCAGAAGCGATGACATAGCCAGTAAGCATGCGCCCCACTCCGATCATTTATAAAGTAGGGGCTCTAAACAGCTGCTTATGGGGTGTCGATCAAACATAGGAATGCTCCTCATTGGGTGAATTGGTCGAAGCGGTCTATACATGAGTCCATTTTGTACATATAAAACCGATTCTAACTGTCGACAGAGTCAACTTTGGAATAAGTCGACCTCACGAAGAATAATCAATACGAATAATATCTTAGATTTAAGGTTGAATGTAGCTAGGCAGGTAAGTATATATACAACCTCGACGATACGCTGGGCCTATGAAAACTGAAGTTCCCCAAACTCGACCCGACGTATTGATTTCCCAAGGTCAAGGGAATACATTCATATCCGACCATTCCGGTCTATTAAATATGTGGCCATCGCAGTAAAGCTCTTTGCTTTGAAAAACATAGGGTCTACTTCACCGATGACCCCCTGTGCACTATATCACATCTGGGAGTCAAGCTGTCATTGCCCTTTTTGAGAATAGAACAAATCTGGGATCTCCTTTCTGAACGAATGCTCCTTCACTCCTTGCGAAAAGTCATCCGGGAGAATACATTCCACCACGTGTAAGTCTTCCTCGTGGGGTCACGTGAGGGCGCGTAACCACGCGTTGGGTGCTCACGGGAGGTGAAGGCAAAAGAAGGCAAACACTACGAGGTATCCTGTGGTTGAGTCGTCCAGTCCGAGGAGAAATTTCAGATATGCCTGTATTGAACGCGAGGACACGCTTCGCGCTTCACGCAGATAACTGTATAGACTACTGCAATCTCATACCAAGTGTGGGCCCAAACGTCCAGCAGCCCAACGCGTTAATATAGACAAATGTAGAATAAGCATTCATAGAAGGCGAAGATATAAGAAATCTATACGGAGTAGACTCACAAAGGAACAAGATCAAAGCAAATTAGAAAACGATTGGTGTGTCCAAGTACCAGGTACCTCGGAGGAGCACTTTGTTACTAGCGCGGGCCACGTTCTTTCTACTCCGCGTCCACACCGCGACGCGATTTGATACAGTTTTCTGCATGCCAGCCTCACGGCTTTTCCATCTTTTGTCCTGTTGTCTTTTTTTCTAATTATTGATCTGGTGATTCGGTCCTGTTGCTTTCTCTCTACCCTCCCAACCACTCCATGCTCTCTTAGGTATCATGTCTGATCCGGAGCCCTCGGTGGCAATCTCATCCTCGCCCTCTCTCCCGGCCACCGACTCCAATCCTCTTAATTACGCTTTCCTCGTGCATTCGCAAAAACCCCTTACACAAAATCTCCCTCCTCGTGTCGACAATAAACTGTTAGCCCGCCAGAAGCGACGTCGAACTAGGTATGCTATTATGGTTGTGGTCCATACTATCAAACGCGTCAATTAACCCGATATGAACTATTTTATAGTCCGGAGGATCACGCAGTCCTTGAGTCCGAATACCAACAAAACCCAAAGCCAGACAAAGCAGCTCGCACGAGTATCGTGAACCGCGTCTCACTCGGTGAGAAAGAGGTTCAAGTATGCGATGCCAAGAGTTCACGCACAAAAACCACTTCTAACTGGCTTACAGATTTGGTTTCAAAATCGCCGCCAGAACGATCGTCGGAAATCCAAACCCCTTCAGCCTCACGAATTACTTGCCCCGCGGTCGGGGATGGTCGATTCATCAAGTCAGCCTTTAAGTGATGATAACGCGTCGACGGAGCCGGGGTCTTCAAGTGGGGCAGAGCAGTTTGACATCAACGACCACCGCGAGGAAATGGCATCAAAACCATGGCACGGAGGACTATTGCAATTCTCAGATGATTCAGATCCAGTGACTGAAGATAAAGATGAACATGAGCTGCCCCAGAGCACTCAAACAAGCGTGGCAACAGAGGCTGCTGAGGCAACTCCGCCTACCACACAGGAAGAGTTTTCCCAACTGGAGAATGACCACTCCGAAGACTCGCTTCTGCAGGTACCAAAAAGAAAACGTTCAGTGTCGGATATTCGGGGCGAGGGAGAATATGAGCAGCAGACGGCAACCACACAAATCGCACAAGCCGCACAGACCACACCCACCAAGTCACCACCATCGCTGCGTTTGTCGATGTCGTTTGATGGAGAGGCGTTGTTAAGAAAAGAGGGTGAGTTAACACCATCGCCACCCAAGGGCCGCAACGCATTGCGTATCGCGATGTCATCGGATGGAAAGGCAGTTATCCGCGGAGAGAACGAACCATCACCATCTAAGAATCGCGTGGCGATGTTCTCCGTTCGCCGAACAAAGATGTCAAGCCTGCGACGGAGCAGCAGCGCCGTTTTCCCAGCCACGCCGCGGGCAGGTGTTGCCGAGAAAGACCGGGCTTTCGGTCGCTCTCGTGATCCACGTAATTGGGAATCATTCTGTGACACAGACGCAAGAAGTGCCCTATCAACACCAACCAGCGGGCCAAATGGTTCTCCTGGTCTCTTCCAATCTCGCAGCCAGCGCTCATTACCTCGGAGTGCCTCAGGGCGGCACAGCCTCGCTGCCCACGGCGACCCAAATACACCAATCTCTCAGTCTATGGGAGAGAAGAGACGGAAGCTTGCGCGCACTGTTTCATCTCTAGGAAGACTGGAGACAGGCCGAAACAAGGCGAACATGAACCCATCCAAGCTGTCTAAGCCTCTATTTTCCAAATCCGGAAAACCGGATCTGGAACAAGACCCCGGCGACTCTGATAAAGAAAATTGGGTTCCAGGCACACGATCGACGAATATTCGTCGTCGTAACACCTCACACATCCCACGACCTGTCCTCCGCGATGCGAACCGTAATCGTGGACTCGGCATCTCGACCAACGGTAAACGCAGTCGACCACTATATACCGGCTCGCAAGGCAAAGCCCCACCAGAACTCAGTGCAGAAGTCTCGGCTTTCATGGTGGGTGGCTCAGGGGATAGTCAAGAAGATGACCTGGACTGTGTGCAGGGTCTCCTATCGTTGAGCCAGGGGGCCTGGCGATAAGGGATGCATGATTGATGCATTGGGATTCCGAAGCGCCACTGCCTGTCGTTGCATCTTGATTATCCAATTTCCTTTGTGATGCTGAATTTCCTTTGTTCGAGCCCTGTATTTTTTTTATATCTTTATTGTCTTCATGATGTGTGCTTGCAAGCGGTCTTTGCCACTGTCACGTGAACCTTGTCCATGATATACTTTCTATCCGGGCTACTTTGTTTGTCTGCATCTCTTATGCATCTGGATCTACATGGTTCTTTATCTTTTCGTCTGCTTTACTCGGACCTGTCTGGTCTTACTGGACTTTCATGGTTGAACAAAGGTGAAAGCGAATTCCGAGAAAGATACTAATCCAACGAATCCAACGACCTGAAATACATTATTTAAGTATGAATGAAAATGTTCGACTTACTGGCTCCAATTTATAAGACATATCATGATTTACAGCTATGTAGGGTTTCTATCTCTCTATCACGCTATGTTTCCAAGCTATAATTCTTCAAAGACCATCTAAAAACAAAACACCATCCAGATCTATCTACATTAACTCACATAACAGTCATACAACCCCCTATTCAATGCTTATCAGCAGAAGGCAAGGAATCATCCTTAACCCCCATCTCATCAACCTCTCCGATCCCAAATCCCCGACAAACAGCCCTCGCAATCCTCTCCCCACTCCAATACGCCCCAGTAGTGGTCCCAAGCGCCACAAACGGCGCCGTATGCTCTCCAGCAAACCAAAGACCCCTACTCAACCCAATCCCATCCCCAGACCTAAGAACCTCAATATCGATATCCGCCTCTTCAATCCCAACCTGGAAATTACAATACGACCCATTCCCCGCAAACACATCCTTCTGCCACTGCGTAGCAAGCAACGCAACCGGCACACAATCTGGGTTCTCGGCGCTGTATCCAGGAAGTCGAGAGTAGAAAGGTTGTAGAGTTGAGATTAGGATGTCTCTGTATTCAAGTGATGAGGGTTCATGTCCGGAAAGACGGTTTATTATCTCCGCGCCGCCTGAACCATATGTGTAGAAGAGGAGGGTTGGATGGGCGTGTGGGGATGGGAGGGAGGCGAGGGAGAGACACTCCTGATTCCATTCTGTGTTTTCGGGATGAGTTGTGTAGGATGGGGTAAGGAATTGGGCGAAGACGGTGTTTTGTGATTGGGTTGTTGAAGTGCTGGTGTGATTGTGCCAGAATGCCTGTGGGAATGTCACGTATATCTTTTCAAGTCTGCCGTAGGAGATGTTGTCGATTGCTTTTTCGAGACGGGGTGGGAGAGCAGGTGTAAATGCTGAGGTATTTTGTTTGAGCCAGCCCAGTGGACAGGTTACGACTACTTCGTCGAAATCGTAGATTGCGCCTGTGGCTGTTGTTACGGTTACTTGGTGTTTCGATTGGGGTTTGCGAGGTGGTGCAGTGATGTTTGTGACTGGTTCGTTGAGACGGATGTCGGCTTTTTCAATGGCGGTTTTGGCGACGTGCGCTAGGATGCGTTTGTATGTAGATGCCACGACGAAGTTGCCTTGATTGATGCGTTAGAAGGGATATGTTATAGTAATGACTCATGAGGGATTTGCTACACGTACTTCCATCAACGCATTCTTCCAGACGGAAGAATTTTAAGCTCTGCTTGTCGACTTGGTCGCCGACATACGTACCCCAGAGCCTACAGGCATCAAGACAGAGTTGTTTCTCTTCATCTGAGAAGGCAGTGTCCTGGACTCGATCGCAGAAGAAATCGAACAGACTTCGCTCGACGGGAATGCTTTCTCCATGTTGATTGCTGTACTTGAAGGCTTCTGCTATAGTAGTCCATACAAAGTCCTGGACTTTAGCGCTCACTTCGTCGTTGATCGGGTGACCATCTCGTGAATAGGAGATATGTCTTCCACCTTCCGGATCATACATGACGGTTTCCGTTTCTTCCGCTATGGTCATGATGGGGTTCTCACCCGCGCCATGAATCCAATTAGGGCCTCTGGGTTGAGGGTCAGCTGGTGTATACTTCCCAGATCAAACTAGCTGCAGGGGTACATACAGATCTACCACATGGTCGCCAACTGTTGATTGGTGAATCTAACCGAAGAAAGTTAATAAAAAAAGACTTGGCTGCAGTACAAGGACGACATACTCTCCCGCCAATGCGATCTCTTGCTTCTAGGATTGTTACTCGGGCCCCATTCTGGATGAGCACTTCGGCACATCGGAGGCCTGAGATACCTGCGCCGATAATACCAATATGCGGACTTAGAGTCATGGTCAAAAATCAATGATCTGTTGATATGTGCAAAATGAAGATGAACATGTGAAGATTCTGGATGTCATTGGGCGGTGCTGCCGCGGTCGATTGATTGGTTACCGCTATCACCCTGGAGCCACTTGGGCTCTTATCGAGACATCTTCATCTGTCCAAGGTACAGGTACAATAGGTCTACGATTGAGGTTATGGAGATATTATTTTTTTGGGACTCGATCGCATTGATAAAGCGAGTCTAAAAGACATCGCAGATGCCGGGTCAAATAAATGCTCGGCAACAGATCGAGCTCAGCTTATGACCAGCATAATAGATACAAATAAAAGAAAAGAAGCCATACGCCTGGTCGAACCTCCGGAGCCGCTAGAAGCGAGAACATGGTGAGTACCACTGTCGCTGCCGTAGAACGCCGTGACGAAAGCGCTTTTTGAAACGAGAAACAGACGAAGGGTATGTACGGATCGGAGGTAATGGAAGGGTATCAAGGAAAGTCAAGAGAACGGAGCAAAGCGCCGAGGAAAGAAAGCCGATAAAGAAGCAGTGGAGATCAACTCCACTTTGAGACAGTGCAAGAGCACAAGGGGTGCTTTGTTGTAGACGAGGCGCGGATATTGGGTAGACTCGTATTAGACCGAGACACCCCCTTCAGTCTTCCCAGATGGTCTCCAGGTCAAGATCCTGCCGTCGCTCAGCACCACAAACACTCCATCGCTTGCGCTTATCACTCCGGGCTACATATCCGCCCGAACCCCCGCGCATTGTACTGAATGAGTTGGGCGCATCGGATGCCCCGCGCCGTCGGTTGGCATTGGTAGCAGCGTCGGCTGCATCAGCCGCAGCTTTCAACTCGGCGATGCGATCCTCTTCAAGAGCCTCATTCTCGGCGTCAGGGATATCGGGGATGGTTTCCAAAGACGAAATGCTGGGGCTTCGGGAGCGAAGGCTAGTCGGAGTTGAGGGGACGGAAATGGAGGAAACGGAGCCGGATGGACCGGGGTAAGATTCGTTGTATTTGGAGCCCAGGATGGGCGAGGAATGTAAGGGGGGGGCTGATAGGGGTCTGGAAAGAAAGGGGTGAAGTCGGACGCAGGCGACCGATGCGGGGGAGTGTCTGCGCCATGAGGACAGGAGACGAGGCTAGTGGAGATTTGGGAATGGTTTCTAATTCTGCGTTCTCGGAGATGGTTTCTGAGATGTTGAAAGAGCCCATACGGGATTCGATGTAATCGTCAGGGCGCATCATGGGATATCGTTTTGTGTCGCGGCCATTGACGAAGATATAACGACCTTGGGAGTCCAGCCCGGGGAGGAATAAGCGCGCGTCATTGACGGCATTCCCGGGATTCCAGCCAGTGACCGAGAGCGGAGATGCGATCGAGCCAAAGGGGATCGTGTCCGAGGTGGTGCCTGTGGTTCAGAGGAGAATGCGATCATGACGTCCTCCTTTTCCGGGACAACCCCGGAGTTGGTCCCGGATTCGTTGCGCATTTCTTCAGGTCGTGACTCCGTAAAGAAATAGAGAGGAAAAGGGGGTAAGCGCGATTTACCCTCGCATCATAGTAAAAAGGAAAAAGAAAACTCTTGGACCTGCCAAGTGAAAGAAAAAGGGGAAGTTCCGAAATACTGGTGAGGTTGACGTTGTGAAAAGATAAAAAAAAAAGAGAGGCGTAGAATCTCCGACTCTCAGAGAATCTCAGTCGGAAAACCACCCTTACTCAAATTGCTGGGCGCACCAAATATCCTCGGCGATTTCTCGCAGAGCCGCTTCAACAATTTGTATGTCTCTTTCTTTTGAGGGTGCTCTTCCGACAAAACTCTCAAAAGGGATGATGAGGGACCCGGAAACTGCGACTTGACCCTCACTTTTTCGGATGAGAACGGTCTGAGTGCTTCCCTGGGAATCTCGTTCGTATTTTTCGAGTTGGATCTCCGGTCTTCTTCGATTGATTTTCATTGCCAACGCAATGCTGACGTTCCCCCGTGCCGGGTCTACCCACATGTCGATATCTCGACGTAGTCGAGCCAGAGATCCCGAAACTGCAACTTCTAAAACCATTGTTCGATTCCTGGGTAACTTCTTGGGGACCCAAGCGGCATCCGGCTGTTTTGTTCCCTGAGGGTGTTCATGTGGCACAGCTGTATAGTCCAGGAATACGCGACGCAGTCCCATACGTTCTAAGGCCTCTTTGACTGCATATTGTAGAGAACAAGCTCCTTGGGCATGTGCTGGTGTCACCATTTTGACGATCAGACTTTTTTTTTCTTTTTCAAACGATGTGAGAACAGACCGGATGGGGTGTTCCGAGTCGAGGAAGTCTCGTTGGTAAGTTGCACTGTCAATGTAAAAAACAACGTATTCATTATCGAGAGCTGTAAGATTGTCGAGAAATTCGTCCTTGAAACGGTGGATGATTCGAATGAATTGTTCCATTCCTTGATACCGATATCTCCTCGTTGTCAAAGGTAGACATAGGTCTTCCAGATCACAATCCGAAATACCATTGTGGCAATTATCCTCCATGTTTCACTTTTGAAGTTGATTCTTGATACCAAATCTTGAAATCAATATAGACAGTATCACTTCAAGGATGGAGGTGATGCGAGTATCCCACATGGATCCCAATCTGCTTGGCAGCATCTATAATGTCAGAGGTAGGTCATTGAGCATGTACCAGCATAAAGGACCCGAGTTTGAACTGGTGGCTTTATAATGTCTTTCTAACTATCTTTCGAAGTGCCTTTCTAGAATTTATTTGCGTGTCTTTCTGGATGTCTTCCAAAAACGTTTCATCTGTGTGATAGCTAGGAATATGATAGTGAACTTTTGAAGCACCAGAAACGGGAACAATAATACAGACTAGACTCTACATATTGGCAGATCAGAAGGAAATTTTGATCTTGACAGCTCCATATAATGTCAGCCATGTACATGGCATTTAATACAACTCCTTCTGATTACCTATTAGACAGTATAGAAAAGGCCAAGTCAATGGCATATAAAAAACAAGGAAGCAAAATCATCTCACGGCTCGGCCTCTTCCTCGCCCTCCTTGCACTTAGAAACGTTCTTGCGGACATAAGTTTCCCGCACTATATCTCCTTCATGCTTGAACACCACCCACTCACCCATACCATACTCCTCCGGTGCAACACGTATACCACGACCACCCCCACCAACAATCACATTACCAGGACGGTACTTAGGATCCGCCTGCATACGCCGAATAGCAGAAACATGGATCTCAGCATTAAGCGGAACATCCCGCACTTCGCCACGAGGCAACGGCCAGCTAATCGGCTTCCACGACCCATCAGGCTGCAGATCCATACGACGGAACGGCAACCATTCCATAATTCGCCAGGTGATAACAGACATACTAGGAATACCCTGGTTGAACATCAAGCAGTCATGTAGCAGCCCCTTCGTACTGGAGGTGTGTAGCGCATGCCAGAAGTCGCGACTTGCAGCAGATCGCTCCTTCTCATCCGGCATAGAGCGGAAAGCATCCTCATTCTCAGCATGAGGCTCAACGCACCGACTCGGGCGGCGGGAATTGATCTCTTCCCGGATCGGACTGTAATCACCATCGTACTCCTCCAGACATTGAAACTGCTTCATCTTGCGCTGATCCAGCTGGAGTCCGGCCTTGTACGCTTCCTGTGTCATCCACACGAGCGGCGCGTGACTGAGAGCCCATGACTCGCCATCTGAGAGTTTCCACCCGCCGCCGATGTCTGCGTGGCAACCTGGGAACCAGACTTCGTGGATGTCTTGGTCGTCTTCGTCGTCGCTTGAATCGACCTCCACGACCGGAATTCGTACTGAGAGGGTGTTGGATTGCATGCTGTGGTAGGATTCTTTGCTTCGCACTGAGTGGAGATCGTCCATGGATGCTTTGGGCACCGCGAGGCTGCGTCGGGGGGAGTGTGCGCGGTATGTGTCGGGTTTCATTGTCCCGTTGTCGCTACCGGCGCGGGAGGGTGGTTGCGAGGATGTGTGAGAAGCTGGATGGTGGGAGGCACGGCGCCCCGTGTGGTAGTATGTTTCTCCGGTACTGGGCCCCCATTTGGGATCCTTGAATTCAGGCTCGGCCTTCCCTTCCTCCTGCTGTTCTTCCTGAGAGTCATCATTTAACCGAATGGCTGGGACGTTGTCTGGGTGTTCCTCCTGAGGCTTCTCCTGGGGTTCCTCCTGGGACTTCTCTTTGTGGTCCTGATGGAAGAGGTGCAGATGATTCTTGGGCAAATGATGGCGACGGCGATGTTTCTTCTTCTCTTTTGGACGCGCCCCAGAGATCAGATCTTGCCGGAACTTTGCACGGCGCTCGTCAATACCCACGGCATGGCGAATCACCTTAGCCGAGCTGCGTGCCGTGTATGGGAACTTGGTACGCTGCATCCATGCAGACTCAAAGCGCGGCACACTGTTGACGGTATCGAAAAGACCCATGAAACGGATACGGGAGATCGGACGACTGAAGGTCTCACGGAAAGCTTTCATGTATGCGAAGAGCTTTTTCTTTTCTTCGCGCTCTTCTTCCGAGTCGTCGGACCGCTGCTGCCATTTGGCGAATGTCTTCCACGCAAACCGGACCAGTTCCTCGTTTCCTGCTTCGAGCAGACCGATGTAGTCCAGCATCTCTGCAAGGAATCGCGCGATGTATGACCCACGACTAAAGCCGATGAAGAAGATCTCATCGCCAGGGGAATAGTATCGCATCAGGAACTTATACCCACCCATGACATGCTCATCAAAAGAAGACCCGACCGCCGAGTCCTTGGCCTTTTGATAGGCGGACTTGATACGTTGGATGCGGCCATGGCTAGTCAGTGACTTTGAGGTCACATATGTGCCAATGCCTGGCTGGTAGTAATGGTACTGATGGCTCTTGCTGCGGTCAAGCATCTGTAATCTCTTAGCACCTGTTCAAACGCTTGGCTCGCACTCCCACTTACGCGAAAGATCTTGAGCACATTACTATCCGACTCGTCACCAGCGAATTTGTTTCCGGTACCATCAAAGCAAAGCACAAACTGCTTCGGCGTACCTGATAGGGCTTGGTGTTCATACCCGTAAGCCATGATGCCACCGAATAAAAACCAAACAAAAAAGTTCAAAACGCTTGACAGCTAAGAATTCAAGGGGGGCTATATACGAGCAGGGGGAAAGGCTCCAGGCTGGGATGACGCTTTGATGCAGCTAGATACAGCTAGCATTACACGAATCCGCAACCTACATCGGACCCAGCGAAGGGGGAGTAGGATAAGAATATACAACCCACTAGCCGATCGTTGCAGATTTGTGAAAAAAATACGTCAAACTTGCGCTGGCTGACGGGCGGGTCCCCCAGACTTGGCAAATTTTCATTACAAGGGTCATTTGTTTTACTGGGATTCATTTCGGTGTGGATGAAATGATTCACTGACTCGCATCTGTCCAGGTGTAGGTTACAACGTACATAAAATCTTCGAGTCTAACGGGGGCGCATTCCATCCAATGGAGACGAGCCGGTAATCATTGCTGGATATGCAAAGTTATCGCGAACTGGGCTGAACCTGACTTGAGTTCTGCACGAGGGATGCAGCTTGCGCGGGCCGGACCTGGGTAGCGTGTGAATTTGGAATCCTGTGAGATGGAGCTGAACAGAGACTAAAGGAGAGACGTGCATATTTGTCCTCTTGCCATTCCGTGCGCGAGTAATCATTGGCCCCCAGTTAGCGTCGAGGTTGGAGCTATGAGATTTTGAAAGGAGACGATGCTGGGTGTTCGGGACATAACTGTCGATCATTATCCATAGAGTCATTCTAGACAGCAATGTATCAGGGGGTGTAAGGGGTGAGATGGTCCTATCGAGTGTTCCGTCGTGTGGGTTCGGCTTTGAGCGATCAGATCCGGTCTAACCCTCTATGGCAATCAATATCCAATCCTTCACGGCCCAGGGTAGTGGTCCACTTATGTTTGCCGCCACTTTCTTGGAATTGAGAAAGTTACTCGAGGTGTCAGTGTGACTGTCACTGCAATCGGATACAAAAAACCTTGCAATATTCAAACTTTCATCAGGCGTCATCCCGCGTGTGGTTCCCTGAAAACGAATGACAACACCCGAAACGGAAGGAGAGTGGGACTTTTCATATCCCCCCCCAAAAAAGGGACGCAATGGAACTGGATCTACGGCCGAACAAGGGATCTCTGCAATAATACGGACTACCTAGGTAGGTAGGTAATAGCTGGATTAAAGACAACCTTGGAACCTTCGAAGATATCCAATTTATGCATATCATATCCATGGATAGATGATGCGGGAGTGGCCTTTAACAAATGGCTGACCCATGGTTTGTCAAAACCTTACCATTGAACCATCCCCAGATCTCATACTCCGTATCTTCCAAGGTTGATCTGCTAAAGGGGAAAATGCAGTTTGTCATTTTCGCGTGGAAACTCCCGTTTTACCGACGCCACGAGGATGTACGTACAGAGTCGACAAAAAAAAAAAATTAAGACCCTAATAGTGGATGTTCCGAGATGGATCAGATTCTGAATAATTAGTGACTGGCAGATTTCAGCTGCCAATTAGAAGCGACATATTGTGGTTCGCGCGCGAGTGGCCCGTTCGCCACTTAATTTCATAGTTAGTGGATGAAAAAGTGGGCCTACGACGATCAAAACAAAAGAAAGAAGGCCAAATAAAAGTGAGTTTTTCATGGTGAATTCTGCGTCTCCGTCACATTAGGGTTCTTCCTTACATCCCAAGTGCTACAGAGTACTGGTTATGGAGGAGCACTACCTTGTGTCCTACACCACATAACCCTTATTGGAGCAAATTATAGGGCGTAATAGCACTCGAAAGTTCATTTCCAGCCAGCCACCAAATACATTGGAATTTCTTTCTCGGAAAATGCAGACAGTCCGAGCATCTTACCCCACTTGGGGTCGATTTAGTTCGATCGTGAGATCCCATTATGCATCAATTTGCACTTCAATCGGACAACCTCGTACAGATAGTGTACACCGCTGATTATAGTCCCGTATTACGACATTCTTACAACCATTGGTCTATTATCCGCTTCTTCCGAGCCTTATGTACAGATAGATTTGGGCTTGCTTTTCAGCTCAAAAGATTCTGGGGTTTGCCATACATACCGAGTACTCCCACATAACCGCGGCCATCTTAGATCGAATTGAACCATACGGAATATAAGACCTAGTTATAGAGTAATTGGTATACACCATAGAACAAATAACCCCTTTCTCAGATGCCGAAGGCCATAAATGTTGATCACTTACTATATTGAGATACTTCATCGAGAGCCCACTATAGAAACTCCACTCCGCTTGAGAACTAAGCTTGTACCATGCGGGGCTGAAATAATTGTTACAGAGGACCAGGTGCAGGCCCGAGAGATCGACCTGATGCTCTCCATCAAATTAAAAATGCTGTCATTGCAGTCAATCAACTATTGGCGATAGCAAATCCGCCAATTCTCACACGCTCCACAGTCCTGCAGCTGACTTGCGTCGCCCGCGCAGCTCGTTTTAAAGAGCACCGTCGAGCTTCTGATTTATTTCTCCCCCTGATCGAGCCCTTGGTAGCCACTTTCTCCTTTCTCTTATACTTAATTTTCTTCTGGCTTGTTTGTGGCATCATTCTTCACAATGTTAAGGAGATTCTCTACTCAGTTCAAGCGGTCCAAGGACTCCAAGGACTCCAAGGACTCCAAGGACCCGAAAGACTCCAATGGTGAAACCGAGCCCAAGAGCACAGATAAGAGCAGCAAGCGCATCTCTAAGGTGTCGCTAACTCGGAAATCCACCTCTCACCAGGAGGAAAATCACGTCGTGAAGCGTTCCGAGGTCGTTGCTGTATTTGAGAAATATGCGCAAGCAATTCACGCCTCGCAGGATCCTCTACCCAACCAGACCGGCGATAGCTCCTACTTGAAGCACGACAAATCGGCCGGTCTCATCAATGACATTAAGTCACTGGGATTCCGTGATGTCAACACTGTCAAAGATCTCATTGCGAGCAAAACCTCCGGTGAGCTTGTTGACGACAAGACCTACTTGATGGAGCGCATAATCCAGATGGTTTCGGATTTGCCCGGCAACTCCAAGAACCGTGTTGAGCTCACCAGCGTATTCTTGGATGAGCTATGGAACTCAATTCCTCACCCGCCTCTCTCGTGAGAAATCCTCAATTGGGAACGCTCGGTTTGCAATCGCGTACTAACTCTGCGAATAGTTACATGGGAGACGAGTACAAGTATCGCTCGGCCGATGGCTCAAACAACAACCCTACTCTCCCGTGGCTGGGAGCTGCTAATACCGCCTACTGTCGCACCATTCCTCCTCTGACCATCCAGCCCAGCGGATTGCCCGACGCCGGCTTGATTTTTGATACCCTCTTTGCTCGCCAGGAATTCACTCCGCACCCCAACAAGGTCTCCAGTGTTTTCTTCGACTGGGCCTCTCTGATTATTCACGGTAAGTCGGTGGCACTGAAAGTTGTAATTCAGGCACTAAGATGCGCGTTATGTACACAGACATTTTCCAGACCGATTACCGCCAACAACACCTCAACAAAACCTCTGCTTACCTCGACCTCTCCATTCTATACGGTGATGTTCAGGAGCAACAGGATCTGATCCGTTCCCACCAGGACGGAAGGCTGAAGCCTGATTGCTTCTCCGAGGGTCGTCTGCAGGCCCTTCCTGCCGCCTGTGGTGTCCTGCTGGTTATGCTGAACCGTTTCCACAACCACATTGTTACCCAGCTGGCTGAGATCAACGAAAATGGACGCTTTAGCAAGCCTCGCCCTGGCCTGTCCGAAGAGGACACCAAGAAAGCCTGGGCCAAGCGTGATGAGGATCTGTTCCAAACTGGTCGTCTCATCACTTGCGGTCTTTACATTAACATCACTCTCTATGACTACCTGCGCACCATTGTCAACCTGAATCGCACAAACTCAACCTGGTGCTTGGATCCCCGTGCCCAGGTGGAGAAGGCTGGTGCCACTCCTTCTGGTCTCGGCAACCAGTGCTCTGTCGAGTTCAATTTGGCCTACCGGTGGCACTCGGCCATCAGCCAGGGCGACGAGAAGTGGATTGAGCAGGTTTACTATGACCTCATGGGCAAGCCTGCCGAGGAGGTCACCATGCCTGAGCTACTGATGGGTATGAAGAAGGTTGAAGGCACGCTCGAGGCTGATCCTTCTAAGCGTACCTTCGCCCGCCTGCAGCGTAACGCAGATGGATACTTCGATGACGGAGAGCTTGTGAACATTTTGACTTATGCTACCGAGGATGTTGCCAGCTCTTTCGGTCCCCGGAATGTGCCTAAAGCTATGCGCTCCATCGAGATCCTTGGTATCGAGGCTTCGCGTAGATGGAACGTCGGCTCTCTTAACGAGTTCCGGAAGCACTTCGGTCTAAAGCCTTACGAGACTTTCGAGGAAGTCAACTCCAACCCCGACATCGCTAATACTCTCCGTCACCTCTACGAGCACCCTGATTATATTGAATTGTATCCTGGTATTGTCACTGAGGAGGCCAAGGAGCCTATGATCCCTGGTGTTGGCATTGCCCCGACCTACACCATCTCTCGTGCTGTGCTGTCCGATGCTGTTGCGCTTGTCCGTGGTGACCGTCACTACACCATTGACTACAACCCTCGCAACTTGACCAACTGGGGTTACAACGAGTGCCGCTACGACCTCAACATCAACCAGGGCTGTATCTTCTACAAGCTGGCCACGCGCGCCTTCCCTAATCACTACAAGCCTGACTCCATTTACGCTCACTACCCTATGACCATCCCCAGCGAAAACCGCAAGATCATGAAGGATCTGGGCCGTGAGCAGGATTACTCCTGGGATAAGCCCGCCTTCACTGAGCCTCGTGTCAACCTGGCGTCTCACCAGAATGCCAAGCTACTGCTCGAAAATCAGCGAGACTTCCGCCCCAGCTGGGCCCGCTCCATGTCTGAGCTTTTCGGTAAGGGCGAGTTTGACACGAAGCAGCGCGAGGCTATTGGCAAGGCTCTCAACACCGAGGAGTTCCCCAAGCTCGTCAAAACCTTCTACGAAGACATCACTGAGCGCCTCATTGCGGAGAAGGCTGGCCATCTGGGCAAGATCAACCAGATCGATATCACTCGCGATGTCGGCAACGTGGCCCACGTCCACTTCGCCTCTAGTCTGTTCGGCCTTCCCCTGAAGACCGAGCGGAACCCGCAGGGCCTCTTCACCGAACAAGAGATGTACATGATCCTCGCGACCATCTTCTCGGCGCTTTTCTTCGACGTCGATGCACCTCGTTCGTACGCCCTGAACAGCGCCGCGTCCGCAGTCTCCACGCAACTCGGCCAGGTGGTCGAGGCCAGCGTCAAATCCGACACCAACAATGGTCTCTTCGCCGGCATCATGGACAGCTTCCGCCCACATGACAACGCCCTCCGCGAGTTTGGAACTGAGGCCATCCGTCGTATGAAGGACGCCGGCTCCAGCGCCTCGGAGATCACCTGGTCTGCCATCGTGCCGACGATCGTCGGCCTAGTCCCCAGCCAGGGCCAGGTCTTCACCCAGATCATCGAGTTCTACACCGCGCCCGAGAACAAGATCCACCTTGCTGAGATCCACCGCTTCGCGAAGACCAACTCAGCTGAATCAGACGAGAAGCTGTACCGCTACTGTCTGGAAGCTATTCGTCTGAACGGCACTTTCGGCGCCTTCCGCGAGGCCAAGGAAGCTGTCACCGTCGAGGAAGACGGCAAGATCTACACCATTCAGCCTGGTCAGCAGGTCTTTGCCTCCTTCAACCAGGCTAACCACGACCCCAGCGTCTTCCCTGACCCCAACCAGGTCAAACTTGACCGTCCCCTTGACTCATATATCAACCATGGCCAGGGTCCCACCACTGGCTTTGGCGAGCAGATCACCAAGATCGCGCTCATTGCTATGTTGCGTGTTGTCGGTAGTTTGCAGGGTCTTCGCCGTGCTCCTGGTGCTCAAGGCCAGCTTAAGAAGATCGCCCAGGAGGGTGGATACTCCGTTTACCTCCGCGGTGACGGAACTTCTTACTTGCCCTTCCCTATGTCGCTTAAGCTGCACTGGGATGCTCCCTCCGAGCAGAAGAAGGCTGCGTCTTCTTAATAGTTTCTCTCCGGTGTTTGTTGGTTGAAGCTGTTTATATCAAACTGCGCGGATTTTATGTTACATGGACGTAATTAACTCGGGGTGGGCTATGATTTTATGCCTTTTTTTGTTTACTGTTTTGTTTTTGACGACATGTTTGGTTGCCAGGATATCCAGAAATTGTTGAAGCTTTGTTGTTTATAGCAGTGTAGTGTATAGTTTTGAATATTTCACCGGTTTCATTTCCTTGCGTGGAACTCAGTAGAGTATATAGACAGAATACCGGATCAATCAACTTTTTAGGATAGAGCTGCGACTCTGGTCGTGCGTTTGACGGTCGAGAAAGAGAGAGGCACGTTGTTGAAATTGTTGGCGGGTTGACAATGAATGAAGGTATTATTTGTGACGGTACTTGAAGGGTGCTCTGGTATTTGACGCAAGTTGTTGGTATTTCAATAAGTCCCCCAGCCTTTAGGAACAAAAGGCAGGGAAGCAAACGTAGTATCGAGATCAGTATTGCGTTTACTCTGTACCTAGTCCCTGTTTGCAGACGAAGGTGACTGTTGTCAGATCTCGCGCTCTTCCCTATCCAATATCAATTACCGAACGGGCGACGCTGATATTCTCTTCTTGCTGTTGTAGATATATCTGTTCGAGCATATCAGTGACAGTCTAACATTATATTTATTTGATTCGGCGATTTCATTTCCCCCAGAGTTATCCGTGGAATAGAATTGAAGTGAAGTGAAGTGAAGTCAAGTTAAGTCGCTGTCGCGTGTCCGGGATCTGCTCACCGCCTTCGCGCCTGTCCGCAACTCCGATGTTCAATCAAGACCTCAAGGCACTGGTCCTTGAATCAAGCTTGAATCAAACGATCTGGATGCTCAAGAGAGGATTTCAGACTGTTTACTTCTCATTCCCACCAAACAATCACCCTCTGCGAAGACATTAGACCAGACCCCATATCGTCGATCGGCGGTGGGATTTGCGCCAACCCTGCAACCCGTGAGAATTCAGTCAACACAAGACCACCAAGAACGCTCTCCCAATCGCAGAATTGGGATCGCACAGACTGGGAAAATCCCGAAACCTCATCTGCAATATCCTATACTCTCGATGCAATCTACATGATGTCTCCGGCAGTCTCGGTGGAACTCGTATCGGTTTAGTTTTGCCCGCGATCTTCGCTCGCATATTTGAACCTCGCCGGAGTCTACACAAGCTTCGATTTTCGAAACTACGTACGGGAAATAGTCCGAAGTTTAAATCCCGATTTCGCGCACAGTACACCTTCCCTCTCCATTCGTGACAGCCATGGCGGGGATGGGGACGGCCGCCGGCGCAAACCATGCCAACGGCTCTACGGCCACAAAGCCCACAGCCAACCCCTACGAAACCAACCCTGATCACATTCCCAGCGATGACCCGTTTCTTTCCCAGAGCGCGCAGTATGGTCGCTACACACCCCGCGCCGACGATTTCACCCCTCGCTTCATGAACTGGTATCAGTCCGACCCAGCTGTGAACTCGTTCTGGGAGAAGGTTGCGCAGAAATACTGTACACCGGAATACTCACTCAATATCGCAGGGCCGAGGGAGGCATTCGCGGCTGGGAGCATAATAATCTGGGTTGACCGCGAACTGGCCGATGGAGCGGCGGCTGACAGATACTCGTCTGCGAATGCGAATGAATTGTCAGCCGCGCAGAAGGCAGAGGACTCGCTCAGAGAGATCGGCGTTGCAGTACCAGTGACATACTTTTGCGGGACGATTGAGGGGAGGAACGTGACAATCGAGTCTCGCATTGCGGGCGTCTCGCTGGAAGTTGCGTGGAGGTATCTCGGCACGGAACAAATCGAGGTTCTGAAGAACCAGTGTCGCCAAATTCTCCAACAACTCGGAACAATCGATCCACCCCCCGACGAACCGTCCTATGTATGCCGTGAACTCAATTCCGAAATTGCGCCCTCCGTCGAGGCTCACGAACGAGACATCCTATTCACAGATAAGACCAGCGAGGAGGAACTTTGTTTAACACACAATAACTTCATTCCGAGCAATATCATCGTCCAGGATAATCGGGTGGTGGGGCTTGCTGGCTGGCGACAATGTGGATATTTTGGCACTCTCAGAGCTAAGAAGGTCCACCAACTCTTCAGGAATCTTGATCCTGCGGCTCAAAATGGCGTGGTCAGTTCTGAGAAGAGTGCGACTTGGACCAACCTTTACGATAGTGTCTACGACCCTAGCAAGGGCGTTCCCCTTGTCGCAAACCAAGATACACCCCTTCCATCAGTCAAAACCGAACCAACAAGCTCTACCCTCGATAAATTCCCGGCTAGCGATGACTTGGACACAAATACACTAGGCTTCGATGGCACGGGCGACTACGCGACGTCTAAAACAGTGGCGAACCTCAAGCATGGGCTGACATCAAGAGCGTCTTCTTCCGACCGGTCCTCCCCAGCCAATTCCGTCAAAACAGCAAACAAGAAGCCCACGACAAACACTACTAAGAAAGGTACTGCAAAGAAACCTGCCGCCAAGAAGCGCAAGACGAATGATCCGGAGGTGGACAGCGTTGATGGGCGGCGTTCCAACACACCGGCTGGCAAAACACCCGCCAAGAAGCAACATTCCGTCTCGATAGCCGGGTCACCACCTCCAGAGGAAAAGAAAAAGCCTTCAAAGAAGAAGAAAAAAGGCCCTAAACAAGCGACTGCCCAGGAAAACGACGACTCCGACAGTTTTGACGAAAACGCGATATTCTGTATTTGTCGCCGACCTGATAACCACACATGGATGATCGCGTGTGACGGCGACTGTGAGGACTGGTATCATGGGAAATGCGTCAATATCGATCCTCGAGATGCCGATCTGATCGAGCGGTATATCTGTAAGTTTCAATAAGCAACCGCCCTCTTCTACTCGAAACTGACTTCCAACCACTAGGCCCGAACTGCGCAAGTGAAGGAAAGGGATGCACAACATGGAAACCGATGTGTCGCCTAGTCGAGTGCCGGAAACCGGCGCGCGCCAAAACAAAGCCCCCGAGCAAATACTGCTGCGATGACCACGGCCGAGAATTCATGCGTCAACAGACACAACAACTCAAAAAGCGTGCCAGCCAAGCGAATGGTCTTTTTGAAGACCTCGGTAGCATGGGTGGCATTCTTACCGCTGGAGACCTGAAAGCCGCCATTATGGGGGTGACATCTACCCAAGAATTCCGCAAGCTCGGAAATCGTATCATCTCCCCGCCACCACAGGTAGACGAACAAGAAACCACCGAGGCTGAAATAAAGGTGGAATCAAAGTCACAGAGTGGCAGATGGTTGGGATTCGACGTCCATGCCGTTGACATGGAATACTCGCAAGACGAGATTGCGAAGATCGAAAAGCTGCGCAAGAAACGCGACGAACTACTTCATCGCAAGGAGATGCTTGCTGCACGCAGTACATTCGTCTCCCTTCTCAAGCCGCGCGCCAAGGGCATAGTAGAGAAACTGAAGCAGCACGAGCCGAAGGGTGGATGGAAAGATATCTGTGGCTTTGACTCACGGCTTTCGTGGTCCGACGAAGAATTCGATGAATGGCGACTCTCCGACGCTGGAAAGAAAGCTCTCGCGGAAGGAACGGCTGAAGCTTTGGCTGTGGGTTCCTCGGCTGGCACTGATGCAGACGGGGATACAGCGATGAACGGCGACAGCGATGACGATATTTCATTTTGGACGCGTGGCGTCTGCACTAAGAAGCGGTGCGAAAGACATAAGCAGTGGGTCAAAGTGCAACAGCAAGATATTCTCTTCGAGGAGGAAACGGCAGAGCAGGACCTCGCCAGGTGTGAGAAGGAAGCTCGGTCTGTGGTAGAGCGAGGTGTGATGAGACGATGGGCCGAGAAGGATAATCAGGTTTGAATGCTGAATGGAATTTTTTCCTTGATGACTTCTATGGCCAGCCGAATTCCACAAAACAAAAGCTTGATACCCCTTGATCGCGAGGCAAAAAAGGCTCATGGACTGGAGTTAGTACTTTGCAAATTTCAATATAGCAGGATGGTCGTGGCTGGGTTTTTGGCCAATTGCATACAAAGCGGCGCTTTGCGAGGGACGGATCCGTTGTGTTTGAGAGGAATATTTTGTAAGAGTATGGACAATTGCATTGAGATCGATCAAGATCATCTTTTTCTGGCAGAGACATGGCAAATGGTATTATTCATCGCTCGTTCCATGCTCCCCATTTACCTAGACTCGTACCGACTCGGTCTTTGATCACTTCGACTATTTGAGCTCCTCTCACATCAGAAAGTAAAAGATGGGTATCAATGCCTTGGTCTAACGTCTTCATGAGCAAGGTTGGGAACAGGGAGGGAATATCTGAATGGAAGACGGAGTGGATGCCATCTTCTAGCGGATGTCTCACAGTACTACCTCCGCTAGTGTTTCCAGTCAACGATTGATTTTTATTCCACTCTGGATTCATGGTCCCCAGTCCATTAGTATTGACAAGAATGATCGAGAGATGAGAGGCATGCACACGAGACAAGCGCGTTAAGGTACGAAGTGTAGCTGTCAAGACCGCTGCACCTCGAGCTGGGTTGGAGGCTCGAATTACACCTTCGGTCAGGGTATCGAGGCCCACAACAATGAGGACGATGGGGTTGTGGACGGACGGGCTTGTCTCCGTCGAATTTCTCTGTTCTCTGTTTTCTTGGATCTCGTGGAGTGTTTCCGAGACCTTACCGATGGCTTGTGCGGCATTGGGGAAGTTATGTACGGAAAGTAGCTGCACAGAGTCAAGTCGACGGATTGCATCATCCTTTGATAGACCGGGCTGGTCATAGGTGGAAGACTGTAGCTCATTGAGAAGAGTCCTTGGGGCAAAGGCATCGAAGCTTCGTGGGTGGATAATGAATGCGCTTGGTTCAGATGATGAATGAATACTTCGTAGTTGGTTTGTAAGAATGTATCGAGGAATCTATGGTAAATATTAGTTTCATGACAATGTAGAGTGATTAATATCGTGTCTGTCATACCTGTCCGATATACTCGTTGCTTTCGTTGCTTCTCATTTGCAGTCTGGAAAAGCCTAGGACAGCTCCGCACCGAAAGACTGCTTTATTGGAGAGCTTGATACCCTTTTTCCATTCATTCTTGAGATTCCAGTCATCTTTCGCAGTTGTCTCATTTGAAGGAGCTGCATTTTCCGTTGACTCTGGTTGGAGTAGAGAATCGGCAAGGATGGGGAATGCAGGCTCAGCCGAGTAGACGTTTGGTGCGCTTGCCATGGTTCCTCATATATAAAGTACAGTCAAGTTACTATGGGTCCGATACCAGGGTATCATAACTGTAGAAGATGCGAAGAGCAAGTGGTTGATGAGGGAGGCGAAAGTGGATATCTCTCGATTTGGTCTAGCCCCACCCATCACTACTCTTTAGGCCCTGGAATATTATTTCCAGTTTAATTTTGATCACGTATTATAATGAAAATATATAAAGAACAAGATGCTAAATTTACATTTTGTACGAGAAATATGGTCAAGGTCGCTTCCACACTCCACGTCCATCATGCACCCAGCCTCCATCCCCGATGACATCGTCCAAAACGGCTAGCAGGTCCTGCCGCATGGCCTCCACATGCAGATCACCGCATCTGAACTCTTTCAAGCAGGGCAGATTATTCACAGTATACCCAATCAGAGAGTACGAGGTTGCGAGTTCCATCCAAGGATCATTGGGATCCATAGACCCTCGTTGTTCAAGCTCGGTAATATGATTATCCTCAAGGGGGGCCAACTGTACATCAAGGCGACGCAGACACTGCATCCTCACGACAGCATCCATTACAATCTGCGAGTGATTGTAAAATGGAAACACGGCCGTGTAGGAAAAGTATGTGAGGTCATGTAAGAGAGCTGATAGGTTGCTTGGGCGTTGAAGAGTACGGGTTGATCCGCGTACGCCACTTGTACCCCATTCTGCCAGAACCGATGTGACAGAGGAAAGGAAGTATTCGTAGTGATTGTATGCTTTCAAAGAAGATGACTCATTAAAGGTTATGGACGTCCACGGTCGTGATGCAAGAAGACTAGTACAATTTTCCAAGTCAGGCAGCTGGGATGGGTCACGAGGTTTGCACTCTCGTGCCAAAAGTAAGATCTGTAAGGGCATATCGAATGCCCAGTGGTGTCCATCGTTGATCGGAGTAGCTAGAGTGTTGCCAATGAAGACTGGCGGCCCTATCACTAGAACACGACGAGGGTCTAGATACCGGAGGACTCGGCGCCACCAGAATGGATTGACCCGATGATCTGGATCTTCATCTGCGATTGCGACAATAGAAGTTACATGCTGACAGAGATCCGAGTTGATCATAAAAGAGCAGAAGTCGGATTCACCATGGAGGTTGAGTCGGACATGAGTGAATAGTTGAGGGCGCACAAGTTGGAATAGGCGCCGTGAGCATAGCTCGAGATGTTTGAGGTCTTTTGTTGGAGATTGGGTGAGTTTCAAACTGGGTGTACTATGTAGTTGTCCAGATGACGGTGGCTCCGTGAATAAGTAAGAGATAATCTGGTCTAAGAGCTCATTGGGGAGGAGCTCCAAAGGAGATTGCACAGACATGACAAATTGCTCATGTCCAGGGCCTCTTCCATTACTAAGATTGGATATCCACCACAGAGTGTCCAATGTAAGTATACTTAGAGTGCAGAGAGTCGTCGGCTGAGGGAATGAAAGTGAAGTGCCGGAGTTCCCCACTCAACTCGATGGGCTGGCTCCAAGGCTCCACTAAACCTTTGTAATCGGTGACTCAGCGGTCTTTTCAAGGTGTTCTGCAACGTATTGTAGTGTGTGAAGTACGTTCAAAGAGTGAAGTCAGAAGAAGGATTCGGGGGATAGGACAAGTAGATGCAGAATAGCAAAAGACTACAGAGAATGTTTGATGTTATAGAAGCCACCATGTGGTCCGTGCACCTATGTTTTGAGACGGCCGACGTCGGGAGAGTTCCGGGATATTTTGAAATACTCCAGGTCGGTTTTCCTACTGTCATATCATCATATACCAAATTACATCCAGAGAGTTTGATGTGTCCTGTTTATATGAGCATCGGCGTCTTGACATGACCTCAACCAAAACAAGATCAAGAAATCAGATTGTACAAAGCAACGCTCAGGCCAAACCGGCTCATGTGGAGAGCCTCAGCACGTTGTGGGGCAATGCCTATCACGGCTGGATACGATGTAGAGCTCGGATGAGATGGCAATGACAATAGCAATGCCCCTCTTTCGAATTATCCGTTTCCCTAAACTTCCCTTCTTTCTTCTCTAGACATCTATTAAAGTAGATTTCCAAGGTAAGATACTGGCGCATATTCATGGAAACAACGCTCATGATCTCTTGCAGTTGATCTACATACTACATTCACCATGGCTCCTCAACTTCACCAGCGTCCTCCTTTCCGGGCAGAGCACTTGGGCTCTCTCTTGCGTCCAGACCAGCTTCTGGACACCAAGCTTGCTTTCGAGGCTGGCGAGATCCCCGAGTCGCAACTGACCGCTTGCGAGGACAAGGAGATTAAGGCTATTGTTGAGACCCAGCAGAAGCTTGGCTATGCCGCCATGTCTGATGGCGAGTACCGTCGTCACAGTAAGAGATCCAGAGAGCCATTGAGTGAATCATGTTAACATATAGAGTGTTCTGGGGTACTTTCTTCCCCGGCTTGGACGGCTTTGAAGAGGTCAGCGATGTTGGCGTGGATGATTTCCGTCCCTATGCTCCCGATATCGCTGCATTCTTGGAAGCCGGTCATAAACCCGGTGAAAGTGTCCTGTGTACCGGAAAGATCAAGCACGTCGGTAGCACCTACATCGACCAATTCAAGTACCTTGCCAGCCAGGTCCCCTCCAGCGAGGTCGAAAACCTGAAGATTACTCTTGCCGCGCCTAACTGGTACCACCTGCGCTACCGTGAGGGCAAGGCGTACCCCAAGTCTGTATACGCCAACGACGAGGATTACTTCGGCGACATCGCCAAAGCCTACCAGGCCGAGCTTCAGATCCTGTATGACGTCGGCTGCCGTAACGTCCAATTCGATGACCCCAATCTGGCTTGTAAGATGTTACGCATCCAGCCAGTATCGATTGACTAAACTAACCTTTCACTCAGACTTCTGCTCCGAGAAGTTCCTCACTGGCTTCAAGGAGGACCCTCTGAATGTGTACTCCGCCGATACCATGTTCGAAAAGTATATCAAGCAGTACAACGACTGCTTAGCCAATCTGCCGGCCGATATGCACGTCGGTGTTCACCTATGCCGCGGTAACTTTGTCGGTAGCCGTCACTTTTCCGAGGGCGGCTACGACCGTATCGCCATCAAGCTCTTCCAAGAGCTGAATGTCCACACATACTACCTCGAGTACGACACCCCCCGTGCCGGTGGTTTCGAGCCCCTCAAGTTCCTACCCACCCACAAGAACGTGATTCTAGGTGTCGTCACTAGCAAGTTCGCCAAGCTTGAGGATAAGGAGGAGATGAAGAAGCGCGTCATTGATGCTGCTAAATTCATTGCTGCGGGTAATAACATCTCCCTTGAGGCTGCGCTCAACCAGGTCGGTGTTAGCCCACAGTGTGGGTTTGCTTCCCACCGTGAGGGTAATGCTATCGACTGGGACGGTATGATCAACAAGCTGCAGCTGGTCCGTGATATTGCCAACGATATTTGGCCAAACCAGGCTTAGGCTTGACGTTTAAGCCTTGAAAGTCCTAATCAATAGAGCTATTTCCCTCGTTGGTTTTCAACAAATGGGACACGGCTTGGGGTTTGTGTTTTGCATGGCGGTGGTTTTTAGAAGGTACCTTAGACGAAGGTAATGATATTTGGATGAGCACCTGATGTCTTTATTCTTGAATATACTTAACGAGCTTCTTTTCAGTCTAAATTATTTTCCCTCTCATTGTAATACAAGAATCAATAACAGTCTCTGGCTGTCTACATCAAACGCTCAAAACTGATATCTTGGCTACCTCCTGATGTCAGACTTCCTGCATCAAAGACCTTACCACTTCAAGCTTTTGAGGCATAACAATCTTCTCTTCAACCAGCTTCTCGATAACACGCACCGTCCACCCCTGACAATTCTCCGTAACAGCCTTATGATTTTCCGCTTGTGGGGGAGGCTCCGAATCTGCAGCCTCTTTCACCAGTCTCGCCGCCCTAGCCTGTTCCTGAGACACAACAGCCAGTGTATAGACATTTGAACAGAGGCCCAGGCCCGTATCCATAACATTGATCTTTGCAGCCGACGGCTCGTATTTCATGTCCGCTGCATCTCCGGTGACTTGATAAATATAACCGTAGTCCGGCTCGTTTTCGTCGGCAAGGAACAATGCCCAATGGTTTGGCTCTCCGGGGGCTTGTTTTGCTTGGACGAGGTAGAGATAGAGATGGGGGTTTTCGACGGGTGGCTTCAACTCATCTGGATTAGAAGTGTCCTCGGTCCACTCCTGTGCACCTTTCTTCTTGAAGAATGTACGCCCATCGACCTCGCACACCTCTCTGAAACCCCTTGTCTTTATAGGAGTCCCTGGAGGTGGAAAGTCGCTCATATTCTGGGAGAATCAGGCATCAGTAAATTGTTTCCGTATCAGTGTAAACAGCTTTGCCGGTACCTGCCGTAAACGTCGAGAGCTAGTTTAGTTGAGGTTGAAGTGTGTGGTAGACATAGCCAGATGACGGAACGTATCAAATTCTCAAATATGCAGGAATATATCAACTTTTGGGGCTGTTGATCACATTTCTACGTCATTCAGGCACTATTGCAGACACCATTCAACAATGTATACCAAAATGATTGACCCTCTAATTGCCCATTCGCAACACAGAAATCGAAAGATTCAATGTTCAAAGGTTCTGGTTGACGATTCTAATCATCCTATCACCTCTCTCATGTAGCCCTAAACATCCATATTTAGGAAAAGGTACATTTGAGAGTCTCTTCTACTTCTTCAAGCGCCTAAATATCTTGAATGGTGGAGAATACTAAACAAAGCAATTCAGCTCAATTTAATATACTAAGTCGTGCAAATCTGTCACCGGAAAAAAAGACAATGCGTTACTCTGCCGGTCCCTCAATGTTGCCCTGCTTGATAGAAGAGCTCTTGTGCGTGTGCATGTTCTCGATCATATAGCGTGGCTCGTCATCTGACGAGCTACGCCCTCCCAAGCTTTCACGAATGATTCCGACGCTTCTGCTTGTCTTGGATTGTGCGCCTATTGTATTTTGTTAGGCGGTTGCTCGTTATGGACATGAATATGTATCTTATAAAAAAGGGCGCATCATACCGCCAACCGGCTTGTAACTAACTTTGTCTCCTTCTTTGTACTGAGCCTGAGGCATTGCTGTTGGAAAAAATCAAGATGGTGGTAGTGATAGTCACAGGTCTGGGGGTCGTGTAATTGAATGATTTGTGTAGATGTAGATGAGTAGATAGGACAGATTTTCGGTCTTTGTAGATAGAAAGTTATTTTCCAAAAATAATCAATTTTTGCGAGATGACCCTGAATTCACATTCTCTTTATATTTGCCCATGGGGAAACAAGTTCCGCTATCGTCATATTGAGGTAGCAAGAGAAACAAGCTGACTGGGTTGGAATTGATCCATAGCTATACAAACGACTGGATCTAATGCGGAGGGCGGCTCCGTAGAAACGAAATGCCAAATTTGATCATGCGCTTCAATCAGAAGCATGTCATTTGTTTTTATCTTCTATTTAATGTCGTCTTGTCCGCCCTATCTCCGCTATAGCCAACAATGTGTATAAGGAAGCGCATCCACAATTGACCGAGGGTGTATCAACAATAACGCTATAGAGAGCACAATGAAATTAAAGTATTAAATTGGACCCAACAAGCCCATATAAGAACAGAGGGGATATCATAGAAGTGAAAATAAACGGAAAAAGCAACGGGATAACGAAGGCCAACAAAAGAAAAGGTCAAGAAAACCAAAGCCCAAAATGCTGCGTCGTCTTGTCATCAAAACACGGACATGAGGAGAAAAGAGAAAACACTTGTCAGAGAATGCGAGATGTTGTACAACGAAGCTGCTCTAGGAGCGCCTCTCGAAATCACAGCGGTGCATCTTATTTCTGGGGCTGGGTCTTGACATTGTTTGAGAGCCAGGCCTGACAAGAGATAGCACGGTTAGATCGAGATTTCCCAGTAGATAGATCAATGACACAACTTACAAGACCCTCGAAAATACCTGTTCCATCTGTTGCAACACTAGGCGCAACGTACCACAGCTTGTCCTTGAGCTTAGTCAATTGAAGCTGCTGAGTGACTTCCTCCGGTGACAGGTCTAGAAGTGGGTCAGCGGACAGATCATTGAATTTCAGGAACGGGATACGCACGGCCAGGGATATCTTGCTTGTTGGCGAACACCAGAAGCAGGGCATCCTTCATTTCACGATCATTGATGATCTTGTGCAGTTCTGAGCGAGCCTCCTCCACACGTGCCGTGTCGCTGGAGTCAACCACGAAGATCAATCCTTGTGTACCAGAGTAATAGTGTCTCCAGAGAGGTCGGATCTTGTCCTGACCACCGACATCCCAGACGTTGAACTTGACGTTCTTGTAGGTCACACTCTCGACGTTGAATCCGACGGTTGGAATTGTAGTCACGTCCTGGTTACTGAGTTTAAGTTTGTAGAGAATTGCTAAAAGGAGTTAGCCAATGTTGACTGAGGTGTGTAGTAAAGTCCAAGAATCATACTTGTCTTTCCAGCAGCATCCAAACCCAGCATGAGGATACGCATTTCCTTGGTCCCGAAAATCTTCCCCATCATCTTAGATACTTGTCCACCCATTTTTGCGGGTTTTGACGCGGTATTGGACGTGCTCAGGAGCTGTTTGGTGGAATATCAACAATTGCGACCCGCGTCTGAATTGCGGGTTTTAGAAGAAGGAATATAAGACACCAGACGTTTCCGTACAAAGTGACTCTCTCAATTATGACAGCTCCAAGGGATAGAGAAAAAAGAAAAGAAGGTGTGTGTGTTGAAGATCTTCAATTCGATTTCCCTGAGGCGGGGGAACCTGGAAAAGGGGCTTGGGCTGAGCTTACTCATCATAGTCTCCACGAGGCACGGAGTACACGAGGCAGTTTCATCCTGATGGTTTCATATATTGAACTTGTTTCATCCCTCAATTATCTATCAACACACTTCTCTCCATTACCATTCTAAGGTTAAATGGCATCCAATCCGTGTCCCACTGAGGATTATCTAAGACGGAAAAATATCACTCCGGGGATAACCATGGACCCTCACGGGATATATATAGTCCTGGAGTGTAGCATGTCACTGTCTTCTAACGATACATTCAATGACACTCACACTTTGGGATATCCAATGTTATGTACTACTACCATATTGCACACGGTAACACCATACCAATTTTGGAGGTTGATAAGACCATTCAGAACAGATCGATGTCTATCATGGTCAATTTGTCGTTACGTCATGGCCAAATGACTTCATCCATGCGATACTACATATTCCCTCGATAGCTCGATTCTTTTACTTATTTTTCGAATACATTGGTTTTTTTTTTTTTTTTTTTGAAATTTCTAAATTATGCCTGGCGAAGGACATAAATTCGAACGCCATGCGTCAGTCACACAGCAGCGTCGACTGTCGCTACAGTACGAGCGCAACGCTTGGTTAGGGCCGCCGTCAGATGTATGCACATCTTCAATGTATCAGTAAAAGCCACTTGGGTAATTCTAACAAGAGCATTAGACTACCTACGCCGGTATCTCGGGTAATTTTGAGGAGAACCATACATCAATCGCAATCGCAATCCGCGATACTACATATCTACTGGACTTCATCGAGAGGAAGTTCACGGACGGTCATGCATCCGCAGAGGAAGTCACTGACTTCATCATTGCCAAGCTCAAGGCATATTCCAAGCACCACATGGAGAAGTTCATTGGACTGTCAATGCCTGAAGATGTTGCAAACCACTGCCCTCGACTATGCCCTCGCCTTTGGGCGGAGCTGGACATCGTTCCATTGGTCCTGTCAAATGTATCACTGATAGACCGGATGAGCGTCGAACAGTTTGACGAGTCTCAAGAGCCAACAAGTACTGGATGGGATGCAAAGACCGTTGATGAACAGGCTGAATCCATGGCACGAAAAGGTGTTAGGTTGGTTGGTCCCGTACAGTATCTTGAAAAGAATCCTTTTGACTCTGAGTACATGCAGACTATTTGGACCGGAAAATACGCCCCTGCTACAAGTGGGCTTCCTCGGCCTCGTGGAAGTGGACACAGCTTACCATGTGAGAATGGCGGACTTGAGTGATTTCCAGACAACAGTATCGGATAGGACATGGTCCGCAGTGCAACAATACGCCAATGAGATGAAAGAGCGCAAGGTGAAATTGGCATTTTTCAGTTCCACGCCTCAGGGTGGTGGCGTGGCATTGATGCGGCATGCTCTCTTGCGATTTTCGCATTGTCTGGGCACTGACATCAAATGGTATGTATTGTGTTTGTATCTGTGTCCACTGCAAGAATAAACACTAACTGCTCGCAGGTACGTCCCGAAACCACGGCCAGGCGTCTTCAGGATTACCAAGACAAACCACAATATCCTGCAAGGTGTCGCCCATAAAGGAGAGCGCTTATTGCCAGAGAACAAGAAGATCTTGCGGGAGTGGACTGAGGAGAATGCCAGGCGATATTGGACCCGACCAGATGGACCTTTGCGTCCGCCGTCAGAGGGCGGTGCAGATGTCATAGTTATCGACGATCCTCAGATGCCATGCCTTATCCCAATCGCAAAAGCACTGGCTCCAGATCGACCAGTCATCTTCCGAAGCCACATTCAAATCCGAAGTGATCTGGTTGCGATACCTGACTCCCCACAGGCGGAGGCTTGGGAGTTCCTCTGGAATAATATCAAACACGCCGACTGTTTTATCAGTCACCCTGTGAGCGACTTCGTACCGCGGAATGTACCCATAGACATGGTGGGCTATATGCCTGCATCAACTGACTGGTAAGAACCGAGTAAACCGATGATACGATCTCATCTTTCATCTCACTAACTGGGACATAGGTTGGATGGACTGAACAAGACTATGCGGGACTGGGACGTCGCGCACTATGGCCGTATCTTCAATTCCGCATGTCGCAATACTGATATGCCATGTATCCAGTGGCCCGAGGGTGAGTGGCCGAACCAGCGCCAGCGATGATGATCATATCTTTGAAGACTGACACAAATTAGATTCGTACATCGTCCAGATCGCACGGTTCGACCCGTCTAAGGGTATTCAGGATGTGCTGGTTTCCTACGAGAAATTTTACAACAAACTAGTATACGAAAGCCCTCAGATGATTCCTCCCAAACTACTGATTTGCGGACACGGATCAGTGGATGATCCCGACGGAACAATTATCTACGATGAGACAATCGAATATTTGGAGAAAAAAGTCCCAGATATCCGCCACCTGATCTGCGTGCTGCGGGTGCGGCCCTGCGACCAAGTCCTGAACGCCATTCTCTCCAAGGCAACCATCGCACTGCAACTATCTAGGTCCGAAGGTTTCGAGGTCAAAGTCTCTGAGGCAATTCACAAAGGCAAACCAGTGATCGCCACGCGTGCCGGCGGCATCCCGCTGCAAGTGGCGAATGGGAAGAATGGGTTCCTGGTTGATGTTGGCGATACCGACGCTGTGGCACAGCACTTATTCGATCTCTGGACTGACCACGATCTATACAAACGCATGTCAGAGTACGGCATCAACAATGTAAGCGATGAAGTGAGTACCGTGGGAAGTACTCTCAATTGGCTTTATCTCGCCACCAAGTTGTCGCGTGGTGAGACTCTGCGGCCCAATGGACGCTGGATCGATGACATGGCGTTTGAAGAGATTGGTGTTCCTGAGAAAAAGGATGAGCTGCGGCTCACACGCGCAGTCAGAGTGGAGGATATGGGCTGATTGTACTTTTTGTTTTGACTCTCTTTCAATCACATATTAGTAATATATAAACATTGAAAACACAGAATATCTGTCATTACTCCGTAGATACCTAATTGGTATTCAACATTGAAAAGTAGCCGATTGGGGGTATCATAAAACCAGAAAAACAAAAGACAAACCCAGCAACCTCGTACAGCAACCTCTCCTAAGGCCGTCCAACAACCCGATACCTCTCCCTGGCCATACCACCCTCCGCCCCCTCAACACCATAACCCTCTCCAACCTCTCCAACAATCCTTGCTGGCCTTCCACCAACAATACACCAACTCGGCACAACCATGCCAGGCGGGACAACCGCGCCATCAAGCACATAAGCATAGTCCTTGATAATAGCCATACTGCCTACAGCAGCACCCTTCCCAACGTGAACATGGTTCCCCAGCGACGCCGCCTCAACAACAGCGCCCTCGCCGACAAAGACATGATCGCCAATCTTGAGCGGGTAGAACGAGTGCACGCCGCGGTGCAGCCGGCTCGGCGGACGCAATATCGCGCTCTTAGAAATGTAGCTGTATCGTCCGACTGTTATCGCCACGCTGGGTGTGCTGGGGTTCGGCGCTGCTGCGGGAGTGTTTGCATCGGTGGGAGTGGGAACTGTTGCGGTGCGGAATAGGTCGCCGCGGATTACAGCTTCGGCTTGAATGACCGTTTTGCCGCCCAGGATGATATGTTGTGTGCCGTGGATTTGGGACCGTCGAGAGATCTTGTTTCCCGTGTCCTATTTTTGGTGTGTTAGGTTGTGTTCTTTGGTTTTGGGGTGGGTTGGGGGTCATGTTGTGAATTGAAAGGGTGAGGTGGGATTTTGCTTACGGTCTCGATATATTCACCCTTTGCTGCCTTTGGGGGAGGCATTTTGACAAGGAGAAAGGAGGTTTCCTGTCGCTGGAAGTTGCAACTGTGGAGTTGGAGTTGGAACAAACATAGCTTGACGCCGATTAGTAGATACGGCAGTATAGTCCTAAGGCGGTGGAGGTAAACAACTACTCTTGTGTGATGATTTTGATAGATTGATTGCAACAGTTTTCCAACACTTATCACGCGTTACACCCTAGTATCTATCCTACGATATACACTTCATTAAGTGATCCTTTATTTGACGCACCTAATCCACTATACATGCGAGTAATTCAATCCCTTTGGCTCTCAGTTTTCCCTACTTCGTGCGCGGCAATATATCGTCCAATAACATTCCCAATTTCGCCAATTTGGAGCTCTCAAATCTCGTGTTGGCACTCACCGGCGCAAGAAAATTTCTTCGTGGTCCACCGCAATTAAGTGAGTTCTTAAATTTCTGAGACCCTCATCTTTTCGAGATCCTCAGCGGCAAATAAGCTTAACTGGCTTCGGAAAATCCCTCAGTTACCGAGTAGACTCCCAAGTCTCGCTACCTGCTTCGAGAAGTTCCACAAGGACTCAGTATTTCATCCTTCAATAAAAAAAAATAATGGCGGTACTACTCTGCAACGATTCGTCGATAAGTAGCGCATCGCTTAGGCTGAATTCCAAAACGTGCGGTCAGTCGTATACTTCAAATTCGGCCTATAATTCCCTATTCTGTAAGGAGTACAGCCGTTGGCGTTAATCCCGCTACGCATTAGTGGCTGCATAGCCTTCATCCTTCCGGCTCCGACTCGTCCGAGTCTGCACTTGTTAGCGCTCTCCTCGATTTCGGGATCCTGAACAATCGACATCTCGCTAGGCACCCTACTCATTCTTTCGACAACGTGCTCAACGATATAGGTGCCGCTTCCAACCAGTAGGGTAACAATCCCTTAAACATTAGACTAAATCATTTTTACTTTGTACTCGCAAGGCCGGACACACTTCAGAAGCACTCCGGCCACAAGTCCAGCTCTCGCCAAGACTAAAGCCGAGTATAACTCAGCAGGCGACCCTATTTTGCGATACAACAACCTCTTTACTAAGTAACGTTTACAATTTGTAGGGGAAGTACAGCTCTCGGGTTTCATTTAAATGGTGTGTCAAGCTTCATAGTAGAATTTAGTATTCTCAAGTCATATTCACTATGCATCTCGAAGTCAATACAAATATATATATCTCTCTTTCTCTAACAATGACCATCTAATTCCGATCCAACAATGCACTACGGCTTGCAGGTAAATAGATAGCCATACATTCGACTAGAAGTAGCTCCCACGTGGTCACGCTCGATGACCTTCTTTCGTATCATCTATCATACCAGGCCCATCACCGCTCATGATGGTAAGCTCCCAGCCATTCCTAATCGTAATTATCATTCTTTGAAGAAAAAGCACAATGACAGTCATCAAGGCCCAGCAAATAATGTTGCTAAAGGCTTGCGTGGATGATGGTGCACGATGGGCTTCATCCAACTAGGATGTGTTGTCTACTTTGCATGTTTGTTAATTTAGGAACTCGCATTGTGTTTTGAAAGTGTGAAGTAAGTCAGAGACTTAAGGATATACTTACTCTGCGGCTGAATTGCATACACAACGCTGCAATGATTCGAATTGAAGAGTAGGTAGGATAGGAATTGCTTTGACCATGGTCATGTAGATACTCACGGGTATACAAATCTGGGGACATGGGATAGTACAAGCCCTAGCCAAAGGCAAGTAATTAGCAGATCAATTGAGCCCTCTGGACGGGGAATGTGTCTAGGTCGGCTCCAATTGCCTTGTTTGTGCCCAGATCAAGTTATGACCAGCATCTCACCAGGCTCTCTTTGATTTGATATTATTCCCGAGATAGATGTTGGAACAGGTTTGCCAATAATAGAATCAAGGAAGATATAGGCAATTGTCTTCCCGGTGTTTTAGATGATACACGAGATCAGCGAGGAATGATATGCATACATGTTTAATTGATACATGCCCCAGTGTTTCAGAGGATATGAACCAGCGAGCAGGTTGACTAGCGAGGGATGGTGTACATCCATGCAAAAGCGATCGTCTTCCCGGTGTTTCAGAGGATATGCTCCTGCAAGCAGGTTGAGAGTCAGGAGTGATACATCTACATCTATGCAAAAGTGATCCACTTCCCAGTGTTTCAGGGGATATGCCCCAGCAAGCAGTCCTGGAGAGTGGCGAGTGAGGCATAGTACACATCTATATGACAAATGGAAATCCATTAACAAGAACGATAACTGCGTTCTTATCACATGGCATCGCAACCGACCTACATCATGGTCTAGGCATTTGTAATGGACAGGCCGTTCATTCCAGATCGGGTTTCGTCCTGTGACAGGATTTTGACGATCAGAAATCGAGGATCCTTGACTGGCGGGATAGTCCGTACAGTAGAGCCATGGGCCACCATGTGGCGAGACGTTTCAAGTAAAAATAGAACCGGACGGCTCCCGGATGTCAGGTACAGAAGCCAAATGATCAGCCCGTGGCATATGTATGTTGTATACAGTGGTTTATATTAGGCTGTAGGAGCTGGCCAATGGTTGGAGCTGAACTTATCCTATGCATGAGAAAGAGGGCCTCGAAGCTTTGAGAGCTTGCTTCTCTAGGCAGGTGAGACTAAAGAAGTAAATGATCTTCTGCTCGGCGGAAGATGCCGCGTCTGTGGTAGTTCCATTGGCGATTAGGAATGTGCTGGTGCTCAACGGGCACTTCCCCTGTCAAGCCCAGGTAGCTGGAGCACTAGGAACTGCAGCTAATTGACGCGCTAAGTAGGGCGAACCACTATCCCGATGCACATAGGTGCTCACCTGTACACATGTATAGCTCAAGTAAAAGGGCAAAACAGTCCTTGTAGATGTTCAGCTCTCATATGTCCCTAAATTAGATATTCACTAGAAACATGCAAGATAAGGAAACAATATCTAGATACAGAGGGCGGTTTACGGCTAAGAGAAGCGTGCCCTAAAAAGGAGGGAGGCGTTGGAGAGGGAAAAGCCAAAAGCCACGTCCCCCACCTGGGCACCAGAACGAGAATCCATATCGCGTTCATTCATCCCGTTTGCTTAGGTTCATTAATTTGAGCTTGTTCAGCTAAATATTGAACTAATCCAAATCCAATGTACATTTACGCCGAAATGCATGAAACGGGCTATTTTTCCCAAAATTCCGGGTCCGAATCTTCGCCTGTCGCATTACCCCAGTCTTTGCAGTATGTGGAGCTTTGACCTACCTCTAATGCCCTAACAACGTTCTGCAATCTATTTCACGTGGGGGCTATTTCCTTTCCTTCCGTCTTGCTAGGATATGCTATCCCCTGCTTGCGCATCGATCTCCCACATTAGTTTGCTCGACACTTAATTGTTTTGGCCCCCATGCAGAGAACATTCGACCGGCTATTTTGACCAATATACAGAGGGATCAAACGTCGGGCTAGTCGACCTGCAGATACTGACTTACTATTATCCTCTGAGCGTTCGAGTAGTCCCACTACCGTTTGCAGGGCAGGACTCCCCACAATAGCCACAATAGCACCTCCACTCAGGCGATCATGGCCGAAAGAAGTATATGGTTCAGTTCTCACATAATGCAACTTTGTTTCAATTGCTCTTTCTCACTTCTACAACACATGTTGTACGCCGTGATATTATCCAAGTTTCAGAGCGATGGGGAGGGGATCGGCCTTCATACTTTGATGGGCAGATCACATTGCATGGCATGGAAGATTTTCAGTAATCCTTGACGATCATCAGGGGGGGTTCATCTTGCGACACACCTTTGTAGCCGGAAGATGGCCACTTCCCGCCCTATTCAATCTGCGCACACACTCTTAGTTTGCGATATTTAAGACATTAAGATTGCAATTGACACTGTGGATATCACAATGTGGGACATTAGTGGCAACCATGCACGGGCGAGAGATAAAATCCATAAAAGATGTATGCATCTACACTAGTATATAGTACTATGAGTAATACAACTTGGATCACCTGCATAGATGGGGTAAGAGGAATGAGACAAAAGAGCATAGACCCACTCAGAACGATGTCATGGTCATTGTGAAATAACAAAGAGACACGCAAAGTCATTGTCAACAAACCAAGGGAGATTGGGTGCATCGATTCAACTCACAAAGCTCTGGTGGATCTGATTGCGGAGTTGTATCAAAGACTAGAAAAAGCCATTGTCAGTATTGAACGTATAGAAGGTCTCTAATTCCACACGTTTCTCTCATAATCCACAGAGAGCATTTTTACACCGCCAATCAACCAAAAAGGGAAAAAAACAGAGAAAACTAAAACACACTTCACAAACGTGCACAATGACATCTGATTCTAGCCTCCAGGCAAGTGTATTCATGAACGGCAGGGGTCGAATTGCAGATCCGCACGACGACGTGCCGGACTTCTGCTGGGTTACAGCGCATTTGCCCGAGAGTATGTCGTGTGACCGGCCAAGTGACGAGGAGATTATGAATTTAGTGCTTTGCAAGATCCAGATTGGGAATGTCATCATAGGTGACTGTGCCCTGCATAGTCTAGGGTTCTCTTGCCTCTCGTTGCCGGTTAAAGGCAACCCCGGAAACACCGGTGAAGTTCTATCTTACGCTGAAACTCTTACCGAATGGTGGCTCAAGCAGATCCGCCTGGGTAGAGTCTGTCTTGACCAGTACAGTATTTTTCAAGCCACAACGCGCTCACTAGAGCACACTAATAGCCTAGAGGATGTACCTCATGGGTGGGGGCTGTCGCGGTTAGTGTAGATTACTTCTCATGGAAATTGGATTAGATGGCAAACGAGCGAATCAAAGGGGGTTTGTTTTCTAAACGGATATCCCGGAATATGGCCAATATTTGCCGGTGATCGACTAAAAAGGTACCCAAGAGGGCATGTCGGAAGCGTAAAAGCGACCAGGTGGGGGCGGAAATTGGGGATAGTCTCATAGTTTAAATTTCCACCTGAGTCAGGGTAATGAGATTGACATTGAGAGCTTAGAGTTTGTATTTGATGTAGTCGAGGAATTTCCAACGTTTATACGCGCAGTTGATCGACCTAGTATCTCGCTTTCTGATCTGGTCCTTGGAGTGATTTTTCTATTCAGTATACGGGTCTGGCAGTTTAGATCTCTCTAGCGCAATTAAGCGAGGTATTTCACAATAGACGACATGATCAGCCAATTTTGATAATAATAGCGCACCGTTGAACATGAAACTTCCCATCTCCCCCTGCAGAGATCTCCCTTTCAGCCCCCACAAAACCAATTTAAAATTTTTTGGTCATCCTGGTATCCATGCATATCGCCCCTTGCAGGTTTTCCTGCATCAAACACATGGGAAGTCATGCAATGCTTCGACATCAATGCCAAGACACTAACGGACGGAGCTCCCCCGAGGGCCTAGAGGGTCTTGACACGTGCGGTTCACTCCATCTGGTTCCACGGGTCCGCAACGTTCACGATGTCAGATATCTCTTGGTATCTGAACCGGCGAGAGCAATTCAGATGGAACTATGAGGACGATCCCTTTTATCTTCTTAATTTGCAACACGGGCAACCCAGGGCAACACGCAGATTAGAGACCGGGTAGAGAGCCGGGTGTCTACCCGGGCACATAGAATTGATGATTCGACAATTCAATACGGTGGAGCCTATCTACTTTGCTCTGAAATATGGACGTGATAGATCAAGACTAGCCTATTCGGGAGACAACATGAGAAGTTCATTTTGTCACGGCCCCTGTAGGGGATGATCTTATCGACCCTGAAGCCCAAGTTGGAGGTCATAGTTCCACTGCATGCTAGCGCATTTGGCCCCCAAGCTATCAAGAGGTGCATTCCACATACGCAGCTACCCTGACTCTGACTCGCTGCACCGTTGATCTCCACACGTGTCGACCGAAATCCTGGAAGGACGCTATTCCAGTCTAGTCTAGTTCGTCAAAAGACGATGGGCGAGTGGAGCAGCATATCCCGACTAATCTGCTGTCCCTGGTTATCTAAATCACAAATGTTACTATACTCCTTTTTACGTTAGATCCTGGTTTGAAGAGTGCCCCATTGCTACTTGGGTGTTCTATTCTTGGATTCCTATTCTTTTAAGAGCGGACGTTCGACTCTGTTTAAACTCGCCCCGTCGATTCCATCCAAACATTCTCCATACTGTCCTTCCTTTACCCCACAGGGACACGAACGGCTCCAGTGTTTTGACTGCACATCTCTATTGCCCCAGTACCTTGCATAGGCAGCTAGAAATATGTCGTCCTCTCCTGCCAACGCCGCCAGCAATGCGCCGGACGCATCCACCGTACGGTGGCAATTCATTGACTCTTCAAATAACAGTCGATCCAACTTGACCCAAGTGAAGCGCCATGTTATGCAAGAATATATGCGCCAGAAGAAAGGCGGTACTCGTCAAAGTGAGAGTGAAGAGGAGCAACCACGAGCAAAACGTGGGAGACCCAAGAAGACTCGAGCTGCGATTCGGAAGTCAGAGAAGAAATTGAAATCGGACGGTGCCAATGACAGTCATCCCCGAGCAAGGAGATCAACGAGAAAGCAACTTGCATACAAAGAAGATCTCATTGTCGAGGTTAACCGCAACATGTTTGCTTCCAATCCTATTTCGTCTGATCCTCTGTTGATTGAATCGGACGAGATGCCCTCGTTTGCCCCTATCCGGCCATCTTCTGCCCAGTCTCACGATCTTCCTCTTCCGCTGGATGGCTTTGTCGACGTACATCCCCAGAGTTCTCCGACTCATGACATATATTTTAACAATATCTCATGGTCTTCCCCCTCCACGGCGCCATACCAGTTCATGCCATCACCAAGTACCATGCTAAGTGATGCGCGAACCGAATATTTCAGCACCCTTCCTCTCGATTTGGATCGAAACGGACACGGGGCATTGGACCCCTATGTGAACGATATCCCAGCCTGCTCCTATGGATCCCATTATCGGCCGCCAATGGCTAACTATTATACATCGGCCTTTATGCCTGAAACATTGAAAGGTACTGTCACATCCCAAGAATCCCATTCTCATACATACAGTTAACATTTCGCAATGAAGGAGAGGCCCAAAATACTCTTCTTCGTAAAGATCGCGCCGTCTCCCACATCCCCCATGACATCTCCGATGCTGCAATCATTGCCAGTCTGAATGCTGCAGCCGTGGAGGAATGCGATCCCCGACCAGGCCACAAGGAAATCAGCTCGACACACATGAGCACTGCACGCGAGATGATACGAGCGCGTGGTGGTCCCGCCGCATTCGCAAACACTCGTATCGGCATGATGATCAACTGGCAAAACTACATCTTGCCAGGATACGAGACACACGGGCCCAACTTCTTCTATGAATACGACCAGCATGTGTCCGTCTCATCTGACTCTTTAGCATCACTACCTCATCCCACCCCAATTCCCCATTCAATGCCCTCTCCACCATATTCCACCTCCTCGGCTTTCTCAGAAGTCTCGCCCAGCCCAGAACCTCGAACAATGCTTCCACCAAGCCTACACTCAATCCCAATAGACGAGACCAAATTCCAATGCGAAGAGTTCCTTGACTTTCTCCGCCGTTGCGAACAACTTGCCCTATACCAACGCGATAATCCCCAATCATCATACATTACCCGACACACCGCAATCCAAGAAACATCCATCCTGAACCAAATCCTTGCAGCACCTCCAGGTGCCAGATTCCCCACCCCGGACGACCGAAAACAAACCATTGCCCGCTTAACAGCGTTGGTGACACTCAATGCCGCCATGTGGGATTACCGTAACACCCCGGCGCGCACAGCAATCTTCCTCGACACACTCGAGAAATCCCTGGTCGACAGCGAAGTCGGCATGAGTGGCTCCGTCGAAGCCATGCTCCAAGTCCTGCTCGAATGCACAAATGGCACTCCTGATGGCTGGTCCCACAGTGCCGACGGCTTTGCTGCCGCTGGGCCAGTAGTAGAGATTCCAGATTTCTCTCAATACTTCCCGACTGCTACTTCGCCCTCTGCGCGCCCGTGGTTCGCGGGGCGTATGCTCAAGATTGCGAGTCGGCTGAGTAGCTTGTCGTGGTACCGCGTGAATGAGTTTTTGTTCTCGTGTTTGACCCTTCAGGTGCAAGAGCCGTCGATGGGTCTTTGGGAGGCGGATCTTCGTCGAGAGATTCTCGATCAACCGACTAATTATTTCATGCGGTAATTTACTGAGTTATGTATACCAATGGCCTGGGTCAGAGGACCTGTATTTGTTTTGATGTTTCTATGTTATTATGTTATTATGTTTTCATATGTCTTTTCTTACCCCCTTCTAACCCTTTTTGAGAGTTTCTTGCATATACCCCTCGCTATCACTTATAAAATATTGTGAATTTTTAATGAATCTGGAGCAATTGTAGAAAGATGTTCAAGTAGATGTCTGTGTATATACCGGGATCGGGGTGCCGCCGCTTTATGAGGGCGCTCAGGGTATGCTCACTCAAACATGAAGCTGATCGCCGTTTTCTCCATGGCGTCTTCCATAATACTTGACCCCTCCCATTTTCAACCTTCATGTTTCGAAAGATGGAGAGAACAGCTCAAACTTCACAGGCATCTGCCCAGCGGTTGGATTCAATGGGAATATGTCGATCATGAAGGCAACAGCGTCATTTTAGGGAAGGATGCCAACGAAAGCCAATTCTATAAGCCGGAAAAAGGTGAAGCTTACCGACTTCAAATATACAGCACGGCTCCCATCCAGCAGGAAGAGCTCAAAAAGCTGTATCAATACTTCTGCTTTGATCTCAGCCAGCTTCCATTTTTGGAAATCTATTCATGTAACTCAGCGGACGGTTTGGCTTGCGTGGAGCATCAGCGTCGTGGAATTGCCCATCGCAAGCGTCTCCATGCCGAACAGCGAAGGCGAACATGACGGGTCTCTTCCCCCTTTGATTCCAACCATGCGAACTGGCTTTGATGATCAATTTATGTCTGGGTTTCGTTTCCTTCTCACGCCGAAGGGCTACCTCCAGGATCCATTCCCAGACAATGAGCACGGTACAGGGCCCTGGTGGATCAGCTTAGATCGGAGTCTTCCGTCCGCGGCGAAGAAGTTAGACTTGATTAAATGGCTTGACAGTCCGGCGACTGACCTTCAGACTTTTGCCGAGTGGGGGATCCCCGTCAATCCTGAGATTCGTGATATTAATTTGAATCTTACAACCGACTGAACTGGAATAAACTCCGACATGAAAGAGCTTTTCAGAAGAATCTATTCGACATTTGTTTATAGGGAAATTGATTATGGACTCCATGAACCGCTCCCACCCCTACCCTCCGAGGAGACTCTCCAACCTTGCAACATGTCCAGAAGGTCTGAGAGCAGCAGCAGGAATCGGCGGAAGTCCAATCTGTGGACTTGAGCTTTGTCTTACATTGGGACCTGAAAATAATTCTGTCACAGTCACGAACAGCTCTTCGGACGGGGAATGCGACCTTTAATACGTGATCTACATCCAGTTCCTCGCGAGTGTTGACCAGGAACGGTCCACCCTCTAGAGACCACTGCACGCGCATTTGCCGCTGGCGTATTCTCCTGTCTCCCTGCCTCCAAGACAATTTCTTTCGAGTTCCGGATTGCTGGCTCCTCCTTGTCTTCCCTTATCTCCGCCCCACCTAATGGATTTGATGTCGGCGCTTCCCATAAATTTGAGGCGGGCTCGGTCATATGGGCACTACCTCAGATTCGCCGTGACGTTTCTGTCCGCCCGTTACCCCATCACTTCTTCACCGTGGTCCTTGACAAGCCTACCTTTATCTAAGAACCAAGTGTCTTGTTCTACACCCTCTGGACTGACCCTTCGCAGTACATTGGACCACAGCTCACTGATACCGTTATTGGGACTCTGCGAAGTGTCGGTATTCAAGAAGCAGCAAGACAGCTTGCAATGTTTGCGGTGGAGAATATCACCAAGAGTCCAAGGAGGCTCATGCTGGAAGAGCATAGGGGGTTTTATCTGTGTCGCCAAAGGAGCACGAGCAGAAGGCGAGCTGCTGACTTGGCTACTCTCCCATTTTCCAAGGTCGCTAAGGCTGCTCAGGTAACGACTAATGAGCAAGTCAGAGCGCTCAGATCACAATCAATGAGTGGAACTAGGCTGCTCAGTGAGCACTAAAGTGGAAAGGGAAATCCATCTCGCGCGGCCTAAATCCGGTGTATATTCATTTGCCATCGATTTGTATCTTTCTATGATTATCTCTCCTAGTATCGTCAATACTATTGTATCAGGACCGCCGCCACCTCTCGTCAACTTTTCATCCGTCGCCTAGTTAGACATATGACCTCGACCCTCTCGAGTCTATTCAGTGTTTCTGTGTCTTGAGACTGGGCCATGAATGTAACAGTTTCTTAATTCAAAATTAATCAAAATATGATAATAACATATTCAAGTGAAGATGAAAGCCAAAATAAATGTGAGATTCACAACCAATCTTCTCCAACAAGTCCTTAGACATAGATCGCCAGCAGAATCACAATCATAGTACCCACAACCTGCATAATCGACGATTGAGTACCGACAGATGCAGCTCCAGTGTACACCGGGTTCACTGTACTTGTCGTAGCCGAAGCTGTAGCCGTCGAAACAGCAGCCGTGGCCATTCCACTAGGGTGGCTAATGGGGTACCACGAATGAGTTGAGGAGGCAGTGACAGAACCACTGGCTCCAACTCCAGAGCCCCGGTGTGGGGTATACAGAGGTGGAGCCGCGGTGGGGCCGGCGGCATTGGTCTGGGTCATCACGATCGTGTTGATATACCCGGTACAGGTACCATCGTCAGAGCAAGACTCAACGAGGATGGTCGTGGTGTGGACTGGGCTTACACCTGGGCCAGATTGAGATCCGGGAGCGACGCCGGTAGGTTGAGGGTTTGCCGGGACTGGATAGATAGTAGTCGCGACAGCGAATGTTTGGGTGGTTGCGTAAGAGGTCTTTGATCTCAAGGGGCAATCGGTCACAGATTCAGGGCAGGCAAGAACGGTGGATGTGACAGTAGTAAAGATAGTAGATGTGGTCATCTTGGGAGCTCCGTTATCACCACCTCCAATTGCTTCAGTGATAGAAGGAGATGTAGTATGCTTAGTGGGCACGGCGCCGTTGATACCAGTAGCATCTGCCACGGGACAAACTGTCGTGGAAACAACCAGGGTCTCAGTGACCACGTTTGTGGTCTTTGATTTCAGGGGACAATTGGTCACTGAAGATGGGCATGCGGTGATGGTGGCAGTGCGAGTGGTATAGACAGTAGATGTTGTCAGGTCTGAGCCATTAGCACCGCCAGTGGTAGATAGAGAAGCAGGTGCTGTCTGAGTAGGGCCGGCAGTTTCAGTGACAGGACAGATTGTGGTGGATATCAGAATTGTTTCTGTAGTCACAGATGTTGTCTTGGAACTGGCAGGGCAGTTAGGGACTGTAGTAGGGCACGCAGTAATGGTAGCTGTGCGAGTAGAGAAGACTGTAGATGTAGTCATAGAAGCGACAGTTGTAGTGCTGCTATCAGAGGCAGACGTCGAAATGCCGGCCTGTGAAGAAGATGATCCGACTCCAGTGGTTGATCCTTGGGAAGGAGAACCACTGACTTGCGCAGGCCCAGTTGAAAGAGATCCCGTTGCAGACACAGTAACAGATGGTTTGATCAAGGGAGTAGAAATAGGCGCCGAGGTTGTAGACACAATAACAGATGGTTTGATCAAGGGAGTAGAAACAGGCGCCGAAGTCGAAGTAGGGATTACACTGGAGGAGAGAACCACCGATGAAGAACGAACAGGACAAGGCTTGCGACTGGGCATAGGCCTAGGGATGTGAGACCAATGGTGGTGGTGGTGATGCTGGTGATGATGCTGCTTATGGTGCGTCGCCACAGGAGTAGAAATGGGAGTCACAGTTGGCTCAGCAAGTACTGTTGTAGCAAGACTGGTCTGCACAAATAACGCAGCCAAAATCCATCCTCGAACAAGAAAGGAACCCATCTTAACCGTAATCGAAAGGATTGAACGATTGACAGTAAGACGATCAAGTAGCAACGAAAAAGAATGACTGATCCAACCAAATAATATGAATGAGCGACTGGTAGTTGGACCGGCAATGCAAAATGAGTGTAAGAATCAAAAGACTACAAGAAGACTACCTAGAGGAAATGTGCTCGTATATACATTGTCGCTTAGGGTTTCCTTCTATACTTCGAACACGGAGACACCGACAACAGCAAGCCAGAACTTGCGCTAACGTAGGCAAAAAACTCCGGTTCCTGGGCTTTTCCCTAAATTTGGCTTAAACTATTGACACTATTAACGCCCCCATTCGCTTGTTTGTGACTTGTCTTGGATTTGTACGCTGTCGTGGTGAAAATAGCCGGCCGAGACTCGTACCCAACACAAATGGGAGAAGTATTTAGTGCGAGGACGTTCCAGCAAAATTAATTCCCCGAATCATCCGAAGAGCATTCTGTGAGATAGAAACATGTTCATTCGTCAATTTACCCTCGCCGCAGGCCTTCTCCTCGGTCAGGTTTCGGCCAGCACTCCTGCAGCCAGCTCTCCCCCGGCCAGTAGTCAGGCTCATGCGCCCACAGCATCTTGCCGAACAGAGCTTGGACCTAGCTCAGTGAAGGTTGTGCCTACTACAACTATCACTCGTACGATCCACGACCATACCCCCGTCGTTGTGCTCACAACAATTCTGGAAACTGTCACGGTCACCCCTGCTGTATCGACCGAGATAGTGACAGGTTATACAACCACTACCGTCACATCCACGGCTGATGCAATCACCGATACTTTCTCAACAACTTCAACTGAGTTTGACACTGCGACATTGACACTGACTCCTGCCCCTATCACCACAACCGTCGCCGAAGTCGTCTCGACTACCTCAACCCAAACCTCCACCATCGCCACCTCTGCAGGCTTTACTCCGATTGCAGACACTCTGCCACCGTCTGTTACTTTCAAGCGCTCATTGGAAGAGAATGATGATTGCTCTCCGTGGGTGGATGATTGGAAGTATCCTCAAGCAGTCGTGTGCCATGAGAAGAACATCATCAAGACCACAACTGTCTCCACTGTTACTGGATCACCCATCACTTCCACTGCTGCTACTCCTACCACCACGGTGACAGTCACCACCACCATCACCACCAGCTCAGTTATTGTTCCCTCGGATGTCTCCACCACACTGAGCTTCAGCACCACCTCCACCATCACCGAGACTACATTCGCTGCCGGTGAGACCATCACCGCCACTACGACCAACACTGTTCTAGCGGGTACCACTACCACGTCCTTCTACGCTGCCTGTGCTACCAACAACGTCGCTGGCTCTCCTCTCTCTTCAGACTTCGGCCCGTATGCAGGCAAACAGATCTATGCACTCGAGATGAGCCACATCCCTGGCCAGAATATGGCGGTTGGTAACACCAACTCGGGATACGATTGCTGTGCCAGCTGCATAGCAGATGCCCATTGCGCTATTTCCTACTATTATGCGGGTTCCGGTGTCAAATACTGCTATCTGATCACAGGATCCACGTGCTCCCCCGGTTCTAACTATGGCACGGCTTATATTCAAGATGGCTCGGCGACCGGTGTGCAAATCTCCAATGGAAATTGCGGATATGTGAAAGGTACATTGAGATCTGTATAATTTGGTGTGAATTGGTGTATAGATGATGTAACATCAGAATATAATTGATATAATTAATATTTCAGCCTTTCACTGTGTGTTCACATCCTGGATAACCATGGACGAAAAGGACCACCGCTTATGAACATCAAGAGATCCAGGTAAGATCTCGGGAAGTTCCGTCGGTGCCTTGCCACTATTCCTAGGTAGGCAGGGTGGCACGTGGCTTGATACGTTAGGTATTGAGGCTACATGTTTTCGGTGACAATGTGAACTACTTTGGTAAATAGAAATGGCTGTTCTCACTTAATCCGTTGATGGACAACTATCAGACAACGCCCACCGTACCAAGACTTTCTGTCTTGTGCCTCAAGATGGGGCCCGTGAGATGTTTTAGTTTTGTGACATCTCTTCATGCGCAATACTGTCAACACTAGCGAAAGAACAACACATACGTGGGTCCGTGCATTTGGTACCTGGATCCCAAGCCTATATCGGCCAGATCGCCACCGTAAGCTTTGAGGCGTTACTAGCTTTTGATTTTGAAATGCCATTAAGTTGCCACAGTGAAACCCTTGAAAGGCTCCAGGGCTATGACGCTCAGGGGAACCCAAACTGTTGGGACAGGGGACTTTCACATGCAAATCTATAAGTGGGGGCCAAAATGACATGTGATTATTGTTGGGTATGATCTAGGAGTAGACAGTATAGAGCAAAGAGAGCAAAGAGAAACTATAATGAATCTAAGAGTGATCTACAGAGAGTTTACATATGGAAATGGAGAGAGAAAAAAAAAAGACGTGAAATCAGCGATGCCGGACAAAGTCTGGAGACACGATAAGCCCGCCAGAGAGTACCCCACACGTGTGCTAGGGAAGGTTAAATGGTTCCCATTAGCTCTCGAAGCTCTTGGAATCTCAACAAAATTTCAAGTTTCCCGTTTTTCTCGACATTGTACAGATTCCCATGATCACAACTGTACACATCTCTTTCCTCCCCTCTGTGAATTTTGGCAGCGTTTGACTTGTATAGCGTGATTCTCCCCCTTGACCAAAATGGCGATCCTCGACATTACCAAGGATTTGCCCACACTCTTTAAGCGACAGGTGCAAGCAACCCCAGATGCCATTGCCCTGGAAGATGAGACCACGACATACACATATACCCAGCTGGATCAAGAGGTGGAGACTCTTGCCAGTCGCCTACGAACCTATGGAGTGAGCCGTGACACCCTCGTGGGTGTGCTCCTGCCACGCAGCGCACATTACGTGATTGCCTGTTTAGCAGCGCTCCGGGCGGGTGGTGCCTTCCTTGTTCTCGAATTGGCTTACCCCGCGGACCTCTTGGCGGATGTCATTGAGGACGCTAGCCCCGCCGTGATTATCACCCACAAGTCTGAAGCCGACAAAATCAAAGCGCCGGTCCCGATCATTGCCTTGGATGGGCCCGTTACCGAGATCAATGGACACGCCAAGGAACCTTCTCCATTGCCGGCGGATGACGATTTGGACCGCTTGGCGTTTGTGTCTTATTCGTCAGGAACAACAGGAAAGCCAAAGGGAATCGCCAATCCACACCGCGCCCCGGTACTATCATACGATTTGAGATTTGCAGTGCAGGATGTACAACCAGGGGATCGGGTGGCTTGCAATGTCTTCTTTATCTGGGAGATGTTGCGGCCGCTACTGCGTGGAGCTACGGTGGTTGTCGTGCCCGACGAAACGAGCTATGACCCCGCAGCTCTGGTCGACCTACTCTCAGCGAAGAAGGTCACTGAAACGCTCATGACACCCACTCTGCTGGCGACGGTTCTTTCACGCTATCCCCGATTCGGTACTCGTGTGCCTGATTTGCGCATCATCTGGCTGAACGGCGAGGTTGTGACAACCGATCTTGCCCGCAAAGCCATCAAAATTCTTCCTAATGCCCGCTTACTCAACTGCTACAGTGCGTGTGAAACGCATGAGATTGCCTGCGGAGATATCCGTGATATGGTTGATGGCGACTCTATTTACTGCCCCGTCGGCCCATCGATTGTTCCTTCATACACCTACGTTCTAAACGAAGATGGGCAGGAGGTAGAGACAGGGCAATCGGGAGAACTCTTCATTGGTGGTCCTCTGTTGGCGCGGGAATACATTAACCTTCCCGAGACCACTGCCAAGGCTTTCGCTCCAGATACCTTTGATTCGACACCCGGTGCTCGTATGTACAGGACAGGCGACCTGGCCCGCAAGCTGCCTTCTGGTTTCCTTGAGATCACAGGCCGCGTTGGTGCAATGATCAAGCTGCGCGGATATTCCGTTGTACCGGCGAAGGTCGAAAGTGATATCTGTCAGTACTTGGCTGTCAGTCAGTGTGTGGTCACTGCGTACGGCGATGGATTGGAACGGCAATTGGTCGCATATATTGTCCCCGACAAGGAGGCTTCCTCCGATCGCCCTGCGGTCGTGATCAACGAGTCCGGGCACAGCCCCAGCGCGCGTCGGGTCCTTGAGAACCGCCTTGCGCAATACATGATCCCAGCTCTCTGGGTCGCTCTGGATCAGTTGCCTACTAACGAGGTCTCCGGCAAAGTTGATATGAAAAATCTTCCTGCCCCTCGTAGCTCCAGCCCCAATGGCAGTGAGCAAAGTGCAGGAAAAGATCCGATTAGTCTCAATGACATTGCGGCAATCTGGGAGGCTGTTCTGAAAGTCTCAAAGAGCTTGCTCAAGGCCGAAGATAATTTCTTCGATCTGGGCGGACATTCTTTGTCCCTGGCAGATCTGTCATCCAAGCTTTCCAGACGTTTCGGCTTCCGTGTTCCTATTCCTCGTCTCGCGGAGAACACTACTCTTTCCGGCCACTTGGAGACTGTTCGTGCTGTCAGAGATGGCCACACCGCAGAAGTACAAGCAAATCTGCCGGCAGTCTTGCTTTCCGACGCCACACTAGACGAGGACATCAAACCAACAAATACCGCGATCACCTCAATTACTTCGGCCGACACGGTGCTTTTGACTGGTGTGACGGGTTTCCTGGGCGCTTTCCTGCTCAATGATTTGATTGAGAACACCTCGGCCAAAATCATCTGTCTTGTGCGTTTCAGCGACCCCGAGCAGGATGATCAAGCCGGAGGTGTGGCTCGAATCCGTAGGAACCTCCTAGACATGGGACTCTGGCGCGATTCCATTCTGGAGCGTCTCGAGATCCTACCGGGTAACCTTTCTCGGCCTCGACTGGGTCTGAGTCCGGAAGAATTCGACAATATCGCGGCTCGTGTCCAAGTGATTGTGCATGCTGCAGCCACGGTCAACCTTGTTTACCCCTACGCTGCACTTCGGGGAGCAAATGTGGGTGGAACCAGAGAGATTCTTCGTCTAGCCGCCAAGGGTGGCGCGACTGTGCAGTATGTCTCTACCAATGGTGTCTTGCCACCATCTGGTAAGAATGGCTGGCCCGAAACTACCACCCTAGACGTGGCAGATGTCCCCACAAAGCTGCTCGATGGCTATGGTCAGACAAAATGGGTTGCGGAACAGCTCGTTCTCAAGGCGGGTGAGCGGGGGTTACCAGTCAAGATTCACCGATGTGGTACCATCAGTGGACACAGTGTCACAGGATCTGCCAATGCGTGGGATTTGCTCACTGCATTGATTGTGGAATCCATCCAGCTTGGATATGCCCCAGACGTGGAAGGATGGCGTGCCGAGATGACCCCTGTGAACTTCGTCAGCAAATCTATTGTCCATCTTGCCACCCAGACTCAAACAGACCAAACGCTGTTCCACCTCGGAGATCCCACACCGGTCGATACTCGATCAGTCTTCAAGGACCTCAGAGAGCTTGGTTATGAGACAAAGCCTCTCCCATGGGATGAGTGGGTGGCCCTGTGGTTCGAGAAGAGAGGTTCAGCTAAGGGTGGTGATGGTTCGTTTACCGTCGATATTCTTCGCAGTGGCATGCCGACTGTTGAGTTCCTCCGAGACATCGTGGTCCTTGATAACGCTTTGACCAGGCCTTTCCGGGCCGTTATTGAGCGTCCCAGGGTGGACAGCCTGTTGCTAGAGACCTACACCCGGCATTGGTTTGCTCGAGGGTGGCTACCCCGGGCCCCCTCTCGTCAGCATGCCCTTACCCGACCTACAGAGGTTGCCAAGGGTCCACTCAGCGGCCAAGTCGCTGTGGTGACTGGTGCTTCTTCGGGCATTGGTGCGGCCGTAGCAGCCGCCCTAGCCAAACAGGGTTGCGCTGTGGCACTTGGCGCTCGACGCTTGGATGCACTCGAGAGCACCAAACGCAAGGTCGAAGCTCACGGCGTCCAGTGTATCCTCCGATCAACCGACGTCACAAGCAAGACTCAAGTGGACGCTCTCGTCCAAGCAGCAAGTGAGGAGCTCGGTCCAGTCGACATCCTGGTTGCATGCGCTGGTGTTATGTACTTCACCATGATGGCAAACACACAGATGGACGAGTGGGAGCGCACAGTTGACGTCAACTGCAAAGGTCTCTTGCACGCTCTCTCTTCAACCGTCCCCGGTATGCTCTCGCGTGGTCGCGGCCATGTCGTCGCCATCTCCTCCGACGCCGGACGTAAGGTCTTCCCTGGTCTCGGTGTATACTCGGCCAGCAAGTTCTTCGTCGAGGCCACCCTCCAAGCCCTCCGCCTTGAGACCGCAGGCGCTGGCTTGCGTGTGACGAGTATCCAGCCCGGAAACACTTCCACAGATCTGCTGGGCATGTCGACGGATGCTGAAGCTGTCAAGAAATTTGGAGAGCCATCCGGAGCGAAGATCCTCGACCCGTCCGATGTTGCCAACTCCATTGTTTATGCCCTGACTCAACCTGAGCATGTCTCCGTCAATGAGATCCTTGTTGAGCCTCGTGATGAGCCTATTTAAACTATACCGGTCATTTACCAGATGTTTTATGAGAGTTTCTATGATTTGCTGTTAATTATCTGTTACTAGTTGTGATGCAGGGGATTTGATTGGATTCACACAAAAATAGACGACCATATAGAGGTAGAAAGGATATATTGTATAGAGTATTGAATACCGGATTTCCACACGCGCTTCCCCCATGCAACTCAAATCCATATGCTCCCATTCGACAACATGGTCCGCAAAGACCGCAACGGCCAGGGCACATCATCAACACATCCAAAGCAGTCGAGAGTCCCTACGGAGCTCTATTCTAACCTATCTTCCATCATATACTCATCCCGTTCACGCAAAAATCCGCAGAGGGTAGTTGGGCAAATAAAACCCAGGATCATTAAACCGCAGACCCCTATCCAAAGCCGAGATAGCCTCAATCTCCTCATCCGTCATATCAAAACCCAGCACATCCAAGTTCTCAGCAAGACGAGTCCGATCATTCGACTTGGGAATAACAGCAATACCCCTACACGTATCAACAATCAGCACCAAACCCCCGATCTTAAACAAAAATCCCAAACTCACCTCTGCGTAGCCCACCTCAACAAAATCCTCGCAGACGACACACCATACTTCTCCGCAACAACCCTAACAGGCCCCGCCTCAAATAGCACCGGAATCCCCCGTGCCCTCTCCGAAAACGCCGGCGGCAACTCCACAAAAGACTGAGGTCCAAAACTCGAGTACGCCGTCACGGCAATCCCATTCTCCCGCGCCATCTGGATAAGATCAGACTGCACCAGGTAGGGATGGTGCTCGATCTGCAGGGCTGAAATCGGGTGACACGCATACGTGTTTATGTCGTACAGGCTCTGTGCTTGGAAATTACTCACCCCGATACTGTGTGCGATTCCGCTGTCTACGAGGGTTTCCATTGCTTCCCAGGTTTCGCGGATTGGGACGTTATCCGGACTGACGGTTCCTGATTCGTCCATCCACCATGCCTGGGTGTAGTAGTTAGCGGGATTGTGGGGTCGTATTTTACTGTTGGGTTCATTGGACTTGGGTATGGGTGATGGCTCACAGGGTATTCCCTCACTGTCGGGTCTATGTATTTCAACGCACAGGGAAAGTGCATTAGGAATAGATCGATGTACCCCAGACCCCAAGAGTCATTTTGTTTCTTGGCCATCTCGATGGCATGTTCACGGCGGTGATAGTTGTTCCATAGTTTTGTTGTGATGAAGATCTCGGCGCGGGTTACGAGGCCGTCGGTGATGGCGCGCTGGATGCCTTTGCCGGCTTCTTTTTCGTTTTGGTAGTCGTATGCGCCGTCGAAGAGTCTGTAGCCGGCTTTGATTGCCTGGTATATGTTAGTATGTATTTGGTGTGAGTTGAAATTTGATATTGTGGATGTACTAACGTTGTATACTGTATCCGCGGCTGTCTCTTTAGGGACTTTCCATAGGCCGAAGCCTACGAGGGGCATTTCTTTGCCGGAGGCTAGTGTGATTGACATTGTCATTTTAGGACGGGTAGATTGTTGAGCTGTTTTTTGGGGGGGTTTAAATCAGATCTCTTTGTTGTTTCAATACTCAGACTGTCTCGCGATGCTGGTGGTTCTAGTTGCCTATTTCGGATGTGGATCCTTGTATATCCAAAAAGGCATGTTGTGGCATCGGAGGCTCATCTTGGGTGAATCCCCTGAATCTTTCTTTTTTTTTTTCTGGTCATATGAATATGTTTTTCCAACATGACATGTTACGAAATGGAAAGAGGTGCCTCGTCGAGAAACGGTACCTTGACCTCCGAGATAGGTTATGTATGGTGCGCCAACAAAAATCGAGTCTCGGCAGATTTATGTACTAAGCATCAATATACCTAAAGCCAGGTACACATTTCATCTCTGTGCGAATGACATGGTACCTTTGGGGGTCTGATGCGCGGCTGATGTGTGAAATATGTGCGTCTCTCTTGACCTGTAACTGGAGATGCCGTGTTCGATCTCACTTCGTCTCTTCATAAACTCTATATCGTACAATTACAAACTAAACCTCCTTAGTTCCAGTATCAATCCTAGACCCACTGTGACTGCTACCGATACTGACAGTGTCATAAGTGGGATGCATCGACAGCGGATGCAACCCCTTATGTCGAATCTGCGAACGTGGCGTGATAGCCACCGGAGTGTTCTCAACAACAAAAGAGCGCACCGACTGCGTATCAACAAATTGTGTTGTGAAAGCCTCCTCGACCCCCTCAAGAGAACGATCCGCAGTCTCAGGATAAAATGCCCAAACAACAACCATCGCCGCCCAATTGAACGCGACGAAACAATAGAAATAATTGGTCCCCATATCTGCCAGTGCGAGGGGCAAGCACTGCGTGAAGATAAGGCTAACACTCCAGTTCGTGGCGGTCGCTATGGACGAGCCGCGCGCTCGAATGGGCGTGGGGAAGATTTCACACTGGTAGATCCAGGAGATCATGGCGATGGCAGTGAAGAAGAACGAAAAGACAAAGAACATAGCGACGGCAGCTCGTAGCGCGTGTGGGTTGGCATTCGGGTCGTCAAAATCGACATACCGCGCGAGCGTGGCTTCGATGCACAGGGATGCTCCCATGCCGAGCAGTGATGGAATGAGTAGTTTCCGGCGCCCGACTTTGTCGATACAAAGCATGAAGACTGTATTCCAGAATAGTGCTAGTGCACCCCAGACTCCGATTATCATGATGGATGTTGATGCTGTGAGGCCTAATGTTTTGAAGAGTCGTGGGGCGTGATTTGAGATTACGGTTGTGCCTGAGCACTGAGTGAAGACTTGCAAGCCAGAGGCTAGGATAATCCTGTGTCGCCAGCGTGAGGAGAGAAGGAGATGACGCCAGGATCGTACGGCGGATTGTTTCTGGGATGTTAGGCTCTCTTGAATTTGGAGGAGCTCATGTTCGAGTAGAGGGTTGTTTGTCGCGTTGTGGTTGAGATGGAGTCGGGCGAGGACTAAATGGCCTTCTCCCTCTCTGCCCTTTTCGATGAGCCATCTCGGTGATTCAGGAAGGAACCAAACGCCACAAGTGAGAATGATTGCTGGCACGGCTTGGAAGGAGAGGGGAAAACGCCAGGAGAAGGCTCCATCTCGAAGAGAACACCCGTATCCCACCCATTGCTTGAAACATGTCAGTTGGTTCATAGCAAGACTCGAGTGGTGGGTATACTCACAGCAACCACGAACCCTAAGGCAATCATCCATTGTTGCATACTAGCCAACATCCCCCGAATCTGTGGTGGGGCGACCTCGCTCTGACCTCATGTCAGATAAAGCTTAGCAGCAGGAGCGGGCGTATTTGACCTACACAATAAACCGGAATAGTAGCGGACATCAGCCCAATTGCCAAACCAGCGAGAGATCGACCGGCGATCAGCATCGCGATATTGACCGCGCCTCCCTGGAGACCAGCGCCCAGAACGGCAAGCAAGCCGCCGATGAAGAGGGCCATTCGTCGGCCATAGTAATCCGAAATATATGGGACGAGGACCGAGCCCACGATTGCGCCACCTGATCGCGAAAATTAGATCCCGATCGCGGCAAGATCTGACGAGTATAGAATCTCACCGGTATACGAAGAAATAATGACACCAGCAGCGGTGTCAGATACGATTGGAGATCCGAATTGGCGTACGAAGGCCTCCTGCTCAAGAATGGAGGAGATCGCGCCGGAATCATAGCCGAACAGGAATGATCCCAGTGCGGCGAAGGCGCAGCAGAAGGTGACGAGGTAGAAAGTCATCTTATGTATCGCGTTGCTCCATAGCCTGTGAGAATTGGCGTTCGGAGGACAAGGTGATCCATATAAGGCGTAGAGAAAGTCGCGTTGTTATACATACCGATCCACCCTGGGGAAAGTGGGACGTGCCGCAGGGGTGGAATGCCATGCGGGATGCGAGGGATCGTCAGGTTCGTTTCATGGAGATAAATGACTGTATGGGGATAGTCAATAATGCAGTTAGTACCAAGCCAGTATGACGCGACAATTTGGCACAGAATTTTATCTGAAGGGCTGTCAATCTATTCATGAGGTACCTCGTGAACCCTGATCTCGGGAAGTCGACCAGAACAGATTATCCAAGGCTCTTGATGACACTCAATCATGGGGTGATTGGTCAACTCATTTTGATGTTTGCATTCCCCATGTCTCGCGTCACAGGGCTGTCAAAGCATTTTGACGCATGCTGCCTTGTTTCTGAAGGCCCCCTCTATATGGACCCCTTCATGATGACCGGGCCAGGGTTCCAAGGGTCCAGGACTGTATTTATGCCCTGTACGTTGCATTTTGTGCTTATCATGCATAGACATAAAAAAAGGAGTCAAGTCATCGTCATAATACTCCGTACAGAGTACTCGAGATAGCAGAAATCTATTAGGTCCAGGTGATCATCTTTTCCTAGGATTAGGCCGTATGCAAGAACTAGTCATCAAATCTGGTCATTGGTAGGGGTGTTCTGCACGTGTACATGTCCATGTCCATACATGTCCATGTAGGTACACCGGGGAAACAAGGAGAAGCCATAAGCTGCGCTATCCCCAGACTCACCACGGGGCCGTTCAATTCCAAAGCCCTATGGTGTGTGGATATAGAGTACATGTATTGTATACTGTACGGAGTACTCCGTCTACCCGACCCGAGATAGTCAAAGATTAGATAGTCGGCAAGTGTGTACAGAGCCTAGACAAATCAGGTGGAGACGGGGACCCTAAACAGACTCATCAACTTCTTATTGGATAGGGAAGGGTCAAAAATGCCTCAGTCCGGGAACTTTTTCTGGAAGGAAATCCTATATGCATGGAAGATGATGTCGGTGTCGTGAAGCCCCGATATCCACCTCGGGGCACTCGTACTTATGACTAAACTAAAAAAAACTAAACTCTTTTCCTATTCTTTGCGATTTTCTCGATTTTTTTTTTTGCGTTTTTTTCTTACAATATACGCTCTGATCCCCTAAAAATCCTTTGGGATACACCGCTCTCGGGAATAATCATTTCATCATCGTTCATTATCTCGATCTCTGTTCCCCCTCCAAGCTTACCCTCTGCCAGTACCTCCAGATCTTGACATTCTAGGAACTTTCAATCGACATCTAAATCGTGCAGTGTCTTTGTAATTTTGCTTGTCTTATAATACGGCGGTCCATGGTATTTGGTGAAATAAGTGATCACTTCGGATCGCCCGCCAAGGCCACCAGTTCTCTTTACATGAATCCGTGCACTTTACGCACCTCAGATATCCAGTCATGGCGACTACGACGAGCCCTCATTCTGGCGAGAATGAGGAGGATTCCGCACCCATGAAAGATTTCAAGTATTCGCTTGACGATCACCATGACTCTTCTGCCCATGATGCCTCCCCCACAGATTCCAAATCACTGCCTGCACAGAAAAGGCGACGAGTCGGCCGCGCATGCGACGAATGTCGCAGAAAAAAGATCAAGTGCGACGGCAAACAGCCATGCACTCATTGCACAGTCTATAGTTATGGTACGCAGTCCCTCGATCGAAATTTTGGAAAACATTCAGCCCTAACAGTCAAATTGTAGATTGCTCGTACGACCAACCTTCCAACCGCCGTCGAAATCCCGCCCCGCAATACGTTGAGGCTCTGGAAAATCGGCTGCAAAAAGCCGAAGCGCTTCTTCGAACCGTTCTTCCAAATGTTGACCTCGATGATCCGCAATTCGACGTGCATGCGACAGAGCAGAAATTCGAAGCCGCACAAAAAGCAAAAAAAGCGGCCGAAGACGTGAAACCAATAGTTGTACAAGATACAGCGCAAGAAGGCGGAGACGAGGGATTACTTGAAACCATGGTCGACAATTCGGGCTGCTTGGATCGGGATGACCAGGGTCATTGGGATTACCACGGCCACACCTCGGGCGTTCTCTTTGTTCGACGGCTCCGCAAACAGTTGGGTGCTGCAGATATTACGGGTCCGATGGCACGATCGCGCTCCTCGATATCTGCGCATATGCTGGATAGTCCAAAATCCATGTCGGAGTCACCTCAAGACACAACATTACCTCCTACGCATGACCTGCCTCCGCGGGAGGTTGCTCGCCGCTTGTGTCACAATGCAATCGACCATGCCTGCTCTCTGATGCGATTTGTGCATGAGCCCTCCTTTTTTGCAAGTCTGGAGCGCATCTACGATACTCCCCCGGAACAATTCACGAACGAGGAGAATTCCTTCTTGCCGCTCTTATATATCGTCATTGCCGTCGGCTGTCTGTTCTCGGATGATGGATCAGGACAAGGTACCCTAGATCTGTCTGGCTACGAAGACGCAATAGGCCAGGGGTAAGTCTTCGTAAATCTACCTCGATGGCACCAACTAATTTCTTTGATAGGTTCCAATTCTTCAAGGCCGGTCGGCAACTGCTGGAGATCACCGACTGTCGTGACTTGCCCTCTCTCCAAGCAATCTGTTTCATGGTCCTCTTCCTCCAATCCTCAGCGAAGTTGAGCACATGCTACTCGTATGTGGGTATTGCACTTCGTTCATCACTGCGATTAGGTCTCCATCGCTCTGTCGCGGCAGACTTCAACCCCATTGAACGAGAACTTCGAAAGCGCATCTTCTGGGTCGTCCGCAAGATGGACGTCTACGTGAGCACGCTCTTGGGTCTTCCCCAAATGCTGAGTGACGACGATATCGATCAAGAGTACCCAATGGAGGTGGATGGGGATTTCATTACTTCGGAAGGAATCACTAAGCCCCCGTCTAACTACACACCGCTGATGGCTGGGTGCAATGCACACACCCGTCTTTCCAACATCATCCTGAAGGTGGTGAAATATATATACCCCGTCAAGAATGCTCGCTATCGCTCCAAGTCAGACCAGCGATACATGGTCAGCCACTCAAAAATTAGGGAGATCGAGCGAGATCTGCAAAATTGGATGGAGGAATTGCCTCCTGCTCTGCGGCCGGGCACGGAAGTGTCGCCCCAGCTAGAACGGTATGTCTCTACAGTACTGACGTTTTCAATCAATTTGACTCACATTTAAGTAGTGTGCGACAATTGCTGCGTATTAGCTATGCTCACGTGCAGATGGTCATGTACCGCCCATTCCTCCACTACGTCTCTAGTGGTTCTCAGGCGCGTGGCGTGGACAAGCGCTCATATGCCTGTGCAGCTGCCTGTGTCAGTGTTTCCCGAAACATTGTTCACATCACGACTGGAATGCAAAAGAGAGGACTACTCAATGGATCATTCTGGTTCACAATGTATACAACATACTTCGCTATCCTCTCCTTAATCTTCTTTGTCCTTGAGAACCCGGATTCGCCCACAGCCAAGGATGGCGTCCTGAAAGATGCCATGGAGGGCAAGCATACTTTGGCCGGGTTGGCCATGAAGAGCCTCGCTGCCGACCGGTGTTCCCAGAGCTTGAACGTAAGTACTCATATCTTCAACCTGGAATCGCCTGGACTAATTATATTGCAGTGCCTTTTCAAGACGTTGCCCGATATGTTGAAAAATCGCCAGAGCTCCAAGACTCCTGTTAACCTCAAGCGGCCCGCGCCAGTCAACACTGTCCAGCCTGAGCCGAAGCCTACCTTCGAGAAAACGCTGCCACATCGGTCAAGCACCTTCCCCACGCAAATGGCGTCCCAGCCGGTTGTTACCGATAACCAGAGCCGCCGACAACGAAGCTTGGACAATGTCCAGCCTATCAGCAATCGCCCTACTGATGTTAATCACCAGTCCACATGGGTTTCAACCACTCCCGAGCTACTGACAGAAACCATGACTACTCCGGAACATATTTCCCCATCCGGCATGACGCCCTCCATGCCCAATCAAGAGCCATCAAGTCTAGCATGGGCTCAGCAATTCACCAATCCGTCCAATCTTCCAGATCTTATGCCAATGATGTTCCCTTCGGACGATCCATTCGCGTACCCAACACAGCCCATGTCCACCTTGGAAGATGATCACTTCCGGCACGACAGTGCCGGCATGCCTTCGCAGTACCCCTTCGATTCAACGCCGGGCATGGGGCCCAACACACCCGGCGATCCCTCCAGCGCAGGGGTCTCCACTCCAGCATATGACTTCACAAACCTCCCGAATTTCCCTCTCGCAAATTCCTCAGGGATTAAGTCATCAGTGCCAAGCCACCTCCGCCCCTCCCATTCGCGAACTTCATCCCGCATCCACTCCCCGATTTCGCAGAGCCAGACCCCGGCAGAATTGATCAGCAGTCCAGACCTGGTCTCAATCCCGAACCAGAACTTCGTCTGGCAGGGCTACAATTTCCAGCCCAATAATCCAAATGACATCGCAACCGAGTCTGCACCACAGCAGTCAGAAATTCCCGGTCCAAATGGAGTGCCTGATTTTGGTATGGGCATGGATGAGAATATGGGCATGAATACGGATCTGGGGATCTCTTTTGATGATCTGTTCGGCAATAATGCCGCCTATCGGCCTGGCAACGGGGCGTCTGCTGAGGATTGGGCTCAATGGATGAATGCCAACAGCATTTGACCTTGATCTAGTTTACCTTCTTTGTCTTCTTTGCTTTTTACGAGGATATGCTATCATGAAAGCCAAAGTCTTGGTGTAAAAACTGTTAATACCTGGTAGGCGTTTTGAGCTGGGCTTGGGAGTTTCGCTTTTCTTTTGTAATTAGCTTTATACATAAATGGATCCGGATATCTATATCGCTTGGTGTGTTTCTCTTTCTATTCGGACGTCGATATCTTGCTTTATTCCAAGTAACAAGGTACGCGATCTGAGAGGATATCGTATGTGCTTGGAGTCGAAGCAAGTACTGGATCAACCCTTTTCCGACACACATACATACCTGCCCAGTCAGCTCTCAATTCCAGGTCTTTTTCCCTCGCTGGTTGTGATCCCGCATACTCGACAAGTCAAAACCCATCTCTGTCTCGGCATGTCTTCTGGATTTTGAAATCAGCATGGAAAGTAATCCCCATGTTCCAATCGCGCTCCATCCCTCTCACGGTTGAATTATACACCAAGAAGCTCGGTTTTGAACTCGCCAGCGTAAAACCCGATGACTCATCCTAGGAAAGCTCGTCTGAGCAGACATTCTGCTCCCTTGTTCATTGGCAAAAAAGCAGACGCCAACTTCTATTTTTCAAAAGCAGCTGCAAATTCCACCCTATCACAGGCGATGATTGCACTAGGAACCTCGCAGTTGGATGAATATTATAATCATCTGCGATGTCTCGATGATGTCGAGATTGTGGGGGATGTCGAGGATACACCGTGGGGGTATAAACAGATCTCGATCAAGGATAATGATGGGAACATCTTATTTTTTTTTTTTTCCTTCAAATTTCTGGAGGGAAGGAATTCAGCACAAGACTAAGTTATACCTAGCAGCCGTGTCTGATTCCAAGTACTAGGAGTGTGTGCACCCTGCCCAAGTTATCGATGGTATACATCGTAGATTTATAGCCAAAAGAACTCGAGCATGCGCATTACTTCGTTCATTCACCAATGCTTACTAGCTACATATCTGTAGCTAATGCCAATATCCCCTGGAGGGATCTTGGGGAGATTGCTACTTCCATGATCCTAAAAGTTACCCGTAGACCCTTGACTTGCGGAAGTAGACACCTCGTCCCAGCTAAGTGCATTGATCTGCAACGGCATTATAAGTAGAACCGGTACAGCCGCTTCCATCAGAGGTACACTGCGCATTGCTTGTCAATCACAGGCTTTGTGTATCAAAGAATGAGATATAATTTACCTGTTCATGAGCTGGACAAGCCACTACCGCTATTAGGGGTGCTGGACCGTTAGGATTCAAGGTGCACTGTTGAGTGGACTTTGAACATGTCTAAAATCATATTAGCAAAAGAACCTATCCAGGGCCTCTCGTGTGATCGCTTACACCACCGACAGTTTCTGCCGCTGCGAGAGTAGCTCCGAAGGCCAGGAGAGTCAGGAAGTTCTGATAGAAATGCATGCTCGAGATTGAATTTATCGTAACAGTGATTGCTGAGGAAATGGGTGATCTGGTTTCTTGATTTGACTGAAATATCTATGGTTTATATATTCGTCGGAGAACACACAAATATTCTGTTGGTGGCCTTGTATCACCTTTACCAGGATCAGTAGTGGCAGTCAGAGTCCGAGACTTGCTCTGTTCTCTATCCCCGATCCTTGTCCTGTCTCTTTGCGATATACATTGCATATCTACGATCTATATCTGTGTCTGCGTTCTCTGGATATTCTCCTTTTGCTGACGTTCACGAAATGCTGTCCAATTACCCTCTTGCATGAACTACTCCGTTCCACTGCGCAAAGCACACGGTTCTAGGATTGTTCAGTCTAGGCGGGTCGGAAATGGTGGAATGGTTGTCAGCATATCGGAGGCATAGGGATAACTATCAGGGTGCTATAGTCACCCAGCATTTTCACTTGTTCCCTGTCGTTTTTCTTGATAGATGACTGCATCCTCTTACTGTTCAGATTGCTCTTATATCTCTGCCACTATATTGTCTCAACCGTATAGATAACTACTTGAGAGCAGGTTCTTCGAGTTCTGCGGAGAGTATTGCCATTTTAGGCAATAGAAAAAAGAGCGAGTATACTGTGGGGACATTATTGGCAGCGGTCTTGTCGCGCGTCATATCTGATGGTATGATTCATATTTTTGGATAATTTATATGCGTCATGATGGATCTGTTCATATATTCTCCCGATGTGGAGAATTTAGTGAGGTCCTTCCATGCGACGTCCGATTTATATATATACATTGTAGTTCACGTGTGCCTAGGCTTAGTTGAGTAGTGACTAACCGTTTCTGGCAGTTCAACACAGTATTGAAGGGATATATTACTATGTAGAAGGAATAGAGCCCATAGAAATTTCATAAATAATAAAAGAATGGTAGTATAATGCCAAGATCACTAAATAAAAAGTGACAAATGTATTCATTTACAACCATACAAAGATTGCCGAGAAGATGGCCGATGGCCGAGGAAAGCAGGTACGTGTGGAATTACCCGGATATACAGCTTCACGTATCCCAAACCAGCCAATTGTCGGTAGAGCAGTGGAGATATATGTATCCAGGCCATACTTTCGGACAGAAAACATGGCCGCAGCTGGCATGGTAGCGGGTTGCGTTCTTGGCCAATCCCCCCACTGTGAGTGTTGGAGCATAGACCAGAAGACCAAGAGAAACAATATGACCAGGACACCACAAACGAGACAAGACCAGTGATACCGGACCAGTCAAGCGTTTCTGCCTCAAGTCCTCATTTTCGGTGCTTTGTGTATCATCCCTGCAGGGCCTCGGATAAATCGCCGAAAGGTGGCTTGATTTTCATCCTCCAAAATCACATCATCTGTGAACACTTACGCTACAAATCCAAGTTGTCCCTGTGTAATTCTCCTCGCCATCTATCCAACCATCATGGCCTCCGGACTCTTTTTTGACCCGCGTACCCTCATTTTCGACCACCGTACACTCCTCCGTACCGCCCCACTCATAACCTCCACCTGTACACTCTGGTACTCGCTCGACCAGGACTTCTTCCTAAAGGTCTTCCTCCACCCAGACCACCGCACCCGCAGCAATGAGATCCTGCCATCCTATTTCCGGGGCTTCTTCGGCTACGGTACCGTACGCGTGCTGGCCCTTCTCACACTGACCTTGACGGGGGGTGGATATAATATCTGGACAGAGCGACGGTCGGGATTGGGTAGCTCGGCCTCCCTACCTTGGTATACTGCTGGCACAATATTAGCTGCCAGTCACCTTCTCTTTGTGCCCGCGGTTGCGCCCAAGGTCCAGGCTGTGATCGAGGATACGTCGAAGGGCTCGTCGACGAAGGATCTCGAGGGTTGGCTGACTGTTCATCGTGTGCGTACGTGGACGGTTGATCTGGCTTCGTGGGTGTGTTTTGCGATTGGAATGTCAATTGTCGAGTGAAAGATGGATAACGGAGGGAACAATACTCCGGACAAGTACATACGTTGCATGAGAAGAGCTGGCTGTGCTTTAGCTCAATTGAATATAAGTGTACATACTAAAACGTGTATACCCATAAAATCGGATCAGTACATTTGATGCGATTTGATAAATTATTCCAGTATCGACTTCTCACAAGATCTTCAACTATGTTTCAGACAGGTAACTTGTCAATGTTTGAAGTACTCCGTACTCCGTACTCATAGCGAGCTAGCCCATAATTTGTTAGACCCACATATTTCGACGCTCCTCATCTCAACGTTCAGATCTTCTTCGCATAATGATCCTGCGCTACACCCTTTCTTGATCATATTCATATTTGCCCATGGATCTTTTTTATATATAAAAACGGATCAATTGTAGCATACGCAAGCCTCTCGCATGGAGAGCTAACAGTCCAGATCTCCCATTGTACATTTACTTGGCTTGCATACCCCCGTGACTATTTATAGCCAACTCGAATGGCGTCACTTCCAAAAATTTCCACCGTCTTCACCTGGGCCGTCTATTTGATCCCCGTGTATATCTTCATCCTTGACCCGCTGGTGCGCGGGTTCTTCCCGAGTCTGCTCGCACCACCCAGTGACAGCGACAACCTATTCGACGAGTCCGGCTCACCAGGACCAGGAATCAATCTCACCGACGACAGCTTCATCAGTCCGGAAGATGGTGTACCATTTAGCTGTCCCAGCGCAGAGGGCTACAGCGTGCATCTCCTCTCGCGCGAACCGCTGATCATCTACATCGAAAACTTCGTCTCCGAAACCGAAGCAAACCACATCCTGGCTATGAGGTAAATCACCAATCTCAACCCCAACCAAAAGCCCCCGAGGAACAACGGATATACACCACAACACACAGAATAACCACAGACCAAGCTAACCGGAACAAACCTCTCTCCAATCTCAGTGTAAACAAATACAGTCCTTCAATCGTCTACGACGGCCAAACCGAACGGGTAGACCCCAATAAACGCCTGTCCGACCGCGCCCTCCTTGACCGCGACGACACCGTCCGCTGTCTAGAAGACCGCGCCCGCGCCTTCCAGGGCTGGCGTCCGGACCTGTACATCGAGCGCATGTGGGCGCAGCGCTACAATGTCTCCGGTCACTACCGCCACCACTATGACTGGGCCGGGTCGTTGGCGCGGGGTGGGGACCGCTTCAGCACGTTTATGGTATATCTCGATGCGGACTGTGAGGGTGGGGGGACAAACTTTCCACGGTTGCGGATGCCGGCTGGGGAGGGGTGGTGTCGGTTTTTGGAGTGTGAGCAGGGGAATGGGAAGAGGAAGGGGGAGATGGGTGTCACATTCAAGCCTATCAAGGGTAATGCGGTGTTTTGGGAGAATCTTCGGGCAGATGGCACGGGGTACCCTGAGACTTGGCACGCTGCGTTTCCTGTTACAAAGGGGACGAAGGTCGGGTTGAATGTGTGGAGTTGGTACCAACCAAAGCGGAAGAATCGGTTAGGAAGGTGAGCTGGTCAGAGAGGCAGAAACGTGCACGTGGGATGGGTTGTTATGAGCTTGGCTGGCCAAGCTACCGGCTAAGTCATGTTCCAAGGAGCATCTGGAATGCTTGGGCTAAGCGCTTTCGAAGAGCTTAGTCAGTATATTTGTATCTCAGGGGTGTGTCAGGAGATGTTCCAAGGTTATAGAATAAAATTAGACACTAGACTATGACATATAGCGCATATAATATGTACATCTGTGTGGTTGGATGTAAATGCCTCTCCGTACTGACCTCGGAATCCGAAACTGGCTTATGCATACCGTAAGGACACCAGGCAGCCGGATTAATCAAATGACTTGTCACACAAGAAAGTTTATACGAAAGGGATGTGAAATTGGTACCAAGACACCAAGACTCCAAGACTTGAGTCTTGGTGCCCGGAGCGGGAATTATTGGCAAGAGGAATCACTTGGCTGCCAAGAAGCATTGCCCATGGGATGTTTTCTTGGAAGGTCGGCTTGGCGAAATGAACACGCCACTTTGTTTTCATCTGAAAGATGGAATTCAATTCAAATATCCGGGGATACCGTGTGTGTTTTGGATTTACCCCCAACTCTTCAATTTTACCTTGAATTTACGGTATTGAGCACTAACCTGATTTAGGGCATCCGGATGTACAAATTTCAAAAGTGGTCGGACTTAGGCCGTATATGTTAGATTACCGTACTGTACCCTACTGTGCTACGTGTTAGCTCTGGAATGCTCAATACACAGCCCCTCGTTCTTCCTTCGGTCCACCAGTCACAATCCATGGCGCCAACGCCTCTCGGGTCTTGGGGCCCGCACCGACTCTTGGCCCGGTCTTGGTCTGTTCGTTTCTCTCCTTGTCCCTCCGCCAGGCTTAGCAAAGCGGTATTTTCTGGGCAAAGGCTCGGCTCCTTTTCCTCTTCTGCGGAGAACCCCCCCATTTTCTCTCACCTAAATCCCCCCTTTTCTTCTCTGGCATCTTTGTATACATATAGGTTCATCTCTATTTGATCTCCTTGGTTTGTTTTCCTTTGATGTCCTCTAGGCTTTCCGCCAACAACATATCAAGTTTCTTGGCATCATGACGGAGAATCATACCCCTTCTACTACACAGGCGACGTTGCCTGCGCCGGTCTCTGAACCAGCGCCAATCCAAGCAACCCCAGCCCCTTCTGCCTCTGTCACCGCGACTGCTGCCGCCGCCACCGCCGCGGTGAACAGCCCCTCTTTGAACGGCGCCGGCGAGCAGTTGCCTTGCCAGTGGGTCGGATGCACTGAAAAGTCCCCCACTGCCGAGTCTTTATATGTAAGTTTGATCAAACCATCTCAAAATATGGGAGAATATAGGGAGAAGATGTTAATAATCTCCATATAGGAACATGTTTGCGAGCGCCATGTTGGACGTAAAAGCACCAACAACCTCAACCTAACCTGCCAGTGGGGCACTTGCAACACAACAACAGTCAAGCGTGATCACATTACCTCCCACATCCGCGTTCATGTGCCACTTAAGCCTCACAAGTGCGACTTCTGCGGGAAGGCTTTCAAGCGCCCCCAGGATTTGAAGAAGCATGTCAAGACCCATGCAGATGACTCCGAGATCCGTTCCCCCGAACCGGGCATGAAGCATCCTGATATGATGTTCCCCCAAAACCCTAAGGGTTATGCTGCTGCTACACATTACTTTGAGAGCCCGATCAATGGCATCAATGGCCAATATTCACACGCGCCACCTCCTCAGTACTATCAGCCACACCCTCCACCTCAGGCCCCCAATCCGCATTCCTATGGCAATGTATACTATGCCCTGAGCCAAGGACAAGATGGAAACCACCCGTATGACCGTAAACGAGGATATGACGCGTTGAACGAGTTTTTTGGAGACTTGAAGCGCCGCCAATTCGACCCTAACTCCTACGCCGCGGTTGGTCAGCGTCTGCTGGGTCTGCAAGCGCTCCAGCTTCCCTTCCTCAATGGCCCTGTACCTGAATATCAGCAAATGCCTGCATCTGTCGCGGTCGGCGGCGGCGGAGGCGGAGGTGGCTACAGCCCAGGTGGTTCCCACCCTCCTGGTTACCACCTTCCCCCCATGTCCAATGTTCGGACTAAGAATGATTTGATCAACATCGATCAGTTCCTCGAGCAAATGCAGAACACTATCTACGAAAGCGATGAGAACGTGGCGGCTGCCGGCGTTGCCCAGCCCGGCGCGCATTACGTGCATGGTGCCATGAACTATCGTGCCACCCACTCCCCCCCAACCCAACTCTCGCCAAGCCACGTTACCGCAACCTCCGCCCCAATGGGAGCTGCTTCGGCCCACTCCCCATCGGTCGGCACCCCAGCTCTGACCCCGCCTTCCAGCGCTCAATCATACACCTCCAACCGCTCTCCCATCTCTATGCACCACGCTCAGCGCGTGTCGCCCCCTCACGAGAGCGGCCCGGGGATGTACCCGCGTTTGCCGTCGGCCACCGTCGCCGATAGCATGAGTGCAGGCTACCCGACCGCCTCAGGTGCCGCGCCACCCTCGACTCTGAGCGCCGCGTATGACCACGACGATCGCCGCCGCTACACCGGTGGTACCTTGCAACGCGCCCGGCCGGCCGAGCGTGCTGCCACTGAGGACCGTATGGACACCTCACAGGATAGCAAGACTCCCGCTATTCACATCTCGGAGAGTCTGATTGACCCCGCCCTGTCGGGTACCTCTAATCCTGAACAGGAGGCTGTTAAGCGCACCGCGCAAGCGGCTACCGAAGTCGCCGAGCGGGATGTCAACGTTGCCTGGGTTGAAAAAGTTCGTCTGCTTGAGAACCTGCGTCGCTTGGTTTCTGAATTGCTTGAGGCTGATAGCCTTACTGCCGGGTATGGAGCACAGTCTTCGGCTTCTCCTACACCAGGACTTGATGCTATGGAAGGAGTCGAGACTGCTAGTGTACGTGCTGCTTCTGAGGAGCCCAAGGAAGAGCCTACCACGTCTGCCAGTGAGGGAGTCTTCTATCCCACCTTGCGTGTGGATGAGGATGAAGATGAGGATGGTGATTCTCAAATGCCTTGAATTCTTTCTGCCAATGGGTTTAGCTTCACGCCGTGACGACATTTGTTTATTGCTTTTCCGCTCTACACCCCCTCTACAAGGTCTTTCCAAGTTTTAATTTTTTTTTTCTATTTTCAAACAATTCTTTAGCTCAAGTTTGTATGATTACATTGAACTGTTTATTTATGGAAGTTGTTTGCATCTTTGACTCTGTGTAGAACCTTGGTTCATGCCGATGTTACTGTTCTTTCAGATCTGTCAAACCCCAAAGAGGTCAGCCAAACTAGATCCGGGGAACGCAAACGGGCAGATCTCACTTTGATCAGATCTGAGGGATGTGTGTAAGGAGGTAAATTAGCGTGATTGAGATGTTGTACATGGTTCTTGACATGAGTATATGTACATCTTGAAGAACGAAGATAAAGAAATTCACACACATACATCATGTAGGTTATCCTCATCTCTGTACTCCATACATCATAGAACCTATAGAACATCCAAATGCAGAGATGGTGAAGTCCCACTCTCTGCACTCGGAAACATCCCAATCACACGCTGAGCACGTGCTGGTATTGGTATTTCGGTCCTATCTCCGCCTATCGGTGACCTTTCCCTGTATACATACGCTGTTATGACCACAACTCCACCAACTGTTTACGGTCATCCCATCTTCATCGTCTTTTCCTACTTGTACACTTTGTTTTCTCCGTTTTTATATTTTCTATATTCTTTCTCTCTCTCTCTGCTTTCTCTTCTTTTTTCTATATTTTCTGGTTGTTGGGTTAACACGCTACGCGACAAGGCGGTCACCTCCCCAAACAGACGCCATTGCGCGTGTCGATCGGCCTAGGGATTATCGATAATAACATCCAGCCACACAATATCAACCTTTCGATTGGGGGAGTTTTTTGATTAAAAAAAAGAGAGATCCAGCCTCTTAGACTTGTTGACAGTCTAACGGCCTTCTTCTTTTTGCTTTTCTTTTTCCTTTCCGTGGTGGCAAACCCATGCTCTGACGTTCTTCGTTCTCTGGTTCTACCTCTGAACGGTCTTCCGATTCTGGGGGTGAAATTCCGAATCCAACCTTGGAAGAGTCGGCTTTGTTTTTTTCTGTATGTGTTTTTCGCCTTCGGCTTGCCATATTTCCTCTCTAGTGCCCCGCGCTTGTTTGTGGAGTACTTCGACTCGGACTTGATTGCCTACGCAACGGGAAAAAAAAATAATCATTTGTCAATCTCCCAACTTCGACTTACAGTATATCATACCGGAGGAACCCCGATTTCTATAAGATATGCCGCTCACGAACCGCCGCCGTGCGCGGCGCAAGGAAATTCAACTGCAAGAAACATCCGATGCAGAGGCTCCGGACTCATCGCCCAGCCGGCCATCCGCAAAGAAGCGCAAGGTGAGTTAACATGCTTGAGCGTTTAGTCTGAGACCAAATATATCCCCGCGCAAACAGGAGCTAAGACCCGTTTTCTTCTGATCTGCAGGTTGACCGCCGCGCCTCCCCTCCCCGAAACGTCAAACACGAGTCCGGTGACGAAGCTGAGGACTCAGCGGGCGAACACGAACCCGCTACCAATCAAGACCTGGTCGATCTAGTGATTTCATACCTGAATACACCCCGCGAGGAGTTGCGCGTCTCGCGCGACCACTCCAACACCAAGACGGAGAATACGCAGCGTATCCAGGCTTATGCTAAGATCGCCGGCCGCAACTGGACCTATTACGTCAAAACCCTACATGTCAATATCGGCCGCGAACCGGATCGCGAACAACGCGCCGTTGAGCAGTCCAGCCCCGTCACAATTGCGGCTCGTGCGCTGCCAGATGTTCATGTCGACTTGGGTCCCAGCAAATTCGTGTCGAGACTGCATGCAGAGATCTTTTATGATGGAGAGGAGACGCCTGCCTGGCACATCCGTGTCAACGGCCGGAACGGTGTGCGCTTGAACAATAGCATTGTGAAGCGCGGCACCGATGCGATTCTCTCATGTGGCGACATCATCGAGGTGGCCAATACCCAAATGATGTTTGTTACGCCCGGTGACGAAGCCAATATCCAACCTAGCTTTATCGAGCGCGCCCAGCGCATTGCTAGCGGACAGGAGCCTGATCCGGCTTCGGTTTCCTGGGATGCTTCGCAGCATGCCCATCCTCATCCATCGCGGAATGGCGAGGATGCGCCACCATCTTCGTCTGGCGGGCCTTCGTTGGCGCCTGCTCCGAAGTTCCTCAAGCGCCAGGTGACGCCTCCGCCTCGGTCGCCGGATACCGCTGGCCAGCGCACCGCTAAACAGTCTCCGCTTTACAACCGAGGCATGATGATGGAGAGCACAGAGGAGATCGATTACAGCAAGGATTCCTCCAAGGACTTGAAGCCTCCCTACAGTTATGCGACGCTGATTGCCCAGGCTATTTTCTCAAGTGAGGAAGAAAAACTCACGTTGAACAGCATCTACAATTGGATCATGGATAAATACGCTTTCTATCGGCACTCCCAAAGCGGCTGGCAAAATTCGATCCGCCACAATCTCTCACTGAACAAGGCGTTCCAGAAAGTCCCCCGCCGTACCGACGAGCCAGGCAAGGGTATGAAGTGGCAGATCGCAGTAGAGTATCGGGAGGAGTATCGGAAGAAGCAAACACGCAAGGGTGGCACGCAGTCATCTGCCCCGTCCTCACCGGCGACAAAAGAGCCACCATCATCCGCACGCGGGTCCCGCGTTACCAAAATCGACACCTCGTTCTCAGCAACAGCGAAAAAGTCACCACCCGTCTCGTCCCCGGGCTTCAGCTCATTTCCCGTAGCTCCGGTGGAAGCATACACACCCGAGCGTGGTTCCCGTCTTGGTCGAGGCCTCGGCTCCGACCACCCACTGCGACACATGAACCCACGCGACTACGACGAACCCTCGCCACTCCCATCGCGCTCGCACAACCACAGCTCCAGTATCTCTACTCAGGTGCAGAACAGCAGTAACAACTTGACCCGCGCATATGGCATGTCCGACAACATAGCCGGGTCCCCTCCAGTCCTTTCCTCGTCTTACTACAACGAAGAACCCTCTTCAATGATCACCCCCCGCCCCACAACGCCAACAACCTCGTCTCCCACCCCCAAGCACAGCGCAGATCCCGTCCAAGTTCATGCCAATGAGCTCGCCCGCGCAGTTCTGGAAGTTCGCTGATATCGGGAGTACCCCCGCCCGCCCACCGCCAGACATGAGTCCCCTGAAGGGCGAGGTCGAGGACCGCATTATCGGCGGCTTCCCGAGTAGTTCTCCCCCGCCGCCGAACCTTGTTAGTCCCAGTAAACCTGGGACGTCAAATGGGCTTGGGAACGGTCGTACTCTGCCACCGCTGCAGTCGGATTCGGGGGATATGGGACCTCATGGGAAATCCCATGTGAGGAATGAAGACGATGAAGATGATAATGGATCAGGTTTTGATCTTGCTAGGTATGTTTCCTTTTGCTATAGATTTTTTTTACCAAATCAGCGTGCAGGAACTAATGCTATATCCAGGGGTTTCGAACCTATTGGCTCATACCATCGACAACTAGGCAATGCTGCCCGTGCCGCTGCTACTTGATGTTGACTTTGGTTGTACAACATGTCCACTTTACAGACTGTGTCCATGTGTTTTACTATTTGCTCCATGTTTCATGTCTCCGCATTACGAATGGTGTTGGTGGCTTTGGTTATTTTTAAACTTGTTTTTTTTTCGAAGATTTGCTCGATGACATCGTCATCATTTGGAGAGCAGAGATTGGAGTTTGAGTTTATTTAATTTACTCTCGGGGGGGTTGTGGACGGCGTTTTTGTTTTTTTGCTTTTTCTAGATCGCCTTATACGTTATGGGCTTCCAGCCAGATATATTATATCTCACAATACTTTCCAACTGCAAGGTCCAACTGCAAAGACACCGTATATTTAAAGTTGATCTGTAGATCAGATAAGATACAGATACATCATTTGACATTCGGCCAAAAATTCTCCTCCAACCAAACGATCTGCCTCCACCACTCCAAACACCTTGCCTGCATAATCTTCAACTCCTCCGCCCCTTTAATCTGTCCCGCCATCTCATCAACAACATCCCCAATCCGATCAACAAACCCTTCAAACTCAACACTAGCCCAATTCTCAATAAACTTCTCCCTCAACGCACCTCCATCCGCATCCTTCCTATAATCTTTCTCCCCATCCTTACTCATACACTCCGCCGCAAACCTCCAAGACCGAAGATAACAAACCTCAGTAGCCCACAGCACAGCCAATCCCTCCAAAACAGAAACTCCACTACTCCCAGCAGACATGAACATATCAATATAAGCCCTCGTCGTGCGACTAGCACAGAAGAAAAGATTCCCACACCTCTCCCCACCACCCTGAACCCCAACTTGCCCTCCAACATCCCCACCGACAGCAGCAGGTTCCTTCTCCCGTCCAGACTCATTGAACTGAGCCCCAGGCGTACAGATCACCCCACCAGAAGGCATCTGACATTCCCCCTGACTAAGACACAGTCCATGACCAGGTGCGATACTCGACTCATCCGTCGACGCAACACAAGCCCCACCGGCACTATCACCACCCCCGTTCCCGTCTCCCAGTCGTGGTCCTTCGCCCTCACCACCCGTAATACCAGGACAACTCCCCGAGCCACTGGTAGAGATACCAGCCGAGGTAGTAATATCCGAGCCCAGTCCGCAGGAAGTAAGCGTGCAGCCACCTTCTTCAGCGGAGATAGCTGTAAGGTCTAGGTCGTAGTCATTTGCGGTTTTCTCGAAGAAGGCGAGTTCAGTGCGGATATTGACTAGGGCGTCGATGAGGACTGTTATGGCGTTGTGTTCTGGGGTTGGGGTGTGTGGGCCCGGGGAAGTTGGGTTTTGAGTCGGGAGACGGATTTTCGAGAGGAGGAGGCCTATGAAGCGAATGTACGATTGGGCGTAGAGCCTGTCTTGGGAGAGCCATTGGCTTAGTTGGGATTTTGGGAGAGTGCCGCGGCCTGCGGAGGCGAGGAAGGGGTGGTTTGTTGCGCGTTTGAGGGCATTGGGGGTGCTTGATAGCAGGTAGGATGTTAGGGGGCCTTGGTTTGACATTTTTGGGGGAGTGTTTGGAGGTTGCGGTCTGTAGCTTTTTTTTTTTGGAGGGGAGATTGGAGATTAGAGTTGTGGGATGGGGGCGATAGTGGGATGAACATGAAATGTCGTCAGTGGGACATAATATCGGAGGTATATCCAATGTCAATATTCACTACTTCTGACGTGTACACACGTACATGTATAAACATTACACACAGTTTAATGTTGTAAACAAAGGTTGATATCAAATCGGCGGAGATTTCATTCAGTTCAGACCATAGAAAGCTAAAGCTAGCCATACATCCCCTGTTTTTAGAGTATTTTCCACATTTTCGATCTCACGCATCCTGTTCAAATTGAAACAATTCAATCCTCTGGGCCCATTCATCCTTCCAAGGGTATCCAACAAAGGGGTGTTCAAACGATTCTCAGACGTGACTTCCCGGCTCCAGTTACTCCCGTCACTCCTTCTTTGGTGAATGGAGGATCGTTGAAGTTGGACATCTTAGTGTCTCCACACAGGGGCATCACCAATGCTCCCGTCAGCGTTGTCATTGGCTTTTTCAAGCTGTGCAGCGATGGATTCAAACTTGGGTTTGTCTTTGGGGGTGATCGTGACCTTAGGATTATCCTTGGGCTCAACCTTGGGCTCCTCATCACTGACTTCAGCACTCTCATATCCCCAGGGCTTTTCCCCAGCTACTCTCAGCATCAGTCGCACAAGAGCATGCAAAGTGTAGTATGCATCATTTCCCGCATTGTGCAAGTCGGGACACAAAATATTCAGTATTCCTAGCAGTGCTCGAAGGCTGCGCTTCTGGCTCTCCCCAGCATTGATACGGTACAGCTCTGCCACGTCAAGGGTCTCACGAACGATCGAAGAGGGGTGATTCAGATCGTTGAAAACTTTGCTTCCCTCTTTCTGGAGATGCGAGATATCACCGTGGGGATCGAAACCGACCAAGATCACAGTGCGCTTTTGATTCTTGTATGAGGGGATCTTCTCATCCTTGGAGGGAACCATGTATGGAGGATGGAATGCAGCATCCACAGCCTTCGCAACTTCAGTGCCTGGAAGGAACTCGCTTTCGCCGAATCGGAAGTTATTGGGACATCCCTGGAGGAACTCATTGTTGACCCAGTGTCGGTACTCCGCAACACGCAGGTGGCGGGATCGAACTTGGCGTAACCACATCTGCCCATAATCACCAGGAACGACACCTTCCAAATCCCTCATATCCAAGGTGGAAATTCCAACCTCAGTCAACCATTCGTAACGCTCCATCCACTCGAGATCAACGCTGATGAAAATCGGGGCATCGTGAAAGGCCCATTTGACAGGCTTCAGAACATCAATTGCGTCGATCTGGCCGTTGGCAAACGACGGCTGTGTGACATTTGGCTGCAAGGCAGGACGCAGGCCAAAGTAGGATTGCGCACGAGCTAGGCTTTCACGCAACTTCTGAATTTGGGCATCTCGGGCCGCCTGCTTGTGATTCTTATGCTTGATTGTGGCGATCGACTGTTTGACTTTCTTTTCAAATTCTTCGAAAACATGGGGCTCGACCAGCTGTGTCCAGGGTCCCCAGTTCTCCAAAGGGAAGGGAACATGGTTCTCCAATCTTGCCTTCCGATCAGGGCTGCTGCTTCGGCCGAGAAACAGAGGCCGCGGCAACTTCTCATTGTTGATTTCAAGGACAAGACCTTCCTTTTTGACGCCCGTGAGAGTCAGTCTGAGTTTCAGAGCCGAATTGATTTCATCGAGCAGCGCTTGAGCTTGATAGGTGGGAATCAGAAGAAATGGGGCTTGAGAAATTCCCATTGGGACAGGCAGGTAATACCTGGATGAGGGTTAGCGTTGATATATTTTGCTAAATGATTTTAGATATCACAAACAGATCCCAGGTCCGGTTCCAGAACTGATTACCCACATAGAACCGCTCATTGACTCTCTTGGACTTTGACCCATGGAGATACTTGAAAGGGTAGCGGGCCATTGTCACCGCCGGGGTGAAGGATACTGGAACTTGGATGGCAGTGACTGGTGCCTCGTCGGAGACTTCGCCGCTCTCATCGTCGCGCACGTCCGAGGTGTCAAGGTGAAGCTTGGGAGGGCTACCGGGGGTGCGATCATCCTGATTGATCTCGGTCAAATCGTCATCCGACTCAACTAGCTGTCCAATGACATAGGTACGAATGTACGACAAAGGAAATTGGCCACTCTCAGGATATTCCATGCCATGTTCCGGATCAAAATCAACGGGGAGAGCATATCCACTTACTCCTTTCTTGGCTTTAACGGACCCGTCTACCGAGTCCCCTCGGTCCAGATCCTGGACAGGTTGAACGGCTTGAGCCGTGTTAAAGTTGGTATTCAAATCTCTGAGACTTTCATCTCCTTCGAGGAGCATCTTCAGACGCTCACGAACATCCATTTTGAACAAGCAAGATGATAGCTGTCAGCAAAGTCGAAAAAGTGAGATGCAGAGAAAGGAGAAAAAAAAATAAACAAAGTCGCGCGCGAAACGCACGGCGAGCTGTTCAGATTGAACTTCCCAAGTGGGAAGGAGCGATGGAAGTTTGGAAACCACAGAGTTCTGTTTGTTCAGGCTAAATCCCATTGGAGAGGAAGACCCAAGATGATTGCTGGTAAATTTATAGCTACAGTTCTGTAGGATTCTATAGGCAGAGGCAAATAAAGCTCGCTGTCTTCTCTTTCTGCGCCCAGAAGCTGTCACACACAGTAGTATACGTACATTCATCAAGGCAGGTTACTGTCCAGTGTTTGACAATGATCTCAGCATGGAATTACTTCAACCTTTGGTCTGACTATCTGACAGAGGAGTAAGCACTTGATACTTGAGGTTGACTTGAAAAATGTCCAATAAAATTCGATAAACTCTTGAATATAAAAGCCAAGGCTGAGTATAGATATGATTTCTAGGTGTAGACCCACAGATATAGTAAGTCCAATAAATGACGAGCTGAATATTTTCAAGACAGAGCCAGATACTCGCTGAACATCAGGATATCTTGGTAATTTAACGTCTTTCATATATGAAATATAGGTAAAGATGTTTTAATCATGTCCTGAAATCCAGCTGGGGATATGGCGGGTTTGTAGCTTATATTCACGTGACTGAGAGCTCCCCAGACGGCACCGGAATAACTATCATCCGTTGTGTTGAGGACCTCGTGCAGCAAGGCATCCAGCTACGTCTGTTATCGGACGCCGGGACCCCTCGATGTCCGCATTTATCATCGCAGAATCTTAGTGAACTCGGCAAACTTCAACACGATCGTTAAATCAAGGCCCCGAGCCCTCACAGCCTATCAACATCCGCCACCATTGTGTTAGACATCAAACATGCCTATGACCGACGAGACAGACGACAGCGGAGGGGTTATCTTAGATGGCCCCTTCGACCCTGACGCGCAGGCTACTGTCACAGACTTTATTGACTACACTGAATACCTCCCCGCAGACTTAATTCGCTCCTTAACCCTCATTCGCGGCCTCGATGACCGTTATCTCGACTCGGCGCAAGCGGTCCACCAGCTCACTCAGATCTACGGCCAGCTCCCAGACCTTCCTTCAGATGACCGACCTGGCGCAATCGCACTGCGCAAAGATATATCTTCTCAGGTAGACCGCGCTATCAATGCGCGTGAATCGGCATATGCCGAGGCCTGTCGCCTCTACGACGTGGTAGATCGCCACTTCGATCGATTAGGCTGCATCCGTCAGAAGCTCGAAGCATTGCCGAAACCTGCCTCAGCAGAACCGTCGCCTCCACCTGAACCTACACCGAAGCGCGCGCGAGGAGGCAAGAAGACCAACAAGGATGCCACGACGCGTATCACCCTTCGGTTAGATAACAATCGCAACCGGAGAGACAAGAATAGGAGGCGCATTCTAGGTGCCGATGGCGCTTTTGACCCAGATTCTCCGCTTGCCAGTACCGAGCAATCGGACTTGGAAAGCGAACTTATCAAATCTGCCCCCAAGCCCGCACGACCCCCAAAGAAGGAGAAAGCACGTCGCTTGAGCTCGGGTATTGGACAGTCAACAGCCCAGGCCCTGGCGCAGTTGAAACCGCCGCCAGCGGACGCGAAATTGGGCAGCGAGGACCTGCCATGGTTGCGCTTGACGGAATGGGAGATGACCAGGCTCCGGAAGAAAATGAAAAAGAATGCTGTGTGGCAGCCGAGTGAAGTAATGATTCACCGTGAGCTAGCCCTGGCAAATCGCGGTTGGGAAGCATACCGTGCAGCAAAGGCCCTGGCAGAAGAGACGGGTGGGGAGTTTATTGACTGTGATAATATTGAAGAAACCCGGCGCGGTGAGGCTGCCAAAGACTTGGAAGAGACAAAGTTGAGCAATCGTGGAATGAAGCTTAACGAAGCAAAGAAGTTGAAACGCGAACAATTGGCCCGTGAACAAGCATTGATGGAAGGCGAAGGTGGTGCCTTGCCTAGACCTTTGCCAACCCCAGCCCAAGCACCCCCACCCGCGAATCGATCATCACGGAAGAGGAAACGGGAAGAGCTTATTCTTGGAGCAACAGAACTTGCTGCTCCCGAGCCCTCAAAGTCCGCTGCAGTTGCTACCCCCGTTGCACCGCCTGCCCCTGTCCCTGCGCCCTCTTCCAGGGCTGGCCCGTCTCGGCGCAGATCCAGCCGAGGAAATGCCGCAGCCGCAGAAACTAGCAACGACCTCGTTCTCCCTATCAAAATAAACATGTCCCCCGCAGTTGAAGCCAAACCCTCCCCTCCTCCCATCAGTCCTACAAACTCCGGACAATCCAATTTACCCCTTGTCCACTCTGTCACTACTCCCACACCGCCCGTCACTCGGCCTTCATCACGGCGCTCTGCAGCCGCTGCCTCAATCGAAGGAGGGACCCTCGTTACCATCCCAACCGCAATAGCAGCAAGTGGACGCGATCGCCGCATCAAAAGCGCAACACCTGCACACAAAACACCCATCCGCGAGTCGCCAAATGCGCCAAGTGTCCCCGCCCCGGCCCGTCGGCGCAAGCGTCCAGCACCAGGTCCCATTTCCTCTGGTCAAGATGGCGGCGCAGCAGTAAGCTACGGCCGTCGCAAAGCGAAGCCAGGAAAGAAGCGTTTCAACATCCGCGACTCCCAGGATGTCCGTGTAGACGAAGACGGCGTCCTAGAACAGATCGACGCCAATGAGCCTCGATACTGTCTCTGTGGCGATGTTAGTTTTGGAACGATGATCTGCTGCGAGAATCAAGATGTAAGTTATCCCTTTCATGGCACCTTCCAGCAGTATACTAATATCTCACTTCTCAGTGTGACCGCGAATGGTTCCATCTCAACTGCGTGGGTCTGACCGAGGTCCCCTCCCGTACGGCCAAGTGGTACTGCCCCCAATGCCGTGTCAAGCTGCATAAGGGTGAAGATGGGATCATCAAGGGGAGCTCGCGACGCTAATTGGATTTGAATGATGTTTCTTGCATGATACCACGAAATGCGTTTGCTGTTAATTTGTTTTCCTATTCGTGTACGGAGTACTGCCGTGTGGCACTCTGGGATACCAGACTTCTCGTTCTTTCTACCAAATAATCCTATGTTTATCAACCTTAGAAGCATTGTGATATCTTAAACCCCATATGGCCTTGGGGCCAATCGCAGTTTCAGCCTAGGGTATTCATGCCACTATTGTGCAATCTTCATCGCTACCACTCTATAGCTCGTCTCATTTGTTTCCCTCCCGAGATCGTCAATTCATATCATGGCTGAAATCGGGCTAATTCCACTCCGTTATGCGCCTGGTGAGCATATCTCTTTTGACAAGCCCACTTAGTTGAGTAAAGACTCGCAGGGCAGGATCACGCGATGAAGATATTCTTGATAGCGGCGATGAGGGGAGGAAGAGTGTGAGAGGCTCATATTTGTTATGTGCAATGCCTGGGGCCTCGCTATTGCCCCTAATAGTCAAAGATGGATATCTTTTTAAGTCGAAGCTCTGACCCTAGAGTTCCCTGTCTGGCGACTATGTAGCTCTATTTCTTTTCCAATGTGACCCTTCACTACGTTCTTCTGAAGTGTCTTCCATAGCAGCTAGCTCAGCATACCCCTTATCCAACCGTGATACTTTTGAATATCGACCGGTATCCGGTAACTCTTGATACGTATCGGATCCAGGCTGCGGATGATAAAAGTCCGCCGGCAATTCCGCAGCAAAAGTTTTACTTTGCTGTCCATCTTGCACCGGAGACGCATATCCAGGTGACATAGATCCCAACCGCACTGACTCCGTCGGCGATTTCGGCGCCCAAGAAGACGACGACATGGACATTTGATCTGATCTCCGCGACGCAACCGATACTCCCCTCATAAGTCTGCTCGACCGATCGGCCGGATTATACGTCGTCAATTTCCCATCTTCCATAATACCCTGTAAAACACCCGCATCAAGAAGCTCGGCTTTCTTAATCAGCCGCTCTACCAGCACCTTCGAAGCAGCCTTCAACTGAGTCTTGACGAAAGAGATAAGCGTACGGTTGCATTCGATCTCGATATCCTCGCGCAGATAGAGTCCGGTTCTCGGAGCGTCTGTTTTGCGCCCGTCGCGCGGTTCTGATGGCTCGTCAGGCTCGTTGCCTGCAATGCGCCATTTGCTTTTGAGGTCGATTCCCATCGGCGCGTACATGTGCGTTTCTAGTCCCCATGCGACGTTGTGGAAACAGCCTTTGAAGCTGATCTTGCCTGAGCCCATTTTGCCTAGGCCTGGGATGTATTGTACTCGTTCGGTGATTTCGTACCATGTTGAGTAGTATTCGTCGGCGACGGCATCTCGTGGTGCCTTGACTGGTTGATGTGAGATGACGAGTGGATTTAGTGTGATTATCTCGCTATGGCTGTGGAGGATGTCGAGGGCTAGTTGGTGGGGGACAGATGAGGGGATGGGTGTGATATTGGTATAAACCTCTTTCCGGCGTATCATTTTGGATGATTTAATTTGATAGAATTCAATAGCTGTGGAGGGGAGGAGGTAGGTCCAAAAGTGCAAGGCTGAATTGAAGTTGGGCTCGTGTTTCATCAGCTTACTACTTTAAAGTTGCGGCGTTGCTGGCTGTCAGGGCTAGACCTTGCACATGACAATATGATTATGGTGGCCAAGTAAATTTTATACGAGGGACATCTGACAAAAAATACACTTCTGATTGGTATAACATGAATTCATTTACATCGTCTTTACTTCAGCTCCCATTTGTCGCCCTCGGACACAATCTCCACGGGCCGTCGCTCATCTAGTGACTTGCGTCCTGCATCGAGAATTGCCGTTGTGGCGATTGTGTTGCGTAGAGTGGGCAGTGGGCGGGCGTCCAGTTGGTCGAGGGTAACACGGCCCTCGTTCACAGCTGTGACAGCATCGATGAACTTCTCGAAGCTGATGTAACCGTATCCAGTCTGTCCGCTGAAGTTCCCTTCTTCATCGGGAGCGTAGCGCATATAGAATCTAGTAAATCGGAGTCAGTATGAAACCATGATGCAGCACTGTCCTGGGAATGGGGCTCTTACGGGTTGAAATGAATCAGACCCTGCTCATCACCGGTCACTTCATAGCCACGCTTGGCCTGGTTAACGCGGATCTCGCCGTTGGCGGCCATATCTGTTCCAAGGTGTTAGAAGAGATCTGACTATGACTGCCAGAAAATGGAATCACTTACAGTGGAAGTACTGGTTCGAGTGAACACCCGCATTTTGAGGTGCCGTCCAGCTAGCAGTATAAACACCAGTGGCAATCTTCGCCGGGTCATCACGGCGGCGCCACTCCACGAGGAGGGTGATGGTGTCCTCGGTCTCGGGGACACATCCAAGCGCAGCAGCGGTACCCTGAGAAGCAGTTGCTGTGACCCGCACAGGCTTGTAATCCGGGACCATGCTCTCGCAGATATCAATGTGGTGAGAGTTAAGGTAGTAAGAAATATCGGAATCACGACCAGCCCACGCCTTGAAGGTTTCAAGCTGGCTCTTGGGCTGGCTCATGTAACTATAAAAGTAATTGAAGTCACCGAGGGTCTTCGCCTTGGCCCGCGCATCAGAGTATGCAGGATCAAAGCGCTTGTGGTGCTCGATGAAGACAAAGACGCCGTGCTTGCGCGCGGCCTCGACTAGAGCTAGGTGGTCTCCTAGCCGCTGGGTTGCTGGCTTAGTGATGAGCACGTGGATGCCGCGCTCAATCGCGTACAGTGCAATGGGGTAGTGGGTAGAGTCGGGGGTGAAGATTGTGATGGCGGACCCTTTGGGGAGGGCATCAATGGCGGTCTTGTATGCGTCTGGGTCGGTCTGGTCGTCCGCGGGGAACGAGGTAAATGAGGTATCGAGGTTATTGTAGACTTGAGAGATGTTGCGGTGCAAGTGGTCGCCTGATATCGTAATTAGCTTCTTGTTCGCTAGCTTGATCTTTCACTCAACTTACGAATACCGGGGAACTTCTTGCCCGACACTCCCACCATGCTCAAGTCGCCCACTTTGCCTCGTCGGCGCAGGTCAAATAGACTGAGACCTACCACGCCGACCTTCTTGTCCGAGCCAGATGCACCACCGCCGACAAAACCGGTGGTGTACTCGCCAGTGCCAACCTGTGAGCTAATTAGCTTGAGATCTACTGCGGGGAGTCATTCTGCATACCATCAGAACGCTAGGAGGAGCCATGATGTCTGTTAATTCCGAGATTTTGATTGAATTCCGGGGGGTTTCTGGGGATTTCTGGGGAGAAAAGGAAATTTAAGATAATTCACAGAAAAAATATCAAGCCGGGATGTTGAATTGCTGGATATAATTCTTCCGGCGTTTGAAATGCCAACTCAATAGCCGTATCTTATCGGCTGAGGGTTTTGATGTTATTTTTCTTTTTCCACCTCAGTTCTCCCCAGAGAGATCTATCTACACTATACACTATACACTACACATTAGACACTATAGCACTTGCTTCCCATCTCAATTGTCAATTTCTCCAATGCCAAAACTCATGGCCTCTACGCCATCACCGGTTGAACTGCGCGTTTACCCGTACCCCTCCCCCACATTCTGCTGCACTTCAGTCTAATTGGTGGAAGATGATTCTCCGCCATACAAAGTGCCTCGGACCATTCGCCGACGTGGGGGAAGAAGTTCATAAGTATGCCAAATGCCAATATGAGATGTTTTGATTGTATACCCAAACTCCAAGTAGGTCCTTCTATTGAAAAAAAATCAGTGAACATCAGCTCACAAAACAGAATCATGTCGCTCACTCCACTCCGCCCCGGCGTTTATGCGCCAACAATGACCTTCTTCGATGCCGAGACCGAGGAACTCGACATCCCTTCCATTCGCCGCCACGCTGTGCGTCTGGCAAAAGCCGGTCTGGTCGGCCTGGTGACCATGGGCTCCAACGGCGAGGCTGTGCATCTCAGCCGCGAAGAGCGCATGACCGTCACTCGGGAAACCCGGTCTGCTCTTGATGAAGCTGGCTTCTCCAATGTTCCTGTCATCGCCGGCGCCAGCGAGAACAGCATCCGCGGAACCATCGACTTGTGCAAAGAGGTCGCGGCTTCTGGTGGCGAGTACGTTCTGATCGTGCCTCCCAGCTACTACCGCGCCGCAGTCGGCAACGATGAAACCTTATACGAATATTTCACAGCCGTTGCCGACGGCTCCCCGTTCCTATTATTCTTTACAACTACCCCGGTGCCGTCGCTGGCATCGATATGGACTCCGACCTCATCATCCGTATTTCCGAACACCCTAACATTGTCGGCACTAAGTTCACTTGTGCCAATACCGGCAAGCTGACTCGTGTCGCTGCCGCTCTCGGCGCCATCACCCCCTCCTCACCTTTGGCTCCGGCTGAGCGTACCGCAACAGTCTCCAAACCCAACGCCAAGCACCCATACGTTGCCTTTGGCGGTATTGCCGACTTCAGTCTGCAGACCCTCGTCTCTGGCGGTTCTGCCATTCTTGCCGGTGGAGCAAACGTTCTTCCCCGTCTGTGCGTTCGCATCTTCACCCTCTGGTCCGAGGGTCGTCTCACAGAGGCCATCGAGGCCCAGCAGCAACTCAGTGCTGCTGACTGGGTTCTCACAAAGGCTTCCATTCCTGGCACCAAGGGTGCTATCCAGTCATACTACGGTTACGGCGGGTTCCCTCGCCGACCTCTCAGCCGTCTTACTGATGCACAGTACCAGACTGTTGCTGATAAGATCAAGTCTGCTATGGATGTGGAATTGAGCTTGCCCGATGTGGTATAATGGATTGGTATATGGCAAGGAGCTACATCTAAAGTCTAGTAATATAATTCCAATGCACATATCTCAAGGTTCATGACCTCGCTTTTTGACTTGAAGTTTACACCGTTTATTGTAATATCCTCTGCGCTTGTACCTAGTACCCGCTTAGACCAATGTCCTGAGACTACTTGAATGGTTCTATCTACTTACATATGTTGTAATTTGCGGGTATGTGTGATGACCTGAGGCAAGCTGTAACCTGAGGTTTGATATGTAATAGCTACTTCATCCAAGTTCCTCAGTTCTAGTCCTCCTTTCCCAAACTGGCATAGTTTAAAACAATATGCTTTATGCCTAATATCACGTCGGAGGACATCCACTGAGAACCGTGACGCTCACACCTATTTCGTATTGAAGGAAGCGGACGAGCTTTTGGCTAGGGCCTTGTAGGTCGAATCGGGTTGAAGCCTTAGGTAGTATGATCACCTCTCAAAAAGTTATTCTTCTCATCTAAATATGATGAACACTATATACTCAAAACCCTCTTAATATTTTTAGGCAAATACTCCAAGCCATGTGCGATACTGCCGTATATTGAGAGGTATGTCCCGTCAAATGAAAACGTTCGCCAATGGAATTGCGCCAGAGGATACCCTTATGCCCGATGAAGTTCTCCCAGTACGTTCAGTTTACTCATAACTCCGTTCCTTACACAATTTCTTACTGAGCTTTGGCGAATCCTCCAGACTATCATCATAGTCTTCGACCAAAAATGCCGTATCCGTGTGCCTTACGGTTACTTCGATGGTAGATCTCATATTCCATTTACCCCGTTCTTGAATTTTAGAGAATTTACCGAAGTCAGATCGGCCACCTTGGATGGTGTTATGGGTCAGATTGACAAGGAAAAATATTACGACATGATGCACTCGCTGCTTCGGGCGTGGCCTCTGGATCATCATTTTACCACTCTCGCTTGACTTTAAAACCACTAGAACTATAGCGATATACGGAATCTTCGTTAAGCTATGCTGCCTCGTTATAGCTTTGAACGGCTCGTTAATATAGCTAGCTTTCCCTTTGACGTCTTTGGGAGCATTCGATCTTAACTTGTGATCTTCTCTGTCTACATCGACTTTACTAAGGCTTTTGTGAGTGTCACACCTCCTCCAAACTAGTATGTAGGCTTTACTAGCAAGTAATTCCATAGTAGCTCATATACTTGCAGATAGAGTTGCTTGCCCTTGACAATAAATTAAATCCGTAGTAGTAAAGATAATGTGGGTTCGCCTTCTCAGTGCAAGTACATCTGACTTGCCCCCTCAATATTGATGGCTAGCTTTGGACTTCACTTTTGGTTGATTTTTCAATCGAAAATTCAAAAGCGGCATCAATGACTCATCAAGCACAGAAAGACCAACATTCCAAGTGACCAGTCGTTCTTCGTGCCTCAATGACGTGGAACCTCGTGGATTGGGGGCCGGGGTGGGGGCCAGGGCCAGTGTGACCTGGGTGGTTCATCTGTTTTTCATCCATCTCATTGGATTTCTCGAAAAGAACGTCCAAGCAAACAATACAATATGGCTGTGTCGAATCAAAAGCTTATTCTATTGACTGGTGCCACGGGGTTCATCGGGTTTCAAACACTGTTGGATGCCCTCAAAGCCGGATTTCGAGTACGATGTGCAGTCCGCAGTGAAGAGAGGGGAAATGTTCTCTTGTCCAAACCAGCATTGCAATCACTACAGCAAGACAGCCATGAGTCACCGGTGGAGATTGTTGTCGTGCCAGACCTGGCCGCTCCAGGTGCCTTCAATGAAGCTATTCTCGGCGCAAGCTACGTGATCCATGCCGCATCCCCACTCCGATCTACTCAGCCGGACGGCGACCTAGAAGCGGAGTTCGTGGGCCCTGCCAAACGGGCTACGCTCGAGATCCTCGAAGCTGCTGCCAACATCGCCTCTGTCGAGCGCGTGGTTATAACCAGCTCGGTTGCGGCGTTGATATCACCCACGGCCTTTACGGGGTTGAACCCTCAAGACCCGGACCACCCCTTTACTTCGAGCAGTCGTGTGCCGTTAATGAAACCGCCCTTTGCTCATCCGAGCATCGCCTATATGGCCTCTAAGATAGCATCTCTGGAACTTACTGAGACCTGGGCGAAAGAGACTAATCCTAGGTTCGGCATCGTCAACATCCATCCGTCATGGGTGCTAGGCCCGGCTGCATGGGCCGGTGAGGAATCTCAGGTGTTATTGGACACAAGCAATGGACTTGTACTCAGGACGATTGTACAAGGCATCAAGTCCCCGTATCCCCACATGGCGGGTGCTGTTGTAGATGTTCGCGACGTCGCCCGTCTCCATATCCAGTCATTGCAGCAGACAAATATCGTTGAGGCAGGGGGTTGTCGCAGTTTCATTGCCAGTACTCCTGGGAAGTGGGAGGATATTCCAGGGATTATCCGGAAGAATTTTGTTCAGGAGCTTCAAACCAACTCGAAACGTCTTACTGTTCTGGGTGAACAGACGTCGATTCCACTTGCCATCGATTCGTCTGATACCGAGCTCTCCTTTGGATGGAAGTTCACGGACTTGGAGCATATGATCACCGATCTCATCTCGCAGTATATTGAGCTGAAGTGATGGTGTCTAATTCTTTCATTTGTGACCGTTCTTCCCTGACGTCTACCCATGTAAATACCCATGTAAACCCCAAACCCTAAGCCAAAGCCCTATATCATCCCACTTCTTATCGTTGATAAGGCCGGGTATATTAATTTATCCTCGCAAGCTCATAGGTGGAAAAACTACTGGATTGGGGTTGATGCGAGAACCCGTCCACTAGATGAAGGGGCCTGTTATCAGCTACGTAGCGTGAATGTTGTTAGTCCTACCCCACCAAATAAAGCAAACCACCCCACGCCGCCCAGCCTCTGTCCAGTGTCTTCGTGTCTCTCGGACGATATCGAATCCCGCATCTGCGCTCTAATTGCCCTCGGTCGTCAGTTTGCCCGGTGGAGCGGGTCCACGGGACAATGTCCGAAGGGGGGAAGCGGCTGTGAACAGGAGCAATACGTAGCGCCATGGCTTTTGAGATTATATCCCGCGAAGGAAGAATCAGGGAATGACTCGCGATCCCCGCTTGTGAGGGTCTAACTTTTAGTAGCGTTGATATACCCCCTCCCCCGCTTGTCGCCTGGTTTCTACTTTTCTTTTCTTACTCCTTTTGCTTCTCTCGTGTATACTGCTTTGCTGCCCGCTATCCCAGAGCATAGTCATTTACAAGGACTTCTTCAGATCAACCACTTATTCTTATCACAATGCCTTACCCTGAAGAAGCTGAGGGCTTCCAGGTCGATGGACCTGACAGCTTCACTCAGTTCCACAAGCGTCACGTATGTGCCCTTTTTATGTGTTCGCTAGGATATGCGCTCACCTAGATTGATTGAGATAGTTTAAGCTGAAGCCTTTCGGCGACTATGGTGAGTTAGCCTGTGCGACTATGTTTCTTCCCGATGCTGACCGAGTATAGATGTCGACGTGAAGATTGAGGCATGTGGCATTTGCGGCAGTGACGTCCACACTATCAGCGGTATGGTGATTCCGCGGAGAAGTCAAGCAGAAACACTGGCTAATGCATTCCTACAGGAGGATGGGGTGATCAGAAGTTCCCTCTGTGCGTGGGTCATGGTACGTATTTAGAATGGTACAAAATGCTACTGTCTCTATGCTAATGACCATTCTAGAGATCGTCGGTCGGGCAATCCGTGTTGGACCCAAGGTCACTTTGATTAAGGAAGGCGAGCGCGTTGGAGTTGGCGCGCAGTCCTACTCCTGCGGCAAGTGCAAGCAGTGCCGCAACGACAACGAGACATACTGCCAGTTTGAGGCGATGGACACCTACGGCTCGAAGTGGCCCGACAGTGGTATCGTTAGCCAGGGTGGATACTCATCTCACGTGCGGACACACGAACACTGGGTGTTCCCTATCCCTGACGCTCTGGAGACCAACTCGGTTGCCCCGATGCTGTGCGCCGGTCTGACTGCTTACTCGCCCTTGGTGCGCCATGGTGCTGGTCCTGGCAAGAAGGTTGGAATCGTTGGACTTGGTGGCATTGGTCATTTTGGAATCATGTTTGCTAAGGCGCTGGGTGCGGAAACGTGGGCTATCTCGCGTTCTCGTGCTAAGGAGGCGGATGCTCGCAAGCTTGGTGCTGACGGTTACATTGCTACTGCTGAGGAAGGGTGGGAGAAGGAACATCTATGCTCTTTTGATTTGATTATCAACTGCGCTAACTCCTCGGAGGGCTTCGATCTTGCGCGCTATCTATCCATGATGGATGTTCATGGACGCTGGATTAGTGTTGGTCTTCCTGAGGAGGAGGGCCAGGTCATTAAGGCTCAGAACCTTATCTCTAATGGTGTTCTCATCGGTGCTAGCCACCTGGGTAGCCGTCGGGAGATGCTTGATATGTTGCAGCTGGCTGCCGATCGGGGTCTTAAGGGTTGGGTCGAGGAAATCCCCATCTCAGAGGAGGGACTCAAGGACGCTATGTTGCGCATGAAGAAGGGCGATGTTCACTACCGGTTCACTCTGACCGGGTATGAGAAGATCTTTGGGTGAAGGGACATATTCGGTGTTGAGAATTAGTGTATAACCGGGGTCAACATACAAAACTTAGGTGGCAGAGGGCTGGGAGGTTAGGGGTGTTTAATTATGAGGAAGTTAGAAATTGATAACATTTCCAATAATAGTACTGATCTACCCATGTGCCACATTCTCCGAATCGAATCCGGCTGAAAGAAGTATAAGCGGTTGACCAATTCAGATCGGACTGCATTTAGGTATGTTTCCAATATTAGATCTGGAAAAAAAAATAGGAAGCCTGTCATTTTATTCTCAATAAAAAAATATTAAAACAGTAATCGCCACCGGATCCAGTTGGTAAACGGTACTTCGATCCGCAGCCAATTTATCATGCCGATCCAAGTCACTGTTACTCCGCACTTCCGGTTTCCCCCAGGATTTGCCCCCGATCCTTAAAATTCTGAACCCATGCAGGGGTGAGTACCGTAGAAGTACTCAGTACCTGTTCTCTTAGTAGATTAGTACTTCAATGCTGGTACCAGCGACTACTTGGCAACCTCATGGTCGAACCAATCACTCCTTCCAAATTCACCGCCCGATAACTCAGATCCATTCTGCTTTCTGGAACTCTTCCGCCCTTTTATCTTCTCCTTGCGCCTTCGTTGTTTTTTTTTTTTTTTTTTCGTTATCTTCTCTCTATATTTCATTCATTAATTCTTCTCTCTTTCTATCTTTTTTCTTCCCTTGGGTTGGAGTTCGCGAACAGTCGTTGCTATATACAATCTTGTTGGACTTATCTTACAGAACCCCCCCAAGATCAAGCGTCGGTCGATTGATAAGTAGACCGCACACAAAAAAGCCTTGTCACTCTTTATTGCAACAAGGGCCAGTACATATCGGCGATTACATTCATCCAATTGTTGTTTAATTTGCCCTCAATACACCAACAACCTCGGTTATGTCGCCACGAGAGACCAACGCCACCTCCACCAGGCGACGATCCTCGTTGTCGTTTCGTCCGCGCCCACGCACTGCTAACCATGCAGCCCCAATGTCGAAAGAACCTGTCTTGGACACATGGGAGGAGCCATATTTGATGGAAATTTGTCAGGATGACCATGTGCCGGTCGTGGAGGAGATCGACCCATTCTCGAATGCGGCGCCGCGGCGCCGTGCTGCTAAAAGTTTTTCGAGTTTGAAGCATCCCGTGGATGGCTTGGTTGCCCTCGGCCGCCGCTTGTCCGTCAGTCTTCGCAACAAGCCTTCCAAGCAAACACCTCCTGTCACTGATGTCACTGAGGACATCAAATTGCTTGATGAAGATGAAGACTGTCACTATAACCCCACTGTGAGCCACGCAAACCACAAGCGCATGGCTTCCGGCAGCTGGGATGCCCGGTCAACTAAAACACATTGGCACCAAGGATCCACCCACCAGGCCTATAGCGTCAATCGGCGCCCTTCTTTGAATAGTGTGTCTGCACTGCAGGGTTTCTATGCCCCCACCGGCCGTGGTCGACATGTTCCTCCAGTTCTGCCAAATCACATGTCCGGAAGTGCAGCGCGCGCCGCAGCTGCAGCGCAGAATGAGCAAAGGGAGGCTGCGCGACTCGCTAAGGCGGAACTGGAGAACAGGATGCTCGATATGAAGGTTCCGCGGGACTCGGAGAGCGGTATATGCATCGACCTGCGCGATCGATCGGATGTGTCAGATGCCGATTTGCTGGGAATCATGCGGCTTGGTAAGGATGAACTCCCTGGTGGATAGCGCGTTTGTTTTGCTGACTTTTTGTTTCCTCTTCAGATCCTGTGGCTCTGCTTCCGGCCGAGATTACATCACACATTTTTTCATATTTGGACCCTGATTCGCTCATGGACGCGGAGCTCGTGTCTCGCACTTGGTATAATGCGTCTTCTTCTCATGTTTGGAGGCACGTATTCCGCAATTCATATGGCCGGCGCCCAGCAAGTGAAACGGCCTCCAAGCTAAAGCTGTCATCCGGCTTGGGGAAGTCAATCCCCAATCAGGACTGGAAGAAGAAGTTTCTTGTTCGGCGTGCTCTCGATCAGCGCTGGGCTGATGGCAAGGCTGCAGCCATATATCTTCAAGGTCACCAGGACAGTGTTTATTGCTCTCAATTTGACGAGTAAGTTCAGATCATGGAGTCATCGTCGTGCACTGTTAACAATTTTCTAGGGACAAAATCATTACTGGTTCCCGTGATCGAACAGTCCGTGTGTGGGACGCACACTATCCATGGTCGTGCAAGAAGATTATTGGGCCCCCGGTCGCCCGGACTTTCCGTCCTGGTCCAGTGAACAGTCCAACTTCCCAGGCCACAGGGTGCTCCCCCTTCGTGACTATCACTCCGCCATGTCCTACGTTGGATGAGACAACTGAAATCACTGCACCATTGGAGGAAGAATCGATATACCACAGCGCATCAATCCTGTGCCTACAGTTTGACGAGGAGATCATGGTCACAGGCTCTTCAGACTTCACCTGTATCGTGTATGACATTAAGGACGACTATCGACCGATTCGCCGTCTTTCTGGTCACCAGGCCGGTGTGCTTGATGTATGTTTTGATGACCGGTATATCGTCTCATGCTCCAAGGATACAACCATCTGTGTTTGGGACAGAAACAACGGTGAACTTTTGAGGCAGCTCAACGGTCACCAAGGGCCAGTGAATGCTGTGCAGCTACGCGGCGACCTTATTGTGTCAGCCAGCGGTGACGGAGTTGCCAAGATGTGGAACGTGATCTCAGGCCAATGTGTCAAGGAGTTCACCAGCAAGGACCGTGGACTTGCATGTGTCGAATTCAGTGACGATGGCCGGACCATTCTCACTGGTGGCAACGACCGCATAATTTACCAATTCGATGCTAACACGGGCGAGCTCGTCAACGAGCTCCACGGACATTCGGGCCTCATCCGATCCCTCCATCTTGATAGCGCAAATAAGCGCATCATTAGCGGTAGCTACGACATGAGCGTCAAGGTGTTCGACCGTGATACGGGTGATATGTCCATCAACTTCCCTGGCTGGACCACAAGCTGGATGCTGAGCGTGCAGTCCGATTATAGACGCATTGTTGCGACGAGTCAGGATTCCCGGGCTGTTATTATAGACTTTGGATATGGTCTAGACGGGATCGACCTCTTGGAGGAGTGATCCATTTGCATTTGTTTATAAATAGCTTGCTCTTCTCAGCGTTGCTTCTTACCATCTGTGGGCTTGTTAGGTCATTTTTATTACATACATGTATAACATGTATACATTGCTAGGATTGTGGGAGTTTGGATATGAGGCCCCCCGTCTTGGATACACTTTGGACCAGGTACTGGACTATTGGCAGAATAGACTCTTGCTTTTGTTTTTCTTACACATATAGCGTCAGTGCAATTACATAGCTAGCATATATTACCCTGTATATTTCTATCGCGGTAGTCAATTTACTTCAAATGCTCTGTGACCTTGTCGCATGAAGTGACAAGGGAATTACAAGATTAATAGATCGGCCTTTTCTGCTAGCTAAATATGGCGGCGAGGATGGCGGTAGGAATGGCGGTCAATCACCCAAGTTGTAATGCATGAGTCAACAACTTGATATTTTGAGTGATAACATGACAGACGATTTGATATATAAATTTGACTTGTTGCAGTGTTATTGCGTCTCACTTGACGATGTAATAGTTTCATGCACTGAGATACTAACTCAGACTACAATGTGATACCTCAGCTAGGACCTGACACCTCAGGCATCAAGTCAATGATTAACTAATCGATCTGTGATTCGCCAGAAAAGGTGGGCTAGCGCCAGTGTGATCCGTGGGATTTAGCATCAAAACAATCCCTCTGCTGTTTCCAATCGACCACACAAGCAGAGACTACAAGAAGTCCTGGACTTGCGGTGTAATATCTTCACCGAGCTTCTTTCCCGCTTAGCGATCATCTCAGTCTCATTTTCCGCTTTAGCGTTTCGATTGATATCTACTTCTACCCCACCATCATGAGTGAATCCAGGTTCGCCTTTTCTCCTGTTCCCCGCCATCTCGCGACCAAATATGGCTTTACTGACGCCGATCAACTTATGTTCTCAGACAGGAACTGCTCGCATGGCTTAACAACCTGCTGCAGCTGAACCTTACCAAGATTGAGCAGTGTGGAACCGGGTATGGTTGATCAATATTCTCTCCAAGTTCGGAGGGCCCGCGGGGCGATCTCTTTTCTGCATAGACCATATGGGCTGACCTGATATTTTGTCTATAGTGCTGCCCTCTGCCAAATCTTCGATTCGATTTTCAGTATGTTATCACGACTTGCGCAATAATTGAGAAAGGTGGATCGGTAATCGTTAGAATATATACTAACTGGATGATTTCTTTGTTCAGTGGATGTTCCCATGTCCCGGGTCAAGTTCAACGTTAACACTGAATATGCCTACCTTCAGAACTTCAAGGTTCTTCAGAGTATGTGAAGGTGGATTCCAGAGCGGCCAACGATCCCCTTTTTAACATGGTCAATCACCCAGATGTCTTCGCCCGTCACCAGGTCAACAAACCCATCCCCGTCCAATCCCTTACAAAGTGCCGCATGCAGGACAACCTTGAGTTCCTCCAATGGGTTAAAAAATACTGGGATCAGCACTACCCCGGTGGTGAATACGACTCCGTCGGCCGACGCAAGGCCTCCGGCGCCCCTGCTTCTGTCGGTGCCGCCCCCGGTTCACGTGCCCCATCTGCTGGCAGCGCACGCCGTGGAGTTACCCCGACAACTGGCGGCGTCCGTCCCCGAGTCGCCGTCGGTGCGGCCAGTGGAGCAGCCACCGCTGCTCTGCAACAGGAGATCTCGACACAGAAGGAAGCCATCGCAGGATTGGAGAAGGAGCGCGACTTCTACTTCGCCAAGCTGCGCGATATTGAGCTGCTGCTCCAGAGCGCCATTGAAGCCGATCCCGAGCTCGAAAAGGAGGAAGATACGCTTGTTAAGCACATCCAGGGTATTCTATACTCGACCGAGGTCCGTTCCCTTGATCTATTCCCTGAGGATTCCCCCAACTGACGGTTATGCGCTCCCCACTAGGACGGCTTCGAGATCCCTGCTGAAGGAGAAGAGGTTGCGGCTGACGAGCTCGAGACTTTTTAAAGTGAAATGAGTTCTAGAAGAGGACAGACTCGTTACTAATACCCCCACGTCTTCTATTCTCTTTGCATTGTCAAATAAGACGAGCCGAGCACATAGAAAGTCACAAATGCATCCTATTTTTTTTCAGAGTGGTCTGACCCTTCGGCTTAAAATAGGTTGATGGAGAATGGGATCGGCACCTGATTCTCCAGTACAACGTATGGTGGGATCAAGTGGGACAATGACAGATTTTTTTTTAATTGTCATTCTATTGGGGGAAGTAGTCCAAGAGGAACACATCTACCTTTACAATAGCGTGTATCTCTATTGACTTCCATATCCCTAACCCTTGCCTCTGAAAATAGCCCAAAAACGCTAAAAATGATAATTAAACCTGCATGGCAGACTAGTCCTCAATGGGACTAGTCACCTTGGCCAGAACCTCATCTGGGCCCTGTCACTTTTCTATTCGTTGTATCTGGCGGTACCTGCGTTGAGAACTGGCTTTTGTTTGGGGGGCAGGTTTTTTTCTTCTTTCCTTTATGATTTAGCATTCAATTTCAAAACCTCGTCCTAATTTAAAAGCAGAACAATCTGTCGGTCCCCGAGCCTAGTTTGTCAACACGGGTCGTCTAAGGCTAGGCCTCGATAGGGGATTGTTGGGTCCAGTCTGGGTCTTTTTCATCATTTCCCCGTTTCGCCTTTCTTTCGTGTGTCTCGCTTTTTGCTTCCGTTTTGCTTTCTTCTTGGTCGCTTTTTAAAGTCCTGCTTTGCATTTTGTCTTCGATCCCCTCTTGACACTGAAAATTGTACCGAGAGTGTGACCATACTACCCTGAAAGCCGTCAATCCCGACCTGCTTACTCTCCCGACATATTAAACACTTTGATATTCCTCTTTTTGGTTTCAGATATCCAAAGAACACAATGGATTAGGAAGTGAGACTGGCCTCTCTTTTTTGTTTTTCAATTCCAATTTTCTTGTCACTCTTTTACTGCAGGTATGTGTGATCAATTTCGAGGCTGTTTGCTGTACGCTTGGGGATTTCCTCAATTAAATCCATACTGATTCCATGTAGTCGTTTGTACGATTGCCATTTCCCTCCACATAACTGTGCGCCACATATCACGATATTTTTTTCGAAGCAGCTATTCATACTACGCTTTTGCTGATCACAACGTTTGGCTTCGCTGCGAACATCCATTCATTCATACTGTCGACCGGGTCATTCCTTTCTCGGTCCGATAATCTATCAATCTTTCCACTCCAACGGTGCGCACGCTAGAACGTGTCTTTCTTTCGTTTACATTACATCTATCTTTACCGGCTTCGATCTTACCAGTCCAATTCTTCGAAATACTACGAAACTCAACCTCTGCGAGGATCAACGATACATTCTTTGTGTGCTACTTTGTCTGAATATTCCATCGCATGTGATTCCCAATTGATCTGCACGTGTATGGAAAAGTTGTCAACATGGCTCATGGTCACCACCGTCACTCGCGCATTGGCAAGCTAATTAGCGCCAGGCGCCGCGGGGGGGGCCGTTGATAAACAAGATGCGGGCTCTGATTTACTTGAGGATGATCTATTTCAAAATCCTATCCTTCCCGCTACTGTTATACTTCCGGATGAAAATCGCGACTCGAAAAACTCTCTGTGTCTTGAACATGGAATGAATGAATCGGGTCCATTACTTGAAAAACGAGACGAAACTACCTCCGCCGACCCAACTGTTATTGAGACTGTATTGCAGATAGTCGACGCCAGCTCACACACCCTCCCTCAGTCGACCGATACTGATATTCCGATGACGATATCGGTTTCTGCGGACGCCAGTAGCACTCTCCCGGACGCGGACAGCTTGACTGCAAGTGCGAGTGCGACTCTGATTGCGAGTGCGAGTGCCTCTATAGACTTAGGACTGTTGAACTCGTTGACGCCCGCCCCTGCTATCCAGCCAACAACATCGCCACTACCCCAAACATCATTTTCAAGCAACTCCACGATCTCAACTCAGACCTCTTTGGCCACTTCCTCGAACTCTACAACTCAAATCACATCAACATTAAAATCTGCCTCAGCAACAGTCATCAATTCGTTTGCATTGACCTCCACTCCCCTTGTCGGTCCTTCTAGCTCTATTCCCTCTGTTACGACGACATCCACTCAGGTGCACAATCACTGGTCATATTCCGGTTCTAGCTCCGACTTCAGTTTCAACCCCAGCTTCAGCTTCACCTCCAGTCCCACTTCAACTCACACTTCTAGTTCTAGTTCCAATGACTGGACGAGCCCGACGTCCAGCACAGACTACACAACCTCTTCGTCAGCTGTGTATGGTGGTTCTGAGTCAACTGAGTCAGCGACTGGTACTGGATCTGCGCCAACTACAAGTGAAACGAACGCCTCGGGGGGTCCAACAATCGACCCCGAGACATCTAAGATTGTGGGCGGTGTAGTGGGATCAGTTGCCGGGCTTGCCCTCATCCTTTTCCTTATATTTTACTACCTCCGCCGCCGAGGACTCTTCATGGCAAAAATGGGACGTCCCAATATGTTAGGTGACGCAGCAGCAGGGGCTGGAGCAGGGGCCGGGTCTCGAGAAGTCGTCGAGCGGCGCGAAAGCAACGATCCCCTCTTCACAGCCTCATACCTCGCCCCCGCATTCATGAAGCGATGGCGCCAGTCAACAGCAACAATGCGCTCTGATAGCACGATCGACTCTGCCCCCAGCGAGCGCGGATTCCAAAAGATCTCCGGCAGAAAGCTTCCTCCCGTCTTTACCCACGGCGGCGACGGATATGGCGGCGGATTAGACGGCGATTCCCCCACCATACCAGGCTTCACTGCCACCTCCCCAGCTACGGGACCAATGGGATCACCTTCCTATGCTCCGCCCCCAACCTCGCAATATGGCGGTATGCCCCTGGACTCAAAATACACCCGCGAGGTTGAAGAGCCCGCCCCACCCCTGCGGTCCAACCCTGTACACCTCCCTATCTCCAGCTCGGTCAACGTCGCTACCCCGATCACTATCACACCGGCCCACCCCATTGCACAACCCCAGAGCGCAGTACCTTTCGCGCCACCACGGCCAGATGCGCTCGGTCGCAGTCTGCATAGCTTTGACGGTAGTCGAAGCAGCCGCTTCACTGAGGTCATTGACCCGTGATTGTGAATGTGATATGGGACACGTGAAATGATGGGAATGAAATGACGGGTGGGGTGCATGCCCTGAGATCGGACTCCGAGGCTTGGCCCCGATCGTGCCTTTTTGATTGTTAATATTTTCTGTTCGATTCTACCTTTTTGTGCTGTCAAGCGCATTTCCTGTCTTTGATTGTCACTTTGTTATATTTTCTCTTTCATCATTGATACCCCCCCCCTTCTTTCTCTCTTCTCACTTCTGCCCTTTTTTCTCTCACTTACTTTCTTGTTTAACCCCATTTTCCTGGATATTTTCTATTTACTCTTGATGTTCGTGTCATTGTGGATATATATTATTTTGTTATTTTAGTATGGATGATTACTGTATGAGTCAAGGCCTAAGTGGTATCAGCTCAGATGATCAATGTAATCTGAAGCTGTCGAGCTTCACATATGAAACCTTGTGCCTCTGTCATGAACAGACGGTAAGAAGTAATCAAGTTTTGGCTTATGTGTAGATGACCAGAAGTCCAAGCCCTGGCGGTTGCCCAAATGCGCCGTGTAACATGAGTTGCCTCGAATATGTCATGGCCATGCATGCCGACCACGTGGCAAGGTCGGTGAGACGAGTATTGCAAATATCATTTCTTCCAGGACTGCTTCATCTGACATGTAAGACTTCAGTCGTCTGAGACTACCAGCAGTTGGGTTAGATATCCCTTCTCGTATACCTGTTTGCCTGGCGAGTCAAAAGAGATGGATTTCCTCGAGCGCTTGGCAAACCAGTCTCACTTCCAATTCATCTCTGTAGGCGTCAAATGGCCGAAGGAGAGACAGTGTTGATGACATCCATTTGAAAGCAGGCGCTGGTCCCAGCATTGTTCAAGATTCGTGTCAAATGAGGCTCGGTAGGCCCGTACCTGTCAAGATATTGGCATCGTCTCAACCGTATCCGCTTTTACGTGTCCGAGGACCACATTTGGGCCATATCTCCTCTTACAGCCACTGTCAATTGCTCAGGTGCTGTGTTGAAGTACGAGTGCTTCTGCCTTGATACTCCAGGTTCTCGTAGTAGCCTTGTCTTGAGGCAAACTCATTCAATATCACTGTCACCTATTGCACTGCCCTTCCACGACCCAGCTGGTGATGTTTCTTGCCTCCCGAGTCCTACTAGAGCTCATGAGGCTCCTGCCATAGTGTGAGCCGTACCGCCACACCTTATGCGCACCGCCACAATAACGCCACATGACGATCTCGTCTTCCTGTTGACCTCCTTTCACCCGGAAAACATCCAGTTACTTACTCCATAGTAGTGGCGGATTAATGGCTTGCGAAGCCATGTCATTTTCTGTGTGCCTTGATAGGTTTCCACAGTGTCGCATGGTCAGTCATGACGCGCACAGTCTAGCCGCTCAAGTGGACACTCCCCCAGAAACCTAGAACAGACATTACCAAGCCCCATGATGAGACGTACGAAGTATTGTCTCCTTTCTCCGTACTTGCGCTCATTATCAAACAATGCCAATACACCTACAGGAAGTATGAGAGATGAAAATTGTGTTATGACCCATGATTGGATGATCATCTCAATCGAGGCGCAGCTCCTTGGCGCACATTAACAAATTCCTAACGCTCTCACATTGGATAGATACTTGTACTTGGCATAGCGCTATTTGACGGCTGATCACAGACTTTTAGGTATGCATGTATGGACGTGAAGAAATGGAGCTAGAGTTTGAGATCAGAGCACCAGCGCGTAAATTCTTGGGCTTTGGCTAGGGATGCCTATGAAGTTTGCCTCCATAATATTATACAACTCTGTAGCCCCTGTTCCAGTTAACTAAGATTATCTTACCGCGCAGAAGGGGGCTGTGTTTTGTACAAGATCCTGATAAAGTGGCAACACCCTGACTTTACAAGTATATTTTACTTTCTGCGATAGCCCTCACTTTATTGAGTGGATATTTTATATCCCTCTTATACTTGGCGGTCTTGCACGCTCGTTACGAATTGCCTGGAATTTGACTAAGATCCTCGGCGTTCTGGGCAGATCCTTGAGAAGTACTACACAGCCCCAAAATATTGGGAGGGGAAAAGATAAACAGAGGGTCTTCGGGATCCCGGCATACGAAACGTTGATATTGAATATCATACGAACTGCAGCGCCATTTTTCAATTCGCAAATTTCTCCTGGTCTCGATGCCATTTGCGCTCTATGTCTTCAAACAATGACTCCCGTCAGGGCTCATTATTGAGCCCTGTTATAGTGACAGACTTTTCGGGCAGAGAGGTTGGTCACCCAAGCCATCCTATAAACACCTGAACTCTTTCGCTGATCATCTCATCTCATCTTCTGATTTTCCAGCGATCTATATCTACAGCCTCTTCTGCGTGGTCAGGTCCGACAGATATAAACCAGAGCCCAACTTCTCCTGTCTCGCCAGATATGGCGTGGAATCAACCAGACCCAGCGCGGCTGATGGTCCAAAGTGCCTCACATCGACAATCACAGTCGATTGATGGCGATACACTGCGTCCGCGGGCGGACTCATTTGCTTCTTCTGCAGATACGGTAGTTCGCTCGCGGGCAAACTCTGAAGTAAATTCCACACAATCTTCCAAAGATGCTTATGATGATGTATCGTTGGCGGATGCATTGAAGCCGGATCCTCGGGATGAAGCTGATTTCCAAGTCGAGGATAATCGGTTTGCGTTTTCCCCCGGCCAACTAAACAAAATGCAGAATCCCAAGTCTCTAGCTGCATTCCATGCTCTCGGCGGCTTGCAGGGGCTGGAGCGTGGTCTACGCACAGATCTAAATGCCGGTTTGTCAATAGATGAAGGGCGTTTGGAGGGAAATGTCGACTTTCAGGATGTGACACCACAACACACAGCTGCAGTGAAATCTTTACCAGCCAACACTTCGGCGCCGGCGCCGGCGTCAGCAGCTGGTAATGGCTCATCTTTTGAAGACCGCATTCGTGTCTTCAGTCAGAATAAACTACCCGCTCGGAAATCGACCGGTTTCCTGAGACTGTTCTGGATTGCTTATAACGACAAAATCATTATATTATTGACAATCGCCGCTGTGGTCTCACTATCCCTAGGGATATACGAGACCGTGTCAGAAGGCACAGGCGTCGACTGGGTGGAAGGAGTCGCCATCTGCGTGGCTATTCTGATTGTTACAATTGTCACGGCTGCCAACGATTGGCAAAAAGAGAGACAATTTGCCAAACTTAATAAGCGGGTAAGTATCCCCATACCAAACTCGAAAGTGTGAGCATATCTAACATCCCAACAGAACGATGACCGTGAAGTCAAAGTCACCCGCTCGGGCAAAACCAATATGATATCAATCTACGATATAATGGTCGGTGACATCCTCCATCTCGAGGCAGGTGATGCCATCCCCGCGGATGGCATTCTAGTTACAGGTTACGGTGTAAAGTGCGATGAGTCTTCCGCCACCGGCGAGTCGGATCAAATGAAAAAAATCACCGGCCATGAAGTATGGCAGCAAATTGTCGACGGCAGGGCAACTAAGAAACTCGACCCGTTCCTGATCTCTGGTAGCAAGGTCCTTGAAGGTGTGGGGACTTACGTTGTCACCAGTGTTGGGCCGTATTCTACCTACGGACGGATCTTGCTGTCGTTACAGACTCCCAATGACCCAACGCCGCTTCAGGTCAAGCTGGGTAAGTTGGCGGATTGGATTGGATATATGGGTACAGCGTGAGTTAACCCTACTTACTTCCTTTTTTTTTTTTTGTACGGGTCACTGATGATAGTTTACAGAGCTGCTGGTATTCTGTTCTTCGTTCTCCTTTTCCGATTTGTAGCCGATCTTCCCAATCACCCGGAGAGGAACGGTGCTATGAAAGGCAAAGAGTTTGTGGATATTCTTATCGTTGCTGTCACGGTTATTGTTGTCGCTATTCCAGGTAAGAGTTCATGCTTTGCAAGATTATATGAGCTATGCTGACCTCCATTTTCTTCTAGAGGGCCTTCCATTGGCAGTAACACTGGCTTTGGCATTTGCTACCACCCGAATGGTCAAGGAAAACAATCTCGTCCGTGTCCTTCGTGCATGCGAGACAATGGGCAATGCCACGGTCATCTGCTCTGATAAAACAGGTACATTGACACAGAATAAGATGACTGTTGTGGCTGGAACCTGGGGCTCGGATCAGGGCTTCAGCCAAAGAACCGAAGATGAAGGTGTGGAGGGCTCAATGACTATTTCGGCTGTTTCCCAGCAGCTATCGGCCCCCGTCAAAGATTTGATCATCAAGAGCATTGCTTTGAACTCGACTGCATTTGAACAGGAAAAAGACGGCGCCATTGATTTTGTCGGTAGTAAGACCGAGGTCGCTATGCTTCAGTTGGCCCGCGATTATATGGGAATGGACCTTGCCTCGGAGCGTGGTTCCGCTGAAATCGTCCAACTGTTTCCTTTTGACTCCACCAGGAAATGCATGGGTATCGTTTACCGTGCTCCTGGTGTTGGCTACCGACTCCTTGTCAAGGGAGCGTCCGAGTTGATGGTTGGCGTCTGCACCTCAGAAATTGTCAACATCGATACTTCTAAAGAGAGGCCTGATGTGGAGCAGCTTTCTGAAGCACAGAAGCAGCACCTCCTCGAGCTCATCGACGGTTATGCTCACAAATCTCTTCGGACAATTGGCATGGTCCACAAGGATTTCACAGCCTGGCCACCGGCCGGGGCCAAGCATTCTGAAGATTCTTCCGCAAACTTCGATGATATTTTCCACGATATGACCTGGGTCGGAGTCGTAGGTATCCAAGACCCCCTCCGCCCTGAAGTCCCTGGGGCCATTCGCAAATGCCACTCGGCAGGCGTCCAGGTCAAGATGGTGACTGGTGACAATGTTGCCACTGCCACTGCTATTGCATCTTCTTGTGGAATCAAGACAGAAGATGGATTGGTCATGGAAGGTCCCAAGTTCCGCCAACTCACAAACGCTGAGATGGATGAAGTTGTTCCCCGCCTGCAAGTACTGGCACGATCATCCCCCGAAGACAAACGAATCTTGGTCGAACGGCTCAAGGCCCTCGGCGAAACGGTCGCTGTAACAGGTGACGGTACCAATGATGGTCCGGCTTTGCGGACTGCAGATGTCGGCTTCTCCATGGGTATTGCTGGTACCGAGGTCGCGAAGGAGGCGAGTTCGATTATTCTGCTGGATGATAATTTCAAGTCCATTATCACAGCAATTGCCTGGGGACGAGCTGTCAATGACGCCGTTGCCAAGTTTTTGCAGTTCCAGGTCACGGTCAATATCACAGCCGTGGTACTCACCTTCGTGTCATCTGTGTACAGCAGTGAGAATGCTAGTGTCTTGACCGCTGTCCAGCTACTCTGGGTAAATCTTATTATGGACACCTTTGCTGCCCTCGCCTTGTGAGTTGCCTTGCTTGTTCCTTATCTATTTTCTTGGACTTTATGCTAACGCTTTGGGAAAACAGAGCTACCGATGCCCCGACTGAACAAATTCTCGACCGCAAGCCTGTCCCCAAACATGCCTCTCTCTTCACATTGACCATGTGGAAGATGATTCTCGGCCAAGCAGTTTACCAGCTAGCCATTACATTCATGCTCTATTTTGCAGGCGAGAAGCTCCTCGGTGCCCATCTCAGCTCAGATCCCGAGATGCGTGCGAAGGAGCTCTCGACCGTGGTCTTCAACACTTTCGTGTGGATGCAGATCTTCAACGAATTCAACAACCGCCGCCTCGACAACAAATTCAATATCTTTGAAGGCATGTTCCGCAACTACTGGTTCCTAGGGATCAACACCATCATGGTCGGCGGTCAAATCATGATCATTTACGTGGGCGGCCAAGCATTCTCCGTGACTCGTTTGAGCGGCACCCTCTGGGGGGTGTGTATTATCTGCTCTATTGCCTGTTTGCCCTGGGCTATCGTGCTTCGGCTCATTCCAGACTACCATTTCGGTATCGTTTTCAATGCCGTTGTTGGCGGTATGGCTATTATTTTGCGCCCGCTTTCCAAAGGGTGCAAGGCAATTGGTCGTGGTATTAGGTCCTTCTTTAGACCCGTGAAGCGCTTCACTCGCCGTGTTGTCAACAAGCGGAAGTCAGAGGATGAAGTCGAGTTGAACCCGCAGCCTGCAAACTCTGCTGATCCCGAAGAGGCTCCTGAGAGACTTGAACAGAATAAGCAAAAGACTCCTGAACGCCCTATCACACCTCCACTGGTCGTCGTTCCCCCTATCACAATTACGACATCTCCTTAGTTTGTCATTTGAGCGTTGTTATTAGCATTTGGTGGCTGTGTGATATTTTTTTGTTGCGCTGTTTGTTTCTAAAGCGTTGGGATTGATAGAGGATGTATATATATATACCATCGAAAAAAACCACTCTTTTGCGTTAATCATAAAAATTTGATTCTCTCTACACGGAAAACATATAGCAAATCAGTAGCCTTGTTCCATAGCCTACTCAATATTAAGAAAGCAAAAGCCTCCAGGCAACTGGGTTAAGGTACTATATGTTTATGCCTCAGGCCACACACCCTGTCTACCAAGTGTCCAGCTCCATCTCCCGTGGACTCCCCAATTGACTCCGCATTACCCTGTCGACTCACCTTGACTCTTATCTGTGATCAGTTAGTCTGATCTCTGTTTCTCTCAAACACACATTAATCTTTCATTCTATCCCCATTGGATCTCATACCGCTCGGAGACGTGCCCACGTCACTAGTAATCTCCCCGCTTCCGCCCACCGCACCGATATACCAAACAGACCAACAGGCAGCTCCTCCAAAGCTCCATAACCCACTCGACTCGCTCGACCAACAACTTGATCAAGACCCATTTCGATCCAGCTTCCGCCCCCAATAGAACCCCAACCGCCACCATGTCGCAAATCAATTACCGCACCATCAACGTTGATGCCCTGGACCCCGAGTCCTCGACCAACTTCCCCATGGAATCCCTTCTCCCCGCCACACTCCCTCAAGCCGCAAGCGCTAGTGACGCCGCCAATGCCGCAACACAGGTGCGCCAGATGCTGCGCGGCGGGGACCCCGAGGGTGCTCTGCGGACTGTCCTCGACACAGCGCCCCTGGGCGGCGACGACCGTGCTAAGGAGGTGCATCTTGCTACCGTCATCGATGTGCTGCAGGGTATCCGGCAGGGTGAGATGACCCGCATCCTGGAGGGCGTGTGCAGCGGGGATGGCGGTGCCGAGCGGGCGGATTGCTTGATGAAATACCTGTACGTGGATTACCGTTGCCGATTTTCAGAGAATGTGAAGTCATGGATTTAATTGCTAATTCAACAATATTAGGTACAAGGGAATGTCTTCGGCTGCTCCTGGTGGTGGTGCGCAGACGCCAAAGAAGGTGGTTTCGCCTCAGAACACAGGCTTCTCGCAAATCCAGGCTCGCAACTTGGCCGAGGGTGGTGGTGGCCAGCAGATGAGCGTTTTGTTGAGCTGGCACGAGAAGCTTGTGGAGATTGCTGGTACTGGGTCGATTGTGCGGGTCATGACTGATCGTAGGACGGTTTGAGCGGAGAAAACAGCATCGGATGGAGGTTCGTTTCTTATGATTTACATTTGACTGTTTTCTTTTGTTCTCGTCTTCTTGGCAGAGGCTTGCATTCCATACATCTCTGTGGATGATATTTCTCTGGTGTCGCTTTAAGCGTAGTTTTACATTATTATATTGTGACAAAATATTGGGCTCTTTCTCTTTGCCCTTTTGTTTCCATTCTTCATGGTTTATTAAAGTCACCTCCCTCGAGCACATCCTTGAGGTTAATATCGCCGCTTCCACGCTGCAATGGCTGCGACTGGCCCTCGCCTTCCTTCCATCCGATCATAAAGATCAACCGGAACGTCGCCGGAATACCACGGTCACCGTCCTGCATATGCAGGGAACGATATATAGCCTCATTAGCCAACAGGACGTCCCGTGAGAGCGGTGCCATGTCACGGTTCATGATAGCGTTACTCTCGCCCATCGCCTGCAAATCCTTCATAAGCGCAAAGGTATCTGGGAACTCGACCACAATATCCTCGACATCAACAGTAAGCATCTTGAACCCAGCACGTCCCAACAAGCTCCCGACATCCTTGACATCCGCCAGAGGCGACACATGCGGACTCACACCACCGCGTCGCTCCATATCAGCCAGTTGCAGCGACCCGCGCAGCTCGTACAACGTATCACCACCAAACATGGCCGCAATAAATGGCGCATCGGGCTTCAGAATCGTGTTGACCTGTGCTAGCAGCGCGGGCAGGTCGTTGATCCAATGGATCGAGAGCGAGGAGAGCACTGCATCGAAGCTGTTTGGTGCATACGGCAAGGTCTCCAGGTCTGGAATCACATCCCGCTGGATATCGACTTCCTTGTTAAACGGCTCGTTGTCGTCGCGGTGTAGCAGCGCATGCGATGTCTCCACACATGTCAGCTTCGAGATCTTTTTCGATAGTGGTGGTGTGATGACTCCTTCCGGCATGGATGAATCGAGGTCGGGGGATGTGATAGCTCGGGCGATGTTGCAGCTGTTCGCGCCTAGATCTAGAACGTTTGGAAAGTCGCGTTTAATGTCCTACTCATGGTAAGGGAAGCTCCTGTCAGTGGATTATCTTTTTTTGTTCTTTCTAGTTCTGCGCTTTTTTCCGCGCTTGCTTAAATGAGTGACTTACCAGTAAGCGCTCACATAACCGCATTGCTACCTCATCTTTCAGGTAGTCGACCTTCCGACTCTCTTCGACATTCCGGGCTGCCCGATCTTTTTGGAGGTGCTTGACTTTGCGGTTGAAGACTTCAAGCATTGGGTTGCCGGGCGTCTGGCTAGCATATTTTCGGATAGAAATTGTTGGGGCAAAGCTTCGCCTTAAGAGGCTAGCACGAAATGTCTGTAGAGATAGCATTGTGGTTGTATAATGAATATGGAGGATTCTAAACCCTCAAGCATGCAAGTCCATGGTTTTGCGGCGATGGCGGGCAGAAAATGGCGGGATCTGACGTCGATTGTTGATGCGGAAGAGCTCCCTCTCCGCAGACCGTGGACTTTCTGCAATTGGTGTTTCCGACACACTTGACCTGGCGTCGGCTCAGACTCCTGAATTGTGCATATTGTGCACAGCGCATTGAGCGTGGCAGAACAATTGCAACCGCTGCTCGGGTAAGTCATACGCGCCAACACGCTCCTCTGGGGTCTCTGATTTGGCGCAACAAGCTTGGGATCCTGGAAATTAAGATATTTTTACTCGAAAAGATAAGCCATCTGATAGACACGAATTCTCTATCAGTCAACCTGTCTACTACATTCCGCTATTCAGCTCCCGACCCCACAAATACGAAGCATGATTTGACCCAAATACACTCGAAAGCTACCACACACCACCTCGCTCCCTCCTCCACGTCGATATCAGAATGTCGCGTCCTTTCCCATATACCTTTATATCATGCCCCTGCGCCGACACTCCGGTCCCCGATCCAGCGAGGAAACGAAAGTCGAGGGAGTCCCCGCAGAAGTCACCACATAAACCATCACCCGAGCGGGCAAACACAGACCAAGACAAGAATTTGGCAGCAAAAGAGGAGCAACAAGCAGAGGATGAGGATGAGGATGAGGATGAAGAGCAAACATTCGATCCCCGCTCTCCACGGTCCAACTTCTCGCTGTATCCGCCCGAACAGCTTCTCTACTGCGAGGAGTGCCATCAGATCAAATGCCCCCGATGTATTACGGAGGAAATTGTGAGCTGGTATTGTCCTAGCTGCTTGTTTGAAACCCCGAGCAGTATGGTGCGGAGTGATGGGAATCGGTATGTACTAATGGGTGCTTGCTTGTCTTCGAAAACCCGCTAACACACGCATATCTATAGGTGTGGCCGGAATTGTTTCAATTGTCCTGTCTGCACGGCTCCGCTGGCTGTCAGTACCATTGAGAATGCTACAGGGAACGGGCCTCAGCAGGGTCCGTGGGTGTTGTCTTGCGGATACTGTCTCTGGACGACGTTAGACATCGGCATCAAATTCGACAAGCCGACGAATATCCGCAGTCAACTGCAAAAGATGACAGACTCCACTGCCCCGGCTATACTGGACCGCTCGAGGCAAGGTTCTCGCGCTTTTGGAGATCTGAAACATCCGTTGTCCAGCTACGCATCGATTGATGAACCATCCAATGCACGCGAGCGTGATGGAGAGCAAGCTGCACCGAAAGACGAAGCGGCCGCATCTCCAATGGGCACGGATGCCCGGTTCGCAGCCCTGAAAAGCTTTTACCGTACACAGATTGCCGAGACATCAAACTCGCCAAATGATCACCTTAGCTCGGAATTTGGGTTCTCCTCACCTGGCGCCCTAAACCGTCTCATGTCTCTCTACACATCTTCGTCACGACTAAGCGGGCTATATGGTGGCAGCAAAAAACCCAAATCCAAGCCACCTGTTATGCGCGAAGCGCTGACAACGAGCGAGGGACTTCAGATCGCCCCAGAAAACAACGAGACAGACATGATTGCACGTCTTCAGTCTCCAGAATGTGGGTGGGATGGTATGGCTTCGATAGACCAGCGCGCAACCCAATCACCGGAAGCCCGCTTCGTCGACGATCTCCTCCCACTCCCAGTTCTCCTCCGCACCAAGCGAGCCAAGCGCTGCAAGTCCTGCAAGCACATCCTCGTGAAACCCGAGACCAAGCCGCAATCTACTCGCTTCCGCATCCGCCTCATTGCCCTTAGCTACATCCCCCTCCCAACCCTCCGACCTCTAGCCCTCTCTTCCTCATCGGCCCTTCCAGCCATGGCCCAAACCACCGACCTCAACTCCCTCCCACCCCTGCGGCCAATCCACGTCCTCCTTACCCTCAAAAACCACATGTTCGACCCAGTCCGCATCACCCTCGCCACGCCCCCCGTGACCCCAGGCCAGGTTGCAACGAAAGTCACAGTTCTCTCTCCGCAGTTCGAGATTGGCGCAAACAGCGATGTTTGGGATGAGGCGTTGCAGGGTACATCTGCGCCCTTGACGAGTGACTCTCGCTCCGCTGTTCTACGCGGAGTCCCCGAGGCAGGCAAGGTCTGGGACAAGGGCCGGAACTGGACGACGGTCGTGTTGGAGGTTGTCCCTGGTACATTGCCTGGAAGTAGTGCAGAAGGTGGTGATGGGAGTCCCAATACCGGGACTAATGATGAGGATGTCGTGGCCGTTGCGGCTTCCAAGCAGGATGAGGATGTGCTTGAGATTCCGGTTTTCGTTCATATGGATTGGGATGCGGATGCGCAGCTGGATCAGCAGAATGTTGGGAAGGGGTCTAAGCTTGATGATAAGGTTACCAGGGAGTTGGCTTATTGGATGGTGCTTGGTGTGGGGAGAATTCAGCCTTCGTTGTAGATACATGTCATTTTGTCCATCTTCGCGTTGACTGCTTTGCGTTTTTATACTTTTCATACCCCGAGTGTACTGGTTTTTTTTCCCCGTTGATAGAAGCATCCGCATATACGATTACTATTGTCTTGTGAGCTTTCGATTCGACTGTATCAAGTAAATAGCACAACAGAACATAAGCTACTTGACCTAATCATGGGTATATACCATGAAGATATATCCCAGAATTATATCTGGATATCCTCAGGCTATCAATCCTATAATCTACAAGCAGTCTAGATCCCAATCCCAGCCAGACAGAGCCATCTAGAAAAGAAGCAAGGTAAAGTCGGAATTGTTGAATTGGAATACTATCAGATATTCCATCCCACCCTCATTAGATCGGGAGAGAGAGAACTCAACTCCATCGCCTCACCCAGAGCTCACACCGGACACAAACACTATGCAACCAGTGACTGGGGGCAAAAAAAGAAAAGAGAAAAAACCGTCAATGCATTTTTATGGAGATCATCTCTTTGGAACCCATCAATGGCGTTGAATCTAGCAACAATTCAAAACTAGAAACAATGCCATTCTCCCACGCATCAACCGAGCACATTCCAAGCCCCTAGCCCCCAAAAAAAGTCAAAGTGAACAATGAATTTTAAATTGTGCATTTAGAACTCAGCGCCGCTCTGGGGGAACTCGAAGGCAACGGAGCGGCCGGTGAGGCGGCGGTAGACCTCGCCGTAGGCATCGAGGCGGTGGTCGACACCACCACGCTCCTTCTCGTCGAGGATGACCTTGAGGGTCTTGGAGCCGTCCTCCTTGGTGCGGGTGCGCTTGCCGACAATCTCGACGGGGTAGACGAGGTCGGAGAGAATGGCGTCGTGGACAGCAGTCAGAGTGCGGGAGCGGGGACGCTTCTGGGTCTGGGTGGTGCGCGAGTTGACGGAGCGCTTGGGGCGGGGCAGAATGCGGCGCTGAGCAACGAAGAGGACGTGGCGGTCGGAGAACTTCTTCTCGAGCTCACGGGTAAGACTGGAGTTGGTGTTAGTTTTCGGGTTGTTCTTTTTTGGAATATCTTCTTGGCTTGTTGGTCCGCTCGTCTTGGAAAGGACTGATGGTTGCTTACCGCTGCTGGATCTTGTGGAAGTTGGCCAGGAGGGGAACGGGGACGAAGACAATGATGGCCTTCTTGCCGTGGCCGACCTCAACCTAGATAACGAGAATGAATGTCAGAGGATTGTCCGGTTCAAAGTGTCGTGCACACAGAAACTGAATCTCCTCCTGGAACGGCGTCTTGCTCTGCGAATTTTCATATCCATTTGCATGTCGCCTCCTTTGTTGATGATTCCTCTCCTTGTTGATGACTTTTTGGCGTTGGTGGACATGAATTGAAATCAATCCACAAATCCGACCAATATACCCCGGAGCATCGAAAATCCCTCGAAAATTTTAAAGACGCCATTCCAGAACGATTCAATTCGCATGCCGGGAGCTTCGGGCAACAATTCTTACCTCGCGGGCAGAGACGAACTGCAGGGGACGAAGGCTGGCCTTCAGGTCCTGTGTGTTGCTCTCGAGGTCGTAGAGAGCGCCGGCGATCGCGGTCTCCAGCTCGGAGGGGTGCTGCCGGGACGGCGAGTTGGGGGCGATCTTGTTGATGGCAGCCATTATTGCGAGCGACGGGGTGCTGCGGGAAGTGCTGGTGGTGATGTCGACGGAGGGGAGGTTCGCAGATTGAATCGAATGGGAATTTGCTGTGGGATCGGCGCATTCGCTTAGGGTGCACTACTTCCTGTTTGGGTTTAGTGCGGCCGCCTTAGGGCTCGTTGCTAATTCGTGGATTGCCGCTGAAGGAGATCCACTATCTGACTCGCCTTTGGTTGACAACTACCCCAGGACCTTTTTATGGCGATAGTGTTCTCCTCTTTACTGTCATGTAGGTATGGGGATTATTCCCGATTGCTAATGCAGATTTCGGAAAAAAAAAAGAATTAACATTTTAATCACATTGTTGAAACGAGGTGTCTCTCGGGGAATAGCACACTGTAGACTATAAGACCACACGGAGTCTCCATTGGAGCCGGGAACAAGCAAAAAATCGCAAAAAAAAAAGCAAGCAAGAAAGACGCCTGTATCCATGGAAATAATTGCAAGAACATCTGCCAAAAACAAAAGAAAGGCCAAAATCAGCAAGCGCAGCCCTCCTTGGCCGTGGCAGCGTTACGATCATCCAGGTTGACCAGTGATTCTTCTGCTGACCGACCCAACGAAGTCTGGCCAGTTCCCGCACCGGTACCCCGACCAGTCTTCAGACTGCTCTCGGGGATAGCATTGGCAATTGCCGTGAAGACATCCACAACATTGGTTCCAGTCTTGGCGCTAGTCTCGAAGAACAAAAGACCTTCTTCCTCCGCATAGCCGGTAGCCTCCCTTGTTGATACCTTGCGGGCATCACCGGATACGGCATCCTGCACATCATCTTCCTCGTTGGCGCCTTCCTCGCCATCCTGTGCCTGCTCAGATTCGCCCTGTGCAGCGACAGCGGCCTCGGAAACATCTCCGCCGTCGTTGGTCAAGTCCAGCTTGTTACCAACGAGGGCAATGACGATTCCAGGGCTCGCTTGGCGCTGTAACTCGGCGACCCAGTGCTTGGCTTTTATCAGCGAGGAGGGTTTTGTGACGTCGTAGACAACAAGCGCTGCCTGCGCGTTACGGTAGTACATCGGGGCGAGCGAAGCGAATCGCTCCTGGCCGGCGGTATCCCAGATCTCAAACTTGATCGTGCGCGTAGGAAGGGAACATTTTTGCGTCAGAAATGCGGCTGGAGAATGACGTTAGTTAACCATCCTAAAGCAAAGTCCTATTGGAGGGGTTGGGTGGCCTGTTTGCGGGGAACAATTCCATTTCAGACACAATATACTGCCCCTGGATGCTCCAAAAAGTATATCATCTACCAGGGGCAGTCTTTCTTGTCTTATGGGGGCTAAGTCCATAGGAAAATCTTACCGCCAATGGTTGGTTCCTTGTTCTCCTGGAAATCATCGTTGACGAAGCGGAGGACAAGAGATGACTATGAGGGAATAATAAGATATGGTTAGCTGTTTGGAATCGTGTAACATGGCGAATAGAGGAGTAGTACCTTGCCCACTGCGGCCTCTCCTAGCAGCACAAGCTTGACACTGCTGCTCGGCTTCGGGGTATTTGCGCTCGCTGACTCGGACATAGCTGAAAGAACGAAACAGTGAGATCAAGGTAACAGTCAGGCCTTCTGTAGGTAATGTGATTCAACTTCGATCGGCGATCAGGCGACCGGATGAGGTGGCAGATTGATTCAGCTGGTAACCGCAGGTCGGGGAATGGGGCTGCCTAGAAGTGAGACAGGAGATGGGGCACGAGTCACTGTTCTTGCGCTCGTATTGGGGGAGTAATCAAGTTCTTGTCAAGGAATGAGAAATGCAAAGGGTAGTATAGACGTTACCAAGACAAGAGTGATTGATCCTGAAGTTGGAGAGAGGCGGAGGTTGATGATGATGGGTGCCTCGATTGGGCTTAGCGTGGTCCGTCTGTCACCAGTCACCGGAAACATGTCTGAGATTGAAGTATACAACTGACATACTTCCCGTATTTGCATTTGCTTTGCTTATACTTCTATTGAGGCTTAATTTATCCATATCTATTTGAAGAGACTGACGTAAGAGCTAATCTCGATATTCAATCATGTCCCGCCATATTGATATCTCACATCATTAGATACAATGCACCAATGATGGCATGCAGATGACACGGACATGGCTGTCGGGATAGGAACATTTGGAAACGGGGAGCCCGAAGACACGTACTATGACTTGGTAAAAGGTAGGTCAACACGAGATAAACATGTTCCTGGCACCTTGACAACTGTCGCAGATTAGGCTAGTGCCCGACTGGCCTAGGTGATGTCGGGTGCCAGTTAGGAAAGACCCTGGTCAGGCTCGGGAGCTATCTGCCGGTACACTAGCCAGGTCCGCATCAACAATCGGGCTGTCGTTCCTGTCTCGGCATTAGTCGGTACGCAAATCTGCCCGATGTTAGCGCAACCGCGGCCGGTACGAGCGAAGTACGACCTGAGATGAGTACGAGTTTGTAAACTCGGGGTTACAGAGTCTATGAATGTACATGAAGCCGGAGTGGTATAGGCTAGCTGGTTGGAGAATGTAAAGAAACAAAAATCCATTGGCGCTAACAATTATGGTTTTGTGCGCAAGATATAATACACAGGCATCAACGTCAAAGTGTAAAAGCACAAACACTCATACAAATAAACATAGGAGCTGTACCTATCCAATAGTAAAACAAGAATAACAATCAAAGCATGCTATTGACCGTGAGGTCGAGGCTCTAGGTTCTGGTATCAGCCCATCCCATTCAATATTCCGTCCCGTCTATACCAAAACGCCGGTGAACAAAAGAAATAAACACAAAATAAACACAAAAGGCACTTTTTGGGATGGGGACCGTGGTATCGAGTCGTATCAGAGGTGAAGTAGAACGTGAGGTGAGGCGGAATAAGGTTCGAGGCCCGAAAAATAAGGATAAGGCGCATGTGCGAAGACGAGAGATCAAAAGTCGAAAGGGTAAAAAAAAAAGTGTCAACGCTTGGTATCCGAAAAGAAAATGCAGGCAGAATGTTGAGCCAAAATTAAAAAGGGTATAATGTCGCGCGATGCCCGCGAATAGGCAAGAAAAAAGAAGGGTATGGCCCGGGACCGGGACAAGAAAAGATAGTGTTACAGATATCTGAAGGATTCGGTCAGTTTTTGATGCCCAAAGGTATGTTCGGAGTGTGTCTTACCAAAATCAGGTAAAACTCCAAAACGCATATGCGTCAAAAATAACTCCAGCCACTGTTGGGCGCCAGACCATCCGAAACATGACCAAGTGGTGTAGAAAGCAATGTTGAGTATGACGAGGTTTCCGAACGACTTTATTTCGGCGGTGGTGGAGGAACGCCAGGCTTCTTCACCCCAGTTGTGTCGTAAGCTCCTCTTCCCATGTTGAAAGCAGATTGATCCCGAAGGATCATGTTAAGGTCTGCGGAGGAAGTCATGATTAGATGCTGAAAGACGGATTTTGGTTGGAAATAGGCGAGCTCTTAAATGCGCCAACGGTAGGGTGAGGAATGAGGTGGTATGAGACTTACCAAGTAAACACGACGTCGACGCCAGGATCTTATATAGATATTTCCTGGGAACAACAAAACGAAGTCCCAATCCAACCCCCCGTGAAAATTAATAAATCAATTTTTTTTTTAGAAAAAAAAAAATTAAAAATAAGAAGGCCCAGACAAGAACCGGTGCAGGCGATAGATATGAATGCAGTCGGATCGGAAAAGGCGGTCCTTTTGAAGAATCACCAGGATGCGGGATCCAACAGAATCGTAGGGCAGGAATGTGACGAAATTGGGGGGGAGGGGGGTCCCAACAAATGAGAATTGGAGTTTTGAGGTAAAAGCACAGGTCGAAGTTGGTTGCTTTTTATTAGGAGATCGGAAGCAAATCAAGGAATAAATGGAAATTCTCTCCAAATGATATGCGCTAGGGTGGCTGCAGCTAATCCATAAAAGTCGCGATCCGAACCAAGAAAACGGGCAGAAGGGATATGAAGTTGAGACGGCAAGGGAGCAAAGGAGTCCGGAACTGGCTCCGGTAGATCCGGACAAAGTTCAAATTGACGTATCGCAAGGGAGAAGGGAGAGGAAAGGAGGTAGGGGAGAAAGATGGTTATCAGGTATGTTCAAAGGAAACAAGAAGGGGGGATTGCGTTGATATAGACGTTTCCTCTTGTTTTTTTTATTATTTAAATCACATATCCTTTTTTTTCTCAAAACCAATAAAACAAATTCAAATTAGAAATTCAAATATACAAAATATACCAATATAGAAATATTTTAAAAAATACCGAATCAAATTTCTGGATATTTTTCTTTGTTTAGTACAGCGGCTCTCCCGTCCCCTGGTCCCGGGGAACAGGAACGCGAAATGTTCCCCCTTTCTTCTCCAACGTTTCTAATCTATAAGCTTACCATCTTACCTCCGTCTGTTGTATATTTTCGATATATAATTTCCAACTAGACAAAAAAAAGAGAGAAAGGTACCCTCTGATTCATCACAATCATATCTGAGATACATCCCATGTCTTTTTGAGTCCCAAAGTCCTTCTATTATGTATCATAGAAGCTCTCCACCATGAAGCTAGGAACCAAATCTCCGGGCAGCCTTGGTGCATAAGTGGAGAAAGAAAAAGGGAAGAACAGCCGCAGGAACGAAAAACGGATCCCTCCGAACTTTTTTTATTTTATTTTAGTCTTTTTGCTTTCTCGCGTGGTCGGGCTCCATCGGGTGTGATAGCTTCCTCTAGTATTACTCCGTAGATAGAGGTAGCCATCACCAGTGACATATGATGCCTAGGTAAATCCCCTAGCCAACCATAATATTTCGGCTATTGATCAAGGCCAGTCATCTGGTCTTTCACGCAGTCTCCCGTGCAATATACAACATGTTAAGACCAGTCGCAAACTTCTCTAGTGTCGGAAGCCTTTGAATCACTCCCCGTTTAGAAACACATACATCAGAAGCCCATCCAAAGTACTCCGTACATATCGCAATTTTGTCATTCCCATCGTCTTTGTCTGATTCTCTCGCCGATCAAGGGAAAAAAAAAAGAAAAAAGAAAAGAGGATCATCTTTACGATGGGCTCCATCATAGGGGGTGGAGATACGCTAAACAAAAAGAGGCATTACGGAGCCCAAAAAAGTGAATTCCCGTCTCGGTTACGTATGAACATTCTTTTTACCTTCTAGCTTTTCCTTTTTCTAACCCGGGGACTTGGGTCAAGGTATACAAGAACCTACACCTTGATACGGAGTAGCAACATCTAGAAACATTCCAAGGCCCCACCCCCATACGGACTTCACAAGGTACCGGTAATTTAAGGGTAATCTGTGTCAGCGTCTAGATTTGCCACACTGGAGCCGATGCATTTCAAAGCCACAATTACCCTTGACCATTTTGTGACGGTTCACGTTAGGACTCGTAGGTCGTGTTTCAGCCCCCCCGTCCACGGGTGTCCACCCCATGCCAAAAGAAGGAAATTCATCTCCCCATCGGCACTGAATCTGGGTCTTGCCTCGTGGAAATCGGGGGCTGGAAGATCTACCGTACATATTCCGTAGATACTAAGACTGCCGTTGAGAGATACATAGATTCCCAACGCAACTAGATTGGATCTCATCTCTACATCCCACATCCTAGCACTGTGGCTTATTCTGTTACACTGTTCGCATTAATGAAACAAGACATTTTTCCCACATCTTCCTTTCAGATTTCTCCTTCCTAGACACACACTTTCACATGTTCAAAAAAGGGGAAACTATCTCCCGTGCTGATCATCCTTTGTGGACTGCTTTTTTGAAAAACAGAAGTCAGCACATGCTAATATATGTTAATAATTCTATCCCGATCTGGAAAGCGAGCTTCCTATACGGAGTAGTGGAACCGGACTGTACGGAAAGTACCCGTTTCGATTACAGCTAGAATGGCGCTAGAAACGGGAGAAAACCAGACTCCATCAAATCCATCAACTCCATTCTATTCACTTAGTCAACCTTAATGGCCCCAGTTGCTTTGCTCCCCCTTTTCCCCCGTTGGGAATACCAAGTCACCAATTCATTTAGAGTAGTTCATACCGAGTACGGAGATGTTCTAGATAACCCGAGACAAAGCCCAGCCTGCATTAGCTCCAAAAACAAGGTTATGCGATTGCATGAACTGGCTTCCATCGTTTCCGGAACGTTTTAGCCTTCCCGAGACTGTATCCATGGATCACGTATTTCTCTCTTTCCAAGGTTGATACCACACCTGGGCAGTATGTACGGAGTATAGATCTTTCCCTCTATGAAACACTGTGTTCCGTTTGAATCTGGCGTAACTTGATTGTGGCGTATCGACAAAAAAACGGTCGCGGATCACCCACCCGCATTGACTTTGGGATTTGCCTTGCAGGTGCATCAAAAAGCAGGGGAGTTCCCGGTCCGGAAGCATACCCCCAGCCGCTCTCTTTGTTCATCTGACAGGCGATGTGGATGTGTCAACGCTCCTCAAATTGAGATATCGGCGACTTTGTTTTCTTTTTTTTTTTTCTCTCTCTGTTGGATATGGCGGATTTCCACTTGTCTCAATCTAAATTTCACTACGGAGTAGAAACAGGGGAATGGCGCACCAAGACTCCGCGGATGCGAAGCCGGGCGATCCTAGTCCATTTTTCCGATTTCCTCAAAGGGCTCCATAACGTGGAAAATTCTGGAAGCACTATGTACTCCGTACAACGGGCTATGCCTAGTGGTGTCCACATTAGGTACTCCGTTGATATTCCGCCAGTTGAGGTCAGTTAGAGTCAAATGGGTGTTCAGTAAAAGAGATAGAAGCAATATGTAAAACAATTTAGAGTCAGATATATTGCAATTGGAACCACTTTCCCGTTCCGAGACGCTTTTCAGCTGCCTCGATTCTGAGCTTCTCCTTTTTTCTATTTCCAACAAGTTCCAGACGTCTTATTCGACTCCCGAGATGTGACGGTAGCTCACAGCTGAACAAAGAAGCTAGAAAAAAGTGGACAGAACTTTTAGATCTCTCTGGACTTTCGCGGGTCATGAGTGACAGGCCCAAATCCACATCATGACCCGGTTACCTGATTAACTCACAGAAAAGAAACAAAATTGACGATCCCCGACAGCTCCATGGCTCCAGCACCAATGTGCCGGGTCGATCGCCCCCTTTCTTTTTTTCCTGCTGGGTCAACCCCTGACTTCGGATACCTATTTTAGTTGTCACGATATGACGCACAAAGGGCGTATGACTGATCGAACCATACAAATATAATCTAATATGACCCACGTTGAGATGGGTCGGCTTTTCGTCGGGGGTGATCCGCGACCACCTAGCGCGTGAACGGGTAATGTTCCCCGAGATGGATGCTCCTGCGCGGGAAATCACCCAGAGCAATCGTACATACCGACGGCGTCACAATCTATGCACTTTGTAGATTGTGCATGCAGATATGTACTGGACTACACTGTACGCTGTATGACACGCTGCCGAGGTCAAAAAAGAAAAAAAGAACCAAAAGTACATCTTCACTCTGCAGTGCCGATCACTGCGACTTCGGCCCTTGAACGCCATTTGATGCAACGATGTCTGATCCTCCAGATAACAATCTAAAGATTGATAGTCCAATTGGGCCAAAATAGCGTTATTTAATTCGCTAGTACATTGACTTCGCTAATTTGCAATGTACTCGAGGGCTTGTCGTCCGAGCCCGCTAGTCTGCAGATCATCAAGAGCCACTTAGGACCACAATTGAGACTTCGATCCCGAGATCATCTTCGATCGCGTCAATCACCCATTTTCCCGTGTCTTGCATACAATCAAAAACTAACCCTGGGGACCGGGGAAGAGCCTTCCCCCCGAAGCTAGAAGCTATCAAATCCGACACCCTGGACGTGTCACATTCACTCCTGGTGCATGTTACATTTCATCTTTATTTTTCTTTTCATTATTTTCTTCTCGATTCTACGGAATATGGGGTACACTGATCCACACTAAGGTAACCTAAGCTCGCGCTGGTATGCAGGGACGGTCCTCAGGCCTCTCGTTTCCCCCTACCTCCTCTGTACTGTTGCAGAAGTCACGTACCAGGAATGATAAATGATGCATTAGCATAGATGCATTGCAGTCAAATGAGGCGCTAAATATGACCCAAGTACCGGGGATGTCCCAATTCCCCAATCGCTGGGTCCGGCAATCCAGGGCTGAGAGCTGACTCGTCGGAGACTACCTGTCAACCCAGCCACATAGAACCCTCTTCCGCAGTGGCAAGTGTCAAAAGGACGAGGCGACATCTTGTGATCTTCTAAAATTTGATTAGAATTTGGATTTAGAATATTTGGAATATTTTTCATTGAGTATGTACAGGGTATACAATGTAGAGAAACTTAGAAGACATTCATCAATATTATCTATCGTAAGTGAACTATGTTCAGCTCCCCAACCTCCTCCATTAGCCACCAAGGTATAATATAGGTACATAGTACGGAGTACTACTCCGTATTATTGTCACCCCCAATAACAAAAGACAAAAATAAACAAAACTCGACACCGCTCATGAGAAATTGGTACCGCGAGCATGCATATTCATACAGTGATATGCCATTTCAAACTGCAAGTGTAATCCCAAGTCAGTAAATCTAAGTATTCAAAAATAAGAACCTATAACCAGAACCTACACCTCCACGAGAGGTCAAGGTTACGGTCACGGTCAATGATCCTCAATGTTTGAGACAACATACCTGTTCATCAGTCTGGCAAACGAGAACTTTGGGCCCCTTGCCGGAACCCTTGGTGATATCCTTGACCGTCTCCTCATCCCCAGGCCCCTTGTCATTAGCCGCATCATCGATTGCCAAACCTAGACACTGGCATTTATCGATCAATGTTCGTCTCAGCAGGGCACTCCTCTCGCCAATCCCGCCAGAGAAGACTACACCGTCTACTTCACCGTTCAGTTTAACGTAGTAGCTGCCGATGTAGCCCAAAATGCGGTCGACGAAGATGTCGAAAGCAAGCTTATGTGCTTTGCTTGGTGGGTTCTCCACCGCGATCTGGGAGAAGTCGGTTGTTCCTGTGAGGGCTTTCCAGCCTGATTGTTTGTTGAGGATATCCTCCGCCTGGGGGGTGTTGGATTTGATTAGTATTGATTGTAATTATTTTCAACGTTGGTTCTCTGTGTTAGGTATCATACCGTGCTAATGTGCATTTCTGTCGTGCTGGCTGGGCTCAGCTTGCCTGCTTCATTGGTATAGTGGAAGACCAATCTAGATCACTAAGTATCAGCTCGCCATTGCTGCGTTGTCACGGAAGTCCAGCGGTCCAACTCACGATGGATCAATACTTCCACTACGTGTCGCACCGGGTAATCCTGCTAATGGAGTGAGACCCATTCTAGTCACCGTATTAGCATAGCTTCCAGCTCGATATATCGAGATGTAATATAAATGGTGTCGCGTGACTCACGATGTATCAAACGACTTCCCGTTCTTGATCACACACATCGAAGCTCCGCTCCCGATATGCATGATGATTAAATTCGTCTTCTGGGTGGGTTTGTTCAGAAATTGGGCTACAGATCGCGTGATGAATGAATAACTGATTCCGTGGAATCCATACTTGCGCAAACCATTCGCCTTGGCGATTTCCTGGTTGATTGGGTATGTGCGTACGGCTTCCGGGATAGTCTGGTGGAAAGCAGAGTCGAAGAAGGTGATACTTTTAACGTTAGGGAGCTCTACCTTGCACAGGCGGACTATCTCTAGTGCGGAGAAATTGTGGCTTTGGGCGGGTTGATGTTAGCGTGTAAATTATATACAGTTGAAAGAATCGAGATAGATGAGCTTACAGAGGGGCAAGATCTTCCAACCCTTTCAAGCGACCAAGTGTTTCATCGTTGATTTCGACCGCGTCACGGTAGTCTCCTCCGTGGACGACTCGGTGGCAGATGTACTCTACATCATCGACGCTGGCGATGTCGGAAAGCTCGGGATCGCTGAAACAGCGCTGCAAGAGATACTTGAATGCAGCTTGAGGAGTGCTGAGATCTTCTTTGACTACCTCATTGTGCTTTTTTTCTCCTTGGTGGTACTTGAGTTTAGGTGGAGGTGCGGTAATACCAGAGATCGCCGCATCTGCGATGGTTCTTGGTGGGTTCTCGAAGGTATAGAAGGTGATTTTGACGGAGGACGAACCCGCGTTAACCGAAAGGATAGATTTGGGCATTTTCTTGGGGTTGTTACAGAGACTTGAACAAGTGCCTTTGAAGACAATGGATTTTAAAAGCTGAACTGGTTTCAGCGTTGTAGTGGTGATGTCAGGATGTGCAGTGACGTCGTCAACATGGGGAACAAGACTTGTTGTTTGATGACATTTATTTATTTATCTCTTTCATTTTCAATTTCAGTTTCAATCTTCGTTCTCCATCTTTTTTTGTACCTTGAACCCTTCATGTGCTTTGACTCGTGCCAAACCGCAGAAGAACCTACAATATAAAATTCAACATGCCTGGTGAAGTCATAAGCGAGCCAAACCCCCGACCGCTGCCATCGCATCTACCAGACTATCTTGAACAATTGAGCGTGAAATTGGACCATGAAGACCTAGATCAGAAGGCCTGTGATGCCTTGCTCAAATTCCGCCGAGCGGCTTGCTACATTGCGGCTGGTGAGCGCGATATTTGTGCCATATATATTTCAACGTCGCGACTAACTCAATATTAGCTATGATCTTTTTGCAAGAAAACACTCTCTTGAAGTCGGAACTCACATTCAATGATGTCAAGCCTCGACTACTTGGTAAGTAGCCTTCCCAAATTTCAACTTAGTCATAATGCCTGATGCCATACTTCCAGGTCACTGGGGAACATGTCCGGGCCTAATTCTGGTCTACTCTCATCTAAACTACCTGATCCGGACGATGGATCTGGACATGCTGTACGTTGTCGGCCCAGGGCATGGTGCACCGGCAATACTAGCCGCACTATGGCTAGAGGGCTCGCTGGAGAGATTTTATCCCCAGTATTCGCGAGACACCAAAGGCCTGCACAATTTGATCTCGACTTTTAGCACAACGGCCGGCTTTCCTAGGTTAGTACCTTGCCTGCTACTTGGTTTTCTTTACTGACAGTTATGTGCAGCCACATCAATGCCGAGACTCCTGGTGCTATCCATGAAGGCGGAGAACTGGGATACGCTCTAGCAGTGTCCTTTGGCGCTGTGATGGACAACCCTGATCTGATAGTACCTTGTATCGTGGGTGACGGAGAGGCTGAAAGCGGCCCCACCGCTACGTTCGTCTATATGTTCCCCTTTGCGTGATGCCATGCTAACATCGGACAGGTCCTGGCATGCAATCAAGTATATCGACCCAAAGGAATCCGGCGCAGTTTTGCCAATTCTGCATTTGAATGGATTCAAGATCAGCGAGCGCACTATTTTTGGGTGCATGGACCATAAAGAGCTTGTGGCTCTGTTCAGTGGGTACGGGTATCAGGTTCGCTTTGTGGAGGATATTAGTGATATTGATGCAGACTTGCATTTTTCTATGGTCTGGGCCATCAAGGAGATCCATAAGATTCAGAAGGCTGCCCGTTCTGGGAATCCCATCGTGAAGCCAAGGTGGCCGATGCTGATTCTGCGCACTTCCAAGGGTTGGTCTGGGCCCAAACAGCTTCATGGCAAGTTCATCGAGGGCTCGTACCATTCTCACCAAGTACCATTGCCAAAGGCAAAGACCGACAAGGAAGAACTGGATCTGCTGCAGAAGTGGCTCTCAAGCTATAAGCCAGAAGAGCTTTTCACCTCGACCGGTGATGTAATCGACGAGATCAAGTCTGTGATTCCCGCAGACGACAAAAAGAAGCTTGGCCAGCGCGTTGAAGCCTACAACAGCTATACAGCCCCAAATATGCCGGATTGGAAATCCTACTGCGCGCAAAAAGGCTCTAACGCAAGCTCCATGAAATTGATTGGCACCTTCATCAATCAGGTATTCAAGGACAACCCGAGTAGCGTGCGACTGTTCTCACCGGACGAGCTGGAAAGCAACAAATTGGATGCAGTGTTTGAAGACACGAACCGCAATTTCCAATGGGATCAGTTTGCTAATGCTCGTGGTGGCCGTGTAATTGAAGTCCTTAGCGAACATATGTGTCAAGGATTTATGCAGGGCTACACCTTGACCGGTCGCATTGGTATTTTCCCATCCTATGAGAGCTTCCTCGGGATCATTCATACCATGATGGTGCAGTATGCCAAGTTTATCAAGATGGTCAGTTTTTTTCCCCCTTGCAAATGTCAATTCAATGCTCACCAAATGATCGGTAGGCGCTTGAAACAAATTGGCACGCCGGTGTCAGCAGTGTGAACTACATCGAATCGAGTACCTGGACGCGACAGGAACACAACGGCTTCTCTCACCAGAACCCATCTTTCATCGGCTCTGTACTAAAACTCAAGCCTACTGCAGCTCGGGTATACTTACCACCAGATGCAAATACTTTCCTAACAACCCTTCATCACTGCGTGAAATCAAAGAACTACATCAATCTGATGGTTGGCTCAAAACAGCCTACTCCAGTGTATCTGACCCCCAAAGAGGCCGAGAGCCATTGTCGCGCAGGAGCATCGATCTGGAAGTTCTGCAGCACGGACGATGGAGTGAACCCAGATGTCGTGCTGGTCGGTATTGGTGTCGAGCTGATGTTCGAAGTAATAGCAGCAGCGGCGCTTCTGCGTAAGCTCATACCAGAGCTGCGCGTTTGCGTTATTAATGTGACCGACTTGATGATCCTTGAAAACGAGGGTCGGCATCCGCATGCCTTGTCAACTGAGGCATTCGACACCCTCTTCACTCCCGATAAGCCTATTCACTTCAATTATCATGGCTACCCAACCGAGTTGCAAGGGTTGCTCTTTGGACGTCCGCGTCTTGAACGTGTCACTGTCGGGGGCTATATCGAAGAGGGTAGCACTACTACACCTTTCGATATGATGCTTGTCAATCGTGTCTCGCGGTACCACGTCGCTCAGATGGCTCTTCGTGGTGCTGCCAAGGCAAACGAGAAGGTCCGAGTGTATCAGCAGGAGCTGAATGCTCAGCTTGAGGGGAGTATCGTCAACACGAGAAAGTATATTGTGGAAAACCACAATGGTGAGGACCCAATCCTATTTGCAACTTGCCATGCCATACAATGCTAACTTTCGCTCCTAGATCCTGAGGGGATTTATGACACACCACAATTCCACAGCTTCCATAAACCGACCGAGTCATTCTGGAATACTGAATAGTTTCATTCAAAGCAGTCACTCTCACCCTAGACCAATCATTAATGGAATGTTAGCAAGAAATTAGAGCCCACGGTTTCTTTTCTTTTTTTGTGTCCATCTGTAGTCCGTCAAATTTATTCAATTAATGTGGCAGCCAGGTCATTATATTCAAACCAGTCCGCTGTTCCTCGTATGCAGGATTTAGAAATTGCAACCCAACACACCCAGGGCTAAAAGTATTCACACGAATCAACGGATGCCTGGGTCGACTAACGAGTACGGAGTAATTGTAGTTGAGTTCCGAAGCAAAGGAAGGGCCGAGACCCAGAACAGCCGCTTTGGTGGACTCATATTCGGTGCGATTCTATCCATAATACGTCAGCCCAGTTACAGTCTATCGCCTCACTGCCACCACCGACTCCAGGGTCCTCAAATAATGCAGTGGATGCATCAATACGAGAATGGAGTAAGCAAGCACTGTGTCAAGGTTTGAAGCTAATCAGTATCTGTGACCTGTGTCTCATGTTATGTCGATCTCGGTGCCTGCTCGACGGTAAGGCTTTGAAGAGTATCTGAGAAGCGCGTGTAAGCACTAATGCATGTGGACGATGGAATGTGTATATATAGGTGTAGATAGCAGTGTCATCTCTTGGACTTGACCCCACGAGGACGGGGCCGTTGCTCCCGCTTATCTGTCGAGACATCGCCCCCACTTTATGCTGTGATCGGCCTGGCGCTCCGCCACGGACTATTCTCGGTCTGGGCCTGAGTTTCTGATCAGATAGTCAGATGGGTGTTGTGTGTGTATTTTGTCTTGATACAATGCAATGGGGGCCTCACTCAGTCAGCACAGTGCGTTTGTCCAGAATACTTCCACGTGCTGATATCTGACCTGTCAAAACGTGGCTGAATCTTCCTTTTTGTTGATTGTGACAGATAAAAAAAATATACCTGTTCTGTTAGGTAGTTGACTAGACCTCTAAGGATCCGTCGGGTTGTGATTGTGATTTAGCCCCTTCGAGTATGAATGGACTGCATTTTATGAGGCCAAGGGACTCGGCTGTTGGATCTGCATTGGTTTTGCAATGGAGTGAAGATCGGCAACCTGGTTGCCTTTCGCAGCTTGAGTTAAGAGTATTTATATGGAGTATGTATACTCCGTACGGAGTATGGGTTTCTTCCATTTCATTGTTGTTGAACCATGAGGCATTGATCTTGCGAGGTAGTCTAGGGCTGATATGCCTTATTCATACTTTTGTGATTTAGGCATGGTTTTTGTTCAGACACATATTGTATTTGCTTTTATTCTCCCTTGATATTATGATTGTCTCCCAAAGGCAGTACATAGGAGGGGCCATTGCTTCAAGGATTGCATTTTAGCTAATGAGAAGATAACTGAAGTCGAATAAGCAGCAGGGGCATGTGGATCCTGGTGCATTTTCCTTGTTAAATTTTTTCTTCCACATACGTACATCCGCTGCCATCCGAGACCGTGGACCTAGATTATGTGGATGGATCCGATTTCCCGAGAAAAACACAAACCACAAAACCAGGGCCAGGGCCAGGGCCAAAGTCATTTGAATGAAATTGTCTCTTATCACCTTGAAGTCTACGGAGTACCTACGATCTTACTGCATTCCTTTCCAGCTGAGCCGCAGACGTATTGAAGCACGGACTACGGAGTACTCCGTACATATATGTCGGAAGCCGGAAGTCCTCAAACCGCCCAATGTGCCTTATTGCCGATTTCCATGACTCATTCGATCTTATTATACTCCGTAAAAGCTCCCGTTTGGTCTACCAACGGCTCGGAGATAAATGGAATCCCTCAAGGCAGAGCGTAAACTTGGCGATGTCCACGCTAAACCTAAAAAGGATGACCTTGCGAGTATACCGCAGGTTGTAGTTCGGACCGATTCTCCATCAGATCTCGGCGTATTTCTTTTTTTGTGTTGTTTTGGCTTAGTTCTGATCTCATAATCCATCTCGTGTTCCGTATGGCATATAAGGTCCAACATCAGATGCAATCTAATAGGCTAGAGATCCTCCACTGTGGCGGCTGGCTGCCCGATTGTGCGATAGATTCTCACAATATGCTTTCTCCCATTCTTATACCAACCGGAGTCGGTCCGTTTATCAACCCGCTCTGGTTGCTGGAAACTGGACCATGAACACTGGAGACACACTTGAATCTCGCGATTGGTTACTCCAATGCGGGTCTTATACTCCCGGTAGATTATTATTGAAGTAGAGCGTGCATTAAAAGACCGTGGCTTTAGCCTTGAAAGGTTTTTCCCCAGTGGTGGGGGCTAGTGGATGCTCAGCCATGCTTACTCTTATTTATACACTCGGTGTCCGCTGGAATACTGAAGCCTGATTATCGATTTCTTTTGGGTACCTTTTTTGGTTCCAGACAAACGGGGTGCTGGTCTATAAATCTCTTGTCTGTTCGTATAGGGAGTCTCAGGCCATCTTCGAACATATCCAAATATTACGGATTTACTGCTAGCTTTTCATCTCGCGACGATCTCCTCGATAGTGGTTTCTTGAAGTTGCTTATCTCCCTTCGCCATGTCCGACAACAGGGAGCTACTGCAAACCGGCTGCCATGCCTATATCGAAGGCATTCACACTTCATATGGATACATCCCATCTCTAGGAGCAGGTATTGCCTACTGCGTACTCTTCGGTCTCTCAATGATCATCCACACAGTCCAATTCACCTGGAAGCGACAATGGTGGGCAAGCGTGTTTAGTGTTGGATGTTTGGGTAAGAGCTTGTGACACTCACAACCCTAACTCCCCGCAAGACTAACAACACAAACAGTCGAAGTAATCGGCTGGGCCGGTCGTACCTGGTCAGCTAAATGTCCATACAATGGAGATGCCTTCATAATGCAAATCTGCACCCTCATCATCGGCAAGCTACCTTCCTACCCTGAATTATTCATCTCCAATCTAACATTCCACAGCCCCAACTTTCTTCACGGCAGGAATCTACGTCCTCCTAGGTCGCTTCATCCAACTCCTCGGCCCCAAATCCTCCATCTTAACACCGAAGTTATACCTCTGGATCTTCTGCACCTGCGACGTAATCTCGCTCGTTGTCCAAGCTATCGGCGGCGGTATGGCCTCCCAACAAGCCGACAAAATCGACGGCGACACCGCGCCCGGCACGCACATCATGGTCGCTGGCATTGTCTTCCAGCTTTTCTCGATCACCATCTTTGTCTTCTGTGCGGCTGATTTCATCCGCCGGGTTATGCGCAAGCGTCTGCTGAAGACGGTGAACGGCCCGGTTATCCCCCTGTTCGCCGCGATGATACTATCCATCGTCTGTATCTATATTCGGAGTATATATCGTACGATCGAGTTGTCGCAGGGATGGGATGGTTACCTCATTACTCATGAGACGTACTTTATTGCGCTTGACGGAGCTATGATGGTTCTTTCGGTGGCTGTGTTTAATGTGTTGCATCCCGGATGGATGTTGCCTAGTGAGAAGCCTGATTCATATAAGATGGAGACGACTTCGGTTGATCGATCGGAAAGGTACCAGGGCCCACCTACTCACTGGTGATTGCTTTGGTCGATGTACAGGTTACTTAGTTTTTGTTTCATGTTTTGGATCTCGTTATTTTCCCCTATACCTGTCACATTTGGTTATGATTCCCCCAGCAGATGCTAGATACTTAATCGGGCTTTTAGACGTTATACAGCGATTGACATTGACATAGACTTATGATTAATCTCAATTCCAACGCATTTTGAAGATATTAGATTAAACCAAAGACAAAAGGGTAATCAATGAACATTCGAAGTAAGGAAATGCATACTTGACAGCCAGGGAAAAAAGATAATTTCAGAAATTTTAGACAACGAAGAAAGAAACTGACACAAATAACCCCGCCATTGATCAGCAAACGGTGTAAAAAATAATGCAAGGGAATCGGCGTAGACATTATAGTCGGGCGCACAATAAGAGAGAGAATACTGGATATGAGGTTATCGCCGCATCTACGTCTCACACACCCAGTGCGGCGGAAACGAAGACCAACCTGGAAGTACGCATGCCTTCGTGCTGTAGTTATAACGTATAGTATCATACACCATCAACCGCTTCAACCCAGCCGAAGGCTGCACCTGCAACCAGTGTCGCAAATGCCCAGACCGCTCCCCAAATGGCGGCACCTTCGACAGAGACATCGTTGATTGTGCCGGCCACTTGGACAATCGTGTTGAGCAGGACTCCAAGTGCAAGAACAGTGGACCGAGAAACCAAGACTCTCGTCTTATGGGACAATTGACCCCAAGTGTTGCGACAAATGGCTGCAGACACACATTCACTACCTTCGCAACAACCAGACCTAGCAGGGGTGGTGGAATAGCCAGTAGAACTGACGAACAAAAAGTCACGCGCGGCCCATCCAGCAGGAATCAGCGTCAGGAAAAGCACAGGCAAGCCAGCGGGACCAGCATGCGCCGCACTGATATCCGGGAGTCCCTCGAAATGAATGACCAGTTGGGTAGGAAGCCAAGTCGCATAGCTGGCATACAATACAACGCTAAAGATCGAGGCTGCCAGGAGCGTCGTGAAGAAAGTGGTAGTCTTGTCCTGTAGGATATTTCGATTGGCAACTGCATCGGCAGGCGCATGCGAAAGGTTGTGGACGGACGAGGGCCGGCGCAGGAGGGCGAATGGAAACGCTGTCGAAACAACCGTGACCCCAAATGCTAGCAGTGCAGAAGTCGGGCGGATGCCATAGAAGAATGACAAGAGCGAGTATGTTGGCAGGTGGGTCAAGAATAAGAATGATGCCACATCACGGCCTAATCGCAAGCATAAGGTTAGTCTCCGCATAATGTCCGCATAGCTGTAGGAACCTAGGGTCTGGATGCAAGGAGCCATGTCTATAGTAGTTGGTTCTTACCATCAAATCCTAGAACCCAGGCTAGTCCGACCTCAACGGCCTTCCAAGCTATCAAACCCCCCACCTCCCACCATTCTTCCAGATGTTTGCTGATAGGCCCGAGATCGCCCACCGTGAAGGCCGAGGTGAATGTGAATAAGAAGGAGCTCAGAGTGAGGCTGCTTAGAACGACAAGGATGAAGCGGGCTGGAGATGGGATGCATGCCAATCGAGAGGTCTGCGCAGTGGCTGTCTTTGCAAGCTCACGCGCGGGTTGCGTGTTGTCGCTCCACGATACGGTTCGCTTCCTGGCAGTCTTGGTCGGCATTTTGAAATATTCAAAGTTGAAGAACGAGGCGATTACAATGCAGAGTTCAGAGTAAAAATCACTGGCAATTGCTTCTCACTTGGTTGGAAGAGAAAAAGAGAAGGCGGGTGGAATGTTTGGTTAGCGGTGAGCATACGATGATGTCACTATTGCTTTTTCCAAGGTCCAAGAATTCGATTTGATGTCTCTGCGACGAAATATTGTACAACTAAATTACAGTGGACATCTCATCCGTAAAATTTAGACATGATACAAATTAATCTTCATCTTCGCGTTCTGCCACAGCAAATTCAACAGTCCCACTCTCTCGTCCGTGGTTGTCACGTACAACGACACGATACTTGCCATTGTTCCAGAGATCTTTGATAGTCAGTTCGCGAGTACGGCCAAGACTCTCAATGTCTCCAATGCGTTCGATGGTACCATCCAAGTGCTTGTCGAAATTTTCTAATGCGCAGATTTCTTGGAAAGCACGCTGCATGGGTACTGAATCGGCACGTACCATGGCGCGCGAGTTAATTGTGAAGATGTTTTCGTGATCGTAAGATTGGATAAAGTCGGCACGGGTCATGATCTCGCGCGCTTTATGGAGCGGAATTTCTGGTAGGATGTGGCCTTCCTCTTGATGATAGCTTGATTCCATTTCTTTCTCAAGGTCTACCAGCGCTTTCGCCAGGACCACAGCGCCAGACTGTGTTGAAATTTGAATTAGCCGGAGTTGCATCGAAAGGACAAGAACCAGGAGATCCAGTAGTGTATACTTACGGCATACTTCTGCTGGTCCATCACATCGTCGTCCATCTCCTTTCCGAGGATCCAGCACTTGTTTAGGAACCATGTTTTCTCGGCCAAACAGATCTCATCGCAAGTCTTCATAACATCCGAAGACTTGGCCACGCGGTTCAAGAAGGATAGTCGACCACCGACTTTATCGTACACTTGCTCGAGAGTCGCAGATGGAAGTGTTTCGTTGTGGAATTGTTGGCGATATTTCTTCAGGGCCTTCATCGCTTTGTCCTTGGGCAAATCTGTCACGGGAATGACTTCCATGCGGGTTGCATAACGCTTCAAGCGCTCGTAGACCCAATAGTCATCGCTGTTAAGAACTTGAAGGGGACAGAGTCAGCTATGAAAAAAGAGGAGCGGATGTTCGTCAGAGTCTTACTCGTTGTGACGAGACCACTAGCAGCCCATTGCTCAGCACGCTGCTGAATCATCTCAAGCAAATCCTGTCCGTCGTGGTCGTCTCGGAGTAAATGGGTACTGTTGATGATCAGCACGAGAGGAGTCGATCCATTCCGCCTTCTGATAAGAGCCACTTTCTCCAACTTGTTGAAGGCGCGCTCAATGTCCAAGAGAGCCGTGGTGTCTCTTGGTCCACGGATGCTGAAAAGGCTGCCGATATAACTGGGTATTCCTGTTAACACTATGGCCTTATGGTGATAAAGGTATAAGCTTACTCCTCGTGGAACTCGTAGTCCAAAGCTTTGCCTAGTCGGATTCGGAATATTTCGAGATCAGCATGCGCTTCGAATAACGCACAGCTGTTACCATTGATCTTGCGCATGGCCTCTAAAAGCATCGAGGTCTTGCCCGTTCCCTTTTCACCAACCATTAGATAGTAGTGGCCACTTTGTCGCCCGGCTACAATATCGTCAACTTTGGGTTGCTCATTGCGAACGACCCAATGTTCCTCATGGCGGTACTTGTGTTTTCCAGAAACAACGCCCGCGACCTCAAGGGCTGGATCACCTGGATTGAATGCATTGTCCATCTTGTCCAAGATCAACCACTTATAGTATTGGTGATAACCGTAACCCGCCGCACTTGGGATCAGATTAGCCATAGAAACAGATGACTTTAATGATGTAGATGAACCTTACCCTAGAATGGCAATTGATGCCGCTGTGGTTGCCGCAGTTTCAAGCATCTTGAGAATCGTAGATTTGAAGCTTGGGTCTGAGTCGCCGTTCCGGTTCTGACCCTTGCTCCTACCCTTACCCTCATCCGAATCATTCTGATCAGTGGGGTCTGGAGTTATTTGACCAGTGTCCCGGGGGTCTGAGTTAAACCGCTTGGGTATATGCATCACAACGCGGCTGTTCATCTTGAGAGATCTTGGCAGGCCCTGTCGGGCATAGACCCTCGCAGGCTGTACGAGTCGGCTCCATAGCATCGTGACTAGGCCTCTTGGCGTTTGTACGGGGTGCCAAGTCCTTCAGCAAAAAGGTGGATAATGAAGAGTGGGAATATATATCCTCGTCAAAGATAATTAGTACCCCAGACGGTCTGTGCAGGACCTGTATCAATTTAAAGACAAAGTTTTCAAGGAGTGTACTGCTAGAATTCTAGACTTGTAGATGGTTCCAAGCCACACCTCCAGGGAGTGACGTGTCGCTGGTGAAAGAGAGACTCAAGCGAATTCGTCGGATGAAAAAAGACTACCAGAAAAGTTGATAAAGAACAATGAAAGAAAGGAAGTTAATGAAAGACTGGAAGAAAGGGAGTTCAAAAAAAAAAAAAAAACAAGATTGTGGCTAAGTTGTGGTGTTGGCCTCAGCCTCGATGAACCAGGAACGCAAAAGGCTTGGCGATCGAATCAGTATATCGGGGAGACTCGATGTGCACTGCACATACACCACTCGGTTCAATTCTCCACTAAACCATTTCAATGGCTTTCTTTTTATTGATTTTTCCTTGGAAGATAGGTGGATCTAATAGAAACACCCCAGCAAATAAACAAGCCATTTATAATGCAAACCACTTCCATACATCGAGACTTGTAAGTTCATTTTCACTTTTTATCTGTAAATCGTCTACTCTGTATGTGTTGTAGTCTCAAATGCTCTCGCTTTGGAGAGAGTCTACCTTGGTTAACTGCCAGGCAAAATTACTCATATCTCCAATAGCCAATTCCCTTCAGTCTAGCTATCTGAAAGTCACTTGGATATACAGTTACCTTTTTTTTTTTTTTCAATCCATATATGGATATATTCAAGCTGTATATATGGTGAAAGACTATTACTCCCAACAAAATAGCTCATGACAAAGCTGATGGGGAAAAAAAATAAATGAATTTTATAAACGGCGCACCTGGAATTGCCTTTTCGGGTTTAGTGCCCCAATACGTTGTCACGTATCCTCTCTTCAACGAGCAGGTATCTCTGGCATAAAACAAACGACCTCGCCCGGTCTGATCAATTTTTCTTGTTCCTCCCCCTCCATCTCTTCTATCTTGCACTCATCTCTGCCTCTTTGCAATTTCACCCGCCCAATCGAAGAACCAGTCTGACCCACTACTCCATTTTCTTTTTCGGCCGTAAACTGCGGCTGAGCCTTTGTTGACTCTACTTTCACCATTTGGAGTCGGAATTTTTCGAGGTTGATTGGATTCAGAGGAGTATGCTTCCGAGCGACGCTATACTTGCTCTTCTTACCCACAATATACACTCAATCTACAAGAATTTGAATTGCCCTCTGTCCAGTTTCCTCAATGGCCCTGTGTCCTCGATCTGTGCATTGACTGTTTACATCTACCCTGGGTCATCTACCCTGCTCTGTCGCGAGGCTGCCCGGTGACCGCAGGTGCTTCGCTCTGTCACATCTGTCCCATGGCAAAAATATCTCACTAATGATCTTCTCGAGCTTGTGTTTAAGGCTGTTGGCCTAAAGCTGTTAGTCATTGTCGATCCTGTCGGGCTTTTGACCTTGACCATACTGGCCAGACATGAGAACGACGAAATAACCTTGGAATCATCGATCTTTGGATTCCAAACTTGTCAAGCAGTTGAGCAGATTCAAAGAACGGAACACCGTTGTGGTTCTTGCCAAGCAGATGCCCCTCACACGTTGTCGCTTTCTCTGTCAAAATCCGCTCTCTCAGGCCATACCGCCATGAAATTGAACACACCTTGATAATTGTCCACCTGCGTTCAAGAATAGAAAGTTGCATGCGAATTGGGGACACGGGCCCCATGCAATGCAAACCAGAATAGGCCTCAAAGAAGTGAGCTGAACGGAGTGGTGCCCGCTTCTTATGGTCGTCGACTTTTCCGTTCATATTCCCTTGTGGCTCGTTTTTGAAGCCACTACGCGATGAACCCGACCAATGGCAAAAATTACGCAGTCTCTCTTATCTTCGGCTGATCCTTTGCCTTCAGGTCAGAGACGTCCTGACTAGAATGTAGAATCGTCAAAGCCCCACCTATGAGTTCACATAGTCGAGGGATCATTCCTCCCCCAAAAAAGAAAAAGCAAAAACAAGCAGCCCGTATAAAAGGAATTCTGGGATATCCCGATTCATAAAAGCTCGATCGAAGACATCGACTGAGAGATACGTCTTGCCAGTCTAAACACAGGTGATGGTAGTATTGTATGAATAGTTCATTTCCTCTCTTGACTCTAGCTTCGTACAAATAGGTATAAGGGAATGTTCTACTCAATCCCGCAATCCGGAAACTTCACTCGAATGCGCGTGTTGATATCGCTCAATGCGTAGCCATCTCCTCGGGTCAGCAGCATTTTCCCACAGTGCTCTGTGTGGCTGTAGGGACTGATATAGGTGTCTATAGCCTTTTTCCCCGGCCCCAACAAAGCTCGGTGCATCTTCTGCCACATATACACACAGTGCTGCACATGATACTCCCAGCTCACATAAAGTCCATCCAATTCCCCCTGAAGCGCATCTGTCTTGGGGACTGGCTGTGTCTTATTCCGATCGAGATACCACTTCCAGTCGACGAGCTCCTCAAAGGACTTTGATAACTCTTCATCATAGCAGCGATGTGGCAGCCAGCAAAACGTGATGATATCAAAATGACAGTTTCGTGCTTTGGCTTCTGCAGGGGTGTTGCCACATGGAGACTTCATCAACCCAGTCATAGCATGGTCAGACGGGTTATACATGTGTGTTGATTGGTCGTGTGCATGCGAGGATGAGGACGACGGGTTGTACACATCGGTTGATATGTCATGGCCATGGGGGGATGAGAACGGCGGTAACGCTGGCAATGATGCAGAGGGCTTCCAATGGATCACGTTCGACCCTAAGCTCGAGGTTGAGGTGGTGTTCAAAGCTGTTATCACAAGACCACCAAGGGTGAACAGAAAGCAAAGCACTGCAACGGCATACTGGCAATAAAAGGAGCGGCGTCTTTCAGGATAGAATGCATGTTCGTGGTCATCAAAATCGTCACTCCTGATACTACTTGGGCCTTGCTCGTCTGTTCTGAAGTCCATTTCAGCACCGATAGACAGGTTAAAGGTAAGAAGTCCTTATGACAACGAAAAGCTTTTTAGAGTAAAGCTCTCCAATCGCTTGATAGAGTCGATAAAGAATTCCTTCTGGAGGAAACCGGTGGGCAACCCCAGGTCTTAGCAAAATAAATGCTCCATGCATTGCTTTCAAATCAGCAAAATTGAAAAAGTAGCGCATTGCGTCGGATAGCCTAAATAGGCAGGCAAGCGCATCGATGTTTGCTCATATCCCCTCTGTGATCCAATTTGGCAAAGATTAGCTAAAAAGATACGTTTGGGAGGATTTGATGCATGCAGTGTGATCGGGAGGGTAGACTTGCATCGAGACCTACATGATGCAGCAGCAACATGTATGTAACCTCATTTGCCTTCACCTTGGCGTATTTGCTCCACGATCGGTTTCAAAGATTCCGTCTTGAATATTGGGTAGAAATCTTCTGTTTTTTTTAATCAAAAATGACAACTCCATTGTCAGAACTTGTTGAGATAAGGCCGGGAACTCTAGGGCTTCCACAAACTAGCCGTGCGTTCAAGTAGTCTGACCATCAATCCTCCACGCCCGTTCCCACCTACAAGTTCAATCGTACTCAACAAAAATGGCTAGCTTTCATAAGATGCTCAAATGGCCTCTTCCTTCCCATAATCAAAACAGTCACTACACGACAGTCCACTCGGCAAACGAGACAGAGAGGTCGGATGAAATGGAGCTGTTGTCGGAAAAGCCGATCTCAAGATCTCACTTAAGATCTCGCAGGCATATCTGGATTTATAACAGCATCTTGCTTCTCTCCTTCATGCTCGCTGTGAGTTCCCTTCTAGTGGCATTCACAAGTCACTACACTATTGTGCGACGAAACCTCATTGAGGTCAATCTGCCATATGGGAACCCCATTCCGCCAGGTATGATGTTCTGGTCCGTCGTTCTCTCCCAACTATGCTCATACTGACTAATTGAAGTCCCATTGGAAATGAGAAAGTTCGGGCCAGCCGAGATCTTCACTGAGCGTTCGAGTGCCCGAAGCGATGCTGCATGGGAGGCTCTCGCCGGTCGTAAGATGATCTGTTTCTGCCATGCTACGAGATGAATTCGCGTCTAACTACCGAGTACAGCAACCCTTAATGATCAAGGCTTCATTTACGTCCCTAACTGGGAAGATTTGAAGCTACCCCCAGGAGGAGTGGTCCACGGAGAGATGATGTACGGCATTAGCATGTTTCATCAGCTTCATTGCCTGGTGAGTGGTCCCGGCGATCGATTCATTTTCTCTCTATCGGGCAACAGTGCGCTAAGTGATTCTCTCAAGGGCGCCATTCGCCATGTTTTTTGGCAGCTGATGGATGGTAAACTCGACCCGGTGGCTTTTGAAGCTCTCGATGGAGATACTACCGATCCAAACTTTATCCCCCGGGGTCATGGATTATGGCACATCGAGCATTGCTTCAACTACGTCCGCCATGCGTTGCAATGCTATGGAGACACTACTATGGAAGTTCCAACCGACTTCAATGGGCAGTTAATCTTCATTGGATGGAATACGACACACCAATGTCGCAATTTTGACACCATCTGGGACTACACAGTGAAGCATTCTACACTAGATGGTATGCCATGATGTGTGATATTATTGGTTGAGACTCGGGATCCTGAGGGGTCAGGATTTTCTGTCGGAGCATACAGATCGGCATACCGGAGGATTGGTTGATCCAGCCAATTTAGTATTTTTAGATTCGTAATCCGCAGCCTAAGCCCTGTGGTTAGGTATAAACTGCTAGGAAAGCGGATACTACAATACAGAGATTTTAACACTATTGATTGGACCCACACATTTCACGATACATACCACTTGAATTGACTTTTTTTTTACCTAGATAGTATAATAAATGTCAGCTTTGAGTCTAAATGAGCCGCAGGGAACCTTATATCCGATGCAAGATAGATATCTAATTGATTTACTGTCTTTGATAATTCCTGACGCTATACAAATATCTGAAATCAACGAATGTACTACCGTTCTTCTTAAGTTTCCCTTTGCCCTGTCTACCCCCTCCTCCCCCTCTCACTCTGTACCTTGTACCCTGTACCCTGTACCCTGTACCCTGTACCCTAACCACATTGGCGCAGATTGTCACCAATAATTGATAGTCAAAAGCTTGCTGTGGTAGATTGCGGTATGACTCCTTGGTCTACGCTTTAGTGCAGCCCAACGCGATGAAAATGTAACCTCGCGTATTCAGCATGGGAGATCAACGAAACCCCTCCCCATTAACTGGTTCTGCTTATCAAGACAGTACTGGGATCTGGGCCATTGCTCGAGCCTGTAGTATTTACCTCATGCAGTTTGGATCTACGTGAGAATCTGATTTGGCGAAATGACACGGTTGCAATGCGTCGTGCATTCCTGGTCCTGATCATGCACACGAAGGTGATGTTTTCTCGATTGGGATCCTCACACATGGCTTGCTGCGAGAACGAGTCCGTTCAACCACGTTGTAGGTAGGCTAGTGAATGCAATTGAGTCGTCCATGTCACCCGCTAGAGCACAAACAAAACACAGCCCCGCTAGAGAGGTCATCTAGGCCCGAAGTCTGATGCAATGTGATATTTTGGGGGACGAGGTGCTTGACAGGATAGGCTAACAAATCGTCTGGGAATACCGTATCCCGGTACCCAGATAGCGACTCCGACGACCTCGGGAGCCAACATAGATCTCTGGTGAATATAAATGTCCGAAATATTCCACTACCCATCGAAACAAGTCTGTGCATTCCTACTATCATTATTCTACCTTCACTACATTGAACTGAGCCTTGCGCATATTATCCAACCCGATACTTGCAATCATGAAGTCTATCAACAGTCTCTACATGCTTGCCCTGCTTGCAGGCTTATCTATTGCAGCTCCAGCTCCAGCTGCCTCTGCCGACTCGAGTATATTGGGCCCAAGATGATACTTTATCTTTGCAGTACGGGCCAGCTGATCTCCATGTAGTTACACGAAGCAAAGGATCGAGTGACGAGACAGCCGAACCTCTCCAGTGGATCAAACGTGAAGAGGATGAGACGGCCGAGCCTCTTCAGTGGATCAAGCGTGAAGAGGACGAGACGGCCGAGCCTCTACAATGGATCAAGCGTGGAGAGGATGAGACGGCCGAACCTCTCCAGTGGATCAAACGTGAAGAGGATGAGACGGCCGAGCCTCTGCAATGGATTTGAATCATGTAAGATCTACTCGCTCGATGGTTGTGGATGTGATTATATGCTGACAGCTCCAAGTCAACCGAGAAGAATCCTAGAGCTAGCTACAACACGAAAGCTAGAAACGGGCACTGATCCTGGGATTTTTCCGAGTGAATGATCTATCTATGCGCTCGATGCGGTGGGCGAATATTGGAAATGTTTGATATAAGCCCCACTGTTGTGGTTCTATTATTTCACGGAAACTAGAAATATTCAGAAAAGCAGGTTATATTGATTCCTGGTCCATGGTCTAACTGTTTCTGCGTATATAATTCTATTGCAATAAGTAAATTCTCTATATAAATACTGTTCGTGGGAAGGTGCCCTAAGCACCTGTTTAGTTTTAGCGCAGTATAAGCCCCCTAGGCTATAAGCAGGAACCTTGGCTTTGGTTGTAGTCTAGTGGTAATTGACTGTGGTTTTCACTCCGACACTTAGGCTGCTCCTAGGGGCTTCCAAGGTTATCCCACTTCCCTTATTCAGGTAGCCTTTCTCTCCTTCAAACCAAATCAATAAAGTTGATTTGTATACACTTGCTTCCCTTTCCTCTGCGTACGGCTATACCGTACAGCTATTATACCCGTAACTCCAAGGGAACATTGTGCACCGGATGTTATAGCATTGGCTATGTGTGGAGTGAACATTGGATCACGTGAACCATGATTGCTGGGCAAGAAAATCAAAAACAATTTAGTGTGTTCCAGTGATCACATGAATCTGCCTAACCGACAGTTTCCATCAACTTCGGTCAATTGGGGATGCGTGCAGGAAAAGGGAAAGGGGAAGTGTGTTCTAAGTACAACACCCGGAGTATAGGGGCGGTTTAGTCCAAGTGGAACCTCGATCTGTCATGTGGATACTTAGGTCCAAACATCTTGCGACGGTCCACCGACGGTTGTCCGGCCATATACTGTGCAGTGATGTACGGAGTACGGGGTCACCTACTCCGTACATATGAGACAGATGCAACTTAGTCACCAGTTTCGTTACGGAATGGCCCCAATTTGCTTTTCTCGACTCATGCATCACATAATCACAGTTTGTAACTACCCGTGGACGCCGTGGTTAACTGACCTGATACGATGGGAAACCGCCAATCACTTCCGTACTCCGTACGGAGTACCCACACCTGAATCAGCCCTGGGTGGATAATCAGCCAATCAGACGCGCCATCAGACCTCTCCCACACCATGCAGTAGGTACCTACATGCCTAGCCATCTCTTTGTTTAGGCAACATCGCTATCGTCATCATTCCAATCGTTATCTCTATCCATCTCACGCCTCATATCCCAGAGAAGACCCTGATCTCCATGTTACAGTTGTCTTTGTCTCTCCTTGTCGGTTCCGGTCTGAAATCCAACAAAAATGGCCTTCAATTCCACTGCCCCTTGGGCAGATACCTCCGATAACGCGTTCGGACCTGTTAGCCGCCTGAGAGCATTTGACTTTACGATCACCTTCGAGCAGGCTATACTGTCAATAATTCCTTCGGCAATCCTACTACTCGCTGGACCACCCCGACTATTCCATCTCTGTCGCTGTCAACGAAAGACGCGACCCAAACATGACTACGTTTTGAAGCTGGTCAGATACAGTACTTCCCACAAGTTGGGCTGCGATTGATAAGCCTATAGATTGCCGCTTCTATCAATTTCGCCCTTCAACTGTCCCTCTTGGTGCTTTGGAGCGTATCGGTTGCTTCACGGACGTCGACCAGCATCCCCTCCGCTATCCTGGGCCTCGCCAGTTCTGCTATTATCATTGGACTGTCCTTTGTCGAAGACATTAAATCAACAAGGCCTTCTTCTCTGTTGACTATTTACCTGCTTCTCTCGATTCTGTTTGATGCGACACAGGTCCGGACTTTATGGCTCACACATCGAGTTGCTATTGCGGCTGTGCAGAGTGCGGTCTTGGGGACTAAAATCGCCATGCTCTTATTGGAAAACCGAGAAAAAACATCTTATCTGAAGCCCCCCCTACAAAGAGTATCCACCCGAGGCAACCTGTGGCATTGTTAATCTAAGCTTTGTCTGGTGGCTGAATCGACTCTTTTTGGCTGGGTGTCGGAAGATCATTGGGAGTCGTGACCTTTTCGCTCTTGAGCCTGGCCTTAGCTCTGGTATCACAGGCGAAAGACTGAAAAAATCGTGGGAGAAGCATGGTAGGATATTTTCTCCAACGTTGAATATATCTTATGCTGACACGTCCCAGGTAAAACAGGTAGCATGCTTTCCTTGCCTTGGGCCTTTTTCTGCTGCTTCTGGTGGGAATTTGTCGCCGTGGCCTTTCCTCGTGTGTGTATGATAGGGTTCAGTTTTGCCCAACCATTCATGATCACGGCAGTTTTAGTTTACGTAGAGGACCCGATCACACCGGAGAGCAGGAATCGTGGATATGGTCTTATTGGAGCCGCTTTCTTAATTTACTTTGGATTAGCAGTATGATCTGTTCCTTTACAATATTGCTTACATCTTTCGCCGCTAATCAAGGCACTAGCTGTCTAATGTGCACTACCGACATCGCTTCTCCAGAGTGAGCACTTTGTTCCGTGGCACAATGATCTCATTGATCCATAACAGGACTCTGACACTCCAAGACGACCTATTTGCGGAGAGCGCAGCTCTTACGTTGATGAGTACAGGTGAGTGAGTGATGCCCGTTCACCTGTCTGGGGATATGAAAGCAAAAGCCCGGTGTGCTAATAGGCTCCAAACAGACATTGATGGCATTATTGAGCATCTGGAAAATTTCAATGATGTGTGGGCTCGCACAATTGAAGTGGCAATTGGTACATGGCTACTTGAAAGACAAATGGGACCAACTTGCGTGGTTCCGTTAATTCTAACTCTAGGTAAGCAGCAAGCCTTGCACCGAAGCATGCAAAGCTTTCGTACTTATGTTTGGTACTAGCATGTCTAGGTGGTCAGAAGCTAGTGGCGAAGACAATCGGAGAGAATCAGCAAAATTGGAATCTTGAAATCCAGAAGCGGATTCAAAATACATCCTCCGTACTGGGCTCTATCAAAGCTACTAAGATTTCAGGACTTTCTGGCAAACTATCTCAGGCCCTGCAGGGGCACCGCGAACGAGAACTATCTGTATCCCGCGCTTTCTTCAAGGGAATCATGTGGCTGAACGGTCTAGGTCAGACAATTTGTGCTTTAATGTCGTTCCTCCGCTGATATCAACCAGCAAGTGTGCCTCGGATATGGTCGCCTGTCATTACCTTCATTGTGTACGCTGTACAAGCAGAACTAAGGGCGGATGACTCCCTCACCACCGTGAAAGCCTTCACTGCTTTGAGTATCATCACCCTCGTCACTACGCCCGCGGAACGATTACTCGCTGTCTTGCCCCAGTTAGCGGCTGCTATGGGATGCTTCCAGCGGATCCATGAATACATGATATCCGAACCAGTGAAAGATACCCGAATTGACACCAAAAATATGCCGTTTACTTCAGACAAAACCGAGCCGGATCTTGCCATCGCCTTGGATAGCGTGACTGTCTTGCCTTCACAAAAAGCTACATGTACCGCCCTGACTGACGTGTCTTTCAAGGTCACCAGCGGTAGCCTGGTGGTTGTTATTGGGCCTGTTGGCTCTGGTAAAACTACATTGCTGAAAACCATCCTCGGGGAGCTTAATTGTCTGTCGGGTTCCGTGTTTATCAAACCGAGCAAAGTGTCCTACTGCAGCCAGAATCCATGGTTACTCAATACAACAATTAAGAAAAGCATCACTGGTATCTCGGACCACGAGGTTGACGAGAAGTGGTACGAAACTGTCATACATGCATGCTGCTTGGATGAGGACATTCGTCGCTGGCCGGACGGTGACCAAAGCGAGATTGGAAGCAAGGGCCTTGCCCTTGCAGGGGGCCAAAAACAGAGAGTGGTATGAAACAAATTCCAGAACGTGTGTCACCCTGGCGAGTGCTAATTTTTGTAGGCCCTGGCTCGTTCGGTGTACAGTCGCCACGATATAGCCTTGCTCGACGACGTCATGAGTGCGCTGGATGCGCAAACGCAAGAAATGATCATTCAACGACTTCTCTCTCATGATGGAATATTTCGCCAGCTGGGAACAACTGTGGTTCTGACCACCCATAATTGTAGGACCCCCTCAAGTTCAGATCTTTGCGCTGAAGGAGCGCTGACTAGTGATATTCTCAACCACAGCTCGACACCTTGGAATCGCAGATAGTGTAGTCTCGCTCACTTCAGATGGTCGAGTTGACCTTCAAACAACAGGCATTGAGGCTATTCGCAATCAAAATTTCTGGCAGGCTAGAAAATATTCCGATCCGCAAATTCAGGATGATAATAACAAGCCCAACGATCATTCAAGCATAATGGCTTCGAACTCTGACCCTATTAACGACATTGAAAATATGGATCGAACTCGGCAGATCGGAGACCTCTCGGTATATTATTACTACGCACGAACAGTCGGCCCAGTTCTCTGCGCCTTGTTTCTTGTTGGGCATGCCCTCTTAGCATTTGCCGAGAACTTTCCTCAAGTGTGGTTGAGCAAATGGACCACGGCAGGAGGCGGACAGCTTCCTCTCTATGTATCCGTCTATGTGGTGTTGGCATTGGCAGCATCGGTTCTTACTATCTGGTGCATATGGGTCGTCTTCCTTGAACTGATGCCGAAGTCGGCCGTTCGTTTGCACTGGTTGCTCTTGGATACGACTATGCAGGCACCGCTGTCCTTCTTCTCCGGTACTGACAATGGTGTGACACTGAATCGCTTCAGTCAAGATATGACCCTGATAGACCTGGCTCTTCCTATTGCGCTGATGTCTTCCGCCGAGGCGTTTTTTGGATGCATTGCCACCATTGGACTGATCGCCACGGGGTCAGCGTTCATGGCGACGACAATACCGGCCACACTGATCGTGCTCTATTTTTTGCAAAAGATTTATCTCAAGACGAGTCGCCAACTGCGATATCTCGATTTGGAGTCTAGAAGCCCGTTGTACTCTCACTTTGCCGAGGTACTCGAAGGTCTGCCGACAATTCGGGCCTTTGGTTGGCAAGACGCCTCATCAAAAATCCTGACTCGGCATCTTGATCAGTCTCAAACACCGTACTACATGCTACTTTGCGCGCAGAGGTGGCTGAACCTGGTATTGGACATCGTGGTGATGGCATTGGCAACCATTGTGGTAACACTAGCCGTCATGCTGCGTAGCAGCACAAGTTCCAGTCTCCTCGGCGTCGCGTTGAACAATATCCTTGGGTTCAATCAACTATTGTCATATTTTATCACATCATGGACTACTCTCGAGACCTCACTCGGAGCGATAGCCCGTGTTAAGTCATTTGTTGAGACAACGCCTTGTGAAAATCAACCGGGTACAGCCGCAGAGCTGCCTACATCATGGCCCGATAAGGGGGAGATTGACATACAGGATCTTTCTCTCCGCTATCCCGACGGAACCCTAGCTCTGGATAACATCTCCATGCACATAAGGCCTGGCGAAAAAATCGGCATCTGCGGCCGCACTGGCAGGTAAGTCTTCATAGACTTCTGTTTTCATATATTCCAACAACCAGCCTACTAACCAATTCTTGACGTTTCAGCGGGAAAAGCTCCCTCACGCTAGCCATGTTACGCCTCGTAGACCTCTCGCATGGCAGTATCACAATTGACCAGACTGACATTTCCAGAATCGCCCCCGGATCAATCCGCGAGAGGCTGATAGCCGTGCCGCAGGACCCGTTCACGCTTTTGGGAACCATCCGCTATAACGCCGATATCATGGGACTTTCCAGAGACTGCGAGATTACATCTGTGCTGAAGGAGATTGGCGTCTGGGCGGCGATTGAAAGCCGTGGAGGCCTGGACACACTCCTCGAAGACCATCCACTGTCGCAAGGCGAGCAGCAACTCTTTTGTCTGGCACGGGCAATTCTCAAAAGACAAACCAGTAATGGTGGATGCCAGGTGCTCATTTTGGATGAAGCCACGAGCAGCCTTGATGCAGAAACAGACCAGCGAGTGCAGAAAGCCATGAGAGACGCTTTCCATGACTGTACTGTCTTCAGTGTCGCGCATAGAGTATGTTTCCAGTTTCATCTGTCACCCAACTTACATAATATAGTTCTTATTGGGCCCCAGAGCGAGCTAACTGTTCAACAGCTTGACACGATCATAGATTTCGATAGAATTGCTGTGTTGGATTCTGGATGTCTTGTTGAGTTTGATACTCCGCAAAATCTTCTTGCCAGAGATGGTTTATTCAAGCAGATGTACTCCGGTACAGATAAACAAGAGCTTCATCGCTAGTCTTGATGAACATTAGCATCAGCCCCCCAATCATGGGTTTCTCAACCTAACTCACATGCATCCAAAGCTTCCCAGATTCATCCGCAAACATCTCTATTGCCGTTCTCTTGGGATTTAGGTCCTCATATTCCAGATGTAAAGGTCTCAAGCATTCGAATCTCATGAATGTGTTCATCCAGGAAAAGTGATATGTGGAATAGCCAAATATCTCAACGTGCCATTGACTTGAGCTTTTTTTTTTTTTTTTTCCCGGCTGGTAGCTATGTTCTCCTCGATCTATATTTTTGGCACGTATATATCCAAAACCGGCGAATTTTTCAACCTCTTTGTTCGAAGTCGTTTCCCACGGTCCACTTAGCAAACCGAGAAGAGTAAAATAGAAAAATAAAACTAAAATAACAGCCGGGAAGAGTATACCAAACACCCAAAACACAAGGCCCAAAGATTATTATTGTCTACGTCATTTGGACACGAAGTTCCCCAACATAAAAGAATAGCACATAGTTAATGCTCTACATCTCTATCTCGCAGATGATCCCTCTTAGTCAAGTGTATCTATAGATAAATCTAACTCTGTTAGCTTCCAACTAGTTATATCCAGGTTGTCCAGGGAATATATTTTGTCTTCCCAAACGGATCAACTCGTGGACAAACCTCTCCAGTGGAATAGCTATTAATGAAATTAAACGCCACGGTGTACACAATCGCGAATATTGACACCCGAAAAACGTTGGTAGTTGAGTATGATATCCACCTAACAATATACCTTGACATATCGTATCTTCAATCTACTACACAACTCTTTCTCAACAGTCCAAAAAGGGAGACGTGGAGAAAATGTCCCTCTCCGCCCCTTCCCCGAACCCACCGCCCGAGCACTTCCGAGGGTATGCCGCATCCGAGAAATTTTCTCTCCGATTTTCCAGTTTCACCTATCCATTCATCCTTGCTCTCTTTTTCCAACTTCCTGGGGTACGGGGTTTTTGTTTCTTGCTCAATTACTCTTTTGTATACTATACTAAAATCTCTACCTGTCGAATCCCCGCAGGTCACCTTTTTCTTTTCCCGTTCCACTTTCCCGAATTTTGATCTCTCACCCGTGTGACGGTTGCGAGATAAGGGTTACTGTGATTACTTCGTCGAAGTTCTTTTAATAACCGGCTCGACATAATGGCACAGACCAATGGGGAGTTGGAGCACTCGAAAGGTGTGTGTTGGCCCTGGAGCTTCGCTGGCCAAGGTCCATTGGGATACAGCATGGGTTCCAGGTAAAACAAGATGCAGGGTATACGAGCTAACGGAGTAACAGAGGCTCCCCAAGCTTCTCAGGAGATTGCCAATGGCAACGTTCCCGAGGGCACAGAGGAGGACAATGCGGGTGGTATGTTGGGTAACCGGACGCACAACTGCATGGCGGTGTTCTAATTCAATTACAGGTCTTTTCCAGATCTCCGTGAAGCTTCCTCATGCGCCGCATAAGATTCAAGTGATGGTGGGTTCAATGTTATGAAAGCCCACGAAGAAGGGAAAAAATATCTGACTCGATTTTGTCTCTAGGTTTCCAGCCAAGAACAGGTTCAGGATGTCCGCCAATCTATTGTCGAACTACCGGGTACTTTCCAATATACTTGCTTCCACCTCGAATTCAATGGAAACCGCATCAACGACTTCGTTGAGCTGTCTGAGGTCCCGGGCCTTGAGGCTGACTCCGAGATCGTCCTGGTCGAGGATCCCTACACCGAGAAGGAGGCCCGCATGCATGTTGTGCGCATCAGGGAGCTAATTGGTGCTTCTGGTGACCGTGTCGACAACCTCCATGGTATCTCCGCTGGTCTGTCTCTGCACGATACTATCACGGCAGACGCCATCAAGGCTAGCGAGTCCGAGAAGGAGCACTCGCTCTCCAAATATGACCTGACCGGAGCTTCACCGCTGCAGACTATCCTGCCCACCGAACAGGCTCCTCTGCCCAAGACAGTGAAGTCCATCTCGTTGTCTTCATGGAACCCCGTTCCGTACAACCTCCGCCAGAAGGGTCACTTGCTTTACCTCGTTGTTGCCACTAACGAAGGTGAACAATTCCAGATCACTGCCCACGTGTCTGGATTCTTCGTGAACAAGTGCTCCAACATCAGATTCGACCCATTCCCGAAGCCAACACACCCCAAGAAGGGCAGCGCCCACTCCTTGCTCACTCTCATCTCCCAACTCTCGCCCTCGTTCAACGCCTCCTTCGAGGCTCTGCAGGAGTACAACAATGAGAAGGATCTTTTGACCACTTTCCCCTTCCAGAACGCCATTCCCAACAGCCCATGGCTTATCTCCCCCAGCACTTCGAGCTTGAATGCCCACCAGCCCGATATCACTCGTTCCCAGGAGAACTACCTGATCTCTGGTGTTGATAACGCCGAGACTCTGCGTGACTGGAACGAGGAGTTCCAGACTACTCGCGAGCTTCCCCGCGAGACCGTTCAGGATCGCGTGTTCCGGGAACGTTTGACCTCCAAGCTGTTCGCCGATTATAATGAGGCTGCCGCTCGCGGTGCAGTCCTGGTCGCTCGGGGTGAGGTTGCTCCTCTAAACCCCACTGAGGCGCGGGACGCCCAGATCTTTGTCTACAATAACATCTTCTACTCCTTCGGTGCTGATGGCGTTGGGACTTTCACCTCTGAAGGTGGTGACGAAGCCGCACGCGTGGCCGTGGGTAAGGACGTTCTTGGCATCAAGGCTGTTAACCAGCTTGATATCGATGGACTGTTCACCCCCGGAACTGTGGTCGTCGACTACCTGGGCAAGCGTATTGTTGGCCAGAGCATTGTTCCTGGTATCTTCAAGCAACGCGAGCCCGGTGAGCACCAGATTGACTACGGTGGTGTTGAGGGCAAGGAGGTCGTGGCCACCCACGCTGATTTCGTCCCCGTCTTCGAGAAGCTCTCGAAGGCGCTGCGTGTCAAGCAGCACCCTGTCTGGGACAAGGAGAACCAGCGTCACGATCTAGAAGGTAGCGTCGAGACCAAGGGCCTTTTGGGTACTGATGGCAGGAAATACGTTCTGGATCTCTACCGCGTGGCTCCTCTGGATGCCGCATGGCAGGAAGAGGAGGGTAGCGATGTCTACCCCCACCGCATGTCCGTTCTCAGACTTGAGCTGGTCGAGTCTTACTGGCGCCACAAGATGAGCCAGTACGTGAAGGCTGAGATCGAGAGTCGTAAGGCTGCTAGTGCCGAGGCTGAGAAGGAGGTCAAGGCCGAGGAGGATAAGACCGAGGAGGAGAAGGCCGAGGAGAAGGCGGCGAAGGCGGAACAGGAGCGTGTTGATATTTCTGGATTCAGCCTTGCTCTCAACCCCGATGTTTTCAGCGGCCAGGTGCCCCAGACGGAGGAGGAGAAGGAGCAATGGGCAAAGGATGAGCAGGAAGTCCGGGATGCCTGTGATCACCTCCGATCCAAGGTCATCCCCGACCTGCTCAAGGACTTGCACGATGGTGACGTTGGCTTCCCCATGGACGGCCAATCGTTGACCCAGCTGTTGCACAAGCGTGGTATCAACCTCCGTTACCTCGGAAAGTTGGCCCAACAGTCAGCCGAGAAGGGACCTCGCCTCCAGGCTCTGTCCATTCTCCTGGTCCAGGAAATGGTTACTCGTGCCTTCAAGCACGTTGCCAACCGCTACCTGAACAACGTTCCCGCTCCCTTCGTCGCCCCTTGCCTTTCTCACTTGCTGAACTGCCTCCTCGGATCGGATGTTAACGCTACCCCTCAGGCGGAGATTGACGGATCTCTACGTGCAATCTTCCCTGAGGGTGATTTCTCTTTCGAGAAGGTCACCCCCGAGTCCCTCCGGGCCGAGATCGAGAAGCAGGTCACTATCCGCTTCCGCTTCTCCCTCGAGAAGGACTGGTCCAGCTCCCTGAGACACTTGCAGCTTCTGCGTGACATCTCCATCAAGTTGGGTCTCCAGCTCGGTGCCCGTGACTACGCCTTCACCAAGGCCCAGGCCAAGGAGCAGGTTGTTGTTCCTGTCACCAACGGCTCTACTCAAGAGGAGCCTAAGAAGAAGGGCAAGAAGAAGGGTGGTGACAAGTCTCCTGCCCGCGCCGCCCCGGCGCCGGCTAAGCCCGCTGTTACTTTCACTGCTGATGACATCCTGAATGTCGTTCCTTTGGTCCGCGATGCCTCTCCCCGCAGCGCATTGGCAGAGGAGGCCCTGGAGGCCGGTCGTATCTCTCTCATGCAAAATCAGAAGCAGTTGGGCCAGGAGCTCATCCTCGAGTCTCTGTCTCTGCACGAGCAGATCTACGGTATCCTGCACCCCGAGGTCGCCAAGCTCTACCACCAGCTTTCCATGCTGTACTACCAGACTGATGAGAAGGAGGCTGCCGTGGAATTGGCCCGCAAGGCCGTCATCGTCACCGAGCGTACCATGGGTGTCGATTCGGCCGACACTATTCTGAGCTACCTCAACCTGAGTCTGTTCGAGCATGCCTCCGGCAACACCAAGACCGCTCTGGTTTACATCAAGCACGCCATGGATGTCTGGAAGATCATCTACGGCCCTAACCACCCCGACTCCATCACCACGATGAACAACGCCGCCGTGATGCTGCAACACCTCAAGCAGTACAACGACTCCCGCAAGTGGTTCGAGGCCTCCCTCTCCGTCTGTGAGAACTTGTTCGGCAAGGACTCTATCAACACCGCCACCATTCTCTTCCAGCTTGCCCAAGCTCTCGCTTTGGACCAGGACTCCAAGGCTGCCGTCGGCAAGATGCGTGAGGCATACAACATCTTCCTCGCCCAGCTTGGACCCGAAGACCGCAACACCAAGGAGGCCGAGAACTGGCTTGAGCAGCTCACTCAGAATGCTGTCTCTATCGCCAAGCACGCTAAGGACATCCAGGCTCGTCGTCTGCGTCGCAACCCTCTGAACCCTCGCGTGTCTTCCATGGGTACCCGTGTTCAGCCCCAGGTTGGCCAGTCTGCACCTGAAATCACCGCCCCTGCCGACCCCTCAGGTCTCGACTCTCGCAGCATCGATGAGCTTCTGAAGTTCATCGAAGGTAGCGACACCAGCTCTTCGCGCTCCAAGCAGAAGAAGCGTGCCGCCACCAGCAACCCCAAGCTCCGTGGCTCCAAGCAGTCTAACAAGGCATAGATGATTTACTAGCCGTTCTTATTTTTTGGTTATAACATGTGTTAATATCTATATACATTGTCATTTTGGGGATCGGTGGGCAGGCTTGATGAGCGAAAAGAACTGTTGTATTTTAGATCTCTCTCCTCTCTCTTTTTTTATTTTTGGTTTCATCTGCCAGGTTGGGTTATCTCTCGGGCCGTGCATGGAAAAGACTCGGTTGTCTTATATGGGCTCATATCTGGTGCATTATGCGGATTTGCCACTTGGGTCATTTTCTCTTTCTGGGTAGAATCCATGAAGTTCATATGCAAATACTTGAAATTCAATAGACACCTTTTAAGGACTTGGCTGTATCTGGCATTGAACCTCGGGGACTATGATCGCCATAATAGGCAATATGTGTTGGCCCGCTTTACCGCATTAGTCAATGTTTGTTTTCTTTGTTTGCCGCGCAATGCTGTCATTCGTTTTCCACCTAACACACCCTTTAGTTCCTTGGTATATCTTATTTACATTGGATTATTGCTGCATTACTGGCAATATCTGGTCGAGGGCCATCATTTTTTCTATCATGCATCATTGAGGGGTTTGTTAGAACGGCGACGTTGGTACAGCGCGACCCCAATGACCAGGAGAAAAAAGTTATGACAGTGCTGATTCTTTTAATAGTTGTATGCTATTACCAGGTATCATTATCCTTTTCGTCCTGCAATGGAGGACGCCCAAGCCACTGCAAAATGGGCAAACCGTGTCCTGCGCCCCTTGACCTCCATCTGCCGTCGAATCGCAAAGCACAAAGAAACGGTGTCGATAATCGCGACCGGGTCGAAACCACCCGAGACTGCAGAGGGCAGTGATGTGTCTACGTTGGAAGCCCATCACAAACCAGAAAGCCGGAACAACTGTTCAGGCTCGGATGCGGATCCGGATGAAAACGACCCAGCTTGGATTCCAGGAAAAAAGCCCGAGCGGCGTCGACCCAAACACAAATATTCGTCAAGAGCGGAAGGTTCTAGGGGGGGAAAGCGCAACAGACTATCAATACATAGCCCGGAACCCTCACGAACCCTGCCCGGCGCTATTGAGGTCGCAACACCACTCATCACTGGGAGGAGATGGGAGATGCCACCGAGTGCACAGTCAGAACGCCCGGAGGGACATTTCAACCCTAATACCCAATCGTCACGGCCGTTAGTCTTCCGTGATCGATATTCGCTCCACAAGAGCCCTTGGCAGGAACTTCTCGACCAGTCTGGTGATCCGGGCTTCGCCGACATAGCACACAACCTTGATCGTGTCTTTCAAAATTTCCTTTGCAGTACTGTGATATCTAAGCGTGAAGTGAAGCATTCATCCGAAAGGAGCAGACGCGGTGCTCGATCATTACTGTCCATGGTGGCACGCAGTCTGCCTGAATTTATTGCGAGCGAGCAGGAAGCACAGGACGAGTTGGACGAGGACGGGGATGAAGATATGTGCAATGCATACTTTACAGAGTTGGAAGCATTTTATGCGCCTTATGGGACAGGCTGGAAGCCACTCCGCGAGGCTGTCCGTGCGCAGGGTATCTACTTGGTTTCTACCCTGATACAGAATCATTGGATAACAGACTCAATTGCTTGTGCGCTGATTGAGAAATGTCGTTCATTTGCACCTGAAGAAAGTGATTCATTGCTCTCCACATTGCTTTCTACACGCAAAAATTACCTATACCCCCAGGCTCTAAGGCCAGTGGTGAGCCATGACGCCTCGGATCCAATCCGATTGTTACGAAAATATGCCCATCATGGCGTTGCGAGTCGCTCTTATATCTTCAATGAACTTGCAAAGCTTCTTTTGCGGGGAGTGCTACCCCCGGAATGGATGGCGACCAAGTTATGGACTAGTTGGATGACACGAGCAACAATTTCCCTTTCGAAAGAAGATGAAGACTGTCCAGCGGCTACACGGTTGATTGAAGCTGTGATTCTCTCAGCTAGTGATGCCCGCCCTGTCACTGTTGCTCATCGTTGTACACAGAAACTCCCCCGAAAGGGAAGGCTGCTCGTGCCCGTGCGACTAGAGCTGCCTCCACCACAGCGTGGGAAATCTCGAATCTTGCGCGGCCTTGTCCATTACAGGTAGAAGATGCCTTAAGCAATCACGTCATAAGCCTCATGGCAGCGCTCTGCGGGATGCACATTTCACGGTCTCGTGCCTCCGATGACACTGATTGTGCGGCCAGAACAAAGGCGAGCTATATTACAAAATATCTTTATATCGCTCTGCAACGAGAACTGGAATCAAATTCCACCGCCAAGCGCCCTGATAACACCCCTCATCAATTGTTACGGCGTGGCTGCATCTTGCTAGCCACCAGCCTTGTGCAGTGCAATGACAGATTCCTATTGGATAATAACCATCATGTGATGGCGTCAACAGCCAGTGTTGATGAATGCGCAGAGATTATAGCATCTCATTCAGACATGGTTAGAGAGTTAGCATTGTTTGTGCATCAAGCGTTTCGCTGCCTCAGAAAAAGTTCAGAAGATGAAAGTGAACATACTAGCAGCGAAATACGTGACATGATTTCGCAACTTGCCCATTTAGCCGATACACCAGCTTTGTCGGTTTTGCTTGGGCGAGTGGCAGCAGAAACTGCCATGGAGTTCGCAGAAACTACAGGAGATCCCGATGACCACATGTGGGCCGTCGACGTCCAGGAGGTGGCGGTCGCAAGACAGCGTCAGGAGGAGACTGCCCAAAGGTCATCAGAAGGACCCGAAGGATCTAGTCAAAGCACGGGCCTGTTTCGCTGGGAAGATAGCATAGGTGAATGGGTGGCATCTACACCCGTGACCAAGGGAAAGCCCATCGTAGTGCAGAAAGCCCAAAGACCCATGCGCATGCTATCAAGCCCAGTACCCTGCAGCGCTTCCTCTACAGATACAGATACAGATACAGACAGCAGCTCACCTGGGTCTGATCGCTTCCAAGACTCTGTTTCAAGTCTGACCTCATCTCCCCAGCCGATGGGGACCAAACGTACTTTCGAGGACGCCGAGACCTTATCCATACGGCCTAGAAAACGACAGCGACCCACACCTGTGGTTGTAGTTGACAGGGGTGGAAACAGACGTCAGACACGCTCTCCTACCCCGACTAGATACAGTTCTACTGTGGAACCAGTCACTCGCCGAGACATTTTGCGAGAGCGCAGCACCAATCTGACCAGACGGACGACTCCCGCAACACAACAGGCACGGAAGGTTGAAGTCGTGATCGTCAATCACAGAGAAAGCAGTCCATGTCAGCCTGCCGTCCGGCCCACTTTGGAGCGTGCTGCAAAGCAGGTCCATCGTACGGTAGAGAGGCGAAGGTCTACGCGCCCTCCAGTCTCAACCATGCGTCGTATTGTTGAGCCGACCCCTCGACAAAGAGTCATCCCTTGTCACCAGGATGACGACAGTGACGATGAACTCAGCTTTTTCTGAGCGGGGCGCGGGCTTGGCCCTGGTTGAGGTCTGTAACAGCTTGCGTGCGTCGGCGGAATGTCGGATATTCAGAGTCTCCCGGCTCATCCTTGCCGCTGAGGTGTTTATCACATTTGACAGTGCAAACGGATATCTTGGCTGTTTACTCCGTACACTACTGAGTATGACTGTTTGCAAGATCTTGGGGGGTTTTTTTTTAACGGAACGGAACGGTGGATATGGGTGGTCCGCTTTTTTTTGGAATCTGTGTTTTAGGATTGTTGTTTGATACCCATGGCCTTGAATTGGTGTTTTAACTGAGGTGTTCGGACCTCTATGATTGTTTTTCGCTTGTTTCCTCAACTTTGGATTAGCCTTTGGACCTCATGCCAATAGAAAACCCTCAGATTGGATATTTGACCCGATAAAACCCTGGCTGTCGGGTTATATGCGCACTTTATCTGGCACATGAGATCAAACACATTGCAGACCGACAAAACTCCGGCGGCAACACCGATGGCCTTGAATAATATAGACCTGCACTCAAGGTTTAAGACATCCGTTTATACATATTTTCCCGTTTCAGTGCCAAACCACGGAGTCTAGGGCCAATGGTGAGAATATTTCTTCCGAGTTCTTTCGGAAGGGAATTCTCCGCGAGAGGAGATTAAGGTCTGATATAAATGAAATGCCAAGGAAACAACCCCTGAAGACGGAGTTTAGCCTCTTACAGTGATGACTGGAGCAATAGCCTATGACCGGACTGTTTCATAACCCCCCTAAAGTGGATTACTCTGTTCGCTTCAGTGTGTGATGAGCTGACATAGGCGCTTAAGAACCCCCGTGGAATATGAAAACGTGACCCCACAAGCCCTCATTTTCTCCACTGCCAACTGTAGATTGGCTCATCGAGGGAGCAGAGGCCCCTTTCTCAAACAACCAGTCGTAGGCCAAGCATTGAAGCGGATCTATGTCGGGGCCTGTGTGGCGTTTGTTGATCCTCGTCAAACTCTTCCTATTCACTGGCTGGTTTCACTGTTTCATTGCTGACCAGTCACAGTCCTTAGTCGGTATTCCCGCCACTTTTACTCCCTAGGATAACTCGGGCTCGACCTGTCGCATGTTCCAGGTCCATATTCTGCCAATGTGTGCTGAGGTTATCTGTGAATCGGAGCCCCTGATTCGTTGAAATGGATCTGCAGGATCGTCTGCCTTCATACTCCATATGCACATGAAAAATCCCTTGCACCGATCTGTGGTCCCAGCGCTAAACCCCCTCTTTCGAAGAAATTAGGAAAAGTCCCGGAAATCAAGGTCGAAATGACCGGATTCCACATGATACGGGCCGTGTTAGAGGTGGAGAGCCTTGCTGGAATTCTACATATTGGTCCGACCCCCCTGTCTCATACTCCATCCACTGGACTGGACACAAGGAGAAACAGTCCTTTCTTCTATTTCGATCTTTCATTGTCGCCAGTCCTTTTGAATTTTTTTTTACCACAATCAACATTGTCTCATTTTCTTTGATCTTTGTTTTTGAGACAATCTCCATTGTATTGCCGTGGACAAATTTCCATCTTTGGCACTTTTTTTTTGGCAGTGACTGGATCACTAGCATTCCTTTCGTTGCCCGTCGACAACAGCCTTTAACAAACATCGCTCGCTGTTCTGTGAACATTTTTGCTTCTCGCTGCGCCCCATTGGACTGATAAATATCGACAAACGGCTTTTATTCCATGCTTTCTCTCTGATTTCTATACGTTAGATCTAGGCATGTCCTTTATTTGACACCAGCCACCCAACAGAAAACCCTTAACGGCTAAAGCCCTTCAATCCTTGCTTCTATCGTTTGGTCAAGCAACCTGGGGTTGTTTCGTTTGTTGTTCTACTCTTCGACAATATCTTCCGAGCCTTCTGTGGCGTCGGTCCAGATACCAACGATCCCCTTTTCAATACAGTCTTTTCCAGCGAGCTGGCCTCGCTAGACAACACATCAAACCCAACCTTAAGTACTCGACGTGCAGCGACTTTGGTGGGTCGTCATGCAATCTTTTCTTCTGGCAATGTCCCTCGCTGGACTGGCCAAGGCAACAGATATTGAACACATCGAAAAACGAGGTGGTGGTTACTCTGTCTACTATGAAGCCGTCAACGATGATTTGGCACGCTATACAATTCTCGCTCTCGGCTGTGCTGCTGCCGCATATTACATCTGGCAGCTCGTCTTCCGCTTCTCACGCCATCTTCGACGCCTAGCAAGCTTCAGCGATGACCGACAACGATACTTCGTCTCTACACACAATACCTTTGCCTGGATCAAGGAACATATCATCTATGCCGCATTGTTCCGCAGCCGACACAACCAAGAAATGCAGATTTCATCAGCTGTTAACATGGGTACATTGCCTAGCCGCTTCCATGCTTTCCTTATCACCGGGGTTATCGCCATGAACGTCACACTCTGCTGTGTGACATCTCCTTATGGATCCGAGCCAGACTCAATCGCTGGTGTTATTCGTAACCGCACCGGAACTATGGCAACCGTCAACCTGATCCCATTAGTCTTGATGGCAGGCCGTAGCAATCCTCTAATCGCTATGCTCCATGTGCCTTTCGATACATGGAATTTGCTCCACCGATGGCTCGGCCGCATCGTGGTGCTGGAAAGTCTTGCACATATCTTTGCCTGGGCTATCCCCAAAGCCCAAGAAAAAGGCTGGAAGGTTGTCGGAATGGCTCTGAGTGGAAGCAGCTTCCTGCTGACCGGCTTGATTGCTGGTTGTGCATTCACTGCGCTCTTGCTGCACTCGCCCTCGCCTATTCGCCATGCATTCTATGAGACATTCCTCCACCTACACATTGCCATTGCAGCTGTTTCCATGGGTTTCCTCTGGGTCCATCTCAACGGTCTGGTAGCACAAGCTTATCTGCTTGCCTCTATAATCCTCTGGGCCCTCGAACGAGCCACCCGCTTCCTCATCATCGTGTACCGCAACTGCGGCCGTGAGTCCACAACCGCAACCATTGAGGCCATGCCCGGTGACGCAATGCGCATTACCCTGCGCATGGCCCGTCCCTGGACCTTCCGTCCGGGCCAGCACATCTACCTCTACATTCCCGCCGTGGGCTTGTGGACCTCGCACCCGTTCTCCGTTGGCTGGAGCGAAACCGAAGACACCAACTCCGGCGAGAAGTCCCTCCCACTCACAAACAAAGACCCCCTCAGCGCGCCTACAAAAGAAACAATCTCTCTCCTCGTCCGTCGCCGCACCGGAATGACCGACAAGCTCTACCAGCGCGCTGCGAACTCTATGGGCTCACATATTACCCTCCGCGCCTTCGCTGAGGGCCCATACGGAAACATCCACACCATGGACTCATACGGCACTGTGATGCTTTTCGCCGGTGGAGTCGGTATCACCCATCACGTCCCCTTCGTCCGCCATCTGGTCGCCGGGTTCGCAGACGGCACCGTAGCGGCCCGCCGCGTCACACTCGTCTGGATCATCCAGTCCCCCGAACACCTGGAGTGGATCCGGCCCTGGATGACGAGTATCTTGGCGATGGATCGCCGCCGTGAAGTCTTGCGCATCATGCTCTTTGTCACGCGGCCGCGCAACACCAAGGAAATCCAAAGTCCCTCTGCAACCGTGCAGATGTTCCCTGGTCGTCCTAATATCGATACATTGGTCAGTATGGAGATTGAAAACCAAATCGGCGCTATGGGAGTTCTTGTCTGCGGCAATGGCGGTTTGAGCGATGACGTTCGCCGTGTTTGTCGGAAGAAACAGGCTCATTCTAGTGTTGATTATGTGGAAGAGAGTTTCTCTTGGTAACCTGATATATGTGGTAGATATACGTTGCTGTCTTTTTTTGGCGTATGAGCGTGTTTGTTACGATGGTAGCTATCGCTGTTTCATGTAGGGTTATACTGTTGTATATTCCTTTACTTCACTGTTCGGCTTTGCAGCTGGCTTTTTTTGTATACATCGAATTACCCTTTCTCTTCTGGCAGCGGTTTTCCTGTCATCATGAGTATCTATACACTTGTACATATTTGCAAAATGCAAGATTTGATCAAGATTTGTCTTTAAATTGTACATCAAGGATCACCAATAATGTAGCATTCCACGGAATTCAGATACTAATGTTGCCTTTCTTCAGGGCAAATCCTTGGGCATGTGGCAAACTGCTTGATGGACATCCCAAGTCCTGTTTACAGTCCGCCACCTCCACTTCACTCGCTGTAACAATAACACAGCTATATCTGACTTAACAGAAACAGCTGCTTATGCACAATAAAATGAACCAGCAGACATTGTATCCCCAGTACCTTTGTACTTCGCTCGTTGTGGGTACGGGCATAACATTCTATCATATGCCTTCCCATCTTCTGCAGAGTATTTCACCGGAAGACTTGTAGGAGCAGTGCCAGACTCGACCCAAGCGACAAGGCTGTCAAACATAGTGGAGGGATAACCTCCTTTGGTGCCAAAGCAGTGTCCCATCATTGGAGCTTCAAACAACTTATAGTACTCATGAACACTCGGGTCACCGGCAGTCACCGCTTCGTAGTATACCCTCGTACCGTTAGGAGGAATGACCTCGTCCATCTGCATCAAAAATCAGCATGTGTACTTCACAAACAGACGGTACAAAACACACCAAGCCATGATATGTGAGCATCTTGCCACCAGCGTCACGAAATTTGGACAGATCTGGGTTATTTGTTCCGAATACCGAATTCCATTTCTGGACAGACTTTCGAAAAATGTGGTCATATTTTTGATGTGTGATATTCCTCAGGGTGAAGTTCAAGTCGTGCTCGACAAATACCTGAGCCCATCGATTATACAGCTGACTGGAGACCGCAGTGCATGTCCCATTCGCACAGTTCGTATTTACCGGTCTATTTTCTCCTGTCAATGCAGTCCCAGGATTGAATCCATACCACATGAAGTTGCCTCGTGAGTCCCGCGCTCCCGTCCAGGTAGCATTGACAATTTTCGCGGTAGCAGACGAAATTCTCAACTGCGATCCAGTGTCGCTACAGTTGATCTGGGCTCCCACCAGAGTGAACGGATCAAAGACACATACATCCGGGTCTGAGATTACACCATCCACGACACCGTCAGCGCTGTCGCAAGCGGAGAGTGCAGCATCTGTCACAGCGTTGATCTCGCAAGGGTATGGGTATTCTTCGAGCTGGTCCATGACAAACTGAGGCCAGTATCCTCCAATGGAAAGTTGCGGCCAATTAATTGCTGGAGCAGAAGCAACAATGCCATCAAATGCTTCGGGATATTGCTGGGCGAGCGCCAGACCCTGTCGGCCGCCTTGCGAGCATCCGGTCCAATAGGAGTATCTGGGCTTCGATCCATATGCACTTTCGGCCAAGCTCTTTCCAATGACTGCTGCATCGCCGAGAGAAGCAACTCCGAAATTGTATATGGTGTCGTAGTCTGGTGTTCCGTTTTCCAGAAGGCCCCAGTCTGCCGGATCGTCGGTGGTATGGCCACCATCTGTTGAAATGGCGACATAGCCTTCGGCGACTGCTGCGAGCATCCCAAATTCTGTTATGGATGTGAGTCCAGCTGTGTAGCCGTTTCCTCCGATTCCTTGGAGTCGTTCGTTCCATGAGTCACTAGGTAGAAGGACGCCAACGTTGATGGTATCCTTCTTGGCGATGTGCTTGTAAGTCACTGTGACATTGCAGAAGTTGAGATTTTTAGCTGTCACTCCGCCGTGATTGTAGTAGTACCACTCGGGGATGTATTTGGATACATTTGAGACTTGGGAAGCTTGCAGTGAGAGCACTTCTGCACCTGGTATATGAGGATACGAAAAGGCCTGAGGCGAGCACAACGATGGAGGGAGGCTGGTCATGGCGTTGACTCCAGCACTTTGGAGAATAGACTCGGAGAAATAATTTGCTGCATATTTTGATTCGGAGAGGCAATACTTTAGATATGTCCTTGTTCTCGTTTGCTTCGTGAGTGGTACACGGTATACGCGTATTCGACGGATGACTGCTGCCTCCCCAGGAGTCCAAACAGTTGCATTTCTCCGTGATGATTCTGCATATCCAGAGATATTTATGGCACGGGATAGTGGATGTGAACTATACACACTCCACTCTGAGAGGCCAAAAGCTATACGCGTATTCGAACCCGAGGCCAAAGTGGGGCATGAGTCCGAGACCCTAAATTGGCCCTAAATTAAGGAGTGTTCTCAATTACGAGATATTGAATATCTATGAGAGAAAACATGCTTGATTGTGACAAGGTATGAAAGGAATAGTTGAATTGTCTGCGGGTAGATAGAAGTAATTGTTCTATATAACCAATAAGAAGTTGAACAGTCCATAAACAAAAGAACACCGAAAACTCCACGTAAAAAAACAGCCTATAAAGCCTCACTCCGAGCACAAGGAATTCAAACTTCAGAATAAGTGTGTGCAAGTGGTATGCTCCTCTCAGTGTCCACATCAAGTCTCATCTGGTCAGGATACCAAATGAAGAAGATGACCATAACAGCAGCCATTGGCACACTGTCAAAAGCATACAATGTCCACTCATGCATAAGAGGATAACCATCATTGTCCATAACATATTCAATGATCCGGAAAATAGAACGGACCAAAATGAGGGCACTGACAGCATATAGCATGTGTAACGATCGTTGCCATGGAATACCAGGCTTGAGGCACTCGGCTGTGGGTGTACGACGAAGACGCTTTGCGAAAATGATGGCGGTTACCCAGAACAGGGAAAATGAAATGAGTTGAATCGCCAAACCAGCAATAACGCAAACCTTTCCCCACTGGGGGTATCCCAGAACCGAGAGAGATGAGGAATTTCCCTGGACAATGAAGGACAACACGTCGCCCCAGACAAAGGTTTTTGTGAGGCGGGACACCCGAATGACAGAAAGGTGTTCTCCTTGAACTCGACGGATGACTCGACCGAGAGTCATGTAGATTGTTGCGGCGAAGAGCGTAGGACCCAGAAGAATGAACATGTTGGCGATAATGTACGGACCCATTGTAGTTGTATTATTGTGTGCAATGCAGCGGCCAATGTAACCTATGATCTCGACTGTATTGCAACGTAGATTAGTGTCTAGGATTCAAGGAACACAAGGGTAAGCTTAAAAGGGGAAGAGAGTCGACATACACAAGCCACCCAGGGCAAATGCTATACAAAACCATGTCCTAGTTTTGAAAAGTTTCCAAGAAACAAGAGTTGTCAGGGCAATGAATATCAGCATGAAAATGACCGCCGCTGGTATCGAAGGGGCATAGTTCCAAAATTTGTATGAACGAGCGGCGAGTTGAGACATGTTTGGCAATATGGGCCCGTGAAGAAAGAAGGAGAGATATTGTGAGTTGAGGAGACCTAATCAAAGGACTCGGAGTCTTTATAAGTCGTCCTTGGGACATTCTATAGAATCTTTTTTTTTTTTTTTTTTTTTTACTTTTTAGGCTTATAGATCGGGGGGCGGATACGCGTATAGAAAGAACCCACCACGAAGTAGGGTTAGCCAGTCATGGTCTTGGAGGTGCAATCTTTGAGTTAGTCTTAAAAAGCGGATTAGGTACCCAGGTATTCATGTCAATTTGAACCATCGAAGCTTGAATATAGCATTTCTTCTTTTTCGTCCGCAGTGAGGCGTTTGTTTCTGCGCTATGCTACTCTTCGTAATTAGCCGATATACACGTGTAAGGGAAATATTAAATCAATTAAACCCTCTGATCGATGAGTTATTTATGAATATCAATTGTCTTTGAATCAGAGTAGATTTGGGGGAAACATTCAAGTTGAAATAGCGATCTATACGACGATACACAATATTTGATAGGTGTGGGTGGGTAAAATTCGACTGTCATGAGCTCAGAGAATGTACCTATGTGGATATAGACACCTGAGGTATGGTGCAAAGTCCTTGTAATGTAGTATATCTTCAGCTTAGGGTCACCAGCATTGGTCCCTATAGTGTCTGGTTCTAGGCTTTCATTTCTCTTCTTCTCTATTCAAGTCGCCGTTCGTTTCTCACACGCGGTATTACTTTTTATGTCTATATGTCCAATGCAAGGCTACAATCCACCAACAGCATTCCTACTAGGGTTTGAAAAACGTGAGCACACGCTTCACGGGTCTAAACAGATAATTCATGGAGCTCAACGGCTGATGGACCGGGCCAGGCACGAAACCCAGGGAGTTTGTTGTTGTACAAGTTGATGGTAATATTATTCGGAAATGGGGTCGGCCTTTCAAACATGTTTCCAGGCGAACCATTGATTGTATCATTCCCAACGTAAGTGATATCCATATCGTAATCGTAGTGGCGCATGAGAATATGGCATTCTTTGTCCCCCTGGAGATGCAGCTCGAGGCCTTGCTTGCGCCTAAGCTAAGATGATCTCACGAGCCTTATGGTTGACGGATTTCAACGTATTTTGGCCTGAATGGGATCAAATACGTCGAGATAGAAGTCCACGGTCAGGCAATCGCGGCCAGGGTGTTTGGGATCTGGCAAGACTCGGCGGCACCACGCGTTCGGTTTGTATGGGAACAAGGCCGGGGTGTCTTTCTGGGGCAATGCTCCAAGCTATGTCTTGATACGTAGCTCGGGGGTAGGAATCGGAAGAGAGAGAACGTTATCGGAGGTACTGCCATAATCATTCGAGTCGCACTGGCAGTGGTAACATGAGAGAGAGGTAATTAGATAACGGAGAGAAGAAAATATGGGTAGAATTGAAAAGCGAAGAACGAGTGCACCTTCGGATACTCGGACATAAATTGTAGAGAACTTTTCAGGAAGATGCCAGTAGGTAAATCGAGTCGGTATTATTGATGCCTAGGACTGCCAGGCCACGATTGCCCTTTCCTCATTTGGGTTGAGATTATATAGGACACTATCTGCGGGTGGAAGATGTGCTTTTTAGTTTTATTTTCAACATATGTCTATATATAGTAATGAACGTCATCAAATCTACACCTATACGAACAAAGGAAGAAAAAGGAGGATAAAAAGACGATGATGAATCTACCTGTTGCCATCAAGCTCTTTGCATGCTCTACGAGGACAAAGAGAGTTGACTCAGTGCATTTAATAGCTCTGAGGATACTGAGGTCGCCCACTGAGCATAAAGCAATGTGTGCCCTGCTACCTGAGTGTAGCATAACTGGTTATATAGGTACCCATTCTGGGTACTGCAGGTCAACTTATTGGTTACTACGAGGGGGCATATCTCAGGATCGCATCCACACACATAGTGCAAGCTAGTCTAAAGATTTATCTAGGTCCTTGAGCTCTGCAATAAGAATACTTATATCTAGGATTGTCGCTGCCAGTTATTTGCTGGAAGACGGATGATGTCGTTAGTGAAACCATTGTGGAAAAAAAAAAGTAAGCAAAAGGTGAGTTAAAAGTGAGAGACAAGTGAGAGATCCTAGGTTTTAAATAAATGAGATGAGGCTAGGAACTTTGATGGGGTATAGTTCGGTGATAGGGTTCATATAGTGATCAATATATAGTAGTAAACCGCCGTAAAATGTAAATTTCTATTAAATAGATTGTTTCGTTTTATGAACCCCCGAGCCGATTTGTTCCGCTGGCATAGGCTGTCGATTTGCAATACACCGTATAGAGAGGTGTAAAAATTGGTCTAGATCCAGGCCAAATCCAAGTATGGGGGCATCGAATGGGTGTTACGACCTAGGTGAGCGCTGTGTCTGAATCATAACTGATTGATAATCCGTGACTTCTGCTGGGACGTTAGATTTGAAACCATAAATGCCGATGTCGTGATAAGTCCAGCTATGCACAACAGGGGATACGCCTTCATTCTAGGTCTTAGTAGAATTCTAGTGCATCGCATGAAAAACAGGAAGTCTTCAAAGCCAAAATCTTGGAAAGTCTGAATAGGTTCGTCGCGGAGACAATTGTCAGCAAGAGTATAGACCGAAGACATAGGACCGAAGCCAGAGGACAAGGTTTATTCCCTGAATTACGGCAGTTTTGACCGCCAATGCGCCACAACGGTTTTTGCCAGCGGTAAAATTAGTCATATATTAAATACTGCACTATATACGGAATCCCCTAGGATCAATTCACCTTATTAACATGTTGAGTTTCACTATAAACGTATCTTATCCTGAACACTACGTTAAGGTGTAATTCTGGATTAGATATCGAATATAAGTCTTGTATGACTACAGGGTGTTTAGGGAGAATATATAGAGGAAATTGTACCTATGTAATTACCAGATAAGATTGCTACCTACTTAGCTTGCTAGATTTAAATTCCTAGTGAAATTGCTGAACAAAATTGCTAAACAAAATTACTAGGTTAAATTGCTGGGTGGAATTGTTGGGTAGAATTGCTAGGTTGAATTGCTAGGGTGGAGTTGTTGGGTAGATTTATTAGTCGAATTGCCAGGTGAAATTGCTAGGTGGAATTGCTGCCGTGCCTGGAATCCCCCGGGGCTCGGGGAGTTGGAACTTTCGGCCTTGGAAGTTCCACGAGCTTATAAATCCGCAAAGTGGGGTCCACGGGTGTCCCTGCCGAAGACTACTTAAACCATCTGATCTATCAATTCAATCCATCTTCACTCATTCTCTTTTACCTGCTTTGCCAAAATGACTCAACCAAATATTACCCTATATACGGCTCAGACCCCTAATGGCATTAAGATCTCTATAGCGCTAGAGGAGCTTGGGTACAGTAGTTTACCCCGCATCTCAAAGCTTGGTACTAACAGATTGTAGTCTGCCATACAAGGTCGAGAAGATTGACATCTCGAAAAACACTCAAAAGGAAGAGTATGTGCTTGCTCGCCCAACAAAGACATCCACACAAATAGACCTAACCACCGTATAGCTGGTTCCTAAAGATCAACCCTAATGGCCGCATCCCTGCCTTGACGGACACCTTCACCGACGGCAAGGATATCCGTCTATTTGAGTCTGGTAGCATCTTGGAATACCTGGCGGAACAGTACGACACAGATCACAAGATCTCATTCCCCAAAGGCACGCGGGATTACTACGAGATGAAGAGCTGGCTGTACTTCCAGAATGCAGGCGTAGGACCCATGCAAGGCCAGGCCAACCACTTCTCACGATACGCGCCCGAGCACATTGAGTACGGTGTGAAACGATACGTCAATGAATCGCGTCGGTTGTATGGTGTGTTGGACAAGCACCTCGCAGAGTCCAAGTCTGGTTATATTGTCGGTGATCACGTCTCTCTTGCTGATATCGCCCACTGGGGGTGGATTTCCGCTGCAGGATGGGCCGGTATTGATATCGATGACTTCCCAAATCTCAAGGCTTGGGAGGAGCGTATGCTACAGCGACCGGGTACTGAGAAAGGTCGTCACGTTCCTTCCCCTCATACCATTAAAGAGCTCATTAAGGACAAGGAAGCTACGGAGAAGATGGCTGCTGAATCTAGGGCTTGGATTCAACAGGGGATGCAGGCCGATGCCAAGCGTAAAGATTAAATGAACCGCGGCTGAGAAGACCTCAGGACTTTGATGACAATTGGAATGACAGAGCAGTTAATTTGAAATGAGATTCGAATCAAGAGACTCGTATACTTCACATTCGAAGTAACACAATTTGGTTCATATATACAACCAGGTATCCACCAACCATAAGATAGAGTCAAATCGTGATTGTCGAAACAATTTATTCTTGCAAGCCACACTTCATACCTGCCAGGACAGCTTGGGTAAGAATTGGTCCTGATTCATGCACGTCTCCGATATTACTAAGTACGGTATTCTTTCAGATGCCTACAATCAATTGAATACAGACAAAGGTTTAAGTGACAAAGGGGTAGGTGATTGATATTAATGCCAAAAAGAAGCAAAGCGGCGTGCATGCATTAGCCCAAGCGGCCCTCGTAGGGTATGCCCGTCTCCTTAGTAGACTTCCGCACCGGTCCATAAAGCCCAAAGCCCAACCCGGCCCAACCCGTCAATGGGTTGGCTGGGTTTTGGGCACGGCCTCCGGTCCCATCGATGGGCTTTGGGCCCGGGGCGAAAGCCCACTGGGCTTTGATAAGCGCCCAGTGGCTCCAAGCAATACAAATATGCCAAGAAATAGAGATACCAAGTAAAGCTGAACCCCCTTTTGGGGTGTTTTTTTTCCATGACCCTATATTTAGTACTGTTTCTCACTATTATACCTAAGGTAATACTCTATGGTTATATCTCTATATCACGTTTAAGAACGCGAAAAACTACGTTGATTTAGATAATCTAAAAATTACAGAGGTTCTCTAGAAAGTGATGGTACTTCGGTCTAAATCCTAATTGTAAATCTAAGATTAAATGTCAAAACCAGCACTTTCCACGATTATGAATTGAGATTCTACATTTGAACTTAATACGACCGGTAGAAGGTCGTAATACAGTGATTACAGAGGCCGATTTGTCAGTGCTGAGATGGGCTTTAATGGGGGCCCTAGAGTTGGACCGGGTTTCGAGGTTTAGGCCCATAGCCCACTACGGGTTGGGCTTTGGGCCTGGGATGGGGGTCATTCGTGGGCTTTGTGCACTCCTTAGCCGCCTTGCTTCGGATATAGATATATCCGAGTACATCCGTAGAGCCGTGAATAGCCACCGCCTACTAAATAAAGATTTTGTTATAGTCACGTGTTAATGCTCGCCTCTTGGACACCCGTAGATGCTTTCTTTCATCGCTTTCCACTCATATCACTAACCTTTACCTATTCCTTATCCAAAGCAGCAGTCATGGCCTGGCGCAACCAAGGAATAACTGGCTCCAACAACATCCCGCTTGGTCGGCGACGCATGGGCGGTGAGGAAGGAGAGGATGAAAGTCGCACTGCGACCCCTTCCATGCCCTCTTCGTCTATGGGCCCCGATGGTCCCAAGCGTGGGCGTAGTCCTGTCCGAGGTATGTTTCTGTCTTTTTTTCCAAAGTAAAAGGGTTGGAAATATGTTAAGACTGACTTCCATTTCAAAGCCGATCCAGCTCCCCTGAACGCCGAGGGCGATGGCAAGAGACGCAAGAAGCGTAACCGCTGGGGTGACCAGCAAGAAAATAAGGCTGCGGGTCTTATGGGTCTGCCGACTATGATCATGGCGAACTTTACTAGCGAGCAGCTTGAAGCTTACACACTTCACCTTCGTATTGAGGAAATCAGCCAGAAGCTTCGGATCAACGATGTGGTCCCTGCCGATGGTGACAGGTATGCGCTCCTGTCCTTTGGTATTTACACTTTCTTGTATACTAATTGTGATATTAGATCTCCCTCTCCACCACCCCAGTACGACAACTTCGGAAGACGTGTGAACACCCGCGAGTACCGTTACCGCAAGCGTCTCGAGGATGAACGTCATAAACTGGTCGAGAAGGCCATCAAGACCATTCCTAACTACAACCCGCCTTCTGACTACAGACGCCCAACCAAGACCCAGGAGAAGGTCTACGTCCCCGTGAATGACTATCCAGAGATTAACTTCAGTATGATAACTAACCCTCTAACTCCTAACCATTCTTCCATTGCGTCTATCACGAGTCCCTACTCGACTCGAGCTGACAAGACATACTACCTTGGATGTCCTCAGCTTGTTTCTTGCTAAACCGTGGTGCCTGATGCTGCACATATCTTAAAAAAATTACAGGATCACTAACACTCAGCTTTTGCTATCTTTACAGTTGGCTTACTCATAGGACCTCGTGGAAACACCTTGAAAAAGATGGAGACCGAGTCCGGTGCTAAGATTGCCATTCGAGGCAAAGGCTCCGTCAAAGAAGGAAAGGGTCGATCTGATGCAGCTCACGGTAGCAACCAGGAAGAAGACCTGCACTGTTTGATTATGGCGGACACCGAAGAAAAAGTTAACAAGGCTAAGAAGCTTGTCCATAATGTCATTGAAACAGTAAGTTCCTATATCTCATTTTGTGTGTCAAAGAACTGGTATTGACAATTTTTCAGGCCGCATCCATCCCCGAGGGCCAGAACGAACTCAAGCGCAATCAACTTCGTGAGCTGGCTGCTCTTAACGGTACTCTTCGTGACGACGAGAACCAGGCTTGCCAGAACTGTAAGTGAACACCTTTCAAATGACTTGGTTGCGCAATCGATTCTAACTGAATATATCAGGTGGTCAAATCGGACACCGCAAGTATGACTGCCCTGAGCAGCGTAACTTCACTGCGAACATCATCTGTCGTGTCTGTGGCAATGCTGGCCATATGGCTCGCGATTGTCCTGATCGCCAGAGAGGCAGTGACTGGCGCAATGCCGGTGCGGATAGACGTGGCGATCGTGCTGTCGGCACTGGTGATGCCGTGGATCGCGAGATGGAGGTAAGTAATTTCTGCTCAATGACTGCTTCATCCTACACTATACTCACATCTCACTTAGCAATTGATGAACGAGTTGTCTGGTGGTGCTCCTGGCGAATATGAACCCCGTCGCATTGAAGCCGGTCCAGGTGGCGGTAATGGCCATCCTGATGACCGTGATGCGAAGCCTTGGCAGCAGCGTGGCCCGCCACCCCAAAGTGATGTGGCTCCATGGCAGCAACGCCGTGAGCATCGCCCTCGTGACGACTATGGATCCCGCGACAACTATGGATCTCGCGATCATCAAGGATCTCGTGACGACTATGGATCTCGCAATCAGGGTGGTCCTGCCCCTTGGGCTGCCCAGAGCCAGCACCAAGCTCCACCCCAAAACCGCGACTACGGTTACGGATCTCAAAGTGGTTATGCTGCTCCTGGCACTGCTCCAAATGCTGCTCCTTGGCAACAGCCGGCTCCTCCCGGTGGACAGCAGCCTGTCTATGGTGGATACGGTGGATATGGCGGATATGCGGCTTACCCTCCTGGCATGGGAGCTCCTGGTGCTGCCCCTCCTGGTATGGGCGCGCCTCCTCCCCCTCCTGGTATGGCTCCGATGTACCCCGGAGGTGCTGGCAGTCCTCCTCCTCCTCCCCCTCCCCCCGGAGATGCCCCGCCCCCACCGCCTCCAAGCGACCTGCCTCCCCCCCCCCCACCTCCCCAGTGAGGGACTCGGCTCCTAGCGAAAAAGTGATCTCGTTGATATCGTTTGCCTATGCGTGAAGAAACTGGCTATGGGGACTTTAAAAGACAATCCAGCCAGGAATGTTTTCAAATACCCACGGCTTGCTAACAATTGTTCTAAAAACTCCATTAGTTTTTTCTATGCGGTTTGAATAATAAGTCTAATCATTTCTAGATCATCTTATCTGGAATTGTTGTATTTGCCTCGTACACTCATAGATGACCGTAGCGGCCTAACTTGGAGGTTTCGGGCCCCACTTAACAGGTCTTGGCTTCATCAGCTCGAACATTTCTCCGCAAACTCAAGCTCTGCTCTGTTCAATTATGTTCTGACTGTCGCTCTCCTGTATTTCTTTGCATATCAATGCACTTATCTCGCTTCTCATAAATTTATGCCAGTTGTGTAACACTGAAGCATCGATTTGCATATGCAACGGTTGCCGCAAGGGAGCTTCTCCCTCCCGGAACCCAACATGCACTCGTCCACGTCCACTCAACGGAAACCTTCTGGGCAGTCGCAGCGGCGATCATCAGTACGCTCAACGCACCCAGATAGAACTAGTCATGATACAGCACGTCAGTCTGATTATTCTGTGGGCCAACACAACGGCGCTCAAGAAAACTCGCAGTACCGTGCGTCAACGACAGCGCCGGTGCACTCAGTGCAGGAAAAATGGTGGCACGTCCACCTGTTCCGTGGAATGATCAACGATATCAAGCGCAGAGCACCATATTATTGGAGCGATTGGACTGATGCATGGGATTATCGTGTCGTGCCTGCTACGGTCTATATGTATTTTGCCAAGTATGTTCGCTCTGGTTGGATATCAATCAATATCTCAGTACCTTTTCTTCGGGGTCATGTTTCATTTGCTTACAATAAGTGTAGTATTCTGCCTGCTCTCGCCTTCTCGTTAGATATGTTCGAGAAGACAAGTCAAAGCTATGGCGTTAATGAGGTTCTACTTGCATCTGTACTTGGTGCAATTGTCTTTTCGCTCTTTGCGGCTCAGCCGTTGGTCATTGTTGGCGTTACTGGTAAGAAATATGGGATATGTCGATCTCGTAAAGGCTCAAACTGAGGATTGTAGGTCCTATCACCGTGTTCAACTACACTGTCTATGACATCATGGCTCCTCGAGGGACGCCGTATCTTGCCTTCATGTGTTGGATTGGAATGTGAGTATCCCCTATTTTCTTATTAAATGGCTGCACTGACATCAATTGTAGCTGGTCTTTGATTATGCATTGGATACTGGCTATCACTAATTCATGCAATGCCTTGACCTATGTCACCCGGTTCTCGTGCGACATCTTTGGATTCTACGTTGCTTGCGTTTATATTCAGAAGGGTATTCAGGTTCTCACCAGACAATGGGGCTCCGTGGGAGAGACCTCTGCTTACCTGAGTATCATGGTTGCACTACTTGTCTTGATGTGTGCATGGATTTGTGGAGAATTGGGCAATAGCAATCTTTTCAAACGACCCGTTCGAAAATTTCTCGAGGACTACGGCACACCTTTAACCATCATCTTCTTTACTGGCTTTGTCTACATTGGCCAGATGAAGGATGTTGATGTCGCTACACTCCCTACTAGCAAGGCTTTCTTTCCTACGACTGACCGGTCTTGGCTTGTGCATTTCTGGGATATCAACGTTGGAGATATCTTCCTTGCTATCCCATTTGCACTTCTTCTGACAATTCTCTTTTACTTTGATCACAATGGTGAGTACCCTATATCAAGCAAATTACAGTAAATTTTATGATTAACGCGTCCCTTCCAGTGTCATCTCTCATTGCCCAAGGAACCGAATTCCCTCTTCGAAAGCCAGCGGGTTTCCATTGGGACATTTGGCTCCTTGGTCTCACAACTTTCGTGGCCGGAATTCTGGGGATACCATTCCCCAATGGCCTGATTCCCCAGGCTCCCTTCCACACTGCTGCCCTCTGCGTCACTCGCCAGGTCGCAGACGAGGACGACACAAACAAGGGCAAAGCTATCCGGATAACAGATCACGTAGTAGAGCAGCGATTCAGCAACTTCGCACAGGGACTTCTGACCCTGGGAACAATGAGTGGACCCCTTCTCATTGTCCTCCACTTGATTCCACAGGGTGTCATGGCTGGTCTGTTTTTCGTTATGGGGGTTCAGGCTCTACAGGGAAATGGCATTACACAAAAACTGATATTCCTCGCGGAAGACAAGAAGTTTACTTCTGCGTCGAATCCTCTCAAGCTGATCAAGCGCCGTTCCGCCATCTGGGCCTTTGTCGCTCTTGAATTGTTTGGCTTCGGTGCTACTTTCGCTATCACCCAGACTATCGCTGCCATCGGGTTCCCGGTCATAATTATCCTTCTGGTCCCTGTGCGCTCCTTTCTACTTCCTAGATGGTTTACCCGCGAGGAGCTTGCAGCACTTGATGGACCGACAGCTAGTCCATTCACCATGGAAAGTGTCAGTGGCACCCGTGGGCTGGAGAACTACGATGAAGCGGTAGCCAGCGGCGCCCTTGATGAATATTCTAATGAAGGCGACCGAGTCCTAAGGAGCAGAGCTTCAACTTCTCCGGAATCTGCGGTCGAAGATAATGATCTAGAGCGAGGTGACGCGTATGAACTCGCCTCTGGTGTTTCGCGAAGAAAGAGTACAGCTAGCAGGGCAGGTTAAAAGGTGATAGGATAGCTTATATTACGATCAAAAGTGCCTTGCGTTTGATCTGGTTATTTTCTTGCTTCCACCAGTGTTATAAACCATTGACGAATAACGAAAGTTACTGCTCGATATTCATCGATGCCTGATTTATCTGGCAGTAACTACATAAATTGCTCGTCACTTTCATGACTTGATGACTGATACACAGATCTTACCTAGATCTTTCAATGCTGATTAGTACTTAAACTTAGTTATTTGACCAAAATGATGTAAATTATGTATGTATGTAGTCGATTCCACGGTCGTTCGAAAAAATTGTGATGCCTCATAAACAAGGCAATAAATTCCCACCGCTTGTCAGAGATAACTTTTTCTGCCACGAAATTATTTCGTCCTGATAAACAGTCGCAAACAAGATGGCACCCCCGATCATAGAGAATCCAGAGTTCGAGGACTCAGATGTATCCGATAATTCCGATGTGGAACAACCCGATGTCGATGACCGAGCCCCAAAGCGCCGCCGTCTTTCAGAGTCCTCCAACGACTCATATGTCGCACCTGCGCCGCTCCCCACCCTCTCTCGTATCAAGAAGAAGAGTGAGGTAAAGGAGGAGCCTGCATCGAAGGAAGAGGAACCGGTACTCATCAGCGATGCAATTGAGCTTGGTAAACAGAGCGGTTTGTCCACTTTTGCGGCTTTGGACGTCGCACCTTGGCTTGTCTCATCGCTGTCGACAATGGCGATCAAACGGCCGACTGCTATTCAGAAGGCTTGTATTCCTCAGATTTTGAAAGGAAAGGACTGTATCGGTGGCAGTCGCACTGGTTCCGGAAAGACCATGGCCTTTGCGGTTCCAATTATGCAGCAATGGGCGCGCAATCCATTCGGAATCTACGCTTTGGTTTTGACTCCAACCCGGTATGTTCACGATGGATATGAGAGATTGCAGCTTTAATTTTCGGTAACTAACTTGGTTGTCTCTGTCTAGTGAGCTTGCACTCCAGATCTACGAACAATTCAGAGCCGTTTCAGCGCCGCAAAATATGAAGCCTATCCTCGTCGTTGGAGGCACAGATATGCGGAAGCAAGCCATTGAACTTGCGAACCGTCCGCACGTGGTTATCGCAACACCCGGCCGGCTAGCCGATCACATCAAGACATCCGGCGAAGATACTGTGGCCGGTCTCCGCCGCGTCAAAATGGTTGTTCTCGATGAAGCCGATCGCCTGCTAGCCAGTGGGCCAGGAAGCATGCTACCAGACGTGGAAACATGTCTCGGAGCCCTTCCACCATCCGCCGAACGTCAAACACTGCTATTCACAGCGACCATGACTGCCGAAGTACGGGCACTGCAGTCCATGCCGGCAGCAGGCAACAAGCCCCCGATCTTCATGACCGAGATCGGTACCGAAAACCAAGGCAAGATCCCGCCAACCCTCAAGCAGACATACCTGAAGGTTCCCATGACGCACCGCGAGGCGTTCCTACACGCGCTGCTCTCCACCGAGGAAAACATCACTAAGCCAGTCATCGTCTTCTGCAACCACACCAAAACATGCGATCTGCTAGAACGCACCCTCCGCCGCCTCGGTCACCGCATCACCTCCCTCCACAGTATCCTCCCGCAATCCGAGCGCACGGCTAACCTGGCTCGTTTCCGAGCCACTGCTGCCCGGGTCTTGGTTGCTACGGACGTCGCTTCGCGTGGTCTCGATATCCCCTCCGTAGAGCTGGTTGTCAATTTCGATGTACCTCGGAACCCAGATGATTATGTTCACCGTGTTGGTCGTACTGCGCGTGCGGGACGGGCTGGTGAGGCTACCACACTTGTTGGACAACGTGATGTTGAGCTCGTTCTTGCTATTGAGGAGCGGGTTGGTAGACAGATGGAGGAGTTCGAGCAGGAAGGTGTCAATATTGAGAGCCGTGTTGTTCGAACTGGTTTGCTCAAGGAGGTTGGCTCTGCGAAGCGTGAGGCTGCGGGTGAGATTGATGAGGGTCGTGATATCCTTGGACGCAAGCGTAATAAGTTGAAGAAGGTCCGCTGAAGGACGTCTTATTAGATAGATCATAGATGCTGTCTACGTTGAATCAATTGATACATTTAGCGGTTTTATTCTCCGGAACTTTTGACTTGTGGTTTCAATGATGCAGGGGAAGCAATGCAGCACGTGGTATTGCCCTTGCATCCTTGGGTCCTCGCGTGGCAGTCCCATGCCCTAGCCTAGGAAGACGACGATGTGGTTTAAATTCATATACTGTTAGGAGAACTGGTCAATGTTCAAATGCATTTAAATGCACAAATGGTATCATTGATTACAACAGAAAGACCAACTATTCTAATAATGCTGTATGCTTCCAAAATAGGATCACTCGCTGTCATGTGAGGTTCAACTTGAAGTATATCAAATCTCGATATGCTCGTTGTTCAGCCCTGCACACCATGCAATACACTGCTTTGGAAAATAGCCATCCATTGCAATGCGACTTATTCACTCAGACATGCTCCACACAGTAAGCAATAGTCTGGAAAGAATATCAACACAGAAGAAAAAAAGACAATGCAGCCAGATCACCCAGTCCGGGCGTCCGAAATTTGATTGCCTGCCGTACTCATGAGCTTCAATAACCCATCGACCGCGTCACCTCGCTGTGACGGCGACATGTCATCCACATCTCCCATACTGAGCTCGGCTCTTGGGCCCATGCTTGTTTGTCTGTCGGCTTCACGGCGAATTACCGTGGCTGGAGGGCTACTCAGCTGCATTGGGGAGCCGAGGGCACGAGGTGGTGTTCGTTGCGCGTGTGACTTTGTGCGTTGCTGAACAACACTGGAAGACAGTGGGGAAGGTCGGCCTGGAAGATCGGGTGTGCTGTGAGAGGGGGTGGAATTGAAGCCAGTGCAGCCAATGCGAGGGGTCTTCGTTTGCGAGGATGGGTAGGATGTAAAGTGCTTGCGGGATGAGAGCGGTGGTGTGGAGAGGACGGAAAGTGAGAGTCGTGGGCATTTGCGACTGTGCGCTTCTAGCTCGGAGACCCGGCGCTCGAATTGGTGGTCTGTCACATTGCGCATGGCGCTTTGTAGTCTTGATCGGAGAAGGCTTGCTTTCTGTTCGACTGTTAGAAACTGTCCGCCGGGGAAGGTGTTTGATATTGATATCATGGTTCACATACTTGTTGGATGAATATTTTGCGTGCGTCCGAGTCTGAGATGACGCTACGCGTTTCTTGCTCGGGGGTATTGGGCACATTGAAAGATTGATTGGTGTCCATTCGATCTTGTACTTGGTCGCGTTCCGGTTGTGAGTTTTGGGGTGTGGGTGTTTGAGTGAGCTATTCGCGTTTCGTATGATTAGCTTTGGATGGGTCATCCTTGAGACTTCTTTGTCTGTCTCGCATGAGCTTACCTGGCATTGCATATCATCATTGACAGTGGATTGGACGGCGGGCTGCGGAGAGGATTCCCGCGTCTGCATGTGTCCGAGGTTTTCGTCCATTTCATCCACTTGATCCCGTGTCCGTTTTTGGCCTGCAAATATAGGAGAAGGGAGAAGCTTCTTAGGTGAAGTAGCAAATGACATCTGCTTGACCGGGGTTCCAATGGCCGGGAATGATGATTTGACGTGTGTGACGGGGGATAGACACGCGTTTGAGTCTTTCTCGCCGAGAATTCGTCGCCCGTCCTTGATTGGACTGAATTGCACTGAAGTCGAGCTCATGATGGAGCTTTAAAGTATTTCTAGTCTGAGCGTCGAGGGGAATAGAAGTCGAAATAGTAGCCGAAGGTGCTGCGGGGAAGTGTGATGGTAGACGCGAACCAATGCGTACAGAGAATTGCAATTGCAATTGGAAGTTCAGTAGAAGGTAGAAGGTAGAAGGTGAAGAGTAGGAAGTCGAAAGTCGAAGTAGAAAAAGAAAAACGGTCGCGTCGATCGCGTTTAGTGATATCTTACTAGCCTTGTATAGAGCACGGACTGGGCTCCACACAGGCGTGTTGAGCACGCGTTTGGATTTGAATGCAATTGTTTTGTTACTGTACTAGGAGTACTATTATAACTATTACTAGTTCGATTTGAAATAATTAATAGTCTACTATTATATGCTTGTCATTCTCTAGACGCGTATAAGTTTTGAACTTTTGATCTACCCTGACATTTTGATATTGAAGACTCGATATCTTGGAGGATCTCTTTTATACACTCTAATAGTCCAATTTGCTTTTCTCAGACCCCTTTATCAATATCCCCAATACTTTCTCTCTTTCACACACACACAGCAACCCCGGCCGGGGCGCGTCTAGTCCTTTTCGTGTCCTGGATCCACAAGGGTTGGAGACCCCACGAACGCGGTCGATTAAATTCCATAACAAGAATGTCAGCTACACTTCTTTTGCTTGATAGTATATGGGAGCTTAAGAATTTAGAACGATGAGCATGTATGTAGTGTTAGTAGGACGAAATAAGAATACACCCGCGGCTAATCTGATAGATAGCGTGAGGAACAATGTCCTTGTGAGTAATAACATTGTACAATTCATGCCGTGCATGACTAGCTTCGAATTTCCCTGCCGTGTTCGCTTTAAATTTCTGTTTGAAGTACCTAATTGACTAGGTACTATTGCTCTGGTGGTCTGTCGCATTTTAACAAGACACTATCTGCCCTGTAAATACTATCCTATGTCAATGCCTATTGCTTGATTGATCAACATAGTATTAGTCTGCTGGTAAGTTGACCCGGCTTGATAGAAACTTTCCTACGGAATACAGCCTGTCATGATATATATAAAGCTGACCAATGATTCAAGATTGTATCGAACGGACAGTCCATATAATATAATCGAGTTTGGAATTGAGGCATACCATATCAACATATGCTTGAAATATGGCAATAACTAAATATTATTTTCCCCATGCAGTTATTTTCCATACGCTTGGTGGGTGCGTCGACAATACAATGGGGGATACTGACCTGATTTCTCAGGCCGTCATTCTAATATAGATCACCGAAAACAGCGATTTATACTCCGTGTACAGCCTTCCATTGCTGCTTTCGACTCTCTGTTTTTTTCTTTCAACTTATTAAAAAAAAAAAAACATGCCGGATGTAGTTCAGAACAATGTATGATAACCGGGATAGGAAGAATATGCACGTTCTACGATTATATATTGTTCCGTATGACATCATCGGAAGATGAAATAGAGAGCCCAAAAGAGTCTCATTGCATTGTATCTCCCCGTGGAGGAAAGGACAAACACGCCTAGATGAGATGACTAGATGACCACTGCAGTATAAATCTCATCTCATCAAATTCCAAGGTCAAGGCCTTGCAACGTTGATCCCTTCCCCGCATTTCTATTTATGTACCTGAGTCCTGACATTGGCCCTGATATTTTTCAACTTCTTCATTGCTACAACTTTCACTCATTCGCGACACTCTTTGGATATTATATTGCTACCAATTTTATCGTGGATCAACTGCCGTGTCATCTTCATCTCGCGTGACCATGCAGCTGTCGCTCGTGGTCCTGGCCGTTGTCTTCCAGACAGCGGTTAGCACCGCATCTTCGCTCACTCCGCCTGTGATCCCATTGATAGTACGGAATCCATATCTGAGTACCTGGCTTGCAAATGCTCGAGACACACCTTGGTCAAAATGGCCCATGTTCTACACTGGAGAGGAGGTGGGACTTTCTTTGATGGCTCACCTTCCGAGCCAGAATACTGTTTACCCTCTTCTTGGCAAACCCCATGAGTCTTTGGATGAGAAGGCCAGGTATGGATTTACAAGACACGATGTGGGAATTTAGACACTAACAAATTACAGCTACAAGATCAAGTTCCCTAACTACAACGGCCTGAACTATGATGCCTCGACGACCAACTTGACCTACTATATCGACACTGGTTCTGCAAACCCTATCGACGTTACAATTTCATTTCTTTCACCCATCACCCCAACTTCAACCCTACGTCAGTCAATCCCGGCCTCCTATATCACAATCGATGTCAAAGGCGATGTCGATGTCAGCATCTATATGGATGTGGATGGCCGCTGGGTCAGTGGAGATACTGGCAGCAAGATCAAGTGGGGATGGGATAACTTGAAGACCGAGAACGAGGAGCTTGCCCTCAATCGATGGCAAGTGCAGAGGGAGAACGAGCTTGATCTCACAGAGACTCGCGACCGTGCCGAATGGGGCACTCTTCATTTCACTGGACCATCTGTGAGTCCGATCTCGTCGAAATGACATGACATCTATCTAACCACAACCCAGGACGTTGAATACCAGTCTGGAGATGCATCTCAGGTACGCCAAGTCTTCGCTAGCTCTGGAGCTCTGCAAAACACCAACGATGATAAATTCCGCGCTATTCGGGATCGCGCGCCCGTTTTTGCCTTCTCCAAGACTTTCCACCTCGGGCATTCATCCAAGAGTTACGTCGATAGCGTAACATTCACTCTCGCTTTCATCCAGATTCCTGTTGTTCAGTATGCCTCATCTCGTGGGCTCACCATGATGCGACCCTTGTGGGAATCTTGGTATCCCACAACCGAAGAGCTCTTGAATTTCCACTACAGGGATTTTGCTGCAGCTAGTTCCCTGGCATCCAACTACTCGCAGCAGTTGGCAGATGATGCGTACTTGTCTGGAGCTGATGACTACGTTGAGATCGTTGCCCTAACTGCGCGGCAGGTGATGGGTGCAACTACCTTTTCAGGAACCCCGGATGACCCGATCCTGTTCCTAAAGGAGATCTCTTCAAATGGCAACTTCCAAACTATCGATGTCATCTTTCCCGCGTTCCCATTCTTCATGTACACAAACCCCCGGTGGTTGGCGTACCTTTTGGAGCCGTTGATCGAGCACATGCTGAGCGGGCAATACCCCAATAAGTATGCGATGCACGATTTGGGGACACACTTCCCCAATGCCACCGGACATCCTGACGGCAAGGACGAGTATATGCCTGTCGAAGAGTGTGGTAACATCCTCATCATGGGCTTGGCTATCGTGAACTCGCTCCGCTATGAGGACTCTGCTGCAGCCTCGTCCATCTGGTCAACACAGGGGCTGCCCTCGCCAAGCTCCGACAACGAGAGATCTGGACCGTTCCCTCTCGGTAATTTGCAGGTACTGTCCGGAATTGCTCATCAAGATGGCAAATGGGGTGGCGGTAACAAGGGCCAGCACGAAGCTGAGAAATGGGTGAAGCGCAGCTACAGTCTTTGGAAACAGTGGACCGGATATCTGGTGGAATTCTCTCTTGAACCTGCTAACCAACGTAAGAAAACTTTCTCGCTCTTTCCTGGTGGTGTATTTATCCAAGCTAACCTTGAAAACAGTCTCTACCGATGACTTTGCTGGCTGGCTGGCTCTCCAGACCAATCTGGCTCTCAAAGGAATTGTGGGCATCAACGCCATGAGCAAGATCGCCGAGGTAGCCGGTCACGATGCCGACGCGACTTATTTCAAGGTATGAACTACTTTTAATCTGTGCGTCCTGACAGATTGACTAACTACCCATACAGAAAGTCGCTAGCGACTACATCGCCAAATGGGAAGAGTTTGGCATGTCCCGAGATGGCTCTCATGCAAAGCTTGCCTACGACTGGTATGGCTCTTGGACAACGCTCTACAACCTCTACGCCGATGCCCAGCTCTGCTTCCATCTAGAGGATACCGATACTGACTCACCCGGCTTTGTTCCACGTCACATCTACCAGAAGCAATCGGTCTGGTATCACTATGTGCGTCAGAAGTACGGCCTTCCCCTCGATAGCCGCCACCTCTACACCAAGACCGACTGGGAGTTCTTCTCAATGGCTGTTGCCTCCAAGGGTGTGCGTACAGAGGTCCTTGAGTCTGTCGCCCGCTGGGTCAACGAGACCACCACCGATCGTCCCTTCACGGATTTGCACAATACGGAGGGTGATGGGGGCTTCCCTAATCCGACGTTCTTCGCTCGGCCTGTCATTGGTGGCCATTTTGCTTTCCTAGCATTGGAGCGTGCCTGTGGGGGCAAGGCCATGGATGGCTTGTCTTTCCTCGACGATGTCGATGAGGAGACATTGGCGGTTTGGACTCAGAGTGCCGAGTCTGCCGCTAAAGAGTTCACCATGTTGGGCCAGAACCGCCATGGCGAGGAGCTGTAGAGGCTTGTGTCTCGTCATAGAGGGGTCGTAGATGGAGAGAGGCTGTTTGACACAGTGGATCTGTCGTCGTCTCTCGTTTCCATTTCATCCATACCCTAGGCCAGAATTGTGCCACTTTTGCTATGTTATCATTAGTACATACCTAGCGTTAAGTCCATATTCATCCGTAACACCTTGGGTAAATCGGAACACAATTTTGGTCTATGTCCGTGCAAGTCCATCATATACATTGAACAGCGTATACATGGTTCTCAAAGTACACTCAAAGTACAACCTCACTGGTAGATCTATTCAGATACTAATTCTCTAGTGGATATAAGAAGCAGACATGTCCCGTAATTCAATTGAAGATTTCTTTGCGTTCCTATTTTTTTGTTGACGTCTTCTGGATCGATTCAAATTACATGGGCCCATTGAATTCAATCATCCAATTCGCGTTTGCTCACCGAAGGCAAATGTAAACACACACACAACACATATAAGACCAACCCGGAATATGTCTTTTCCCAAGATAAAAGAAAAAACTTAAAACTGGGCAGTTTTTGCATCCAGCAGAAGCACGGAGAATCCTTCACATCCCAGCTCCCCAAGCCCAATCTCCATGGGAAAGAGAAAATAAAAACCATCACAGATCAAGCGACACAATAAATACCACCTCCGGGTGAACTTGCACACCTAGCAGATGAAGAAAAGGGATGGAAGAGTCGGGAATATAAAAGATTTCCATGTCTGGGAGCACGAGTTCCCGACAAGGTCAGGCAATTTAGTTGCCGCCGAGGCTGGGGAAGTTCTTCTCGTCGACGGTAGGGCCGGCAGGGCCACGGGCGTTGCCACGGGGGGGCAGCACCGCCACGGGCGGCACCACCACGGGGAGCGCGGTCACCGCGGGGGGCACGGTCACCACCACGGGGGCCACCACGGGCAGGACGGTCACCACGGGGGGCGCGGTCGCCACGGCCGCGGGGAGCGGGGCCGCTGCGGGGAGGCTCGACGTAGCGGAGGTCGACATCAAGGAAGTTCTTCTCCTTGCGCTGCTTCTCGCGCTTGGACTTCTCGTGGGAAGGCTGGATGTAGGCGTCTTCCTCCTGCTTGGAGAGCTCCTTGGCGGCAGCCCACTTCTTGTCGAGCTTGGTGCCCTCGTTGGCGGTACGCTCGGGCTTGGCGGCGAAAGTCTCGCGCTGGGCCTTCTCGGCAAGGTAGTCGGCGAAAGACTTGGAGTTATCGGGCTCCTCCTGCTCCTCGGCCTCGACGGGGGTCTGGGGCTCGTTCTCCTCCTTCTTAGCGATCTTCTCGCCCTGGCGCTCGTCGTCTAGGGTCTTCTCGCCACTGTCGGCACCCCAGCCCTGCTGGACCTGCTTGCGGGTGTCGCTGTTTTATCGAAATTCAGGTTAGTTTCGTCTTTTTTCTTTTCGAAATTGTATGATCCCCACAATGAAATTCTCATGGTTTCTCATGATTCTTTCTTGCTTGCGGGTTTCATTCGTTCATTTCGAGGGAATCGCTTACGTCTGACCAGTGCGGGACTGGCGGTCACCGCGGCCGCCACGGCCACCACGGCGGGCGGGGGAGCAGCCTCATCAGTGGGCTTCTCACGGTTGTGGTTACGGCCAGCGTTGCGGTCGCGGAAAGCTACCCATTAAATTAGTCCGGTTGTTTCGTTAGAATAGTTTCTTGTATTCACATACCGGCCTCGTTGCCAGCGGTGACACGGCCGCCGCTGCGGCGAGCGTTGGCCTCGGTGTGACGAGCAGGCTGCTCCTTGGGAGCATCACGCTTTCCGTGGCGGTCGGCAGGGCGGTCGACGGCCTTCGTGGGGGAGGAGCGGGTCTGCTGGGGTCGAGCTCTGGGTCGTTACCTGATGATAGGTAACGTTAGCGATCAATTTGACCGGAAGAAACGGATGCACGGATTCGAATGGAGCTGTATTCTTCTGGATAGAAAGAGCTCATTGTCGTCGAAAAGATAGTCAAGAATTGAATTCAAGGGAGGGGAAGAGAAATTTACCCAGAAGCTCGTAGAGGTTCTATATGAAATCAATTCGAATTAGTTATTGAACATTTCAAAAAAAAAAAAAACCTCGCCTCCAAATCGCTTCCAGATCGCGATTTCTTTCAGCATTGCGCCGCTAGCAGCGCGCAGGAGAGCTCCAATTCAGCGTACCTTCGACCGGACGGACTCCGCCATGACGCCTGTTGTGTTTCGGAGACCTTCCGGGGGGAGGCGCTCAACTTTAGACAATCGGTCTAGAGGAGTTAACGGGGCACAAGGCAGAACCCAAGGGAATCCGGCCTGTCAATTTGATGATGATGAATGATCAGGGTGAAGAGAGGTCCACGGTTTGTGGTTGCTGGGTGTAGGGTGACTAATCAGGAAAGGCGGCTTCTGCTCCTAAGCGAATATGCCCGCGATCGTTGATTGGCTGCCCGCAGTCTAGGGCTTAGGGTACCTTACGTAATCATTACGTCAAGGACTGCTCTGGGGATCTTTTTCTCATACTTGCTGGGATTATCAGCTCTTGTACATTTGATATCCACCGTTTTTGTGTATGATCTTATGCATATTTCCCAGACCCATTCATTAGTTTACACAGAATTGAAATATCCCGGTGGAGTATGCCGATCTCGACTGTGGACTATACCGCTGTACTTTATTGCCTTGCAGTAGCTATGTAATCATGGAGCTATCCGTGGCAAACATGACGGGTAAGTCTGGATGCACATTGATAGGTGAGTGGATATGTTTGTATCTGGCTAGCTATTGCAATGATCATTCTCTATCCCTTGGGTATACATTCCGGTCTCGATACATGCCCAAAGCTCCAAAGCTTCCCTCATACCAGAATTATACCCAAAATCATATACGACCCCTCACTTTGGGGCATAAACACCGGCCTTGATATCATCCAACAGCTTCGGGCCAACCGGCTCCCAACCAAGGAGTTCCTGGGTCTTCTTGCTTGAAACCGGGTTATCGAGGCCCATAACCATAGAGATGAAGCCGTCAAGAGTCCCGGCGGTAGGTGTGAAGCCGTCAAGCTTCCCCATTTCTTCGAGGGACTTAGAAACGGCTGGAAGACCTAGATTTTGACCAATAGCTTCAGCAATATCTTTCAGGCGAACACCCTCCTCGCCCACAGCACGGTACTTGCTTCCAGCAACACCCTTCTCTAGGGCAAGTCGGTAGAGCCGAGCAGCGTCATGACGATGAACAGCAGGCCAGCGATTCAATCCCTCATCGAGGTAAATTGCATTACCCTGCGAATGGGCCAGAGCAACGAGTCTATCGATGAAGGCGTGATCCTCCTCGCCGTGTACAGTCGGCGGCAGACGGATGACACAAGCACGCACGTCCTGCTCAGCAAGACGGGAAACAACCTTCTCATTACGAGAGCGGATGCTCATCGATTGTTCGTAATCGATGATTTCGTCTTCGGTGCTGGGTTCACTACCCTTGGACAGCCCAAAGGTGCCAGAAGTGGTGATGAGAGGCTTGTTGGTCCCGATCAGAACTGAGCCTAGAGTTTCGATGGTTGCTTTTTCGTCGAGGCAGTTCTGAATATACTTGCTGAAGTCGTGGTCGAATGCAAGGTTGATCACGCCATCGGCCTCGCTTGCTCCTTGCTTGATGATCTCGGCGTCGCGGAAGGAACCGCGGAGTACCTTGACGCCTTTCGCTATTAGGGATGCCGCGGCTTCGTCGGAGCGAGCGAGGCCTGTAACCGTGTGGCCGGCGGTTAGGAGCTCGTCGACGACTGCTCTGCCGACGAAGCCGGTGGCTCCAGTAACGAAGACGTGCATGGTGAGAATGGATGTAAGGAGATCGAAGAAGCGTGAAGTATAGAAGGCGAAGGCTGGGAGATTATGGTATTATATTGCTTGAAGTATATGATTAACTATGTATGATGAAAGTTATACAACATAGAAAGCGAGTTCGCGGCCTTTTATAGATCGAGCTATCGAGGAACTAGATACTAGTACAACCCCGAGATAAACAATTACTGAACTCCACATCACCCATTTCTATCTCCATATTAATGTTACATTCTAGGCTCTTGGCTCACCTCCAGATAAGTAGTAGGATGATTCATCATGTCCGAAGTGAAAAAGTACGATCAATTGAGGCTGCAAGCTGATATTATCATCACTGCGGGGTTGCAGGATTACGATGTCACCTATAGTGACCGCACATATTGCCCATGGACATTTAGACATGGTTTATCCCTTTCCTTCAAATCGTACCTTTGACAGCCTTAGATTTAATACAAGCATGAAGGTGGAGCTAAACCAACCGCAGATGAACTTCCCAAGCGCAACGGGCATGCTAATTATAAACTTATACATATAAGAGGCTCAAATATTGAAGATTATATTCGAGTTTTAGCCTGAAATTGGGTGAGCCCTCTTGTATTGTTATAATTCAAAGGTTCAACCTACTGCATACCTAGTATGAGATATTTAACTCCAAAGGCGCCCCTGAACCTTGCCCTTAAATTTTACCAACGCGTTAGGATGAGATAAAAATACCAGTGCCATACTTAAACTGAAATTCGAATACAATGTTGTCCAGCAATAGGATTCACGCTTTTATCCTGTACATGGGTTACCCAGTAAAAGGTACAACTACATATGGATGATACATGCCTTATGTACGTTTGGGTTGAGACCCTCCGTACGAGGAGAGTCTGTATTCTTGCTTTGAAAAAGTTGTAAGGGCCGCTTACGGGCCACAGGAGCGATATTAGTGATATTCATATCATCAAAGGAAGCACCAAGGCCACAGGAATCACAGCCTCCGATATGTAGCAGCGAACACAACACTACTGGTCCGAATACTGATCTTAGCTCGAATCTCGATCAACAGTATATGGGCTTCTCAGGCCTCAAAATCCAGCCCAGATAATATCCAAATCCCAGCAGATGTAGAGTGGAGATAGCGAGTGAGGGAATATGATTATGATTTCATTCAAGAATAGAAGTGCTGGCTGAGTAGAAGCAAATATGCAGATGGGATAAATTAGCTGACGGCCGTTATGGGAAGCATCGATTCATATACAAAATGTCATATAAATATTTCTCCGAAGAAAGCCAGAAGAGAACATTGGTATCAAAACCTTGCAACGCCGGGAAATGCTCATATCAAACTTTTAGGAAGAGATGATCATTTGCCACATAAGATGGACAGATATATGAATATAAAACAAGAGAATAAAAGAAAGGAGAAAGACAAATTTTTCAAAAGCTCATTGCCTCGAGTTGTGCTCGTAGTTGAACGGGGTGGGGAAGTGCATGCTAGCGCTTAACCCGAACGGATCCGTGTCCAGCATCGGCTCGTACTGGCCGAGCAGCTGATTTGGATTACCGAAATCGCTGGGGGTGCCTTCGCCCGGTGGTTGGTTGAAACCGGACATATTGTGGGAGCCCGAGGTGACGGACTGCGGGGTGAATCCAGGGACATAGGATGCTGAGCCGTCGTGATCTTCATCGACCATGTCGGCCTGTGCATCGTACTCTTGTTCTGCTTGAAAGGTCAGCTGGGGGAGGAACTTGAACAAAAGGCAGCAAATATAGGCTTACCGAGTTGATCGTAGTGTTTCTGGAATGGAGAAGGATAATAAGCAGCCGCTGCGACCCGCGCACCGCGAGGACCCATAGCTCCACGGGATTGGGGCTTGGAGTCTGACGGTTCGCTCTGTGGCATGCTGATTGCCGGCGGCGAAGTCTGACTGAAAGTCCGAGGTTGGGGGAGGAGTTGAGGCCGTCCCTCGACAGGTGACATGGCGCCCTGGAAACCGAAGCCGGGGGACTTGGCGTGCGAGGGCGAGGAAACGTGCGAGGTGGGGGTTGCTTGGAACTGCGGCGACGGGATCCCGTATGCGCCTTCCCGCTGCGACATGCCGAACGTCTCGGGCTTCGAGGCGATGCCTGCGGGGTGTCGCGGGTTTGGACGGGCCCCTGCAGTGGGGGCTGCCTTTGGAGGCATTGGGTTTGCCTTGGGGGAGCGCCCGGCGCCCCTGTTTTCAGGCGTAGTTCGGCCTGAACATCGATGCCTAGGGAGGGTTAGTTAAGGTTTGGACCAGCGGTTCGGGGTTCAGGGGTACCTTTTTCAAGGAGAATCCGCTCTAGCAGGGAGTTCTTATAGCGCAGCATTAGACATTCGTCGGCGGCACTGCGATGACTCTGCTGCAGACTCTGTAGAGATTCCTCATTGCGTTTGATGGTGGTCTCTAGCTGGCGGATATACTCCGTCCTGCGTTCTCGGAAGGCCGCCTGGGCCTGCCTATTGCGTTGCTTTCTCTCTTCTGAGGTGGCATATATCTGAAGGGATTGTTAGTATCAAATGAGATGAGTAACACCGAGGGAATGCGGGGCCCCAGATTTGCAAAAGATGTTACGTACAGGTTTCCTGCCTCCCTTCCTCTTCTGAGTTTGCGCGGCATCCTGAGTCAGAGGTTCTGCTTCTGGATCTGGTGTCGACACAGTCGAGCTGATCGATCCATCAGGACCAGGTTCATGTTTTGGCACGATTGAGTCCATGGCCAAATCACTATCAACCATGGAGACCATTATATAATCTAAAATTCAAGCCTGTAGGCGGCCCTCCGCACACGGAACAGACACAGCCAGTTTTCCCCGCGTTGCCGGACCTGTTGGCCGGCAAAAAAAGAGAAAAAAAAAAAAAAAAAGAAAAAAAGAAAGAAAAAATGATAAAGGATAAAAAGGGTAAAAGGGGATATCCAGGCGATGCACACACGCGCGGCTAAAGGGACGTGCTTTGGAATTCAAGTGACATAAAGGAAACTGGATTATGAGAAAGAAAGAGTCAGAGGAATTGAGATAAAAAGAAGAAAATATAAAATAAGTCAAACAATTGACTAACATAAAAAAGTCTGTCCGGTCAGGAGGGGCTTTCCTCTCGCGTACCTGCCCAGAACTCTTTTGATCTTTTTTTTTTTTTTTTTTTTTTTTTTCTTTTCTTTTTTCTCTCTAACTTCATTGGGGTTGGGTTTTGGGGTTCCACGTTTTTACTTGAATGGCCCATGGATATGATCCACAATAGACATTAATTCCACTCTGTACTCCGTATGTTGGATGCTGGAGGTGTGCACACTGCACACTCTGCACACACAGAGTGTACAGGGTGCAAGTACCAAGAACAATACGGAGTACTGTGCAAGACGTTGGCCGCGGAGAACCCTGCACAGCCGTATATCCGATACCGGATCGTCCCAGTCGGAGTCCTCCGCCTGCCACATGACCTGACCTATTGGGGTACTTGGAAGCGAATCACGCGCTTCTCCTCGGAGACCAATAAAGGATCGCATGACGTTCCCTTCCCCGGACTTAGAATGCATTGCAGGATGTGACTCTCATGGGGGTTGTGCCAAGAATTCCAAACGCATTTGGTCTGGACTTATGATCTCATGGGTATGCACCATTTGGAGATCTGATATGTTTTATTAATAGTATCCATGGATGGCTCGGACTGCATCAGGGGTCTGGAAACTCGATCTCGATCTCAAGACCGGCAAATGAAAGAGAACTGGAGTGTGACTTGAGAGAGTATACATATCTTGCATCCCAACTGATAAAAGCGTCCGGCCATAGAGTCCTAGCACATACTATAGTCTCTACATACCTCTACCTAGGCAAAATGTAAAACCCTCGGCGATCGGCATTTCCCCCGCCAAACTCCCGTCACATGTCAACCTCATCTCCAGACTTTCAACCTCCCAAAAAAATTAACCTTCACTCCGACCGGGCCGTATCTTCAATTGAGAATCATCCTAGTTTATTCGAATTGTACAATGGCCACCCCCTTGCCGACTGAGGATCGCCCCAATGAGGCTCCCACCCTGACCGCGTCAACACAAGAATCCCAGCCGCAAAACACCGCCCCAGCCGCGTCAGCACCACCACCAGCACCAGCACCGGCACAACCCCAGAAAACAGCCGGAGATGACGATGAAGACTCCGATTTTGATGAATTAGATGGTAAAAAAATACCCAACCTCTCCCCCCCCAACCTCCTTCCTTCCCCCTCACTTCGCCCCGCCACGAATAATACACAGATACTCACACCTCCAGACGTCCTCGACGACTTCAACAAACCCAAACCCGCCCCCGTAAACCCACCCGCACCATCCACCAACCCAAACCCTTCAACGGGAATCACACCCCCAGACTTCGACGAAGATGCCTTCCTCAAGCAACTCGAACAAGACATGGCGAACATGATGGGACCCAGCGGCGCAACCAGCTCAGACCCCAACTTTCAAGCAACACTCGACCACGGCGCCGATGTATTCGCAAAACAGCTCGAAGAGAGCGGGATCCCACCCGGCGATTTCCTCAAACAGCTTCTCGCAGACGTCATGGCCGAGGAGGGCGGCTCGGGTGGTCCTTCGGCAGACAGTCTTGCTGCAGTCGCTGCCGCGGCTGGTATCCCTGCGCCTGACACTCAGGGATCATCTAGTGCGCCAGCTCCAGCCACAGGCGCGGGGCAACCTGACTCGTTTAACGACGCTATTAAGCGCACCATGGGTCGGATGAAAGAAAGTGGTGATAAAGCTACTGCCGCGGCTAGTAATGAAGATGATATCTCCGATGATATGCTGGCGCAGTTGCTGAAGGCTGTTGAGGCGGGGGCAGCGGGGGCTGGTGATGAGGGAGATCTGTCAAAGATGTTCATGGGCATGATGGAGCAGCTTTCTAACAAGGAGATGCTGTATGAGCCGATGAAGGAGTTGGATATCAAGTTTGGGCCGTGGCTTGAGAAGAATAAGGGTACTGGGAAGGTTTCCGCTGAGGATATGGAGCGGTTTGAGACGCAGGCGCGGGTTGTGAAGCAGATTGTGGTCAAATTCGAGGAGAAGGGATTCTCGGATGATGATCCCAAGTGTCGGGAGTATGTGTGGGAAAGGATGCAGGAAGTGAGTTACATTTACATTTTGATCGAGATCTTGATGTGTTTCATTTACTGACTATGTCCCAGATGCAAGCCGCTGGAAGCCCGCCTGAAGAACTCGTGTCGAATCCCCTCATGGAGGACCTGGGAGGTGCCATGGGTGGAGCTGGCGGAGTGCCTGATTGCCCGCAGCAGTGATATGATCTTGAAAATGTATGATTGAAGCTCGAAAAATATTGCCTTGATTTCAAGGCTTGCTTGTTTCCCTTGTTCATACATCGTCCCGTCCTGTGTTGTACATATGCGCAACTCATGTCCATATACCCCTATTTACTTTATGTATATATCCGGATTCCCTCGCCCAACCCAACTGAAATAAAAGAAACGCCGTCCAATGCAATGCCGCAAAATAGAATCAACACTTAACCCATAGACCTAGCCCACTCACGACATATCCATATCCTGAGACTGCGACTGCGACTGATAGCGTCGAGGCTCCGACAACCCCATAAAGATATCATCGTACTCGTCATCACTAAACAGCACACCAGGCCCATTCCCATTCGACCGCAAATCCCCTACCCTCCCAGGAACCGCACTCTGCGTCTCTCTCAGCGCCATCTCCATAGCTTCCTCTTGCGATATGAATTCATCAAGCGCATCGATATCATCTACCAAACCCCATCAGCAGTGTCCAATCTTCCACCTCATATATCCAATCAAACTCAAAGAAACCAACAAACATACCAGGAAGCATATCATCCTCATCCCCCTCAAACCCTACAACAACCCCCTCCCCATCCCGCGCCATACTCTCCTCCCACCGTCTCCGATCAGCAAGATGTTCCATCCGCATCATCTGCTCACCGCGCGCCTCAAACCGTCCATCGTCACGCTCATGTCGCACGCGATTAAGGAACATCTTACGCGTTTTCGAGCGTGCCAGACTCGCCGTATCCTTGAGCGGATTAGCGATAGACGCATAGCGCGCTTCGTATTTCGGCTTCTGGCGCGTTGGAGAGCCGGGCGACGTTTGTGGCTGGGCTGTGAAGAAAGGGTTGGAGAATTGGTTCGCTGTGGGTGTTGTAGAGGCGGAGGCAGACGCGTTAAAGTTCATTGGAACTGGGGAGTGGTCGTTTTGTGTGTGGCGGGTGATTGGTTCAGTCTGGATATTGAAGATTGGGGGTGGGTTGGTGAAGAGGTTTGGGGTTGTGCTTTGCGACGCGCTTTGGGGGTTTCGTGTCGGGGACATTGTCCATATGGGTGGGGTTGTGGGATGTTTGCTTAGAGGGGAGGAGCGGATTGGGGTGTGGGTTTGGCGGAACGGTGTTTGGGGGCATTGGATTGCGAACATTGTGTAGGTGTGGGTTATGGGATGGAGTTGGGTCTGGATCCGTCGGATGCGGGAGTCGGTTGCGTCGGGTGGATTTTGGTGGATTGTTTGGTTTGGTGGGTTCTCTAGGAAGACCTTAGGTAAATACTGATCTGAGAGTGAATATGGTGGTTTATCATATCGAGGTCTAAGAGATGTAAAGTGGCAGACACGTCGAGAGTCGCGCTAAATTAGCGTGTTCTACCCCTTGCATTGGTATCGGATTTTATTTCGAATGCTGATCTTCCGTCCAGTTAGCAACACTTAAGAAACGCTTTCCGATTGGGCTATCTTAAGTCCATCCAATCATCTACAACAATGCCAAAACTCCAGCTAGTACCGCAATGCCAGCCGCAAATCCGCTTCCCTTAATGGCCACCGCCGAATTCTTACTACCATCCTCATCATCCTCGGGATCCTCTTCAGTGACGACTTTCAGACATGTCAGCTGAGACGCAGTCTTGTCGACAAGACCACTGTTACCCTTCCCAGTGAAAACAGTGAGGACCGGGGTAATCTTATAGGCCTCGTCAATGAGAGCCTGTGCGGTGTAGTTCTTCTACAGTATATATTAACGATTGCATATGTCAGACATGAATAGAACACCACTTACCAAAGCAGTGACACTCGCAATCTCCATCAGTTGATCCGATTTGGGCTTGATAGGCCAGCAGTTCGAGGAATTCTTAACCGTATTAAGATCCTCGAGCGATTCAACAGTGAAATTTCCAAGCTTGCTACCTGCACCCGCGAACCCATCGCACTCATCGAGAGAGACCTTCTTCAGTTCCCGCTCAAGCGTCGTACAGACATTTCCACTAGCGTCTTCGGCTAATTTCGTTGCCCTCTCTGTAAGTTTTTCGATGCATGTCTTGTCAATGACATCAGAACAGGTCCCGCTCGCAGCACGGGTATCCGTCCCATTGTTTTTGCCTTCCAGCTTCGGCCCGTCAAACTTCTTAGACGGGGCTCCGTGGAAGACAACAACACAGCCGGACAAATCCTTAGTCTCTACGTCTGAGGGTGTCCCGAGGTAGTAGATCGACTTGAAAGGGCGTGTGGCCTTGTCATTATCCTTGCCGGCCATACCAGCTGACACGTTGACGCCTTTCACGAGGGAGAAACCCTCAAGAGACGACGGAACGTCGGGGATGCGGGATAGTCCGATACCAAGGAAGGTATTGTCTCCCACTGTGCAGCGGTCATCGGCACCTTGCAAGGGACATGAGACCTCTTTGCAGCCTACGAGGCTGGAGGAGAGATCGCCATCCTTTGCGAGCGTGGAAGAGACGAGGAGAGAGAGCCCAAGGGCGAGCGTGGATGATTTGAGCTGGATCATTGTTCTTGGATTGTGCAAAAGTAGACTGGATGTAATTTTGTGATGTGGGGGAAACCAGTCTGATATTGGAGAAATTTCTATATCCAACGACCCGCCGGGGGCTTCATAGTTCGGTTTCTTTGTGTCAACTTATGCCCTTATAAGCTAGCATAAGTCCAATGTTTGTTGGGCACCTCAATGACATCATTTGTGATAGTTTGCATGCTCGGCTAACCTGGGGCCATCCTTCAGGGGGCGACTTGGAGGAATAGTTCGTGTCGGCTGAACGGGGCCGCCGTGGGGTACCGAGGCCGTTGCTTGTTTGATTGGAGGCAGTTCCTGTATGAGTCTCCAACCCATAATATATTTGCATGCTTGGTTGGGGGCTGGCGTCTCCAACCTCTAGTCCACTTGCTTGGCTGCTTTGGGGGCGGTGAATCTAAGTGGCCCTCTCACGGTGTGGTTACAGCGGATCTCTTGGCTGCTTATACGACAATCCCTTGGCGCTCTCTTCAGGTTTTCAACAATGTTGGAAACGTTGCAGAGGTCGTATGACCTAGATGGAACAGCCTAGAGACAGGCAGCAAATACGGAGTACCTTGTGGATCCATGCACCATGGAGGTAGTGGCTGATTCAGGTACACCTTCATGTGACGTATGTAGTATTCGCTCACACCAGACAGGATGTTCTCACTTGTTCTCCTTGTTGCTCCAAGCCCTTTAGTAATCGGTAGGGCTAGAAAACTAGGCATTCAATTCCTCCAATTGGCAGTGATCCTCGCGCAACTACTCGCCTTGTGGGGTGTCGGGTGTCGGGTGTCGGGATAACCGAACTTCTGCTCCGACAACCTGACCTTCTTTGGTGACTTCGATATCTCTTACTATATATATATACTACCTGGCTATGTTGAGTAAATCAACTTATACCGACAAGTACATAAGTTGCCCTCAACTGCCGTCCCAAATAAATTCAATTCTCACAAAGCAAACTAAACTAGCACCTCTGGGACGAATGTATGTAGAAGGGAGTTCTCGCCGTGACCCACGATCTTACTCTCGCATGTAAGATATCGTCATGAACAACTTACTTTCCGGAACAAGACGGATGTTTTGAATCCTTCGTGGGGGCTTTAATCTAAACCTGCATCTCCTAATACAATTCAGGGCCTGGGCTATCAATTTGTTTGTGATAGAAAGCATAATGTTGCATTAGCATCAGGGGCGAAGTGGCAAAAGGAGCCAGACGATACGATTTTGGTAGAAGTGATGTCGATCCGACGATGGAATAGATGGAGACAGCCCTATAGTGCTCACGGCTAGGCATAGTGAGCTTCTAACGAGGAGAAGGATGAGGAGAAAGAGCAAAGAGCAGAAGCCTGATCATTACCGTCTGGCAGTCTATATAAAGTCAGCCAACCTCACAAGATCGAACTCTCATCCATCTCCAGAACAGCCCTCAAGTGCAAACTACCTACCTCAATCCGCAAAGATGTCCGTCGTCGATGCCATCGGTGTCATCTCTGGTATCCTTACCATTGTCTCATTTGGAATGGACAATTTCGGTGAGGGTGAGACCTCTGGTTCAACCATCAAGGTTGCCGTTGCTCTTGATGGCCCGAACGGGCCAACAAATGCCGGTGGTGACATCCCTGATGTGTAAGTCAAGCAATCGCACCAACTGAGGAGCCAAAGGCTAACAATCAGAACTAGGCGAGTGTGGAATGAGGTCGGGGATTTTGTCGGTATGAAAGCCGACCCCGGTACCGTAGGAAACGGAAACCTGGGCGAAGTCAAAATCAACCACGAGAACCAGGGTGTATACTCCCTGTTCTCGGCCAATGACGACGCTATCTGCGTGGCCTGGGTAACCACCACGTGGAGCGACGACCGCGGTGGCAACAAGTATGCTGTGTCGGGCGACTACGGCGAAGCATGTGGTGGTTCGTGGTTCGAGAGCCACATGTATCCCAACAGCAACGAAGACTACCAGCCCAAGTGCTTCTGGATTGACAAAAATGGTGATCAGCCCAAGACTGGATTCCAGGTCCGCTGGCCTGCCTTCTCAAAGGACGAGCAGGACGAACATGATACAAATCCCCAGAGAATGTGCAATGATATCAATTTTGGACTGCGCGAGGAGGATGATCCCAACACCATCAATTACATTGTAAAGCGGAAGCGCGATGGGCCTATGAGGGCTCGTCAAGCCTTAAGCCGGCCAGCGTGGGCGGCGTCTGAACTGGTTATCAGTGACTCCAAATCTCACTCGGCTAAGAGACTGTGTGAATCTGATACATCCATGGGACCTGACTTTGCCCATACTGGAGAGGCTGCCTTTTGTGATATGGGATCCAAGGTCCTTTATGCATTCTGCACCGAGGATGGACAGACGGACTGCTTTGATTTCGACTCTCAAAGTGTTTCTACCGGTACAGCCACTCGTGATACTGCGGGGGGTGTTGGTACTTACTCAAGTGTTCGTGATTGGCGCTCAGCCGGCAAATCATAAGCCTATGCTGTATGTTCTGATACCAATTGTGGCGTCGTATATATATGGCGGGATTCACTTCTAGTCAATAATTTGTTTTCTTCCTGTCCTGTTATTGTCTTTTGTCACTCCTATCTGCTTTTTCCGTGTTGATAATCACATCTAGGTGTTTTTCCTCAGGTACATCTGACCTGTATAGTCTGACCTGTATACTCTTCTGGGCTTCTGAACCAATATCACCATATCGTACAGTACACGTCTCAACTACCTAACTTAGCACGGCTCCTATGTATTAAGCTTAAGAACGATCTGGTCCTCTCGCAAATATAACTCCCGTTCAACAACTCAGTCGTAGTTAGACAAATGTCTGATCTGCCAGATCCCGTCAACCATAAGACAACCCAATGCTCTGCACTCCCTGGTATACGTACGGGAGCTACTTATACCTAGTTGGAGGCGCAAGGGCGACCACAGGGATAATGTCTGTCGTTCATCGAGTGACAACTACTTATGTAGGTGAAATTCAAGGGCTGGGATCGTCACGTGGATCGATCCACGTGGATACATATTTCGGATCGAGATCGGATGTCGATCTTAATCTACATCGATGTACAATAGTTTGGTACGATACTGTGGTATTGTGGATTGGTTCACTGAATGAATTTATTTGCCTTGAATTACATACATACAGATCGGAACAGATCAAGATAGAAAGGGCCTTTTGCAGCACGTGTCTATCAACACTATACAATCTGTGACGTCTGATGCTGCAAAAGGTACAAGAATAGAATATTGGCCAAGGCATAATGAAGTTCGCCGTAGGACAACACCCGGCGCCTAGATACGGGGAATCAAAAAGAGATGACAGGCAGAACAGAAAAGTCGTGCCGTATTTTTGTCAGTCGCGCAGGGATCGAAGAATCGCGATTGCGGGAAAAAAAGGAATGTGGTGGTTGCAGACAGAAAAACGCTCAAATGAATGCGCAGATGTTCAACCTATGAAGGAAGAGACAGGGGGTGAAAAACGCCCGGAAAAAAAAAAGCAAATTTTGCAACCGAATAAACAAACGCAACCATGAACTCGCATATCCTGTCCATAGCGCCTGAGAAAAGCATGAAGATCGTACAAGATTTACACTTCGACAAGTGTCGAGCCAACGCAGTACACTTAGAAGTTAGATGCCGCGTTGACAGGACCAGGGTTGTGATACTGGTCTAGTGTGTTCTTGAAGGGGGTGTTGCCGGCCGGGCTGGGGGCCTTCTCGCGAGGACCGGAGCCCACAGCGGTGCCACCCATCAGATCGTCCTCATCACCGAATCGCTCATTGCGCTTCTTGTGAATTCTCCAGAAGACTAGGCCTACGGCACCGATGAGGATGGCACCACCGACACCCACCACGACACCGATGATGATCTTCTTGTCCGAAGAAGACACACCACTAGAGCTGGACCCCTTGTCACCATTAAGAGAGGGGGCGCTGGCGGGAGTGGAGGTGGTGGTCATCACGTTGGCGATGGTGGATCCATCGCTGGTCGCGTAGGAGGTGATGGTCTTTACGACCGGGGTTTGGGTGGCGGTGGTCTTGGATGAAGTGGTGCTATCGCCCTCAACACTTGTCTTGGAGGCGGGGTCAGTCTTTTTAGAAGTGGTTGAAGCGACAGTAGGCTCCGGAGTGGCAGAGGGCTCTGCTGAGGTGCTAGAATCGGCGGTGGTGGGATCGGTAGTACGCTCGGAAGAGGTGGAAGAGGTCGAGCTGGTCGTAGGGTCGACTGTAGGGGTTGGTTCTTCAGAAGTCTCCTTGGAGGATGTGGAAGATGATGATGATGAAGTTGTGGTTTCAGGCACCGAGGAAGTGGAGGATGAGGTGGTTTGAGTGGTGATATCCTGCACGGGGTTGGAGGCACCAGCACTCTGGGCTGCGACCGCAGTCAACAACAGAGCCTGGATGAAGAACGAGAGGCTGGAGAGACGCATGATAACGAATGTGTGTACAAAGTAACGAAAGAATTTGACCAAAAGTCAAGAATCAAGAGAAATAAGCAGGAAAATGAAAAAGGAGTCAAAGCGAGAAAGTGAACCTTTGGGCAGTGTTTGTCCCGAACTTTGGGTGACGCTAATCCTAATTAGGTACTGGTCTCAGACTAAACACAAGCGCTGAGGCATCGCTCACTCTGATTGGCTGAACGTTCAATAGAAAACACGTTAAAAATGGGTCGCCTGGACGTTGTGACTGATTGGGAAGTTTTATTTTCGATATTTCGGACCGGTCTTTACATTCAATCAAATGGAAGGGGTTTGGGGAGACCAAATGAGTTCATGACCTACTACAGACTACATATGTACAGATCGAAAAGGGTATGAGCAAAAATCTCTGAACATGTGGGCTCAACCCCTCGCTTCCCGCTCCATATTTAGCACTCCCATGATCAGCCTCTGATCTGCCATTTTATTGGCATTGGCGTAAGCCGTATGACATCTTACATCAATGCTTACAATCCGTTGTCACAAGTCTACTCCGGACTCTGTACTCCGTAATGAATGGTTGACATCTTCCCATATTACACGGATGCTATCCCATACTCACGTACGTGGCCCCTTTCCACTTTGAACAAAGCCGACACAGCCGGAGTTCTAAATATTGGAGTGCTTTTGCCCCCTAATCTTCATTGGTTCATGGGGCAACCGTCCACGGGTAGGTTTCGGGGTTCCCGCCTGTTCTGGAACATTATGGGATCTTACCTGTCGACCGGACTCGGGAAGACCGCGGAAATGTACATTGTAGAGGGCATTTGACTGGGAGAACAGCACACTCCGGGAAACTATCATAGTCAAAATGAGTGGCTGTGTATCCCGATGCCCCATGGGCGTTAATAGACCCGTCGCTCCGGTTTGCATGAATGTTGTAGAATGTATGGAGTAGATATGAGAAGGTACAACATATGGAGCATAACAAGTTCAGTCTAAGTGACGCATTACTCTTCACAACTATTCAACGGAAGCCCGATGCCTACGATTTCAGTCTTTTCCGGACTTCCACATGAAACCGTGGCTGCGTCACCTGCATAGCCACTTGCCTGTATCCGTCGCATCCGCCATCTTCACATCGTTGTTGCTTTAATGCAAATGATGCAAAATAATATTCATAACTATGTAATGAGTAAGCAAAATCATGGTCCATCTGGGCAGCCTTTGACAAGGTTACTTGAAGATCTCGAGATTATTTGGGATGTCCAACATTACCTTTGTGAGACAAAGGCCACTGCCGAAACGCTTATCTGGGGCCGATCAAACATTACCTGAGGTATGTGAAGAAGGTCCTTCGCCAAATCGGGAAAGAAGCTGTTTGTTCCTAATTTGGAAGATCGAAGGGAGTAACACAATGGAAGAACCGTCGATATCTATGGGTTGCATGAATAGGTTGAATAGACGTTTCACCGTCGAATCTTCCTTTGTGGTCAATAGCACATGGAAGCATTGACTCCTTGCAAAAGGCGACAAAGGGCAAATCGCCCATAGCCATGGAATGAAGCACTCAATACTGGAGGTTGATTGTTTTATTAAGGATCTCTTTATTGTTCCAAGAATAGAGTCTCTCTTCTCGAAGCCACTCTCGCATGGGATGGAGATCTCTGTTCCTTCTTCCTTCTCTTTTGCGCAGTGGCTCTGGCATAAATGTCATCTCTTCCTGTTTGACATTTCAATTTGACATCAGCCTTGCATACATTTCTCATAATACCCAGCTTCATGAAGCACACCTACCACACACTCATCATTCAGCGTCCAGCGTCCCGCATTCAGCATATCCAAGTTCGAAATACCAATCCCATTCTAATCTACACACTTCATTCGATCAACCCCTCAACAACCAAATCCCATCACCTCAAGCCTCACTAAACATGGTTGAGACACGCTATCATCCCGAGATCATCACACCCTCGCTTCCCAACCTTGACATGCAAGGCGAAGGTCGACTCAAGAATTACGATTTCGCAAACATCACACATATTGTCGTCCAGTAAGTACCATTCCAATGGATGTGCACTCTACACAAGCCCGTGAAGATCACTAACGTGAACTAGCCCATCTGATACAATGATGAGGAACATCAATGCTAATGCCAAGGCCAATACCTCCTACAATTACGACAACAAAGAATATGTGAAGATCATGGGAAAGATCCTTTCTGTGAAATTCTTCGGCAACGACTACCAGCTAGAATGGCTAGACTCCCAGGGTGTCGGCAGACACACATTCATTGCATTCACCAATACCGAAAAGAAATGGGAGCGCGTTCAGAGTCAGACCCCGAGTGACGAAAAGCTAGAAGTGGTTGAGGTTATGTTCATGCCAACCAACCCCCGGGAAGTACAAAAGGCCTTCTGGAGGCCCGCCAGAGAACTTGTCTTTGGAAGGGTTCAGGCCAGAGTGAAGGAGAGTTCGCTTGAGATGATTCGGCTCCGAGTGATGTGGACGCGATTGACTGTGTCTCCCCGGAAGTTGCAGAGACTGAGAAAGGGTTCGGCTTCCCCAGAATCGGCTTGCCTTGACATTCAAGAGTCAGGCTAGACTAGCAAGAGTGACTCGAAGTGATAATTAAAGACAATTGTACTCTTCCTGGTCGTGTATCGCACCAAGCAAATAATCATTTGTTGTGTAGCGTGAGATTAGCAGTAATACACAATGATGGCAATTTGACGGGCCTTGATTGCGCCTGGAGCCAAGTTAGATCCAATGTAACAATCCTCTGGCCACCCTCGAGAGCAATCCCGAAACTCAATATATATGCCCCAGTTATTGAATCCCAGCCAAACTGTATATATATAGAGCTGGGAATAGTAGAAGTGGCAAGTCGTTGATTCAAATCAAGTTCACTCTCCGGATGAAACAACGGATACATCCTAGGGAGTGTGAAAATGTATCCCACTGTATACCCGGTATCGACTGAAGCGCCAGAACGATGACAGGAAGCAAGAGTCCAGATTTGCAAAAAGCAAAAAGATAGCATGTGCTATGTGTCATATTCAATGTGGGTATCATCAGTTTCCTTATCAAACAAGCGCCAGTGTGTCAAAATTTATTCCGCGGGTTTCCCTTCATCTGGTCCTTCAGCTCTTCCTTGAAATGGCTAAGGAATTTTTTGTACTCGAAATCTAACAAAAACGTGTCAGACACAGTACTTCCCCGAATTTCGGTACAAAGCATACCTTGTCCCTCGAGTTTGGTGCCTCCCTGCTCCTCCGGAGGCACCCCGTACCTGATATGTTGAACTTTCTGGTGAACTCGGCCCACCATACGATGGAAGATCGGACTTCGAAGGAGCTGTGTGGATTATTAGAATGCAAACTCAAGCACAAGCATGCTAGGGTCGGAGCAACGTACTCGAACGGTGAGCCATATCTAATATGGGACAATGTTAGTGAATATCAGAGTGGCGATAGCAAAAGCACTTACCTCCATACTTCGGAGCAAGAGATTCAGAACCATCTTGCAATATTATAATATTCGACCATGAGAGATTTCAAGAATAAGTTGATATCGATTGAGCAAGTCGAAGATGGAGATGGAAGCCCAGTCTTGGGGTCTCGATCGCCAGAAGATTTCTTAGTCATCCTCCCCGCGGGCCCCGCGAGAGAAGCTTTCTGAATCATCCCGAGCTCGTGGAGCATGACGGATTTATTTGTTTTACAACTGACAGTTCTCGACAAAGTCACTTCTTAGACGACTAGAAATGGTCGTGTGGCTTTGTCAATATCCCGTCCTTGAATCCTGACCATAGCCAAGGATGGCGAGTGGCGCCAAACAAAATTCACAAGTGACTCGGTTCTTCACTGTCCAGTTAAGCAACAACGTTTCTCTCACAACACCCAGATAATGACCAAAGGTTGCTATACCTGTCGACGACGTCGCATCATCTGCGACAATGGTCAACCCACCTGTCGGAAGTGTCGAGATGCGGGGAAAGAATGTCTAGGGTACCAAAAGCCGCTTGTTTGGGTCAAGGGTGGTGTGGCTAGTCGAGGAAAGATGATGGGCCGCAGCTTTGATGACGTTGAAACAACGATACCGTCTAGCAAGCCAAAGTGCCGGTCAGCTACTGGGATGCCCAGCACATATGATTCGCCTGCGACAAGCAGCGGATTTGGCTTTTTCCCTATCGCCGAATCCCCAACCGATGCGGAATCGCACAGCTCTGGGAGCCAAGCTAGTCCGGAGACCGATGCATGGGCTTTTGAGATGGAAGCACCAACATTTGGAGGAGAGATAGCGCACTTAAGGGTCAATTCGACCGAGGAACAGGACACCGCGGTTATTCATCTTCCTCGGAACACTCCTCCTGCCGACTATACTCCAACACCATGGGGACTGGTAGATCCACTGCTCAAAGATCTCAGTCATTTCTCAAGGTACTATGTACATCACTGTGAGACTACCGCAATGTATTATTCGTAACTCTGCTGACAATCACTCGTAAGACAATCAATATATGGTCAATGACTTCGCGCTTTACTCCCAACACAAAAATCCCTTCCGGGATCTTACTGCGCTGGTCAATCATTCTCCTGTTCTTGCTAACAGCATCACTGCTCTTGGAGCTCTTCATTACTCCCTTGTATCGGAATCGGACTCATCTGTCCTACCATGGTCATCCGTCAACCTATCCATGGCCGACTCGGACTTATCAGTAGAGGATATTGAAGATATCGTTGCGCCAGCAAGTTCTCGAAAACCAACTTCACGGGCATATCATCATTTCTTGGAGTACAAGCAGCGCGCCCTTCGCCAATTGTCCATGGATCTCAATAACCCATCAATGCAAAGAGACGGCAGAACTATAGCTGCTATTGTCTTGCTTGCTTTCCTAGACATCTTCGAATCTGGCAGCGGTGCCTGGAGTTATCATATTGAGGGCGCGAAGAAGCTTCTCAAAGACCGACCTGAAAATGGCCCGGGACAAGGAATTCTTGATGACCTGGACGCTTTTGCCCTTGACGGGTGCTTAATGTGAGATTCGGGTATCTACGTATAGTGAAAAAGCTCTTGCTGACCATAATAGAATGGAAATCATGGGATCAACGCTAGCTCGCCCAGGCGCGCTCTCAAAGCCCTTCTATTCCTCATCCATGGACCCAGCGATCCTCAAACGCCTCGAAGAAAACTCTTGGGTCGGATGTCCCGCCTATCTCCTAGAAGTAATCTTCTTCGTCCACGCCCTCTGGTACCCAGACCCCGAAGTCACTGTCGTTACCCCCCAACCAACAGCGCTGCCAAACCCAATCCAACCCGGCCAGCCTCTCACCCTCGACGCATTTGCAAGCCTCCTCCAAGGAATCCGCAACTTCGACCCAATAGCCTGGAGCCAAGAAATGCAAAGTGTCTTCTTCCTGCCAAATCTCAACTACCGTCTCGCACTCGCAACCTCCTATCAAGACGCCGTCTACCTCTACACAAGCCGCGTCCTCTCACGTACCAGAAAAGGCTTTTCACCCCCTGGACAGACGTCGGCCTCCCGCTGGACCACAGACTCATCGCCACAAACCTCATCACGCAAATCTGCCTCATCCCGCCCTCAGACTCCCACTTCAAATGCCTCATCTGGCCCACTTTCATCGCTGGCGCGGAGTGTCGTCCTTCGCAGCGAGCTCTTATCCTTGAAAAGCTCCGCTCGCTCTATGAGGCTCTGACGAGTGTTAATGTCCGCAATGCTGCGTGGGTCCTGCGTCTCATGTGGCAGAAACAGGACCTCAAGCGCCGTGACCAGAACGTTTCTGTTGAGCAGGATGATGATAATGATCACGATATTGAATTTGACTGGATTGAGGAGCTGGATCATTCACGCCTCGACTGGTTGTTCATTTAATTTGGAAATAATGGAGATTGAATCTCACCTTCATGAGTAATGTTCACATGTACCTACCAATATATATATATACCTGTCAATTAGTACATTTTGAGAACACCTCGCTTTGGATACGCGGTAATTCATTATGAAATCCAACATATGTAACGATGGTAGGGAGACGGTAGAATAATGATTTGCGAGTAAAAAAAATCGGGTATATCAATTCTCGAGCTAAATCAGAGGAAGAAGAAGAGCCAAAGCAAAGAAACAGGGAATTGTGTACTGAGAGGAGAGCCAAGGGATGAAGTAATTAGAAAAAATCACAATGAAGATGAGGTCAAACCAAGATGCCACTGTAAGGAAGCAGGGAAGTCGACGTAGACAATGAATACAACGAGAAAGGTAATGATATCCAAGGAGGGTACTCTTTTGTCCAAATTGATACTAAAAACACCGGGTGATATAAGGGAAACATTGTGAAGGAAATGGGGACACAGTATAAACAGCCTTGATTTCATATTTCTCAAGGATAATCAACACAAGGCAGTCCCAAAAAAATCCGAGATCCCACCAGGAATAGGGAACAAAAATGAAAAGAGCACGGAAAAAATTCTCGATGTTGTGATGCTTCAGGCCAAATCAGGGATATATAACAGCGGACGACATAGCAAACGACAAGGAAAAGCGGTATTCTGAAATAGGCTATCAGGAAATGAAAGAACAAAGTATGCGCAGGCTCCCTTCCAAATCTAAATGCAAGAAACATGTTTCACCAAAAACATAAACAAACAGAAAAACACGCTTGTCATTGGAATATGCAAAAGGTAGGACAACCGATATGCTGGGATAACACCCCATCTTTGTGCGAATGCCTGTGCATGAGAGGAAAAGTAAGAAAGAGAGCCGGGGAGATGGAGGCTGTGTTCTGGAGTCGAATGATGAGATGGCAAGGTGCGAGGCAAGGCGGCAGGTAGTATAGGAAAGTCGGTTTGATACCGACGACGATGAGAGACAACCTAGCATGGGTGAATAGACAGACTGCAAGATAAACAGGTCTTCTACCATGCCACTAGAACACTGCAGCGAGGCCATTCTTCGAATGACGCTTGCTGAATCGTTTCCTTCCTTTCGTTGACTCAGTGTCGCCGGTCTGCTGTTTCACCAGATGATTCCGACCCGACGATGGTGGGCCTCTGTCGTCTTTCTGCATGTCGGAGGTGCGGTCTAGTGTATTGGCGGGGCTAGGGAAACCAGAGGAAAGGTCGCGGAATGCATCGTCGGAGTAGCCTGCGCTTTGTTGCTGGGATGCCATCTCCCGGGACCTGTCCAATGCGTCCAGCCATTCTTGTACCTGGACCGCTGTGGCGCCGATGTTGCTTGATGATGGCTTGGGATCCTCGAAGACGTAATGTTTATCTCTCTGTAGGTTTTTGTCAGATACGTCCTTTTGACCGAGAACGGATGAACTACATACCGTGTCCACAATCCAGGATGAAACTCCTTTGGAATCGGTCGTACTTCTGTAACTTGTCCCTGGAGCAAGCAGGGAGATCTCAAGCTTGATCTTCTTATCATCGCCACCCGATGCGGCTAGAATGACCCGTGCAGATGATGTGACCATCACCAAGCGCTGTCGTTTCTTTGTGGTACTTCCTGAGAAGAAACGAGAGAACTTCCTAGGTGCCTCAATCTCACCACTGCTGTTTTTGGACGTCGGGCTGTGTGAGGCAGCAGAAGACAGGACAACCAAATTACCCAATTTCAGGATCCGCTCGTTGGATTTGCTTAATACCGGTGACCATTCGATATCGAGCTGACTCGGCGGGGGTAGCTCGGTTACCACCCGTGGAAGGTGGCGGGAACTGGCACTTGGTGCGTTTGATGGAGCAGTGGAGATGACTGGAGGCAGACTCTCCCCGTTTTTACTGTCATTGAGCTTGATAGGATCGCGTGCAGGGGGTACATAGGCCTTCAAGCGGGGTGCCTTCTGCTTCCATAGATCTGGACCCCATGTGATGCCTTCAAAGAATTCATGATTTTTGATATGTTCGATCTGTAGACGCCGAGCAGGCTCTAGAACGAGAAGACGTTCGACAAGATCACGCGCCACGGCAGGAAATCCAATTGGGAACTCGTAGTCGAGTGCCACAATTTTCTGGAAGGTTTGGTACTCGTTTCCAGCCTTGAACGGTGGACGACCGGCCAAGAGCTGGTATATAATGCAGCCGAAAGCCCAAAGGTCGCTAGCTTTGCATGCATTTTTGTCTGTCAACAGCTCGGGGCTGACATACTCTGCAGTGCCGACGAAAGAGCTAGCCCGCTCTTCCTGTGTAAGGTCGGCCGAGTCAAGAGGAAGAATGCCATTTGAGCTAGGATCAATTCGTGGGGTCTTGAGAATCTTTGCCGTTCCAAAATCAGTGATCTTGACATACATCCCGCTGTCAAGTAGCACATTTTCCGGCTTCAAGTCTCGGTGGATGACACCGCGCTTGTGCATATAGTCTATCGTGTCAAGAATCTGAGCGCCGTAGAATCTTGTACACTCTTCGTCAAACGTGGTCATCCGTTTGAGGACACCGAGCAATTCTCCTCCTTTGCATAAGTCAAGCACGAAATAGAGTGATTGCTCATCCTGGAAGGTGTAATATAGCCGCACAATACCCGGGTGGTCAGTAAGGCGGTTGAGTGTATCCTTCTCAATGTTCACGTATTTAACTTTCCTCTCCTTGATAATGTGTCGTTTGTCAAGGATCTTAATCGCGTATTCCTTCAAAGTTTGTCGGTCCGTTGCAAAGACGACCGTACTGTAGGAGCCTTCGCCGAGAGTATTCCCAAACGAGAAATCTCGAACGCCCTTCTTGATATAGCGGGAAACAGTTTGGCCATTGGCATCTACCTCCTGTCTCACAGAGACTGCGGCGCCACGCTCTTGCCATTCTTCACTACTCGCCAGGGGGCCATTTTCTGCCATATAGGACGTTCGCGGCATCTGAGACGCGCCGCCAGTTCTTGCTTGTGCTCGAGACGACTGTCGCATCACCGCCGGGCCGTTCCCCGGGATCTGCGCGGTCCGGTAGGATCGGTCACTATGGGAGTTGTCGCGCGCCAAAACACCGGCATGTAATGCCGATGATCCTCCTCTTGCGTCTAACCGCGCTTGAGACACGGATGTGGATGAAGCACCGGAATCGGTTCGAATGCGATATGTATTATCACGGGGCAGGACCGATGTTGCCGAGCCATTCACGTATACTGAGGAAAGGGGCCGGTTGGGATTCGGAGGTGATGAGAGGGGCGGTGCCGAGTACGGCTGGTATGGTCCTGATGGCAGCGGTGGTATTTCGGGGGAACTCTGAGGGTATGAAGTGTGGCGATCGTCTGTTACAGGGACTTCGGTTGGTGCAGGAGGGAAAGTAGAGGGGCGTTCGTCATGTGCGGGATTGTGTTGTGTTGATACCGAACCGTCCGGCAATCCGAGCGGACTGGAGCCTGTTGACCCAGCGGTCGCATTCTCGGTTGGAGGAGGCGAATCGTCTGGATTGGCTATCCGAAGCCCACCAAGAGCCTGGGACAGGCTGAGATCCCCGTTCATGGCGGAGATTTTGGAGGTTTTGCGGCGACCGGAGATATGCCGGGGTAGTGTTCAGGGGAAAGTCAGGTACAAAGGTCAACGAAAGACAAGGCTATGATCGGAAACGCAGCTGACACATGATCCGAGGAAGAGTTGGGGGGAAAGAGAGAGGTGTGAGAGTGAGAGTCGACGTTGGAGAGGGGGAGAAGGATCAACAGGAGGCTCCGTAGAAATTCGGTCTAGTGTCGAGGGGCTGAGCCTGACTTTGACTATTAATATTTATTTCCAAGGCTTCGAAGATTCAGAGAGAGGGAGGTTTGGAAAAGAGAAATATACAAATATATAAAAATATATATATGTTATTCTAATCCCTTGGAGTGAGATGACTATGGGGTTTGATTCGTCCAGTTTCGAGTTGACAGTTGACAGCACACAGCATTGGCATATAAACAATTTATTTACACAGATTTCCTATAGAAATCCAGGATTGTCCGGCAATGCAAGATCCATTCTCAGCATACCCCGGTCGAGGTTTCTGAAATTGTGAACGTGGTTCCCTCTCTAAGACACGATGTTTCCATATACGGCATCTGCTCTGTGCAACTGGTAAATTTCACCCCAGACATGATCAGACGGCCCCCAACTATCATTGCTCTAGACGAAAATGAGGTTGAATCTCACATCCAGCGGATCTATATCCGTCATACCCTCACTGTCAAATTTGAGCAGCTGCACTTAGAGAGTTGCGATGAGATGGACTCATCCCCCAGCTCCTGTGTCTCTTCGGAATCCGATGTGGACATTGATACCACAGGCCTGAGTCAAGAAGGATCCTCGTGTTTTGAGCCTACTCCAAGGAATAGAAACTATGCTTCGAGAGATGCAATTCCACACACTTCCCTGACAAAGTCCTGCCTCAAATCCCCAACCACAAACCAACAGACCTCGTTACAAGTGACAATTTCCACTGGAGTACATTCGCAAGCAGATCGGTCTGTTGACCCACCGCGACTGAAGGTGAAATTTGCTCTCTCACCGCAGGACCTTGAACTCCATAGCGATAAGGCCCCTCCTGAAGAATCAGGTATGTCAAAAACTCCTGAAGAAACAACCCCACCTAACTGTCCCATCCCCGGGCAGATCGAGATCATCGAGAAAACCACCAGCCAAGCCACACTGACGCTATATATACATCCATGTCTATTGACTCGCCAGCTTCCACGCCACAGGTTTCATTCTTGTCGTGTGGTGTGTCGTCAAGTCCGGCCACCGCAAGCGTCCCACTCCGAGACCTAACCTTAGCGTCCACGGTGTCTTACGAGGAAGTCTTGGCCGAGAGGGTAGATTCGCCTGCTAGTGTGGCCAATAACATTGGCGAAGATTGTGACTTTCACACCAAAATCGTCGTTTAAGAGCTCTATCAAGAAATCATGGATAAAGGTTTTGATGTTGGTGGCTTCGTTCTAGTGGGTTGGCCCCTACAAGTCCACCATGAGCTCCGTCCCAGCCCGTTTTCTATTGATACCTGTGGCTCTGTGTTGACCTATTCGATTCTAATTCTGTATATTTATGGTATGATGTCTCTCGCCCCAAGACCCCGTGATCATTCAGGGAACAGATGAAGTATGCAATATTTAATCCCCAATATGAGATATCGAAGCAGCCTGACTGCAGAAGTAGTTCTAGGCCTACAAGAAATGTCAAAAATAACCCCTCCAAGCCTTGGTCTAGTCTGCAATGTCTCACGTTAAAATGCAAAAGAAGCAATCTAGAATGTCAGTAAACAAAACCCATCTGAAACAACGATATCGGCAACCCAAATCTATCAATAGTTCAGTGGAGATGAACCACAAACTTGGCTGCCTCCAGATCTGACGCGGCCTCGGCAGTGCCCTTATAACCGTTGACACATCTCACCATCGCTGAACTTCTGCCTACGTCACTCTGCATTGCTTACTTTGCTGACTCGGGTTCTTTGCTTTTTGTTATCTGCAGGACATGCCGTTTACATTGTACATGTTCGATCCTCGATTACGACTGGTTCACGGTTGGCCCGCATGCTCTGGGGGATCCACTACGCCACCGCGTAGAATTACCTATGTGTCGGGAAATTTCCGTGTGGTTGATAGCATTTAACCAGTGTTTGGTACGGAGTATGGAGTAAACTACTCTTGAACCCAGGGCTCTGCGATTCAGGGGATTTTGGGTTTTGGGTTCATGGATGGACATGGCTGGTAAAGGCTTTTGCGGTGTGTATGGATTAGTGATGGTCGGTTGGAGATCTGCATTGTGGCGAGTGTGACTGGGAAGCGACGGCATGGTGGGGGTGTAGAGGTTGAATGGGAATTGCCACGAAAGGATCTGTCCATTAGGGTGCGATTTGCTTGTCCCTCAAATGGCTTGACTGGACTTTTAGAACTGCGAGCCTGAAGGCATGGTGTGGCACGGGTCACGTGGAAATCACGATGATCACTTTGCGAAGTGACCAGTGCATTTTACTTGAAAAGGTGAAAGATTCATCGGTCAATTGAATGGATTAGAAATGAGCAATGGCACATGTCAAGGCAGTCTAATAAAGTGTATCAAAAGCAAGTCCCGTCGGCTAATAGAAGAACAAGGGAATAGGTAGATGATGAGGTGAAGAGGGTTAGATGGTGTTAAGTAACAAAATGGAACGCCAATTGATCGTCTTCCAGATGCCGCTTCAAATGCTCTCTCGTGTATAATTTTTCTCCATGACGGTATGAGCTCGTTTCAATCGCATCGAAAAAAATGGAGAATAAAAAAAAATAGAACCCTTCACTTCAGACAAGAATGGTGGGACAAAATAAAAAGGAAAAGGGGGAATTATCTACTTCTTGGCGAAAGCTTGGGCACCATCGACCAAGCGGCGCTCGGTGTTCTGGCGACCGTTGACGAAGTCGGGGTAGTTGAGGGTCAACTCAACAGCACCGTTGACAATGTTGTCAACAGCCTCAACACCGAGCATGAAGGAGTGATCCTGGTTACCGACCTCGTAGCGCCAGCTGCCGAAGCGGCCACGGGACCAGATACCCTTCTCCTGAAGCTTGGGAAGAATCTGGGTGAGGGCACCCTCACGCTCGAGGGTGGGGGTGGGGTAACCGTGGTCGAAGCGGCGGTGGTAGGTAGAGACAATCTCATCACCGGGCTGGAGCATCTCGGTGTTGACGAGACCCTTGATAGAATCGGCAAGGAGGGTCTCGTGGTTGACAGGCTTCATAGAAGACTCGGAAACCTCCAACATGACGGACCAGTAGGGACCGTCCTGAGCCTCGGTGTTCTTGGGCTTGGAGCCGTCAGCGAGCTGAATGGTGGGCAGCTTCTTGGAGGCCTCGGGCTGGTTGTGGGGGAGTAGTTGGAGAAAATGGTGGCACGGTAGAATGGGCAGTCATTCTCGGGGAAGTACAGCCAGCACTTGTCACCGATGCGGTCGGGACGGGCACCACGGATGCCAACACCGATGACGTGGGTGGAGGAGTAGAAGAGCTGCTTGGTGAGGGGCATGAGCTCGGTGTCGTTCATAGCCTCGGCGAGGTAGTCAACGGCCATGGTGGAGACCAGCTTTCCGTAACCAATGGTGGTGCCATCGGCGAGGGTGACGGTCTTGTTGTAGGCGTTGACCTTCTCGACCTTGTTCTTGGGGCCGTAGCGGGTGTTCTCCTTGGGAAGAGTGTTGGCAACAGCAATCCAGATACCACCAGTACCATCGCGAGCGGGGAAACGGAAGGTAGCGTTAGGACCCCAGTTACCGGCGGTCTTGTTAAGGATGACGTTGGTGGTCACGGCCTTGACGTTGGGGGCAGCGACACGCTCACCGAGCCAAGCGCATTGCATCTAATGATAATAGGTTAGTATTGTTTGAAGTCTTGAGAAAAAGAAGTAAAACCTACCTTGGTGGTGGGAACGGCCCAAACCTTGTAGTTGTAGGGTCTCATGAAGAGGTCGGCAATACCAACACCCATCATGCGGACAATCCACTCATCGAAATCCTTAGGCTTGGTGTTGGAGACACGAGCCTCGAGAGCAGCATCAATCATGCCGTCAATGCACTTCACCTGCTCCTCCTTGGGCAGCATGGAGATGTTGTTCTGGAAGGGGTAGGGAACCCATTGCTCCTGGCAGCGAACGTAGGAGATACGCTCGTGGGTGTACCAATCCTCCTCCTTAGGGAGGGCCTCGTTGATGCAGTCATCGAAGTATTTGTAGTGGGAGAAGATAACGTGACCGCCAACATCGTAGAGCTGTGATACAAGTTAACGGTGTGGACATTGACAATTGAGATGGAGTCGCAACTTACGAAACCTTCGGGGGTAACATCAGTGGAAGCCAAACCACCAGGGATCTCGTTGGAGTCGATAATCATCCATGAGGGGCCGTTCTGTATAATACATTAGTTTTTGTTCATCCCCGGATACCCCTCCCCCTTTTTTTGGGGGGTTTTTTTTGGTGCCCCTCTCCGACATAGTAAACATTCAGAAAAAGACTTACAATCTGGTTCAAACGCTTGGCGGCACCCAAGCCAGTTGGGCCAGCACCAATGACGAGAACGTCAACAGAACTGTGAAGCAATTGTTAAGACGTGACGAATGTTGGGGTGTGGGCGAGACCTTACATGTCGGGGTGGGTCATTCTGCCTTGTAGGAGGTCCTGAAAGCTTGGGACTCGTTTGAATGTCTTACGGGCGACGTTCAGCATAGAAGCACAGCTGCAAGAATCTGCAGAAGATCAAGAGGGAATGGAGGGATAATAAAGAAGGAAGAACCAAAGAAGAAGGGGAAGTGGGAGGACAACGTGACAAGCCAAGCTATCTAGACGCATTAACGGATCCGGTGGAGACAGACGTGCCTGTTTCAGCTTTACTGATTCGTGACATTTCTCTTTATTTGTTTTCAATTTTTTAAGATGATCCTTTTTCCTTTTTTTTTTTTTTTGGGAATTAATTTCTTTTTATTTTAATAAACCCTTAAAACTAGGTCATCCTATCATATTGACAGTGCTCAATGACAATTACAAGTACTCAGGGGGAGGCAGTGCTTCAGGGTTCATTTTTAAGAGGAGGATGCAGCACGGAGTAAAAGAACGCGTAAGGTAATCTCATCACGCTGTACTCCGTAGTCATCCTAGGTAAAATCAAACATATCACATTCAGCGTAAAGCCGTTATTGGTTTTGAGCTTATCAGGGCACCCAAAGCAGGGACCTGAAGTACCTGAAATCTGCATTCACCTTTTGCATGCGGGTGAGTTGATATTGGAATTCCCTTGGCGTGTATTAGATAACATTCAGGTCGCCTGGAATGCCCGTTATCATGTCCCATCTCGGGACATTATTCTAGAAGAACCAAAGAGGCGGAAAAAAAAAAAGGGGGCAACTTACAGATAGGGGCAACCATTGAATCTCGATCCAATATGGTCAGGCTAAAAACGCCACCGATGTAGGCATTGGCACGTTGGTTATTGGTTAGGGTTAAATTAGTACATGGTACTGTTTGGATACGGAGTAGTTTGTATGGACCTCCATTGAATAAATTCTGGAACAAATTAGACTATCTTCTACTGATATGTTAGAGATGGTGATCTATGTTTCATCTACATCGATTTTCTTATACGTTACTCCATGCATAGAGTATTGTGTATCATATGCACCAAGTTGTCAATATAATAAGATGATCTCAAAGGCAAATACCCTGAAGCTTCCCGGAGCAACATCCGCAGAGTTGATCGTCCCATCTGGCCTCACGGAGAGGAGATTTGGCGAACCCTCAGTGTACGGAGTACGGAGTACAGGTAGCTGGTTCCACTGATTGTCGCTCCCAAGGAAGTAATCCAACGAGGATCTCTTCACAACCAATATGGATGTTGCCATTGATCTGCTCCTCGAAGGAAAAACTTCTTCGAATCAACATAGAACTTCTACTCTTGAAACACCAACTCCGTGAATCCCAAAAGCTTAGGGGTCTCCTCCCTGGTCCAAGCACAAAGTACTTGTGGGGAGGGAAGTCCCCTGATTGCGTCAGACACCTTTGGAGGGCGGATCGCCGCATTCTCCACCCGTAAGGGACCGAATGAGGACCAAGGTCACTGAACGCGGGCTCTGGTGGGTCTTGGCTAACAGATGCTTGCGTAATGCCTTAATTTGGATCTGCACCTTTCCGGTTTTCTTCAAATTTGGATTTGATGCATTCTGAGATGTTTCTGATGGTATTTGACAAACCTAGAGATATTGAATCAGGTCAGAATTGGAATATGGTTGACATTTAAGTATAAGCAAGTGATGACAATCCTGGAGTGGCCCGGGGAGGATCCACCAGGTTAGGTAATCGGGAATATTTATAGGGAAAAACAGAGAGGAAATGCTCATTTGGGTCATTTCCCAAAGTTGGCCAGACTTTGAAATTAAGAGAGCTAGTAAAGTACCAACGGTATTGGTTCTGGTATAACCAGTATCCATATGAAAAGTATTACATAACGAGGGTGGATAAACTAAGGAAGAGATGATGAATAGAGAGTACAGGTGGCCTTTGCGAATCGGTAACGGTAATTCACAAACTTTCATTACTATGTATATTATGTATTGCATTCGTACACCTTCAAGACTTGCTGTTTGCGGGCAAGTGGATCTATTCTGTCCCTGTGCCTATGCTGTTTTGGTTATCTGGTTCTTGGTCTATTTTCGACTCTCATTTTCTTTATCACTTGGTTTCCCTCTCTCAATTTCCCTTGCAAATCCCAGAGTGTTTGGTGCCGAAAAAAAAAAAAAATTACTCCCGAAGTACGTACCTCATTCCATCCCTTCAACCTTCATCATCATTTCTTCATCTACACTCGTTTTCTATTTATTGCGATTCTTTTGGGCGCACTCGTTAATCGGAGCATTTTAGTGATCATTGCCTTCTAATCTCCATTATCTTGTCCACTTTTCTCCGTGGCTTCCTCCGCATTTAGTCAAGGAAGCCTCTCCCGGCCACGACCTTTTGAATTTAAGCGCTTTTTATCCGATCAATCTAAAACCTTCACAATGAGCGACGGCGAGAAGGTCCGCGCCTCTGGTGAGACTCCTCGGGAGCAGACTCTGCCTACTGTCAACCCCGCAGCGGAGAAGGGAGAGCAGGCCGGCATTACATTCCACCCCGTGGTTTATGTGACGTGAGTAAAATCAAAAGAAAAGAGGTCGGACAGAATTGCTTACATCTTGACAGTTCATGGATCACTCTGAGTTCCTCTGTTATCCTATTCAACAAGTACCTCCTCGACTATGCCAACTTCCGTAAGCCAGGTTGAACATGCATCGTGAAGGGAAATGGTACTAACAATATAACTAGGTTTCCCCATCATCCTCACAACATGGCACTTGACCTTCGCTACCATTATGACCCAAATCCTCGCTCGCACCACCAATGTCCTCGACGGCCGCAAGAAGGTTAAGATGACCGGCCGAGTCTACCTCCGCGCCATTGTCCCTATTGGTATAATGTTTAGTCTGAGCTTGATTTGTGGCAACATGACCTACCTCTACCTCAGTGTTGCCTTTATCCAAATGCTCAAGGCCACCACCCCCGTGGCTGTCCTCCTCGCAACCTGGGGTATGGGTATGGCCCCGGCCAACATGAAGGTTTTGGCCAATGTCTCCATCATTGTGGTTGGTGTTGTCATTGCCTCCTTCGGTGAGATTAAGTTCAACATGGTCGGTTTCTTGTTCCAGATTGGTGGTATCGTCTTCGAGGCCACCCGTCTGGTCATGGTGCAGGGTCTGCTCAGCTCCGCCGACTTCAAGATGGACCCCATGGTTTCTCTGTACTACTTCGCCCCCATCTGTGCTGTCATGAACGGTGCCGTTGCTCTGTTCTTGGAATTCCCCCACGTCACCATGGACCATGTCTACTCGGTTGGTATTTGGGTTCTGGTTCTCAATGCTGTTGTGGCTTTCCTGCTTAACGTCTCGGTCGTTTTCTTGATTGGAAAGACCTCTTCCTTGGTCATGACCCTGTGTGGTGTCCTCAAGGATATTCTGTTGGTCGCTGCCTCCATGTTCTTGTGGCAGACTCCGGTCACTGGGCTCCAATTCTTCGGTTACTCCATTGCTCTGATGGGTCTTGTCTGGTACAAGCTTGGCGGTGACAAGATGCGCGAGTACACTTCTTCCGCTGGCCGTGCTTGGGCTGAGTATGGTAACAACCGCCCTGCGCAGCGCAAGTTTGTCGTCTTCGGTGCTGCCGCTCTTATGTTCTTCCTCTTCATTGGCACTATGGCTCCCAGCTATGCCAATCACTCCGTTGACCGTGTCAAGGGCTACCTTGGTGGTGCCACTGCTGGTAATGCTTAAATGCACTTACCAGACCCTTGGATTTTCAGCTATAAATTGGAACGTTCAAATTTCCACCCACTTTTGAAGCCACAATACCCTTTCTTGGATGAAGTCAGCTGGAATGACAGCGCGAGTGGATAAGTCCAGGCATGTAGCGGTATCTGTTGATTTCCGTCTCGGTAACACAGAGACTGCTGCTTATGCTATCAATATTGTCTTCATAGGCCCGTTGCGGTGCAATGGGTAACGGAGTCGGGTTGCTTCTGGCTGTTTTATTACCAATCTTTTTTGAGCCTGATTTCTGTGATGTATACAGTGACATGAAAGTGTTGTTGCTGGCGGTGTACTATCTTGTTTTTCTACGAACATTGATTGATGTTAGACTTGCACGAGCTCTGGTGTCGGTTTGCCTTGGATCTGATCTTGTGGTCTGTTATGTTTTTCTCTTTTTTTTTTTTTTTTTTTTTTTCCACATTCGTGTCCTTATAGTAACCCAATAGACTTGAATTTATATGACTTCATCTCATGCACGTGATTTGCTATGTACATACCTACACGTGATATGTGACCATCACGTGATGTAATCATCACGGGCCACCAGCCCTGCCCTATAGGCCAATGGTCCCTAGGCTGGATGGATCCAGCTTGACTCCACCCGAGGCGTCTTGGCTGCATGAGCCAATGGTGCCCGTTAATAGCGCATGTATTGATACCGTCACCGGCGATCGGATAGCTGCCTTTTGCTTGTATATTACCGTTCGACTTTGTAACTCCGCATTTCGCGCATCGATTCATCCACTCTTCAGATCGTTCTTTCCTGTCTCACACTCTTACCCTTCCTACTTCGCTCTACTTTTGTTCTTTCCCCCCAATTTCCTTTTTTTCCTTTCCCAATTCTCTCTCTTCTCTTTCAATCCCACCTTTCTCCCCTGTTCTATATCTTTTCCCTCCTTTTTTGAGACACCTTCCACCTTTTACCTCTCGGTCTTACTTCCGTCTCTCTCCAGGTGGTTGAAGCTTCTTGTGTCTTGCTCACCTAATTTAACAGAACAGTTCCCCTTGTCTGAAATCTAAGGCTATATCGAGGCAACAATGTATCCAATGATGCTCAATCGCCTCTCGGACGGTCCGGCCACGGTTCTCTCTCCTCCCCAGGAACACGCCTTCGCTCAGTTCTCCTCTCAGTCCTCTTTACGCGACTCCCCAGGAAGCTTCAACGGCTATCCGGAAACTCCAAACACTGTGTTTTCCAAAAACATCTCTGCGCAGCCTATTCCCTCGAGCTCCAGTTTCTCGTCTGCCCCCGCGGTTCCCAAGCCCTCCCGCAAAAGATCGCGCGATGAGTCCACTTTTGAAGAGGCCGTTGCTCCCAGCGCACCTCCGGTGCCAGCACCCAAAGTCCAGCCTATCTATGGGGAAGGCATGGTTCTTCTAAACTCACAGACTGGTCTTGCAATCTCGGCCGAAAGCCAGACCGGCACATGGTACGAACAAGAAGCCGAGGCGCAACAGGCTGCTGCTGCGCCTGTTTCCTCGCGGTCAAACGCGCTGCTTTCTGATGCTACCGATGTAAGCCGCAAGTCTCAGCGTCTTGATAAATCTGCACCAGGTCTGGACGATATTGCGTTGTCCTCAATCCGCCAACGTCTGGACCATTCTAGCTCCAACGATCAGCATCGCACTCTCAATGCGGGGCCTGCTCCGCCCGCAGAGCCTCTTGTAGATGATGCCACCCGTCTTCTAGGAATTGGTTGGCAACGTGTCAACACCGACGGAGACATGGCTCCTGCTGTTCGTGGCTGGACCAAGTATATCAACAATCAATACTCAGCCCACCTGCACGATTCTCAAATGCTTCTCAAAAGCCGCGCTCTGAATGCCTATCTTGTGACTGCCACTCCAACTTCTGGACACTCGCCTGCCTTTTATCTCTTCACCGAAGACCTCACCCAAGGCCAGCTCGTTGCTTCCTCCTGGGAAGCATGTCTCCAAAACCTTCGTAGCTCTCCCATTATATTCGAGGGCGCTGCTCCCCTCGGAGCTAACGACCGACCAAATGCACAGCCCATCCCCTTCAACTCCATGGACACGGGCGTGCCACTTCTCCAACAAGCCATGTCCAACCACCCTCAAACTTCGAGCCTCGGCGAACTGAGCGGAGGCGCGGAAATGGGAATGGAGATCGACTCGTAAATTCTTCCCAAAACGAATTCCGACTCCCTTCGACTCCGTCCGACCCGACAACATCGATCGATCCGACCCGCCATGAATCGACGTCCAGCCAATTCTCTCGATCGATCTCGGACTTTTCTCCGACTTTTTCTCCGGCTGTTCCATCATATTTTCTTTATATTTTTTTTCACTATTGCTTATTTAGTTATGAGACTCACGCGCCTGACTGACCAGCTTGGCCCAATTCGGTTCTCGCCCAGTGGAGGGTTTGATGGGGTTCGGTGTTTTGCTTTCCCCAATTCTTACGGGAAATGGCCGGCGTCGTAATCTGGGGGTTCTTCAAGTATTGCATGCTTTTGACGAACGTTATCTATCTACGACTATTTATTTCGTCAAATAAAAAAGATTTAAAACATTTTTGGGGATAATATCGCTTGATTGAGCACGCGGTATGATCTACATGGAGTTTTGTCTGACCCGCGAGGCACATTTTGAGGTTGGTATCTATTTTTGAATTTTGGATATTTTGACACAAAGCAGGTTGAAGACAGAGTATATCCATGGCATATGTTTCGTATCTCTCTTATGAACGGAGGTTTTTCACTAGAAAGGTCCAGTATCCTAGGTTTCGCAAGAAATAGTGTCAGTATGCAGTAACTCCTTCTTTCAAGCTTCTGGGCTACTTTTCTCTATGAAATCAACAGACTGTCCTATCTCATTCGCAATCTTATTCAGGAACACCGAAAGCGAGATCCACATAACCAACTACTATGGAGAAAGACCCATTTACTTGGGTCGATGTCGAGGACCACAAGGACGGACACCGAATGGACAAATGGATTGAGCTCGACATTCTCAGAAGACTTGAAAACCTGGAAAAAGAGGTCAGTGGCTTCAGGCAAGAAAAGCCGATCAACCGAGAAGACCACTCCCTTGTTCGACAAGTGGAAATTCTTGATGAAGAGGACAGCCTATGTCACTCCGTTTCTGAAATCGATTGGCTTAAAAAATAGCTCAGCATACTAGGACAAGAAAAGTCGATCAAATGAAAGGATCCCACCTTTATCAAAAGAGTGACAGACCTCAAAAAAGAGGTCAATAGTCTTCGGGAGGAGGTCAGCAGTCTAACCCAAGAAAATTCGATCAAGCGAGAGGATCCCTGCCTTACCCAAAGACCGAGAGCTATCAACGTGGAGATCAGCAGCCTACGTCAATCGCTTGCCCGAGCACAAGCAACCCTCAAAGAAAAGGTCAGCAGCCTAAGGCAGGAAAACTCGATCAAGCGAGAAAATCCCTCCATTATATGAAGAATAGCAGGTCCTGAAGACGCAGTCGAAAATCTCGTACGAAAGAAGAGCAAGGCGAAAAACATAAGCTATGCTCATCGTGAATCTGTCCTAAATTCATGGATTCAAGATCCTTCCTCGGCGATAGGTGGAATCAATAATACAGCCTACGAAGAAGACACCCAGGCCGATATCCAGGCTATCGTTGCCAAAGAAGAGATCGACCCGGAGACTGCTGAACGATGGAAGGTAGTTTTTCTCGATCGGTACGGTCTCCGATGGAGGGTTGACTGTGGGAAAGGAAATGAACTAAAGTTTGTTCATGTTGAGGTGATCCGCTTGGCTCAAGTTCTTCATGGCTGGGGTGAAACACACGAAGATACTTGATATCTGTGATCATTGGATAGGTCGTTGGAGATCTGGCCGGGTGATCTACATCCCATCGGAGGAGTATCGTCAGCTATGCCAACTATATCACTGTGGAACTTGGGTGTGATGTATCATTTCCTTGTGGCTGAAACGATTGCTTTAACTCGTGAAGTCTTGCCTTCAATGATTTCCTAATGACTGAAAAGGAGGTTCGATTGATGCTATGATTTCTCATAAGAACTTGCCTTCTATGGTCTCAGTCATGAAGTAGGACTGTTTTATGTCGTGCAACTTTGGGAGAATAGTCGGGTAGTCTTCTTTTTTTTCTGTTCTTCTCTTTTTCTTTTCAGCATATTTGTTTCCTTCAGTCTTATAAGTACATAGCCTGGGACTTTCTCAGGGAATAGGCGAATAGTAAGTAGGTGGAGGATGGAAGGTTGGTCTAATGACCACCATCATGGTGATCTAGGGGTTTGCCACTACCCAGGTTTAGCAAATGCTTTGCTTAGCGTACATCGATGCAACCGAGCAAAGTGCAATTGCAACGAAAATTAATATGATAATTCAATTCGAAAACCCCAATGCTCGTGTGGGTGAAAAACATGGTATCATCTTGAAGGCCGTGAAAACAGAAGATCAAAGAAAGCAAGTGGATGATGATCGCATCCCGATAACTCCAAATCCGCCGAAAGGACATGACAAATGCTCAACAGTACTCTTGAGTTGGATTTCCTCAGTCATCGTCATCGCCATAATCATAGTCACTTTCGTAGTTGCCTGCAAATGCGTCGTCGACGCCATCATCCTTCTCGTCGTCATCATAATCGTCTTCGTCCTCATCATCCTCCTCCTCCTCAGGTTGTGCCTCGACCTTATTCACGAAGCCATCCTGAGCCATGGCGGGCTTTGCGTCCTGAGACGCGTTTGGAGCAGTAGACGGTGGGGTAGGTAGGGGTGTTGTAGAAGTAGGACGGACGAACTTGGCATCGAACTTGGGATCGAATTTGGCATCGAATTTGGCATCTGATGGAGTTGCACGCCGGGATCGTGCTGCTGCTTCTGGCTCGATGCTGGCGCTGCGCCGTGAGACGACGCTTTGGCTGCGACTTTGGCTTCGGCTCATGCTTTGTGACTTTGCATCTCCCCCTTCGCCGCCGTACAAGGTGTCCAGGAGAGAGTAGTTGATCTTTTTACTGTAACCTCGGCGCTCGAGCATGCGACGTGTTGCCTCAGCCGGGGTCGAGGCACGAGAGCTGCGGCCATCTTCGCCTTCGCCCTCCAGGTAGGTAACATCTCCAAGACGGCCACGGCGACGCTTGCGTGGTTTACGAGGTGCGCCTCCACCGTTTGCCTCTTCCATGGCCCGCTTGAGTGCTTTGGCTTGTTGGGTGCGGAGATACTCCTTGTTTTCCGTCACCCAGATTGACTCCTTGATTTCGACTTCGGCAGGCATGAGCAGACAATTGGCGACTTCGGGGTCATCTTCAAACTCAGCAGCGTCGATTTCAGTGTTGTCGGAAACAGTGGTCCGCGGCGGTTGGTCGCAGCCAACACTCTCTATCATGGTTGAGCCTTGAGCAAGCATAGACCGCATTTCATCTTCTAGCGCCGCTTCAGATGCGACCTGCTCGGCAGAAGGTTCTGGCGTGGGCTGTCGCTTGCCCTTGCCCTTGGAGTGGATCGGTTCGTTTTTGATATCCTCAACAACTTCGTTCACTGCCTTAGCAATTACTGATGCACGTCGAGGGTGACTATTCGCAGTCAAAGCAGGATCAATCGGAAGTTTGGGAATAGCGAAGCCGTCGGCATCTACACGATGCGGCTGCACTGATTCCGCTTCACTTTCGGCTGGAGAGTCGTCATCTTCGAGTTCGGCCGCAGTGTCTGGCAGCTTCTTGAAGCGGCTTTTCCGACCTTCTCGCCCGCGAGTGAAGGATGGGGGATCGTGTGTGTTCTCTAATTGGACTGATCGAAATTGATCAACGGTCAATTCACCACTCTCAGTGGAGCCGAATTCGTTCAAACGCTGGCTGATAGTTGTTTCGGTTACTTTGACAATATAGACGACCTCACGCACGGTTCGGCGGAAGTTATTCATGCGCGCGGCGAGAATCAGTGCGGCACCACAGAGACCAGCTGGGCGTCGACCGGTAGTCATCCAGTCGCGGTTCATTCGTTGAACGATTCTGACTGCCTCACCAGCCACCGCCATAAGAGACGGTCCGAATTCCAGCTGTTTGGCGAAACGATAAATCAAACTTTCGGGGTCGATGGGGTTCATGAGAAAGACGTTGCCACCTAGGCGGAGTTCATCGAGAAGCGCCTTATATGTACGACCAAGTTTAAAGACGTTGATCATCAACACATCGGCAAAATCAATCAGCATGACGGTATTGCCATTCTGGCGACGGCATGCAATGTACAGGCAGACCGCAGCTACCGTCTTGGTGCGACGACCTTGAATGAAGTTGAGTCCCACAGCAAGCTTGAAGACCTGACCAGCAGCCTTGGTTGCACTTTCCGGGATAGTCAAAGCTCGAGAAAGTTGAAGCATATATCGGTTTCCATTTTGTTCGGTCATTTCCCGGCTCTCCATGGCGCCCCCACGCTGGAAACCCGGACCATAGCTGCGTACATGGGTCTGATCTTCTCCGACGAAAGATCCCTGCACAACAGCTGCACCAGACGAGGATTCACCGAATGTGACCTCAGAAACAATGTTGTTCTCGCTGATGACTGTACCACAACCAGTACAGACCTTCACGCCTCCATCATCCACAATATGCGGAGCAGGACACCCTGGGTTTGGACAATTAGATGTTTTAGGGTGTGTTGTCGGGCGGGGTGGCTGAGGACGTCCAATAGCCGTTGGACGATTTATAGGTGTCGAGTTGGGAGGTTTAAGACTGGCCAGTCGTCCCACAGGAGGCCGGGGCCCGCGGGGAGGGATTGGACGCGCGCCGGATCTGGGTGCCGACATTTTGGTTGAAGCGGAAAGTAAGAAGATATTAGAGAATGAGTGTAGACAGGGGCACTCGATTGAGGCCTAGTCCTTAAATCTTCAGAATTCCTCGAATGAGCGTCGCGGTTTTTTTTTTTGTAGCGAAAGGTTTATCAATTGTCACGAGAGTCGCGATAAGGATGAAAGTGGAATGGAGAGGAAAAAGTATTCGACCTGCTTATGTAACATGGAATCTGCAGAGCTCCAGAGCTGCATTCGAACATACGGCATAGAGGTTTGAATTTACTTGTATGCCAATAACTGAAATCTGAGTCAAAGCCAGGTGAACAATTTGCTCAATCAAATCCCTTTGTCTATTGTTGATTGCTTTGTGAATCGACTGGATTCCATTGGTGAGTCACGTGATACTGGATGGTCAATGGCACGCTAGCCCAATCCGGGTTAGTACCATCTGATATTTGTCGCCCGCCACCGTGCCTGAGGTTCTAGGATGATCCATGATCAACGACCACAGCATTATCGGACTTGATACTCACACGTGGAGTGGTTGATATTACAATTTTGAATACGGGAATCTGGTCTCATTCTTGATTGCCAGCCTCGACACTAGTGGAATACTACAGGCGCCGCAGGGGTGATCGAGATGTCTGGAATGCGGTATTTGTGCGTGGTTTGGAGTCATCACGCACAAATATCGCATCTCAGCCATGTTTCAACCAATCCATCCACTTCTAGGATTTTCCTTTCTTTTCTTCATGAGTGAAATAAAATATTGGATTGCGAATTAGATCCCGTTCCCGGCTTTTGCTTTATATCATAAAACGCCGCTGGTCGCTCTTCCCTTGATACAAGACTGCTCCATGAACACATAATCCCACCGATTGCCTGTATCCAACCTGAGTCGAACAAGATCCTTTCAATATCAACTCTGTGGAAGGGCTACAAAGACCGAGGTATCCCACACTATACCGCATCTCTGAGCTGCATAGATCTCCGTCGATCATGTCTTCAGGATCCAAGCACCAGTCTTCCGACCTGGAGGCAGGCCACCGGGACTTGAATACCCAGACCAGTCTCTTTTTTGTAACGAATGTGCACTGCGCATCATGTGTTGCATATATCACCGAAGTGCTCTCGGAGACACCTTCAGTTGGAAATATCGAAGTCACAATCTTGACGCATGAAGTACGTGCAAGCCATAGTACCACTGTTCGGCCGGCCGACCTCGTCAACGCGTTGATTCATGCCGCATTCGAAGTACACTATGTTACAACATTTGACCAACGAGGAAAGCCCATTGCGGAACTCGATACCTCTTCCTGGAACTACCGCGGCTCCACGCTGTTTTCCTCGCCGCGAGCCTCTGTTTCTAGTATCTCATCCAACATTAAAGAGCGAATCCAGTCCAACAGTCATAGGAGACATATTGCCAACTGCGATGCATGCAAGAAGGAAGAACTAGAGGCCCTTTCTCGTCATTCTTCTTCTCGAACGGAGTTGGGACTTTTGGACGAGAAGTCCTCACAGGCACCCTTCCGGCCATTGAGCAAGCACCCCAAAAAAAGACATCACTGTTACGAATCTTGAAACAACATCAGAGAATGCTGGGCAGGAGAGCCTTCGTTCATTCAATACTTCAGAAACAGAAGTTCAACCTGATGTGTCTGCTCCAAAACTACCAACGGACATAGCAGAACCTCCCAGTCCATCCGATGAATCAGCCGACGAGTTCACCGCACAGATCAGCATTGGAGGAATGAGCTGCGCATCATGCGCCAACAGCATCACCGCACAAGTCCAACAGCTTGAGTTTGTGAAGGAAATCACCGTTAATCTTCTCACCAACAGCGCAACCGTAATTTATATTGGACCCCGCGGTAATTCCTTGGAGATTGTTGAGCAAATCAATGACGCTGGATTCGAAGCATCTCTCGACGAGGTGAACCAGCTACCGAGACCACCGGCATCTGCAGAGCGGGCAGCAAACTATGTCAGCGAGATTGCAATTACCGGCATGACCTGTGGCTCTTGTGTCGGAGGAGTGACTCGAGGACTTGAAGAACTTCCTTTTATTCACGATGTGTCTGTGAATCTTCTTTCCCATAGCGGGAGGGTGGAATTTGAAGGTCGAGACAATCTTGGTAAAATTATAGAGAAGATTGAAGACCTTGGATACGATGCAACCGTCAATAGTGTCTTCCCAATGAAAGTTGGCACCGAAAAGCTTAGCGCCGCTCAGATTAGAACGATCTCTATACAAGTGGATGGAATGTTCTGTCACCATTGCCCACAAACTGTTTTGGGGGCAGTGAAATCTGTTCCCGGGGTCACCATCGAAGAAGCACTCTCCGAGAAGACTCCCATTCTCAAAATCACGTACACTCCACAGCCACCTCTGCTCACCCTTCGCACAATAATCTCAGCGATCAACTCGGCAAATGACAATTTCCGCGCGACTGTCTATCACCCGCCCAGCATTGAAGATCGGTCTCGTGCGATCCAGCATCATGAAAGGAGTCGTCTGTTGGCACGATTGCTTTTCGTCTTCATCACTGCCATCCCGACTTTCCTTATAGGCATTGTATTCATGTCTCTTGTCTCCTCTGAAAACTCCGTTCGAATGTATCTCGAGCAACCTATGTGGGCTGGCAGTGTGACCCGCATCGAATGGGCGCTGTTCATAATGACAACTCCGGTCATGTTCTACGGCACTGATGTGTTCCATGTCCGGGCTCTGAAGGAAGTCTATGCGCTATGGCGGCCTGGAAGTCGGGTGCCGATCCTCCGGAGATTTTACCGTTTTGGCAGTATGAACCTTTTGATCTCTGCAGGCACATCGGTGGCCTACATCTCATCTCTGGCGGTACTTATCGTCGACGCATCTGTGGGTACCAAGTCTAGCGCTCATAGCACGACTTATTTCGACTCGGTCGTTTTCTTGACTCTGTTCATTCTTGCTGGTCGATTCCTAGAGGCCTACAGCAAAGCCAGAACTGGCGATGCTGTCACGTCTTTGGGAAAACTTCGACCTTCAGAGGCACTGTTGTCTGATGAAGCGTCCGAGGGTGGAGTGAAGCGTACGAGTGTTGACCTTCTGGAGATTGGTGATGTCGTGAGTATTCCTCATGGAGCCTCGCCTCCTGCAGATGGAGTTATCGTCGACAGCGCGTTATACCAATTCGATGAAAGCTCTTTGACAGGGGAATCCCGACCGGTCAAGAAAACGGTGTATGACATAGTCTATACCGGCTCAGTCAACGTCGGCCAGCCAGTAAGAATCCGCATCACTGAGCTCGGCGGTTCATCTATGCTTGACCGAATCATCGCCGTGGTTCGTGAGGGACAAAGCAAGCGTGCACCTCTCGAAAGAGTTGCTGATCTTCTCACTTCACATTTCGTCCCTATTATCACTTTGATCGCCATCTCGACTTTCATTATCTGGTTGGCGCTTGGTCATTCAGGTGTGCTCCCCGCAGATTATCTCGATGTCGCACACGGCGGCTGGACATTCTGGGCCTTGGAATTTGCCATCTCAGTGTTTGTGGTCGCTTGTCCCTGCGGCCTGGCCCTTGCAGCCCCCACGGCGCTTTTCGTTGGGGGCGGCCTAGCGGCGAAACATGGTATTTTAGTCAAAGGTGGTGGTGAAGCCTTCCAAGAAGCCAGTCGCTTGAATGCAATCGTCTTTGACAAGACAGGCACATTAACTGAGGGCGGAAGTCTCAAAGTTTCCGATCATGAAGTCTTGACCAGTGACCTAGAAGTTGCGAAAGTCGCATGGGCCCTGGCTCGGAAAATGGAAGAGAGCAGCAATCATCCGATTGCCCAGGCAATCACTGAATTCTGCAAAGCACAACAATCTTGCTCTGTCAAGTCGTCAGATGTTCATGAGATTTCAGGGCAAGGCATGAAAGGAATTTTTACTGTGTCTGGCTCCGAGCACGAGGAGCAGTATGAAGCTGCAATCGGCAATGAACGGCTTCTCAAGAGTCTCCTATCCCCCGAAACAGACACATACTTCATTTCCAATTTGTTGGCGAAATACCAGTCAGCAGGCAAGTCGACTGCAGTTCTCTCACTCCGTCAAGTACACACTCAGTCCACCAAACCATCCAACTTCATACCTGCCATTATCTTCGCCACATCAGACACGATTCGCCCGGAAGCTGTCGAGATAATCTCTCAGCTTCAGAAGCGTCACGTCGATGTCTTCATGTGCACTGGCGACAACCAAACCACCGCACACGCTGTCGCAGATATGATAGGCATTCCGCGCTCCAAGGTAATGGCCAACGTCCTGCCAGCGGAGAAAGCCAGCTTTGTTCGTCAGATTCAAGATCGTTCGCCAGATAAAACACCGGCCGATGGCAAGACCACTATTGTAGCCTTCGTCGGCGATGGAGTGAACGACTCGCCTGCTTTGGCAGCAGCAGACGTGAGCATCGCCATGGCATCTGGTTCCGACGTCGCTATCAACTCTGCCAGTTTTATCCTCCTCAACTCAGATCTCAGCACAATTTTGCAGCTGGTCTTGCTCAGTCGCCGCGTATTCAATCGCGTCCGTATGAACTTCGGCTGGGCGGTCATCTACAATCTCTGTCTGGTTCCGGTTGCTGCCGGTGTCCTTTATCCTATTGTTAGTGGCCATCATGAGAAGAATATTGATGGCCACATGATCATGGCCAGTGAGCACTGGCGACTGAGTCCAGTGTGGGCTGCTCTGGCCATGGCATTGAGTAGTATTTCTGTTGTGCTGAGCAGCTTGGCTTTGAGAGTTGACAAAGAAAGTATAATGAAGATTGTGAGAAAGAAGGAGTAGATATTTTGGCATTCGTTTATTACATCTAGCGTTATTATTTTATCTAATATCTAATACATGAATGAATCCAGTACTCTTGGAAGTCTGTTTCCAAAGTAACCTCAATAGGAGACATCTCTAATCCAGATGCACCTCGCCCCAAACTTCCGCAATCCGCTTGCTAAGATCTTTAGCAATCTTCTTCCGCCCTACGACTTCTGACATCCGATTCGCTATCATCATCTCTCGCTCCTTAGGCTCTAGAGCCATGTAAGCATCCACCAAATGCCTCGGCGTTGGCCAGATCTGTTGGATCTCAAGGGCTTTTTCGCCCGTCACGCCACGGGTACACATGAGCATTTTTAGAAAAACGTCACGAAGGGTAAGAACATCGGACTTGGAGGTGAGTGCGGAGAACGTCACGAATGAAACTCCGTACGTGATGGTCGGGTCTTGAGAGCGGAGATTATCGAGGATGGTGAGGTAGGAGTCAGTGGCGAGACGGCGACCGGGGATGAGCCCAATTTTGGATACTGGAGATGGAGGAACTGTGCTACGGTTGATATTGTTACCGGCGTCTCCGATAGAGGTCGCATCTTCGACCCCGTACATCTTCCGTAGAAGCAGAGTCATGCGTGCCAGGTACCGGATTGACTCATCCAAATGTTTTGTCTTTTTGATAAAGTATTGATTAACCACCTGTGTCGAGGCGATGGCTGACGCAACCATCTCCTGGTATTGCGTTGCACTCCCGCTAGTCGAGTCAGGATGTGTGACTGCAAACTCTTCGATCAAGTAGATGACATTCTTGATGCCAGAGCGACGGAGTCGGAATTTTTGCTCGTGGAAACGGCCGTCTTTAATAGATCCAATCAGATCGTCTAGACGCTTTCGCTCAACGATCCAGTCCAGCATCACTTCGTCACCTTCTTCGCCGTGTCTTGTGAGGAAGTTTGGGTCATGGCACTTGGCTACCCACATCGCGTCGCCGACTTCCAAGGCGCGTACTTGCGGGGTGATCCCTTGCTTCATCAGTTCGCCGGAGATATAGTCCCGGTCGGTGGAGGTGCGGACCTCTCGGGTGTCTATTACGAGCTGGATAGTGAAGCTCTTAGGTGGGAAGAAGATGGGCTCGATGTTGGCGATGTCGTGTTCGGATAAATTTTCTTGGGCGTCTGCCGACGGACCGTCATCTTGTTGGAGGGAGTCAAGGTCTGTTGTCAATGCTTCTTGCTGAGACTCAGTTGTTGTAGTAGCCTGGGAGCCGGACGTGGTGGTTTGAGCAGCGCCAGGTAACGTCTTTTGGAGACGTTTGACGACCTCCCATCCTTCTTCGGAAAGAAGATACTTTCGTAGTGGACGCCCGTGTTCATAGACTAGGTCTTTCTGGATGAGTGTTTTCATTGAATTCCACGCGGTGTAGAACTTGGTCGGGTCGGGGGGTGCCGTGAACGAACTGTCGCAGTATGGCTGGGCCACCTCGATCAGGTGAGCCTTCGTCATCCCCTGGGATGCATTCTCATCTTGGGTTCCCAAGCCCAACATCAGTGCATATGGACCTGATCGTAGTGTTGGTACATACGGCTTGGCTTTCCGAGGCTTCTTCACTGGTTGATCGACGCCGCCTTCGGAGGTTCTCTTTCCACCTAGTTGACATACTTGAGTGTCGGGTTTCTTGAACCAAGGGGTAGCTAACACCACAAACCTTTGTCAGGCGGTTCTGGCATTGGAAGGCCATTTTCTTGGCAGTGAGCCTTTAATTTATCAGTCAAGCGGTCACACAATTTAGGACCCAGTCCATTCAATTGCTGTGCTTGAGATGGGTGTTGGAATTCTAACGGACAGGCTTTCATTGATTCATAGGCCTTCTTGTATCTGCAAATTGTCAGATATAGTCTTTTCCGAAGGGCGCCAAGAGGTACATACACTGTCACGCCTTTGCTGTTTCGTTCTCGAGCTTGATCCAGCCATTCTTTTATCCACCCCAAGAGTAGAGGGTTTGCACACACCTCGCTCATGATGAGCCGAGTGTCCAGTGACTAAGTGGCAGAACAGAAGAGCGAATTATCATCCAGACGAGTTCTGGCCGGTTGACGCGAAGTGATGTTGCCTTTTTGGGAACGCGACTGGCACGTGCCGATAAGAGAGATAAGAAGGTGGTTGCGGGCAGATCGGGCGGGATGGACCGAGGGCTGTCATCAATGTTAGGACTGCTCTTAATCTATCTTCTACTTGATTCGCAGATCTACAATGGGCTCGGCATATCATCTACATGGATTTATCTTTTTTATTCTTCATACGGCGGTTGGAAATTAATTAGGATTTGATAAATTCCGTCCACTGGAACTCGTGCAGCCGTGTAGTTGACTCAAACAATGGTCGGGTCTATATTCCCGTGGTATTTTTTTACCAGTCAAATTTCTATTATCGCAGTTGCTTCTATGTGAGGTGTTACTTCAATTGATCCAACTTTGGTCAGGACCTGTTCAATAGTGTTGATTGCCACCATTACCCTGATCCGAGGAAAGATGACGTCGACAATCCAATCGCAACCGACGTGTATAAGACAGGTTCCAGCACCCATGGGTAACCTTCCCTACCAAGCCAATGCGGCCAAAAATAAACAAACATTCTTCTCAAATTAGCCACGGCAATTTTATAACGATCATAGGCAATGTTATCCGCCTCGATCGACGGCGCTGGACCAACTGACAGCCATGTGCTGGCTCAGGTGGAGCAAGATGAGAAAGGCCTCTCACAAAAAGCTGGCGATACAGCAGAAATCACTAATATCGGGTGGGATGAACCTCCAGATGCTATCGAGGAACCCTTAGTGGCTGGACTCTCAAATGAGGATTTGTGGATGCTCATTAGACGATTTGACAAGGTATGTACTGAGCAGCCTACATGAAAATGTGCGAAAGGTTGAGACTAACCGTGCCATTTCCCTCTTCAGCAAGTCTATCGAGTTCAAGCCGTTCCCGATGCTCCCGTGCAGAGACTGGATCTCACACGCAAAGACGACGATGAATTTTCCCCGGACAAACTCAGGGCCACACTTGAACGTTTCTATGTAACTGTTATTGTGGGCTTCACCAATTGTATCAAACATATTGCTCGATTGCGGTCTTGGAAGGAGCCGCGACGGACCGCGATATTCTGCACGGCATGTCTTCATTCCAGAGAAATTGGAAATATATTTGTACCTTTACTGACTTGATTCAGGCTTACTTCTTATCATGGCTTCTCGATCTGCTCATGCCAGCTACGCTGGTCACCCTAATTGCCCTGGTGGTTTACCCACCATGTCGATCACTTATCTTCCCTCCCGCTCCAATCGCTCTTGTCAACAAGGATACGGGTGGTGTACAAAAGCCAATGGCGGGGATTCTTGGATCTGACGACAGTATCACTGGAGCCCCTGAAAAATTCAAGGGCGAGGCAGCCGAGCAAGAGGCTAGTAATCTTGTTGCAGGAGTTGCCAGCGTGGCTGTCGGAAGCGCAGTTGGAAAGCATGATCAAGGAGTCCCTGAGGATGCACCACTCGATAAGGATGTTCCAGACGCGATGGAAATTGTTGCCGATACTGCCGATGCGCAAACCGCTGCCCATGGAAGGGTGCCGGCAGACTCCCATGACAAAACAAGACAGCCTATGAAGCAGAGCGTGATGGATGCCGCGAACCTTTCAATGCAGGTGGTAGGCGACATCACAGATACCTATGAGAAGCTGGCCAAGTAAGTGAAGAGATTGTGGCTCTCTTGAGCATGAATCGTGGTTAATTTTATTTTATCTAGTGCTCTATCCCCCACATCCCCTTTTCCTCAAATGAGTCCTCGTCTGCGCCTGGCGGCTGTGCTAGGCCCAGCATTTCTAGCCTCAACACTGACATCTTGCTACGTCTTTATGAAGCTCAGTACATTTTTGATCGGGATCGTCTTCTTTGGAGACCCTGCCATCAGACGAGGGATTGCACAATTGAATAGCCGCTTCCCGAACTGGCAGAAGCTCATACAGTTGCAGAAGTATGCCTCTTGAGCCATTGACTTACACATAATACTGATGATCCATAGTTCCGTTTTGAAAGGTATTCCAACAAATGCTCAGCTGACTGTTACCCTTCTCCGAATCGGCGAGGCCAATGCATCACCACTTCCACCCCCTCCAACCACACAAGACAAAGTGCCCTCGCGGCCAGCTTCCTTACATCACGAGGAAATCCCCCTTGGCGCTACTGACGAGGAAATTAAACAAGCTGCACTGGTCAAGCCTGACGACCATGTCCAGGAGGTCCAAGCTTTGCCAGAGAAAAGCCATAAAAGGACATTGGGTTCTAGCATCCTGGGCTTCTTTCGAGGTACTACGGCCAGTGGTGTCGAGAGCAAAAGAGGGATCGATCGCTTGCGAGCAGCGGTTGGTTCACACCAAGCCAAGAATCGTGTCGGCGTCCTGCGTGATAGAGGCAAGAAGATAACACCAGGTGGACCCGTAGCGTTTGACGCTCGATGCAAAGGCAAGCGTGGCACTGTGATTATTGACTCAAGCAAACAGCCTGCCTTGCTGTACTTCACGACTGATACACCACAGCAAGGAGACGAACAGGTGGAGCATCGGAAGGTTGGATCGGTCCTGTTCACTATGCCGGTGACTGATATCCAAGAGATGCGAAAGTTAGGAGGAATGGGATGGAAGGGGAAATTGGTTGTTGGTTGGGCCCTTGGTAGTAAGGAGGTGGTCGATGGTTTGCTCATCACTGGCAAGAAGCCAGGGCAGAAACATCAACTTACTGCCATGGGGACACGGAATCAATTGTTCAATCGGCTTATTGCCATTGATGGACAGGTTTGGGCGAGCTGTTGATTCGAAGTCCCGAATGCGTGCTAAGTGAATCCCAGGTTTGGAAATGATATCCCCGAGATTTTGGTCGGTGTCATACCGTCTGCTATGTTTCATTGAGCAATGTATAAAGATATCAATAGCGTCTGAGCGTGTATGAGCCGATTAAATAATGCAACTTATTCTGACTCGGCAATCGGACAATCGTAGTACCTTCTGACTTTGCCTCCGGAAGGGCATCAGATCAGTAAAGCGTAACCTGATTGATCTCAAATCTGCCATTCACTCTACTCCAAAATTTCAGACCAAGTTATCCAAAGTATTTCAATTGATCAGACTGCATACCATCGGTCGTGGTGGGCTGGAAATCTAGAAATATTCCCACAAGGCTATATACAGCATGCCATATGATCGAAGCACAACGCATTCCACCGTTTGGAGAATTAACCCAACACCTTATTCATACTTTTTGCCCACAAGAGATCAAACAAAAGATCATCGACAGTGAGCCGGATCGAGACTGCCTAGTTCGACTTTATTTAGGCAGACGTCGAACACACAACCGGGATTCCTCAACCCTCTCACGGCTCAAGCATTCTCTTGGCGAAGTTGCCCGCTACATGAAGACCGGCTAGAGGAGCTCGCAATCTCTTAAAAGTCCGTGGTAGATACCGTGAGAATTATGCGATGTCTTACCCCCAGGATACACATGGAAAGGTCGCTTTCACAAATTAAGTCTCTTCTTGCTTTCTTCCCTGTCTGTCTGTAAAACTGGAAATGGCGAAAGAAAATCTTTGAAAGAGGGATCTCGACAGAATATCTGAGAAGACCACTGTAAGGCCGCACAAGCGGCCGTGTCCATTTGTAAATCATATTTGAACAAGCGAAAAGATCACTTCGGGCACAGCAGTCGAAACGCTATCGGCTCAGTATATTCCATCCTATTCACAAGCAACAAGCCTACATTAGCATATATAGTCTCTTGATAAAATCACAATTATCCGACTTACATCTTCCAGCTCCGCCTCCAAGATAATTTCTACCATTTTATTAATGGCCGCTCCACGCTCTTCTTTAGTCAAACAGCCGATCTTAACGAGCTCAGTAAGAGCCTCCCCAACCCAGTTCTGACAGTTCCAGTCTCGATCGTTATTGCTGTTGCGCACCGACGTGCTAGCACATGCAAGAATGATCTTCGTCTTGGTGACAGATTCCGGCGTTGTACATACAGGAATCCAAGCTATTGGCTGCTCTGACATGGGGTTCTCGGCGTCTTTTTGGAATTTAAAAAAAGGGTGTGCGCCGGCAACATGAAGCCAGTCATATTGACCGTCGGGGTAGAGGGCGTGCAGTGCTGTGTGTCGGTATTTGGAGAAGTCTACTGGCACGCCTTTGTACACGAGGATAGAGATTTGTCTCGGCATGTTCAAGGGATTGATTGTCCGGAGGGAAAATTATAGAATATCTCACCAAGTCGCTTTTTCGACGAGTATGTTGAGAGTGGAGAGATGTTGGGTTGTTTTAGGAAAAGCGGGCGGTGGTGCTTGGGCTGACAACAGTCTTTACTGGCCGTGGACAATCCTGGTCTATATCAAAAATCACATATGCGCTCATTGCCTCTCTTGAATGGCAAGATGGCAGAGAGTTTAAATATCAACCAATGAATGATATCAATGAGATTCTTAAATTTGAAATAATAACTATTGTGTCAATGACTGTTGATAATCCCGCACGGTCTGCTCAAAGGACTCGTCGCGTTTGAACCCCAAGGAAATAGCTTGAGTGTTATCAAACTGCGTCGGCCACGACTTCAGGATTGGGACCAGCGCAGAATCCTCCTTCTCTGTAAGCAGAGCCAGCTTATCTGCCCCGCCCACTGCTTCTAATGCATCCATCATACCCTGGACTGTGACGCAGATTCCGGGCACATTAATCTGGCGAATGTGCGGGGGAATGGAATCAGCAGGAAGACGGAGAGTGAGAAGCAGATTTTCGACGAGGGTCTTTGGCGAGCATAGCCAGGATTTGAACTGTCGGTCTTCAATGGGAATCACACATTTCTTGCCGTCAAGTGGCTCCCGGATCATACCAGAGAGGAAGGAGGAAGCTGCAGCGGTAGGTGCACCCGGTCGGACGGAAATGGTAGGGAATCGCAGAGTGAAGCCGGTAATGAACTTTCGGCGAGTATATTCGTTCACCAGCGTTTCGCACACAATCTTCTCGGCACCGTAGGAGGATTCCGGAGTTGGGATCACACTGTCAGTCACAATCTCTGGCAATGGTTGACCATATACGGCCTGGCTGGACGAATAGATGACCCGCACTCCTGGACAAGTGAGTCGGAGCGCCTCGAGCAGATTGCGGGTTGCATCAATGTTAACACTCATACCCAGCTCGAAGTTGGCTTCGGAGCCGGAAGACATGATGCCGTGGAAGGCATAGACGGCGTCCAAGGAAGAATCAACAATGGTATTGGCTTCTGTCAAGAGATCGGCCTTGATTGCCGTTGCTGATTGGGGATAGCGAACGCCCGCAGGAATTGGGGGTTGATTGATATCGGTCAGTGTGACGCGATAGTCTGGGTCATTTAATAGCTCCTTTGCAAGCAATTGACCGATGAAACCGGCAGCGCCAGTGATGAGAATATGCATGTTTTTTTTGTAAAAAAAAGTGTAGTAATGAACAGAGAATATGGGCAAGGTGTTATAAGTTGAGTCTCCGCAATTCGCATCAAGTCCGAGGCGATCTCCAGCTGGTCCTCCACACCGGACTTGGGCCGGGCACAATGTCCAAGTGGATCAGCGGAACTGCCTTGGAGTCTTTCAGGGCCCGGGTCCTCTTTCCTTTGGGGTTAAATCCGGGGGAATATCGTCTGTGACCAGCGATTCGAAGTAGGCGATATACCATCTCTTGATGGAGCATATTCAATTCTAGTTACCCACGCCTTCAAAAGTCCACATTCAATGGTGTATAGAGACAAAGATCCAAAGTGTGTGGATTTCGGGAAATTCACGCGGGGGCCCAAGTCACCCAATTTGTTTTCTTTTTTTCTTCTTCTCTCTTGATATCACCCCATTGGCTATAATCTCCTTGAGTACGGTATAATTTCAATTTCTTTCTCGGCATTGTCCAGATCGCTGTACTCCGACCCTTTTCCCCCACCCTGGAGAAGTTTTTACCCCTAACCCGCATGCCGGAGTATCACCGATTCTCCAAAGCATCACATCATGGATACCACTCCACTGAAGCGGTCTCCTGCTGACGCTGGATTGGAGTCGCCCCGGACCAAGACACGGTCTATTCCTAAGATCTCCAAAGCTCGTGCCTGTGAGTCTTCCCCCACATAATCTCCGAACTGCATTAACGGGGAATAGGCGCAGAATGCAAGCGTCATAAGATTCGCTGCGAGTTTCGACCAGGAGAATCAACTTGCACAAAATGTACCCGCAGCGGTATAAAGTGTGTCGTAAATGACTTTTCACAGAAATTCGTTGACGATGATGGAATGTATGTGTAACCCCGCCCCGGCCCTTTGGTGAGCTTTGGAGCTATCAGGGGCTGCGCTAATTCAATGCCTCTGGTATAGATGGAAATCACAGGCCAATGCGACTATGCTCCAGCTGCAGGCGGCTGTTTCACATCTATTGCGACAAGGCGGATTGCCGGAGCTCTCAACCTATGCCCCCGGGGACACTGTCAATGGCCCTAGTCCTGCCGAGTCATACCATGCCCACCATCCCTCAGTCGATCGGTCGCAGACACAACCCAGTCACCAGGAGGGATTGAGAGTTGTAATGGATGTTACCCGGGAGCCGTCACCGGAGCAGGATCTCCAAGACCCGGATTTGGTCCCTGCTCCTATGCGCAGTCTATACGAGGTCACTAAGTTACGAAATCTCAGAAATAATCATGTCGAGGCACCGAAACAGACGTTGCTGGAGGAAGATTTCATCTCGCGACGGTTGATATCCCTCCACGAAGCGGAGGAATTATTCGCGTACTTCAGTCGCACTATGAACCAGCTACTGTGGGGTGGAATAATTCTTGTACACCGCGATTTAACATCCGTCCGTCGTGCGTCGACACTTCTTTCTGTTGCGGTGCTGACTGTCGCGGCACTCCATATTCCGAACCGCACCGAAACCTTGAACCGGTGCTACACCGAGTATGTATCGCTCGTGTCCAGTATGGCCCTCACGCGGGCCCACACTCTGGATGACATCCGAGGCCTCTGCGTGGGTGCATTCTGGCTATCAGAGCTGAGTTGGAAGCTGTCCGGGCATGCGGTACGAATTGCGACCGAGATGGGCCTCCATCAAAGTTATCAGCGCCTGACTCGTGGACACACGGATCAGTATGAACGCGCTCAGCTCTGGTATCTGCTTTATGTGTGTGACCATCACTTCAGTATTGCCTATGGGCGACCGCCTGTTATCCACGAGGATGTGGTGATCCGCAACTATGAGACATTTCTTGCGCTGCCGATGATCGTTCCCGGGGATATTCGACTTTTAGCTCAAGTTGCCCTCTTTATGATTTTGACCGAGGCATACCGAATGTTTGGTAGTGATACTGAGCAAGCGTTGACCGAGGACGATTTTGGACAGTTGCGCGTATACAATGTCGCCGTAGATCAATGGCGACTTCTCTGGCAACCTCGATCTGGTGAGTGATTTCTCAGGCTAATGCTCAGCAACTATCGGTCCTAACATACCATGGAATGCATTACAGCCGATAGCGCCTATGTGCGGACTTATCCATCCAAAGGGGTGGTTCTGCACTATCATTTTGCAAAGTTCCAGCTGAACTCGCTTTCGCTTCGTGCGCTCTCCCCATCCAACACACCTGTATTTTCTATGGATCGCAAGGAATCGGCCAACATCGCAATTTCCTCGGCGATGGCATGTCTCAATATGGTTCTCGAAGAACCTGATATTCGGGACGCAATCGTCGGTGTTCCAATCTTCACCCACACTATGGTTACATTCTCCGCTGTTTTCCTCCTCAAGGTCGCAATCAATTGGAACACTGCTTACCTTAGCATCAACCCCCGCCAAGTCCGCCGGCTAGTTGAGCGTGTGATCGAATTGATGAATTGTGTATCTGCAGGAGAGCGACATCTTACTCGACATATCGCACGTGGATTGGGCAAGATGCTTGACCGATTCGACGCTTGGGAGGCTGCTTGGCAATTCCAGAGCAAAGATACTGCAGTGGAAGGCCGTGAGGTCCCTGGGGGAGCCAACGCAATGGCGCAGGGCTTCCCTCCACCAGATCTGATCTATGGCATGGTCGGCACATACGGATTTGGTCTTGATGAGAATCTGCTAGATCCGAGTATGGCAGATTTTGACTTTCTCGCGCAATGACTATAAGCATTCCAATAGAAAGGCTTAAATCGATCCAAACCCGGGATCTCAGGAATACCAAGGATATCAAGATCTGAAACATTTGAATATCCTAGATGAACATGGAATGTAAATAGTGAGAATCCAGGGTTATTCGGCATTTGGCGACACGCACTATGTCATGGGCCACGCACCGGAGAGCTATCTGGACCTTAACCCTAAAGGGTGTCACTTCCATGTCGTCACCGTCACCTCCGCTTATGCTCTTGGGTGCCCCCCCCTTCTTACACGTCTGATTTCTCTATAATTTCCCTTGACCTGGGACTTTTGCCAATTCAGAACCTTCTCTCTTTCTCTCCCCCATAATTTCACCCGTCCCTATCCTTCGCACTTACTTAATTCTCACCAACCACCTAATTTTTTACCATGACTACCCGCAAGAGAAAGCAAGAATCCGAGGAGGAGCTCCAAGCCCTTCCTAGTGATGTAAGCGAAGAGGAGGAAGAGTGAGTTGTTACATCCCGGCATCAATTCCCCCTTTCTTCTCACCCCTGCACCAATACTTTACGCATAAGTACATTGCGATTCTGCACGGCTATAGTAGCTGCGCATCGATTACGACATGATCTCAAGACAGCCGCGCATTGAGATATATGGCGCGAAGCCTCAAAACATAATTGATCTTTACTAATCCGATCGCGATGAATTAGATATGAAGACTCCGAGCCCGAGTTAGAGGAAGGAAGCGACGAAGGCGAACAGGAGGAGGTGGAGGGAGAGTCTGAGTCTGATGAAGACGAGGAAGGCGAAGAAGCGCAGCCAGAACCAAAAGCAGAAGCCAAAAAAGAGGCTAAAAAAGAGACCAAAAAAGGAGCGAAGAAAGAAGATAAAGAGGAAGAGGAAGGTATGTTTTAGCTTGAGCCCTTACATCCCCTTGATACCCAGACTCGCTCATGCTGACACACCCCTCTCCAGCCGCTCCCCCAGCCAAGAAGCAGAAGACTGCACCTGCACCTACTGTCGTCGATGAAGACGAGGAGGACGGTGCAAATGGCGAAAAAGATGAGGACGAGGAGGAGGAGCCTGCTAAGGAAGAAGATGTGGAAGAGAGTGCCACTGAGACTGCTGAGAAGAGTGGTCCGGCTGCTGCTGCTGCTAAGGAAAAGGGTGGTGTTATTCCCAAGGAGTCCGATCTGCCTGAGATCGAGGCGGTTGAGGCGGCTGAGAAAGAGGAATGATTTTGCGATCAAGAGTTTGACTCCACAGGAGTTTTCTTCGAACTAAAATGAAATGTGCCCTTGAAGTGGAAGGGTAGTTGAATTGCTTTGCTATAATAGCCTGCTGTATACAATCAAAGGTGCCATGAAATGTAGAATGCTGTGGGTTGGAAGTGATTTTTGCTTGTATAGATCCGGGTATATTAAACTAGATCATGCATGGAGGTAACCAATCCTCGCTATGCTCTCGAGCACTTGAGGATGACGTGCATAGAAATCGCCGTTGAAGCTCATCTACTGGTTGAGTGCTCTGTTTCTCTCCACTTCAGTGGGTTCCGATGCAAATCCTAAAATAAACTGGTGTTGGGCAGTGATTGGAGGTAGAAGTTGATGCCTTAGTGGATACAGATGCCAAACTGATACATACATACTGCGTATGAGATCCACCCTGTTCAATCGAGCACACAACCAGCTGAACATAGAAAGTATATACCATCTAAGAAAACTACCTAACAATCGGACCAAGACAAAGTGCAGAAAAAAAGAGGTGTCATCAATCAAGGATGGTCATTAGCCCTGTCTGCGCCTCCGCTTTCTATCTCGATCTTCAGGGGAAAACATGTATATGTCTTCCAACTCAATTTGTGCCTTATCATTGCCAACATATTCAAGTGTCACTACCACTGCTACGGAAGGTAGCGCACAGTTGACAGTACTGGTGTGTGAGATCGAGAACGGCCTGAGGCAGGTTTGTTGCTTGGACAATGCTGCGGACCTTGACAGCACCCTCGTCTTCAATGAGCTTGCGGACCATGAACAAAAGCTCGGGGGAGAACTGATGGTTTATTAGTTACACCCATTAAAGTGATATTGGTCAGGGAACAAAGCATACCTCGGAGTACCAGCGATATTGCCAGGCGATGAGGCGAATCAATGCGCCGAGCATGCCTCTGGTGTCATTTCGCTGTTCGTACAACTTCAACACTCCACGCATAGCCTTGGGCGAGAATCGAGTGGCTAGACAGCTCTGGTATGCCTCAATGCTTTCATCGAAATGGTGCAGTCGCTGCGCAAGCTCGCCAAGAATTTCCCACTCGGTGGCAGACTTCTTGTATTCCATGGCTTGTTGACGGAACTGGGCCATTTCGGTTCGCCAGATAGTGTAAATACGCAGATCCTCGTAAAGTACCATGAACAGGTTATCTAGCCACCTTTCACACAGTCGCTTATTTCGGAATTGCGTGTATGAGGCGTGAGATGGGTCGGGCTGAGACATAAACAGTTAGCATATATATTCAATACGTTCTTGATCGGGGGTGACACACATCTTCTTTGCCAGACTTGACAACTTCGGACGCTACTGTTTGCTCCGGTCGCTCGAGGGGGCTTTCAGGGTGGCTGTCTCCCACATCTCCGTTGGCAGATTCTTCCGAAGATGGCTCGGTCGGGTCAGGACCAGCCACGGAGCCAGAATCATCTTCGTTGTCGGGAACCTTGCCGTTTGTCTCCGCCTCCGATGATGTAGCGGGCTTAGGAACATGCTGCCGCTCAACACGATATTCTTCTTCCATCACGAAAACTTGGCTGCGGGCCTTGAGTAACTGATCCCATCCAATGGCAGCAGCGATTTTTGTCAGAAGATTATAGGCTTTCAAGAAAGTACCTTGGTAGCCAGCAGCATGGATCTTTCGAAGCGAAGGGTGAACATAGTCGTGAGGGTCTCCCTGCTTTGGTTGGCCTTCATCGATTTCGTCGAGAATGCTTTCGGCAAGAATTGGGAGCATGATGCGTGACGGTTGTGGCATGCGAGGGGTATCTTTGTCTTGATAGGTGAACATAGGGCAAGAGTTCAGAGTCAGAAGCGCCAAGTCCCAGCGTTCCATACTGACATATACCTCTGCGAGGCGAGCCCATGTACTGAATTCGCTGGGAGCTGCAGTAACTGCACGCTTAGCGCACTCGAGTGCCATCTCGCTTTCGCCTTTGCTTTGACAGAAACTGGCCTGGCAATCGAGCAGAGCATAGTCCATCGGAACATCTTGTAAAGCATCATACATCAGGCGTACCGCTTGCACCTCCTCGTCTGCCATAATCTGTACACGGGCCAGGAGGGACGAAACTTCCACATCCTTTGTACGAAGCTTCTCGAACAAATTGATTCCAGAGGTGTAGCGACCAGTCGTGTGGATGTATTTGAGGATGCCGGATGTGAGGTGGTTGCTCACAGTGTTGGGGACTTGAGTTTCCGGGTCAGAGCTCAGTTGGCGCCCTAAAAGAATTGTTAGTCAATGATACAACATATCATCTTAAAAATTGGCCCGGTAACCATACCCAGGAAGAAAAGCTTCTCAGCAGCATCCAAGAACTTATGCTCCATCTCTGTGTTTGTCACAGGGTTGAATCGTCGGACTCCAACAATCTTCTTGACGGAGTCTCCGCTTCCATCGTCCGCGTAAAGATAAGCCCTCAGAACAGAGCAAAGGAAGGTCTCAAGCCAAAGGGCCTCAGTAGCAACCCGCTTGTCACCCCGCTCATCGATACAGTAGCTCTCCAAGCTTCCAGGGATTTTGACTTCGACGCGCATATCAAGATGGGAGAATGCATTGTAGCAACTATTTAGACATTAGCACTTGGACCCAACACCGCGCCAACATGGAATCTAACCAGTAGATCCCCGATACCACTTTATGCGTCTTGTCGAGGGGAGAGAATGTGAGGGTATTAACATAGGCGGCTAAGCTAGCGGATGAGGAGGCATCGATTCCAGTAACATGATGATAAACTCCGGTCTGCCATAGATAGAAGATCAATCAATTGCTTCCATATAGTAGATTGTATCACGGATGGAAAGTTGGTATCCTATATCTTACCTGGCGTGTCGAATTGGCCTTGGGCTGCTTCACCAAATAGACCAAGTCTGGAGGGCCTAGTTCTCGCAAGCTCTGCAAGGACTCCGTTCGCGCATCGACCGCAACATAGATATCCTCCTCCTCATGTATCCTGGATAATGCCTCTGAGGTCAGTCACAATTCCTATAATTGTCGTGGTGGCGGTTGTTGATAATCTGGAACAATGGCCATGCATATGCAAACCGGGGAACACGTAAACGGGGACAGGAGCACATACTCAGGGACAGCGGGCGCGACCATGGCGCCTGCACAAGCGCGGTGGAATGAAAGATGAGGGTATCTTAATTAATGAAATCTGCGTGAATCGTAAGACGTTTCAGGGGTTGCGCTGAGGGGAAAGTGAAGAGTGATCTAAGAATACTCCAACTGCCAGTACTGCCCCCAAGGAATGGGTTTCAGGCCACAAGGCACCCAGGCATCCAGGCACCATTCAGGCCCAAAACACTTTCCCCGATTGGTGCAACGCGTGATAACGTGTTTGCCCGCGATAACCAAATGATTTGATTATTGCTGCCCGCATCTATGGTCTCGGTATCATGCCCGATGCTGTCGCCTGATTTCTCTTTTCCATCTAGTATTTGAGGGACCCGCGTGGAGCTCACACCATGTCGAGCTGGGTCGCATTGAATGTTGAGCCCGACGAGGCCGTCGAGGAGGAAGTTGACGACACCAAGGAGCTTCAGATCGAGGAAGCTTTGAAGCTTTACCACAGTGCCTTGAAGCTGCATTCACAAGGGCCGGACCACTATTCCCAGGCTGCCGAGGCCTATGAAGCTCTTCTTAATTCGGAGATCTTCAAATACCCAGAGTCTATATCCGATTTCAAAAGGGGTGCCTTCGACGATGCGCAGGATGAAATTGCTACAGAATCGATCACCGAGTTCAACGTTAACGACTCTACCTCCAGTCTATTCCAAATGCTCTATCTGTCCTATAAGAACTACGGCAAATTTGTTCTCGATTCAGTGCAAGACTCCATACGAACAGCGCCACAGACCCCCGAATCTGAGCAGGAAATACAACGAAAGTTGACGGAGGCATCCAGGAAAGCTTTAGGATCTTTTGGAGATGCTTTGGAACGAGACGACTCAGATCTCAACCTCTGGAGGCAGAGCGCAAGACTCAGCAGTTCCTTGAACAGCTACCGTTTGTCTCGGTATTGCTTGGAGAGTGTCCTAGCGGACGATGACAATCGCTTGGAGTTACGGTCAGAGCAGCTTGGCCTAGAGGAGATATTTGCGGAGCAGCGGTTGCGAAGCACGCTACAGTCCCTTTTCGACAAGTTATCTGCCTCGCAAATTCCCGTCCAGAAGCCAAAGAAAGCTTTGTTGAAATACCTGAAAAAGCATGAAGATCCATATCCCAATCTGCCGGCACTTCCTGCCGCTTTGCGCCGCCTAGATCCATCAAGGGGCCCTCTTGCTCTTCACGCTTCCCGCCGAGAGATAACCCCTGCTGACCCAACCTGGGAGTCAGTTGGCAAAGCGCTACTCCAAGCACTTGACGATGAAGATGATAACTCGCAGGCCGTTCCCACTCAGTCTATTGGTATTACTCTGCCTTCCAGAAACTCCCAAACTCCAGCTACCCCCATTGCGGATGCGGAGGCCACGGAAATGGCCTTGGATACCGAGGATGGCGGGAATCATGGTGGTAATGAAGTTGCCGACGTGGACATGCTTGAGACAACCGAAAACGATGCCAAGCCCGAACAAAGCTCATCTCAGCCAATTAAAGTGCCCACTGAGGCAGGAGAGGAACAATCATCGATCGATCAAAGTGCTGAAAAGCAATTGATGGAGTCATTGGAACGTCAATCGACGCAGCCACAGGATCAGCAGGCCGAACAAGATAGGGCCCACGCAGAAGAAGTTGACACGGTCTCTGCAGTGGATATTCGAAAAAGATCGTCTGCATCGGCCGCGAACGAAGAACCGGAGGGTGGCCGCATGAAAAGCAGACGGACCCGAGCCCGAGAGTCAAATGCCGACACCTTGGCACTGCCTGAAGAAGTTGCATTCGACCAAGAAAAATACTATGAAGACCGTCTTGAGGTTTTTGTAAATGCCGATGATTGGATGTTCAGCACTGTTGACTCTCTCTTCTCGAAGGTCGGTATTGATGCACTTGGTAGCATTGAAGGCCTGAGAGAGAAGTGCTCCGGAAATGACTCAACCGATACACCCCAAGATCTCGAGACACGTTTATTTCAGGACTTCCGAGGTCTCATGAAGACATGGGATGACGAAAAGTCTCGATTGATGCAGCAGAAAGACGATTTATCTCCGCTGAAAGACATCCGTGGCACGAGCAAGTCAGGATTGGCTGTTTTCCTTGAGCACTCAAGAAAGGGTGCTCGGAAGCCAGTTATCGAGGAAGAGCTCCCTTCTGGGGAGCAATTGTATAACTTTTCCAATGCCATCAACTCTGACTGGTTACATCCACAGCAAACTTCGTTCGAATGGCTAAAATGTCTTCTCATGCCGGATTTTGGGCGAGAGTCTTCGGACTGGCTGACAGCAAAGTCGACTTACACCTGTTATTCGTGGCCAAAAGACTTGAAGGAGACGGTCGTGGAACTCTTAGTTCGGGAGGATGAATTCACCTACCGGGAGTGCAGCGAAATGATCGCCAACCTCGAAGCTCGAATTCTTGGCTCAAGCAATGGAGCTCCATTTGAATACAAGCCGAAAGACTTGTTCGAATTCCAGATGATACAAACCATCTACGAGCTTCATTTGGATGTCTTTTCTTCGGCAGAGAGCCTTGACGGTGAGACAATCCAGGAAACAAGACTCGCACAGCGTGATCGGCTGGCTCGCTGGGGTATGCTAGCTCGGTCATCGATAGATCACTTTGTCGACCATTGCCCCTCGAGCGAATCTCAATCAAATCTCATTCTGCGCCATTTGTGGGCATCGGCATTCCACGTTAATCTTGCCGGTGACGCACAGCGAGAACATACCCTGCTTTGTCTCCAAGACCTCAAACAAATACTTCAGTCCCTCGGCAACCCGAGCGTAAATCTCATCAACAACGCCACAATGTCAGAATTGTCCGCTGCTGTGATAGACCAGGAGGTCTTGAAGCTCAAGTGCATGGACTTTTTCGCCAAGGTATTCAACTCAGACTCTGAGGATCCCGTGACTCTCATCGAAGCAATTGAGCCTATTCTTGAACCCTCGTCCATCGAGTATGCTGAGAGTTCAGCGGAGAATGACATGAATAATCCCACCTCACACCTCGGTGAAATGGCTGCCTTCCTTGATAGAGGTGACGCTACATTGCGACTATTCCTCTGGCGTCGACTCCAGGAAGCATACCAAGCTATTGATTACCCGCCTAAAGTTGTCTCTTGCTATTTACGAAGCATTGAAGTGGTAATGGCAGAACTCGAGGCAGCGAAACACAGCGAAGAAACAAGCCAACATCGACAAGTGGCTCTATTAGGTTGGCTCAAAGCTCTCGATGGCATTGTGGCCAAAGCTATACCACATATCCTTGAAGACCCAGAACAAGCATTTGACTGTATAGACATGGAGCATTTGCAAACCTCAATGTCTGCTATTGCCCGCCTCGTGAGGCTGTTGCACAGCTTTATACTTTATGAGGACTCGGTACGAGTAGGCCAGATTTCTGGTCGCGACTTCCGAGGCTCATTGGCGAAATCGCTAGAAAACCTGAAAGAAAGAATGCGAGAGCTATATGTTCGCTGCTGGATCTTACAATACGCCCTCTTTGTGGAAGCGATTGCCCAGAACAAGGGGCTTTTCGATGATCCGCTTGAAGACCGCATTCATTTCCTTCGTTCTGTTCATAATGCATTGGGCGTTCGATCGATGTGCAGGTACTCGCAAAAGAGATTCTTGAAACTTCTAAAAGCAGAACTATTTGGTCTTGAAACCAAGGGTGATTATGAATTTGATATGTATCAAATACTCCTCGATCTCCATGGTATCAAATTCTCCGCGTTTGATGGAACTGTGGACCATGGATGTCCCCCCGAGAAATTAGACCGCCCTACAGCGATCATGATGATCGACTTTGTTCTGCAACAAGCAAACAAGATGAATATGAAAGACTTGTCCAAGTCCGAATTGAAGACTACCATTGAGAAGATGCAGCAAGCGATTGGTCCTGCCAAGGCTTCTTCGCAAACACCCCAGTTGACTTTCAACCGTCGCCTTGTGAATGCCTATCTCAAAGCCGCGCTCAACCCATCCAATCTCCTCCGTGCTGTTCAGGGCATTACAGAGCTTTCGACAACAATAGTTCCAACGGAGAATGCGAAGATCGCTGCCAAAGGGTGGTTCTTCCTCCTTGGCCATGCCGCACTCACCAAGTTTCGATCCTCGAAGCGCCTCAGCCCTGGCCCAACAAGCGAGCTTGATGATGCCATCGGATTCTTTAGACAAGACTTGGATCATGGAACAGGGAGATGGGAAACCTGGTATAGGCTCGCCCAAACATATGACTCAAAGCTTGATGAAGACATTACATGGACAGCTGACAAGATCAATAACAATCGTTCGGACTTGGCAGCATTGCAGCGAAATGCTATTCACTGTTATGCCATGGCTGTTTCAACAGCAATGAGGACTGCAGAGCCAACGGCAGAGACCAGAGAAGCGATGTCAGATCTGTATTCAGACTTCGGTATCCGCCTGTACTCGTCCTCTCGCGAGCCCTTATCCATGGGGGCCTTCAGTGTTGCAGACTTCCCTCGCCATTTCAGCAGCGAGGAGAGCCAACAAATGTACAAGGGGACGCCTTTCAAAGAGATGTCGCTTTATTCAACATGGAACTTTGCTAGCAACCTTCTCAAACGGGCAGCTGTCGACAAGTCTAAGCGATGGATGTAAGTGTTTTCAATGCCACTTGACAAAATTGAGACATTGAGAGAATACTGACATACTGTTAGGACTCACTACACGCTTGGCAAATGTCTTTGGAAAATGTTCACCAGCGACGACGCTTTGAGAACCACTTCCAAGAAGGTTGAAATGCAAGAGGTGATAAATGCTATGCTCGATGCTATTGCTGCACTTCCGCAGCGAAGAGACTCACGCTCTGATCCGATCTTTGAGCCACATTTCAAACTCTTCTCTTTTGTACACAAGCTTGTTCTTCGAGGAAACATGACAGTAAGTCTATCACTCCTGATATGAAGAACTCATTCTGATAGCCACATCAGCCTGCCGAAGGAAGCAAGACCCTCCTTGCAACTCCCTGGGCTCGTAAGATTGACCCTCCGGAGAATATGGAGGGATGGAACCCATACATACTCGAAGTCCTGCGGAAATATAAGAGCGCCGACAAGTCCAACTGGCATCATCGCATGGGTGTAAAGGTATATCACCTGCAGCTTGATTCTTTTTTGCTCATAATGCTCACAACCCCTAGGCTGCGCATGTCATCTATGACGACCAGCGAAACGCAACCGCTGCTATGGCTGCCAAGCAGGAACTTTCTCAAATATTCACCAAGACACTTACAATCCAAGTCTGGCGGCCAGAATTTGAACGTCCCGGTCGTCATTTCGTTTACACGACCCGCTACGTGTACTTCTTTGTTGGCCTGCTTGACCAGCTTGACGATCGCGCAAGCTTGGATCAACTTTTGCGCCGCGTGAGAAAGAAGCAAGGAGATTTCTTCAATCACACCAAGCTGTGGGAGGACATTTGCCTAACCTATGCAAAGATAATCCGCCGCGCAGCCAAGATTAACGAAGGACATGAAGAAACCATATTCAAACCAATCGGGTGGGAAGAGTTCTCCACTAAGACGGCCCGTTTGGAAAGCCTACCTCACCTGGGCCCAGAGAGCCAGGCTATCTTAGAATTACTTCGAGACGCCCTGGAGCTAAAGAAGCTTAACAACAACCTCATGAAAATTACCATGTTCGAAGACCTAATTGCCGACCTCTACGCCCGACTCTACGAGATCAACACACCTCACCTTGTCGAACAAGCAACCGAGGAAAATAAAGAAAAGATGAAAGTCGACCATCTCCTCATGGTAGGCGACGGCCTTCCTGAGACTTCAACCCCTCCAGCATCCGTTCCAGTATCCGTTCCAGCATCTGATACTCCAGCACCCCGTGGTCGGACAAAAGGCATCGCCCGTCGCGACATCCAGAAACGCGCCGACACAATCGTGAACACGAAACTGGCTCCTCGAGCCGTGGCGAGTAAAGTAACCGCCGCAGGCGAGACGGAGCCACCTGCGACTCCGCAGGGCGTTGAATCGACCACTGCGGGGCCGAGCTCCGCGCCCCGTGGTCCCGCCAAGCAGGTTTCTGCTACTGGGGATGGCTCAGCTGAGCAGAGAGATGAGCATGAGAGTGCAGACGAGACTGAGAATAGTGAAAATGAAGACACGAAGCTAGTTGACGAGGGAACCTCGGCGCTTTTCCCTCATGTTACTGATGCAGAGGAAATGGGAACAGGCGATGAAGGTGCAGACGAAGTGGATGGTGAGGATGATGAAGGCGGCCATGAGAATGAAGGCGAAGAAGGGGAAGGTGATGGTGATGGTGATGATGATGGGGATGGTGATCCTGGTGGTGATGGTGAAGGAGATGAGGATGAGGAGATGCAGGATGAGGAAACAAAGTTGGAAGAAGACAAAGAAGGGAGGGAGACTCTCACTGCCGATCAGTCTGCCAACGACACTGAAACTGAGCATGTGGCTGACAAGCGAGATCCCGGGGAGCAAGATGCCATGGACATTACACCTTCTGAGTCCTGAGGAATTTCCATACATCCAAGGAGGGACTTGCTTGCTTTTTTGTCTTTTCGGTTTATGGAGCACATGGGGTAAAAATCTCAAGACAGGAGTCTTTTAAACTACAGGATGGCGTTGAGAGACAGGTGGCTTGGATAGCTTACGAGCTCGCGTGTACAATATTCACAACATCCAAATCTGGAATTGCCAATTGAGAAATGAAATATCAACAATTATTAAGAACAAAGGATCGATTGCCCCCAAACGCCATAGCCAAGGGATATCATTCCATATTAACCAAAAAAAAAGATACGCCGGGAAATTAAGGGCTTTAGTATCTTGAGCAGCGCAAGAAGGGTAAATCGTAACAGTCATGACGGAGTAGAGGGAACAAGACGATTTAGATCTGGTCCTCTGGGGCGAGGTCCCATTTCCGGGTTCCCATCTTTCTCGTCTTCTTGATAGGCGAGGCTCCTGGCGACGGAGGAGCAAATATGGTATCTGCGAGCTTCAATTGATCCATGCGTTGCAACGCATTCTCAATATCGCTCTCGCGGCCGAGATTAGCCCGTGCAGGCGTGGCATTCTTGGATCTATGCTTTCTTATCGGGGATTGATTGTGCATCTCCCGTTCAAGTGCAGCAAGTTTGCGGCGAAGCTGGTCATTTTCTTGCTCAAGCTCTTCCACTCGTTCGTTTGATCCGGAATCTTCAAAGACTGAGGATAGAGGTCAGTTGCGGGATTCACGTATTTCGCTTCTCATGGGCCAACTTACTTTGGAATCCACGGGATACGAGCTCAACCTTCTTGTCGATGTGTTCGTCATTGCGACCAATCTGAAAACTATCAGTATTTGACAAGTTTGGAGCTGTTCTAGGGCTACAAACCTGCTCGTCCCAAGCCCTCTGCCAGCGTCGCCTTTCTTCTTCCGTTTTCTCATCCATCTCTGCCCAGCATTCTTCTCGCACATCCTGCTCAATCATGAGACATCTTTCTTCGGCAGCTCTTAATCTCATTTCAACATCAGCCCGTGCAATCTCTTCTTCGGCTAGCTTGACAGCAAGGCCGTGGCAATCGCGTGTGAGGCGCGTAATCTCGGCAGTAGCTCTCTGGAGCTCTTCGGTTGAATCAAAGTTGGGCGAAGTGCAGCCACTGACTGAACGGTGACTGCCAGAGGCGACAGACAATATAGATTCACACACCGAGGGAACTCTAGGAACAGTAACCTCACGAGCCAATGCGGAATAACGCAAAATTTGGGATGTGGCGTTAAAATCACCCAGAGGGTCAGCCGTGACTATCATTATAGCCTTTTGGGGATATTGGCCTCTGGACATCTGATGAGACGATGGGAATGAATTTGAAAACAGAAGCTCGGTCAACTTGCACTGCCGGTAAGGAACGAGAGTAGTCTTTGTATGTTAGCAGCTGCGAATAAAGCAATAAGACGACAATCGCAAAGCATACCTTCATTCCATCCTGTATGTTACTTTGCATCTGAAGGCATTGGCCAAGATACATCAAGCTTTCGTTGATCTTGCCGGCCTCAGCCAGTGTAGCACCCGCTGTCTTTGCCGTTCTCGCACGCTCGGAGCCTATATTAATTAGCGGCAGCCTACAGCAAGGATGCAGCATACTTACCAGCAAGATCCACAACAGTGAGGGCGTTTCCAGCCCAACTGTATTCTCCGGTTCGCTTTGCGTATGTCCGCTTCTTGACTTCTAAGGAAAAGAAACCATGGCTTCGAGAGCTAACGCTATTCATTCCGGTACCAGTTACCTTGCGTTCGGTTAAACCAACATCCAAAATAGCGAGTGCTTCCTCGTAGCTGCTGCAAGCGATCTTGCGCAGCCCAGCAACCAGTTTTCGATCTGGTGAGCCCTCGGTAGGCTTGAACAGCAAGGGACGTCGTCGATCTTTTTGATTATTTCCGCGAGACATATTACCCTGACCTGAGACGATAGATGGAGATAGAAGATCGAAAATTCGGTCATTGTATACCTCATACATTGACACCAAAACGACATAGTCGGCATTTGAATCCAAATCCACAGTGAGGTGGCTCATATCGGGCAGCCTAGGAAGGGCGCATGGTCGTTCACGTACGTGACGGCGGGGGAAATTCAAGGCAGGGGTCGGTTCCTTAATGACATAAAGACGAGATTTAGCTGATTTGGGCTCAAATAGATTGGTGTGGGTGTAGGGGATAGGATTAGAAAACCCTGGAGTGATCCATCCAGAGGACTCAGTCGAGATCTGATCAAGGCCAGCTCGAGCAGCGCCATTGGGACTAGCCATGAGAGGAAAATCCGCCTTGCGGGGGCTTCCAGGTTTAGATCTCGGTCTTGGGAGAAACGATCCAGGGGTTCGTGGTTGTGGGGTCGGAGATCCTTGGGGGGACTTCAGGGTAAGGGGGGCTTCGTACCATCAAAGGAGTATTGGCACGAGACGGACTCATGGGTGTTTGCGCTCTCGACGTTCGTCCGTTTGGCTCGCCATATACAGCTTCCAAGAACGTCTGGGCGGAGAACAGTTGCGCTTCTGAAGCGTCCGCGGCAGCCAGTGAGGCAAGCATTACAGGGGTAATGCTGCTATCTTCGGTCTTGATTGTTGGCTCTAGGGAGCGGAATATAACGTCAAGTGCCATTTGGGTCATTCCTCGTTCGGTTTTGGATCCTAGAATCGTGTGACTCTATGCACGATCCACAACTCAGCTTGGTGGTCACGGTGCTGCAATATTCGAGATCATACCTTTCCGCTGCCTGTCACTCCCAGAGTAGCGACTAGCCCATCTCTGTTCTCCTTCAGAACTCCACGTATGATAGGTTCCATACCAGTGTCATGGAAAACATCTAGTTGGGAGGCAGCCTCCTCGAAGACCTTTGTGAAACCAAATCTCTCGACGGCGCGCTTTCTCATGTCATTTGGCGGTTGAAGAGTAATGTGGGTTGATCCCGGTGTGACAATCTCTGTTTCCTCCTGTGAAGCCTCTGGCGGCTCAACGTTCAAAAATCGGTCGGTTTCATTGGGTTTTTGGGCCATCGGCGGCCGTAACCGGAGGTACACTTGGAACAGTGATGCCTGGGGCTGTTTGATCGGCATCTTGGGTGACGCGTGGGAATCTAGACGACACAAGGACAGGTGACGTTGAGCCTCTCAAGCTGTGGGGTGGATGCAATATGCAAAACAGCTCAGCAGTCAAAGGCAAGTCCAGAACGTCCACAGATCAACATTGCGCTTACCGCTTTGGGCTGTCAGTTGCCCAGACAACGGATATATCACGTGCCACACACACCTATGCCTCCAAGGTTGATAGCGGATGTGTGTCATTGGTCGTGGAGATTGCTTTTCCATTAGGAGTAGTTTCCCTGACATATATGACTCGACGGAGTACTCCGTACTTTGTACACATATACTTGATATTGAAGTAAATTGTTTTACGGCCCCGTTCGCCCCAAGCGAAAACGAGTTACCTAGAATCGACTAGCGTGACAAGAAGGTTGGCAAATAAGAAGTCAAGGCTATATGAAGTAGCGCTGTACGGAGCACTGCGTAGGGCAGTTCGTATTAGCAGTTGGCATGGCGAGGCAAATACGAGGTCATTTTAAGCCTAAGCGTTGACCCGCTATTCCCAATGAACCAGTGACCCTCAGTATCTGATCATTCTTTGTGGATCCAAATTGAAGAGCTACCCAAAATAGAGATCATCAGGCGTTGGAAAGTTAGAGAAATACGAAATTACCGAAAGTGAACACCCCGTTAATCAGTGGACTTAGGGTTTGACAGGCAAATCATCGCCCGCAATACGTCCAACTCTTGTATATATATATATACCTAACAGCCTTCCAGTAACACTCATATTCTTCTATCTAGCATCACCTACATTAAATACCCTGCAGTACTTTTGTGTGAACTCGATTACTTCACCCGGCAATATATATGGTCAATCTACCCCAACCATGCTCGAAGCACGGTCATCATATCGTAAGTCGTCTACTAACGCAAGCACGATCAAAAAGACAATCTGACAAAACAAAGAGGAGGGAAGCCTTTGGTTCTATGCACCAAATAAAGGCGCTGCAATTGCCTTTGCGATTCTCTTCGCTATCTCTGGTAGCATCCATGGATATCAATGCTTGTATGTGGCCCCTACCCACTATGAACCCATGAAGTAACATGATTTCCCAGCAAATATAAATCATGGAAAGTCACCGGCCTTCTTCCATGGTCTGCCATCTTGTTCACGGCAGGTTTTATCACGCGAACTATCGGAGCGTTCGGGCAATGGGGAAATCTAGGCGTCTATATCGCAAGCACCGTGCTTCTCCTTGCCGGGCCGTAAGGAGTACCCATCCTATTAAGAGATATGCTACTAACGACTAATCTTCGATTGTCCCAGGCCAGTATATGAGGGTGCTAACTTTTTCATTTTGGGTCGTATCCTTTACTACATCCCATATCACTCCCCCATCCACCCTGGTCGCGTATTCACAACCTTCATCGCTTTGGGTGTGGCCATTGAGAGTATTACCGCGAACGGAGCGGCTCGAGTCGCAAGTGCAGACTCTAGTGTCAGCTCGCAAAACACCGGCAAGGCACTACTGAAGGCGGCGCTTATCATGCAGATCGTCCTAATGGCAGGCTTTGTAGCTTTGGCCGGCCGATTCCACTTCAATTGCTCACGAGGAGGCGTATTGAACCACAAGATCAAGAATGCACTACTGGTGTTGTACTGCAGCTGTACCCTCATTATGATCCGTACCATATTTCGCACCGTGGAGTACTTTACTGCCGCAAGTCTGAATGCCTACACTGACCTCGAGAACATCAGTCCAGTATTGAAGCAGGAATGGTTCTTCTGGGTTTTCGAGGTTGTGTTCATGTATAGCAACACCACTTTGCTGAATGTCTTTCATCCAATGCATTGGCTTCCGCGATCAAACAAGATTTATCTCGCCGAAGACGGTGTCACAGAGATTGAGGGCCCTGGCTATGACGATCCCCGTCATTGGCTTCAAACTGTTGTCGATCCATTTGATATTTACGGACTGATCGTTAACCGAGGCAAGAAAGAGAAGTATTGGGAAGCAAGTCTGACTCAGAGACAGGATACCACCGCTAAACTCACTCAAAGAGTATGAGCGCATTTTGTGTCGGCACAACTTCTCTTTGGAGTTCAGAAGTTACTTTATTTCTTACCCTTTGTTTGTTTGGCTCTCATGTATTTGGTATTCCATCTGATTCCTAGAATATTCCCTTGAAAATCACAAATATATATATCAAACTATCAAAACCCCATAGATCACCAATCTTCTTTCTCTTTACCCAGCTCCTCCTGAATTTCCCAACTATAGCGAGCAAATTTGCTCGCTCGACGAATCCGCTCTCCATAACAAATAAACACAGGTGGTACTATACAAAATGCAGTTGCCACTGCAGCAAGTACAGACATAGCATTATTATTTCCCAACCGATCAAACATCTGCGTCGTAAAAAGCGGAAAGACACCGGACAGCAACGCTCGCATGAATGCAACAGCAGCGGTTGCACTGGCAGAGTAACTCAGATAGGAATCCGAGATATACCCATACAGCACGGTATCCATTTCCGTTAGCGCATAGCCCACCAGAACGAGGGAAATAGTGGGCACAATCCACGGAGTGTGGGTCTCGGGCGGAATAGTCCAGGCAAACCACCATAGCCCAATCGCCAAGAATGGACCACCAAGGCCCAGCCCAACGAGCTTGTATTCGGGCTTGATAGACCGTCCTTGTCTGCGGAAATGGTTGAGAATGTAGCCATCTAGCACGCGAGTCAATGTGCTGAGACAGGTTCCCAGGCCTATAGCGATGAACATCAATGAAGCGTCGGTGTTTGCAAATCCCATAGACTCGTAGATAGGTTGGAGGGCTTCTGTAAAGATGTAGATGAGGGACATGGCGACGGAGATCATCACTGCAATGACGAAAATGATAGGCTCTTGGAAGAAGAGCTGGGCTGGGCGAAAGAGGGATTCTTTCAGAAATATATTGAGATCCGGGATATGGTCATGGTTGAGTGGCGGTGGAATTGATTGCATAGTAGTCATATCGGCGACTCGTTTCACCTCGTAGGCTAGTAACAAGGAAGGTCGAGATTCCCGAATAAAGAAGAGACCACATGTAATTGCAGCAATGATGATAGCGAAGATATAGAAGTTCCATCGCCTGGGTAGTTGTGAGAAACTGACGCAGACCATAGCTGAGGGCTACGTACCAATCAAGACCTGCAATGATATAACTGCTCATGATGGGTCCAAGGATGAGACCAATGTTTGAAGCAACTGTCCAATAATACATAGCCCATATTCGAGCATGCGAGTTGAACATGTCCTCTATGCTACCGCCGATGATGGTATAAGGGATTGCGGAAAGGAGCCCGGCGAGAATGCGCATGATGACAATAACTGGCATCGCACGTACGAGACCAATAATCATGCAGCAAATAGCGCTGAGACCACTGCTCACAATGTACATGTTCCTGCGCCCAAATGTCTCTGACCACGGGGGAAATAATATGGTGCCTGCCACCTGGCCGAGAAGAAATCTGTCGAATGTCAGATACGCAAAGTAGACCAAGACTAACTGATCTCACATCGTGACAAATATGAAAATTGAAAGCGTTTCACTGATTTTGTATTCATGTTTGGCTTGTGCAGCAGCTGCCGACTAGAATAGACCAGGATGTTAGCTCGGCAATATTGTAGACACGCATACATGGATAGTTGTATACACTCACACCTGCGGTGCTGGACGCTGTTCTGCAATAATTGTTAGCTTTTTGGCAAATCCGCCTTGGGATTTAGTCTGGTCATACATAAAAAGATCCAAAAGACAGACAAGGACAATATCATAAGCCTTTCGTGGCCCAGACCAATTTCGAGGATGTCTTGGATGGGTTTGCAACCATCGCACATATTTTCCATCTGGGGTAAGCTCAAGACGGTGGTCACGTAGGAGCTCAATAGCTGACGCTTTGGGCTCGTCTGTCAGTAAGGTCGATTCTGAGGAGATAGACTGCATATTGGGCAACCGTGGAGTAAATCATATAGAGATGATTCTGAATGTTTGACTGAGTCACCGTGATCTGTTATACGTCAGCCTTGGATGAAGCTGGTCTGGAGTGGGATTCGAGCCTTTATCATTTTCGCAAATATTCCTGCCCGGACATTTTGATGCAAAACCTTGCCCCGAGGAATGGAGCCCCTTGCGACTTACGCAGTGGGGATCTTGGTACTCAGTTGGCAATGCATATAACGCGTCAGTCACCTATGTTTTCCCTAGGAATCTTAATATGTAATTACCGAATACCGCCTACCGATAGGTGGATTAGCTGAAGCATGGTAGGCAAGTCGAGCTTCGTGTTTCGAAATCAAGTATATACCATGAGAACCCTACTATCTATCTAATTGGCTATTTATATAGCTCAGAGAATGATGACAATTTTAGCCACGAGACACAATCTATTGTCTTGATACGTAGGGATAGCTATCTTCAACATTCTTCATGGTGATAGCTCTGCGCACCTCAAAAGGTGCAACTCGTGGAAGGATCAGAGAACAAGGAATAAGATTCCATCTGCCTACAATGTCACAGTATTTCGAAATTGGCTATAGTAATACTCAAAACGCTATGCCCGAATCCCAGGGAAAGGAACAAGCTGTGATATCCAAGGATCCAAGGATATCCCGGGAGACGGGTGACCCGCTCTTATATAGACTGCTAGGGCCTAGGATTTGAATGTCATTGTTAAAATCTAACATATTAAATACCATCTTTGGGTCTTCAGGAAATCCAAGGCTATAGGGCGCCAGAAACAAGCACACAATATCATTGGCTATAAATGCTCGCCCTGATAGGACAGTTTTACACTGGAACGGACATAGGGTGGTCTTCATACCTTCATACCAAGCAAGCCAACAGCATCTTCACTAGGAACTTGCTTTATTTCAGCACGTTATCGACTTCGAAGCTACTGACAAACCTTGCGGATGAATTGCGATCTGTGACCACCAGGGTCCGTGGAGGCATGGAGACCAGTGAAGAAAGCACAGAAATTCACTCTTGCTCTGAGCTGTGGGATCTGATCAGTTTGAATATGATATAATAGTTGGATACGTCTTTCTCCAGTCTCGCCCATATTCTCTCACAAAACCTGTAGAGCACACAGATCCCTTTGTTGCAACAGATAGGGCCTCCGAGTACTCCGACAAATTTTCAAATATGAAAAGAAAGTCTATTAAATACTTGATTTGAGAAATTCTCGATTTTTGGACTAGCTGAGACCCCAAACCTGAACTCACCTGTGGTACTATACACGGCGGTTATACCTGCAAGGCGGAAGACCAGTGGATCTGCGCCAAGGCGATCTCCGACGAGGCCACCTCTCCGCACCCTTTAGCTCTATCAAAACATAACCCAACCAGCCGAATTAGCTGAACACGGTATGTAAGTTCTCATCCACCATTCTGCGGGAAAAAGAAACGTAAATATTTTCCTCGGCAGTATCTCTAACCAAGAACAGTCACTATTAGAGCGACCACCACAACCCTCCCGTCTATCCGTTGATCGCGAACCGCCCACCATGCTATCCGCTCTCTCCTCCAGCATTACAAATGCTCGGCAATCAGTCGCACAAGTGCTAAACTTTGCACTGGTACTTTCCACAGCTTTTATGATGTGGAAGGGCCTCTCGGTCGTGTCCGCATCAAGCTCTCCAATAGTTGTGGTGTTATCCGGTAAACAAAACTATTTCACGGAAGTTTGAACACAGCTCACATCCCTTTCCCACAGGTTCAATGGAGCCCGCATTTCAACGTGGCGACCTGCTCTTTCTCTGGAATCGAAACACGAGGGCGGAGATCGGAGAAGTTCTCGTTTATAATGTTCGAGGAAAGGATATTCCAATTGTCCACAGAGTCGTTCGCACATTCCCCCAGGTTGAAGGACGTGTAAGCGCAAGGAAGGTAAAAGAAATCACAGTGTATGTCCTCGCCCATCGCCCGGCAATCTTGTGACTGCTTCTTTGTGCTAACGAGTATCTAGGGACGCAACACCTAGCTCCCATATGCTCCTCACCAAGGTAGGCGACCTAACAACTTGAATAGCCTAGGCAATTGCTAATACCTCGCCAGGGTGACAACAATCTAGCAGACGATACTGAGCTGTATGCTGAAAGTAAGCGATACGAAAGCGTGAAGGGAGGACACTTCCGAAGATTACTGACAAGCCTAGACCAGGATTATCTCGACCGGGCGCAGGACATTGTTGGCAGTGTTCGTGGCTACATACCTATGGTTGGATACGTTACCATCATGCTTAGTGAACACCCTTGGCTGAAGACAGTGATGTTAGGTCTTATGGGACTGATGGTGATGATCCAGAGAGAATAGTGTACTATATTATATATCGGGAATGGTGGAAATGGAACGAATTAAATGTTTAGGGAGTATCAATGGATACTAAATATCAATCTCATGTGTTATGTCCACTATGATGTACGTCCATAGAGCGGACGGCAAAGATATCAAACTTCTCCACTGACGTCTTTTGCCGCGCACCCCACTCGGAGCTTCTAGCTTTGACTAAAAGCCCCTTTGTTCTTCCAGCATCTCTCGCACATAGGGTCTGTTCCATACTACTCAATAAATCTCAATTTTGTCAGTGCCTTGACGTCTTGAAGCGCGGTTTGCAATAACGCGTTTGCCTACATCCTTCCTGAACCTCCCCGCTCTTATCACCCCGCCAAATCCACAGCTGAACACCACAATGGGCAGCATCAAGCGTATATCCAAGGTAAATGCCCATATTTCTATATGGTTTCCGTCATCTGTCAGTGCACTAACCATCTATCCCAATGACAGGAGCTGACTGAGCTCACCGAATCCCCTCCAGAAGGGATCACGGTTGCACTGGCTGATGAGTCGAACGTGTACGAGTGGAGGGTCACAATGGACGGGCCTGAAGGCTCACCATTCCACGTATGTCAAAATATAATATACCCCTCCCTTTCCCTGTCCACCAAGGACTTCAAAAGGACTTCCCAGAAATCAAACCTCACAGTTCAAGTCTAAGAAACAGTGTTCTCTAACCCCGTGACAATGCAGAATGGCAAGTTCCTAGTCAAGCTCTCCCTACCCACGGAATACCCATTCAAGCCACCGACAGTCTCCTTTGCAACGAAAATTTACCATCCGAACGTAACAAACGACGAAAAAGGAAGCATGTGCCTAGGCATGCTTCGAGCAGACGAATGGAAACCCAGCTCGAAGATCGCCGCAGTCCTGCAATTTGCCCAACAGCTACTATCTGAGCCTATGCCCGACGACGCCGTCGAGGGGCGGATTGCTGAGCAGTACAAGAACGACCGGGCGCGCTACGAGGAGGTTGCGCGGGAGTGGACTCGCAAGTACGCTTGTTGATAGTGATGTGGTGCTCTGATTCGAGAACCGGCTGCTCTATCGAAACTGATCTGTGTTGTGTATGCTGCTGCCCTGGAACTAGGCGCGCAGAATAGCCGCATGTTTCAAATCTTGCCCGCATCAGAGATCGAGTCATCCCTATCCGAGAGTTAGCCCGCTTACGACTGAAATGCTGTCATGTTATTCTTGTAAATGGCGGACCTGTGAATTACTGGCGGATTTAGTTTGCCGTTTTTTAATTTAACGGCGTTATACATCGTTCTGTAATGTCTGCCCTCTATTGGCTTGATACAAAAGCTCGCCCGGCCTCAGGGATCTCTTGCTCCTTTCCTTGCGCTTGCTAAACATGTAATCCGGAGCTGATGCCGGCGAATTACGGCTTGCTGTTGGGCAACCAGCGTGCTCTCGCAGTTCGAGTGGCGATATAGACGACTACAGAGGCTGGTTAGATTGAATCCGCTGTCTATCCTTGCTCCACCTTTGACTAATAGTAGGCCCAGCTGATCCCCTCGGTATGCCTGAGTATCAATGTATTGACGAAGGCCTAATCCTGAGAATCAATTGACTATTTCTGGATCTAGCCTCCGATTAGTAGTCCAAGTATTCGAGTCTCTCAACAGGAGTCAAAGAGATGAACAACCACCCATCACCTCGCCCTTTAGAAACAAAGAGCCAAACCATAGCAATCCCACTCTGCAGAGCAATCAAGTCAGTGACAATACACAATAGCAAATGATTCGACACCCAAGATACCAGTGACATCCCATTCCTGATTCAAAGCACAATAACAATCCTCCTACTACCAGGACGAGTAATCTCCAAATCATCAGCCGAAGGCCGAAACCCATGCTCATTTAAAGTCGAACGATAAGACCTCACAAAGGTTCGTTTCATATGACGGGGCAATCGATTGAAATCCGCCACGATGCTCCGGTGCAAAGATGCCACTTTCACCTTGGCCTGTAGCCAGGATCCGCGGTGGAGATTGAGCTGTGCGGGAGTGGTTGTCGAATTGATGATTGCCAACATGCTTCGGTCGTAGATTCCAATTGCTGTCTTGATGTAGACTAATTCCTCTAGCTCGCCGCCGAGGTCAAGGACCTGTTGTTCGGGTGGGGTCGTTAGTATGGAGAGGCATAGCTGATTTGGATGTACGTACCGTTTGTGGAATCCGGGTCAATTGGGTTGGTGGCATGGTGGGTTAGGGTGATGGGGTGGTTTCTATTTGATAGAGGTCTGTTAATGTGGATGCAGATAGAGGGTGGGAGGATATAGGGTTCATACTGATGTTTTGGGTTGGATGATAGAGGTTAAGGCATGAGGAATGAGAGAGGGTACGATGCTGGTCAATCAATGTGATGAGCCTCTGCGATAATCAGAGAGAATTGAGAAAGACATGAGAGGAGACGCTGCATGGTTTGCCTATCAAGTGAACCACGTCGTGTCAAGAGCCCAGGATTCGGGGTTTGGGTACAACTGAAAAGGGAGGAAACAAGCAGACATCAAACTTAAGAGCACCACATATATAATTAGGTCGAGTTGATAGTGAATAGATGGAAGTATACACAGAAATCTCAGGAATACTACATGGCCTAGTCCGTGATTACATCGAAGATTGGGTTTGGGAATAGCGTTATCGAACAGAACGTTACAGTTCATATTCCAGAGGAGCGGTCATAAGGACCGTGATATGGACATTCATTACAGCGTGTCAAAATACAACGCTACATACAACCTGGACGCCCACATCCCCAGGCACGCCCAACGCTTTTTCGGCCGCATGAAGAGAGGATATGAGGGTAATCAAAAATGGTAAAGAAAGGGAATCAAAGATGCGACATCACAGAGACATCAGCATTTACAGCTGGCCAGCAGTGTTGAAGTCATCAAGGGCCTCCTTGACACGCTTGCTCATGGTCTTCTCACCCTCGCGAACCCAGACGCGGGGATCGAAGGACTTCTTGTTGGGCTTGTCAGCACCGTCGGGGTTACCGACCTGGGACATGAGGTAGTCCTTCTTGTTGAGGACGAAGTCACGGACACCGGTCAGGTAAGCGTACTGCATATCAGTGTCGACGTTGACCTTGACGACACCGTAGCTGATGGCCTCCTTGAACTCCTCCTTGGAGGAGCCGGAGCCACCGTGGAAGACGAAGAAGACGGGCTTATCGGAGGCAGACTTGGTCTGCTCCTTGACGTACTTCTGGTGCTTGGAGAGAAGCTCGGGGTGGAGCTTGACGTTGCCAGGCTTGTAGACACCGTGGCAGTTACCGAAGCCAGCGGCAATGGAGAAGTAGGGGCTGATGGGGGCGAGGGCGTTCTGGATGGCCAGAATGTCCTCGGGCTGGGTGTAGAGGGAGTTGTTGTCAACAGACTCGTTGTTGACACCGTCCTCCTCACCACCGGTGATACCGATCTCCTATAGAAGTTGTTAATTACTGCATCAATGCTGTCATTAGCTTTTTGGAGTAGACATACCATCTCGAGCCACTGCTTCATGGGGGCAGCACGCTTAAGGTAAGCAGCGGTGGTGTTGATGTTGTAGTCGACAGGCTCCTCAGACAGATCAATCATGTGGGAGGAGAAGAGGGGCTCGTTGTGCAGCTTGAAGTAAGCCTCATCGGCATCGAGCATGCCATCGAGCCAAGGGAGGAGCTTCTTGGCGCAGTGATCGGTGTGAAGGATGACGGGGATGTCGTAAGCGGGGGCCACGCTACGGATGTAGTGGGCAGCGGCAATGGAACCGGCAATGGAAGCCTTCTGGCCATCGTTGCTCACACCCTTACCAGCGAAGAAAGCGGCACCACCCTGGGAGACCTGCAGGATGACGGGGCAGTTCTGATCACGAGCAGCCTCGAGAGAAGCAACAACAGTGGAAGAGGAGGTGACGTTCTAGTGAGAATTAGTATAGGATCACGACTGTATAGTAGTAGAATCACGACTGTGTAGTAGTAGAACTTACAATGGCGGGGATGGCGAAGCCCTTCTCCTTAGCGTACTCGAAGAGACGGAGGACATCGTCGCCGACAATGACGCCGGACTTGCGGTTAAGTTGCTCAAGAACACCCATTATGAAGTTTGTACAAAGATGTAGAAATCTGAAGAAAGAAGAAAGGGAATTAGAGAGAAAGGGTCGTATTTAGAGAGCTCCTTTACCGGGAGCTGAAAGCGGGCAGAGTTAAATAGAGGGAAGAGGGGCAAATTGGAGGGGCAAGCGTCATCGGTGAAGGGAGAAGAGACAAGGTAGGACTCACCGGTGGAGATGTGTGGAAAAGTGAGGTCAGTGTGATTTCAAGAAAAGAAAAAAAAGAAGAGATGATATAACCTCCTTATGTATGGCTGTGCTCCCGACCTTCCCCGTGATGGCCCGATGTTGCCGTTTGAGGTCTCGGGAGCTCCTAGCTTGTAGGGAGATTCTGTAGGGGATTATGAGGGGGATTTTTCCTATATCATGCGATGCTGCTAAGTTTCTTGATCACATTTATCCATGCTCATCTACAGCTAGAACATCTATCAAATCGATCCCATCGATCACATCTATACGGTAACTCCCTGGAGCTCCCAGTGCCCCCATCCGTATTTTGTTCGTGGCGGGGGTGCCGAGGAGTTCGAGGCCATTCGCTCCAATTCCACAATCCCTTACGGTATGTTAGTCAGATATTCAATCCGGTTCCTACTAAGATATTCAGGTTTCTCTGTATTTCATGCTCCAGTTTATGAGAATGTGAAAGAATGTAGAATTATGTTCAAAATGTTCGGTAGTTGCAGAGCTGCAGAAAGTCAAGTGACATCATCGCCGTTGATCGGAAGTTACCTTTTCCCTCTGCTGGCTTGATCCGGTGGGCAACTTGCAGTCGAATCTAGTATGTTGTATGTTGTATGTTGTACATTTGTACATCGGCCAGAAATCTCCCTTCTAATTTGATGGTCCCCATTCTGTACAGAAATATGGGGATATGTGTATATACTGGACTCTAAAAAAAAAAGAAAACACATCGGCCATCAACGCCCCTCAGTAGGGCTCGCGTCAGGCTTCTCCAGTTCGTAGAATAAAAGGTAGACCTCCCTCTGCATCCCCAGCACGTCCGAAGTCTTACATTCCTTGACCTTCTCGTCGGAGATGCGCCACCAGCGATCGTTCGGTTTGCGACGGCGCCGAAGCCGCGAACTGACCCCCGTGGGGGTATCCTGGGAAGCGTTGGGTATACTGCGGGAAGGCCGCGGGGAAGGACTCCAGCGACCCCGGTCAGTCGTCGGGCTGTTGCTATCCGAGGCAGGCGACAGCGTCTGTTTAGACGAACGGGATGTGCTGCTCTGGAAGGAACGACGTGACCCAGAGGTCGTAGGCCGAAGGTGAGGAGGGGTGAGTTGGGTCGCTGAAGCTGAGGTCGAGCCTCCAGATAGTGAGGTCGATGAGCCTGCTCTCGAAATGTTTCCATCGCCGTCGACATCGGGGCTGCTGCGTGGTACAATCCGAGGACTGGGCGCCGCGGAGGGAGCTTGACTGGCAGTGCGACTCTGCGCATAGGAGCTGAAGGCCTCGGGTGTCGAGAACGGTGGGTAGATATGATTCCGTCGGAAGGACTCGTAGTGTCCGCTATGATGGCTACCTTTGTGGCAGACAATCGCAAGCAGCTTGTACCACTTCTGGCTCAAGATACTGCCCAAGGGGAGCCGCTCTGGGAACGAGACCTTGGCCGCATTCTTGCTCGAGCTGCTCTGATCAAAGATCGACCGCGACAAGTGGATGGCAATGACTTTTGGGAATGCCGTGATGCGCATATGCCGTGCAATCCTGCGCTTGGGGGCGGTTTCTGGCGGAGGGAATATGATACCCTCTAGCTCAGCCTCAGGGTCCGTCTCCAGAGCCTCGCGGAGGCGGGCAATCTCCTGGTCCAACCGATCTCGACCACCTTGTGTTCTGGTGCGGGCTAGTTCGGTGGTCTTGACATCCAAAGCATGCTGCAGGCGGCATCGATCGCAGCGGAAATCCTCGATATATTCGGTCTTGAGGAGACCGTCGAAGCACGAGTTGAGGGTAGTTGAACTCTTCTGCGGCACCTGCAGTGTCAAGTTGACGAACGCCGTTCGATTTGGCTTGTATTGATAATGGCAGAACTGGCACTCGATCTGCGACTCCATTTTACCTTCGAACGGGAACCCGGACTCCCGGTCGATTTCCTTGAGTTTCGTGTCAATGATTGCAGGCAGTCCATTGGCCGATCCATCATCAATGCGCACCTCCACCTCGGACGAGCTTTCTTGTGTGTTGGCCTCTTCGCCTGTCGGGCTGGAAGCAGCTGCATCAAGGGCATCCAATGCTCGTTGACGTGCACGCGCACCAGCATGGTACTCATCACAGAGTCGCTCGAGAACAATCTGCAAGAATTCCTGCGCGTCCTGCTGATTGCGGCTGATGCGCGTACGGAACGCGTATTCCAGAGCCTGGATAAAGTCGCGGGCCGAGATTGTTTTCTTATAGATCGGTCGCTCATTCAATCGGTCCAGCATCTCCTTCAATGCCCGTGTTATTATCCCCTGTTGCAACTCCCGCAACTTGTCCGACCGCGCCGGCGAAAGTTCGTCCTCCCGAGACAGTGTATGGTAAATTTCCGGTCCGTCCAGCTGGCGTCGATGCAGCTCGTGGATGAGGTAGACCCGCAGATCCCCCAGCCCGGCTAACGCCTGCAGCACCGAATTGATGAAGCAATCATTGGCTAGGTTGGACAGACCCACGATGCTCTTTTTGCGATTGCTGTCGTTTGACTCATCTCCGTCGATTGTGTAGTTCGGCCCAAAGACATAGAACAGAGCAACGGCAGCGAGTGAGGCCCCGGCCGCATAGGCGGCGACCGTTGTCGGCTTTTCTTGCATCAAGCGCTATGGTATGGAGGAAGAGAGGCTCGGTGGTTCGTGTCGAAGCAGGCAGACATATATCTCATTGCCCCATTCTCGTGTTGGCCCGGATATAGGTAAGGGCGTTGTTTGTCCTAGGATGAATCACAAGAGAAGTCCAGTGTGGGGTCCAAAGTTGAAGAGATTAAATTTGCCGAATTGAATGAGTTGGGAGACGGGAGAAGAGGCGAGAGCGGAGCGCGGTTCATGCGGAGAAAAGAAACAATGAGCATCTTCGTCCGGAGAAATCGGGTATGTAACAGTAAAATGGGGCAAACTCCACTCCAAGTTGAAGGCACATTCCTCTCTTTTCGTCTGAGACTCTCGTTTTATCCAATGGGGTTCTCTTGGCCCAGGCACTGTTGTAGAGGGTTAGACCCGGATTCTCCGGATATCCGTCTTACGCATCCCCCGCATATTTGGAAGGTTGACCGTTACATGCAATCCGGGGTAAAGTCATCTATTGTCGGGTCAAGTTTGGGGGAATGTCAGAGCATCTATCGGAATATGGGCTTAGGCTCTCAAAAATATGAATTTTCAAGAGTCATGTCCGCTACCATATATGTAGAGCGCCTCGGTTGAAAATTACTGGAATAATAGTTGGCCACAAACATTAAGTATTTCAAGAAGCCCTATAGCTTTTCACACCAATAGGAACTGCAGAGCTTCTACGGTCTTTCTAGAAAAAAAAAAAAGCAAGGAACGATTCATGATATTTTCAGTATTTGTCATATGTCTGAACTTCCAACTTTTGTGACATTCCTTATCTGGAAAAACTTCTATCAAATGCACCCAATCATGTAAATTTCTCCACATAGACGCCGACCAGGGCGACAGGCTTACGCTTGGAGTGACTTGGGCAGGGTAGCAACCTTCTCATCGAAAAGTTGCTCGGCCTGCTTCCAGACCCGAGAGTTGGCCCGGTCATTGAGCGTGAGAAGGCTAGGCAAGAGAGCCTCGCTGAACATCTCGGAGCTCTCACGGGGAAGGAGAGACGGGAGATGATCAATGCTGATCACGCTGAGAGGGAGACCTCCAGCCTCCAGCCCGGAAACGGGAACTGTTGGCTTATCAAATGTGGTCGTGATGTCGTACAAAGGAATGGGGTTCAAGGGGTTGGAGCTTTTGAGAATTAGCCGTGCGCTTGCTAACATTGTTCGTATCTGATAACTCACGTGTCGGCGCTGACGTCGCAAATAACGGACAAGGTTCGGTTGGGAGCAGACAACGACTCGAGGTTCACGAAGTCTAATGCAAAAAAGGATATTAGCCAATTGAGTCGAGGCAGTAGGATTTATGCATCAACCTACGTGGAATCTTGGCGGAAAGGTAGATGCAGTTCACGAATATATCCGCTTCATGTGAGATTTCCTTGAAAGGACCACCTGGGGGAGTTAGTTTATAAGCCTGAGATTTAGTTGAGGTTGGAGATGGTAATTGACTCACCTCGCGCAGTCTCTGCCATATCCCACTGAATAATGTTGGACTCGGGGATACCGACATCCTTGGCCAGCTGGACGGCACCGCTGCCACAGCGTCCGAGCTATTGTGTTGTTAATATGTATATCGCTTTCTGTGGATCTACGCAAGACTCACAGCTCCAATGACAAGGATCTTGGGTGCCTTGCCAGCAACCTTCATTCCAGCCTCGAGCGACTCCTTAACGGACTCGACCAAGCGGGTTTGGTTGGCGTAGGGAACCTCACCAGGCAAGGCCTCGTTGGGGTGTGTCAATTGCCAAGCCCAGTTCTTCACAGCCAAAGCGGATCCTGTACCACGTCTTAGTATTGATTGTGCCAGGTAACGAGCTGAACGGATAGGTACCTGCGTAACCGGCGGACCATCCGAAGGCTAGGAAGCAAGCCAAGTTAGCATTTGAGTCAAAACAGGAACACTTCAGGATATGAGTCTTACCAGCAACTCGGCGTCCAGAATCATCGGTCAAGAATTCAAGGTCGAGCAAAGTGCCGTTTCCACGAGGCCAGCGGCTAAGGACCTTCTCCCAGCCACCCTGCTGCTTGAAGCAATGTGCGAATGTGACGTGGACGTGCTCCAGAGGAAAGTCATCCTCCGGCAGCTCCTTAAGACCCAAAATGACGGCATCCTTAGGGGCATCCTGAACCCATGACCCCTCCGCGACCAAAGGCGCACCGATCTATAACAATTGATTAAATTGAGGGCGGGTTCGAGCTATATTACCGAGTAAATCATACCTTGGAGAATTCCTCATCTATAGCGCCGAGTCAGTCATTGAATCCAACGGCAAGGGACGGAGGTAACTCGGGAAGTATACATACCTTCAAAGATGCGCTGGGTAGACCGCTCGACAGTCACGTCATATCCAGCATCAATTAATGCCTTGCAGGTAGTTGGGGTCACTAGATGGTGTATTAGTTTGCTTCCCCGCCATTGTAGGGGCTGAAGCTACTCACAGGCAGACCGCGCCTCAGCGGGCTTGGTCTCAGCACGCAGCCAAATCTTTTGTCCAGCCATTTTTGAAAGTAAAGGATTAGAATATGTTGAAGAGGGAAAAAGAAACTAAATATGAATCGCCTTATCACCAATAATGACACAGAATTTCCCCTCCAGTAATAAGCGGGGATGGAAGGGTTATTCCGCTCCGAGAAATGACTCAGTCCCGATTATCGGCCGTCTAAGACCCAGTCCACCGCAAGAGTCGAGGTTTCAGGATTCAATCCTATTCGGGCAATTCATTAAAAGTTACAGATACCCTAGGAAGGAATTGGACGTAAAGGTATACTGGAGAGTAAGGAGCAATAGGGTTTGATGCAACAGAACTTATAGCAGCACAGATGTCTGCATACTACATACTCCGTACTAGTGGTGTACAAATATTTCCTTTCTTAGAAGGTGGCATGATCTCAGGAACCTTGCGCAGAAATTCTGTGATGCTTTAATTGAACTGTTTCTCGTCCGGATTTCGGTCAGGAAAAGGATATTCTTCTTACTGCAGCGCGTATACAGCCAAGCCGAGACATGAATATACACAATTCAATGTGAAAGCAAACATGATGCGATGGAAGTGACATGGCAAATCTGCAAATAGAGTAACTGCAATCTCTTCAAGCAGCCTTAGTCCGGCTGCGAGTCCGACTACCAATGCCATCTCCTGGAATAACCTTATTCACGACATCCTTGATCGTATCCTTCTTGGATCGGCTAGCCTTCTTTTGTCCAGCGTTTTCTGTGCTGGAGGGACCATCCGCAGTGCCATTGGACTCTGTGGCAGGCTTTTCGTCTATCTTCAACTTCTTGGTATCAGGTTCATGCAACGGTTCAGGCTTTTGTTGCTCCTCATTTTCAGCCAGGGGCGGAGTGGGCGTCACAGTGGTATCAATGCCACGCTTCTCGCCCGCCACTGTTTCATTCATGGGCCCCACTGAGACCTGCGACTCACGGGCAACAGGAATACTGCCGATGGGAGATCCTGTGGACTCTGTGGCAGGTGCCTTGGTCTCTGGATCGGGCTTGGGTGCCGCAAGCCCAGACACTTCCTCATGCTGGTGATTGTCTATATCAGGCTTTTGTGTCTCGGCAATAGGCGGGCTATCCGTTTGAGTTGTATTTAATCTGTTCTGGAATGCATACGAGTGTTCTCTGACTAGCTGGGCAGTGTCCTGATCTGTTATACCCCTTAGTCAGCATCTCGCATGCACTTTACAAGCAGATAGATAAGCAAAGAAACAGCGCCCTGAAACCATGTATTGATAAAATAGTTTGATCATTTGAGCCAATTATGTATCAGATTGTGCAGCAGTGTATCTGCAGACAAATCACGTACCTGAACCTGCCTTGATGTGCATGGGGACTCCTTCAGTAGTCATTGTGATCGATGATGTCAGATGCCAGGAAAGTGTGTTATAAATTGGTGAAGATTGAGTGGGAGGGTATTGGCAAAAGAAAGGCGACTGCAATGCTTCCTATGATGAATTTGTATGAGGGAAAAAACAAGTAAAGAGGAGTCAATTAATTTGAGGGGAGGGTGAAGTGAGGTCGCGCGGTGACGTACTTGAGAGCACCGGAGACGCTACCTCCAGCTGATTCGCCGCTCCAGCCCTCTCAACTCTCCACGGCATTCTGTCGCACAGCCTCACCAGCTCCAGGCATACAATTGCCACGCAAGGTTCTCCGCAAGAGGTCTGTGAGCACAACAGTTTTGCTGGGGGCCAGCCATTGATCGTAGAGGCTGTTGATCTTATCATAAGGTAGAAGACCGTGTATAATTGCTAAGAATATGCTCTTCATTGAGCCTAAGAGGCTTGTCTAGGAAACTGGCTGAGCCACTATTGACAGCAGGTTATATATATGTGTAGATATATCATCGAGGGAGCGCTTCCGTGTATTGGTACAACGGAAAGGCAAGTTTGAAGATAATTGATGGTATCCAGGCGCATCGCACACCTCCAAAAGTGTTGCTTTAGCCAAGTCTCCCTGTCAGATTAAATACCTCATACAACTCGACAAGTGATGTATGTAAGAACGCCAAGAAGATGAGGCTCCAAATCGGAATGGAGTAGCGGCAGTGGTTTTCCTTCGTTTAGTGATTTGGAAAATGACAGCTTGTCGAGCAGCCAGGCTGAAGCAATATCAATTGTGTAAATGGCACACAAAGGAACGCGGGGGAAATTGTGCCTTAGCAGTGTGCCGACATGACTGCAGGAATCCTGCCTATGATCTCCTCTTTAAGTAGAAACATAGACAGATGTGTGTATGCCTTGGGTGTTGGTGTTGGATTGGATGTTCTCCGAGCATCCTAGCTATGTGCAAAGATCTAGGATGGTGATTCGATAAGTTTCAGACTAGGGGATCATGTAAAACCCCAATTCAAGCGACCGATATGTTCCTCTTCAGATGAAGTATGCGACTTCTCAGCAATGGGAGCTGCTGGCTGTTCCGGTAGGAGCTCTGAAATATGCTGCTCTAGCCGGGAGATATCACGGAACCTCTTCTGGTCAACGAGGACGCGGAGAGCCTCCGAGCCTATCTCGAAGAAAGCATCACGCCGAGTTTCATTCCAAGCCTGGAATTTGCTCGGTGAAAGGTTCGCCACGAATTGGAGGAACGGGCGTGGATCAGGGTCTGTTGGGTGACAGACAGCCACAGACGCTACCAATAAGGACCGAGGGGACAGCACAGAAACGGTATTGCTGAACTGGTCATACACTAATGTTGATACCTGACCACTTGATAGTTTGTACTCCATAGCCATACGGCTCAGGTGAGCGCCTGCAGCTAGGAGCATCGGTTTCCTTGACTTATGAGAAGATGCACTTTGGAAATGCATCTGGCACACACTCAGATATTGTGCCATCGCCGAGCCGTAGCCATTTCCGAAGCAGGCTTCTGCATCTATAAAATCAACAAGAAGATGATTAAATGTCTGCCGTGCGAGCCCTTCAGTCATACGGCCATTTTGACTGCCTAAATCATGGCTCATGAGCATTTGCAGCCACTGCATGACAGTACTGTGCAGTCCCTCCGCCACCATGAACTTGGTCAACGAGGTAGTTGCTGACCGCAAACGCAGAAGGGATTGCCTGGATGTACCATCTGATGCCCAATACCAATCAACGATCCTGGATGCTACCCGAGATGTTTTCATATCGACCGGGGACCTGGAGAGGAGAAGTTGAGATTTCAGACAATCATTGATCGTGAGTGCAGTGACTGAGCCAGTTGCAGCCATTTGATCAAAGACTGCCATTGGTTCTTCGGCTAGTCGTCGCTGACCCTCAAGGCTTTGCAATGTGGTGGGTTCTTGTGGGATGTGTCTGGTCGGGATGATACGAAAAAGAGGATTATCGAGGATATTCTGTAGATGCTGGTTGGTTGCATGTGCTGATGATTCAGGATTCGAGAGAGGTCGGCCATGATTGTTGCCTGATGCGGGATAAGCCCCATCTAATTGACGACGGAAGGAAGACGTGAGGGCATTTAGCAGTTGCTGAGACTCTCTTGGCGTACGGGGTAAGGGCTGATGGATCTTGGGCCAGGATTTGAACTGAAAAACAGATGTACCCTTCATGTTGGTCGAAAGCTTGAAGGTTATCAATGGTACGTTGGATGATGCATGAAGGTAAAGAGGGAGGATCTACGAGGGCGGTGAAGCCATTCCCTCCCCCTTCCTAAGGGCGAAAAAAGGTGAATGACGACTAGAACGAAACCACACTTATAGCAATTGAAAAAATTTGTATGTGTTCAAGTGATGGAATCTATAAGGGAATATCTAATAACTACATGTAAAAAAAAGACGATTATTCTATACCAAAATATATTAGAACATTGTAAATAAGTAAAGATCTCCCTTTGTTGTAAATCCCCCAGCATCCAATAAGCGCCACTCGCTAAAAGCCAGGCAACGCCAAGACTTGAAGGGAAGCAACTCAGATCCCGTTAGCTTTTGATCCTTTCTTCAATCTTGTCATCTCCTAACGCATTCTCCTTCTCCCCCCAATTAATCTCTTTGATTTTACCTCTTCTTTTTCGTCTCTTCTGGCCCCCGTGCCTGTGGTTCTGGTGCTGTTCCTCTTCTGCGAGGGTGCTCCATTTCAATAGCCTTTCCCTGCGAATCGTGACCTCCTTCCTCAATACTTCTCCATCTCACACACCTTCATCAATAAACATGTCCGACATTCAGAACCGGTCCTCCGCCTCGCGGGGTAGAGTATCCGCCCGTGGTGGCCGTGGCGGCTTCAGCTCCAGAGGTGGTCGTGGTGGAAACAGATCTGCAAATGACAACTCAGACATCTCATCCTTCGAGGAAGGTGAAATTGGACAGATGAAGAAGAAGTACTCCGACACTCTCCCGACCCTTAAGGAAATGTTCCCAGACTGGAAGGACGAAGATCTGGTGTTTGCACTGGAAGACTCGAACGGCGAGCTCTTGGAGGCAATTGAGCGCATCAGTGAAGGTCGAGTCCCCGCCAACCCCAATCTTCCCAACTCGAAATCAATTGAATCTTGTGGTTCGAGGGCCGTGACTGACTAGCCTTACAGGTAATGTGTCTCAGTGGGGTGAGGTCAAGAAGAAGACCACAGACCGGACTCGCCCTAAGCCCAAGGAGGCCCAGAATGCTTCGACCGAAACGACTGTAGCTCCCGCTCGTGGAACTCGTGGTCGTGGTGGAATAGAGAGTCGTGGACGTGTTCGCGCAGACCGGGGCCGTGGCGGCCGCGGAGGCCGTGCAGGAGCCGCTACAAATGGAACTCGCGCAGTGTCCACTGCTGGAGAGACTCCGGCGCCTACTGCTGTTCCTGCTATCACATCGGAGTGGGCTGCGCCCAAGGCAGAGGAAACTGTTGCAGAGCCTTCGGCTGAAGGCGAAGGGGAATCGACCGAGCCTAAGAGCAGTGTGATTCCTGAGGGTACGAAGAAGGGATGGGCGAGTCTTTTCGCCAAACCACCTGCTCCTCCGGTGCAGAAGAAGCCCCAAGCCCCTACTCCTGTTCCCGTCGCCGAGAAGCCCGCCGAACCTGTGGCCGAGCCATCTCCATCCGCTCCTGAACCTGTGACTGCCCCCGCCGTCCCCGCCGTCCCCGCCGCCCCCGCCGTCCCCGCTGCCTCCCAGAAGACACCCGTCGCCAAGCCCACCCATCCCGTTATCCCTGCCATTCCGACTACTACAGTTAACCCTCCTAAGGGCGATTTGACCGAGACGAACCTCGAACAGATTCCCGATGTATCCGCCCCCGCTCCTACTGCCACCGCCGCAAGCACCGTTGGCAGCGGTATCGACCCCGCGGCAGCAGCCGCAGCTGCTGCTACTCCCTCCCGATTCCCCTCCTCTGCCTACCCTCCAAGCGCTACCAAGCAGGGCCGTACCCCAGGTCTTCAACGCCGTGTGATGGAACAGCAACAGGCTGTGGTCATGCCCGGGAACCACGCAGTTGACCGCGCTGCTGTTCAGTTCGGTAGCATGGGACTGAATGGTGACGCTATCGATATCGATGAGAACCGCGAGGAGGCTGAGACCCGCGCTCAGCCCCCGCAGCACTCTCCCGTTGCTCCCCGTGCCTCTCTTCCCCCCGCGACTCAGGCACCCCACTCGATCGAGACTGGTGCCGCTGGGCGTCCTGCTCCCGGCTTGCCCCCTGTTCCCCAGGGTGCTTCCGCCGACTCTTTTACCGATTTCGCTCGCTACTCTGAGCCCCAGCAGAAGCCATTTGATCCTTTCACCCAACAGGTGAGCCAGCCGCAGCCGCAGATTCCAGAGCCATTCGCCAATCAGGCCCCTGCTCAGCCCACTGCCACCACCGGCAGCGAATACTCTCCTTTCTACGCTGCCGAGCAGCAGCGTTTCCCCTACTACGCCTCCTATGGTTCTTACGGCCAGTCCCAGGATGCCCCAACCGGTCCCCGCGCCGGATTTGGTGTTACTGGTGCTGAGGCCCAGGCTCAAATTCCCACCACGCAGCCTCCTAACCGCTACGGCCCTGTTGATGCCACTAACAGCGGACACAACACCCCCAACCCCACCGTTCCTGGCGCCACTCAGCAGACCCCCGCTACTCAGCATATGCCTGGCCAGAGTGCGCAGCAGCACGCCTACGGCTACCAATACCCCAACTACTACAACAACCCCCACTACGCTTCGTACATGAACCAGATGGGCCAGCAACAGCAGCAGTACGGTGGCGCTAACCGCCCGAGATACGATGATGCTCGCCGATATGAGGATCACTACATGCAGCAGCAGCAGCAGCAGCACAACCAGCAATACGGCTATGGTAGCCAGTATGGTCCTTACGCCGGTAAGGGTGGTATGTACGGCCAGCCCCACGGTGCCTTCTCTTATGAACAGCAATCGTCTTCCCCTGCAAACACTGGAAGCTTCAGCCAGGCCATGCCCACTCGTGACTCAGTCTACGGCCGCAGTGGCTCTGCCCAGCAGTCTGACAACCAGTCTGCCACTGGCACCAATGCCTTTGGTACTGGAATGTCGGATGTTTTCAGCCGTTCCCAGGGTAGCTTCGGCCAGAACCCTCCTATCGCCGGACAGCCTCCCGTTGCCACCGACGAGACCAAGGGCTTTGACGCCCCCAAGGCCGGTGGTCCCAGCCCCCTCCCTCGCCCAGAATCGTCCGGGATCCGCTACCAACAGCGTCCCCGGTCAGCCCCAGGCACAGACTGGTCTTCCCCCACTTCAAGGCCAGCAGGGCCAGCAGGCCTTCGGCAGCTACCCTCAGCTAAACCCCCAGTACGGTGGACTCGGTGGACTCGGTCATCAGGGTGCGGCCACCCAGACTCACCAGGCCTCTGGCTACGGTAACAACTACGGTGGAGGCTTCGGTAACTACTATGGAAACTCTGGTCGTGGTGGCTGGGGTGGCAACTACGGTCACTAAAAAGACAAAAAGAAACGAAGGGGAGACATAATGACCCACCAAACACATATGGCGTTGCATTTGCGGATGATTTGAAAAGGGGGTTGGTTTATTTGTCCACTTTACCGGGAAAGAAACCTCATGTCTTGTCAAAAAGAACAGACAGTACCCAGGCAATTTCTCTTCATCTTTCTCTCCTCAACATCTGTGTAATCTCTACTTCTCTTATTTTGGGGAGCTTGGTTTTCTTTACTTTGGGGGATTGTCTTCTTGATGTTTTTTGTTTTTCTCGTTTCCTTACCCTTCCTCTCAGCCGTCTTGCTCTTCTTTGCTACCACTGCTCCCATCTGATGCGGTCTCTGTATTAAATTCACCAATTCCTCTCTAGGTTTCTCTGTTTTTCATTTTGTTTTCTCGTTATAACCTAGTCGGTGTCTATTTGGATCCGGTGTGTCACTTGTTTCCGCGGACGGTTTTCCTGTTTTTTTTTTTTTTTATCTACTTCTTTCTCCCTTCTGTTGCTCTGTCTTTGTGCTTCCTCACCATGTGCAATATTGGTCGATGATTATGATGTATGGCTGAATGGGTCTGGTAGAGGTAGATCCAATGCTCAGTTGCGTTCTGGGCCAAAAGTGTCATGAATTATGTATGTCCTATACGATCCAGTATGGCACCTATATATGGAGACTGCTCTAGTATGATATACTGTAGCCTCTCGTAGTCACAAGTACTAGACATCTGTGGTCCACGCAACATCAAATCTCTAAATGTACTTGCATAAGAGCTTCAAAGATGTAAAGCATCAAAATCATTGATAATACCATAGCATTAAATGGAAAAGTTGGGTCGCCAAGTCCAAGCATCAAGGCAAGTCCGCGGCTTCGAGTTCTACCTGGACCTGGAACTATATACAATCGAAATGCAACATGACACGGCACAGAACAAAAATCCAAAAAATCAAATCTATGTGGTGCAACAAAGGCCCCAAGACAAATTCAGATGAACAAAAGAGAAGCAACCGAATCCAGTGATAATTTACTCAGCGATACCAAGACCTACGCCGCCAATCTTGTGGTAAGGTGGCTGAGCGCCAAGAGCCTTCTGAGCATCGAAGCGCCAGATACCGCCAGTCTTATCAGTCTCGAAAGTGAGATCAGCCACTCTAGCAAGACGCTGGATCAGGGGGTCATCGGCACTCTCCTCAATACGGTTGAAGAAACGGCGCACCCATTCGCGGCCCTCCTCCTTTTCAATGCGGCGCTGTTCACGCTGAGCAGTCTCAATGCGCGACTTGAACCCGGACACAGCATCCATGTCTCCCTTCTGGATGTTGGCGGCCACGTCGCTCCAGGCACGTCGGCTCTCGTACAGATCCTGTTGGTCGAGGGGAGCCAGAGCCAGCGGGGTGACGGGATTCTCCTTGGAGTTCCAGGTGTCGACGACGTTCTTGGTGCGGGCATCCTTGAGAGTGAACTTGTCTGACCACTGGCCCTCTACTGTGTAAAGGGGGTTCTTCTCACCCTCGCTCTCCTTAAACAGGCTTGCGCTGAAGGTGTTCTTCTTGCCACTCAACCAGCCCTTGCCGGAATAGTCAATCTTGGCGACATAGCCGCTGCTGCTGACAATCTTGGTCGACTTCTCCAGTTCGACAAAGGGCGAGCCGTAGATCAGCGATTCGATGTGTAGGCTGGGCAGCGTGATCAGGTATGTCTCCTTCTCGTCGGATCCGGGCGGGGTGAGTGTATACAGCGCATGGCCAATCTGTTTTACAAGGATAGTGCTGGAGAAAGAGGCTTTCTGCGCGTTATATCCTTGCAGCTGTGGTTGTATTGTCAGTTTTTGGCAACTCTCAGGGACTTGGTACAGGCTTTATGCACTCACCTCAACGCCGTTCTTCTCGTTGCGGATCGCGTAGGCGGTGGCAGGAGGATGGTGGCTATGGTTTAATCAGTGGGTTGTAGGTATACAGAAGTAGCCTCACATACCTGACTTGTTCACTGACCAAGACAGTCTCCCCTACATCCGCGTCACCATCCCATTTACCGATGAACAGCTCTCCTAAGAATGGGTTCAAAGGCTTCTTCTCACTGCCGAGCTTCTCACTACGGCTGCAGTATTGCTGGCGCAGTGTGCTGAGGAACCACTTGAGTACCAGGAGAGCACGCTTCGCGGGATCAGCCTCCTTAGCCGGTGCCACGAATACGGCAGGGTGCTCGGCCCAGTAGGCAGAGTACTCGGTGAGGGAAGTAGTGGAGAGGATGAAGGGAGGAGCAGTCAAGGAAGATAGATCACCGTTGAAGGAGGCGATCGACTAGAAATTTGTTAGGCTAATACACTCGCGCAACTGGGGTTGCATACCTTTAGGAAACTTGTCCATGAGCCCTTACTATTGGCGGGGACCTGACTCTGAGGGGACATGTTTTAGGATAAGAATGATATCTTAATCACGACCTAAGACTTGAAATCTCCAAGATAGAAGAAACGTGGGGGAGGGACGAAGTTGGTCGTTGGCGGTCAGAAGCGGGATAACGTCATGGACAGGGGGAAAAAGTGAACAGCCACAATTGGATCGGGGAATTTTTCAGATGCTCCTGTGGAAAGACATCGAGACATTCATCTGATACACTGCCTGACATTGTCATTCAACATGTCACACTTGATTGTGCAACGTCTCTCGCAGGGCCAGTGCTAGGCTATAACAGGGGGAGGACCTGAAAACGGCCAGCATTCCACCAGGGCATATTTGGTTTCTAATTTAACAGATTTAGGTACAATGTGATTCACATTTCCAGCCAGGATATTCCTTGAAGACTACCTAGGTACTTACCCTCGGTACCCAAGTAGTCCGGATTCTTTTCCGCCCTGTTGCCCTACCCGGCAAGGCTCCAGATCTTCTCCCCGAATCACATTGGTCCATTTCCTCTAGATTAGGCAGATGGACCCCGAGATGATAGCAAACTCTCTCTATATGGCCTTGAAGACGCTACGTCGGAGACAATCCGCCGATCCTCGCCCAAGATGATAGAAAAAAAGACATTCAGCTTTCTCTCTGACTCACGCTTCAAGTCTGCGATGTACCTCGTTGCTGTTGACTTGCTTATACTCGATCAATTTACTTCTATTTCTTCGTTTTTTTACTCCGTACTGTACTTCCAATTGAAGATATCGACGCACATCTCCGACGAGCATGACCTCGGAAAGAAGCCGCAACTAAGACAATTGCAGAATTGGTTTTCTCGTATCTTGCATCTGCACCGCGAGAGACTTAGATTTGATTTACTACAAGCTGGCTAGGTCTCTAGTTAAAAAAAGACCCCCTCCCGCCATGTCTCCAACTACCTCGAAAGCTTCCAGCGAGGAGAGGCGGTCTCAGTCCTGGATGAATGAAACCGAAATCCAGAGATCTCAATCCCGGCGTTCACAACGAGACGGAGCTGTCAATAGTCTTGACCACGTCCGGAGCCATGTCTCGCACCATGACATGCCTGTCAACGATGATTTCCAGGAGATCGATGCAGAGCAATATCTACGTTTTTCACCAGCTCGCAAAGTCGTCATCGTTGGTATCCTGTCGTTCTGCTCCTTTCTGGCACCTATATCCTCCACATCTATATTAGCCGCTATACCTGAAGTGGCAAAGACCTATAACACCACAGGAAGTGTGATCAACGCGAGTAATGCGCTGTATATGGCATTCATGGGTATTGCGGCTCCCTTTTGGGGGCCCTTCAGTCAGGTCTGGGGGCGACGTCCGGTGGGTGAAGAGCAGAAGTTCATCTTGAAGTAACAAACTAATTGGAAGTAGGTGTTTCTCGTAAGCGCGTTCTTGTTCTTTGCGTTTAGCATCGGCACGGCTCTAGCACCCAATCTCCCTGCATATTATATTTTCCGTGTCTTGACTGCATTTCAAGGAACCTCTTTCTTGGTCGTTGGGAGCTCGGCGTTGGGTGATGTATACGAACCTCGAGCACGGGCAACAGCATTGGGGTGGTTTTTGTCAGGGACCCTAATTGGGCCAGCCTTTGGTCCATTCATTGGCGTACGTCTGCCCTGCAAATTCAGCACTGAAATAATTCGCTGACCTATGAACCTAGGGTGTGATTGTCACCTTCCGCTCATGGCGAGTCATCTTTTGGCTCCAGGCAGCTCTAGGGGGCAGCAGCACACTTCTCGTCTTCTTCTTCTTCCCCGAAACCTACCCGCATCTGACCAAAGGAGACATGACCAACAAGACGACGTGGGAAAAGACCAAATACCTTTGGCATCGGATCTCTCCCCTCCAAGTTGCTGTCATGTTATTTAAATACCCCAACCTCTTCTGCACGGGTCTTGCTGCAGGGGCTCTCGTCTGGAACCAGTACTCCCTCTTGACCCCTATTCGCTATGTACTCAACCCACGCTTCCACCTCACCAGCCCTATCCAGACGGGTCTGTTCTACATCGCGCCAGGCTGTGGGTATCTTGTTGGTACATTCATGGGCGGAAGATGGGCAGACCATACCGTGAAGAAATGGATCCGTAAGCGCGGTGGTGTCCGAGTCCCCGAAGACAGACTGAAGTCTTGTCTGATATTTCTGGGTCTTGTCATTCCCGGCTGTATCTTGGTCTACGGCTGGACAGTCGAGAAGGCTGTTGGTGGAATTCCGGTCCCAGTCCTTGCAATGTTCTTCCAGGGAGTGGCGCAGTTGTTCTGCTTTCCTAGTCTCAATACTTATAGCCTGGATGTCATGCAGTCGAGCGGCCGGAGTGCCGAAGTCGTTGCTGGTAGCTATCTTTTACGGTACGTGTTCGGTGCTCTGGGGTCTGGACTAGTTCTTCCGGCGGTAGAGGCTATGGGGGTGGGGTGGTTTAGTACCATCAGTGCTCTGTTTTTGGTTGCGTCTGGGGTTTGTGTATGGCTCACCACTGTTTTCGGCGATCAATGGCGGGATAAGGTCGAGAAGAAGAACCAGCTCAAGGCTGAGGAGAGGACTGACCAGATACAGCAGGACACTACGAAGGTTGAGACTTGAAGATTCATCGTTGGGGACATCTATGGAAGACTTGATGATATATTGTGTTGCAATAAAAACGGAGGTCAAAAAATAGGTAGAGAATAACAACTGAAGCATAACCAAAATATTTGGACTTACCCCCTCACCAAACTGCTTAGGTGCTCGTTCTGCGCTTCGGGGACATCTTCATTACGGGCAGGTTGCTTCCCACTTGCGATATCATTGGGATCTAGACCACTCTCCGCCACGACACGGTCTATCTTGCGCTGCTCGGTGTATTTTCGACAGTCCTCACGACCCTTTTTGACATCCACAAAGCAAATGGTGATCATTGCCGCGGTGCAGATGGCGAACAAAAATGGAAACCCCATCCAGCTGTTGTGGGTATCGTTTATGATAGCTTGAATGACATTCGGCCCAATGATTGAAGACTGTAAGGTTAGTGAAATGAATAAGAGACAGCACCAAATACAGCCGACTTACGGCGCGATTGGTTATCCCAAAAAGGGCGAAGAACATATTATCGTAACCGCGTGGCATCAGCTCACTGATCATCGTTTGGGCGTACTGGCATAATGTTAGAAATCATAGCAGCAAAACAATGCTAGATAATTCAATTCACCGCGTAGTATGGAGCCTGGAAAAGCCCGAAAACGACATTGTAGAAGTAAAATTCCCACTTGATGGCTGTTAGCTGTAAGATCTTAGTTGGAGCCTGATACATACCCTATTGTGGTACCCGATGCGATTGGTCCACAGTCCCAACATTCCCCAAAAGGGGATGAGAACGGTGAAAAAGTTAGTGAACAAAAACATAGTTTTTGTCTTGAATTTGAAATATTGCTGTATATACCAAAAACCAAACGTTGAAGTGATCGAGCAGGCAGCTTGGGCAATGCCGAGATATGTAATCTGCAAGAATGAAAATGAAACGGAGTCGTTTTGAATGATGCTGACGAGGGTACCTATTTGACGATACCTAGTGAGTTCTCTTGTCTACATTTATCGGTGTATCGAGTCTGATTTGCATCAAGTAATTAAGAAGAGAACCGAACTCACCAGTAGTGTTGAGGCCATCAGCGAGAAGGAAATAGGCGAAGAAATACAGAAATGTCTGAGGAAGAGACCTGATTTCTCGGATGGCCAACCAGATCTGCTTGAATCCAATAGTACTATAGCTTGACCCTTTTGGTATCTTCGGACCTGGCCGTTTTTGCTGGAAAATGAACCACCAGATGCCAAGAACCACCCAATCTGTAGAAAGTCAGATAGTCCAACTATTAGAGGAACACCCAGAAAGCCTACATGAGTTAGTCAGACAGAGTGCCAGATTATTCGAGAAGTTGTTGTTTTGAAGTGGAAGTAACACGCTCAGATTAAGCACGAGTGTGAGTAGGTATCCAATATTGCTGTGTGCAGTTGAAATGTTGCTACCATTGTCAGCGACAATAGGGCTTCAAAAAGGCCAAACTTACCTGATATGATTTCTCTCTAGTGATTCAATAGCGTCATATTCCTCTTGGTCGATCTTGCCCTCTCTGAGATCTTCTTCTCTCGCTTTGCGCACATGCGGGGTATACCGCGCCAGACGGGGGAAGACAGCAGCGTAAAACACCAGCGTTGCGCCGTAGGCAATATATGCCACAACGTACAATCCCATCGCAGTAGGCCACTGGCTCGGATGCCGAATGGACATCATACCATACTGCAGGGCCCAGCAGACGACCGTCAATGCCAGAAGAAGCCATCGGCCGAATGTTCCATAGTCTGCAGCACTTCCTAGCCAGACGAATATCACAGTCATGAAAGTGAAGCAAAGACCATTGGCAATAAGAACTACTGAAGATACGGATCTTGTTCCTCCAGCCCAAGGCACCACGCATGCCGATGAATCGGTGCAGGCTCTAGGTGGATCGGAGCCAGGTTGATGCCCGGCACCATTCAAGGCCCACTGGAAGCTTCACTAGATTAGTCGGGAAACTCGAAAGTTGTATTGTACCTACAGAGCTTGGCTGTAGGATCCCGGGCCGACACCATTGTCACCATTGTAATAGAGGTAATATGACCAAAGTTCCTTCCTAGAGGTAGTCGGCTGTTCATATGAATCCTCGTCCACGCCGAAGAGCCGTTCATACGCTTCTAATGTGGGATGTTGTGAAGTAGGGACCACATCAACCGTGGTATCATCCTTTGCATAATTTTCATGAATCTCAGCCATGTTGTAAGGTAGAGAAGATATGTACATGATACATGTACTTCTACCGCATTGTCCCTGAGTGGGGCTTCCCTAAGCCGCTTTCATGCTCAGTGGAGGCTCAGTAGATCTCAGCACGGGCACTCTAGGGGCATCAGGTCACGTGCCCAGGAACAGCTGAAGACCTTCCAACTAATCATGAGTACGGAGTACACCATGTATGTATTCAGATAAAAACCAATCAGCAGAGATCTCGTTCTTTAAAAGTATTTTGGAAGAGCTATTACGCTGTCAATGGAAGCATGGTGTCATACAATACACGACGTTCGCATGCCGTTTGGAACAACCCTGCTATACCGATAACGTGGAAACATGGAGCGAAAGACTGTACGACAATCAAGTCAATTCAACACAGTTGATGAGAATTAGTAGATCAATGGCAGGATAAACGGACATGAACTGACGCGAGAGAGTGGAGGGGACACTGGTGGAGTGGTGGAGTGGTGGAGCTCATTTTGCCAACGGCCTCTACCTTGCGCAATTAGATTCAGTGACTTGAATATAGCTGCGATAATGGAATACTTATCACAGGAAGCCAATTTCCCCGAACTTGTTGACAGGGAAAATTACAGGTTTCGTCGCTTCATTTGGTCTAAATAGGACAGTGGATGTCGCATGCCCTCACTGTTCTGTTTACCTATCCTCCGATTCGACATCAACACACCCCGAATATACATATTGAACTTGTGACGAGAATGGCTGCTAAGCCAAAGGTTGCTTTCATCGGATTGGGTGCCATGGGGATGGGAATGGCCGTACACTTGCTCGAAGACGGTTTCGCTGTGACCGGGTTCGATGTTAACCCCATGGCTCTAGAGAAACTGCTTGCCATGGGTGGTGAGGCGGCTGATAGTCCAAAAAAATGCGTCCAAGAAGCCTCATTTGTTATCTGCATGGTTGCAAACTCTATGCAAACCGAGGATGCATTTTTTGCCGACTCAGCGGGCGCAGTTTTTGGCCTCACACAGAACGCGGTTGTCATATTGTGCTCAACTGTTGCACCAGGGTTTCCGGTGGAGATTTTGGGCCGCATTCACCATGTCTTCCAAAGACCAGATGTACAGGTGTTGGATTGTCCCGTGTCTGGTGGAACCATACGCGCTGCTCGAGGGATGCTGACTATCCTGTCATCGGGCCCGACAGGCGTTTTGAAAACGGCCCAGCCAATTTTGAAGTCAATGAGCGAGAACCTGTATGAGATTGATGGAGGACTAGGTGCTGCGAACAAGGTCAAACTTATCAACCAACACCTTGCTGGTGTTCATATTGCTGTCTCTGCAGAGGCAATGGGGCTATCTGCAACCTTGGGAGTGAATACAAAGGAAGTTTATGAGGCCATTTTGAAAGGCCCAGCGTGTAGTTGGATGTTTGAGAATCGAGTACCTCATATGCTATCCAACGACTGGACGCCACATTCTGCTATCAGTATCTTTGTTAAGGATATGGTAAACATCATGTCCCCATTGTCACTTAGGCAAGTATTGAATTGCTTTCACTGACATCGTCATCAGCGAATTGTGACCTCGGAAGGTCTTCTTCAGAACTTTCCTCTTTATATTGCGTCTGCGACAGAACGACTTTATCAGTATGCCGCGCGGATGGGATATGGAAAAGACGACGATGCTAGTCTTGTTCGACTTTTCCTAGCACAAACTCCATCTCTGGTCTCGGAAGCGAAACATTTCCAGAACTCTGATAATGTGCACGCATCCGAATTGATTTGTCAGTTACTGGAGACTGTTCACACCCTCGCAGCGGTTGAAGCTCTGGCCCTCGGAGAGAAACTCGGTCTTTCGATCAACGCTCTCACATCAATCATTTCAAATGCTGCTGGTGCTAGCGAGTCCTTCAAAGAAATAACCTCAATGATCTTAGCTGGCGACCTGTCATCTGGATACACCATCATACAGACACGGAACAAGCTGGTAGGTCTTTCCTCTCCAAAGCTTCGATTGACGCCACTAACCAACTCGACAGAAAGAAGTGATAACCCTTGCTCAAATGCATAATTATCCTCTTCAGCTTACAGCCACTATATTCCAGCTGTTACAACAGGCTGTGGCCTATGGCCTGGGCGAGGAAGGCCAAACAACGCTCGTCAAGCTTTGGACAACATCAAGTCTCTTAGTCGAGCCCTTGACCATCACCGAATACGACCCTATCTCCCTCTCGGAATTGTACTCAAAATTGCCGAAACTTGAACCCAACGCAGAAACCCTTCTACGTAATATTCAAGATCATTTACGGGCTGAGCAGGACTTCAAGCTCGTTGTTCTTGATGATGACCCAACAGGAACGCAGACGTGCCATGACATCAATGTCCTTACCATGTGGGATGTTGATCTTCTGGCCTCAGAGTTCCAATCAGAGAGTGAAGGCTTTTTCATTTTGACCAACAGTCGCTCTTTGCCTCCCAACGAAGCTCGCACGCTAGTTAGTGAGATACTGCAAAATGTTTCTCGGGCGGCTACTATGACTGGTAAACAGTTCGAGGTTGTTCTTCGGGGAGACTCTACATTGCGTGGTCATTTCCTGGAAGAAGTTGAATCGCATATTGATACGATTGGCCCTCCCGATGCATGGATTCTTGCGCCGTTCTTTGGGCCAGGTGCTCGCTACACCATCGATGACGTACAATATGTGGGCGACCGAGATACCCTGGTCCCAGCTGCGAGAACTCCGTTTGCTAAAGATAGAACCTTTGGCTACAGATCCTCAAATCTCAGAGAGTGGGTTCGTGAAAAGGCAGGATCGCGTTTTTCCAGCAAGGATATACTGTCTGTCACATTGGATGATATCAGACTCGGAGGAGTCTCTGCAGTTGAGCAAAAATTGCTTCGTGTGCCCAAAAGTGGAATCCTGATCGTGAACGCAGTCCAGATGGAGGATATGCTTATATTCAGTCAGGCTTTATTGGAAGGTAACCATCCTTGTTCTTTTCTGGTTCGTTCACAGCGCATAGTTCTTCCAAACTGACTTATTACTCAAAGTACGCAAAAAGCACAGACTCCGTTTTGCCTATCGAACAGGGGCAAGCTTTGTATCTAGTCGCCTCGGGATCCCAGTCAAACCGGTCATTTTACCGAGCCAGATCCCGACTTTCACACCCGTGAGACACACCGGAGGCCTAATTATAGCGGGCTCTTATGTTCCCAAGTCTACCACGCAGGTCGAAGCATTGATCCAAAGATCAGGGGGCAATCTAACAGCTCTCACCGTGGAAGTGCAAGCCTTATTGATCGAGCTCCAGCAATATCCCCACATTCCCACAATGCTCCGTCATTCACCCGCGTTGCAAAACATTGTTGCGCGTGCGTCTGAGGACCTTAAAAATGGCAAAGATGTGCTGGTGATGACCAGTCGAGACCTTGTGACACTAGATTCTGTCACTTCTTGGGCACCCGAAACTCCACAAAGAATAACGAATTTGGACATCAACAACTTGGCCGCCAATGCTTTGGTACACATTGTTCGCCACTTGAGCATTTGCCCTCGATATGTGCTAGCGAAGGGAGGCGTGACATCATCTGATGCAGCGACAGCTGGTATAGGAATAAAACGCGCAAGAGTGCTGGGCCAGGCGGCGCCTGGTGTTCCCGTCTGGTGGTGCCAGAGTGAAGAAGATCTAAAGTCTCAAGACCAAGGAGGGCGGGATGTTAAATGGACTGAGGTGCCATTGATCATTTTTCCAGGCAATGTTGGAGATGAAGATAGCTTGGCCGCTGTAGTCGAGCAGTGGGCACTACGATAGACTATTGTGCTTGAGTTATAAAGACAATCGTGAACCTGATATAAAGAATTGTTGCGTATCATTTGCTGCTTACAAATCTAGACTTCGAACCGTCTTGGTACATCACACAAACGTTTTTCTGTAACTGGAGTTTCGAATAGCCCACTGGGCGACAGACGAAAGCAAAGTAGAAAGATCTAGAGAAAGACATGTAAAAGGTTGATCGGGAAACACTTGAATATACCAGAATTCATACCATCGATGTGAATAACTCATTTGATTGAAAAGGTAATGATGTCAATGTGTGTTTCATTCAAAAATGTTGAGATCTGTGTGTGTGTGTGTGTGTGTGTATGTGTGTATGCCTGGGAGTAGCGCTCCGCAAAGCCCATGAATGGGGTCTTGGCGCTTCTAAACCGTCGGGTTATCATCGCTGTATCCTAGCCTCCTCCTCATTCTTTAGAGTCTAAAATTCAGTATATAAGCTCAACATAGCGATTTCAATTTATATATTAATTCTAGGAGAAGCTTAACCCGTAAAGGTCGAGATATCGCGAGAAATGCTTAATATTGATATTTTGATACCAGACATCTATTCTAGATCAGTATGGGAGTACCACCACTTCTTGACAAACCTTAGTAATTTCAATTAGTCTCAAGTAACGTTTTCTCGTATATTTTAACGTGATATAAGAGTTTGACTTAGTATTCATAAATTAAATATATTACTGCAAAATAAGTGTTCATTACGGGGCTCAAACATGGGGTAATCAATGTTTCAAAATATTTGCATTGTTTGGTGCTAAGTGGGCTCAATGGGCCCGGACTCGGGCCCAAAGCCCGGCCCATTTGTGGGTTGGGTTGGGCTATGGGCTTTGTGGGCTTTGAGGAGCGCTACCTGGGAGATCAGGGCCTAACCCGGGAATCGGATCGATACATGTAACAAACAAACAATTCGAGGAATTCGTCTCCAAGATACAACTCTCTTTCTCTCTCTCCAGTCTTCAGCCTGATTGAATCAAGAGAGAATAGGTTTCGTCTATCTGTTCCCCAGATCACTGAACCATGAACTCCTCAAAGTCCTCGTCGGGCAAATGTGCTTTTTCATTCCCATCAATCGTACCAAGATACCACGACAGGTCGCTCCCGTCAAACTCGCGTGCAGCGAAGCCGTTGCCAAGATAGCCAAACCGATTGGAGGTCGTATAATTGAGGTTGTAATCTTCCCAACGGGGTTGTTTCATGGTTTCAAAGAAATGAATTCTCGACCCCGGCCACATCATTACCTCGCCATCGACCGTTCCCTGCTTGAACCATGAGCGACATGGAGATGTCCAAGCGGTACGAGGCATGAAATTTCGGTGGTGCTCAAAGAAATCCGCAACCGCCTCAGCTTTAGGTTCAAAGGATGTCACACCTTCCGATGACATTTTCTCGAGAATCTGGAGGAAGTGTTTTGATAGGGTCTCCGTGATTGGAAGGAAACTTCCATGGCCATAGGGGCCAAATGGACCGTTGAAGACTATTGAAACGAAATTAGTTGCCAACACTTTATTGCTGAGAGTGAACAGGGGCTCACTGAGATAATTGGGGAAGTGTGGAACTGAGATGGAAAGATAACTCCTCGGAATATCTCTCCATTCTTCACTCAGACTGCGCGATTTCCGGCCGATTGTCGGGTACGATGGCCGCCAGCTGACATCAAAGCCGGTGGCACATACAATAACATCGACCTCATGCTCAACCCCGTCTGCAGTTTTGATGCCCTTAGGGGTAATCTCTTCAATTGATTGACTGACAACGGAAGTGTTATCACTGCAGAGCGCCTCAAGATATCCATTTCCTGGTGTAGGCCTTCGGCAGCCCACTGCAAAGTCCTTCGGAACAATCGCGTCGGCGATTTCTGGACGATCGGCAAGTTTGGACCGCATATCTTTCTCCGCGAACTAAAGGGATTCACCTTGTCAGGAAACGGCCAGGAGTGTATTGAATCAGGGCTAGAATCTCACAGCTCGCGCATTTGCTTGCTCCTCGGATCCATTGAGAATGAATCGGAAACGAGAGTTGAGCTCAGACTCAATCTTCTTGCGATATGCCAAATATTTCTGAGGATCGTTCTTTAATATGTCTTTTTGCTTCTCATTATCTGTTTATGTCAATATTTCAGATGGAGAGTTGATGCGACATACGTGAGGGAAGCCTTACATTTGAAATTGGATCCTCCCTTTCCTGCAAATCGTTGGCCAAAACCGGCAGTCACCCATGAGGCACTGCGAATGAAGCATTTGAGTGATGATACCTCTGTATTGGCTGTTAATAGATTCTTTGTTCGTGCTTTGATCGGCGAAACTCACTTGGTTGAATGCTCGGGACGATTTGCACTGCAGAGGAGCCTGAGCCGATAACTGCCACACGCTTCCCCTGCAATTGAACGCTATCATCCCAGTGTGCGCTATGAAGTCTAGGTCCCTGGAAAGATTCCAGGCCCTTGATATCAGGCCATTTCCATTTGCTGGAGTACGTCAGTCTTATCATGTTATAATCGGATAATTGAGACTCACTTCAGTACACCACCAGCGTTGATCAATATGTGACCTTTGTCCTCAAAGACATCTTCGGGATTATCTCCTCTTTGAATTTTTACATGCCACTGTTGATCCTGCTCGTCCCAAAATGCGCCTACCAGCTTGTGTTCCAGGCGAATGTATTTCCGAAGCCCAAACTTTTCGGCAACCTCCTTGAAATATTTCAAGATTTCCGGTGCACCCGAGTAACTACCAACTGTTGAGTATGGTGTCCATTCCTTGGTTCTGACAAGACGGGTGATTACACTTACAAAGACGTCCAGTCTGGAGAGGGAGCCCATGAGAACTGATAGTTGACGGAGGGTATGTCACATCCACACCCAGGGTAGCGGTTCTCATACCAAGTGCCTCCTATCTCTGGGTTCTTCTCATAAAGAACTAGCTCAGTATCTAATGGGCTTGTGTCAATGTCATGGGCAAAGTTCAACCCGCTTGCGCCAGCTCCGATCACGATGATGCGGATTTTACGACGGTATCGGCTTGGCCTCTCCACGATTTCATAAGGTTTAACCCCATTACCACCTCCATTAGACGTAAGCTCATGATAGTTACCGATAGATCCCATTCTTGGTGGAAGTAGGAAGAGTAGTCAATAAAAAGATGATCAGGTTGCTTTCATTGAATCACGGCGATGCAAGGGCGCGGGATCGATGCATTTATGAGACTCTTTCTGTAAGCACACATTTCAGTGCATTTTCTGCCTCAATACTCAGAGCAGGTGGACAATCCGTGACAATCTGTCGAGTCGTGCTTCTTTGTAGCTCTGTATCGGTGGAGCTCCACCACTCCACCACTTCTTATCATTTAGGGCTCTTCCCTCTCCACCATCTCCACTACGGAGAGATGCGCGAAGTGGATGATCGTCAATCTATGGAGTCCAACTCTTGTAGTCATGGACTTGTACTTGATTGATAAGCTACCTAATATCTCTAATAGAGACGATCACCCCGTGCCTTCACCAATTCTGTTTTACTCTACCGAGTCTGTAATCATTCCAACATGCCTGAGGGTACCATCAAGAAGCCATTACGCATTTCCATTGGTGAGTATCGACTCCTCAGATGTCCTGATCTAGTATTGACTAGTACAAACAGATCGCGGAGGAACCTTCACCGATTGTATTTGTAAAGTGATTAACGGAGACGATATTCTCGTGAAGATCTTATCCGTCGACCCAAAGAATTATGCCGATGCCCCAACTGAGGCAATTCGTCGAGTTTTGGAGATACACTATAAAACTTCAATTCCACGGGGCTCTGAACTAGATCTTGAAGATGTTGGTAAGTGATCGCCGAAAACAATGTGTAATTATTTTACTGATCAAACAGAATGGATCCGAATGGGCACAACGGTTGCGACTAATGCGCTACTCGAGCGCAAAGGCGAGCGGACAGCCTTACTTGTCACTGAAGGTTTCAAGGACATCTTGTATATTGGCAACCAGAGCCGACCATACATGTTCGATCTGTCAATTCGACGAGCAAAGCCGCTGTACTCGGACGTCTTTGAAGTCAAAGAGCGTGTTACAGTTGCGACATGCAGCGACTCAAATCTCCGAAATATGAAGCTGCAATCCCCAGAGCCAGTCGAGTCGATCACCGGTACCTCTGGTGAAGTTGTTCAAGTGCTGAAGCCTATCGACTTGACAAGTACTCGGACCTATCTGCAAGAAATATATGACAAGGGCTTCCGCTCATTAGCGGTGTGCCTCATGCATTCCTACATCTTCCCGGCTCATGAGTTGCAGGTTCGCGAATTGGGGCTCGAGATTGGGTTCAAATACATCTCTCTCTCGCATCAAACCTCCCCACGACCAAAGCTTGTCCCTCGTGGAAATTCCACGGTGGTTGACGCATACCTGACTCCAAACATCGAGCAATATTTGCAACAATTCTCGAAGAATTTTCCTAATATTGACCAGTCCGGGACGCGATTGGAGTTCATGCAGTCAGACGGTGGATTGGTCCCCTCGTCAAAGCTTTCTGGGCTGCATTCTATTCTCTCCGGACCGGCAGGAGGTGTGATTGGCTTCTCTCAAACTTGTTTTGACGCTGAAGATCAGATTCCCGTCGTTGGATTTGACATGGGAGGCACTAGCACCGATGTCAGTCGATACGACGGCGAATTGGATCACATATTTGAGACAACGACTGCTGGAATCGCGATCCAAGCCCCACAATTGAATGTGAATACTATCGCGGCCGGCGGAGGAAGTATACTGGCTTGGAAAGATGGACTCATGTCAGTTGGGCCTGAAAGTGCCACCTCCAATCCTGGGCCAGCCTGCTACCGTAAAGGAGGTCCTTTGACTGTGACCGATGCAAATTTGGCACTAGGGCGGTTGATTCCAGAGCAATTTCCCTCGGTATTTGGCATCAATGAGAATGAATCATTGGACAGAGAGGTTGTTTTAGCCAAGTTCAAAGATCTCACCCAAGCTATCAACAAAGAAACGGGTAAATCACTAAGTTGGGCAGAGGTTGCCGATGGGTGAGTAATATCCAAATCCACACATCGGTTTCGGTCACTGAGAGGTTCCATGCAGTTTCCTCCAGGTAGCCAACTCGGCAATGTGCGGTCCCATTCGAAGTTTGACCGAAGCCAAGGGTCATGATGTTGCAAAACATCATCTCGCGTCGTTTGGTGGTGCAGGGGGTCAGCATGCCTGCGCTATCGCCGAAGCCCTGGGAATTCAGAGAGTGTTGATCCATAAGTACTCCTCTATTCTCTCTGCCTATGGAATCGGATTGGCAGATCTCGTGCACGAGGAAGAGCGGGTATGCGCAAAAGCCTTTGATGACTCTACGTGCGAAACAATATACAGCGAGGTAGACATCCTCACAAACATCGCCCGAGGCAATGAAACCATGAAGCCATTCAACATTGTTCAGACCCGCCGCTTCTTGAACATGAGATACGATGGTAGCGAGACTTCAATCATGGTTTCTCTGGAGACCTCTGGGGACCCTCGGGAAGAATTTATCAAAGCCCATCATCAGCAATTTGGATTCACTCCTACCAACCGTGCATTGTATGTTGATACTATTCGCGTTCGCGCAATTGGCTCCAGTGTGTTCTCTGAGTCGTCGGTCAAACCACTGGATTCGTATCCCAAATTCATTTCTGGATCAGTGGCGCCTGTTCCTATATCATGGGAGTCTACTTACTTTAGTCCAATGGGATGGGTGGACACACCGGTGTACCATTTTGATCATTTGAGCGATGGGTGCCAGATCTCAGGACCTGCCCTCGTGATTGACAAAACCCAGACGATCTTGGTCAGCCCACACTCAAAGGCGACACTGAGACAAGATGTACTGGTCCTTGAAGTGGGATCTTCAGGGCCGAAAATGACGAGCGCAGATGTCATCGATCCAGTTCAGCTTTCCATTTTCCGCCATCGATTCTTTGGCATTGCAGAGCAAATGGGACGTGTTTTGCAAAACGTCAGCATAAGTGCTAATATTAAAGAGCGGTTGGATTTCACGTGTGCAATCTTTACACCCGAAGGGGACTTGGTTGCCAACGCACCCCATGTGCCTGCCATGATTGGGAGTATGGCCTTTGCAGTCAGATCGCAGATTGTCGAGTGGCAAGGTAAGTTGCAGGATGGCGATGTGTTACTCTCCAATACACCAGGTAAGGATCTCCGATAGAACATGAAAATGATTCCGGTAGCTAACCTATTATCATGAAGCATACGGAGGCGTTCATCTTCCTGACCTCACGGTCATTACCCCTGTCTTTGACTCCGATGGAAAAGATATTATATTTTGGGCTGCTTCGCGTGGTCACCACGCCGACGTAAGTTCTCTTCAAGCCCCGAATAATCCATAGACTAACACACTGTCCGTAGGTCGGAGGCATTCTTCCTGGCTCAATGCCACCCCTGTCAAAGCTTCTATCTGAAGAGGGTGCAGTCTTCGATTCATACCTGCTGGTGCGCGCTGGCCATTTCGACGAGGAAGAGCTTCATCGTAGGTTGTGCGTAGAACCTGCGCGTTTTCCAGGCTCCAGTGGATCCCGATGTTTTCAAGATAATGTCACCGATTTGAAAGCACAGGTTGCTGCAAACCACTGTGGCATCCGTCTCGTGCGACAATTAATTGAGGAATATTCTATGGATGTGGTTCGGGTAATTACTATGGATGAGGCAATTCTACGAGTTATTAGACTAACTGAGACAGATGTATATGCGCGCCATTCAAGACTCGGCTGAGCTTGCCGTTCGCAATCTCTTGAAGCGTCTCGCCCATGATCACAATGGAGAAGAGATGTCTGCCATCGACTACATGGACGATGGGACACCAATCATGCTCAAAGTGACCATTGACCCGTCGGATGGTTCCGCTATTTTTGACTTTACAGGAACCGGTCCAGAGGTTTATGGTATGTTTATTCCGAGGACTCACCACAGGAATTCCAATAATTGATTGACTGTAGGGAACTGGAATGCCCCAATTGCAATCTGCAACTCGGCAGTCATCTTTGCGTTGCGCTGTATGGTCAACTCTGACATTCCCCTCAACCAAGGCTGCATCAAACCTGTGCAGATTATCATCCCTGACAAGTCATTATTGCGACCGAGCTTCGAAGCCGCAGTATGCGCGGGTAATGTATTGACTTCGCAACGTATCGTGGACGTGATTTTCAAGAGCTTCAAGTTATGTGCTGCTAGCCAAGGGTGCATGAACAATTTTACCTTCGGCAATGATGGGGAGAATGGGTTTGGATACTATGAAACCATCGCTGGTGGGAGTGGCGGAGGCCCGGGCTGGGCTGGCACAAGCGGCGTGCATACCAACATGACCAATACACGTATAACCGACCCTGAATCACTGGAACGCCGGTATCCGGTGATTCTTCGTCGTTTCTGCCTCCGCGATGGGAGTGGTGGTGCCGGGATGTATCCTGGAGGAGAAGGTGTCATTCGAGATGTTGAGCTGCGATTGCCGATGTCCGTGTCCATTCTTTCCGAGCGCCGCAGCTTTGCGCCTTACGGTATGGCAGGCGGCGATGATGGTAAGCGCGGAAAGAACACATGGATCACCAAAACTGGCCGGCATATCTCCGTTGGTGGCAAAAACTCGATCCGTGTCCAATCCGGAGACCGATTTGTCATTGAAACCCCTGGGGGCGGAGGATACGGAGTTCCTGGGGCGCCAAAGAAATCAAGCGTGGACCAGTCAATTGTCATGCCGTCGTTTGTTCCTATTGCCAACGGTAGTGTGGCCGCCAATCGGAGCTTGGCAGAGGAGGTGTAAGACTTTACGCAGTTAAGACACATTCTATTTCTTATTTTTATAAACAATGTCATCGTTATATCCAGCCTTGCCAAACAATATTCGATATAGTTCCACCCAGTCGGGCTCCAACTAAGCGAAAGCCAAAGCCCGATTCATAAAACACAACGACGGGGGTTGTAGAAGAAACAGCAGGAGTGAAGGCAACAAGAATTCCAATGCACTCAAACAGAAACTCTGAATTACATATCTGAAGAAAAATCCAAGACCTGCATTATGCATTACGCTGTCAGGTCCAGCAGTGGAAACAGCCCGGATTGAATTAGGGCTAGCGTAGACTGGCCTGAATATGCAGGGTACCACACATTCAACAGTCAATAGCTAACTAGTTAGCCACTAAGAGGGAATCATCGCTAACCACTATGATCCATAATTCCCTTGACTCACTGTATGTCGTGTCCATTCTGTCAGATATTATTCCTTGTGAGTCTATAATGTTCATGCCAGAGATCTTGCGCTACAATTCTATTTTGGTTGTTATTATACACACAGCCCATTTGTCAATATATATTTTGGCATTCGAACTCAGGTTCCGTCCCATGGGATTCAGACCGAAGGATAGGCTGTTACAAGAGATAAAGGCTACCTGGCTTATTGAAAGATTTTGTTTACAGGCGATTGCAATAATATGTTGAGTGCAAGTAACAGCTACGCAGGTTGAAAGTTGGGCTATCTCAGCAGTATCTTATAATCCGAGGTCCCGTTATGATAAGTCGTGATTAGATACAGATTTCCCACCTTGGATGCCTGACTTCAGACAGGAAACACTCGAATGAAAGATGACAAACGTACCACAAACCCTGTCCGAGCGTAAAAATTCACAGCACATAGCGAAAGGCTGGCTGCTCGAAGTCTGTCAAATCCAAGAATTCAGAGCCAGGTGTAGCATGTGCAGTGTCAGGATCCTCAATAGCCTTCCGGTCACGTCTCTTGTTTTCCACGATGTTGATCACCCGAACGACTACCAAGGTGATCGCTGCCAAAGCGTACATGATGGCGACCATCAGCTTGCCATCGAAATATTCAGGCGATTGGGTTGAGCGGAATGTTTGGGGACCAATCCAGTTTCCGGCTGCATAGGCCACGATCTGGAGGCCATTCACTGTTGCTTTCTTGGTATACCCTAGAGTGTTATTTGAAATCATCACCATCACGAGACACCAGGCAGTTCCAGCGGCACCGATCAAATAATATCCTATTAGCAAAGCGGCTTTGGCATGAAGAGGAATCACAGTCATCATAATACCGCCGATCATAGGAATCAGAATGGCGAATATGGCAAACAGGGTGCGATCAAAGAACCGATCAGACAGATAGGTCAATCCAAGTTTACAAATAATGTCCACGACGCCCATTGGCATGTTCAAAATAAGAGACATGCGGTCAGAAAATCCAAATGAGCTGATGATGATAGAGCCAAAAGTCGTGATTCCTCCGTTAGGAATGTTCATCAACAGCGAAAATAGCACGTAGAGATAGGTCCGCGGGTCGCGGAATGCTTCGAAAAACTGAGGCCATTTCCATTTTTTGTTACCGATTCCTTGGAAATTGCTCCGAATGCGATCAATGGCAATGAGCTTCTCGCGGTGGTTCAAGAACCGGGCCTGGATTTGGTTGTCTGGCATGTACCAAAGATACAATATACCCGTTAGGACAGTGGGCAGGCCAAATACCAAGAAGAGAATTTTCCACACGGCGATGGAAGTCCCGTGCACACCCGCCAGGCCGTAGGCAATGGGCCCAATAAGTACTTGGGCCAATCCGTTGCAACTGAGCCAAAAGCCCATGCGTCTGGCTTGCTCCTCTTGTTTGTACCAGCAAGAAGTAAACAAGACAAAGGCTGGCGTTACTGTTGCTTCAAATGCGCCTAGGAAAAAACGGACACACAGTAGGCTCGCATAATTATGAGTGGCTGCGTGGCAGACGAGTGCAATACCCCAGAGCACGATATTGATTGAGGTGTATTTGCCCAGGGGCAGACGACGAAGCAGATACGTGGTGGGAAATCTGAGGATAGACATTAGCAACGTACAGCCAACAACAGCAGGAGAGCAGGCTTACTCCCAAAGGATATATCCAGCATAGAAGATACTCGAGACCCAGCTGTATTGCTGCGAATCAGGGGCCAAATGAGTATCTTCCCGAATGCCCATCAGCGAGGCATAGTTCAATGACGTTTTGTCGGCAAACTGAATCAAGTAGACCCAACAGAGCAAGGGCATGAGGAATCGATCGAGTTTGGACAGAACCTTCTTAGCCTCGTCGGGTGTATATTCAACCTCCTCTGCGTTCATGAACTGGAGAGCAGGGTCGAGACCCCGGACCTCCTGCTGCTTTAGATCTCCATCCTGTATATCCATGACCGCCTGCTCTGTATCACGCTTTGACGGAACCTCGGATAGCTTTATATCGTTCGACATGGTGTTGTCTCAAATCATGCCTGTACAACGCTTCAATGCCAGAATCACGAAGCCATGTCTTCCTCTTTAAATTCCCCCGGTCTGATACTGGGCTATCGGTAGAGCATTGAGCAGCCTATAGGGAAGTAGCCAAGCTCCAAGCTGTACCCCGGAATTTGTGGAGGTGGACATTTTCCTGGTGGAGCTCCATCTTGTGTGGACGGGCCTTATCAGATTCCCGAGGTTTCCAACCGGCGGCTTATCTGTTCTGGTCCGATAGCAATGGGGATTGGGATTGGGATTTGCTATCTCAATTTTACACCTGAGACCTGTCATATTCCAGTAATCCTATCGCTTGAATCCCCGATGTATGCATCCAGCCATTTACCGGATATTCGACCCGTTGAGTCCCGCGATCGATACCCTAGAACTCCCGCTGCCATATAGATATGATATTCCTCTATACAAATGTCAGCTCGCCTTCTCAGAAATACAATTTCTGCGCTTGAATGTGCCTAACAAACAATCAGAGATATTCTGTATCAAACCCTCAAGCCACATGTCGGAAAACATGTTTGCCAAAGACCAAATCCATATCCAGAGTTCGAAAGGATGGGAGCCCTAGGATTGGAAGATAGTAAAGGGAGTAGTCCTTGGTGTTCTCATTTACTGATCACGATGCAGGCAAAATCCAAGGGTTGTCATTTTCGTCTTTATATGTTCCTCGTCCAAGATGTCCTTTGCGCGCAACTGGATCCGCGTTGTATGATTTGGTGACCCCGAAGATAGCGTCCGCGGGGCGTGTAGTTCACAGCCTCGAAAAGCCAAAAGGCAGAGCGCATTGTGCCAGATGAGAAGTTGTCTTTTGAATGTATGTAGGATGTCCAGCCAAGTAGAGAGTATCAAAAATCAATGGAGTCAGTTATATCAGCCTGGATTGCGTTATGTGCCTTTCAATAGCGGAGCCCAGTGGGCCAGCGATGAAGACAATGTGGAGCTCCACCAACAAAGCGATATACTTGGGCAGCCGAGCTCGATGAATAAGAGTAGGAAGTGGGAACAATAAATTGCAATCAGATACTGAATACTGTCGGCATTTTGTCAATCCCTCACATTCAAAATCACGGCAAAATGATAGTTAAACCTACGTTCGGTGTTTATACACCACTAGTCACGTTCTTCCAGGATGATGAATCCCTCGATCTCAAAAGCACTTTGGAGCATGCGAGGCGCATGGCTGAAGGTGGCGTCGCTGGTCTTGTTCTTCAGGGGAGCAACGGAGAGGCTCCTCACCTGGATCATGGCGAACGCAAATCTCTGGTACGCGCTGTCCGCGACCACCTTGACCATCAGGGCTATACAGGATTGCAGTTGATTGTCGGTTGCGGCGCACCTAGTGTGCGAGAAACTTTATCCTATATTGCAGAGGCTAAAGCTTCCGGCGCCAATCTCGCTCTTGTATTACCACCGGCATACTGGGTTGCAGCCATGAATGCATCCGTTATTGAAAACTTCTTCCTCGATGTGAGATTCTCCTCCATCCCGAAGCGAACTCCCCGTCCTATATTCATGATTTAACAATATCTCAAAATCTAGGTTGCATCTCAGTCCGAGCTTCCGATCCTCATTTACAACTTCCCTGGCGTGACGGGAGGTATCGATATCAGTTCCGACTCCATCATCCGCCTAGCCAAATCCATCCCGATGATTGTTGGGTGCAAGCTCACCTGTGGCAACGTTGGAAAGCTCCAACGTGTCTCATCAGCACTTTTAGGGACATCATTTGCTACATTTGGTGGAAAGTCGGACTTTTTTCTACCTGCTCTCGTCGCTGGGTCGAACGGGATTATTGCTGCACTTGCCAACATTGTACCCAAGCTACATGTAAAGGTATTGAGGTACTATGAGAAGGGCGAGCTTCCGGCAGCACAAGAGCTTCAATCCAAGCTTAGTCATGCCGACTGGGCCCTCACCAAGGTGGGCATTGCGGGTGTCAAAGCTATTGTATCTCATCATTTCGGATACGGTACAGGTCGGGGACGCAGACCATTGGGAAACGTAGAAATCACGACCATGAGTCAAGAAATTGTGGCTCCCATCAACGAGGTGATTGAGCTGGAGAAAAGTATGTGAAGAACCATGAGACTGGCAGGGCAAGCGTAGACATTGAGAAATGTATAAATCAACATGAAATCAAAGATTCGGGAGATATAAAATGAGAAGCAACTTGCAGTATCTGGCTAACACCTTGAGTTCCCGCAAAGAAATTCTGTGACTTGGAACTACATAGCAATTTAAGCAGTCGGTGCTAATACCAACCATCAGGCGTCTTCTCTGGACTCTGGAGATTAGCTAGTGCCCTTAATAGCCGAATCGCGCGCACCGTGCGTAACCAGCCTTATATCATTTTTAGGGAGTGTCCGGTCAAGGAAGTGAGTAAATTTTATATCAACCTTGGAAATATAAACAGATAGATTTCTATATGATCAGAAGGAAAAGAACTCAGAAGGACACAGGCTCAGTTTCCCTGTCGACTGTTTTTGCTCCAAAAAGATAGACCCGCTTCCATTCGCCCTGTTCCATATATGGCCGAACTATCCAAGCATTCACCAGCATATTCTCGTGCTGTCAAGAGACGACCCGATGCAACTTCAAGGGTTGGAAGACGAGTTGAATGACTAGCGGCAATGGAGAGGGCGTGTTTCATGTCTTTGCTTGCAAGGGCTGCTGAGAATCCGGGAGTTGTGTCCAGCGGCGGTGCATACGAACCAGTAGTAATACGTTTCGAGTAGCTTTCGAGCACCGGACCAAACATATTCCCAATGAATTCTTCCAGCTGTTGGTTGCCAATCCCTGTCACCTCGGCAAAAACTTGCGCTTCAGCGATCACTTCCATGAAACTGATAACGAGAATGTTTCTGGAAGAAAGGAGTGATTTAGCTCAATGTTAATGATCGTTTCAATGATTGAACGGATGCCTACCCAGATATTTTGAGAAGGCTGGATTTTCGCACGTCTTCACCCATGTCAATGATGCTGCGTCCCATGACGTTCATGATAAGAGGTTTGATTGTCTCAACTGCTGTGACAGGTCCAGCTGCTGCAAAGATCAGCTTCCCGGCGGCTGCCACAGGGCTGGCACCAAACACAGGAGCAGCTATGAACACTGCTCCATATTCACTGAGGCGCGATGTAGCCCATTCTGAGGTGTCTGGGTGAATAGTAGAAGTGTCCACAAAGATCTTGCCTTTCAATGAATCGCCTGCGACCAGTGCCTTGTTAAATAGGTCAAGTAGAACATCGTCAACGGAGATCTGTTTTACTCATCAATAAAACGCGCATCCTGGATAAGAAAAAAGTGTCATTCATACCATTGTAAAGATTATGTCCGAATTCAGGACAACATCTTCGAACTTCTCTTCGGGTATGGCTCCCTCATCACGAAGAATATCGCCTTTCGACAAAGTGCGATTGCTGTACCGAAGTGGCGACAAATTATTGCTCTGGAGATATTTTTGGAGATTGAGGGACATTCCTAGGCCCATCGATCCAAGGCCATACTATGCCAGATCAGAAAATGGGCTTTCAAATGAAGGGTTATAACATACCCAGCCAACTCTTAGTGAGGATGAAGTCATTCTGGATCTTTGAATTGCAGTTGGATTGTAAAACTTTCCGGAAGCCAGTATAGGTTATTATTCACTCGTATATAATGAGTCGCTGCCAAGTTAAATCGACTTGAGAAGCAGAACCGTAGATGTGGAGCTCCACGTGTACCTGGGCGGTTGTCCACTGTACCGTCCACCTGCCCCGTCTCTGATAACGACCCCGCGGTTTACTCGGCCCCAGTTCCCGGAATTTCGCCCAATACAGCCAGCATCGAAGGCCCGATCCCCCACAATGACCTTCGCTGGCAAAAGGCCCTGATGAGATTGACAAATAGTGACTCGCCTTCATCGAGCAGACTAAGGAAAGCCCCTCGATCCATGGTCCACAACCGAGGGTCTCGCACTCGATCATTCTCTGTGGAATTCGAAAGAGCGGACTCCATCAGGGTGTTAAAGATCAACATGCAGAATTCTGACGTTCTTGGGAGCTCGTTGAAAGTGTTCAAGTGGTGACGGATATCGGTGCTCGCACGTCTGAGCGCTCCCCAGATACATAACAAAACACCATAACTGGCCACAGTGACCCATGGTGCCTCGCGGACCACTTTATCCTGCTCCTCCCCGGAAATGCTGGACAATGCGCCTGAAAGATCATTCAAAAGAGCCAAAATTCCCTCGTCGCCACCGACATGGTAAGGAACAGGAGGTGCTGATCGCCGGATCGCAACAAGGTTCCCCTGGGTCAGGTGTGTGGAAGCAGCCATTCCAGCAATTAAGCTGTTATCCACAATGCCTGCTATCAATAGCTGGTCGGGACGGCATAGGCTGATTCTGAGTGAAGAGATAAAGAGCTCGTTCGTTCTCCATAGAAGAAACTGGGGGCTTTCACCTGTGTAGGCCTGCTTCTTGACAATCTTCGTAATTGCTCTTATTGCCGTATGGACTTGTTTATTCTGAGCCTGGGTCAATATATGGAATGGGTTTGGATCAGATGGACTGGGCGGCATTTGATAGTAACACCGCGTAAAGTCTCGCACAAGGGCACCCATGTTCGTCAGGACGCAAAATGTGGCAAAGGGGGACGCTTCTAGCGCTGCTAAAAGTTCCGAGTCCGGTGTTTCGGTCATGAGTTGCTGAGTAGCAATTGTCAGCGAGGCCGTCCCTAGGCCTCGTGGTCCGTGCAACAGAGTGTTTGCTGTTGTAAAAGTCGAAAGTCCAAAGTTCTCATTGAATCTCAGAAGCCATATCTGAGAGTTTTTAGCTTCCCACAGATTGATAGGGAAGGGAAGTTCCCAACCAAGTTCCATCGGTGACATCAAAGGGCGTGAATTGCAAGGCGAAAATGTGTGGGAATCCAGGAAAACTAGAGTATACAGTGACAGTCTCATCGACTCGGTGGTAATATAGGATGTCCACCGCGTATAGAGAGTCTGCGAATCATCTCCGGGTGTGTTGAAGTCAATTTGGTACATCCAAGACTGGGCATCCGGCATAGCTATACCCTGTTGGAACAGACCAATTTCATGTACAGCCTATATCACAGAATAAGCCTAGGCCGAGGGGAAAACTGTAGCCAAGGCAATACTGACATCAACAAGTTGCCGCAGCATCTTTTTCACGGTTTGAAATTGACCCGCTTCAGTTGCGTATACCCCATAGATGATATACAGAAGCCACGATTGCATGACCCAGGGATGTCTGATCTCACTGCATTCCGAATCAACCTATTTCAATGTTGATTAGAACTTCGATCTCAAACGACACAGTAGTAGGGTCCCATCATTACCATCCGGCGAAGCTCCTCCTGCCCACTTTGCCATATATCTTGACGCCATTGTGCGAGAGCTTGGTTTTCCTCATGATCGTACAAGTTGGGAGAAAATAAGCTCCCGATTACAGTAACCGCCTTCAGCAGTAGCTTCGGCGTCGAGGATACAGCGAATGTAGGTCGATGCAGCAGAGGGAAAGACGGGTGAAAATGCTCAAAATACTGCTTGACGTATGTTTCTGCGCTATTAGCGTGATTACTGTGTGTGGAGATTCCGTTGTTAGGCGTGTCATTTCAATCGATTAACGCCCCCTCCTAAGAGGGAACAGCATCGGGCGCAATTGATACAAATAGCTCAAGGCAAGCATACCTAGGGGACGAAGATGAGAAACTCTGGGGTAACTCAGTAGCAAATGTACTGTGCTCTTCCCAAAAATCTTCGTCGGTCACAACACGTTCGGCTGGGTTGCGGTTGGTAGCCAAGGGTGAGGTTATTCCGACCATTACATGGGGGGGTATGCATACCCTCCCATGGTGCCTGCGGCTGAGTTGTCTGAGGTGGAGGTCCCGTCGCACGACAACGATTACCATGTCGTTTATATACGTCGCTGCAACACTATCAGTGTTATTGTAATGGCAGGCATGAAAATGGAGATAAGACCTTCGGGAAAATCGAGCATGACACTTCCCACACTGGAAGTCTCTGCGCGAGGCACCACCGTGACCTTGCAGGACATCAATGTTTGATTTTTCTATGTAGGAAGACCCATGCAGACTTACGTGCACGCTTATGCCGCTGTAGGTTTTCCTGCGGCACGCGTCAGAACTGAACAGAGAAGAAAGGAAGCTGGAGTACTTACACTCCGGGTAAACAACTTTGAGCATTCATCACAGGGAAACGGACGATGGTGGTCAACGCCATTGCCGCTCATGGCTGAGGTGTGATTCATTTCCTGCGTATATGGGAATTCAATACAGAGGGGAAATACGTCTTGACTGTTAGGCGCACGTGCCGCTATCTTCACCCCAACCTTAAATTGATCTGAGCTCCTGAGATTGTACGGAGTATATCTTGTGAGGTTTCTGTATGAGATCCTAATGACTTAACATGTCGAGGTGTTGAGAGGCCATCGCTTTTTGCGTCCTGCTTATTGTTCAGGCTGCACCATCCCCCAGGTCTCATAATTTACATAACCTTTCCAATACTCCCCCGGGATCTTGGATACATACAGGATGCCTTTGGACTACAGTGATATTCCGAAGCATCCATTTTGTCATAGTCGCCTTCAAATACGGCAGACTGCCCGGGAAACTGGCCGGTATCCCCGATGACTTTCGGCGTGTACCCCGCGTTACGGAGATTCGGCCTCGAGTGCGTTATGAAAGTCCTGGCTTGACAAAATGCACAAGACACTTCCAGATCCCTGCTGGCAAAATAATGACTTTCAGTTACTAGGGAATTTCGAAGTGGTTGGTCAAGTATATCTGATTTTGCCAGTGAGCAAATCAGCACAGGTGCGGGATGGAATGTTCCCAGGATCCTCCCAAGTCGCCGATGCTTGATTACGTAATGATACATTATCACCTGAAGTCTCTACAAGCGGCAAGAGGTCAGCACTAAAATGGAAGTGGGAAGGCGTCGATTGCTGGACATTAACCGGCAATTAAATACCTTCCAGTCACTGTTTATGTCATATTCAGATTACCTACTCACTAGATCCTAAGAGGTTAAGCTGAAATGTCCAAATCCATCGAGTGGACCCGGGCAGATCAACTCCGATCCCCTTTTAACGTCACCCGTTCTGAACCATTTACTTGCAATCCATGAAACCGCTATAAAGGCCAAAACAAGTCAAACTCATGACTTCCTCAGATCTTCAGAAGCAGGTTGGCCAGGTACATGATGACCATTGAAATCTTACCTTTGTGAATCTCCACTAATGATCGCAGCTCTTCGCGGTGGGGTTCCATGGCTGCACTCCAAGTCCCGAAATCAAGACTTTGATCCATGACTACCACGTTGGCGGGATTGTTCTCTTCTCGCGCAATTTTGAGAATGCAGAGCAGCTTCAGGTGCGATATCGGAGGCTTGATCATCCTTGATTGGCTTGACTGATATTCTTTAGGCTTTGACACTGGCTTTACAGAATGAAGCCAAACTAGCTGGACATAAGCGACCGCTGTTGATCGGAATCGATCAAGAGAATGGACTGGTCACTCGAATTTCTCCCCCGATAGCTACTCAGGTACCAGGGCCCATGGCATTAGGCGCCACGCATGACCCCGAGTGCGCATACAATGCGGGGAAAGCCACGGGGGAAACTCTCAAATTCTTCGGGATCAACATGAATTATGCACCAGTGTGCGATATTAACTCGGAACCTCTGAACCCGGTTATTGGTGTACGCAGCCCGGGCGATGACCCTGAATTTGTCGGCCGGTTTGCGAGTGCGGCCGCCCGGGGTCTGCGGGAGCAAAACATTGTCCCCAGTGTAAAGCATTTCCCAGGTCATGGAGACACAGCTGTCGACTCACACTTTGGACTACCTGTCATTCCTAAAACAAGGGATGAGCTAGAGCGTTGCGAGTTGATTCCCTTTAGGCGGGCTGTCGCCGAAGGCATTGAGACCGTTATGACTGCCCATATATCCTTGCCCTGTATCGATCTCACGCGGCCGGCAACGCTTTCCCCAGAGGTGATGGGAATTTTGCGTAAGGACATGGCATATGATGGTATGATCATCACGGACTGCCTGGAGATGGATGGAATTCGCTCCACCTACGGCACAGAAGAAGGCTCGGTGCTAGCATTACGCGCTGGTAGCGATAGCATCATGATCTGTCATACCTTTGATGTGCAGGTAGCCTCGATCAAGAGAGTCTGTGAAGCAGTAAATTCCGGCACAATCGATCAATCACGACTGGCGGATGCTTGTCGCCATGTTACTACAGTGAAGGACAAGTTTTTGAATTGGGATGCCGCCCTTCAACATTCCAATCTCGCAGACTTGAGCTCGCTCAACAATAAAATTGCGGAGACTACCATGGATATATATTCTCGGTCAACCACACTTGTCCGCGATAACAATGGTGTTCTCCCCCTGTCAAAAAATTCAATCATCATCTTCCTGTTCCCTGGAGACAAGACCCCGGTCGGTGGTGCTGTTGATGGCGAAGGAACGGTGAAGCCAGGTGTGTACCAGTCCAACAAGTATCTTGATGTCCTGCGGCAGCACAACAATTCCATTGCTGAGATTAGATATGGGGCGGCCAACCTGAGCTTTGAGCAATGGCAAACCCTCGAAGTCGCCGATGCGGTGATCTTCGTCTCACTCAATGCAAGAGAGTCGCCATACCAGGAGTCGCTAGGCCTAGAACTTGCTCAACGTGTTAAATCATTGGTGCATATCGCTGCGTGCAACCCCTATGACTTCCTTGATGCTCCTAGTGTCAAGACTTACATTACCACTTACGAGCCGACTATCGAGGCTTTTTCTGTGGCTGCGGATATTATGTTTGGAGGACTGGTTCCGACAGGCGCTCTTCCCGTGGGAGCGAATGCTGTAACCAAAACCTCCGCCCTGATAACGCCATTTGACGCACAAAGAGATCTGGATGAGGTGGTTGAAGTTTGGGCCGCTGCTCTCCCAACCTACCTCGTTCCAACTGAAAGCTTGCGGTCTATGATAGTGCTCCCACATGGTCACCATTTCATCGCGCGCATCGGATCCCAGCTAGTGGGCTTCTGTCTTGCTTACACAAATGCCCACGGCACACCAGACACGGTTCATATCGCAGTTCTTGCCGTATCACCGAAGTATCAACACCAAGGCGTTGGGACTACTCTGCTACAGGAAACAAGAGCATACTTCCGAACAACCTTTGGCTTCAATAATGTGAAGCTGGGCAGCTCATTCCCCCGATTCTGGCCGGGGATTCCTCGGGACCTTCCAGAAACCGTGCAGCATTTTTTCACTCACCGTGGTTTTCGCCTCAGTCCACCTAGTGCCCGGTCAGTTGACTTATACCAAGATATTCGAAACTTTCAGTCACCAGAGAAATACATTACTCGTGCCCGGGAACGAGGCTTCCGCTTCGCGCCATTAAAGGCCAAAGATTACGAGGCCTGTCTAGTTGGCCAAAGAAGAAACTTTTCTAATAATGGGGTAAGATTCCCGTGTTTTCCCCACACTTATTCTTTATCAGAAAATGGACTAATGGGTTATAAAGAGCTGGGTGGAGGCGTATGTTGCATTGCATCCCGACAAGTATCCAGACAGCGTGATGACTGCATTCGATTCCCAAGGCCAGCAGGTTGGCTGGACATTAATGCTCGGTCCATCAGATGCTCTGGATAAGTCTTGGGCCTTCCCCCAAACCTGTGGTCCCAACACAGGGCTGATCGGTGCTGTGGGAATTGATGAGTCCCACCGCCAGCATGGTATTGGGTTGGCATTGATTTGTCACGCTATTGAAAATATGAAACAACGAGGTTTGGAAGGCGTCTTTGTAGACTGGGTTGCACTTGACGGGTGGTATGAGCAGGTTGGTTTCCAGACCTGGCGAAGCTACAGACCGGGAGAGCTTTGAGTATTCCATCAGTATCCCTTTTCTGTTCATTCTTAAATGTCTAGCTCCGACTACTATGAGTGTTGCTACAAATCATCCAGACCTTTTGAAATTGGATCACTTGTCCTGTAGGGAAAGTTGAACCTTATGATATTGCTGCCATGAGCTTGGCTTGTTCCCTTGGACGATGTATTTTCGGTTTCGTGAGTCGAAAGCATGCACTCGGACCATTTGTAGCTAGCTAGATAAATTAAGACCCTCCCCTGTGCCAGTTGAGCTCTTATCCACGGGTCTTAACGTGTGTGCAGCTGGAAGGCCTTCGAGCCGCCAATGACCAATAATTGACCAATATAGTACCCTCCGTGTGGAGACCTAGGGAATGGCGTCAAACCCTTGCATCAATCGCCAAGAGCTTGAACACATCATGGGGTACGATTGCCAGCTTTTTCGTTATAAAGAATCAGCTGGAGTTGTGTTTGAGACATCCTGGAATCTTTACAAGTTCCGGCCGTTGAGCTGGAGATGTTTCTGATCCTCACGAGTATCACCCTTTCAGATCTTAGAGCGGCTTTAGCAAAAATATTGAAATTATTTATTTTCAAGTCTCTTCGACTAAGCCTTTACGCCTTGTACAGAGCCTATCGAATTTCATAAAGAGAACATGTTACTGTGACTGTTTCTTTGTTTGGCCCGAAGCAACATTAACAACAAAGAGCAATTTACCTCCCAGGCTGTTCCAATACGATGTTAGGCAATATACCTAGTCCATTCACACTGTAAAACTCGTATATCTTTGCAACTGCTTATTCGTTTTGCCCCTTGCAGCGCACAGATGTTACCATCCCAAGTATGCATTAGCCACGTGAATCGTTTAGTTAAAGCGTCACTACGTACGAAGTAGGCTGTATAGGCATCCACCCGCAAGGGCCCTTTATGGAAAGACAACTATTGGGAAACTCGGTCATCTGAACTTGTGAGATTCACCGCTTGATCCTCCGATTTTTTCCAACTAGTTTCTATTGATCAATTTGATGACTAGATATGGCTTATTTCCTGCTAGCAATAAGGGCCGATAGGATCAAAGCCCCCAGTGGTCGCTGTAGACTACGATCGGAAATCGCTCTTTTACAGGGAGTAGTATGGCACAGAATTGAATGCTTGGTCGACAATGCTATCATTCTATCCCCGCCAAGAATCAGTATAGGACTTGGGCCATAGAATAACCTAACATTCAAGGGGTACTCTGCATCTGACATGTCAATTACACTACTTTGGAAGGCTCAGGGCAATCTTAAGGTGGAGCAGCTGTGAGCAAAAGGAAATGACCTCAATTTTCTCAATATCGTAGTCCGTACTGCAAATTGTGTCATGACTTGGGACAGCAAGAGATTCCAAAAGCATCTCTAAATCTTTTCTCGAGAACCGAATTGAGACAGAAAGCTATCCCCACATGGCAGGCCTAGCGTTGCAACCCCCAGATACGGGCCGCTCGAGCCTCGAAAACCATGTGCACATGTCGCCGGAGACGGTCACAATTGCGGTCCACGTTTTCTCGGAGTGATGATGCGATCATCCTTCAATGTGCCGCTTTAGTCAGGTCAGCAGCCAAGGCACGTTTCAGGAAGCACGTTGATTTTGGAGGTTGACTTGGCAGGATAATTCTTTGGATTAATTGTCGGGTTTGATGTTACATCTAACGCCTCTTACCATCACTCTTAGGTGAAAAACGCTGACTCTGCGGCGCACGGGTTGGAACTGGGATGATCCTAGCAAAGACCGGGATCGAGTATTATTGGAGTGCGTCCGATATGCCTGCACAGCTTTTCATGCCGGTCCCCGGGGGTAATTCGTCCCCGAAGACTTAGGGTTGTATGTATATGGCTATTCCGTACACTAGACTGCGCTAGCGTAAATTTCTCCCCCGTGATTTCGCCCCGGATTTCTAGTTTTTTTTTTTTTTAAAAAAAAATGCTAAGGGTCTAATTTCAGGTGTCGCTTATTTTTTTCCCCGTAAGCAAGGGAATCGAGGTCTCAATGCGGTTCCAAATGGTAAGTATCTTGGCCACGTGAAACTCTAAGCCCTGTTCGCCGGAAACAAGCATGAACAGCAGGGATCACCGCAATTTAAGCCTAATTTAGCGTCAACGAAGCGACTGGCCCCCAGCCATTCTCCTAATTTGATTTTCTCCAATCACAACTCCGGCTTGTGCCCGGGGTTTACCGAAGCGCGATTCATTTTGTCGAATGTGGCGCCAGACGCCAATATCGTGGTCCTGATACCTTGCGAGAACTACATTCCATATCCAACTTTGATAAGGCTATGGATGGTGTAGGAATTGATTGCACATGAAGTCAAGAATCGCATAGCTAGCGGGTCATGGATTTAGGGCTTAACGGTAGAATAGTATACTTTAAAATTAGACTTGGACGGGCCTGGACCGGGATCCCGGTCAAGAACGAAATGTCTTGGCTTCTCGTCTAGATGCATGTAGTGCTCGAGAGTTTCATACTTGTTTCTAGTACTTGGTAGGGAACATAGCCTCCAATGTAACGTTTTGCCGAGCCCAAGTCTTTCCACTATGGGCTGAAGACTTACAGCAAGAGTGGAGTATGTCTTTTTCCATTTTCTTAGGGTTTGCGATTTCCCCACGGGCAACTCGACGCGGGACCCCCGGATTGCATCCGGTTTGGGAAGTAGATCAGAGAGAGGTCATGACAATAGCGTGCCATTTCGGCTTTATTCGTGAGGCGTTGACGTCTTTTATTCTGTCCAATGAAATGTGCACCTCTTGTCAAACGGACTGGCCTGGGAAGATGAGAAAACATATAAAGGTCACTACCTCCCCCAATGCCAATAAGTATCAATCGCAACTTCATTTGTCTGTCATCAAACCGGGCACTGCCATACCTCAAGCTTGCTAGTTTTCGAACTCTTTCTCTCTATCAATTCTTCTCTTTTCTCTTTCAAACATAAGAGTCAGCTAAGCCCACAGCTCGAGTTTCTTATTTGGATCCTGATTGACAGGTTGACTAGAAATATTCAAAATGGATAAAGAGGATATCACTCAGATAGACTCTGGCCAGCAGTAAGTTTTACATACTTCTACTTCTTGATCTCCTTGTCATACTCATCTCGATTCATGTAGTTCCAGCGATGATCAAAACAGCGCGGAGAAGGGATACTTTGAGCAAGTTGACCTTCACAACAATATGTCTGCCAAGTAAGCTTCACTTGAGAGATCAGTTCTCCAGTCATATGCCTCTCTTTCCTCGCAAGGCATTAACACCAACTAGAATCAAGAACCCTTTGGCCGACTTGACCAAGAACCAGGTGCTCCGCAACGTGGAAGACTTTGCCGAGGAGTACAACGTCACGGATATCCTACCCGAGTTGAAAAAAGGAGCGCTAGTTGCGCGTAATCCTACCGAGTTTGAGACAGTATCAGGCTTGACTGAGGTAGAGCTCACTGCGCTGCGCGACGAAGTGCTTCACAAGTGGCGCCAGCCTAGAGCACTTTACTTCACTATTATCCTGTGCTCTATCGGTGCAGCCGTACAGTATGTGATGTTCTCAGAGTGTCTTGGGTACACTGCTAACATTTATGCAGAGGATGGGATCAGACTGGATCCAATGGTGCTAACTTGTCGTTCCCCGATGCGTTTGGTATCTCGGAAGACCCCAAGAAGAGCGCTGATGCTGAAAGAAACCTGTGGCTCGTTGGGGTCGTCAATGCTGCTCCCTACATTGCCAGTGCTTGCCTTGGATGCTGGCTCTCTGACCCATGCAACCGGATCCTGGGCCGGCGTGGTACCATCTTTATCTCTTCTATCTTTTGTGTCCTTACCCCTATTGGCTCTGCAGTAACCCAGAACTGGGTACAGTTGTTCGTAGTCCGTCTTCTCTTGGGGATTGGAATGGGTCTCAAAGCTTCGACAATCCCGATCTTTTGCGCCGAGAATACTCCTGCTGTTATCCGCGGTGGTCTAGTGATGTCCTGGCAGCTCTGGACCGCTTTCGGTATTTTCCTTGGATTCAGTGCCAACCTTGCTGTCAAGGATACTGGTAAGATATCCTGGCGTCTACAGTTGGGATCGGCTTTTATCCCGGCTATCCCTCTCTTATTTGGGGTTTACTTTTGCCCAGAATCACCTCGCTGGTATATTCGACGGGGCGAGATGGGCAAGGCATACAAGTCGCTGTGTCGTCTTCGCAACACGTCTTTGCAGGCTGCTCGCGATCTTTACTACATCCATGCCCAAATCAAGATTGAGATGGACCTGATTGGCAAGAGTAACTATGTCACCCGCTTCGTTGAGCTCTTCACTATTCCTCGCGTCCGCCGTGCTACTCTTGCTTCTTTCGTTGTCATGATTGCTCAGCAGATGTGCGGTATCAACATCGTTGCCTTTTACTCGTCGACTGTTTTCAAGAACGCCGGTGCGAATGATACGCAGGCTTTGTTTGCTTCCTGGGGATTCGGCTTGGTTAACTTTGTGTTCGCCTTCCCTGCTATCTGGACTATCGATACATATGGACGTCGGACTCTGTTACTGTTCACATTCCCCCAAATGGCATGGACACTGCTTGGCGCTGCCTTCTGCTTCTGGACTCCTGAGGGTACAGGTCACCTGGCTTCGATCGCTTTCTTCGTCTTCCTTTTCGCCGCATTCTACTCGCCGGGTGAGGGACCCGTGCCGTTCACATATTCGGCGGAGGTATTCCCTCTTTCCCACCGAGGTATGGTTTCCCCTTTTCGTTTCTTCTTTGGGTGTGATATAGTCTCCAGAACTGACGTTGATATCAGAGGTTGGGATGTCCTGGGCCGTGGCGACCTGCCTAGGGTGGGCTGCCGTGCTTTCCATCACGTTCCCCAGGATGTTGAGTGCAATGACTGCCACTGGAGCATTTGGCTTTTATGCGTAAGTATTTCTACCGCCTTCTCAAATTTCTCATCAGAATGTCTGACGATGGAATATAGTGGTCTGAACGTGACTGCCATGGTCATGATTTTCCTCTGGGTCCCCGAAACCAAGCAGCGCACTCTTGAAGAGCTGGATTATATCTTTGCCGTCCCTACTCGGGTCCATATGAAGTATCAAGTGACCAAAGCACTCCCGTACTGGTTCAAACGGTACATTTTCCGTCGGAATGTCGAGCTGGAGCCTCTTTACCATTTTGATCATCTCGCGAGTAGTGGAGAGGATGTTGTCGTTGACCATGTGAAGTTGTAGGTTGGTCTAGTGAACTGGCTTTTGGATATGCTTTTTTTGCTCTTGAGTGAGAGCCGACGATGATTTTCTGATTTTTGAATATCTAAGTGACAAATGGAGCTCTCTGCACCTTGAATATCATGGAATTGCTGAAATGACTTCCCTCCAGATATTAGGAGAGCCTGAGATATTCAATCGTATAGAAGCCAAAGTAGGAAAAGTGTTCTCCACACAGTTTCCCTTCCATGGTTGCTGGATCAGCTGATGTGGAGATATGTGATCAAGACAAGCATTGGTATTCTCGGGATCATTGGGGTCATTTTCATTTGGATTTGGATTGATTTGAAAGGATAGAGTGAACTGATAGTATCTCAGGGCAAGTCATGGGGTAGTCATCTATGTAGACTTGTCTACAATAGGCTTTGATAGGTGTATCACGTGGAAGTTCGGGGGGATGGCAACGCTCATGTTTTGGTCCACTCCCGCCCCTCACCTTTTCCTTGAGAGAGCTCAGTGTACGTTTCTTACCTCTATTGCTTCTGTTCGCATTTCGAGGTTGTTTGTGCCTTTGAGCCCAGAAACCTCATTGTCGTGTGTTTCGGCCCAATCCGAAGGAATTCTACGAACCTATCCGTCATCGTGACCCTCCTTTTTGAAACCCAGAAACAAACACACCAGCAGCTGCAGTGGAGCTCAAGGAACTGCTGTGGGCTGCTGGGTGAATCGAAACCCACTACCTTGACCGCCTCCCACCTATAGCTCATTCTCTCAACACCCAAGCAGGGGGAAAAAAAAATAAGACGTTCGCCTATCCTCAATTTGGCGTCACTTTTCTTGTGTTTTTGCTCAAAGTATTTCTTGTCCTAGTTGCGGGGCAGATCTGACCCTGCGCCTTCGCTGGACTCTTCTCCCCACAGTGCACCCTCCGTATCCCACTTAACCCTTTCCCACCATGCCCTGCTTCAAAGGGCTTGCCGTGAGCATTCACACGCCCGATGGTCCAATCTCCGAATATTCCATTCAACGCCATTCTCGAGCCTCGCGCATAGGTTGTTTTATTCCTGTTCCGCCACCCAAAATTCCCGAATCTGGGACCGGTAAAGCGGAACAATCAACCTTCGCCATTTCCGTCACCCTCCTAAACCCTGGGCAAGATGTTCCATACTCAACCCCAAAGCCGACGCCAGAGTGCCCCTCACCGAAACCAAAAGTCGTAGGCAAATTGCCTGGTGAGCCAGGTCAAATCGCCGGGACGGTCGCACCTTACCAGGGCTTGACAAACTCGGCGAACGAGACCGTGGCCGCATACATCTACTTCGACGGAAGACAAAAGGAGGAGGTGGCTACACTCCTGCGACGAGGAGAAGAGACATGGGTGAATTCACGCTGGGTCAGCGTTCCGGATAGCGAAGGCGGCGGAATCGCTGAGCGCGAATTTTTGTTCCGCGAGGTCGGACTAGAGCGCTGGCTCAATGGATTGGACCTGGAAGGCAAGGATGCGGCGGCCAAGATTGAACGCAGGCGGCAGAAGATGGAAAAGCGACGTGCAAAGCGCGCCGCCGAGGAGGATCCGACCGCCATGGAAATGGAGGACAGCCATCCCGTCAAATCCAAGAATATTATGCGATACGGAAATGATGAGAAGTCGCCTCTCGAGGATGTTTCAGATGACGACCTCTCTTCCGATTCTGACGACGATGATCCAATTCCCGAGACAGCAGGCCAGATTAAGGTTGCTTTGTTCCGAGTTTTGGCGTCAGGAGAAATCAAGCGGGGAGAGTACTCCCCGCAATTCGATGCTCACGACGATGAGGAAGGTGGTCAGGATAACAGCGGCGGAGGAGATGCCGATGTTGACCATACCACAAGTTTCGCAAAGCCAAAGTCACTCGACCCGAAGACCATTAGTACGCAAACTGTTACTGGTATTGACCCGAGTGATAAACCATACGCTGTCTTCACTTTCATGTACCGTGGTGAACGTGAGTATTTTCTGAGTCACTCTTTGGTCGGAATCAATCTTAATTTTACATGAACATAGGTCAATTGCAGAAGATGGGTATTTTAAAAGATCCCAAGGTGCAAGAGACGCCTGCTTCCACCAAGCGCAAGTCCATACAAGCCGATTTCGCAAACCTCGGCCCTATCAAGCCTGGGGGCTCTGTTGGATTCCTTAATTTCCGAGACAGCGAAGCCAAACCGCGGAAGGGCAAGAAGAGTGATGATGACATGGACAGCGATGACGACGATACCGACAACCCCATACTTGGCAAGGCAGACGACGAAGAAGCTAAGGATGACGATCGGTTCTTGTCTCCAGATGACATTCAACGCCAGGGAGAGCTAGCAGAGAGTTTGCGGAAGATTCGAGTAAGTACAATTCTAATTATCTACTATTTCTGTGTTAACAATCCCACAGCTCAAGCGTCAACACTCTGCGGAACCGCCTGGAGGCAGCGTCGGTGACTCTGCCGATACGCCGGCTTCTGGTTCTGCATCCACGCCTCCTGCAAACGAGCGCTCAGTAACTCCGCCAAAAGCTGCCGTAGCTGGATCTGCAGGCGGGCCCTCCGAACCTTCTCAGCTAGCCGCCGAACCAGAAGATGGCTTGTTCGGCAGTCCACTGAAGAAACAGCGGGCAAGTGTCTCGACTGCAGATGAGAATGCCCTTCGGCGCCGGATTGCGGAGTCGTCCGGTAGAATCAACGAAGTTCTGGGCTCTTCCGCCCCTACGGAATCTACCTTTACCAGCCCAAAGTCATTCGGAGATGGGTTCAGTCTCACACCTGACCTTTCTGCTGGACCTCCAGCAAACGATGAGGAGTTGTAAGCCTGCCATGGTTGAAAATAGGTTACTTCTGGGTGGGATGATCTTGAGATCTTGTTTGAGCCATTTGGCCTTATAGGCCACTACTCTTCGCTTTGGAAAGCACTGGTCGTTTTGACTGGGGCCCTATGGATCAACTAGGATTTGGTGAGTTAGCAGGATCCTCTTTGTCATTTTCGGGGTCCCCTGGATGGTCATCTTGCTTTTCTACAATTACGCCGTTATGTCCACTACCTACAATACAGGGAACTTGTTGAAGGAGAAATACATCTGCTGCACCCATTAGGGCAGCGTGACTATGAATTCAAATCCAAAGATATGCGTTGTAGGGGAGAGAGAGAGTAATGATGGTAATGGTGTACATCGTAAGGACTATTCCAATGGTTTTCCGGAACTGTCCAAAGCGGCTTCAACCCCGATAAGCTTTAGGATCCTGGAAATTATAGCTCCGAAAATATACATATCTAAATCCATCAACTACACATCCATGCTGAGAAGTATTCTTTCACCTGCATCTGCATTACGCAGTGTTCTGGCCCAGCCCGGCTTTCTCCACCAAGTGAGAGATTCTGCCAAGCCCCAATTGAACCTCAAATCATTAACAGCTTCAACAGCCCAGGATAGCCCCAATCCGTCATCAATCAACAATGCCGCTCGAACGCTCAACTGACCCTTTGGTCTGGATCGACTGTGAAGTACGTCCAAACCCCTATCTCCGATCAGAATCCTCCCGCAACGCGTTCTGCAATCCCTAATCACTAACCCCATCCGCAAGATGACAGGCCTGGACCCGGAAACAGACAAAATCATCCAGATCTGCTGTTTCATTACAGATGCCCAGCTAAATCTCCTCGAGCCGACCGGGTTCGAAACGGTCATCAACGTCCCAGACTCCACCCTCGACGCGATGTCGCAGTGGTGCATCGACACACACGGACGCACGGGCCTCACCGCCGCCGTGCGCGCCTCGACCACTTCCCCCTCCACCGCTGCAGACTCTCTGCTCGCCTACATCCGCAAGCACGTCCCGGTCCCGCGCACTGCCCTGCTTGCGGGAAATAGTGTCCACGCGGATAAAGCTTTCCTTGCTCGTGCGCCATATTCGCAGGTGCTGGATCATCTCCATTATCGCATTCTAGATGTTAGTTCGTTGAAGGAAGCGGCGCGAAGGTGGGGGAGTGATCAAATGCTTAAGCAGGTTCCGCCTAAGCGGGAGGTTCATCTTGCCAGGGATGATATTCTTGAAAGTATTGAAGAGATCCGGTTTTACAAGGAGAAGCTATTTGGGTGATGGTGTGGCTGATATGGTGGCTTGCTTTGTACCCGTTACTCTGAGACATGGGTCTTAGAGGTAGTTTTCAAACTGTGCATGTCGAAATTGGTATTGACCATCTTTTTCTATAGTGAGATGCCATATAAATGTACATCAGACACACCACCGAGGTACAACTATACATCGGAAGAATGTTGTTGTACAAGACGTAGTATTTTGATTCCCCCACGGGAATGATCTGCGGGGGCAATTGGAAAGAGTTGAGTTGTTTGGCAGATAACTTCTAGATTGGGCTGAATAGAACAAATCAGAGAGGGTTGAGCTATACGGAGCACAGACAAATTGAAATCACTAGTTTTGTGGCAAAGTACTGTAGGAGTACTAGTGGGATGATAAACACATGACGCCAAAGATTGGCCCCTCCCCGTGGAGCTCAACAAGTCGGTGAACTTCTCAAACTTCTCCCCCTTCTTCCTCTTTACTCCTTATTACCCTCTTTCCCTCTCATATTATTGCATTATGTCCGTCCAAACGGTCTCCATCCAGCCCTTCACTGACCAGAAGCCTGGAACGTATGTTGCTCGTTGCCCCGCAATTGAACTGCTAGCTAACTTGCTCCCAGCTCCGGCCTCCGTAAGAAGGTCAAGGTCTTCCAGCAGGCCAACTACTCGGAATCCTTCATTACTAGCATTCTTTTGTCAATTCCCGAGGGTGTTGAGGGCTCCTTCCTCGTCATTGGTGGTGATGGCCGTTACTACAACCCTGAGGTCATCTCCAAGATCGCAAAGATCAGTGCCGCCTATGGCGTGAAGAAGCTCTTGGTTGGACAGCATGGCATTATGAGTACCCCAGCTGCTAGCAACCTGATTCGCGTGAGAAAGGCAACTGGTGGTATCCTCTTGACTGCCAGTCACAACCCCGGTGGTAAGTGATGATCGACAAAAATGTCTGGTGGAGACTGACCAAGCGCTTCCAGGCCCCGACAACGACTTCGGTATCAAGTACAACTTGGCCAATGGAGCCCCCGCTCCAGAGGGTGTTACCAACAAGATCTTCGAGACCGCGAAGACCCTTACTTCCTACAAATACCTCGATGTTCCCGATGTCGATACCTCCACCATCGGCACCAAGAACTACGGCCCACTCGAGGTTGAGATCGTTCACTCTACTGCCGACTACGTGACCATGATGAAGGAGATCTTCGATTTCGATCTGATCAAGGAGTTCCTTAGCTCCCACAAGGACTTCAAGGTCCTGTTCGACGGCATGCACGGTGTTACCGGACCATACGGCGTGGATATCTTCGTCAAGGAGCTCGGTCTGCCCGCCAGCAGCACAATGAACTGCCAGCCCAAGCCGGACTTTGGCGGCGGTCACCCCGACCCCAACCTCGTGTACGCCCACGAGCTCGTCGAGGCCGTTGATGCGAACGGCGTGCACTTCGGTGCCGCCAGTGATGGTGACGGTGACCGTAACATGATCTACGGTGCTAACAGCTTCGTCTCCCCCGGTGACAGCTTGGCAATCATCGCCCACCATGCCAAGCTCATCCCCTACTTCCAGAAGCAGGGTGTGTACGGCCTGGCCCGCTCAATGCCCACCTCCGGAGCCGTCGACCGTGTGGCCAAGGCCCAAGGTCTGCAGAGCTACGAGGTTCCCACCGGCTGGAAGTTCTTCTGCAACCTGTTCGACGAGAAGAAGATGTCGATCTGTGGTGAGGAGAGCTTCGGCACGGGCAGCAACCACATCCGCGAGAAGGACGGCCTGTGGGCCGTCGTGGCTTGGTTGAACATCATTGCTGGTGTCGCCAAGCAAAAGCCTAACGAGACCCCCAGCATCGGTTCCATCCAGAACGAGTTCTGGCAGACCTACGGCCGCACTTTCTTCACCCGCTACGACTTCGAGAACGTTGACAGCGAGGGCGCAAACAAGGTCGTCGGCACTCTGTCCGACCTGGTCGCTAACCGCGACACCTTCGTTGGCTCCGAAATCGCCGGCCGCAAGGTTCTCGACGCTGGCAATTTCTCCTACACCGACCTCGATGGCAGCGTCTCCAAGAACCAGGGCCTGTACGCCAAGTTCGATGATGGCAGCCGCATGGTCGTTCGTTTGTCCGGCACCGGCAGCAGCGGTGCCACTATCCGTCTGTACGTTGAGCGCTACGAGGCCGACAAGTCCAAGTTCGGTCTCACTGCTCAGGAGTACCTGGCTGATAACATTTCGCTGGCCCTCTCTCTCCTCAAGTTCAAGGAGTATGTTGGCCGCGAGGAGCCTGATGTTAAGACCTAAGTTCAATTCGGTTGTTAGGGTTAATGTGGAACCTGCTGGATGGGGATCACCTTTTAATTGTCTTGCAGTCATATCTGAACACGAGAAGAATGATGACCGAAAAGCAGGATCAAGATTAAAAGATTATACGTTGGCATGAGATAGAAACTGCGTCTTTAGCATAATCCAAGCCTGTTCTGTCTTAAATCCGGACCTCAGATCATCGATGAAGTGTATGCATTATTGTTCCTCGTGCCAGGTCTCAGACTAGGGCTAGTAAATACCAAATATCATAAGCGTCGTAGTGTCGTAGAATCGTAAATCATCCAACCCTTCCATACAATCATGCCTTCCACGCAGCAGCAGAAACCCTCAACTTCTCTCCCCACCAGCTCTCCCACTTCACAACTCTCTCCTCCCTCCTCGCCTCCTCGGCCGCAAAAACAACAGCATGACTCCGCACCGCCTCCTCAAGCGAACACCCGACAAACCTCGCTTGAGCCGTCTCAACATCTAATCCCCCTCAACGGCCTGAACGGCACTCACAAATTGCCTGGCAAGTCCAAAGTCTCCACCGCCATGCGACTCATTCTGTCCCGGCGGTGGCTTCGGCACATCGTAAACCGAAGTCTTCGCTGTGGCAAAATCATAAACAGAAATCGTGGTACTATCATACGAAACCTCACCGGTTGTACCATACACCCGGCCCCTACGCTCACATTGTTTCTCTGTAGGTGCAATCATATGGAAGCTCGCCGTTTTAGCAAGCCGATGCGGCGCCGTCTCCTCATCATCCCAGGCCAACGTCACAACTTGATCATCACAGACATTATTATCAGCCTCGTAGACGCACCGCCCATACCAAGGCCGCGCAGCGATATCCAAATCTGACACCGTATCCCGATCATAGTCCTCACCAAGACGGGAGAGGAGCAGCGACTCGGCCGCCTTGCCGCCTTGGGCATGGAACACATCTTCGATATCCGGGCAGACGATGTCGACCGGCCAAGCCGTGTGACCCGTCGCGAGGTGGCGATCGTTATAGATCCGAACCGCGCTGTAGGTACAGTCACGTTCAGCGGGACAGGAAAGACAATTTGTAGCGTTACCTGCGGCCACAGGCTTGCGCTTCCGGCGGAACTGCGTCATTGTACCGGCGGAGGAGATGGAGCGCGGGAAGTGCGGCTTGTGGGCTTCTTTGGATGCTGTTTCGGGTGAGGGTGGGGAGCAGAGGAGCCAGAGGATGAAGTCGATGTCGTGGCAGGATTTTGTGAGGAGCGAGCCGTCACCTGCCGCTGTTGCGCGTCGCCAGTTGCCCCGGACATAGCTGTGTGAGAAGTGCCACCAGCCTACCGGCTCGCAGTGTTCAAGGGAGACTATATCGCCGATTACGCGGTCGGTCAGGAGGAGTTTGCGAAGGAGGATGTTATGTGGGCTGTAACGAAGGACATGGCCGATTGAAAATATGTTCTTCGGGGCTTGCGGGATGTTATTTGGGCCTTCGGGTGGTTGGAGGGCTCGGTATACTGTTAAACAGTCGTCTAGTGACAGAGCTAATGGCTTCTCGCAGAGAATATGTAATTGGAGTGGGGCAAGGGCCTGTAGAATCTCGACGTGGGTTTCGTCTAGTGTGCAGATGAAGACTCCGTCTACACCCACGGGAATTGGGGTCGTGTCTGCCGCGTTATCGTCATTGTTTTGAGTCGCCCGCTTTCGTCGCTCGAGCTCCCACTGTACCCATTCGCGCCAATCGGTGAATTCCTGGCCCTCTTGGGGAGAGTCGGATACACCCCATATGTATTTTCGTCCGAATTCACGCCGTTTGAAGGCGTGGGGCTCAGCAATTGCGTGGATTACACCCGATGTTACAGTTGAGACGGCACGAGCATAGGCGTTTCCGCGAGAGCCCCCGCCGATGATAAGGAAGCGTAGTTGCTTCGGCGAAGAAGGGGAGATGGTGATAGTATCCACGGGAGGGGGAATTGGTTCTTTCATGTTGGCGGTTGGTCGAAGTAGGATGCGGAGAATAAGTTGGAACTCGGTCCCGGTTTATCTAGTAATATGATGGATGATTGATGGACATGACTCTGACAAGGCCGATTATCCTGACAGAACCAAGCAGAAAGAGAGATTTATATAGCAAGTCGAGACACACAAGATTGAAGCAATGTGAACGCGTTGCAACTGCGGGGGACATCAGCAACATCATCTGGGCTCTGATTGGCTGATGCGTATTATATTGGTCTATTTTGTCTGTTTACTGTCACTCTCACTCTCCGATTCACTTTCCTTGTCGAAGATCATAGCAACTTCTTCCAAAGACCGCCCTTTTGTCTCAGGAAAGAGGAAGTATATAAGAACCAGGAATATGACCAGACACCCAAGAAAGACAAAGTAATACTTCCATGCAATCGCCGTAAACGCCACCGGGTTCACATATTGGTTGAAGAAACACGCCACAGCATCCACTGAAAGAGTGACAGCAATACCCTTGGCACGCAGCTGGAAAGGTAGGATCTCAGCTAGATACGAGATGAACAAAGGCGCATAAGCAATGTCGTATGCTCCGATAAACAAAAATAACAGTGGAATCACAGCTATCCCAGCCGCAGGAAGATGTCTTTCGGCGAACAGACCCGCAGCCAGGGTGGACATGGACAGGAAGATAATCATGGCCCCCGTGGAAATAAGCCATAAAATGCGACGGCCGTATCGCTCCGATGCAAGTGCACCGGTTGCCGCAAGGAGGAAGTTCCAGGTATTGAGGCTAACGTTCACAGCTGCTTGGTCGGCTGCCTTGGTGACACCCACCGATCTGAGAATTGGCGCGAGGTAGTAGGACAGGAGGCCTGCGAGATTGTTAGTCACAGAGTGTGCATTGGGGCGTTGTGAGGTGCATACCATTTCCAGCCCATTCTTGCATGAGCCCAACTAATACACAAATCGCCAATCGGTGCATATCACCTTTTGACGAGAAGAAGGAGCTCCAATCCCTGGTATTGGTAATCTCGGCTGTGATCGTACTGCATATCAAACGGTACTCATACTGTACCAGCTCGTCGTCTGTATCTCCATTCGCGTGGTACTTCCCCAGAATAGCTAGGGCTTCATCTTTTCTTCCTTTAGATACAAGCCATCTTGGGCTTTCAGGCACAAACAGTATGAGACCTAGGATCTGGAACAATGGATACAACATTTGTAACAGACAAGGAACTCTCCACGACCAACTGTTGGCTATTCCTATGGTTGCATATGTAACCACTGCCGAGCCAATCGCGCCCAAACACCAGGATGCATTGTAGAGAGCCGTGGCCGTCTGTCGCTGTCGAGGGTGTGCAATCTCAGTGGCCAGGAGAGGAGCTCCAGTCTGGGTGATTCCCATCCCTATACCTGACAAGACTCTCGTGCCAAAAAAGGCCCAGTGGCTTTTTACTGCGGTTTGAATGATTGCTCCCACGATGACAATACTGGAACCAATGCAAACACATGTCTTTCGTCCGAGTCTATCCGCAATATGCGAGGCTGGTGCAAAAGAGATGAACGCCCCCAGAGAGGTGGCAGCAATGATCAACCCAATTATATTGGGATTGAGCCCGCCAATGATGCTACCAACTATGTCATGATTAGTATAAAAACCACCTCGTCAAGCTGAAGAGATTAAGACATTACACTCAGGCAGCATAAGCAAGCTATTCACAAGATTTCCGATATATCCCGCCGACGAAGCAGTTGAGAACATGAACACAATACCCAAGTTCAATTTACGCAGCCCCCTGTCTTTGATCCAATTCGGATTGGTGTTGTTCGGTAGGAGCTTGAATGCCTCCATAGAGGGTTCTTTCTCCATTGTATCTGTTTTCGTCGCCATCTTGTATGCTTTCTCAAATATCAGGATTGGTGGAGAAGGTGAATTCGAATATAGCCTCGGATCTTCAACCTCCTCATGTTATACCAACTGTTTATATCACAAAATTATACAGAACAAGGGATCATCCACATTCCTCTGACCTAATAAACCTCCACTCTTCCCCAGGCGATTCCCGGATAATTTCAAGATAATCCTGGTGACTACAATATGGATGCACGGAATGAAGGGAGGAATGCAAGATTCAACTACCCGAATAGGCAATTTTATCAGCGCAAAAGTCTTACTATCTCCGATCACCTCGTCATAGCGCCGAAAAGTCAGGATCTACAGCCCAAAAGAACAATTGTATTCTACGTTATGAACAACCAACTACCACAACGACCTGAGACAAAATGATTCAATCATCACACTGCCCAAGCAGCGAAGCATACCGATTCCCAAGCCCACAAAACCCCTCACACTGCCCACCAATTTCCCTCCCCTTATGCAGCACATCCTCCATGGCCCATGCAACACGTTCCGCGCCCACTCTCGCACCCTCGAGATTTGGCGCGCCGGGCCCAAGCCGGAGAGATGCCATGCGACCCGTCACGAATAACGGCACGTCCTCCCGCCATGACAGATCGTTCGTCAGGCACGGTAGACCTGACTTGACCTCAATTGGGTATTGATCATTCATCGTGCGGAGCAGCGGCATTTCGCGCACGTCCGCCCGCACTCCGGTTGCGAAGTAGATATAGTCGATTGCGGGGAGCTCGGGGATTGGAGGGTCGGTTGTTAGGGTCCAGGTTTGGGTGTCTGGGTTGTAGTCGTGGGTTTTTATTTCTGTGCATGGGTGAATAGAAGCGCGGTGCCGGGCTGCATGCTGCTTTACAATTTTTGTATAACGTGGTGTAATGCTGCCACCGTTTCGGGCGGTTTGGAGCATCTCAAGGCGCTCTAGGAGATGTTAGCATTGGCTTTTCGATGGCATTAGGGGCTTTCTTTCTGATACCTTCGTCGCTGTCGGCGGACCAGAAGGCTGCTTTCTCCCAGTTCTTGTACTTGCCCATCCAGGGTAGACTGATGTCGAAATGCTTGACTGTTGGTTGAATGAGACATTGTTCAAAATAGTGATTTTGGGTGAAATTATACATACCTTTCATGCCAGATCGCATCAAGAACCACACTTTTGTTACGCCCTTGCGAACTGCCATATCGACAATCTGTGCTGACGACAGCCCGCCTCCAACAACGACAATGTTAGTCTCCTGTCGTCGCTGAATCTTGTTCTGTACATTGGGACTGGGAAATGATTTGATTTCCGTGCTGTGACAACATGCTGCAGCGCCCTCTTGCTCCGTCAAGGGCTTCCATGGATAAATCTTGGATACATTTGCTCCGCCAGGACCGATGGCCAGGACAACAGCCCGGCTATAAAACTTCTCTCCCGTGGATGTTGTGACAGTGAACACCTTTGACTCTGAGCTATCAGACAGATAATCATATGAGAGATCCGTCGCCTCGCGCTGCAATATCTGGCCGGGTTCATCTAATCCATACCGCTGGATAATCGACGAACAATAATCCGAGAAGAGGTCTGTGGAAGGCGAGAAATAGTCTTTTCGATCTCGTTCGTCAATCTCAGCTCCTATTGTTCTGTTTACAAGGATTGAATGGTTAGAAATCAGTTTTCGCCATGTTTGCAAGTGCACAACTTACTGAGCCTTCCCACCCTGCCTCCTTTTCTTCTTCTTGTGCTTGCTCATCTCCTTCCCAACACACCCGGGAATCTCCCACAAATCTGCATCTCTCCCACTCTCCTGTGTATAAGCCAACATCCCATCCCGATCACCGGGATCAACATGGAAGAACATCGGGCTGCGGAGCTGTTTGATCTCCAGCGTGCGGAAAGCATTGTTCCACCGCTGCATCCATTTATCTCCGGAGCCGTCGAGAACTAGAGTCGAGACAGATGATATCGACGATGTTGATGACGTGGAGGACAGCGACGGCACAGAAGATGCAGAGTCAGCCGAGCTACGCCGTTGTCGGTCATCTTGACAAGGGCATCCGCGTTCACTATCCCATTTTGCAGCTGGCACCCCGTTGATCTTACTGTGGCGTCCCTGGACTAGTCTCATTCTACCGCTGTGCTTTTTGATCCAGTGGTACCGCTGGTGTTCTTCGTCTGTAAAGACTGCTGATGGTGTTTCTTCGCTTAGACGTGCGGCGACGGCGAGGCCGCATGGTCCTGCGCCGATGATTATTACGTCGCGGATTTCATGGTCTTCTGGTAATTCAGATGAGAACATATTATGTGGCAAGGTAGGGTTGGAGTAATGGTGTGTGATGGAGACGCAGTGGTTATAGTAGTATTGAATGGAAATACAAATTCGTAAAAGAGTAGCATCATAGGACCAATATCTTTCTTTTGTACCCTACTGCCATAGATATGCTGCTACAATGTCCTCATAAGTCGACTATCGAGGTACTCGTCCCCAAGGTCCTTGTGGCATGTACATCATATAGGGAACAGCCTCATACTCCACTGTTGATATGGCGAATTTGACGGATTATTGGAGTTAATCTCTGAGGACCTTGGGATATTGGATCTTTTTGGTCTCAATATATGGACCTTTTAAAATAATGTTGCTGGAATTTACAATGTAAGGTTGGTGATTTTGATTCCTAGGATATATATATCTTGGTGGCTAGGTTCCGCATGTTAGGAGATAACCACTATATATCAACAGAACCAATGAATCACACCAAGAAAATTGACAATTATCGCGAGAGAGGAAACAGAAAAGTAAGCTCAAAGTCAGCCCTCTGGCAGAATCTTAGTTAAAGTACGTCCATCCACAGTCCATTCAACTATGTTTGTAGAACAGAAAAGAAGGCAAGGAAATTATATTATATGAAAGAAAATATTTGGAAGGGGGGAATAACAAAGCACAAAAAGCCGCCGGAAGATAAAAGAAAAGCAAAAGAAAACGAAATACACGCAAAAACCCGAACGCCATGAGACAAAACCTCCTGCGCCCACACAAAGGAATTTATTTATGCCATCTCTTCTTCGCCCCAGCCTTTGCCCTAGACGCACCCCCTTCCCTCCGATGCCAAGGATCCAAGGGCCAAACCCACCCCCTCACCCTCTTAGCATCCCTCCTCTCTCCAATTTGAGGCTCGGGAATCCACTTATCCTTCGCCTCCGCCAGAATTCTCTGACGAGTCATCGCACCAGGTCCGCCTACGTTGAGGTGGGCAGAAGGCTGATGCGGAAGCGGCACCGACTTCGAAAGCATCAACAAGAAATACAATCCAAGCCCCGCCGTCATAGCCGGCAATGTATCCTCAGCCGGCTCAGGATCTGACGAGTCATGACCCGGGGAAATGGACGAGCTTGATGACGACGAGAAAGATCGCTCGCTGATGGGCGTTGCGAGTAGTGCGTCGCGCGCGTGTGCATGCGCGTTCCTCCCAGCACCAGCTGCTGTCTTGAGCGGGATTGATGCCGCGATCTCCAAGTACCCGAAATAGGGAACGTCGTCGCCGGCGTCGCAGCCTGCTCGCACGCAGACGAGCTCGATTTCGGTGATGATGAAGCCGTAGCGGCAGGAGTGCTCGCGCATGCAGCGCTGGAGATGAGCGAGTCCGTTAAGGTATTCTACACGTCTGTGGGGGGGCTTCGTTGCGCATGCCGGTGTTCCAGCGGTCGAAGCTTTTCACGATACCGACTAGTCGGCCGCGCGGGAGACCGGCGCTTGTTTGCTCGGTGTCTGAGAGGTAGTTTGCGAGGAAGTGCGGGTGGCCGTGGTTTTTGTGGCCTGTGTTTCGGACGTCTGGGGCGGCGTAGAGTTGGAGGTGGTCTTTGCCTTGGGAGACGGCGAGGGCGGCGTTTACGCGTGGTGCGTAGAGGTCGCGGATTAGATTCACCAAGTCGTTTTCAGACTCTGGCGCTAGGCTTGCTGAGGGTACAGCCACGTGCGGCGTGAGCTCTGCTGGGATTTCGGTCTTCAGGAGCTGGATTAGTCGGCTGTCCAGGGAGTCGAATGTCGCCAGTGAGAAGGAGCTCCAGCAACGCAGATTGCGGATGTCCCACCAGAAGTAATCGTGCAGGCCGCGAGTTGGAACTACGCTCACGTTGCGGACTAGGCTAATTGGTTGGAGTGGCAGGGTTAGGTATGACAGCAGAGTTGTAGACCGTGGGGGCAGGTCTTCCTGAGGACTGAGTAAGACTGGCGAATTCTGGGCAGCTAGTGCCTGGCGGTAGTTGTATTGAGGCGTCGGCACTGTCAATGGAGTCTGTGTGCTCGCAGGAGCGTGCTGGCCCGCTATCCTTTGAGAGTATGATGAGTAGGGCATGATGTTCGGAGTGATTGGAGTGACGGGGGTGGTCGGGGTCGTCTGGGCCTGCATTTGAGGCACATATTTTGGTTGATCTCCATATGCGGGATACCCAAATTGAGCCAAACTTGCGAGATCGAGAACAGATGCAGACACTGAGCGTGAGTGGCCTCCGCCTCCCTTGCATTTGTACGAAGGGGTGATTGTTACAGGCGATGACAGCGCAGAGAGGCTGCCCTGTGTGGTCATTGGCGCCGGCGAGATGGGAGAGGCCAATGTCAAGCGGTCCACGGCATCGCGTGTGCGACGGCCAACAGATAGTCGTGCCGGTGGGTAAGGAATAAATCCAGGTGGGTTCCGTGTATTGGACAGAACGCGAGGATGACGAATAGGCCCACCAGCAGATACTGGCTCGATCACGATGTCTTGAGGTCGGATCTTAGGTAATAGCTTGGGGCCATGGTGATGTCTGGTTGGTGATGTGGTAGGACTAGTATTCCCAGTCATAGTCGACCAAGGAGATGACTCGCTTGAATAGACGGAAGAATTGGAGGCATGACGACTATGTCCAGAGCCAATGTATTCCTCAAGAGAAAGACGCGGCGGCGTCGTTGGCCGAAGGCGAGTGGAATCGACAGTAGACATGATAGTGAAGTTGTTGACTGGGTGTACCACCAATGACAATCTATCATAAGAGTAACCAACGAATGAAGCAACTGATGTCTTGTTGACCAAGTTCAGAAAGGCATGATCCAGGAGGAGGATGTTTGGATATTAAATGGACATTGACGGAATCTCAAACAGCCAGGCTCGATGCATATAAAAAGATTGTCTGACGAACCCTAGCCGATCTAGAAAAGATGAAACATGGAGAAGAGCCCCATTGTAACGCCTACGGAGCCAAAGAATCTTTTTTTGGGATCCTAGTCTCCGATCAGAGGCACGTCCACTCGATGAAACACGAAACTGCCGACATTGTGCCTGAAGGACAGGCATGTTGAGCAACAGTGCCCTTGAAACTACCCCTCCGATGGGGTCCAGTCCGGCATAGTGCGGTTTCATCGGACTGTCGCGCGTCAAGTTGTTACTATATTTTGCATCTTCTTCAATATAATTCTTCAGATTCCCTCAATCGGTTAGCCTGCTGCACGATTCTCACAATGTTCTAAAAACGGCATCAATTAGGTCACATTTCTAGTAATTAGCGGACTTGTTGGTGACTATCCCTGCCTAAGGACTCGCGGGGTCAGCGGTTAAGCGTTCCAAGAAAGCAAATGGATAAAAATAGCAATCGGGGATCATGGAATGTGTGATTCCAGGGTCTAAATAGGGTAGACAGCACTCTTTGATGGGAGGGTACCTGCTCTAGATGCGCCAGTGGCCGAATGTGATATCGAAGTCGGCGGCTACATGTATGGGATGAGTTTGAGGTACGCGCCGAGCACCGGCGTCATAACTGGTGATTGGACAATGTGAGCTTGATATTAAGAAATCTCCCATAATTAGCAACAATTAATGCAGTTGGCGGGGGAAAGTTCATGCAAGAGATATCTGGTAAAGAAGTTTGAGGTCAAATTGGGGTGACCAACACATAACCGCGCATTGACCCCTGTGGTTTCACTATACAATTGTACATAGTTCATACTTTTTTGGGCAAAGTTATTTAGAAATTCATCTCATTAATTTGTTTGAATTATTTCATGACATTCATTTCATGTGGGTCAAAAAAAATGATTAACACCCAACCGAAAGAGTAAAAAGAGTAAAAAAGAAAACAACAAAAGGCCGAGAACCCTGTGGTCTATGTACCTCGACAAAACACTCAAAAAACGCTCGGGGGAATCTCTCTGAACCGTCTAAACAACACATCGAACGGTAAAGGCAATCGCAGAACATCAAATTTTTAAGCCTTGATCTCGTACTTGCGGCGGAACATGTCATCCACCTCAGTCAGGTAGTAAACACCGGATCCAATAGTCTCGGTTTTACCAACGGGCTGGAAGTTCTTCTTCAGGTGGGCGTGCTCACGGAGCTTGCACATGTCATCATACGCAGCAGGCTCGAGGATAGTGCGGGCATTGAGACGCTTCTGGAGGTCAAGCTTCTCAACCATGCCGGACACATCGCCGACAATCTTGGCGCTGAACATGGAGCTGGCAAGACCGGAACCGTAACTGAACAGACCGATGCGCTTGACCTGCTCGGGGTCGAAAGCGACATTGCTGAGCAGACTGGCCAACCCGCCGTAAACGGTGGCAGTGTACATGTTACCACACTGGGTGGCGACCTGGAGACCAGGGCTGACACGCTCGGCGAAACGCTTCTTGGTGAGACCCATGAAGGTCTTCTCAACAACCTTGTCGGTAAGGGACTTCTCATAGTCCAGGTCGCGGAGCTCAGGGGCGACCTCGGTGAAAGCGGGGTGCGAAGGGTTGGCGAGGTAGTCGTTGTAGAGCATACGAGCGTAGGACTTTTGGACGAGCTTGCAGGTAGGGGCATGGAACAGAATGTAGTCGAAGCGATCCAGGGGGGGTGAGGGACTCATCGGCGGCGCCGTTGGTACCATTACCGTTGGCCTGGGCCTTCAGGGTCTTCTCGCGGGCATCGTAGGCCTTGTAGCAGGCATCAACAGCCTCGGTGTAGCAGCGAAGGGAGTAGTGACCGTCGACAACGGGGTACTCGCTGGTGAGGTCGGGCTTGTAGAAATCGTAGGCGTGGGTGAGGTAAGAGGCACGAAGACCGGCCTCGAAGACGATAGGAGCATCGGGGCCAATAACCATGGCCACGCAGCCAGCACCACCAGTAGGGCGGGCAGCGCCAGCAGCGTACAGAGCAATATCACCGCAAACCACCACGGCATCACGGCCATCCCAGGCGGAGGACTCGACCCAGTTGATGCTGTTGAAGACAGCGTTGGTGCCACCGTAGCAGGCGTTGACGTTGTCGACACCCTCAATGTTGGTGTTTCCGTGAGGAGCGAAAAGCTGCATCAGAACGGACTTGACGGACTTGGACTTGTCCAAAAGGGTCTCGGTGCCAACCTCGAGTCTTCCCACGGAGTTGGGGTCGATGCTGTATTTCTTCATGAGGGAGGAGAGGACGGTGAGAGTCATAGAGTAGATGTCTAGTGGGAGATATTAGCTGATTGATCTCGATCTTGTGGCATCGGTGTACATACCCTCACGGTCATCACAGAAGCTCATCTTGGTCTGTCCAAGACCAATGGTGTATTTTCCGGCAGCGACGCCATCGTACTTTTCCAACTCAGCCTGGTCGACACACTATCATTGATATATCAGTTATAGATCCCAGATTGATAAGATACAGGGACACTCACCTGAGTAGGGAAGTAGACCTCAATGGCCTTGATGCCGATGTTTTGGGGACGAGTAGCCATAGTGGGGGTATGGAGGGGCAATGAAGACACAAAGGGGCAAAAGGAGAGGGATAGTAAAGGTGAAGGTGAAGGTTTGAAGTAAAAGAAGAAGAAAGCCAGAGAGAAGACAATTGATATAAGAATGAAAAGGAGTCTGTGTACTCGGTTCTACCGTGTACGATCTGTCACCACTTAATATTTTTTTTTTTTTTTTTTTTTTTTTGGGGTGGAGAGATCAACGCTCTTTGAGTGCGGTTTTTTGTTCCTTTGGGCCGGATAATTGCCTAGGAGATACATCTTATACAACATAGTAGAAGTCTATAAGTAGAAGTGAAGCTAATGTATATAAGCACTATAACCACCTAACTTCAGAAGTACGGAGTATCTGGGGTAGCTCCAACTCTAGATAATACCTAGCAAGTACAAGTACCTCTAGTGACCCAGCAGTGTATAGTGTACAGTGTACTGTGTACTCCGTACCTGTGTAGGTCGGCTACGTGGCGTTGTATAAAAGCTACGGTGTAGAACTGAGTCTTATCGATCTGTCTCCACCCTCTTTCAAAGTTCCCCTTTTAGATCTTTCCTTGTGGATCTTCGTAGTGGCATCACCTCGGACATCTTTGCTACAGAGTAGAAACCTGCTTTATAGTCAAATAGTCCTTGTCTCGTCTCTGATTATGTCTTTGAAGTGTATGTAGCATAATGGAGAACATTTGCATGACACTGCGCATTTCCGAGATCGTGTATGAAAAACATAAAAGACAAAAAGACGAGCAGACGAGCAGACACTCCAGAATCTATACGGATTGAAAATGTTCGAATATTCTGTGATATCGGAAGAGGAATGTGAATGCTCGTCTATCTACAATAGAATGCCCATGATGTGTAATGAAAGTTGCCAAGCGTGGGTCACCTCTCACTCCGGGGGCGTCTGCCTATCTCCTGTCTCTCTCCTATACAACTCCCACCAAACTCCGGACATACTCACTTATCGGCATATGATGTCGGACGTCGCTCATTTTCCATCTTCGTACAGATCATGATCCTCCGGATCTCCGCATCCGCGCCTCACCCATCTTACAGCTCCCCGGAGCCCCGGATCTCCCACAATGGGCGACGAGAAGTTTGATTATCAGGCTGTCCCCATCCCCTCGTACGCTGAAGCCACCGGTCAACCCTCCTCCTCTCGATCCGACCTCGGTGATGGAACAGATATTGAACGACAGGGCCTACTCGGTCGCGATCATGCCTCCACCCGTGGCTACCGCCCACCCACCGTGGAATCGGCGCGCTCCAGCCTCGATGGCCTCGAATCACTGGCCTCACGCTCAGATCGTGAATCGGTGGAGGAATTACGACGCGAATTAGATCAAATGGACGTGGACGATTCGGCATCGACATCCTTGACCGGCAGACGCCCCCTCTCCGGCAGCGTTTTTCCAAGCAGCTATCGAGTCTGGGTCGGACACTGTCCGCCATCCAACGACCGTTTCAACGATATATGCCTAGATTTCACTTCACAATAAACCTTGGTGACACCAGGGCACGCTTAAAAGATCAGGGATGCATCATGCTTCTCCGAGTGTTCGCTCTTTTACTGGTGGTCACACTAGTGTATGTGTTTTTCGTCGCAGATGTCTTCAATATAAACAGTCGCATGTCCATGGGCCAATCCTATAGCGCCGCCTCCGTCGAAAACTTCATCCAAGGTCACATCAATGAGACCAATATTGCCGAAAACCTACGACGAGTCACCAATTACACCCACGTAGCTGGCACGGAAGGCAGCTTCGCGCTATCACAATTGATTGAGCAAGAGTTCCAAAATGCAGGATTCGACGAAGTGTCGCGGGAGGAATTTCAGGTCTACCTCAACTATCCACGCAAGGATGGAAGGAGAGTCGCAATCATCGATCCACCCAGTCTAGCTTGGGAGGCGAAACTTGAAGAGGACGACGCCAAGGACCTGATCTTCCATGGGCATTCGAAATCTGGCAATGTCACTGGGCATCTGGTGTATGCTAACTTTGGAGCCCGGGAAGATTTCAAACTTCTCGCAGACAAAGGAATTTCACTGGATGGCTCGATTGCCTTGGTCCGTTATTATGGCACCGAATCCGACCGTGCATTGAAGATCAAGGCCGCTGAATTGGCCGGAGCTGCTGGCTGTATCATCTACTCCGATCCCTCCCAAGATGGATTTATTAAAGGCCCTGCTTTCCCCGAAGGACGGTACATGCCAAGTGATGGCGTGCAAAGGGGCGGTGTGAGCATGATGTCTCAGGTAGTTGGCGATGTTCTCAGTCCTGGGTGGGCATCCACGCCAGGAGAAAATCATCGTCTATCCCCCAAGGAGAGCCTCGGTCTACCCAAGATTCCCAGTCTTCCACTCGCTTGGCGTGATGCACAGAAACTTTTGCAGGGCCTCAAAGGCCACGGCTCCAAGGTACCAAAAGAATGGGTGGGTGGCGTCCCTGATGTACAAGAGTGGTGGACTGGTGGCCAAGACTCCCCCGTCGTTCATTTGATGAACCTGCAAGATGAAGTAGAGCGCCAGCCTATCTACAACATTCATGGCAGAATAATCGGCATGGACGAGCGCGACAAGAAGATCATTGTCGGCAATCACCGAGATTCGTGGTGCATGGGAAGTGTTGACCCTGGAAGTGGCACTGCTGCTTTCCTTGAGGTCGTACGAGCCTTTGGCGAGTTGCTCACCTATGGATGGCGCCCGCTTCGTACCATCGAATTTGTCAGCTGGGATGGAGAGGAGTATAACCTGATCGGCTCAACAGAACATGTCGAAAAAGAGGTCAACGATCTCCGTGCGAATGCGTTCGCCTACCTCAATGTCGACGTGGGTGTTTCTGGGCCCGATTTCCATGTGTCTGCGTCGCCCGTTTTTGAGCGCACCGTGCTGCAAGTACTGGGCCGCATCTCAGACCCCTATGCGAACGCGACACTGAAAGACATTTGGGACCAAAAGGGCTCAAAAATCACACCACTTGGCGCTGGAAGCGATTATGTTGCATTCCAGGATATCGCCGGCACCTCGAGCATTGACTTTGGATTTTCAGGAGAGCCCTATCCATACCACAGCTGCTACGAAACGTATGACTGGATGGTCAAATTTGTCGACCCTGATTTCCAGTACCACAAAATACTAGCTCAGTTCTGGGGACTTCTCCTCCTTGACCTTTCGGAGAACCCCATGCTGCCGTTTGACCTAGAAGTCTACGGAGACTCCATTGGCGGGTGGGTCAAAGACTTGGACAACTTTGCCAAGTCAAAGAAGGCCGAGGTGGACATGCAACCCATGTTTAAAGCTGCGACCGAGATGAAAGCCAATGCTGTTACATTCCAATCGTGGAACAAGATTTGGCACGATACTGTGTGGGGTATGGGAGGATACGAAAGCAATGTCATGGCAGTCCAGCGGGTGAATCACAATGCTCGAATGGCTGCCTTTGATACCAATCTACTTGACTTGGAAGAAGGCGGAGGTGTAAGTTGACGTGCTTGAATCATCCCTGAACCCTAGCTAATGATTCGCACAGATTCCCAACCGTACACAATTCCGACATGTCATCTTTGGCCCAGAGCTATGGTCCGGCTACGATGCCTCGATCTTCCCTGCTATCCGCGACAGCATCAACACAGGGAATTGGACACTGACACAATATTGGATCGACCGGGTCGCCAACACCATCCACCACGCCAGCGATAAGTTGCTCCATTAATGTATTCTACCTTTCAGCCCTTTTTTCTCTTGTCGGTCTTCTCAGCCTCACTTCATCCATGCTTATCGGATTGATTATTTTGTCACGTTCTAAACGAACACTGTACAGCCTGACACCTGCCACGTTGTCGGGATACCTCTATACCTGGATTTTGGGAACTTCTTGCACACCCATCATATACCATGCATGTTTTGAGCTCACGGGACCTGGCATATTGCTCTTTTGTCGGTTCCATTCGTCGCCGCTTTTCTTGAATGTATCTAGCTTCTCATCCTTGTCCCGAGGGACCGGCGTTCATATGGGGATATATCATATTGCGTATCTACCTTTTAAGAGGTCTTTCAAGCTGCCAGTCCGCATGATTTGCTTGCTCACTCCAAGTGCGCACCCATTAGGGTAGTACTTGCTTTTTCAGAGGGAAATATTTCGCCAACCTACGACTCAGGTGTTGCAGATCGCAGTCTTTTGGATATTACGCCCTCATTATTCAATTCCATACAAGCCTCAGATTGTCGTATTGTATGTTTTTTTTTGTCATTATTCTCTAACTTGTGTAAATATATCGACCACGCAAAAGAAGTTTCAATTCAACATCACTTCCCCCTGGGCAGCCCTAACCCTGCCAGGACCTTCATTGGTCCAATGTCTTTCCATGCATTCAGTTGGTCATGATTCCAGATATAAACCGATCCCATCATTCCAGCTGAATTTGCCGTAATGCCGTGGAATTCCTTAGCCCGTCGAGGAATTACCATCATCCATCTTCTCGTGAGGATAAAATTATGGGGACAAGGGACGTCTTCCGTCAGCAAGCCTAGCGCCCCTCTCGCTTGGTGCAATAGAGATTGATAAATTTCTAGCAGGTGCTCACCATTTCCCACACAGCCAGTAGAGTCCTCAAATCTCTGCAGAAAATGCACGAAAGAAGGTCCCGTTTTCGAAGCCGTATCATCTGGAAAAAACTTGAATCCTTCATCGTACCCTTCACGCTTCCCTGGCGCTGGGATAACTTGTAAATGTTTATGCTCCCTACTTGACCCAGCTAGGACTGTACAATTAAAGAAAACATAATGTTCATCCTTTAATCCACAGATCGTACTCCATGCAGCTTCTATGTCTTCAAGAACGAGAGGCTCGTGCTGCCGCTGATAGGAGTCCACGGTCAACAATAACAGCATGGGACGGAAGACGGGAAATTTGTTGATGACAAGATAGTGGGTGTTATTGACTGTGGTGATGCAAATATCCGGATGCTCATTTGCTATATCGCTGCCTGGACCGAAGGACGCGCACTGTGTATTGACCTGTGTCAAACCTGATTTGATTTCAGAGGCGTCCTTGGCTTGGGGCTTGCTTTTGAGAGACTCAACCAAGTGAAAGGAAAACTGGATTCCGATTAGGGGCGGCTGAAGAAAGTCCGGTGAGAAAACCTACGGTCATGCCGCCATCGACCACCAGAATCGGCTTGTTTGGCTGGAAATTGATGATACCGTTGGAGATAAGCCGGTCGAATCTTGCGCAGATCTCATCGTAACTTAAGTTCAGCATTTTGATAACACAGGCATCGGAACAAAAAGGCTGCCAAGTTCAGACAGAGGGGTAGACGATAATGTCACGCGACTAGGGCATGATATCAGCGCTAAAGCAAAAGATTCAGCCCCATAGTCTATGCCATACCTATAAAGTCTTCTTCCCAGGGGGCTATGTCATGTATACAAGACTGATTGCTTGGGCTTCAAATCCTGATGATGAACGTGCCGGGGCTATTTGGCAAGGGCTGAGTCCTGCCAATTCTAGATGGGCTATAACATTGTAATCCGAGCACTTACAGCACATGTAAATCAAAAGAGGTCGAACGAATGAATGAACGAGCGTTGCCGCTTAATTTTCCACTTTTCCTCACAGATACCTTGGGGCGTCTCGTATTTTTACCCAGGCGCAAGCCTGGAAGTGAGATGAGGCTACTTCGTATTCCGTACAGATATAGATCAAAGAACCACATCCCTCTTACAGATGCTGCTCCGCAGACTAGACATCCTTAATTCTCATATCTCATACGATTTGTATCTTCTTTCCTGAAAGTCATGTCTGAGCTCAAAGACCCCCTTGATCTGGCCGAGACTGGAGATTTATCCAAGTTCTCAAAGCTCGAAGCTACACTGGTACACACCGAGGTGGAGCGGCGACCAAATTCAATATCGCAAGACGGTGTAAGTCGCCATGCTGTGACTGCAGACCTTGGTGTCAACGAATTGGATTTCGATTTCAACCTTGCCACAGACCATTATCCACTAGATCAGCTTAGGTCTCTCCACCAAGTCTTTGATGCCGTGCAATACCGTCAGCATTTGGCTCGGGACGGGGACTTCTCGTCCACAACTCGTGTGGAATGTTTCACGGCTGATTCGCAGGGAGGAGGTACGTAGGTCCTTGAATCAGAAGGTTTCTGTTTTGGAAGCTGATATCATATGGAGAATGGCAAATACTTGATGAAACCAACATGGATCGACTTTTACAGGTGAGGTCTATCAACCTCATATTTGGAACTTGGGCTAAACAGATCAAAAGTCCTATGCTATGAACACCTCACCTGTTGAACCACATCCTGGACGTAAAATGCTCGTTTTGTGAGTGTTTCTCCCCACCGTTCTGCGTCTCCTACTGACTTGTCTAGCTTTACACCATTGGTGCCCACAGACGGTACGACATACGGATCACGCGTTCTAATGACTCAAAGAAATGCGAAACAACTGTTCGAGACATTACAAGTCAATCCCTTGTTTCTGTTGGACATGATTGGGCGGCCAGATTACTGGGCTCCTCAAGTGCATTGGGAGACAGCCGATGACGGGAAGCTGCTGGCTTGCGGTAAGAGCAGAAGCATCAGGCGTCAGAACAAATGCTAACATCACCAAAGATCTCTTTTGTCAGCATCCTCGATGGAACCTTCAAGTCCAAGGAGCTCCGCTGTCTGCTTATGTGCGCCATGACATTGTTCGAGACTTGACTACATATGTCATCTCGCATAAAGAGTTTGATACCTCCATCGCCACGCTCAAATCTATATTGAACATTGCACTCAATGTCAGCTCCACAGTCAACAACCCGGCTGTCTTTTTGGAAGGTCCATTTGATATCCATGCCATTCTTTCCACACTTTCCTTCGAAGCTTCTAAATTCCACGTCAAGCGTTTCCAGCGGTTCATGTGGAAGCAGATGAACAAAGTCGACGATCACCTTACGGGCCTCGAGTTTAGTGATCGTGCTAAGCTTGGAGACTTGACAAAACAGCTCCAAATCATGTCCGCAAATGCAGATTCACATATCGCCAATGCTGATGTAGCAATCATCACGGCCAAAGCCATTCGAGATGCCCACTCACGTCTCACTCCCTCCCTCCCCCGATCTAACCCTTTTATAAACCAGCGAGCCGATAGTTCAATATCATATATCATCTCCTCCATTGAGAAACAGAAAATCTGGTTCTTGAATTACAAGCAGCGCAAGGACAATGCCATGTCCCTGGTTTACAATCTTGTGACCCAGCAAGACGCCATCAACAACATTCAGATCGCCCATAGCATGAAGCAAGACTCTACCTCCATGAATGCAATCGCTGCTCTGACAATGATCTTCCTGCCGGGTACCTTTGCAGGCACAGTGGTTGGTGCAGGAGTTTTCGGGGGTGCCATCAAAGAGACGGTGTGGCTAATTTGGGCTGCAATTACATTGCCGCTTACGGTAGGAGTCATGATTTGCTGGTGGTTGTATAAGAAAGGAAAGCGGCCAATGGCCAAGGGTAGCACTGTGATAGAGAAAGACAGGGCCAATTCCGCGGATACGAGGACGAATTCACCTAGGAGGAGGTCCAGTGTTTTTTCCAGTGGCTTTTCCTTCCGAAGGTTCAAGACTGGTATAGGTGAAGATATGTAGTTTAGTCTAACTTATTGTTTTTCTTGTTGTACGGGTATATGACACCAAATGAACAGCGTTCTTCTACCCTATCCATATGGTACTCACACATGGGTATCATAAAACATCACACATCACAGTTCCACTTGACTAAACAGGAGGCAAAGACGGCTCAATCGCCAACAAAGACGGGTGATCCGCCAGACTCTGCCAGAATCCAGCCTCGAAATCCCACAAATCTTGACTCAACAGCGACGCCCATTCATCATTGCCCTCAACCCCAGTTTGCTCAGGCAGAGGCTGCGCCGGGTCCGAATGAGTCGAGTCTAGAAAACGTTGTATAGCCCGTGTAGCCTTAGAAAGCAACGCGTAATTCGGATCGCCGGCTTTGACAATCGTCCCGATTTGAACCTCCGCTACAAACACACTGAGATCTTGTAATGTTCTTGTCCGGTGCGCTCGTGGCATGTGCTGTTTCAGCATTGCCAAAAGCATTATCCCCGCAGCGGGGAGACCGTAGTATGCAACCTGGTCAAGTTGTATATCAGTTGACTGCTTGAGTTGGAGATTTCAAGGACAGACAGAGTATATGATATAAAATCGAGTCAATTTCACACATACCTTCCAGATGAGACCTGTCCCAGAGTTAGTTAGCTGATCCCGCAGCAAAATAATCTCCACCACAAGTGTGAGCATTTGACCCGCCGTCTCGATAATCGGTAGATCGGGCTCAGTCGGTGATTTAAGAAGCAAAAGACGAAGCAAAAATAGCACATGCAAGTGGTGCAGTCGTACGCCAGCGACGAAGTCGCGCTCAAAGGGTCCCTGTGTGCATTGCTTCAGACTGGTCTCGAGTCGGAAGTGGGCTGGTAGGTTTTGCCATTGCGTCTCTGCTTGGCGTTGGATCACGCTGTGCCATTTCCTGATTAGCCATGGTTGCCACTGAGATAGATGGCACAGAAGTTGTTTTTAAATACCCTGCTCGTTGCGCGCATGACGGATCATGTTTGTCCTGGAGAAGCTCCCAGATCTCCTCCTTCAGTGACGCACATAATGCAGACCACCGCGTATCAGCCCGGTACCCAGACTCCGCATCCGGAGTCCAGTCTGCCGAGCCTTCTTCTGCGTTCCGGCAGGATGGGATCTGGAAGTGGCAGAAGCGTTTGTTCATTCGTGGTGGGCGGCCGAGGAATATTGCTATGTTCTTGTCTGCGGAGTAGATGCGCGCGAAGGCTGTTTTGCGCAGTTCTTTAAGGAATGGCGGGAGTCCTGGTTTTATTTCGATGTTCTCATGATAGCCTAGGGCATATGTGGAGGATATTGCGTCGCCGAGTTTGCGCCAGGAACGATAGCCTTTGAGAGTTTAATATGTGGCTCAAAGAGATACAGTAGCTGCGCTGCGGATGAATGCTGCTAACTTACTCTGGTCTCCATCCACGTAGGAATGAACGATAAAGTTCTCATATTGCATGATCAGTTGTAGGTCGTTCAGGCAATCTAGAGAGAGGGATATCTCCAATGCAAAGTCACAAAGTTGGGTACATAGTCTTCGAAGTGTGTACTGCTCCTGTGCAGTCATGTACAGAGACGGGAAGAAGGAAATGTCAATTGTCGCTCGACTGACAGCAGCAAAGAATATCCCCAAGGTCTCCCAACGAGAATTGTGATCTAGAAATTGAGCCGAAAAATCAGCCAGGTCAGAGGTCTCATTAAAGTGCAGCGGCTGGGCCGAGTTCTGCAAAAGTCGCCTTGCATAGACTAGATGCCAGCTGTCGTCGTGAGAGGTGAACAATTGGCTCACACTCTGCGCACATTGGTCAACAAATGGCTCTGCCAGGGCCAGGTTGGCTCCTTTGGCTAGCCAGAACATGACGAGGTCTTTCATGGCGGACAATTTGTATGTCGTCAAAAGATGTTTGAGGATATCTGCGCCTTGTAAGACTAGATGATTGTCCCCGAATAAGTCCGAGTGCAGATCCTCTGGTACTACTTGATGATTTCCGGGGCCATGGTCTCCGTCCGGAGTGATATGCTTGAATATAGCTGCATGGCTGGACGACCCTAGATACCCTGGATTTGGGTATGGATTACGTCTTGGATTGAATGACGGCGATTCATCTGGTGAACCAAGGCTGTGAAAAATATAATTAGCCCACTTGTATACAGTCCAGGTCAGTATAGAACCAACCTTTGTTTCGATTCGACTCTTTTCCGCTTAAAGGGCGTAGTTCTGTAGATGCAAATCCCTTTGCTTGTACTACAACGCGTGCAAACGGGCAGCTGGTGGTCGCATGCCAGCTTAGCCTTTCTGCAGGCTTCACAGGCAGCCAGGCGCGACATGGCTGCTCTGGCGGAGTTTCGTCCGCCAGTGAGGGTAAAAGAGAAGAAGTCGGCTAATCGCGGGGAGATCGGAGAGTCGGCGTGTCGGTGTGTCGGCGATAAGATGCGGGGATCCACCCTGGGCATCTATAAATACTTGTCTTTCTTCTTCTCCAACATCAACATCACATCCATTATGACTCAAGATATTAAGCTCGCAGACTATCTGTTCACTCGGTTGCGCCAGCTGGGCGTCGACTCCATGTTCGGCGTCCCTGGGGACTACAACCTTCGCCTATTGGATTTCGTTACTCCCGCCGGCCTCCACTGGGTGGGCAACTGCAATGAACTCAATGCCGCCTACGCGGCCGATGGATACGGTCGCATTAAAGGCCTATCTGCGTTAATCACTACCTATGGCGTTGGCGAGCTCTCCGCTATCAACGGTATTGCAGGCGCGTATGCCGAGAACACACCCGTGCTACATATTGTCGGAACCCCACCACGCCCGCTCCAGAGCGCGCGTACATTTATGCACCACACTTTCTCAGATGGCGACTACCGTCGCTTTGCAAACATGTCGAAGCATGTCACTGCAGCTCAGGCCAGGTTAGAAGATGCTACCACGGCGCCGGAAAGAATCGACTATGTCCTACGCCAGGCGTTGATCCACAACCGTCCAGTCTACCTCGAGGTCCCCGATGATATGCCCGACGTGCTGGTGTCGGCTGCGAACCTGGAAACAAAGATTTGCATTCCACAACCACCACGTTCTGCCCGAGAGCCGGAGGTGCTGGCTCGCATTATGGAGAGAGTGTACAGCGCCAAGCGTCCATTCATCTTCGTGGACGGAGAAAGTACAGGTCTTGGTATCGTCGACCAGCTCGATACTTTGATCAAAGCAACCAACTGGCCCACATGGACAACCGTGTACGGCAAGGGCCTAGTCAATGAGCAGCTGCCAAACGTGTACGGACTGTACGCGGCAGCCTTTGGCGACAAGCCAGCGCAGGAGTACTTCCAGGAAGCAGACCTGGTCCTGACATTCGGACCGCACAACAGTGATACCAACACCTATTTCTACACATCGATCGCCAAGCCCGCAGTGGCAATCACATTCTCGGGTAGCACCGTCCAAATCGAGAATGATACTTACCACGACCAATCCGCCCGCAACATTCTATCAAAGCTACTCCAGAGCCTCGACTCCTCACGACTAGTCAAGGCCACCGGGCCACCGAAACAAGAAATCACCTTAGCCAACATCCAGAACACAGACCCACTTGCTCAAGACAATTTCTACCGCCTGGTAAATCCGCTCTTCCGAGAGGGCGACATCATCCTCACCGAAACAGGCACCGCCGCGCATGGCGGCCGGAACTTCAAACTGCCTGCTAAATCCCGCCTCTTCGGTGCGGTCACATGGCTATCGATTGGATTCATGCTCCCGGCAACGCTAGGCACAGCGCTAGCGCAGCGTGAGCAAAACAAAGGCAAAGAAAGCAAGAGCCAGACGGTGCTATTCATCGGCGATGGGAGTCTGCAGATGACGGCGCAGGAGATCAGTGTGATGATCCGTGAGAAGCTGAATATCGTCATTTTCATTATCAATAACGACGGATACACCATTGAGCGGGTGATCCATGGACGCAAGCAGGTGTACAACGATGTCCCATACTGGAGACATGCGCAGGCGCTGAACTATTTCGGCGCTGATGAAGAGCATGTGGCCAAGAACACGTTTACGGCGCGGACTTGTGGCGAGTTGAAGGAGATATTGGCCAATGAGCAGATTCAGAATGGGTCTGGGGTGAGGCTTGTGGAGGTATTCATGGGCAGGGAGGATGTCCAGGGGGCTTTGCTGTATTTACTAAATAAGCAGCTTGATGAGGAGAAGAAAGCACAGCAGCAAGCATAGATTTAAAACGAGATATAGCTTGTTAGATAGAGAAAAGATATGTATATACATTTTACTACAATTTCCTTGAATAGCAGTTTTGATCAAATAGAATGATGTCTTACTATGATTATTGTGTGTTTCGCTCTTAGTACACGAGATAAGAAACCCTTGGAGGAACAAAATCAGGCCAAGTGAACGCCGATTCCCTATGCTCCAGATCCGCCATGCACACAGAAAGTAGAAGAAACGAAAAAGGAACGACCCGAAACATTGGAAAACAAACATCTGTTTGACATGTCACGAGGAATCTATAATTGATCTGTGTCGCCGAAAGAGGGTTGCTCTCATGTTGAATTATTTGCGGAAGCTTTCAACCCCCAGGGTTGGTGTTTCCACCATGCTATCAGTGGGCACACCCTCGTCACGACGACGGGCGAAAAAGCTATCGCATTCGGAGACAATGTGTGCCCACTCCGCAAGGGCACGACCGGCATATTTGCTAGGCACAAGATGGTCGTAAGAAGGCTGGGAAGGAATTTCGGGTAGTGGGGAGTTCCTGGTTGTTGGTGTTCGCGGCCAGGTATCTGATGTAGGTTGTGTAGGGGTATCTTGGTTGGTGAGGATTATTTCTGGTTCCTGTGCATCATTCTCGAAGTCGGACTGGCCGAGATTCTCTGATGCTGTGTCATAATCCGACTTGTCGGGAGAACGCCGATGCTCGATATGCGATTGCGATGCGACAGGGAGACAGGGGGTGAAAAGACGCTTGTTTTTAGTGGGCCATTGCGGACGATCCATCCATTCCAAGGAGAATTTGAAAAAGAATGGCTGGTGGGGAACTTTGGGGCGGGTGATCTCGTCCACATTGTTGGTCGGAGTGTGTTCGTGTTCATCCATACATTTGCTATCAGCAGTCATTGTTGGATCTGATACGCCATTCTCGGAATCATCAGAACTGCTGCTGCTGCTGACACCATCGCCGGAACGTGCATTAGAAGAGCTACCAAACATAGCCTTGAGTATCCCCCACCGCTTTTTAGGTGGTTGACCATCTGAGCCATTGGAGTCGGAAGATCCGGTTCGACGGTGTGACATGACTTGATCCGAAGGAACGGGGGGAACGACTCGGTCGAAGCTAACGAAGAGATTGACAGGAGACAGTTGGTTTTCGCATCGGATAATGATGATCCTTCGTCCTGGGGCCGGTGTACAAGGAGCAGAGGACAAAGGCGCTGTCATACCCTCCTCGGCCTTAGATTGGAACCCGACATAATACTCCCAAACTCGTAGGAGTCGATCTGAAAGAATTTCATAGGTGTTGGAGTCAAGTGGTGTGGTTTCAGTATTGAACCGCCCGACCCTCCAGCACAACAAACGATGGAAATAGGCTCGCACCATTGGACTCCAGTGAGTGAAGTAGTGATAGAATACCGGCTCATGTAACAAGAAATCCAGACAGATAGATGCCTTTCTTTCTTCTGTAGCAGTCCAGGTACCCCAGACGGAAAATAGAAAAGAAAACACTCGCACCTCAGTGAGCGAATTGTGGCTCTGCATCATTTGGCGACAGACATTGAGCCAAAAGCCCCAGTCAAACAGTTCCGTTTCAATGGATTGAGCGTAACGTGTGATAATTGGAATGACCTCCTCGAGAAAATCACACAACAAAAAGCATGCGTTATGATCAAATAGAGACATTTTCTGCGCCGCAGCTTTGATGATGCCACAAAATGATTCGGCAAAAAGTAATCGAGCACGATTCGGTTCCACGGACGATTCAGACAAGAGATCTCGAAGAAGGATGATCAAACGATTCTCCGCCATCGACCGATGAGTGTTGCTACCACTTCGGAGATGTTGGGTGGAGGCAGAGGCATCTGGTGACTCGATGAAATCATCAAAGGTGATTGCAGCAGCCGTGTGGGGATTGTCGGATCCCTGTTGTGCTGATTGCTTGTAGATTGTATCCTCCAGAACGCGTAGGAGTTGTGCATGTACTATCAACAACCCAGGTGCTAAAACCCGTTTCGCCTTTGCAGTTTCCGGAGGCAAATACTCGGCGTACAGAATGTGGACATATTTAACGAAGACAAAGAAGAGATCCGTGTCGCGGCCAGCCCAACGTGCGACCCAAGGACGATTCCAATTAATAGGAGTGGTGTTCAAGGGTAGCTCGGGTTTCTGGCGCAGATATCGCAGCAGAGGAGCCTGTGAGTGAAACGCTAGGGGACGGAGGGCCGGTGGGAAGCACATAGCAAGTTCTTGCGTGTATGCACGGATGTTTCCAGTGCGCGACTCATTCGATTCTGACAAAATGCGTCGGAACATGTGGGGAGGCGTGCACCACAGGCGGACTAGGATCTCTGGCACTCCGGGACAGAAGAAAAAGGCATACGCGCAGACCTTGCCGCAAAAAGCGACCAGGCTAGCTGGTGCATGTCTCATAGACATTCTTTCGACCACGAACGCCATTTGAGAGAGGAGATTTTGGATAAAGATGTTTCGAATGTTGTGATGAATTGATTCAACCAGGAAATCTGAACCCGATGAACCTGATCCATCTGATGTTTCCGATACCGAAGTTGACGCGTACTTCAACGAATCGGCAGGCCCACTGCCGTTCTGAGCCATAGGAAAGGGGATGCGCCATTCTGGCCGAGCCATGATTCCTACGATGGCTTCTAGAAATACTGGTCTGTCGGTTCCCGAGATCGACTGGTTATGCTTGCCATTGAGCATCTCCAACATCCCGATCCACCATTTGTTGAGAATATTGACTCGGCGATCCAGGTCTTCCGGTCTGAGGTTCTTGCATGAAGCGTGGAGCTGATGGCGGCTGAGAAAGGGGAGGAGCGAGGTACGGATGACGTTGGCTTTCAGCGAGCTAGATTTGGCTTGAAACCTGTTTCCTGGTCAGGAATTGTAATGTGAATGGCTAAGGTGGTTGTACAAACTTTTGGAAATCCGCCTCCAGGCCACGGAAGATACCCCAAAGCTCATCCTTCTTGCGTGTAGGTTCGGTACCGGAATTCGCATACGCTGCGGCAGTTTCTGCTGCTCCCTTGGGCATAGGTGGTAAGACCGGGGTCGAAACGGAGAGTGCTGCAGTGAACTTTTCGAATGAGGACCGGTGCCGTAGCGAATTTCCAGACGGACTACTTGGAGAGCCGGGGCTGTCCTCGGGGCCCTTGGCCACAACAGCCAACATCGGCCGGCGCGGGCGTTTGTAGAGGATTGTTCGTCTGCGGGAGGGGGGTTGAATCTGATCATCTTCTGCTTTTCGGCCACTGAATCGGGTTGGGGATTGGGAATCTTGCTGCTTAGATCTCTTCGCTGATGGGGACGGAGATCGGGAGGAAGAACCCCACGGTTTCCTCGCAAGGCTGACTATCCTCCCAGACATTGATCGGCTCTTAGATGGCCTCACAGCGGGCTCCGGAGCCCGTGTTTCGGGCACATTTGAGTCCGTATCCTTCAAATCCTCCGATGATGACAGTGTGAAACGTGAGACGGAGGCTGGCTTCGACTTGTCCTTGGAACGAAGGGAAGTTCGGCGGAGAATGTCCTTCCCGGCATCCACCGTTTCCTTTGTGGGGGACTCTGCCAAACTTGGAACAGCATAATCAGAAAATGTTCGTCTTAAGCTGGGTTCTGTGGTGGTTTGACTGGGAAGATCGGTGTAGCTGGCGGCACGAGAGAGCTTGGGTGTTTGGTCATCGTTCGTGTAGCTCGGTGTCTTGCGCGAGGGCGAAGACATTGTCTAGGGGATAAACGGGGGAGCAAATGGGGTATCGAGGGGATTTATTGGTTCATTTCCCCTTAAATCTCAGGATTCTGAGCGTAGAAGAGACCAGCTCCTCTGTGCACCAGGAGGAATAATGTCGAAGTAGTCAGGCACGCTGCATCTGGGGAAGATCAAACAACGAAGTTCCGACTGTGAAACAGATAGGTAATAGAGGAAGACCAGGAAATAACGGAGTTTTGGGGTGGATAGATCCGCTTAGAAGCTCTGATTCAGCAAGTGATCGACGGGGGGGGAATCTCCCCCAAGGGCCTTTGGGTCCGGGTGAAAGTGTGTGGGGAGTCTGACGGTAATAAGATCAAGGAAGAAAAGAAGAGATTGAAATAGTTCCAAGGGGCTGAATATAGAAAGTCTACTCGATTTTTATTTTTGGTTAATTAACTCGAGACATTTCAGCCTATTATCATCTCCATTATCTATAATACGAGCAATATGTACCTCACTTTATATTAAAATCCGACGTTTCTTTCTAGCTGAGACAAATCCAAGGCAACGGACTACCTATTTCCTTTTGACTCCACCTTTTTCTCTCTACTCCCGGACTTCCGTATAGCCATCGCGTAAGACTACCATCCACGGTGGTCAGCTCAAGTCCAGGGTCTCTTTGCATGCACCGAGTCTGATTTTTTTGAGGGACATTGGGCTCTTCAGTCCCAATTTCAAGGCCTTCGAAAGACCAATCGTGTCTCCTCCGGAACATAAACAGGGTAGAATTCACCGAGTGGGCTATGACAGCTGTACAATCGGTACTTCGTGGTTGGTACACATCTCGTATCTCATTCTTGGCCATGGAATGTCAGAATGTCGTGCCATGACCCTATCTCTCTACGGGGTTCATTTTCGCCTACCTGCAATGATTTTCCTAATAGATTAGAAGAATAACGTTGCTTTTCACAGGGTCAAATTATGCACTTTCACTATCATAAATCTATGCGGGGCGCTTAAATCGCCTTACCGAAATAGCCTTGTAAATGGCGTATGCCAGCTACCATATTTAGTGTCTTTTTTTTTTTTTTTTTCTTTTTCCCTGTGTCTGACAGTTCCTTGTGTTGGCACACATCGAGCCCTTGGCGAATGTTCTTATCGCGCCCCCTGAGAGCATTACAGTTGAACACTGGCTTGAAGACCGTAACAATCAAGAGAAGAATTCTGCTTCGTATTCCATTTTACTTTGGCTTTAGCTTTGCCCATCCCGGTTGATCCTCCAGGGGTACTCCGGATATCAAATTGGATGTGAACACAATGCTTGCATCTGATATCTCAATCCAGGGAGATTTGATACATCAGATCATAGTCCGGACTCCCATGAACTTCTGTTCGTCACTCCGTAGTTCCTTCATGCTGATCTATCGGCTGCAGTAGTGGATCCCAATAAGACTAATTAGTATGTACTAAAAGTTCCCTTAAATGGACAGCCATCCGTAAATCCTATGTATTTCCGTGGTCTGACCAGGCACGGCGTACTCCGTAACGGATGATTTATTTGGGCATGACAATAAGCCTGCATAAGCCATGCATAACACATTTTGTAAGCCAGCAAGCCCATCTCATGTTCCGATCAAGTTATCTGTTTGGTTCATCTAGTTTATGCACAAGCGATTCCCTCGACCGGATAAGATTGTGGACTAGACTCGGTATATGGAGTGCTAGGGAGTGATTACCCACAGCTCTTGTCATCATACTTAATCATGGATGGATATTCGCTATGTTCTACCTGTGCTGTGTACTCTATCACGTGGTCAATTGTGCAGGTCAGCAATCTAGATGATTCTACTCCGTATGTTCTATACACTTGTCCTTGAAATATTACGTCTGGGGGTTACAGATTCCGTTCCTGGTACTCAATCGAAAAGTTGAAGATAAAACAGATGACCTTAGTCCGCAGTGCGGCTGTTGCACCCACCAAAGACAGTATTTGGTATCAGCCACACCGCGTAGCCGTTCCAGCCTGACACACTTTACTCTTGAGTCCTGCTCTGGACGAACACATAAAAGGTGAGGATCAAGGTAAAAAAAGAAGTCTCAGTGTTCGAAAATGTGGTCTAATTTACAAGCTTCAGGACCTCGAGGGGCGGCCACATTAGTTGCGTCACAGGCATTTAAAACCAGCCTTCTCCCCATATTCCCCCAGACCTTGCTAAAGAAACAAGAAAGGAAAATTTAGTGGGCAGCGGGGGCCTCCTCTTCCTCCTCGAACCAGCTCTCCTCGACGGGGGCGGCCTCGCCAGCGGCGGCCTGGCCCTCGACCTCGACCTCCTGGCTCTCGTAAGCGGACAATTCGCTGGCGAGGTTGGCCTCCTCGGGAGACTTGGGGGCCTTGGGGGCGGTAAACTTCAGGACGTGCTCTTCGGCATCACCGGCCTTGAGAGGGGTAGGCTTGTAGGCCTTGAGCTCGCGGAGGTACAGGTCCTGGACGGGGTCGGCTGCGGCGAGTTGCGGGTTAGCGATGATGCGACCGATGGATATATCAGAGATATCTATTTCATATGGAAGATAGTCCCCGGGTAAAATACGTACCCTGGCGGACGGCGGAGGTCAGGAAAGTGCGGCGAGCGACCGAGACCTGTGCCCGAGAGGCACGGGAGAAGAGGGTGCGCTGCTTTCGCGTTAGTTGAAGGTGGATGTAGACAGTTATAAATCAAACAACACTCACCGAGGCCCGGAGAGACTGGGACATCATCTTGATTGAGGGTGAAGATGAGGAATGAGGGGTGGTTCTCAACAAAATAGATCTGATCCGTCTTTCCGTGAAGTTGGAGGTTCAAACGACTTCTGTTCGGAAAGGTGGCTTGGCAGATGACTCAGCCGGGCCATGTTGTTCCCGAATCTTTCCAGGACTCCAACACCTGTATTTTAGTATAGACATAAGTTATCAGCGATGTTCCTATTACTGATGGAGACTGGGTGTTTAGCTTGGATCCAAGCAAGGAAGCGTGACCCTAAGAGCAGAGGACACAATTCTCTGGACTTTCTATCTACGCAAATTCCCGAGACTACCCGTATCTGAGTATCTGAATCTGTTGACTTAAGTATTTTATCTTATCCGCAGGGTTCGAGGGAAGAGTCAAATCTAAGTCCAGTAGTCCTCTCTTTTCTTCGATCTGTGCACAGCATTTAACGAGAACAAAGAACAATTGTTTGTTATAGAACCCTGGAAAGCTTCCTATACTTCCTCGACCAATGGAACGTCATGTTTCACACGTGACTCACTTACTAATCCCGATCTGGACTGCGCCTTTCTCGGGTGTCGCCCGGTCGCCCATTGAAGCCTCACTTCATATCGTCTCCCTCCTCCACTCTCCCCCGGTCTCTGGCTTCTTCTGTCTCTCCTCCTCAGCCTGTCCCCATTTTCGTGAGAGACTTCTTGCGGAGACCTTGACTGGTTCAACACGGCTGGACAAGCTGAGGCGAGATTTCTGTTCTACTTTCGATCCAAGAAAGCACAGACTGGTGAAGGGTTTTCTACGACTGGGGGTGACTCCTTTGAATCCCGAGGGCGCTGGCCTGTGAAAGGTAATGGACGCTTCTTTGTTGAATACATCTTGGCACGACATTGTTAGAGGTCAAAGAACCAGATAACGTTGGATACGGGAGACAATGAATTTACCTTGGGCTGAGCTAACTTGACTGCGCACAACAGTGGCCGTGAGCGACTGAGGTTTTCATTTTCGACCTTTTCCCTTGCTGAGGGATCCTCTGCAGGTGGCCCGCTTTCGTTTTCCTCGCTACAACCGCCAAGCTGTATTCGCCACTTTTCCTTCGCTATTATAATCGAAAATACCAACTTCCCCGTATAGCGCCAAAAGCCCTTGCACGACGCTGCCACGCTCGATACGCAAGTTACTTGAAAACTCACAATATGGCTACTTCTACTCTTGCGAAACCCGAGGTTGCGGCTCCTTGGAAGAAAAACCTGTCCGCCCATCTCGTGTGCCCCGAATGTAAAGAGGATCCTCCGAACCTGGAATTTCCAGACTCCCACGAGACAGTCTGCGGTTCCTGTGGACTTGTGCTCGCAGATCGTGAGATCGACCTGCACTCTGAATGGCGTACCTTCTCCAACGACGATCAGAATAATGACGACCCCTCTCGTGTCGGAGACGCCTCGAACCCTCTACTCAATGGCGCTCAGCTGGAGACTTCCATCGCAAGTGGAGGCTCTGGCCGTGCCCGCGACCTGTACCGCGCGCAAAACAAGCAGTCGGGCGAGAAAGCGAACAAGGCTCTTCTGGCAGCTTACAAAGAAATCGGTGCTCTTTGCGACGGTTTCAACATCCAGAAGACCGTCGCCGATACTGCCAAGTATCTATTCAAGATGGTCGACGACGCCAAAGCCTTCAAGGGCAAGTCACAGGAAGTCATTATTGCTGGCTGCATCTTCATCGCATGCCGTCAGTGCAAGGTTCCTCGTACTTTCACCGAGATCTTCGCAGTGACCAAGGTCACCCGAAAGGAAATTGGGCGCATCTATAAAGCTTTGGAGAAATTTTTCACTACCCAAAATGTCGAGCGCCACAATGCTGCTTTGGAGAATGGCGAAACTCACGACTCTGCTGGCGATTACAACGCGACTACTTCAACCAAGCCAAGTGATCTGTGCAATCGTTTCTGCAACCTTCTCGACCTTCCTTACCAGGTCACCAGTGTTTCTGTTTCCCTCTCAGACCGCGTTACCGCCATGGGCGATTTGGCCGGACGTTCCCCCTGTCTATTGTCGCGGCTTGTATCTACATGGCGTCGTTCCTTATGGGCCATGGCAAGTCTGCCAAGGAGATTTCCCAGGTCGCACACGTTAGCGATGGAACTATTCGTGGTGCTTACAAGCAATTGTACGCGGAACGTGAGCGCCTCGTTGACCCTGAATGGATCAAGGGTGGCAAGGGTGATATGGGCAAATTGCCTGTGAGCTGAACAGTACATCGAATGCAACATTTTTTTCGGACATATTTTATGGCATGGCCAATCTGCCTGTGTGTGGAGAAATTTTATCAAAGAAAAAGAAAGAAAAAAAAAAAACAATTATCAACATCTGCTGTCTGAGGCAGATGGATGTCTTTTGAAACGTTTTCATATTAACTCTCGTGCTTAGGATTTTATCGAACACGCCTGCGGGCTCTATTGATTTGTACATCATGGATAGTAGTAGATTGAGTAACCAAACAATCATTGCCATGACATTGATCCACGTAGATGCAGCCTAAAGCCTACTCTTCACCTGGCCATTTGGGTACCCCCATGTGGCCTGTCATTTCAGGCTTGTAAGGAAACCAAGTAATTTCTGCAACTCTTGTCAAGTGTCTTTTCAGATGTATATTAAAGCGGTAGAAATCATAAGTCGACCAAAGGACTGTCCTGTATACAGACTTGGGTTGTTTGAGTAGAGAAACAACCCCAGGGGACGTAAAACACAAAGCACACACAATCAAATATGAAACATAGGTGGACCCTTTGCAGCGCCTGAACACAAAAAGCCCATAAAAATGATGAACCAGCACCATCTCACAACCTAGCAAATCATAGCAGACATATCACCGGCAAAGCAGAATACCTATTTCTTGAAAGCAGCTTCAACTGTGCCATCATCCTTGGCATGGTTGAACGGTTTATCATACCGCTCCTCCATCTCTCGATTGTGCTTCTTCACATCCTCGGGAAGGTCCTTTTTGGGATTCCCTTCTTTGTCTATAACAGGTGACCGCTCTCCCTCGTGGAGGGTGGGCTTTGCCTTGTTGGAGGGGATCGGGCGGTTGGCCGAGTCTGGTTGGTTGGTTGTGGCTTGCTCGGGGTCATTGGAGGATTTGGTCGCATAGCTTCGGTATAGGGAGGTGCGAGGTGCCTGGGAACGTGCTCCGGAGAGAGCTGTAATTGGGGATCGGGCCTGGAATGGGGTCTTTAGGCGCAAGAAGGTCGTCATCTTGGAGGTTAGGGACTGGATGTCTTTTGGGGGATATTGTAGGAAGATGAATATGGAAAACCAGTGGAATTGACTTCCTATATATATAAGTTCCCTATGAAATCAGGTTTCTGGGATTGGCGAGATCATCTTGCGATGACGCACTCCGATGTCATACCCGTGGACGTGGCTACACGCCAAGAGTTTCCGCAACTTTATATCTATTTTTACCATTTTGGAAGATATCGGATCTATATGGAAGCTTCTATCTACGGCACTTGTCTTTCGAATGTTACTCCCATACTCCCACTGGTGCGAATATATAGAAGACACCTATAGAGGATGAGGAGCCCAAATAGAAATCAGGTTTCAAACAGCATCGCTGCTTGTACATTGGTCCATCGTATCTCAAGTCATACAGAGTGGTAAAGCTCAATTTAAGAATAATTAAGTCCTGCTATGCAAGATGGAGCAACCAGAAAGAACAAACGAGCGTAATGTAGACCGACCAATCACTAGTACCGGAATAACAATAACAACATTTGGTCATCTTTGTATCTAACCAAAGTCCTTCGAGGCGAGATCAGAGCATGCAACCAGTCTGACTTTCGCCTTCAAACCCCATAAACACTGATTTCGCCCAATGAATTCGATTCCACCACGCAAAGAACGTTGAGAACAGACCAACGCTCAATGCCCAAAAGAATAATCGAATAGACAGAAGTAAAAAAATGAAATCCCCCCTGAGTAGCGTAGTTCAGCATTACACCAAACTGGTGCTTGCAATCATACAATGTATGAGGTTTGATGCATAGTTAGCATCGATGAGCTCTGGAGTCGGAGTGATTCTTTCCAAATCTCTTCGGCTGCAATCACTGGCCTTTCCTACTCAATCTGAGGTTAAATCCAGTGGCTACCCAGAAGAACCACCCTCACAAGTAGTGGACTCGTCGGTGTTGGACAAATCGTGATGCTGTTCCTTCCGATCAAGCTGCGACTCATAAAATGGATCCCGTTGACCGAGTACTGTCTCTTTTCGACGAAATTGAGGCGGAGGGACCTTCTTGTGCGACCTCTGATCCTTTCGCTTTGGGCTTGGGGAATTTGTCTGCCCTGGGTGGAGATGAAATGGGGCATTTGAGTTACCCACAGGGTTGCTCGGGATTCGAAGTTGTAGTTGGGGTTGTGACCGAGGTTGCTGCTGCGCCGATTCCTGGAATGACTTGGGGTGGGCTTCCTGGAGGGCTGGCTGCTGTTCTTCCGACGTCTCGGAAGCCAGACCGGGACGATCCAACATAATTTGAGGGGAATGATCCTGAATCATAGATTCAGTAACAGGAAATGTGTGTTCGAACGCCGTATCCAGCAGGTCCTTGTCAGCGTCTGTTAGGTTCTGCGATTTCATCTTTCGCCTTAGCCGCTCTCGCTCAGAGCTTATCATTCGCTCGCGATGTCGATCAGACAGATCAATTGACCGCCGAGAGTGGCGCGTTTCTGGTAGATAGCTTGTGGCTGTTGGTGAAAGCTCACATATCCTTGCACGAGAAGGCTGCTTAGGAGCCCGCTGAGGAGTTTGCTGGGGTGACTTGGTTCCAACTGAGGGTCTTTTTGGTGGTGTAGGGTCCTGATTTGGTTTTTGGGGTACCACAGATGGCGTAGCAGGTCTGAAATCCGACACAGAGAGCTGCCTCTGCAGTTCATCGGCACCGGTGGTATAGATGCCGTTGAAGATTAATGGGACCAGCTTCGGTGGGATACCGGTACGGAGGGCATCCGACAACATTGACTGCTCGATACGCCGCTTCTCCAGCATTAAGTTAGCCTGTTGCGTCATTTCTTCTTGCTGCTTGTGCCGGTCTTCTTCAATCTTGGCGTGAAGCCATATCTTCATGTCTTCTGTACCTTCCCATGCAGCAGGTAGCGGGGGTAGGGAAGTTGACACAGACGGTGAAGTTGGCAGGCGATCGAGCTCAGATGGCGGGATCCGATCTCTGGATGAGCTCACTATGGAATGAGAGGTTGGGTATTCCTCTGTTGAAGACCGAGGCAGTAGTCTTGGGGGAGAGGGGATCGTTGTTTCGGCAGACTCATGGAGGTCCTTGGTCCCGTTCATGCACTTTGCGGGTTCTGAGTTGCGCTTCATATTGACGGGCAACATGTGGAATGCGTAGAAACTTGAGATGGTAGAGAAAGACACGATTTAGGTTACAAAGTTATGCGAAGTAGAAAGAGAGAAGACACCCACGTAGGGAGTGAAATGCTCTTTCCAAACTTGGGTCAAACCGTTGCCTCATCAAGATGTCTACGTGTCTGTCTATTCCAATTAAGAATTTGGGAAACAGGACTTTCAAAATGGCGTCAAAAGGAGCCCTTTTCGGCGCCCAATTTACCGTTACCTAGCGTTGTGGTGTAACATGAAGATAGATCTGAAGGTACGGAGTAGAAAAAGCAGAAATCAGGATGCAACATTTCAATCTCTTCTTTTTGATCTACGTGTATTTTCTGGAGTTCGTAAATGTGTAGGCATCTTTTTCTTTTCGGTTGATACGAATCCCAACTACCAATATCAGTCTACAGTGGCAGTGGACCATACTATGCATGGAAGAGTCATTTAAAGTATATACTGGGCGCATCGGCAGATGCCCACATCGAAGCCATATCTAGCATATCCCAAGCAAGAAAAGAAAAAAAAGGCGTAAAGGGTATCCTATCGCTTTATTCGCCATCTTCAAACAGCGATATCCCAGCGATGGTGGCAGGTCGTACCATCAAGCATCAAAGCTGGGGGAGAAGCAAAGAAAAAGCACTCATACTGCCGTGTTTATTTTATACGTCGCCACGATCGAGTCGAATCAGAACCTCGGGCGGAACTGTGGGAATGTACTTGCGGGCTCGTTCGCGATTCGTGCCACCAAAGCCAGCGCCGTAGCTGACCAGCATGTCTGTACTAGTTGGAAGGGAGAAGGGGAGGAAGAGAGTGGGGTCGAGGAAGACACTATTGCCGCTACCGGGGCGCTCTTCATTCTTGGCTGCGACCATACTTGTCGGTCGAGATGATACAGCAGCAGAGCCTGAGGATGGCCCAGTATCGGGAGATCTGGGTGCTGCGGGTTGGTCCTTTGGTGGTGTCTTTGGACGGGCTGCTGCTGCTGCTGCTGCTGCTGATGCTTGAGGCCCTGGTCCAGCTTCTGCCTTTGCCTTCTCTTCTTGAATTTCCATTTGTTCGCGGTATAGAAGCTCGGGGTCATTTTGTATGCCGAGAAGGAACTTCATTGCTTGCTTAGTCAGGCCTTTCTCGCCTACTTCTGGGCGGTATGATTTGACTGCATGCAGAAGCTGGGCGGGAGTGAGTTGTTGGAGTTGAAGCAGAGTGGTTACGAGAGATTCGTGGTCCTCGCCGAGCGAAGAGAAGCATTGCAGCCATTGGAGGAGTTGAATGACCGCGGCCAAATGTCGACGAGCGGCGTCTATTGTAGACTCTCCGGTGCTAGTTGTGGATCCATTTTCGTAATGTTCTGGGACACGGTTGTTTGTGCGTGCCCAATCCTCTAATGCTGAAACGTTCATACGGATCTGCATCGCCTTCGTGCGCGCCAAGTAACGTTTCGTGCTCATGATTCGGTTAAAGATCTCGGCACTGAGCCAGTAGAGAAGTTGGGAGAGGATTTGGGTCGTGATCACTGAATGAACATCATAGAGATCAAGTACAAAGAGGGTTGAGGATAGTAAAGAGGTAATGTTCCGAGGTGAGATTTGTGCTCGTCGCCGCGGTGAAGGAGGCCGGAATCGCTTTTCGTCAGGCTCGGGGGTTTTGCTCTTGTTTTTGCGGAACAGATTCCATTCGTTTTGGAAGGCCACATCTTCCAGTCCAGGGATGGTCTCATGGTCCAGCATTGCCGCATCCAGGACTTTGTTCATTCGACGCTCGGCGTCACGAATAATGAGAACGAATATTTCGTTGATCAGCTCTGCCAAATGGAGTTGAAACTCGACCGTAGATTCTACTAAACCCCCGTCTTTCTTCAGGTAATGAAGCAGAAGTGTAGCATTTGACAGCCAAAAGGCCTGCATTGTCATATCCCATTGGTAACGTTCTACGACGTCATTGATCTTCTCCATCGCAGAAGATAGAAGGGTTGTGAGGAGCTCAGGGCTGGCATGATAGTGCGCATAACGAGCGCTGAGGAAGAGAAGATTTGCAGGCACTGGCTTTTGGGAAGGAGACCGCTGGGGGGTCATGTTGGTGATGATCATGTCCAAAATGCGCTCTAGCTCATGCTCCTGGAAGACAAACATCTGATCATTCAGACACTTGTCCCAGACAAATTCCTGCTGATCTTCCTCAAGCTCATCATCATCGGACGGCTGTAAGGTGAAAAACCTCCCAATTAGTCAATGTCAAACCCTCATTCTCACCACAAGAACTAACCTCGAATTTCTCGTCAAGCCCTAGACTGGACAAATCGACCTCCAGATTGATTGCGCTCTCTTCCATCATCATTCGCCGCTTCATCTCGCTCTCAGCCAGCTCTTCTTCGAAACGACCATGCGCCAACCCAGCGTCATAGAAGTCATCATCGATATTAGTAGACCCAAAGCTGTAACCGTTTTCATGCAAATATTCAGATATCTCACTGCCGGGCTGGGCAAAATCAAAGGCCCTACCGCCGGACGACGACTTGATATCCGGTGATGCCCCGTTATCAAGAAGAATCTTTGCTATCGTCTTGTGTCTGTTGGTCATGGCCCACATCAACGCGCTCCACTGGTTACGATCCTGTCTGTCGACGAAGGCACCGGCGTCAATGAGCGCAGCAACGACTTCTTGGTGACCCTATTCTCGGCCGTCAGCATCGCATCAATGTTCTACCTATAATAGCAACCCACAAAACAACTAGCATAGATCAACGGCACAGTCCCCTCCTCATCAGGCTTATTGACATCGACGTAAGTCCTCGCTTGGCCCTGGACCAGTTTCCGCACACGATCCACATCGCCATTACTGGCCGCCATGTTCAAGCTCTTCTGGAGGATATCGCGTTTCTCATCGTCGGTCAATTTCTCGTCGGCGGCAATTGTCTCTTCGTCTGCGGTGAGCGAATCCACCTCCCGATGGGCAGCTTGGGCAGCAAGCATCTCCATCAGTCGGGCGTCACTATCTTCAATATCGCGCCCATAATGAGCCCGCAATTCGTGCTCATTGTCGTGCGAGTGATCGTCGAGGGCTAAGCTGAAGGATAAGGGTTTTGCGGCGACGGGCGCGGTCAGGTATTGTGATTGACCTATGACAGATTCAACGATTAGACCTTGGTGCTTGACAGTAACTAAGCCGGTGATGTTTCCGATCTGTAACCAATGAAGGGGATATAGTTTGGTCTCCCGCGTCGGGGAAACGGGGTAATAGTTCCGCGCACATAAGAGCACTCACCTTGCCAAGCATCGTACATCTCAGTCTCCGGTTGGAAGACCGGGACGGAGCGACGATCGTCCAGTGATTTGGGCAAGTCATCTGGAAGTTCCTGTTTAGCTTCGTGGAAGGACGCGGGACTGTGTTCGCTGTAGTCATTGGAGTCGATGGAGTCCTCTGAAGCCCCGCGCCGCGGTTCGGTCGTGTCCATCGTGGCGGGCTGGCGGTCTGATAGAGTTGCGGGACATCAAAGAGCTGAAATTCTGGAGAAGACTGAGGAACCCTCTCTGGGGATATGTTCTGTAAGGAGCGCACCCTCCACACGTGGGAATCAGTTGTTGGAGGGAGATGGTGGTGATGAATAGGTGGTGGATTTGGTGTTCCGTCCCTAGACCAGCTCCCGCGATGCGACCCCGAAGACCCCGGAGAGATGACGCAGCTTTCTATTTCCTTCGTATGGATTGTATTTTGGGCAATACGACGGCCAATTTTCAATATATAATTGAGTAGTGATCTTTATCTCTCCTACTGAGAACGTGGCTCTTTGGTGAAATTCGCGAACATACCCCTATTCACCTATAAACATGTTTCTTTTCGAATCCTGGCTTGTTCACCATATGCCATTGTATGATAGTATGGTCTGTGATGCTACGTATATCTTATAGCTTCACTTAAGGAGAATGGTATTACAATTAGGGCAAATATTTCAGGGACCAGGTAGATTTGAGTACTGCGATTGTAGGGCCGCCTGTCACGGCCAGTAATGGTACGTTCTACTGCGCTACTCGGGAGGCATGTTTTGGGCAATGAGAAATTTCGCAACATATTTTCTACTGTTCTGGCTAGGATCTGACTTCATTGATGACTTTTTCGCTGGAGAAGTCTAACACATGCGTAAACTGCCACCAAGACCGTCTGGAAGCAATCTTGCAATCCAGACTTTGGCCGTCATCTACTCCTTACCCTGGGCTCGAGCATCCCACGCACCTTCACTCGCCGTTGTCAATATAATCTTACCAATCTCCTCAACGTCCTCCAGTTTTTTCATCCAGAAATTCCACCGATCCATGCTCATTGGCCCCGCCGTCCAAAGCCTCCCCTCTCTCTCCAACGCCCAGGACTCCTCACCTTTCTTCGCGCCCTCTCTGAGTCTTTCCCCAGCTATCTTAATCCACACCGCCGCAGCAGGTACCTCAAAGTCCCAAACTGCATCTTGGCATTCGAGTGCCTCGGAGATGCACTCGTAGCCCCAATCTAGTGGCAAGAGCCCATCTTTAGCATTCGGTCCTGGAGCGGCCATTGCACAAGATGCCTCCACAAAAGCCTGGTGCACATGGGCATGGCGTCTCTCCGCTCTTGTGGCTGGATCCCGCGTTGCCAAAGCTTCGCGCCAGTGGCCCTGCTTCCATCCATCTGACCACGAGTGGCCGAAACTTTTCAGGCCTGTCCAGACTGGGTCGCCGCCCTCTTCGTCTGGTAGCAGGCTAAATTCCTTTAGCAGGTCGACGAGGGCAGGCGTGTGGCTTTTGGGCATCTCAAAAAGTGCGTCTTCGATCATGCTTAATACGCGGTCTCGCAGGTCAGTCTTCTTCTCTGAGTCATGGGGCTTGGTCATGGCGGCAGCTGTCTCAGATGGCTTGAGGTCGCCGTTTAGGTACGCTTGGAGAGCCGCAGCTTGATAGGGATGCGCCCCGGTCTCTTCCTCGCCGTCCATTGGTGCAGTGTGTTGTTCGAACCAAGCGTCGTCGGCGACGGAGCCGAAGCCATCGAGGTCGACCGATTTGCACGTCAATCCTTGAATACTAGTGTTCATGATAACGAAGAATGAATTTTTGGTCTTTGGTGACTGTTTGAGAGACCGAAAGTCACTATGCACCACTGCTAGAATGGGTGATGGTTGTGTTATGTTCGAGGAAAGAAAGTGCAAAATGGTCGCAATATCGCAACCTTCGAAGTGGCAACTTGGCAGAACCCTGAACTAGACACGACTACACGATCGATGTGCAGTATACCTTTGATGCTGTGATAGTAGCCATGTGCCGAGAGTGATATCATCAGCCTTGGAGGTGGCCAATGACTGATATGCCACCCAGGAACGCCCCCAGGGCCACCTGGCAGACAAGAAGTTGACAAATAAGAGCTGCACCGAAGATAGCGAAATGCCCTGACATCACAACTTGTTTAGTCTAGCCGCTATTCATAGCGGCATTTACTATCATCCTTTCTCGGCTTGATGAATATTTAGCGAACTTGAGAAGTCTCTTTGAACAAGATAGCTAAAATCGTGCTGATCTCAGACTTTGCGGGGCCGCTTAATCCCGTCGACCGGGTGGCATCTGGGGCCGAAACACATCGAGTGGTTACATGGGGCTTATATCCAAGTGCAATCACCAACCCGGATTTTCATATTCATTTGGGCGCGGGGGCAGGGTTGTATCCATGCCAGTAATATATTTAAAATAACAAAGCTGCCGGCGGTACTTTTCGCCATCGTTACGAAGAGAAGGCACAACTACAAGTATTTAGGTGATTGATATGAATGACATTCATCTGCAGAAACGCTTCAACTATATTGTTATCCATCAAAGAGGCATATATCACAACCACGCTCTGATGCAAAAGGAATCACCCAAATTCCACAAGGTATAGCTGTGATTGTGAGGGCAGAACACAACTAACTAGATATAAAGAACATAGCGATAGCAGTATGGAGTGAACCAAGAGCCAGATAACTGACTCAGATAGGCTTGGACTAGCAGGGAGCACTGGCCCACGGAGTTACCGCTGCCATTTCGAGTCGACGAGGAGTACAAAGGATTGCATGGTGGGCGATATCACTAGACTGGTAGATGAAAATATGATGATGCTAAGGAGCGAACAGTGAACCGTATAAGCAACTTTGACAGATTGGGAATGGCACCCCCGGCCATGAAGTTACCGCCACGATTCCTGAAATGTTTTGACGTCGACCAATGTGAAATACTCCGGGCAGGCAGACCAAGGTATGCATGGTGAGGGCTCTCATTGGACTGGCAGGGATCAAAAATTGATGGCAGCGCTGGAGAGTGAACCGCAAACGAAGCTATCGATTCTGGCAGACTGAGAATGGCTGGAATGTTCATGGTGATTGTTGTCATTATGGACTGGCTGGCACATATATAGAATGAAATGGTGACGATAGCTGGAGAGCGAACTGTGAACCGCGTGAACAATTCCAGCGGGTTGGATGTAGAAACGCCTGGGCATTTCCGAAATGCTTGAACGCTGACATGGTTCAATGCGATCATGGCTGGGATGGCCAAGGTATGTACAAAAATTGGTGTTATTATGGAGTAGCAGATCCCAGCCATGTAAAGACAGACGGTCCTATCATGGGGATAGGACGGTTCAACGCCAACAAGACAAAAAAAAATCCAAAACGAAAGATCTTAACCAGATGCAAGTATTGATACAAAATGGCAGAGGGATAAAGCAGCCTCTGGAAATGGGGTATAAACTATCCAATCACGGATGTGAAGATTGTACAAAATTGGATATAGAGATGCAACCAAAAGGGCGAAGGAAAGGGGGGGAACGAGAGATTATTCAAGTGCTTTACTGCGAGATTGAATTTCGTCTTCAGGAAGACATGCAATCCACAAGCACCGTTCGATAATGCCCTGCACGGGCTCGAACTTATATTTGGTACTGGCATCGATGAGACGGAGGAGGCTCTTAACGATTCGTGCTGCGGTACGATAGCGCTCGAAGTTGACAAGTAACCCACCGCTAGTGCTGTTAACTTGCGCGGGTTTCTGTGCATTGTAAGTGAGATCGTGGACGTATAGGCCTGGAAACAAGAAAAGAAAATCAGCAAACAAGACCTAGCGCGATGTTCAAGTAAATGATTTTGAAACTTACCGATGAATGGAATGCAGCCTTCTTGCAAGCTGGCCGTCTCCATCTCGACACGCAAATCATGAAAATTGCGCACCGGCTGTATAAGACACTCCATATCCTTAAACAGCCGCTTATCTTCAATTGAAATCAACTGCCATGTACTCTGCAGTCGGGAGCAATCAGACGAAGACAAAGCAATGGCGATTTGAAGCATTGTGGCGTAATTGCAGATGCGGCGTGCATGCGCAGCTGTATGTATGTACTTGACAATTGTGCGGGCCCGCTCGTTGATGTCACGGGTCAAAACAATCTCGGACAAGATCCATTTGACCATAAGGTTGAAACGGCCGACGACCAAATCGATACCCTTGCGTTCCTCGTACGTCAAGAACTGGACCCAGTTTGTGACCAATGGGCAGGCACTGCTCCATTTCATCTCGACCAGATCTCGCCAGTCGACCTCGCTCAGAGCGGCCATTTCGATTAATGTCAGTTGGTGTGCAAGGACCTGGGATTCACATGCTAGAATGAAGGGTACATGGTCGGGTAAAAGGTTGATGATGGGGTCCTGCTCTGTACGATTGTTTTCTGAGTTGAATAACACGTCACTCGAAACCTGTTGTATGTTTAGAGGACGCGAAGCAGATATGCCCGTTTCCTTGTGTCGCGGGGATGTGTCCGGCGTAAGGGGCTGGGCCTGGAACAAGACTGTGTTCAACGGCGAAGGATGGGAAGTGAAAGAGCCCGGGTGTTGGATGGTCATCGGCGGGGAGGGAGGTTGCGCCAGAGGATGAGGCGCGATCTCCACAGTTGATGAATTGAGGCTGTGGGTGTCAGTCGAAATTCTTGCATCCATGGCTTCATGCGGATGAATGAGGTCGAGCGACATTTCTGAAGACAAAGCTGAGAAGCGCTTCGGGGTAAGCTGGCCAGCATCATGAGTAGCTGAGGTCGGGATGGTTGCGCCACGAGGAATGCGACGCATGCTGTCGGTTTCATGCACAATTTGAATTGAGGGGTGTGACGAGGCAGGTTCAGAAGTTTCATGGCTTGAAAAGAGGGTGAGCGGAGCACCCTGCGAGTCCTGTCGGAATGGTTGGCTTGTAGGCTGGCATTTCATGGATTCGTCAGTCAATCCTCTTTCAAGGAGTGGAATAGAGTTGTAAGACTCCTCGGACTCGGTAACAGAATCAGAATAGGGTCTAGGTGGCGCCAATCGCCCGCCAACTGTGGAATACGCGGATTTGTCCGTCTGTCGCCTGCGAGAGAGAACCTCCCACGTAGGCTTGGCCGTTTCGAGGTCATGAACAAGCAAAGGCTGTTCTCGGTGAGAGTGAGTCTCTTCTGCTTGTGCGGACGAAGAATCCCGATTGGCTCTGGGTGGTCCATCCCACTTTCCCTCCAGCTTCAACAGTGTTGACTCAATACCACCGTCGTCGTCATCAGGAATCTGTGCAAACTTCGCAATAACTGACTCAAAGGAACGTCTATTTTGCTGGGAAGTGCGCGGCTGGATAAGTGAGTACCGGGGATTCGGAGGGATCAACGTTGAAGGAGGTCTTGAAGCACCGCCATCAGAGGGGGCCGTTTCGTCCACGACTGAGCTATCCCAAGACGCAAACGAGTCACGGTAGGAAGGAGGCTCGATCTCACCTCCACTCTGCATTTGACGTAAGTTTCCACCTCGGCGCCTGCGAAGAACCGGTCCCGGCTGTTTTTTGTTCTGATCTCGAAGCACATTGGAGTCAATAGTTGATTTAGCCGTCTCACTGTTCATCGAATACCGCTGTCTTGAGATTCCGCTTTGGAAGGATGCATACTTTCTCAATCGGAGGGATAGAGAATTCTTCTTTTTGATAGACATCGATCCACGTTCGACCGATGACGATCTCTGCGGCGTGACAGGGCGAAGGGGATAGAATACGTTTGATTGAGCAGCTGATTCTGATTCGTCGGCATTGTAACAGACTGGCCGAAGAAACTCTCCTTCCACGGGTATCGATTGCGTTGAGGCGTCATCGGGCACCTCATGTTCTGATATTTCATAATTGTAATCATCGACAGTTGGCATTGATTCGTGTGCTGCCGCCCCTGATCCGAAGGGCATTTCGAAACCAGTATCATCGACAATGATGATCGATTCGCTTCCCATGGTGATACCGCTCCTGAGTTTGAGGTCGGAATTAGGATTTTGCATCGGCAAAAGATCAGAATTGCTGGATACAAGCTCCTGTAGGGCCCCTTGATGACAGTCAGACGCAGCTGGTGGCTGAGTTTGGTCTTTCATTCCTCCCTGGCTCATAGCCAAGCGGTATTGTTTGAGGACCTCATCACACAGTACATCAATCCGACCTGGATATTTGGGAACAGCAGCCATTTTCCTCTCCCGGTAGAACTCAGAGCCAAAAGCCAGTCCAGTTGGCATTGCAGATGTCTTCCCGCGAGAAGGCAATGAGATGGCCTCGGGGGCATTCGCGATGCGAGCGGAGACACTTTGTCCACCATTCCTCGTGTGCAATGCTCGTTTGATTGAGCCAATGATCGTTCTCATACCTGAATTAGGTGACGACTTGGGGACGTCGGGCGTACTCCGACGATCCGGATTCGGGTTCTTCAACGGCGGAGGAAGGGGTGGCGATTCCGGTGCCATCATAGTCATGTACGACTCTGCAGGGGGGTACATCTCTCCGCGTATTAAACTAGCCGTACCGAGTATATCTTGTGGTGCGTATCCTGTTTCGGGCTCCATCGCAAACATCGGAAGTCGATCATCTCGCACCGAATCCGAAAAGCTTCCGCTTCTTTTATGGCTATGGCCGTGATATGGGTGCCGCGAGACCTTGGGAGATACGGGTGATCTAGGTGGCTCATGAGTCCCGGGCTGAGACTTGGATTTTGGCATGCCCAATACCACAGGGCGGGGCGCCTTGCTTTTTGAGGCAGACATGGATAAGCGCTTGGGTGATTTAGGTGGTAATGAACATGAAAGCGCCATCAAGCTTTGCTCACTTTTGGCGGAAAATGGAACGCTTTGTGTAGTTGCTGCAGAATCATTTCGATCATGTCGTACAGGGAAAGGGAGACTTTCGCGAAAGGTGGTGTCTGCACGGGGCGTCATACCATGAATAGGCACAGTTCGCTGCAGTTCCTCGGCTTTGGATAGCTCAGTCTGGGTATCTCCAGGTATAATTGGAATTTCTGGGTCGTTATAGGCGCGGGACAAGTCTGTGGAAGACCAATAAGCCGAACACTTGCCATTCCAGCAACGCTTCAAGTCAATGAGAATCTTCCGATCACTCGTGCCACCATTTTGTCGAGACCTGACCTCTGAGTATAGCTTATTGATAGTATCGCAGAAGTGGGTCCGGAGCTCGTAATTCGTAGCAAAGTCATCAATGAAGTAATTGAGAATCCAATGTCGCAAAGCCGCAAATGTGCGGATCCTGATAACACGTCCATCATCTTGTAACCGATTGATTGCCCACTTTAAGCGCGCAAGAAGAAGAGCCAAAAGGTGTGTTGTGGACAGGTATGAACGGAAGGTAAGGAAGAAGTCTGATACTAGTTCGTAGTCCATGAATGATTCGGAGGAGATTTGGGCAACAATTCGGGCAGGCGTGGCAGCACTGATATCCTTTGTCCCAGTGATGTATCGGACAACAGACCCGTCATCCATATCATACACCAGTGCTTCATAGATAGATGGCTCAACCGGCTCCTTCAATTCATAGACCATAGAATTCCTTGGAATTGGTGACGCTCGACTCATATCCATAGCCGCCGCGGTGCCCGAGAACATTGAAATTGCAAAGGATGGCCTGTGTCGCGAGAAAGAGTCTCGGGGATATGGACTATGAAGTCCCGGCAGAGTGTCTGCCATGCCTCCAAGTAGTGTTGAATTTCGAAAGTTGTCCGACATCGAGGTTCGCGTGTAGACAGAACTCTGCATAATTGCACTGCCTTCGGCGTTGAATCGCGGGGACCCGAGCCGATAACGCGGAATAGGAACCTCCAAGGCTGGTGTCGAATTGTCATGTGCAGACTTGGGCCGATCTTCAGATCTATCGATCACGATCCGCAGCTCTCCACGCTTCCCAGCACCGGCTATCGATTGCTGCTCCGATATTGTCGAGAACGAGATGGGTCTCGTGCGGTGCTGGCTGGAGAGTTCGGGGGAGCAGGCACGGAGGGGACAGACTCGGGATCTTCGGGTTGCTCGCGTGGACGTAACTCAGAGAGCTGCGAGCTCGACCACCTGGATGGATCTGGATCCTCGCGGGCATGTGCATGAGGCTGCGGCTGAAGAAGACTGGATTTTGCGGTATCGACTGGAGAGAAGGATGTAGGCTGTGGGCTTTTTCGGGGCGGATTGGCAATCGGCCTAAGTTATTGAAATAGGTCTACTATCAGCAGGCTGCACAGTATGTGACACAGCAAGAATCATGAGTGTACCTGAGAAATATTTTGCCATTTTGCCCAACACTTCTTACAGTGAAATGACCGGCCTTCCTCCCGGGTGATCGCGCCTCTAGCGGTCCACGATGTGTTTGGGACCGCTGTAAGTTGTTCTGCCGTAGGAGCTCATGGCTATCCTTGGTGTTTATCCCAGTTGCTCTCTCGCGTGTTGCCTTCAATTCTAGGTTCCGCTTGATATTGCCGCTCTGGGCTACGGTGTTGGCACGGCGAAGATTCGAAATTGTAGGCCCACTAGACATTCGGTTTGAGGCTGACAGTTCATTGATTTGGACTTGCGGGCCCAAAAAGGCATCCTTGAACTCATGTGGAAAGGGCTCCATGACGCGAAAGCTATAGGAACACCCGTCGCGACGGGGCCCTTGAACAAAAGCATATAAAATCCTAGGTAAGAAAAGAAAAGACAGCTGTTGTGGAGATGACCCGACGCGGCGGGAACGGAAGAACAGGAACTGGGAACGCTGGGTCCAATGTGTTTGGGAAATTTCCCCCTTTTACCGCTTTTCCTTATGGTATGTAATCCGTCGTTTTTATTTAGATTAAATCGCAAGTTGCTACCAAGAACGGAGTACGGAGTACTCCGTACAATATATCCCTTCAACATTCTACCTGGAGATGATAGGTCACCGGAAAGACTCCCGGAAAGAATTCTTTACAAAAAGTACACGTAAAAAGTACCAAAATCGGGCAGGATTTGACTAAATCCACCATCGTTTGGCGCATCTCCACATATGGAGTGTGCGAAACTGGGAATATCTCAAGAATTTGGACAAAGACGTGAAGATATCTTATGTTGTACTACGGAGTACTTTGTTTCTCACCGGGATTTATCTAATATGTCTCGTTTCTCATTCATTCGTGACATTGGGAAGTAATTTACCCATTGGCTGCCCTACTTTATGTCTGTACTAGCGCACATGACTCGGAGATCTGAGGTCTCGGGAAATTAGGGAGATCAGGAAAATTGGCAACTTTTTGGGTCTGTTTCTATCCAGCTCATGGATCTATGATTGAATCAGCTAGTCTGTATGGAGTGTTCAATGTCCAGTCTCCAATACGGACGGGAGACTCCGTAGTCCATTATGTACTATTCCGCATAAGACGTCAATTATCTTGCACTTTGCCGGTGAGACGAGACGTCACATGTCAAATGTCGATCAAGCTGAGATCCATAAGAATTGACATATCCACATTAAAACGGCCCCAAAAACCACCTAACTCCAAAGAGGTAAGGATCTAGGGGACTAGATCTGTTAGCTGACTCTCTACGGTCTTGTCTTTCCCCTACGCCTCTCTCTTTTTAAAATTCCGCCTGCCGACACCCTTTTTTTCTCTTTCTTATCCCAAGGCTCCCGCTTGTTGTGGATGCTCTGGAGATCAGCAACTGTACGGTCTGGGCATCTTGGCTGACGATGTCCTCCACTCGAGCATCGTTAGGACCCATTATGTCAGCGATGGATTAGACATCACTGTCAGCGAACTGCTTTGCAAGTTTAGACAAACATCGCTAGTAATATATGTTGAAGCATTCCTCATCTTCGGGAAGCATGCTCAGATTTTGGGGTGTGATGCTCATATCCCAGCGGCAGGCGGGGGTTTCAAATCACACGAAGAACTCGCCAGAGGTCATCACACTCATGGTGACTTAATAAGAATGGACGTGTCAGAGTGTCATGAATATGAAGATGTAAGTCCTCGAGAAAGTGACGGTGGATGGTGGATGTGCAGCGAGGGGCGGTTGTGAAAGTGAGGAAATGGCAGCAATCTCCGTTCAAGTACTGGGCGAGATGCAATGCGGCCGAGACACAGCTAAACACTTGTGACCAAGTCAGAATACTGGAATTATCCAAAGCTCATGGAATCAACTGCTATTGACGGTGAACTAATCAAAACTACCAAAGTTTGCAAGTTGGCTTCCTATCTGGGCAACTAAAGGCATTCTTGAACTCTCTAGAATTGGCCATAGTTTCCTGCGAGAGTGGTTAGCAAGGGCAAACACAGGAATGCATTAATGAAACTCACGATAATTCGCGCTGATTTAGGTGCATGGGGGTCGTTATAGATCGCCTGTTCAGCCGCCTCCTTGGTAGTCTTCCCACACCACCAATTACCATAAGATATAAAGAACAGCTGCTCTTTCGTGAATGCATCCAATCCCGGGATGTGAGGCTCAGGCTTTGCCTCATCGTGCTTCTTCCATGCGTGATACGCTGCTGTCAGACCTCCAGCGTCGGCAATATTCTCACCTAATGTCAGTCGTCCGTTCACGTGGAGGACCTTGTCCTCGGGACCAGTCACGGTAAACTTGGAATACTGATCAATAAAGCATTGAGCACGCTCTTCAAACGCCTCGACGGTCTTATCGTCCCACCAGTTTGTATAATTTCCACTCTGGTCGTAGTGTCGACCGGTAGAATCGAAAGCTATACCAGTTAGAAATTGGACAATAGTTTTGCAGGGAACTAAACATACCATGTGAAAGTTCATGGCCACTGACGGCTCCAAATGCGCCATATGCCAGATACAATGGCGCGGAAGGCCCGTAAAACGCTGGCGGCTGCATGATGCCGGCAGGGAAGACGATCTCATTACCAGGCGGGTTGTAATAGGCGTTGACAGTCGGTGCGCTCATGTCCCATTCGTCGCGGTTGGTGGGCTTGCCGAGCTTAGACCATTCGTTGCGAAGTTGGAAGCGTGCCACAGCCACCTCATTCTCAAAGAAAGTGTCTTTGGATAATTCCAGGTCCCGATAGAAGTTGTTTACATCCTCGGGGTCCAAAACATTGGGACTCTTTGTGGGAAATCCAATTTTCTGGACAATGTTTCCCACCTTCTCAATACCCAGCTTTCGCACATCCGGGGACATCCAGCTGGTTTGATCCAGGGTGAAAATAAAGCGCTCCTTGATATCGGACACAATCTGATCGCCAAGTTTCTTCGAGTCCTCAGAGAACGCATCGAGCACATAGAAACGGCTGAGACTCCATCCAAGGCCTCCATCCAGACGCCCAAGGCATTTACGCCATCTCTCCTGTTTGGCCTGTGGTTCTTTTCCAGCGAGTTCATTTTTGAATCGCCGAAGGGGTTCGATGGTGGCATCCTCAATAACGTCCGCAAACGCTTGGATAAGCTTCCACTGCAAGAAGAGCAGAATGGTCTCTCTGGGTGTCTCTTTCAAAAGAAGAGACAGTGCCTTCATATAGGGAGGCGAGCCAACAATAAGACGATCACCCTTGTAGTCATGGGGCGCCAAAGAGGAAATAATATCAGAAAAAGATATCTCAGGTACCAGTGCCTCGGTTTCCTTGATGCTAAGGGGGTTGTAGTATTTGGTGACATCTTCTTGAGTTTGGGTATCCGGAGTTACATCCGCAAGCTTCTTTTCAAAGGCTACAACATCCTCGGCAGTTTCGTCGAATCCATCTCCAGCAAGTCCCCGAACAACTTGCTTCAGAACAGTCGTATAGTCAGCCACAGTTTTTGTGTTATTATAGTACTCTCTCGCGGGAAGTCCGATTTCGCGAGGCGGCGAGATCATGATAACGACATTATCAGGGTCTCGATCGTCGGCCTAGAAGGAGTTATTAATGGCTCTCACAAAGTATAGGTCGCATAAACTTACAGTGACACCAGAAGAAGCCAGAGCCTCGACACCAGCGTTCGCCAGATACAACAAAGCACTGGTGAGTGAAGCTTGCGCTCCTTTTACGAGACCTGGATTCGCAGGGTAGATAGTCTTCAGTTCATCCAGAATATTAGTCAAAGGCTTGCTGCCCCGTTTGCTGACTGTAGCCTCGTCCGAGCAAGCATCGTACGCAGCTTTGAGTTTCTTAAAATTGTCAGCATCAGATGACTGCGGCGGTTCCGTTCGCTCCAAGATATGACGAAGTTTAGTCTGGGCGTTCTCCTGCATGATTGTGCCCGCAAATATCGACCCCTGGTCAGGCCGCATGTCATGGCGCTCTCGCCATCCACCGCAGACATATTGGTCAAAATCAGTGCAAGGATCTATGTCCTCATACTTGGGATGCAGATTGTAGAGTATTTCGGATGCAGCATGAATGCATTCTTGCGACTGGCAAAGCGGTGGAGCGTCGGGGTACGGGGACGGATCCTCAGTAGACGGAGAGCCTAATCATAGAATTGGTCATGTCAGCGACGCATTTTATTAGGGAGAAGTTATTCATACCATGAGGGAAACCTAGATAGTAGGTAGCAAGACCTGTGATCACGAAGACACATAGCCCTCGTCTCAGTGTTCTCGCCCAACAAGGGCGGGTTCTTTGTTTGTTGTGACAGGTGTGGCTGGAAACAACGCCATTGTCCTCGGAATCGTCGACTTCGTTTACAGCCAGAAGCGGGCCTTTGTCGGACTCCATACTGTGCAACGAGCAATTGAGGTCACGTTTTCTATGGTCACTGAGCTGTTAGAGCCTTGTAGCTGTACACGACACGCTCATGAAGACATACCTGAATTCTGGTGTTGGAGATACTATAAAGAAGGCGCGTGATGGAGAACCATGAACTAAATGAGTCTGGATTACTCTTTAGGCAACAAGGAGAAGCTGGGGTTGAAATGGCGTCACACTCCAGGCCGTGACGAACTCTTGGCGGAGCTTGCCCCTTCCAAGTGGATCCCTCTCACCAATGATGTCTCGGTTGGTTGCATTCTCGAGCTCACTTGGACAGGTCCAGGAACGGGGTATTAACCTGCATTTCAGGGCTGTATTTGGTGGGAATCCTTGCTCTAGAACCTGTTATATTCTTCAAGTAGTGGGATCCTCTGTTACTACTTCGGGAGAACAAAGCCCTGGGAATAGGCGATTCTTATCAAGTGTCCTTCTAGATAGAGTCAAACAATAGACTTCACTTAATATAATACACTACGTTTTGAAAGCAATGGATATGGATGCATCTATATTGGCTCGGGATAGAGGTTCTCTTCGAAGGCCCTCAAACATGTTAACTTCGAGGGGGCCAAGTTCTCGAGAGCCCTGGAGGGCGGGGAGTCTGACATGAGATGACGCATGTGCACGAAAGGTGAAATATGGGGGAGGACAGAACTTGTTCTAACAGAGCCAAAGAATTACTAGTTTGTTATTTCGCGGCATCAAGGCAAGAACACTATAGAAATTCCTCTCCTAATGACTCAAGGACCTAGTGGCTACTGCAGACAGTCCTATCAGGCAAATGGCAATTGATTGCCATACTCACGATTAACCCTGGCCAAATATGAAATCGATAGCCTTGAATGGGACTGAGCTCATGGCAATTTACGGGCTATCATTTGAAAACGTGGACGAATTCCACAGGTCATAGGATGAAAATGCTCTAGATCAATGGAACCCATCAATAGTCTTCGATAAATGGTCTGCATCTATCATGAGTCGTCCATGAGCAATGTTATATAAGCCAGGTCTTCCGCAGAGAAGATCCCTGTTCAGGTGGAATATCTGCCAATCACAACACTGCTAGAGATTACAGTCTGGCCAAAGGCCCATATGCATTTACAATTGCTAGACTTGCCGGGCTGATTTCAGTGATGGATCTACAGCCTGTGAGCTGCATACATCGCTTGAAATCATCGAATAGGATCTTGAGCATTAGCTCGACTCCCTGCTGACCGTCATACTACAAAGGAAGTCAGTATACCCGCCTCTTTCAGGATCCTTGATGTAACGGGCAGCACTGACCGCGAGTCCCCAAAGTGCAGGACGGCCAACCCAGCAGCATTCAGCACCGAGAGCCAAAGCTTTGAAAATGTCCACCCCCGATCGGATTCCGCCATCAACATGAATCTTGATCCGCCCCCGCCCAGCCTTGGCACAAGCAGGAAGCGCATCAATTGTGGCCGGTGTCTCATCCAACTGCCGACCACCATGATTGCTAATGATGATTCCATCGCAGCCATATTCGATAGCAGTCTCAACATCTTCCGGGGTGAGAACGCCTTTAATCCAAATCTCCATCTTCGTGACACTACGTAGCCACGGGATCTCCGTGGCCCAGGAATGAGAATCCGAGTTTGTCGAGCTAAACCCATCATCGTGAGATTGTTGCTGAATCTCGGCAGACGTTCTTTCATACATAGGATACCCCAAGCCAACGGGGGGCATGAACCCATTCCGCCATTCATTCCAGCGCACCCCAAGTACGGGACTATCCGCCGTCAGAAATATAGCCTTGCAGCCCGCAGCCTCAGCTCGACGAACGATTCGTTCTTGTTTAGCTTTGTCATTCATCGCGTAGAGCTGCATCACATGGTGAATTGGTGCCACTTCTTTCCCGGCGACGGTGATCTCTTCGACCGAGTGATTAGCATAAGAGGAGACACCCATGTTGACGCCCATTTTGGCACAGGCTCTACTTGTGGCCAGCTCGCCTTCTGGGTGGGCCATAACCTGCATTCCAGTTGGTGAGACACAGAGCGGAAATGTGATATCTCGGTCGAAGAGGGAAACCCCAGTATCGACACGTGAGACATCTCTCAGAACTCTTGGTAGGAGACGGTACTTTCTGTATGCAGCACAATTGTCGTGAAGTGTGACTTGATTTGTTGCACCGGAGTTGAAAAAATCTATCTATATGCGTTAAAAGAAAAGTATTCCGTGCAACATGAGAGTTCACACATACCTCTTGCGGAGACGGATAGCGAGTTAGAAGCCGCCTCCTCCAGGTCAGCTATTGATAATATTTTATTTGCCATTTCAGGAGAAATAAAGGAACATATAATGAGAGATATGTGAAGAACATCACATCTTGATGTAGTCGATGTGAGGGGTAAAATGTGGGGGATTTTTCGATCTATATAGGTTTACCGCTTGTTGCCTCTGAAAATGAACAGTCCATCCCATATATTCTATTATTCTAGCAAAGATCATGATATATTAGTTGGGTGATTACTGACATAGGAAAGAGTACACCGTACCAATCTTCATGTCCGGCCGTACGAAATGCCCGGCATGACAGACATGTTTTGATGTGAAGCCCCGACATTTTATTGGATTACTATTGAGTATGTGTAGGATATTAGAAGGAGCTTGCATGATAGCGTTGTTAGATCCCTGGAAACTGGGTCGTTCACTTGAATATTCTTTTCTTTAGGAATGAATCGAGGTATTTTGGCCTAAGTCAAGGCTGTAATAAAGAGCATATAGCCGAAGATTATATGCAGTATTTGCGCTACGATTGGCTTTCTTTTTGAAACTTAGCATAGAAAGCCTGTATACTATACTTATATACCTTGAGAAAGTCTTTTTTGGTTCAGTTGTAATAACAATAGAGGTCGAAGAATCTGAGGAGAACTGACATGAAGGGACTTCGAGATGTCAGAAGCAGTGGGCTCCATGTTTAATGGGACCACTGGGATCATTCATCAAATAGATTAGCCAACGTTCAACACTGCGATTTCGATAAATAATCATCTTGACTTGACAATATCGATAATTTAGTTACACTTGCCCGAGGATGGGAATACGTGACTCAATCAGTAGTTGGAGTTGCTATTTGGCTACACATTTAGGAGATCATGATCAAAGTGAACGCCTGTCATTTGAGCTTGCTCCCTCTTTGTCAAGTCAAGTTTAATATAAAGGCTACTTGCTCACCACAGCCTCTTTAGATTCTGGCAGTGTGCGGGGTTTTGATAGCACAATCCTCCATATCATCTTTTTGCTTCAGATCTCCGTGAGATTCATGTGTATGATAGGCTGCCCACTCTCAATGCCAAGTTAAACCAAGACTTCCCCGGCTTTTCATATCCTCCTCTACTTGGCATCGACCGCAAAGTTGAGGGGTAGTCTTGGTGGTGGCCTAGATTCTCCAATTGCCCATTTTGTTCCGAGGGTATTGTTCTTACTATGTTGGATAATCTCGGCTAGGATTCTTCCTAGGAGCTCTTAAGTACTTTCTCTCTATCATTTCCGGTTCACTACTTCACCTTCTATTTCCTTCTTTTTTCAAATAATTAAGGAACACATCAGTTCGCGACAATGGCATCGATTTTGGCCAGCTCCAAAGACGATGAATCTGTAAAGAAAGAAGACTTGGAGCTTGTCCATCTTGAGGAACAAGAGCTGTCACAGCGCAAGTCCGGCAATGAATCACCTGTGTATGATATTGACGAAGCACATCAGAAAAGGGTCATGTGTGTTCTCTCTACATTCCAACATGGTGAATCCGTCAATTCTAATGTTCAAACTAGTCGACGAGTTGATCTCCGCCTCCTCCCAATTCTTGGAATCATGTATTCCATATCACTTATCGATAGAACGAACCTTGGTCTTGCGTTTGTGGCAGGGATGGAGGAGGATCTTGAACTTGACATCGGCAACAGATATACAATCGTTGTGATGGTTTTTTTCGTGGCATACATGTAAGCTTTCTGATATCATCTAAAAGTCTTTTGGATGCAATGATTTCTGACTTTGTATCCCACTTAGAATATTCGAGATACCTAGTGTATGTCTGCGCTCCAACCAGAGAATTCATTATGGATGAAACTTTTTACTTACCTCGGCAGAATTTCATACTTCCTCGAGCCGGTGCCGCAAACTGGTTAGCTTTTCTTGGATTGAGCTTTGGGGTGATCTTGATCGGCATGGGTTTCACCAAAAGTTGGACTACAATGGTAGCTTGCCGAGTTCTGCTAGGTAAAGCAATAACCTCCTTTTCCATTGTGTATTGCTGAACCGTCATCCTTGTTTAGGTGTAATGGAAGCCGGCTTTCTTCCAGGTATATCAAAATGAACTGTGTCTCCATTTAAACATTACTAACTATATAGGCTGCACCTATCTAATTACATGTTGGTACACACGATTCGAGGTGGGGAAAAGACTAGCCACTTTCTGGCTGGTTTCTGTTGTGCTGAACGCTTTCGCGGCAATTTTTGCCTATGCCTTGACCCTGCTAGACGGAACCTATGGTCTGAATGGATGGCGCTGTATGTTGCTCATCTCCGTACCATAGGACTAGTAACAGCTGACTGTTTTGTCTAGGGATTTTCATCGTCGAAGGTGCTATCACTAGTGGTATCTGTTTGATTGGGTGGTTTATCATCATCGATTTTCCGACCCAAGCAGATACGTTTCTCAAGCCAGAGGAAAAGCAATTCATCATCGCCCGTATCAACAACGACAGCGGAGATGCGGAAGAGGATCCAATTACTATGGAAAGGGTTCTTCATCACCTCAAAGACTGGAAGCTGTATGTCTGGGCATTCAATCTCATGGCCTCCACCCTGCCCGGATATGCGTACAGCTACTTCAAGACAGTCATCCTCATGGGCATGGGCTTTAGTAACACGCAGAGCCAGCTCCTTAGTGCTCCACCTTACATTATTGCTGCATTGTTTACATATTTAGGTGGCTGGTTCACCGATAAATATCAAATCCGCGGGCCGGTGATTGTTATTCATCAACTTCTGACAGCAGTGGGAATGTTGATCACAGCTTATGGGGGGTGCAAGTGGGGCAAGATACTTTGGGATATTCATGGGTGAGCGTTCAGTGTTTTGACGATGAAGCGTAATATACCTAACGTTGTACACCAGGTGTGGGATTCCTACAGTTTTGTATCCCCGGTGTGCTCGCATTTCAAGCAAACAACATTACTTCCCACTCGAAGCGTGGGGTCGCATCAGCAACCTGTCTGATTGGGGGTGGCCTTGGGGGTATTATTGCCAGCGTCGCCTTCAAGTCGGATGAAAGCCCGCATTATACTACGGGCATTTGGGTGACCTTTGGTTTCTCGATGGCTAGCATATTCTTGACGCTAATGATGGACTTTTACTTTTGGAAAACAAACAAAAAGGCCCGAGAGACGAATGGCCAGATTGAAGGCATGACAGGATGGTATTACACTCTTTGAGGATAACATGTTGGAGAAATCATGAATCAATTGGAGCTTTGGTGGTACATAGTTTGTGTTAGACAGTCGAATGACCCACCCAGTGGAGCTTTGAATATATGCGCCAGATTTATATTCCACATCTAAATACCATCTAGTGGTAACACAGGTTCATCTCGTGTCCAGAATACAAAGAGAGCATGGAAAATATTAGTTCTGCGAGGATAAATTTGACCATATGGCTTCCAATGTGCCACAAACTTCACATATATGCATCCTTCCAACTATGCCCAATGAGCTCCCCGACCTCAACTGCAATTGTTCGACCCACACTAAGACTAGCAAAATGCAATGCGGCATCGATGCCATTTATCATAGCACCTGTCGTGATGATTCTGACTCCGAACTGGTTCCGGCCAGCATCCAGATAGGAAACCAGCTCCGAGGGATCTTCAGGAACAACTTGAGCCCCCTTCGCACCGGTAGTACGATTCATATAACGTTGTACTTCGTCTCGTAGACCAGGGATGCCAAGACGGTGTGTGGTCGCAGTGAGGCCATCAAGCACGCCTCCAGAAGCTAAGAAATAGGATCCGATGCAGACTGCTAAGATGGTACGTTGTCGTGCGCCCTCTTCATCCATGTCTGATGCAAAACTGGTGATAAATTCAACAAGCTCCGATGGCTGCCCCGGCTGGGATTCGATATAAGGTAGAATATTGGTTGGTCGTGCGCCAGGGACGATCAATATTTCATAGTCGGTCAGCTGAAGTTTGGCTCCAGCAAGGGATATGTCTCTCTTAACTGTCACGTTCTCTTGAGATGTTGTGAGCTCATCCTCAGCAGCATAGCTCACGGAGAAGCCCGAGTTGAAGAGTACCGAAACCGGACCGCTCACATCGAGGATATTGAATCCGGGAAAGATGACCACGAGCGCTCTTTTCGTCAGGTTTCTCATTGTATATTTTGAAGGCCACAGAGAATAGAAGACTCCGTTCTGCAAGATGTAGTTTCTGTCTGGAAGGTTTCGATGACGTCACCAACACCTTGTGAGGTCTCCGGAATAAGACTGAACCACATCAATACTACATCCCCGAGCAATTCATGATATATACAGATGCTTCTAGTGTCCATAAGGTGGCCAAATACCGCTACTATGATGAGAGATCTTGAATGTTTGGTACTCGAGATTATACAATTGAATATCTAGGTCTCTAATATATATCTGCGAAAGCTCCGCATCTATTGGTCAAGCTGAGAGACCGACCAGGATCACCTCTGCATCGATATGAAGGCGCACGACCAAGACACCCTATCGCCGAAGTAAATTTTTACTAGTCTTATGAGCTTATCCACTCCCCTACTACTTTACAACGTTCAAAAATTCTATTTAATTGCTGGCGGAAACCGCGCTGCTATCATTTTATCTAATACCGTATGGAAAAGGAAGCATAGGTAGGTATGCTGTACTCCATAGGTACGGGCGACTATTGGGACCAGCGATACATAACCCCCTTATTGGTTTATATTTCCTGGCAGAATTGTTGATCCACCCTCACTTTCCAAGTACTATGCTGAAATCATGGTATACAGTCTTTTTGCCTCTACAATTATATCAATTTGCTTAAAGGTGTATACCAACTTATATTCAGAAATATATCATTCATTAATAGATATTTACCCGAATAATTAGGTTAAGTATAGTATGTAAGGCCTTAAAAGATCGGCACTAAACGTGACACTGTTCGTACCTATATAAATCCTCGGCGTTAAAGCCTTCTGACTTCGTAATTATCCTTCTCTCTTCCCCTCTACCACCTCTCCACACATACTCTGGTAGCTACTTAAAGCCTTCCTTAAGGTATTCTTAGAGAATTTAGTGAATTGACTATAGCTAAGCCACTGTGAAGGCTATTGGAAAACTGCTGAAAAGACCACTAAAAAGACCACTAGAAAGCCCTATAAGAAAGATATCACAAGGCCGCAGAAGTGGCCGTCTACGCTTATAAGTGTAAAAAGTAAAAGAGAAGTAGGAATTAGCATACAAATTGAGATCAGGGTATATGCTTCGAAAAACCGGTGATAATAGGCGGTAAGGCAGTATCCAATGAGAGGGTTATGTATCGCTGGTCCCAATAGTCGCCCGTACATAGGTAACTCCTAGCATGAGACTAGTAATTAAAAAGTTCGGATGTATATTATCAACAGATCCTCTCGAGGAGTAGTATATATTCCGGTCGTCATTATACTGCGGGGCCGTGGCCTAAAGATAGACCCATGAAAACGGCCACTAAAACCGTCATAGTTCTCCATGTTTCAGTTTTTATTCCGAACATATACTCTGTAGCGTCGCTCAATTTCAACTGACTTGACCCGTACTATGCTGGACTCGGTATTACTGCCCCGGAGCTATTCCTGAACGACGTACGCTCGGGCATTGAAAAACCGGAAACTAGACCTGCTGTCAAATGCTGATCGACAACGTTTAAATTGCTCAAGTCCCACTCAATGCCCCTGAATAGTTTGGCCGTTAGCGGGTGTGCCGTTAACTTTTCCACTGGCTACTCCGTACAAAAGTTCTGCTTACGCAGGTAGGTAAATGGGCCGATGGAAATCTAATATTAGATGGTCCTTTCTTTCTTATGTATGGGGCGTCTGGCTTTGGCAAATCTAGATCATATTTACATATGATGTACGATGTACATTTGTCCGAGATTATGCTGTAAGATTTTGAGATAAAAGGGATATATCTTGTATACAATATGCGGAGTAATCAAAGGTACTCCGTACTTGGGGTGTCAATTTGATTTACCGAAGTGATAAGACTTACGGAGTATACACAATAGAGTTTTCTGAGGTACGTAGTATGAAGATTTGTCAGAGCTGCATGATACCAGTGGAGCGCCCATTATGCATAAATAGAAAGGATACATATTATATGTAAGAAAATCGATACTTCGGGTAGGCCTTCCGAGCAATGCTAGAGAAGAGATAACTCACACGTGGGTGATTCCTCGGAAGTTGCATGTGGAAGAACCCAATCAACTGAATTTCCAGGGGCTGAGATGACACCTCCCCTTTTTACATCGTACATGGGTAAGCAGTTGGTAAGCGGGAGAAGTCAGATCCCCCGAGTATCCCCTACGTATCACAAGGATAGCCTCGATCGCATCTCTTGGATATCCATGGCGAATCTTATACCATATCGGGCCACGGAGAATTTTCATTCTAAGATCGGTGATAAACTAGGTCTAGGTTGATCCGGCTTAATACCCATGCAAAATACAACGTTGTACGGATTCTACAGTGACTGGACATAAGTTTTTAACACGTCGGGCCCCACACCCCCCCTGATTATATAATATACTGCCGGTCTAAAACCTCCATAAATTCATACTATAAAATCTAGTATGGTGTATACCACCCCTGGCTCTCAATGATAGCCTCCACCCGGTGCGGCATTGTCTCAGAGAGATGCTCCAGGTGCCTCAGCTCTAATTCATCCTATGCCTGCTGCGCTGTTGCCACTAGTATCTCCTTTGTTGTGTCATTGTTCTGCATATGTAGGAGATCAGGCCGAAGCTCGTATGTCTTAGCTTTCAACAACGCCCAGAGGTTTTCAATTGGATTCAAATCAGGCGAGTGAGGAGGCTATTCCATAACTTCAATCTCCATCTCAGCTAATACATCCCGTACAACATACGCAGTATATGTCGGAGCATTATTATACTGAAAAATACTATCTAGATTTGTAAGCAAGATAGGTAGAACCCGGCGGTATAACTCCTCAATCACTAGGCCAGTGATACCAGTACGCTCAGCCTCAGGATTCCCAAAGAGTGGTATAAGCCCTATACGCTGTGTAGCGCTAGAAAATGCAGCCCAAAATATCTACTTTACTTACTTTCCTCGGTGTGGTAATCCTTGATATTGTCCCTCCTTCGGTTGGTCTTTTGGACAGATAAAGGTCCACTCTCGATATACACCAATCCCACGCTCAATAGTACACTCATCAGACCAAAAAACATAGGCCTAATCTTTAGGTGTAAAGTGCCGATAGCGTAGGGCCCAGCGAAGGCGTTTAACCGCGTATTCTTCCTTTAAAAAGGGCCGCCAGCTACATCGCTATTTACGGAGGTTCTCCGCATTTAAAAGACGTTGTATAGAGCGGTATTTGACCTTATAATCAACCTCAGCAAGGAGGTCTTCGGCTATAATCTTTGGGTTTCTGTGGATAGCGTTCAAGATCTGGTCTTTATCAGCTTTAGTAAGCTTTTTTGGCCTTCCAGATCGCGGTTTTGATACGCCTGCTCGGCGCTCGCTCTCCTTTTTCATAGTGTACCGGATTGTAGAGATTGGAATATAAGGATCGCGGTTATGAATACGTCTATACCCCCATCCTATAGCATGTAGCTCATATATACGCTCACGTATAGTAGGCGTAAGCTCTTTTGAACGCGCCATAGGTGGAATGGTATAGAGGGTAGAGAGGAGAGATACTAAAGAGAGAGATAAATATAGGTAATTGGATCTCCTTTTTGAAAAGCAGCTTCACGTACTATTTTAGCGTGGTTTTCATATACGCGTTTTAGGTAGGCGGTATATCCCTACACTAGCGGTGAGCTATGTGGGGCTATGGGTGTGTTAAAAACATATGTCCACTGACTGTATTCTCATATTTCCGGTCTGTGACTTGACTTTGCCTAGGTCAATCCCTACAGGTGCATTTAACTAGTCCCAAGAGGATCACCCCCTGCCTTAGTAGCACGGTGTGACGAGATTGCCCGCATTTAATGAAAATCATATCTTGAAACTGGGGACTGCGAACCGATAGAATGGGGCAATTGGTCTTTGTTTCAGACCCTTTGGGCCTGAAGTGTTGTGGGGGTTGTATACTATGTTGCAGACCTGAAGTTGAGCACAATCTGTCACCTCGCGATCTTCATAAGATCCAAATTCATACTCACTTACGGAGTACTCGGTACAAAAAGGACTGGCTACCCGTTCACCTGCGGCTCAAACACGGCAGAAATTGTGTGCTGTGGGGGCGAAGGGAAATGACAACGGTCCACCGAACATCTGTTTCTCTTGGGAGTCCCTCGAAATCACCCCCCGAAAGCGTGAAAGTAAGCCAATCTTGGATTCGAGCTCTCTGATTGGTTTGTGCGAATCCCCTAAGCGCTGTGATCCGGTGTTAGTCTTGGATTCGTCTAAACCTCGGCAGAAGTGTGTGGCTGTCGATGTACTCTGAATGGTTCTCATGAGAAATGAGAAAACAGAATCTCACGGGGGGCTCCAGTGAACGGAGCCAACACCTCGAAGTGGTAGAGAGGAAGAGCAAGATGCCCATGGTGATCCAAGCAGACCCTTAGTGTTCGACCGGGACAGAAATCCGCCAACGTTTCAGAGTGGCCCTTGCATTGGCCACTGGCACGCCCATGCAGGTTTCAGCACCTTCGTGTCGATCGCTGGAGCTTTGCATTCCGCATTGGCTTGGCAAATGCACCGTTTTGTACGGAGTACGGAGTATATTACATACGGTGTCCTTTTCGTATTGCGTATATCGGATATTATAGATATATCTCCATGCCATTTTCTTTTTTCGAAATAAATGAAATAAAATGAAATAATGAAAAAACAATTCGATTGTTCCTGAAGTTCTGATTGGATCAATGCGTGGGTGTACCCGAAGTACTTTCAATAGTGCCGTTCGATAGACTTGTAGATTTTTTCCCTCTCTTTCTCTCCTGCGAGACTGGCAAAGATATGATATCAAAAGAGCAACAGGTCAATAGGAGAATAGGCGAACAACTGAGCTACAGTATCATTTTGCAGTGTCATAAGTTCCAATTTGTACAAAGTGCAGACAGGGGTCAAGCGCCCCCAATGGTGGATCGGCCTAGTGGCCCCCTAGGAACTAAGTAAAGCCTTTGTATTTCAATACCAAGAGAAGATCCTCAAGAAAAAAAAAATTATTTCAAATAAGATAAAAAGAAGGAGTAGTTCGTACGCAGGGAAAGAATAAAAGAGACGAGATATTCCATTTCAAAGAATACCTGAAGATACTGAAGATACCGAATGTTAATAGACACGGAAGTCAAAGATACCGAAATAGGTATACAGAATACCAGAAAATCAGTGATCACCGGCTTTCTACCATTCTCCATTCTCCATTCTCTCCCCGCTTGTGGACTCGCTCGTGGGACGGGAGATATGTACGACCGGACTTGAATGCGCCATTCCATTTCTTCCATTTCTCACCCCCTCCGGAGAACTCGGCTCCCAACTTCCGAGACGTCCTTTTGTCCTCACTCGGGAAAAGCCCATATTTTGAACTTTGGAACGCGATCTCGGCTTCCCCTGTCACCGCCAACGTCTTTTCCCCCTCAAGCTTCCTATTTGGCCTTCGGCAGGCTGACGCTGTGTCGCTCACACAGATTCGGCGCCTGTCTCGGAGGATAACCTGGTCCAATTGGAAATACAACCGCTCGATTCGCAACGGAACGTGGTCGATAGGTGTGGGGAACAACGGAAGCGATCGAACCTTTCAAGCTTCTGCCTATCACGTCGCACACCAGTCATTCGACATTAGTTTGCACTTTGGCATAATATAGGGAAGGATTTTGGTTCTTTTGGAAGGTAGGCATATCTACCACATTGCGCGCAGAGTTTAGTTACCCGTTGAGCCTGGTGGAGTCTAGTCGAGTCTTTTGTCTCTGAGCTTCGACTGGACTCCCGTATGGCGCAATTAAATCGCATCCCTGACTCAGATCGAACCCACGTCGATGCGTCGAGTCTCTTGTTGCACTAGTTCAACTTCCAATTCACCGCTGCTAATCACTATCACGCTAGGTATTTTGTCGTTACCGGACGTAAACCATGGGTTGCTTAGTTTCGAAGCCCGAGGAGGCCGATAAAGAGGCTTTCCAGCGCAATGCGCGCATTGACAGGAGTATCAAGAATGATAAGAAGACGCTGGACCGGACCATCAAGATTCTGCTATTAGGTGGGTGATTATCGGTCGCTGGTTGTCAGCTTGCTTCAGTGTCGCATTGCTAACAGCATGCTCAGGAGCGGGAGAGTCCGGCAAGTCCACTATTATCAAGCAGATGCGAATCATTCACAGCCGAGGATTTCCTGAGGAAGAGCGTCACCAAACCCGCGCCATAATTTACTCGAATATCGTCATTGCATTTAAGGTCTTGTTGGATATCATGAATGCCGAGGAGATCGATTTCGAGAACGAGGAAAAGACCAAGGTACTGCTTACACTTCTTCTCAAGAAACCAGCATCAGCTAACGAGGACTGAAAGCCATTTGCGGATCTATTAGACAATACGGACCCAGATGTAGGGTCCGATGAAGCCTTCTCCGATCTCGAGGTGCGGGATGCCATGAGGGCCATGTGGAAGGATCAAGGTGTGCAGAAGGCCGTTGCACGGGGTCATGAATTTGCTCTCCATGACAACTTGCACTAGTAAGTGGAAATGGCGCTGCGGCAACTGAGCCTAGGCTAACGAAACCCAGTTTCTATGAATCTCTCGATCGCATCTTCGCCCAGGGCTGGCTTCCTGATAACCAGGACATGTTGCAGGCTCGACTTCGCACAACGGGTATCACGGAAACTCTGTTTGAGCTCGGACAGATGAACTTCCGCATGATGGACGTTGGAGGACAGCGGTCAGAACGGAAGAAATGGATCCATTGCTTTGAGGGTGTCCAATGTCTGTTGTTCATGGTGGCCTTATCTGGATACGACCAATGTCTAGTCGAAGATCAGAATGCTGTAAGCACGATTCTCCCAATGTGCTCGCTCGCACCACTAATCATATTCTACAGAATCAAATGCACGAGGCCATGATGTTATTCGAATCACTAGTCAACGGCGAGTGGTTCAAGCGCAAACCAATCATTCTTTTCCTCAACAAGATTGATCTGTTCAAAGGGAAACTCGCCATCTCCTCTATCTCGAAACACTTCCCAGATTATGCCGGCTCTGATACCGACTATGATTCCTCGGCACAGTATTTTGCAGACCGATTCCGTGGCATCAACCGCATTCCAGACCGCGAAATCTACATCCATTACACTAACGCAACCGATACAACTCTACTCAAAGCGACTATGGATTCAGTACAGGACATGATTATCCAGAAGAATCTGCATACCTTAATACTATAAGGTAGAGGCCCTCAAATTCCCGAGGCATTTCCTATGACCGTCTGTCTACGACGATGATTTTCATTTCTTTCTTCATTTTCTATTTCTCAAGCTCTTCAGCCTACCAGTTATTTTCCGGTTGCATTCCAGGGCGGCTACTACTCGTTCACTCCTTCGTGTTCATTGCCATATCTCATTTTCTTCTCTTTTCTTTCTTTTTTTTTAACGAGGCGTCTTGATTGAGAGGTTATCTGCTCTCTGCTCACGTCATTGGGTCTATCACGTTGCATCCAAAAGCCTATCCAATTTCGCCAACTAATGCCCATGCTTCGGTTTAGCGACTGTGTCGTTGCCACTCCCCTTTTCTTCTTTTTTTTTTGGTTTTATGCAGAGTGATACCATTTGTTTGTCTTTGCAGCTGTGTTTACTAACGACTGCTCTGTATTATCACAATCATTCTGTGTCTTTATTTACTATATCTCATTTCTGAATGAACTCGATATCCTGCTCTTCTATGAGCACTTTTTTCCACTCTTCAGACTCCAGTCCCAATATATATATATTTTTTTTTTCAAAAAATAGGTAAAGGTATCTGGTTATCATGTCGTCAGGTCGCTTACCGGCGAATGCCTTGCCGAAGATCCCTCAGGCGAGATGAACCGTCTCTCCACCTGCGGATGGCTGCACTGCATAGACCTCTAGAACCCTCGACAGCCGGATGACTCGACGAAATAGCGTGGCTAATATATAGAGAAGACAAGGTACTCCTCAAGTTGAATCACGCGAGTCCAATCTGATTACTTAAGGTGGTAAGGTGATCCTCTAGTTACACCTCAGGCACCAATATTACATAACATCCGCATGATCAGTGACCCCGAGTTCCGGGCCGACTGATTTCGCCTCCAATTCAGACTCATTCACCTTCCCAGTGACTGGGTTATCTACCAACCATGTTGTCAACATCCTTACGCCGGGCGGCATGGACCCCCATGTCGCTTCCCGGGATAACTCGCTCGAGTCAAAATCTCACCAGCAGCTTGCTCGGCGCAACCCGACCTCTGCACCAATGCCGGTATTCCTCATCCTCCAAACCGCCCGTCCCGCCCAGCGATGGCTCCCGACGAATGGACACCTCTGCCCCGGCAAAGGGGGTCAACTCGTCTAACGAAAAGAGTAAGGCTAACCGCCGTCGGGGGAAGGACAGCTCTGCCCGAAACGGATCTTCAAAGTCTAGCCAGCATGCCGCATTTTCCAACCTCCCAAGTGTTCCATCGACACAGCACCGACAGCCACATGGTTAGTGTTCAGACCCCAGCCAGTGTCATATATTATTTCCCTCAAAGAAATGACCTAAAGCTAACTTTTTCTTTTCTTTGCTTGCTGCAAGATGTCCATGTAGCATCGTTCTTCTCCATCCACCGGCCAATCTCAGTGACGACCACTGTCCCCCCAACCTCGACTACCGATGCCTTCGAAGCGATATTCTCGTCAAAGCGGCCGCTGAAGAACGAACCACAGGACGTCATCTTTACTCTTTCCTCGGCCGTGCAGTCGATGGAAACTGGCCCTCAGGGTATGTCAGAATCCGAAGACCAGTTCCGAAGCTTCAGCGAACAGGACGGTGAACTACGTATGCTGGATGGTCCCGACGCCAAGATGTCCGTGGAGGAATTCACCCGTCGTCTTCGCCCATTCCAGCCTCCTCCCCCGCCCGTCCCCATGGACATGTCCACTGCCGAGTCCACCGATGCTCAGATCAACAACGAGTACCAGACATACTCGACCGTACTGACTATCCGCGAGGCTCGCCACGCGGATGGCCGCAAGACCTACGAGGCGCACACTGGACCTTTCGTTCGCAGTGGAGAGATGGAGGACCCATCTGATATGCGCGACGAGATCTCCATCGAGGCGCCCTCTGATTCTGCCCCAGGCATGACATACATGGAGCGTCTGCGCAACAACCACACCATGCATGCCATCAGTACCATGAGACGGCGCAAGGCTAAGATGAAGAAGCACAAGTTCAAGAAGCTGATGAAGAGAACGCGTACCCTGAGACGGAAACTCGACAAGTAGACTCGTGTTTGGAGTTTCTTTATTCACTTTTGTTCTTGCTTTTTCAGTTGCATCTTGCCTGCGCCTGTGCATTTTGGGTCGAGTCTAGTCTTGTGAGAGTTCAGGGCATATATCCTTGTTTTCATACATTTTTTTTATTACTCCCTCGTTCTTCCCTACCTATTCTCTTTCACCTATACTCGGCCAAATATCCACATATACCTCTTCTCCCTTGATATTTTTGCTTCAAACAGCTATACTTGCGCAGAAGTAAATGCAGTCTTAGGCTTCTGTGTTATGTGGGCACTAGCTCCCCAATGCATTGCGAATAATTGCGGATAACCCAATAGATCTTGATTACTCGATTCCCGTCATGGCGCTGTCCAGGTGCTGCTTTCGCCGACCTGAGTCTGTCTTATCCCAGTAAATAATACTACGCAGGTAGCAATAGAGCAGGGGACATCTCGATTTGAGATGAGCTCTTGTAAGCTTGCCCACAATATTACAGTTGCTGGGAATATCTTTACCCCTAGAAGTAGTCAGTGAGTAACATTACCGCGAGGCTGAATGCACAAATCAGGATTTACTGTTCTACGGAACCGAGTCCAAGGTGACGAAAGCCACTTGATCATACAGTTCAACACTGTCGAGATGGAAAAGCTGATGTCCACAAGACAAAGAAGAAGTCAAGAAACAAAAAAAAATCCTTACAAAAGATCCTGCCTAACCACCATAATGGGAGAGAGGACGGAGACTCAAGCCCCGAATCAGGGAATTTCATATAAAGTACAGAGTCCAGCGCGGTTTCATGCAATGTAAAGCCAAAAAGATCCAATATCTACCTACCCGCACCTGTCCACTGAGTCAAGACGAATGCTTGAACAGTCCGATTCTACATTCACTCAGTCATCGAATCTTCACTCAAATAGGCTGAAATCGATTTATCATTTCCGATATCATCCAATTCTGCATCCGCACCAGCTTGTTCATGTCAGACTCCCCGGCCGAAGAGACATATTGGCTTGCGTCGGGGAAATGTTGAGAATGCATATCTAGGAATAAACCAAGAATCGCGTAATTGCGGTTCATGGGGCGATTCGAGGTTCGATTCCCTCAATGCGGCGGAAGCGCTCACGTTTAGCAGCCTCCTTTCGAGCGGGAGTTCATGAGAAGAGCAACAATCAGCCCGTACAGACCTGCGAGGTGAGGAGGGTGGTTAGATGCGATTATATAGAATGGAGAAGAGTCACGACTTACCCAAGACTTCGGCGAAAATGAGAATCAGAATCATTCCAACATACAGTCTAGGCTGTTGAGCCGTTCCCCGAACACCCGCGTCACCAACAATACCAATAGCGAAACTGCAATCTGAGTCAGGAACAAGGCTCTAAGTCAATGGGAGACATCCCGGGATCGCAAACTTACCCCGCAGCCAGACCGGCCAGACCGACAGACAGACCGGCACCGAGCTGGATGAAACCAGTATAGAGAGGAAGCTTCTGTGTTAGGTCGTTGGCGACCAGGACCGACACGACAAGACCGTAGATACCAATGATACCCGCCATGACAATGGGGACAATGTCTGAAAACCAGGTCAGCAAATTGTTGTTATATGTCTCTGCACGAGAGTAGGAATATCTCCTTGGCAGATTGGCAGAGCCCTTGTTGGGATCGACGTACTCTTGACGATCAGGTCGGGGCGGAGGACAGCCATGGAGCAAACTCCGACACCGGCCTTAGCAGTTCCATATGCGGCACCGAAGCAGGTGAAAACGATAGCGGATGTGCAGCCTAGCGCACCGAAGAAGGGCTGGAAGGAGGAAAATTAGTTGTTGTTTCGATGGATTGTGAGCAGGTGGATGACGCAGAGGGGCCGAGACACGGACGATTGGCTAGTCGTGCTCGTTTGTTGGAATATAGCATATAGTAAGACTCACCGCATAGACGGGGCTGTCAGAATTCAAATGTTAGCAAGGCTGATCCATGATCCTGAAGAATTGCGAGCTCGATAGCAAGGTGGAGTGTCGATCGGAAGCTGTCAAGCACCCAGGGGTTGGAAGTCAGGTTGATCACTTACCAAAGTTCGGTGGCCATTTTGATGAAAGACGACCCAACAAGGTTCTCGTAAAGTAGTTTGAGCTTTGAGAATGAATAAAAACACCCGAGGTCGGCAAGCTCAGTTGGATGCGGTTGGGAGGATGGAGAGTCCAGAGGCTTGGAGGTCGACGGCAAACATGCTGGCCTCTCCAAGTCACGTGTAATATCTTGGCATATCCACCGGATAGGCAATGACCACAGTGTATGTGATATGTAGAGAGAGATTCAGCTATGATGGTTTTATTTACTCCGTAGTTGTTTATGTATTGCGTTATTGTATGTATCATTTTGTTTATACAGTTTCTAGAATAACTCGAGATCCTGGAATGTTCAGCTTTGTGCACGACTCTGATGCGGTTTCTCCTTTGATGGGCTGTGAGTAGGCAATCGCCTTCTCGGACAATGCACCAAAGGTACGAGGCAAGGAAATGATCCCATTACTGTCCTCTTCCGTTTCATGTGTCTCAAGTTCTATGGAGTCAGCTACCATTCCAAATTGATAGCTGATAGGCTCTTCCTGCGAGTCATGATTGCCTGAAATTTTGCCCTGTGGCCCAGTTGGTTGTATCGACACAAAGAACTGAATATAATCACCTGCAGTAGCCACCTGTGAGAGGAGAGATAAATCATCTACAGCGATTCCCTTGTCAATAGAAGGGAGTGTGTCCAACTGTGCGGTGGTATCACGATCGAAGACCTGACTCAGTGCGACAAGTTCGTCTTGTTTGGCAGTCCCCGAGAAGGTGACCTCGGGATCCAGTGAAAGAAGGCCTTGCTTCTTTCCCCATCCACCCCCACCACTCATGACATGGTGCAGTTTCCCGCCTTGTCGCAGAGATTGGGTCAAGCGATCCTGGGTAGACGAACCTGGATCGGTCACCTCCAAGTCAGGTTTCTCAACAAGCGCCCATACGGATACACGCTGGTCAACGATATTATGTTCTGCGATATAGCGGGGAAGTTCCTTCTCGAGTTCGGACGAAGCAGGTATTGTGTCTGTCGATGTCGCATCCGTTGATTTTGCTAGTTGCCGTAAAATGTTTCCCATGCTAGTCATGACTCTTCGTCGTTCAGTAACTGGATGCAATGGCAATTCCAATGCGGTATCGATGGCCTGGGAAGTTGCCGTAACCATGCAGCTTGTGAGATCGATCGAACTGTCCAGAGCATATCCGTTTGAGTCTTTATCCCAAAGCCAGCGCATACCAAAGATTGTTGTTTCCCTCCCATTGACAAATATAGTGTTCGCTAGGCGCAGTCCAATTTCGTGCGCGGGTCCTTTGCTGGTTTGACCAATCACGTCGGTTTGGAATGAAAACAAGAGATTGGTCTCTTCGCTAGCGGAGCTTCGAATGAGACGGGGTGGTGCAGCCTTTGCCTGTACACCTGACTGCCGTACTGCCAGAAGCGACATCCCTTCAGACTCACTTGAATTTGGGCTTTCGGACGTGGTGTTTGGGAGTGTGTCAACGACGGCTGCAACTGCATAGAGAGTATCGCACCCCGGGGAGTTTCCGTACAAGCGACTAAGGAATTGCGATAAGAAGGGGCTAGAAGAATCAAGCCAGTGGGCAAAGCTTGGGGTAACGAGAAGAAGAGGGATAGAAGCGGCCGCAGCTGATGGGCTCACAGGCCCCGAAGGAAGCCTGGATAAAATATCATCTGGGGTCTTTCATTTGTTTTTTTTAGCTATGATACCAAGAGCGCAGAAAGATTGAGTTTGCTTACTGTCTCTTCTGCTGTCTTTGTGAGCCATGTGTATGCAAAAGGCTGCCCATCCTTGGCCAGGCTCTGTGTCGCGTACCATCTATTTGCTCGCCCGAGGCTTCCACGGACTTTGCATGAGCGTAGAAGCTGCTGGTGTCCGCGATTGAGGGTCACCCTCATTTGGTTGAATCGCAATGACATTAAGGTATCAAAGTTCAAGCTGGTCCAATTAGGAAAACGCGGAAGTCATTGCGGAGGATAGTGGGTCAATCGCGGAGCGGAACATCTGTCTTCACCGTACTCCATAGGACTGACTGCAACGCAACTACGAGCAGCGATTCTCCATATGGTTGCTCTAGCTCCATCAAGCATAGAATGCTGAAGGTGCGGTAAATTTGAAACACGTATACTCGCAGACGCTATATCGATTAGTACGGACGGTATGGCATTGGAGCTGAGATGTGTGCTGGACATTGGCCAGGCAGGAGGTATCCTGCACAATTATGGAGAGTCATGCAGCACACTTTCCCTATAGCGCCTGTCCTGGAGACGGATGTTCCATTCAAACCCAATGCACTAGATTCCGATTCTCGAAAGGCCAAGGTGCTTTCCGCTTACAGGACACTGGAGAATCTGGATCACTGTTCCAGCAGCCTTAGAAGAACATGCACACCCTGCTGTCCACACTGAAGAAGCAGCCCGTACATGAAGTCTGCAGTGTATGCCTTGCAGTAAATCAGGAACTAGTTTTACTCCCTACGGAGTAGCAACCGTCAATGACCAAGATTTGACCAACGACATTGAGGATGGCTGGCAACAACTTTTGCTCGGAGTTTCTGGCTCGCCATATACGTCCCGCAGTGGAACTCCTGGCTACACTATAATTGATTTTGACTGAAGAACGATGTGCAAACCCGACTTCCAAGGGTCGAGATCAGTTTGCTGACTACAATATATATAGTAGGACCTTGTCCACTAAATTTGGTATGGAATGTATGTACATAGTTCCTCGGCTGCGTAAATGCTAGACCCGGTAGTCCACAGCCACTTTTCTATTTCAGTGAAGTCATAAGAGGCCAACCACATATCGAGACCAGGCGCCTTGGCAGGTGGGGGGCAAGGGCCATAGGGCTGGCAACCTGGGTTTTAGCGCCACATACTGCCTAGTAGTACGGAGTACTTACTCCGTACTTGGCGGGCCTAACCAGTAAAGATTCCTAGCAAAGTTTAGAAGTGACGATATCTGTAAAGATCGTCATAATCATGAGACTCAGGCTGCAGCATGGGTACATACATGGATACTATGTATGTAATAATAGAGTACTCTGTACTCATACTGTACGGAGTACTTTGTACAACATATACGCACTATAAATATCGACAACAGAACAAGAAAAAAAGAAAAAAAAAAAAAAAAATGCAGGCTAATTCCTAGTGCCAAGCTCCAGGCAGCAAGCAAAAGAATGAACGGGATAGGTGAGAGAACCTTGGAGAGTCGCAGCCGCCAGCACAGAAGATCATTATGTTGACAACCTTGGACAGGCCTGCAATTGTACTCCGAATGAAGTAGTGATTACCAAGTTAAAATTAAAATAGTCAGAAAAATCTAAGAAATATCACTAAACAAAATCAAACAACACATTTTGGTCATAGTCTAAGCCACATTTGCAGCCTGTTGGTGCCTTGATTTTACTAAAATGGTCCAGATTGTGTTTTTTTCCCTCACAAGCCACAAGTGGCGGCCCATGATGTAATGACCCAAAGCTCAGGTCAGGTCCCCTTTTAAGACTTCCCTCCCTCCACTTCCCTTCCCATTTCTCCCCGTTACATATTTCCATCAAATCTGCCCAAAATGCCTTTCACCGCTTCGTAAGTTATTCATTCTAGTCTTGACTTTCACGTTATTGTATCAACCTGTCACTCCGTCACCCTCACTCTCAGCCCAGTTGCCGGGGCGCCGAGTTGCCGGGTCGCCAGGTCACCAGCGAGTTTATGTCCAGTGTACTAACATCGTTGACAGTGACATCTGCAAGATCATCTTTGCCATCATTCTGCCTCCTCTGGGTGTTTTCCTGGAGCGCGGATGTGGTGCTGATTTCCTGATCAACATCTTATTGACCATTCTGGGATGGATCCCCGGTGTTATTCACGCCATGTATGTGTTGACTTGACGAGTTTCCAACCCCCCCTTTGACAGCTGCTGACGATATTACAGCTACATTATCTTCAAATACTAGAGATACCCACCTCCCACACAAACCTCGCAACCAACATTTTCCAAGACTAATACCCCTTGGAAAGCGATGCATTGCGACCAATTTCACAGTCCCTTACTCTTGGCTTGCGCTTTGAGTAAGGGTCAGTGCGATTCAATATTCAGAATGCCGGTGTCAGCGTGATTCCGTGGAGGTCCGGTTGAGACTAGCCTAATGCAGCCTCCACCACTTGGCATCGGGTCCGACATGAGTCCGGCATGATGTCCATAATTCCCCTAATCTTTTGTGTGGTCGCATGGTTATGTTTTATTTTGCTTCTTTTCCTTTGTCTTGCTTGATACTGCGGGTTTTGCTTTTTCGTTATGAATGATACCAGCTCATACGGTCTGACTCTGGGGCTTTGTGTTTACCTATGCTCACCGTTGGCTAGTCTTTTATGATTCAAGGGAATGGGATTTCTACTACCAACCATAGAGTTACTTCATAATTGTAGAGAAGTATAGCAAATAAATTGCCGATCGATTTCTAGGTACGGGGTCCTCCATGTGGGTACGTACCTAGAATCCATTATAGCCAGTAAAAGAGCAAATCAAACAAGATTTTCGATCCTAACATAATGAGTCTTGAGTCCTATGGATCTCAGCCACTTCTCTATTTCAATAGGCCAAGTCATTGATGCAAAGCGTTGCATGAGGCGGATGCAACTGCCCCGTAGGCTGTCGTACAATCACGGTGTCCCGATGGCCTGCCAGGGTAGCCCATCAGCAACTCCTGAATCCAGGCCCACACTTGGGAGAATGTGACTTGACCACTTGGATCATTGAGCTTCTCGCTCTTTGAGCGAGTCGAAGTGTTCCAGCAACCCTCAGATAAATCCTCGTCGGTATACCATCATCATCATCATCATCAGGCGGGTAACCCGCCACTCAAGCAAAACCAACGAGATGGAGCGTTGTATTACCCAAATCTGAAAGTCACAAGCCAATTATCCACCTGGGTTGAGAGATCTGAAACTTAGCCCGGCGCCATCCACAACTTGTTCTGCAGCTTAAGCGCTTTCAATGGCCGAGCGCGTATCAGGGCCGCTTACAAGGAACCCCCTTCTGACAGGGCGCTTTACCCCTACAGCGATTCGTCTCCGGTGTGGGGGATCTTACCATTTTCAATGTCATGCGGTTTCACTCTAGCGCTTATACATACATAGCCTCAAGCACTATGTTTCAGGACTGTTGGCAAATGCAGATTCTTGGCCCTAACTTTCGATGGGCGTCATGGTCACTTTTGCCTCGTGCCTAGAATGGCGTCGCGCTTTGCCTTCGTGTTTAACTAGACTGGACTCCCTCTTTTGGATGTTTGTTTGGCATTTACTTCTTCATTCCGGCGTTGTATCCTTGTTTCGATTTCACGCCATTTGCTATCCAGTTCGCAGACAAATCAACTATGGTAATCATATGTACAAGTTTTCGCGGGTAATCACTCCCATGAAGACACAAGGTCAGTTGATGGGATAAGAGCACATGGCAGGTCGTCGCTCATAGTGAACGTGTACAGGGCTACCGCAGCATGATCCTTCATTCTATTCACGGGATACTCTGCGCGATCCTCCTCTTACTCGCACTCTGCTCTGCCGCCGAAGATACTTCCAGCGATGCATCAAACTCAGCTCTGTACGACATGGTCCCAGACTGTGCGAAGGACTGCGTTGATAGCTTCATCAAGTCCGAATACACACCAATGGAATGCAAGTCACCGTCCAACATCAAGTGCCTTTGCCGCACCCAGACAGAAAGTGGCTTGACATTGGGAGAAGCAGCTTTGAGCTGTGTTTTGTCCTTATGCTCACAGACAATATCCGCAAAGTCCAAGGCTTATCACATATGCGACTCGGTGTCTGAGGCTCTTCCGAAAACACACCAGACGATTACCGCGACGATATTTTCCGATACAAGTACAACGGAGATGAGTGATGCAGAAACTACTCCAGTAGCTTCGATAACTGAACACGGCTCGGAGGCCTCTGCGACACCATCTATATCGACATCGACATCGACATCGATATCGGCATCGACTCCGACGACAACTACTCCCACCCAAACATCTGTGATCACATTCTATGATTCTTCTTCATCTTCGGGGCCTCAAGTGGAACCAACGTCCTCTACTGAACAAAGTTCCAGTGAATCTTCTGAAGCTACGGATAAGAAAGGTGATCATACTGTTACTCCAGCGGCAGTCATTGGAATGTCAGTAGCATCAGGTGTGGCAGGGTCTTTCATCATCGGCGTTGCGGTGTTTTTCTGCTGCAAGAGATGGCGTCGAAAACAGCGAGACCAGGCACCACCACACATCTTTGAGATCGGAGGCGCCATGTCTGAGCCGTCTGACTTTTCGAAACCGATGCCACCACTCCCAACAGACGGTTTAGGTGTAGGGTCTTCATACAGCCCAAGGAGTGGTCGTGAGACAATGTCACAACGACCGGGTACCTTTCATTCAATGGCCACCGTTCACCCACAGTCACAATACACGCCTCAATCCGCTGCGGCATATCACTCGAGTCAGAGCAAAGGGCCCAAAGATCAAGAACGGATAGGTTTTGCCATTAGCTCCGACTCAGACTGGGAAACCTCGCCTCGGACACAATCCTCACAGCACAGCGTAGCACGACTCATACCAGATCCTGCAGCTGGACTATACCCAAAGCCGCTGAAGTGGAGTCATCGGCCACCTAGTGGAGAGACCCTTTTTGAAGAAGACGAAAGTCAACAAGCGGCGGCGGCAGGAATGATTCAGAACAACTCCCCAAGGCTAGGGACCCAGCCGAAACTAGCGGGACTGCCGTCCAATCCACGCGCATTCATAGAGGGATTCACAGCAGAAAAATTCAAACGAGGGTCCGGGGCCTCAAGTACCTTAGCGCCCCCATTCAATCCCAACCCAGCCTTTAGAACCACCTCATCAAATAGCAGCGCTGCACCCATCCAACCCTCCGAAGCCCCACAAACCGCCTACTCCTTGAACCCAAAAACCCTCCTCGCCGCTCCCGTCAACATTACCCAGACCCAGAACCCCAGCCTGTCACCAGGACGACAGGCCCCTCAGCATTGCCCCGCCCCTTCATCAACAACTTTCCCCCAGACTCAGAGATAGTATCTAAACCGCGGATCATACGGGGGAATGACATCAAGCGTGTCCAGATCCGCAACAGTCCACGACCGCCTAGCGAAGTCATCGCGCCATACTGTCCAGATGACTTGTGGCTGGAGCGTGGACGTGCCCTCGCGCCGCCAAAATCCCGAGAGCCGTCTGGGGAATTGCCGTATCCTTCAGATATGTATCCTGGTGCTGTGCATTATCCCGATAGTCCGAAGAAAAGAGTCGGCACTGAGTCAAATCGGGTTTCTCCGACCAGTCGGAATTTGACGCCGTCAAGGCGAGGCGATGATTTGATTCTTCAAGTTGATTGATAGATTCATCTTGAAGGGGCTGTGGAATTTGTGTGAGAATTCGATTTTGTTGTATATTATTACCATGTTCATTGATACGGGTGGAGAGCTCTGAATTTTGAATTTTGTGAAAACATCTGTATAGAAATTTGATAATCTGCGTTGGCGATCGGCTCAGCTGGTTCTGATAGCTTGCGTCTCAGCTTTCTTCAATACAAGGTCTCTTTAAGTCTTAAAGAATGAGGTTGGAAATGAGAAAAGGGCAAAAATAGAAACGCGAAAAACGCGTCAAGCGTATGAGGCCAGGTATTGGCGGGGCTTAGATAAGGACCTGGGGTCTCCCCCCCAAAAGAGTAGAAAACCCATCGCCCGTGGACTTTTACATCTTAATCTTCAGTGGATTCGGAATTCATCCATTCTTGTTGCCAATGGCTTCAATGCAGACGTTCGTCCAGAGATCTACAATATTGCCGGTCTTTCCCCTAGAGCTCTGGGACATCATCATTGAATACCTATACGATGAAGAATCTTCCCAACACCTGAGCCGACTTGCTCAATCGTGTGCTACTCTTTATACAAGAATCAACTCTAAACTCTACAACCGCGTTCGCCTGTTTAATTCAGAAAGCGGGGCTCGTCTTGCTCTCACCATAAAGAAACATCCAGAGTTAGCACCGCTTATTCGCGAGATTCGACACAAGCAAGATGCTGGGTCAGAATTTTGGTCTTCTCGTCATTTGAAATTCTACGAAACGGCTGCAACTTTGCCAAACCTGGAGAACTTGAGTTTAAGAAGAAACCCGAGGCCTTTTGATTCTACTCGGTGGGCTAGTACACATGCTAGAGATGAGGCTATGTTGCAATGGGTGAGAAAGATTGCCTCTGGATCAGGTACCGTCAAAGAGTACCGAGAGTTGGGATATGGGCCTACAGGGGAATCGTCGTTCAGTCCTCCAGATCGTGAGCTTAGTTACATGCGAGACGGCGGGGCCGAGACTTTGTTCGTGCACGCTTCTCTTCTAGACCCGCCGGGACTGCCCTCTCTGCGTGTTTGTGAGTCTTATGACTGACTCTCTCTACTAAATCGAAAATCTAATTCCATCAGGTCACATCGGAAGCGACTATAATCATGACGAGCACAATCCTAAGATGGACGGCAGATGCCTACCAATATTCGATGAAGCACTATTCAGCCATCCAGGTTTACGAAAACTCTGTGTCACTGGTGCTATATTCCAACTTTCCCAGTCTATACTTCCAGTAATAACTACATCGTCGCCTCTGGAGGAACTGACCCTTCTGAACTGCATCATAAATCCATCGGACCTCGAAACAGCACTCGGGTACCCAAAAGCCTTGAAGCGATTCACGTTCAGAGGTCCTAGGTCACAGGAGATGGTAGACCCTGATGGGGAACCCCTATGTTATGTTCACTCGACGCTCATGCACGATAGTTCCCTGGAATACATGGATTACGATCTTTACTGGGGTGGTGATGAGGAGACAGACTTCGGCGAACTAGTTCAACTCAAGCATCTCACAACAACGCTCGCCACACTTACAGGGAGGGAATGCATAGAACTGGATCCCACTGATGATATTTTGCCGCCGAATCTGGAGAGTCTCACAATACGATACGATGAAGTGAAGCCATGGCTCCCTTCGGCTATTTACGAGATGGTGAAAGACAAAAAACTTGCAAAGCTGCGTCGCTTTACCTGCGAGATACCGGAAATCATGGAACACCTTCCATCAATCAATGAAGACAAGTTCAACCCTCCAGCCACCGAAATATGTCAGGAGGGCAACACCTGGAAAAGCAAGTTTGCAGAGCTGAATGTGGATATGTCGATGGTCTCAGTTCCTTACCCGCTTGAACTTTCCAAATACGACATGTGTTCTTGCGAATGCCTGAGCTTTTACCACCGGATGTTCTACCATCCATACAAGCGATTGGCAACTCCTTGGGAGGAAAATGGGTTGGGAGAGGAGGACGTGTTCTTTGATGACTGGGCCGATGTTGATGATGAAATTGACCTTGATATCCTCATGGATGATCTTGCGGAGGAGTCTGGATCTGACGTGTCAGCCTGAGGGCTTACTCTCGTAGAACTCCCAGGTTCGATGCACCTCTTGCGCCTTGCGCGAATGCCAATATAAAATTGTGGCATAAGCATCTTCCATGTGTGGGAACGATTGAACTCGTCAGAAGTAGAAAACTAAATCAAAATATCATAAATTCAGTACATCTTCCGGGGGGATGTGTGATTGGTCCTGTGGATTGATTGTGTATATAGAATCAACTAAAGTCCCCTGGGAGGATAAGAACTATACAATGTAAGTTAACGCAGCCCAGTGGAGACGCTGACAGGGGTTTGCCTCAGATTCTGTCGATCTTCATGTGTCGGCAGATACATCTCTGGATCAAGATCTTTTGCTTGTGTCTGCATTCATGGGGGACTCCTTATGGCGCTTATCAAGAAGCTTACGTAGGTAGCCAAACGCTCGTCAGGAAAGAAACACATTAGGTCTCGACTTGGCATGTGAAAAGCTACCAACAATGCCCACTTCTCAACTCAACGACACTCACTCGGCTACCGTGATTGTGACCATTACTCTTAACGGATACAGATACACAGACTGCCCTTAGACTCAAGTGAAAATTCAACGATTTAGCTTCCGTTCCCATCAAATCGCTCGGGTGCAAAGTTCACCACACTGGGCTTCCGCAGACAGCCGCGTGTAACGCCAGCCCTAGAATCTACCCTGTTCAGTTTTTATCCCTTGATCAAGGGCTGAATTTATAGAGACTCGCAAGCTTGCAGTGCGCAGGATCTTGTGGTCAGGCAAAGCCTTTATCACGGATTAGGGTATGCATGCACAGTAACGCTCTGACCACGCCTGGCAGGTATCCCATTTATTAGGAGGTCATCTGAGTTCAGGGCATGAAAATGTTCATTGCGCTGGGTATCCGAATAGCAAGACTGGAACTTCTGCTCTTGGCCCCTACTTTTTTGTATTCGCAAGGATTTTTTTCATAGGGCATCCCAAATCATCTGTGGTTGTGGCTTGCCCGACGTCTTCTCATGAGTCTCATCTGCATGTTGGCCCGAGGTCGTATCAGCATGTCCATCTGGTCTAGGCCCTGCTCTTCGACACTTCAAAATCCAGATTATATCATGATCTTTATGCGGTATAAGGCGCCATCAATCCGTTGTTAATTTGCTGGTTTTGACCTCCGTTCCTGATGAGGTTCAGGCTCATGACGTCAATGGCCCTGACGCCTTGGATAATCCCTTGGAGGCTTTTCAACGGAACTCCGCGCTTTTTACTTAACCTGTTGAGCACGAAAGCAGGTGTACAGGTTGAATTACATAGCCTGTCGACTCCGAAAACCTGCCAACCATTGGCTATTTAAACCGGAAATGCCTTTACTTCAATTTCCAGGAACTCCACTTTCTTCCACATCTCTTATCAAATCAACGTCATCAACCCGATGCACCGGTTTCCATGCGCCAAGGATGTGCCGTTGATGATCCTTTTCGGTTTCAGATTTGGGCTTGTTTTAACCCAGGATGACGAGGTCTGAGCCTGATGAAAGGGGTGGGACCCCGTTTTGGAGGGGAAGAGGGTCGGATCCAAAAACCCACTCCGTTTGGGCCTTTCTATATTAACTAGATTTCCCTCACCATTTCGATTCCATTTGCACTTTATCTGCTTTGATCCTGCATATATAAAACACCTGTACTGCACACCGCAAGGATCTCTATCGCTTGTGTCCCAGTGAAGAGACAAATATTATATACATCCTCATCCACCGCAGTGATCACCGTGTACCCGCACGCCCCACACGCTTCATCATGGCCCCAAATAATGATAGATTCGGACTCCAAAGTCTCCGACTTGACCTGGACAACGCTCGGGCCGATCTCTATGGCCCCAATCTCATTGTCCCTAAGGATTTGCCGTCTTCAACTTCTTCAACTTCTGACCATATCTTCGACGCCGATATGACCAAGCCAGAAGTCTCATCAACGAATACCTCACCAATCAACACACCTATGCCAAACCCTCCACAGGTTACTAGTGATGACTTTGCACTAGCCTTCGACATCGATGGCGTTCTCATCAAGGGTGGCGAGCCCATTCCTGCAGCCGTTGATGCCATGAAGTATATCAACGGCGAAAATCCCTACGGGGTCAGAGTGTAAGCTTGTACCCTATGTGTTGCTTCCTTTATGATTCCTTCACAGCATGAATTCCTTATTACCCCTCACCCCAGGATGAGGGGTAAAAATTGCCTAGAGGAAGTAGAATATGAGTCTAACGGCAATATACTAGTCCTTACATTTTCTTGACCAACGGCGGCGGGAAAACAGAGAAAGAGCGATGTCTCGATCTCAGCAGACAACTCGACCTGGACGTCGACCCTGGCCAGTTCATCTGTGGCCACACGCCTATGCGCGAAATGGCAGAGCGATACCACACCGTCCTGGTGGTTGGTGGCGAGGGCGAGAAATGCCGCGTTGTGGCTGAAGGATACGGATTCAAGGATGTCATCACACCGGGAGATATCATCAAGACCAGACACGATACTACACCGTTCCGGACGTTGACGGATGAGGAGCACGATAATTCCCGACTACTCGATCTGGACAAGGTCCGCATCGAAGCCATCTTCGTTTTTGCAGATAGTCGCGACTGGGCCGGCGACCAGCAGATCATTTTGGATTGCCTCATGACCAAAGACGGCTGGTTGAATACACGGTCTGAGACCTTTACCGAAGGTCCACCGGTTTTCTTCTCGCATACTGATGTGGTTTGGTCAACATCACATGAACATTCGCGTCTTGGAATGGGAGCGCTGCGCGCTTCCCTTGAGGCCGTTTACACGGCTCTCACAGGCAAAGACCTGAACACTACTGCCTTCGGTAAGCCGCAAATCGGAACCTATGAATTTGCCACCCGGCTTTTGCAAAAGTGGCGAAAGGACTCGTGTGGAATCGACAAGTCCCCGTCCACCGTGTATTTCATCGGCGATACTCCGGAGTCCGACATCCGCGGCACAAATGAATTCAACAAGACCACGGAAAATGACTGGTTCTCGATTTTGGTTAAGACTGGAGTCTACCAGGATGGTGCAGTTCCGCGCTATCCACCTAGGAAGATTTGCGATAATGTTTTTGATGCTGTCAAATTTGCTATCGAGCGCGAGCACCGAAAGACTTCCAAGGGCACAACCGTTTCCGAGCTCGACTTTGACACCAGCCAAGAAGTTTGCAAATAACCAATTCCTGGTATTATGTGATCCTCTTTCGCCCATGGCTGCACTTTCAATCGATTTCCCATCAGTCTAGTCTATTCTTACGATTTTTAATGGCCTGTTTGAGATGATTCCCAGTTCTTCTGAACTTATGCACTTTGTCGCGTTTCATGGCATAGGCCTTTTACATATACAGTTCCAATAAACAATACAAATTTTCTAGTACCACTGGAACCCATGAATGAATCAAGAAATGTTCTATAAGAATAATCCGAGCCTGGCCTTGTGAAGTGTTCCTAGTAATTTGAGATGTAATTTATTAGGTATTTTCTCTCCTGTAATAGACTTGAAATGTTCATAGCTAACTAATATCTACGGGGAGATAACCAATTAACTAGTTAACGGACATCAGAAGCATGAATACTGAGGCGCTCCGCCCTGTGGTTGACACGACCCACCAGGCGGGAATGTCCTCATAAAAACAGAATCTCTCCTTGAACGATACCAATTTCCTCAGCGCAAAAGCAGCACCAAGTAACAAGAATGGTACGAACCCTCTGGATTTAGCCGGATCTACCCTTACTCATGCGCCAACCCAGATCCCTAGGACAGAGGCAGTGTACCTTGATGATGCCACGCTGCGGACATTGACCACAGAGGTTCTATCCTCCCAGTCAATACCTTCACTCTCTGAACAAGAAAAAAGCTTAGCCAAAAACGTGCCTGCGGAATATAATGCAATCATCATGCGCCGCACTATATTTTATGCACAAGGCGGCGGACAGCCCAGCGATACCGGCGCAATTGGACCACTAGATCAAGATCCCACATTTGAAGTCTCACTGGTACGCAAGACGCCCGATGGACGGTTTTTGCATTTTGGAAAATTCTTGGATGCTACCTCTTCCTTCGTCACAGGCCAGCCTGTCGTGCAGAAGGTCGATGACTCAAAACGCAACTATCATTCCCGGCTCCATACAGCTGGTCACATTGTGGGGCTAGCCATGCAGCTTTTGATGCCGGATAAGAAAAAGGTCAAGGCCAATCATTTCCCGAGGGAGGCTTCCATGGAGTATGAGGGGCTACTGTATAATGAGCACAAGCCGGTTATCCAGGAAAAGGTCGATGAGCTTGTACGGCTGGATCTGCCTATTCTTATTTCCTGGCTACAGGGTGTCGTGCAGGTTGGCGATGGGGAAGGTCCTGAAGAGGGTTCTCATGATGGTCGTACTCGGATTGCAAGTATAGGTGGGCTCGATCAGAATCCCTGTGGTGGTACTCATGTGGCGAGGACGAGCTTGGTTGGGTCTGTTGTCATTCGCAAGATCAGTCGGCAAAAGGGGATCAGTCGGGTGTCTTATGATGTTACTCCGGGAATTGAGGCATAGCTTTGTATTTGCTTGTCATTATGGTGATATGAAATATCCAAAAATTAGTTAGTGGGGTGCTGAGACTGTAGATACATGCTCTAACGCTGGAGAAAGGCTTTGTGTTTAATCACGAAATCATAACGCGAACTCATTGTCTAGCCAATGCTTTATCACAATCTTGCCCTCTCGGAACCCATCTTTCTCGGCTCGGACGATGATAGCTGCGTGGCTGTGGTGGTGCGTCTGTATGTGGACGGGATATTTCCGAATTCCAACAAAATTGAGGGAATCGATTATGCCAAATTGTTCGTCGGTTAATGCAAGCTTGGGAGAATAGGCTGAAGCCTCCATCGTTGATGAACGTCTATCCAATGCAGACTCAACGTCGGCATCGTTTTGAGCAGACTTCGAGACGGACAATCTAGCGGACTTCTCAGGTGCTGTGTCAGATACTTCAGTGTCGCTGTTGGACAAATAAGCTGGTTCTTGAATAGCATTGACATTCTCAAAGGCTTGCTCCACGGCATGCTGAACGTCTCGGATCATAACCGGTACTCTGTATCTTCCAAAGCGCTTGCCATTCTCGCCAACTTCATGCATTCGAATGCGTTTCGAGCTGCGAAGTGTCTGGATCCCGGCATTTATCAAGAAGAGTGTAGAAGCCAGAGGCACGAGAACAACGAGCAGGAGCGACAGAGGTATCCAAAGGGTTGCCGATTTCAATTTCTTCCAGAATCGTGCTCTTGTGGTTTCAGGTTTTCTCTCCACCGGAGGAAGCACATGAAGGTCGGGATCGATAATGACATTTTCATAACCCTCGACGTAGTTGATATTCAGGTCTTCCAGATCCCGGAATGGATCCACTTTGGAGAGACCCGAAGTATAGAAGAGAACTGAGCGGTCATTGACAATATTCGCATAAACACTACGCTGCCGGAACTTCTTCAGTCCATTTATGAAGATGCTCTCCGGATCAGCCAGAACACCGAGCAGCGGTCGCCCAGTATCTCGGAAGGAATCAACCAGCCACATTTGGCGGCCAGATGCCGAGATCGTCCTTGGCCCTAGAACATTGAAAATTTGATCCTTGTACCCTTTCAGTGGGGCTCTCACTCCGACATGAGGCGTGGCAAAGGTTGTGAAGTTCATGGGTTCTAGTTTATCTAGCCAGCCCCGCGCATTGAGCAAGCCGATCGCATAGCGCGCGAGCAGACCACCAAGCGAATATCCGATAATACTGATTTTTGTGATCTTTTGTCCCTTCTCGGCTAAGGATTCAAGCGTCTCCTCAACCTCGTGCACTAATCGCTCTCCACCCAACTCGATTCCATCGTAGGTATAGTTGCCGCTATTGGCTTTCGGGCAGAAGACGTAGAGGTGGCTTCCATATCTATCTCTGAGTGAGGATGCGATATAATCGAGGTGCGAAGGATTTCCCCAAAGTCTGAAGATTTGGCGCATTAGCGGGCTTATCAAGACGTCATTGGAAAGGGGACACTAGCATACCCGTGAACTAGCACACAGAGGTGGTCGGCTTTGGAGATATCTGGTGATGTTTTGCTTGTTGACTCCATCTTTGAGACTGAAATTTTTATTCCAGAGGAAAAGAAATAGGAGCCTACTGAAGGAGTATTTATCCTGCGGATGTCTGTTTGCCCGAAGGCCGCGGATCTGCGGGCGTCAGCCTGGAGCTATCGGCGATAAGGGACCAGGCGAATTCTCGATGTACAACATAGATTCATATGTAAATCTGTACGCAGATCTATGTTTGTTCATTGTCGGAGATTATGGACTTCTCAATCATATCGAGTAGAAGCATGAATTAATAGGAAATAGCATCAGAGCATCTATGTCTGCCTGCAATATCAGGCAAATGTTTGTCTTCTTTGCACCCTTGACTTATCACTTCACTGAACAGCTTCCAATACTGTTGTCCTCTAGTGATGTCAATCTGATCTCTTAATCCCTTCAAATCTGCGATTCCTGTCTTAAGCTCCAGTTAACTTGTTTGGGATAGCACAGTTTAGCTTTATTTCAATGATCTTCGCCACTAGCAAGCCCTGAAGGATGCGATAGCGTTACTTACAATCTTCGTTTCGGTCTATTCAGTGCACAAAACAAATACAGAAGGGTCTATTGGGACGATAGCTATACATATTCATTATGTATTTCTAGGATCTGTGATTGATTTTGACTGGTGGCTCTTACAGTTAACACGTGGGTATCTACATCTTAACCTGTCTTCTCATCTGGTCACATTTATCATGTTCACATCGCTCGGCCTGTTTGGGTCAGTTTCATGCCCGCGAGGCAAGGATTGCAGTCTTTTAAAATGCATATTTTCTCATGACAATGTGCCGGAATCTTCTGAGGCTCAGTCTCTGAAGATTCCAGCGTCAGGTGACGATGGCCCTCCCTCTAAACGGGTCAAAGTGGAAAGTGTACAGTTGCCAGGGTCTTCCATCCCATCTTGCAACTTAACAGAATCGTCCCTCGAAATGGGTCGGCGCTCATCGAAACCAGTCGCCCCTAAGCAATATCAAAAGACACAAGACAGCTCAAGAGCACAAGAAGCCACCCAGCCTACCTCAAGCCATGGCCCTCCAAACCCCTCTGGTAGTGAGCCTGCGAAGCGCATCAATACCGCATCCGCTGCATCTTCAGCAAAGCTTCCCCCACGCAAGGCTCCAAAAGAAACTTTGAATCCTCGCATGCTTGCTCATGCACCAGCAACTCACGGCACTCGGACTGCTATTCTCCAGAAGCTGCACTCCGCCATGACTGCTCTCAATGAAAAGCTACGAAAGGACAAAAATAGCTCGAATAGATGTTTCGTCCTAACCCCCGATGAAATCATCACAATGGCTCTGGATGAGGAAGAAAAGTTCGCGAGGGACAGTCCAAGCGTTTACGGCAATGTTATCAGGCTTCGAATCGTGAGAGTTACAAAGATGGACATTGACGAATGGGTCAAGGAGGTGATGTCTCATCTGAATACACGATACTATAAGATAAACCCCGTCCAAAAGCCTCAGACGATACCCAGGCCGATTAACACAGGCCTCACTCCTGCAGAAGAAATCACAGTTGTATCCCAGCTAGTCACGCCCCTTACTGGCCTCGAAGAACATGGATATGTCACAACACAGCCCACGAACGCAGAGATAGAAACTGCAAAGCGAGGTGTTGATGGGTCCAAGGGCTGGGAGAAGTGTGACAGATGCAGTCAACGATTCCAGGTATTTCCAGGCCGTCGGGAGGATGGTGCCCTGACCAGCGGTGGCCACTGTGACTATCATCCAGGACGGCCCGTTTATCCTCAGCGCAAGAAAACAGACCATGTTACCGGTCCCTCCCAGCCATACTTTCCCTGCTGCGGCGAAGCACTGGGGACATCTACGGGCTGCACCAGAGCCGAGACACATGTCTTCAAAGTCTCGGAGAGCAAGCGACTCGCATCCATTCTCCAATTCAAGAGAACGCCATCGCAGCCAGGAAAGGGACCACTGGAACCAGTGTCTATTGATTGCGAGATGGGCTACACGACATTGGGTCTCGAATTGATTCGTCTCACTGCAGTCAGCTGGCCTGAGGGGTCTGATTTGCTTGATGTGTTGGTCCGGCCTATGGGCGAGGTATTAGACCTCAACACGCGCTTCTCCGGTGTTACGCCACAACACTATGCCTCCGCCAAGCCGTATGGCACTCCAATTCCCAGCATATCTTCACCGTCAATAGACGAGACAAAGAAAATCAACCCACCTTTGCAACTTGTTCAGTCACCCACAGAGGCGCGCGAGTTGCTTCTGAAGCTCCTTCAGCCTGAGACACCTCTCATCGGCCATGCAATCGACAATGACCTGAACGCTTGCCGTATCATCCACCCTACCGTTATTGACACCGTCCTCCTGTACCCTCACCCCAAGGGTCTTCCCATTCGTATGGGTCTCAAGGCTCTTGCTCAAAAGCACCTTAGCCGTGACATCCAGGTCGGGGATAATGGACACGACTCAAAGGAGGATTCAATTGCCACGGGTGATCTTGTAAGAGTGAAAGTGGGCGAGAAATGGAAACTGCTGAAGAAGGACGGACACAAAATCGAAGGGGGAAAGTTGGTTCATCCGAGTGGCCGAGTACCAACAGCCACATCTTCATGGACAACGGTCCAGAAAAGAAAGTTCAGCAGATGATCGTGGATATGTAATCCTCACTCCCATCTCCCATAATATGATTTTCACTCTTGTATACAATACCCATGTATGTGTATTGAACGGACGGCATTTTACAATCTACATTGTTGCGTAGGAATAACATGAGGGTATAAACTTTTTTAGTTTTATTCGTGGCCTCATAGACCAATCTAATCCCCCATGGCTCTCACTCTCAATCCAAACAGACGTTCCGAGCGCGATACACAGACCAGAAGCGATCGATCAACGGGGCAAAGAAACAAGACATGTCGGGAGCGACACGCTTATTCCTCATCCTCCTCAGCCTCGTCGTTGACGACGTTGTAGAAGCGGAGCTCGTAGACACCCTTGGAGGTGGAGACGACACGGAGCCAGTCACGGAGCTGCTGCTTCTTGAGGTACTTCTTGGTGCTGATTTGCAGAAAAGACAATGGTCAACAAAACTGCAATCGAGCATATCGGGAGTCACCCCGGAGTATAGATAGAACTTACAGGTACTTCAGGTAGCGGCCGGAGAAGGGGATGTGGGCAACAACCTCGATCTTGCCATCGCCGACCTGGGAGATGACGACGTTCTCGCCAAGGTTACCGACACGGCCCTCGACCTTGATGCGGTCGTGGAGGAACTTCTCGAAGGCGGAGACATCGAAGATCTTGTCGCTAGCGGGCTGGGAAGCGTTGATAACGAACTTCTGGGTAACCTTCTGGGCCTTGCGACCACGAGCCTATACCATATAGAATCGAATTAGCCTACTGCTCCATAATGTCGAGCCCCGGTGGTAATCTCGCGACTTCGTCTTCGACATCAGAGACTCGATAGTTTTTTCAATACCGAGTTTCACACTGTTGTCGAAGACGAGCTCGCAGAGACTCCGATGGGGGGGAACAGCAAAGCGATTTGGACTTCAACGTACAGCAGCGGGAGCCATTGTTAATGGATTGGGGGGGGATGGATTTTGGAGAGTTGGGAAAGGTCGCAAAGAGGTGAATATCCTGCGCCGACGAGAGAGTGGTCAAGACAACTTCCTAAATTTCACAGTGGAGCCGATTTGGTTATCAAAAATTCACGTCCAGAGGTGTGTCGCACTAGTCTAGATTGGGACATAGGGTAGGGCAAAATTGGGTGAGTCAGCTGAGTGAGTCAGCACATCGCTTAGGCTCGGAGCTATCAGCTATCTCCGATTGGCTCGTCTAATCGTGACTGGCAGAGATCCACCGCCCTCAGGGTATAAGTAAGTCCCTTTGCCCTCAAAGCTTCCTCTTCTTTTCTTTCTTCTTCAGCTCTCTTTGCCTATTGGCTTAGATCAAGTGTAGTATCTGTTCTTTTCAGTTTAATCTCTGAAAGTTTCCGTCCAGGAAACACTTTGATTATTCCTATTTTTGGACCCCGCGACTTGGCCCCTGTGCTTGCGCATGCCTCGTCGCACAGTGTCATTGGGCTCACACTACCCCCGATCGACGCGAACTCCCTTTTTCATCAATTGTTCGGCTTGTCCGGGCGCTTGGAGAAGATGTCTTGTTCCTGAAATCTAGAGTAGCAAAAACGTAAATGCTCGTGAACAGTTCGATCTCAGTTTGTTCTTGATTTCTTGCTGCCATGTCCCGGAGATCACTGGTGATAGTAGATGGCGTGCGTCCTACGATAAAACTTCTTCGTCGCATACTAATATGAGAGCTTGAATAAGATGTCATCAGCCACTCCATCGCTTGATGTCTCTATATGTACTGTGTGTCACTCAAGAATAGACCAAGCATCTTAGACAACCTGCCACTACTTCGTACAACATACTGTGTACTCCGTACTAAAAAATAGCTAGATGGGTCACATGACGTTACAGCTTCGATCGCGGGGGGCCAATCGATAAGCCCTCCATTTTTTTCCATTCCGCATACATACTCCAAGGTGTTGACGCAAAACCAGCCATCGCAATGGGTTCTATCGTCCTCCCTCACTTGCAAACAGCCTGGCATGTTGACCAGGCTATCCTTTCTGAAGAAGAACGCCTGGTGGTGATACGATTCGGGCGAGACCACGATCCCGACTGTGAGTGCCACCCGCATCCATTCGCAGGGTCCCAGAACTAAATCACATTCCCAGGTATCCGCCAAGATGAGGTCCTCTACAAAATCGCTGAGCGGGTAAAGAGTGAGTGACCAAGATACTAACCCCTCCAGCAAACCGACCAGCAGCTAACAGGGCTACCTCCAGACTTCGCCGTCATCTACCTATGCGACCTCGACCAGGTACCGGACTTCAACCAGATGTACGAGCTTTACGATCGGATGACAATCATGTTCTTCTACCGCAACAAGCATATGATGTGCGATTTCGGCACAGGAAACAACAACAAGTTGAACTGGGTGCTGGAGGACAAGCAGGAGTTGATCGACATCATCGAAACGATATACAAGGGCGCTAAGAAGGGCCGTGGTCTGGTGGTCAGCCCCAAAGGTACAAGCAAGATCCACTCTGGAATAGGAATGACTTCGCTAACAGCCGGCTTTTACAGATTACTCGACCAGATATCGGTATTAAGCATTGCCTCTCTCGCCGCGTGATCACACTGGCACCGGCCAGTGTGTGTATCGCTTTCTTACGACATTTACGACGATCATAGACATGGTCTGGCAATAACAAAACCTGCAAATATGTTCATGATTCTGGAGTTTTTTTTTGGTTTTTTTTTTTTTCCGGGGAGGAGTCGGTTTTGCAGTCGTTTTGACTGGGGTGACCACTGAACTTATACAATCCTCATCATTTGAGATCCAAATCTCTTCATAAGCAACGGGGAACACTCATAAGCTTTATCAAACATCCCGTGGCTGGTAGCTGTATTCTGGTGTCGTAAATCATAATTACACGGCACCTTATGACCTTGAATTGGAGGAAACTTCATTTTTCGAAAGTAGAGTATATTCAAGAAGCGATATCACAACTTTTCATATAACTTTTAGTTTTAAAAAAGAATTGTGGCATGTTGCGCAAGCTATCTTAGTTATTTGAACATGGATTTTGACGTAACGGAATTCGAACACCACATCTCGCAGATCTGCCTTCAATTCTCTCAAATACCTCTCTGCAACCACAACCCAGCAACAAAATGATTGACCAACGTATTTTCGAGAATCTCCAGACCAAGATTGACGAGGAGAGCACTGTCCGGGATGTAAGTTATACCAACGCGTCCAGAGTTTGGTGAATTCTTTGCGCGCCAAGCCTACACCGGAGCAAGGCCCTTGAGCCAGGAACATCGACGAATAGTTAGCTAACACTTTTGTATAGGAGCTACATGAGATTGTCCAAACACTCGCTAGAAGAGGTACGCTTTGCAATTTTTGACTCCGATCAGGATTTTCGGGGTGTCTGCCTTTTCGGGGACGGCGGATTGAAGTCGCAGGTCAAACATGAGGGCTGATGTTGATAAATACAGGACGTTCCACACAGGCTATCCTGTCGCGGGCTCATTCCACTCCCGCTGATCAGCGTAAGTATCCAGTATCTATTGCAAGCAGTCTGATGAGAATATTGGGATATCACTCTATTCGATCTTTGGCCTCACTGCCTGGTCACTGCTCTTTTCTCTCTCTCTTCCTCCCCGTATAACCTTCAAACACCTTTAGATTTCCCTCGGGCGACATTCAGCACTATTGCTACAGGTATCATGGATCATCTTGCTGACTTCTACAATAGTGAAGCCTGTGCTTGACGATGTTACTAAGGAAATCCTTGCCCAGAAGCAAGAGGTTGCTCGCCTGAAGGCCGTGGCAGATCAACATCCCTTCTACAAGTACAACGGGCTATGGACCCGTGAGCTGCAAAATCTGGTTTGCTTTCTTGAATTCAACGTTAGAAGACTTCTGCTGATTAAATCTAGGTCGCCTCTATTGAGCTTTGCGCATGGCTGGGAGGGCTCCAAGAGCACAAGGGACCCAGCTCAACATCTTTCATGACAATCGAGGACGTGGGCAAGTTCCTGGACAGTACGTTTCTGTCCCCCTATCTATGATAAGCATCACGGGTGCTGTATGCATAATTAATGTACAATACTAAGTGACATTCTATCATTAGTTCCTGTCAACCTCAAAGAGCAGGATGCCTTCCACTTGACGATTGAGGAGTACTTACTGGCACTGATTGCGATGGTCGAGGAACTGGTTCGTTTCCCGCAATCTCATGGCTTTTCTGTCTGGCTGCAGCTAATTTGTTCCCAGGCCCGCTTAGCCGTTAACTCAGTCACCCTGGGTGACTACACCCGTCCCATGCAGATTGGCAACTTTGTCAAGGAATTGTTCGCTGGATTCCAGCTCTTGAACTTGAAGAACGATATCCTACGCAAACGCAGCGATGGTATCAAGTACAGCGTATGTTGAGTCCACTGCAACGCCTACTTCACTGTTTCAAATTTCTAATCTATTTGGCACTACAGGTCAAGAAGGTCGAGGATGTGGTCTATGATCTGTCGCTAAGGAACCTGGTCCCCAAGGGTGGTCCCTCTACTTGAATAGGGGCATCAGGGACTCCTAGACTTACCGAATTGAGCCTCATGGCGGAAATGGAAATAAATCCAAGAACTGATCAAGCGACTGTTGCAAATTTGGTATCAATGGGCTTTGATATTGAAATATAAATTATTATTACCACTCGGTAAAACTCCCATCGTAGACCGAAATCGCAAACCGAAAAGGAGTAATATGTCACAAGCCGAAGCACCGGGATATAGATACAGAAAAACAGATGAAGGTATCACCATAATGGTTCAGAAAGAACACCTCAAGCAGAGCCTTACGACAACTTGGCCTGCTCAGCTCCAGCCTCACTCTTCTTCAGCGAAGCAAGAGTGCCCTCTTTCTTTGCCTTCTCGATCTCCTGAACGATGGTGTCCTGAAGTCCTTCGGGCTTGGTAAGGGACGCCCAGCGGCCAACAACCTTGCCATCGGCGGAGACGAGGAACTTCTCAAAGTTCCACTTGACGCGCTTCATGCCCAAAATCCCAGGCTGCTGCTCCTTCAAGAAAGTCCAGACCGGTGCAGCGTTAGCGCCGTTAACATCCAGTTTTCCAAGCACAGGGAATGTGACTCCGTAGTTGACCTGACAGAAAGACTGAATTTCATCGTCCGAGCCAGGGTCTTGGCTGCCGAACTGGTTGCATGGGAATCCGAGGACGGTGAAGTCTTCGGGATACTGGGCCTTCAGGTTCTGGTAGAGTTTTTCCAGGCCTTCAAACTGGGGAGTGAAGCCGCATTTCGAGGCAGTGTTCACGACTAGGACGACCTTGCCGTTCAACGAGGAGAGGGGGAAGGGTGCGCCCTTTTCTGTTCGTATGTGGCGTTTGGTTAGCGATTAGGTACTTTGGGGCTTGTGTATGCGTGAGGAAGTAGATAGGCAAGGGCGCAGGGGTTATACGTACTATCGACGGGCTCAAAGTCAAAGAAAGATGTAGCAGACGACATGGTTGTGATTTGACGTGGATATGCGAAAAGAGGGAACTGTCTCTGGAGTGTTCGCGGGGTTGAATACAATGACGTCGTTAACTGGAAAGTTGACCGGAAGGACTTGGCAGAATATGAGACAGCGGAATTTTGCAAACACGAGAACATGACTCTCTTCTTGTAGTTCTTCTGATGGTCTAGATGAACCGAGGTCAAGTCACTTTCTTACCAATTGGCCATGGGCTGGCCACACGGTATCCAGAGGAGCCGACGGACCTGGAAATCGTCCGAGCCGATTGATGAATGGCTTTGATTGGGCTGTTTTCTGATTGGTTCATCGAGCAAACTGGGCAGTGCATAACGTTATTCCAAATCATTGCTGACTGTAAATGAAATCTAGAGTCATAAGGGCTTTGGGTTAGCTCCCAATTATATATTGTAAGACTTAATATTAGTTATGTGTCTATATCTGTAGATAATCAAGGCCTTCATGATAATTACTCAATTAAATAGAGGTGGACCCCAAAACGATTGATATATATATATATGTTGAGTAAACAACAATTCCACCGGTAACTTTTCCTGTCAGTAATTTCAAGACACAGAAAAATAATAAAATTGACAAAATAGGAAATACGTACATCTGTATAACCCCGAGAACATGCCATTTGGCAGTTAGCTGCCTATCACTGTCCGCTATGGTAGTTAACACGAAGGCTCTGGTAGAAACCCACTGAGAGCCATGCAAATTAAATGCTGCCTAAGGTTTTCAACATGGAAGGCTTCTTGACACTGCTTTTAGCCATGGGTCACGCGCCAATGACCATGAATGGACAAATCAAGACTACATCCCCGAAAGCGGATCAATGCCGGCATTAGACCCACGTCCTGTTGTTCTGGGGAGAGCGACATTTCAAAGGCTCCAATTAAGCTACAGCTACGCGCGACGTCGAGATCAACTTGAAAGTATCAAACCAACATGGGGTTACGTATTTCCTAAAATTTGGAAGACTAGGCCGGGCAAAGAGAAAAGAGAACATCAATTTGTGGCAATGCTGTCCCTCTCAAGGCTGAGTACCTGGAAGTCACACACGGATACCGAATACTACTTGAAAATATTATACATAAAAGTCGAGTAATCATAAAGCCCCCAAAGAATGACTATATGTAGGAAGAAATGAAGAATAGAAAGTATATCGTAATGACTCAGTATGGCCGCAGTAGTCTCTATCATACTAGTGGCGCGAGAGACAACGCTTTAACCGGCACCAACGGCACTGCTGCCGATGGGAAAACCGCTGTTGGCACGGCTGGAAATGCTCTCGATTCTCTCCCCAAGTGGGGCATTTTCATCGCGCTTAAGAGCACCTTCAGGATAATGGCGGGGACAGCGCTTTCAAGTACATGATACTTGTAATGGTCTTAGCAGTCTTACCAAGAGCAGTGGTATGATCACACCTAGGGGCGCTAGTCAGGCCGCTAACGGCAGAGGTGACAGGCGCAAAAATGTTAGCGGCGTATCTATGGTATAACAAACACCACCAACGGCATCCTCAATGCCAGCAACAGAGCCCTCCACATTGCCGAGGCTTGGGAGAGTGGGAGAGTAGGCTAAGCTAGCGAGGGCAAGTGGAATGGTCAATCCAGTGAGCTTCCTTATTGAGATAGTTGTATCGAAAGGGCTGAAAAGACTGAGTTGGCGAAGAAGCAGTGTACAGACATAAGAACAGTGACGAGAATTGGTAGAATAATAGTATACAGAAGCGAATGCGGAGATGTTGAGACGTAAAGGCCGAAAATGATATAATTGATTCCCTGGGGTTGTTTTAGCAACGTGCTTCGTGCGGTCATCCGGAGCTCCCTCGGATTTGGGGTGATCTCGTGTATTCTCATGTAGTGAAGATCACAATGTGAGAGATTTCGCATGGTCTAGTGGAGCATATATAACCAAATCAAATATTCCTTCGTCAGAATGAGAAGAAATAACACCAGCCAACGATCGGAAACTTTCCGAAATCCAGTGAGGGATGTATATTAGCGCATTGACCAGAGGACTTGGGCAAGGGTCCTTATATGCTAGGCTTAAAAATGTCGATCACCGACTTTCTCAAAGGGAGTCTGGAGGTGAGTTTGCCCATGTGGAGCATTCGAACTTGAAAACAAAACAGTTCCATCGGACATCCTTGCGTTGACTCTGCATGAAACCCAGCCTCTACCGATATTGCAGTATCCACCCTGCCCTTGGTGCTTACTGGCGTATGGAGGGATGCTCTGATCGAAAGTGGAACCTGGAGGCTGTCTGTTTGTTCTTCGTTGGAAAATCAGTCTGTAGTTAGCGAAACCGGTTCGCTAGAGATATCCATGTATGCCTTATCAGGGTAGACTGTGACTACATGATCTATTTCTCCGAACCTAAAAGAAACCACCAGGAATGACCAGTCAAGCATGGAGCCACAAGCCATTGAGAATGAAAGTCACCATTGAGGAGATTCAACATTCGACAAATCATAAACAGTTGCATCGAGCGAATTTCAGCATATGGTACAGATATGCCAATTGTTTACACACTCTGTAGTGTAGTAGATTGGTCACTTGTGTCAAGCACTGTGCACGCAGCGACTTGAATATCATCCCCCACTGAGATAACGATGGCCGTCGATAGTACAGATAGTTAGGTATCGCAGTGACCACCATGGTCTAATAGTGATGCATCGGCCCTATGTATGAGAGGAAGCAGAGGGGCGCACAAGAGCCTTGTTGTTGACCTCATTTACTGGTGATTGGAGTCTTAAGTAGGGCATTGATTGGGAAAATTCAAGACAATTATCCGTCAGAGATATGGGTTATTGTCATGTGGAGTCAGGATATAGGATTCAGAGGTGAAGACTGAGGTGCGAATCCGGAGTTTAGTGATGTATCAGATGTGAGTAAAGAAGTTCCAGAGTTGTTCGATTAGTGTTGCTTGTGAAGTTTGTGTTGTTTGTGCGATTTGAGCAGTTTGTCTGTTTATTGTGGTGTTGATGTTTTGGAATGTGGAAGGCACCGACTGATGCCTGAGGCAATAGGCGTTGTCACGTCAACAGCTCCAACTAGGCCTAACTAGGTAAGGCACAACATAACAGTGGCATGGCAGCTGCCCCAAACATCATGAACTTGGATTTTGTGTTGATTTCCTTTTCCTCTAATCCACCTGTACAGGTTTTTCGCATCCCTTTTGGTTTCTCTCTATTCTTAACATCTTATCCTCATCGATTCATCTCCTTGAGTTCGATCATGAGCGTTTAGGTCTTACTTTTACCGCGACTATTTTCTTACTGGCTTTGCTATCCTCCGAGTCACACTAGAACAACAGGACCTGTAACGGTCCTATACTGATCTATCCTCGCTCTTCATCAGCGTTACACAATCACTCCAGTTCTAGGTGGCTGTCAACAAACAATCCTCAATATGACTACCGACTTCAATCACGGCGGCCAGATGATCGAGTACATCCAGGGTTGGTACAATGTTCTTCGGCAACTTGAATGTCTTTCACCCAGAATTGAGAGCTAAGCAAAGCTATGATTTAGACCGTCTCTACCTTGCGTCTTATGATTCTGCTCCCAGTTCCAGAACCCCGTTTCCCTTCCATCTGGACGCACCCAAATCCCCAAGCAAGCGTGCACGTGCCCAGCCCGCCACTCCGAGCAAGCGCCGTTCTCCCGTGTACTTTACCGTCGACGACACTCTTCTTTACAATGCCTTCCACGCTGATTTCGGCCCACTCCATATTGGTCACCTTTACCGGTTTGCCGTGCTCTTCCATGAGATTCTTGGCGATCCAGCCAACAGCGACCGCCCGGTGGTCTTCTATAGCAAGACTGATGCTCGGAGTCGCGCGAATGCAGCCTGCCTTGTTGCATGCTATATGGTCATGATTCAATCCTGGCCACCTCATTTGGCTCTGGCACCCATCGCACAGGCAGACCCTCCTTACATGCCTTTCCGTGATGCTGGATACAGCCAGGCAGATTTCATTTTGAACATTCAAGATGTCGTCTATGGAGTGTGGAAGGCTAAGGAACAGTCTCTTTGCGGGCTTCGCGACTTCAATCTTGAGGAGTAAGTACCATTGTTTACACTGCCGGAGACTGAATGCTGATTTTCTTCAATAGGTACGAGAAATTCGAACGAGTTGATATGGGTGACTTCAACTGGATTACACCAGACTTTCTTGCCTTTGCATCTCCTCAGCAGCAGCCCGTGGCACCAATTCCTGTCAACACGCCCGAGTACAACGCATTGCCCGCAACAATCTCTGAAATTTCTTCCTCAAAGCTTCCCATGCCATTCAAGAATGTTCTCGCCCATTTCCACCAGCGCAACGTCGGTCTTGTTGTACGACTCAACTCGGAGCTGTACTGCCCGTCTTACTTCACCGCAATGGGAATCGCTCATATTGACATGATCTTTGAGGATGGCACATGCCCTCCCCTGCAGCTCGTCAGACGATTTATCAAAATGGCCCATGAGATGATCACCATCAAGAAGAAGGGCATTGCAGTTCATTGCAAGGCAGGTCTGGGCCGTACGGGCTGCTTGATTGGTGCATATCTGATCTACAAGTATGGATTCACCGCCAATGAAGTAATTGCCTTCATGAGATTCATGCGACCCGGTATGGTCGTTGGACCTCAGCAGCACTGGCTCCACCTCAACCAAGGGGCCTTCCGTGAATGGTGGTTTGAGGATAGCATGCGCGAGAAGCTAGCACAGTCCACACCTGTAACTCCACGAGTGTCCACAAAGAAGCGCACTAGCAACGGGGTCGTCTCCACCCCACCAAACAATAGCCACTCCAAACGCGCAGCCCTCGGAGAAATTGATCACAACGAGGCTGCAGCTTACCCAGACCAGGATCTTCCTGCACCAACTCCTGGCCAGCCTCGCAAGTCCCACCGAAAGGACTCACGTCACCACCCTTATTCCCGAACTGCCTCCGGATCCCTCGCTGTTGAAACCGAGCAACGGGGCCACCGCAGCCACAGGAAGAGTAACGAGAGCAGTGAGAGTGAAGAAGAGATCCAGCTTCGTCGATTAGCGCAGCGGTCATCCAGGTCTCCTGTTGCCTCCCCCACGTCACGGTCTATCAGTTACTCTGCCACTGTCACAGCCAGCTACACTCTCACAGAAGACAATCACAAGGATCAAGAGAACTGGGTTGATCACTCAGCACCCAAGACTCCCGTGAGCCGCAAGAGCGGCGCTGCACCTATCTCGGTCAGCAAAGTTCGCTCCAGTCCTCGCCGGGCAACGGAAAATACCCGCAGCGAGTCTCGTGGTGTTCGCAAGCCCAGTGGCCGTATTGGTAGCAATACCATCAGCCCCGCACGGGCTATTAAGACCATCCACTAAACGTTCTGCTCTCTTCTTTTGCCCCAAGGAACTCTGCATGTTTCTTCGGAGCGCTTCTTCCATTCTTCTCGTTCCGCTGGGACAAAACTTCTGCATACCCCTTTTTCGTGATGCATCTGGATGCCTTTTAATGTTTTGAGTTCGCAAATCTCGGTCTGCTGTTGTTTTCTGGAGCGAATACTGGTTTTTGGGCATGTTGTGCGCGGCGTTTGGTTTTGTTGTTAATTGACGAACCATCAGATCTCTTGCAATTGGGTACCGAACCACTTCGTGCCACATGTTGTGTTGTCTGCAGGTTTCGCTCTTGTATGTGTCAATTCTACGTCTATATGACAATGCTGTTCATGAACTCCCTCGAATTTGCATTTCTTCCTCGGTTTATTGTATCTCTTGAACTCAACGTCAGTAATATTGAACCCAGTCGTCTGGGGTAGATCATAGTTGGCTTTTTGTTCCACGGCCATGCCTTCCACGCTGTACCATATGGTATCACTCGCACAGCAAGTTCTACATGGAGTGAGGTTTGCACCAAATACAAGTCTGAGTATTCCATATCTCTCCCATATTGACTATTTTATGTTCCAAGAGCGAGACCTCAACCCGCCCCCACTCAACTCAATTGGCAGCCAAAAACTATATGCACTGTTAGCGATCGTTCTATTCCATACCGAGGGGGTCAAATCTCACCTCTTGAACCTCTTCGTCCTCAACAGCAGAGCTATCCACTTCACTCTTCCCGATAAGCCCAAGCTTCCCCTTCCTCACGAACCACCACAGCTCCCTCCGATCCCCACCTAGCTCCTCCCGCAATATCTTACCCTTCAACTGACGCACAAAGTCATTGTACACCACCGGTTCCTCATAATCCACTAGCTCCTCGCGCATAGTACCAAGGCCTTCGATGACGCGGTCGTAATTCGAGTGACCGAGACTGTGCGTTATCTGGGTCTCAATAATTTTAGCCATTTGCTGCACAGCGTCGTGGATCGCGTCAATGTTTTCTGCGCGGGAAAGTGTTTGCTTGAACTCCGGGATTGCGTTCTCGGTGGAAATTTTCGTTCGCTTGGGTTCAAGGCTAAGGAGGGCGTCGACGTCAAGACCTGACAGGGGTTTCTCTGTATCGCGCTGGCGTTTACGACCTTTTGTCTTTGGTGGAACTATCAAACGAAATCCGTTGGTAAGTGGAATGTTTTCTAAATCTATTTTGAGAATCAGTCATACCTTTCTTAACATCAGCCGTAGACATCAATCTCTCAAGATGGGACTTGGAGTTCTTGACTATCTCTTCTGAGGGGTGTGCGAATTCCGTGAGCCGCTCTGAGGGGTCAAGGACAGGGTCGCTGGGATGCACTGCACGGTAGCGAACGGCTGACTCGATGCGGTGCAGTAATGGGGAGAATGACTCGTCAATTGGGAGATCATTAGTTGGTTCACTAACTCTTTTGATTAGCTGGTGTGCATGATAATCAAGTGAGCCCTAATTACCCTTCATCATTTGTGGTGACAAAATCCATGCTGTCCACGTAGTTACTCATCGCATCCTTCAGATCGGCATTTGGAAGGTTGCGGTGTTCCGTTACCACTTTGCCAGAGACAGTAATGATCTTGTCTAAAGGTGGGAACCGATATGATCGCACGTCTTCTGCAAATGGAAGCTGTACTTCTATCAAACACTCATAATCTGCCTCGACGGATGGGGCGAGTAACACGAGCATCGGTGGTTTGGATTCTTTGGTCACCAATCGGGCAACCGCATACGAGTCTAATTCATAGAGTGCATGAATGAGGGAAGACAACGCAAGAGATGCATTGTCATTTGCACGCTGAGGAATGATGATATTTGTGTTGGACATGTGCATGTATCGGTCATACTAATGACAGGAATTAGCTGTGATAATTGAGATTCGCACAGAGACATACCTGATCCTTCTTAATGAACCCGATTAGCCCCATGCCGGCAAAAGTTTCCAGATTGGCGACGTTCTCATCAGTCTGCTCGATAGGAACTGCTGTACGTCCATACTCGTACCCCTTGGCGAGGTCATCGCGTTCAACGTCGACCTTGCCCCCTGGTGCAGACTCGTCTGTGATCTGATAGGTCCGTGACGTTCTCACCGAGGCGAGAGCGTCGCCTTCAGCATTGCCTTTACCCGGTATCTGACTTCCTGGTTCGGTGCCGGGGCGTGGCACGAACAAGCTCGCTGAGATCGGCTTGGCGACGTAGGTTCGGAAGTATCGCTCCACGGGTATAGTGATCGCTGTGTCATACTCTTCGGGATTTCCGAGCATAAGATTCCCCTTGAAAGAAGGCATGCTCTTAGTCACTTTGATGCGGGGAATATCTAATTCCGAGACAGCTTGCTCCAGCGTTCCATAAACACCTTCGCACTCCTCAGCCAGATTGCGGAGAAGAGTCTCATTTTCAGCCTGCAAAGAACTCGGTTAACAATCAATATTCCAATATATTGAAGACGACTTCGTACCTTTCGACTGTCTTTATCTTCTTCCTTTACGCCATACTCAGCGTCATCAAAATCGGCACCACTGGATGATATTAGCAGAATGCAAAGTCACATCAGTGAGAAAACATGCATGATCACCAATTCGATGTTAACTTCTTTCATCTTTTCAATGATGCCTTCGATATTATCATCGCTCATCATACCAGTGCCATTAGTCACTAAAATGATCTTGCGCTTGTATTTGTTTGTCTTGGTATAATCGAGGATCATCTGGATGGCGATGACAATAGAAGATATGGCTTTCATACAGTCAGAATAGCAATTTAGCGATTCTTCAACAGCCACTTACCATCGCCTTTATTAGTTGTGCTGGGTTTGATTGTTTCGCGTAGTCTCCGGATATCAGGCATGAGGACTCTGAAAGACAATTTAGTCAAGTAATTCAATATGGAATAGTCATTTCAGCACGCCACACATACTGGCCAAGACCGAAGAGGACGGAAATACTAGAAAAGTTCTCTACATCCAAGTCATTGATGGTTTCTGTTCTAAACATGAGAGAGGGCTCCCAATGGATGTTGACAGGTAGGCTACCACTTACCATCCGTCCTGAGACCAACCACGCCAACCGTAGCCGTCTTGCGACCGGTGGCAACCTGGGATTGTCAGTTCTCTGGCGTTGAACAAGCTCAAGTCACATACCGTGGCGGTGATCCTATCCCAGACATACTGCATGGCCCATTCGAGATCTGTCATAGGACGGCCATGGTGGCGCTCGCCCATAGACCGTCCCATATCTACAATGTAAACCGTAGCCTCTTTCTCCGCCATGATGATGGTGCTGTTGGGGAAATAACAAGTCAAAATTGCTTGAGCCTCAAGACAACAGGCAGACAGGCAGACGCGTGATATTTCCACTTGCGGTTTAGACCGAAACGCGAAGGCACATGACATCACACGCTGTATTCGTTGGTGCTCGGTGGTCTGTGCGTCGCTATGAGACAACGCCGCCTATTTGGAAGTGGAAACAAGGCTTTCCCCAATAGCTGGGCCGTAGCGATAGCTGCCCACTTCTTTCCCTCGATGCAACCTCACATCAACTCTATCGTCAACTCAACTCTCCCGATATTATAACATATACGAAATCATGGATCCTCGCCCCTATCACATACTGAGGTTTGTTTATATGCGAAAATCACAACTCATATGCTAATAAATGAGGCAGTTACGGTACCCTCCTAGGGACACAGTTCTACCAGGTGAGATCGATATCTGAACTGGGCACATATCAAACTGTCCTCTCCAAACCATTCTCTGACATATGTCAAGTCTTTTGTTGGAGGCTTCGTTGCTTTCCGCGCCCTTCCGCGGCCCCAGTTCTCTAATCTGCAGACCGCCATCTTCCCCATCTACTTCTCACTGCAGACTGCGCTGCCTGTAGTCGTCGCCTTGACCGCTTCCCACGGCGGACAGGTGTTGGGTTTGTCTGGTCTCACTGCACCGAAGAACCGCTTTGACACCCTCTTGCCGATGGCAACCGTGGCAGTGACCGGGTTGGTGAACATGTTTGTATTGCTTCCCATGACAAGAAATGTGATGCGCGAGCGCAAGCATCAAGGTGCGTTAGCTGCTGTCACTATATTTTGATTGAGAGTCAATTGATCATTCTAACCTTTGCAGAAACCCGTGATGGAAAGAAGAGCTACGACCCCGCGCCTCACTCTAAGGAAATGCTGGCCTTGAACAAGAAATTCGGCCGCGTGCATGGCATCTCAAGCTTGGTCAATTTGGCCAGCCTGATTGCTACGGTCTGGTACGGTGTCGTGCTAAGTAAGAGACTTGAGTAATGTGGCAACGGCAATCAACAGCAATACTCAACAGGAGGTTATATGCATATAGCTCTTGTAAATATTTCGTTTATTTTCCTCCGTCTATTGTATATCGGTTTATACACAGAAAGTCTCTCTGCAGGGTTAAAAAATTTTCGCCTTTCCATTTTTCTAGCTGTAAAGCTGAGATGATGGACAAATAACTAGAAAAAGGACATCCAAAAGCATATCTGAGCTGACATCGAAAAATTCTATCAAAAAAGGCTCCCAGAAATGACATGATAATTCCACATAAGGGGCCTAACATCTTTGTACGGCATGAACGAAAATACACAATTCTTTCATCTTCTATGGTCACGGTGATCTACCTGATTATGTGGACATTGCCCGAAGAGATGTATTGTTTGAAGGGCTAGTATATGTTGCCTGGCATCATGTCATCTCCACAGAGCCAGTGCTCAGTAATACGTCAAGACACCGCCCACGAATAAAAAAAATGGCACCGTCTGTTCTATATCTGCAGCATCTAGCCTTTATGCGCTCTTTCCCTCTTGCTTCCTTTCTCCCTTAGACTTGATATCACCTACTTCAGCAAGACGCTCGGCACCTTGATAGAATTCTGGCAGAGGCTCCAATTTTTGACGAAGAATCCAGACACGGAAATGCCATAAGGCATTCTTGACCTGGTATGAGGCATGTTTGCGAGTCGAAACAGAGAAGACCTGGTCCAGTTCTTCCAAAGTAAGAGCTGAAGACAAAAATATTAGCACGATGAATCTCAGATAAGTCGGGACGCTTACACTTTGTTTCAGGCACAAACAATAAGACCAAAAACCAGCCGATTACACACCAAGCAGCATACCAACCAAAGGCACCCTGCGGTTTGAAAGAATCGACCAGATGCGGCCAAGTAAAAGATAGAATGAAATTAAAGCACCAGGTAGTTGCTGTCGCCCATGACATACCGACGTCGCGGACTTGCAGCGGGAAACACTCAGCAGCATATGCGAACGGGACGGGCCCTTCTCCAGGAGAGTAGAATATTTCAAACAGGTACATGCCCGTCGTGACCATCGCAATTCTCTTCTTGCTTGTCTCGTTCCCTTCTTCAATCCAGAAGGAGAAGCCAGTCCACAAGAGGGTGATAGCTAGGAAGGGAAAAGTGAATAGTAGCAAATTCCGGCGACCCCAGGTATCAATCGTGAAGAAAGCTGGTAGAGCAAAGACCCAGTTGAGAATACCGGTTCCCATGGATGCTAGTAGCGCGCTAGTCAGACTGTAACTTGCTTCGGTGAAGACGGAGGTAGAGTAGTACGCAATAACATTGACTCCACAAAATTGCTGCATGAACATCACAATCCAGCTCGCGAGTGTAGCACGGCGGTTTCGTGGGATGGTAAAGAGCTCAATGAACATTGTGAAGAAATTCTTGCCCTTGTTAATCTTGCGTTCAAGCTCAACGCCCACATGTGCATAATACAAATCTCTGGCGGCCTGAATGTCTGTTGGACGAAGGAGACGGAAATTAGTATAGGCTTTTTGGATTTTGCCGTGCTGGATCAGCCATCTTGGAGATTCCGGGCAGAAGTAGACTTGAGCACAGACAATCAGTGGCAGTACGACAGTGGATCCTAGCATGAGACGCCAACTGATGTCTCGGTCTAAACTCATGAAAGCAACGCCCATTATGTTGCCAAGCATGATCCCGAAGGCCGTCCACATTTGCCACATCATTACGAGAGCACCTCGAATTGGGGCAGGAGAGCATTCTATTGAATCAGCAACAATGAAAAGGAAGTCATGCAACAACACTTACCCGCGGCGTACACAGGCACAGTACTCGATTTCGACCCGATCCCCAGACCAAGAACAAAGCGGGCAATGAAAAGATTGACCCAGGTATTTGCAACACCTTCCCATACCGAGGCAACAGCCGCAATCACGCATGAGATAAAGATTGTACCACGCCGGGCAAATAACCGATTTAGGGGCTCAGTAAGCCAGCAACCGATAATTGCGCACGCCAAGTATGGGGCACCGACAACTAGGCCTTGGATGTTTTTGGAAGTGATGTTGAGTTGCTAGAACAAAAGTCAGATTATGCTAGCATGATCAACGAGAGAAGACGTACATCTTCAGCAAAGTAGATAGCCTGAGCACCATTATTGACGGTTTCGTCCATACCTTGTACAGCTGCAGCCAGAGAGCACATTGCTGGAGGAGGGAAAGGAAATTAGCTCAGGCAAATGGAGCACCTGTAGTCTCACACATACATGCTAGGAAGTATAACTGCCATGGCTGTGACCACTTGTGGGTATGTTCACGCTCGAGGGCTTCCCTCTCTTCCTCCGATAACTCGGGGAGACTGGTTGCCATTGCGGGATTTTGCGAAATGAGAGCACCCTTTTTGAAAGTCTCGAGATGATCCATCAAATCGTACTTGGTACAAAATTCGGCAACATCTTTAAAGAGTTGTTCGCGTGAAATTCCGGCAAGAGGGTTCTCGAAGACGGCATTAAGATTGCCAGGAGAGCGGCTCTCGAGGTCTGTCTTCTCTTCCTTGTGAGGGTATGTAGGATCTGGGCTCTCCTCTATATGCTCTACCTTCTCTGCAGTGGAGCCGGTCATTCCCATTCCATTGTCCTTCATATTGAATGAGCAAAGGATGTCAAGTGACGATCGAATATCTCATGAAACACTAGTAATGTACTGAACAATAATCGAGCCTATGGGTGTAGCCAAGTCAGCTGAAAGACGTTCTTATATGAAGGGTGATAGGCAAGAGGTAGAGTGACCTGATCTCAAATTTGCGGTTTGTTACAGCCTATCAAGGCAAATCTAGAGCAATGGTGAGAACAATTTCACGCTTTTAGGGCGAGGAGACTGGAGGGGCCTTGTCTGCTTTATAGCACAAGCATCCATTCGCCCCCAATGTTGGAATACACTAAAGCCTCAAACTTGCATTTAGTTCGGGTGGTCTTCCACACAAAATCAGCCGCTAGGAACCATAGAGTACCATTCATGTAGCATGATTTATATTAAAAGGCATGGTCTGTATCAGGTTATTGGATACTGGACCCTTGGAGCCCGAGCTAGAGGATCGCTTAATGAACAAAAAAGCAGGGCAGAGCTTGCGGGCACAAAGAAACATCCCTGTCATTGGAGATTGCCCACACACTGAGGTTGCCCATGGGGAGTCGAGGTGAATCATATAGAGGGTATCAACTATGTCATTGGACAATAGGAACGAAGTCATGACCAATGAGTAAGAAGTTCATCGTACAATCCGATAGCAGCTACAAGCAACATGGAACCCGTGGACGATCATGTGAATTACGTCATTGCCCAGGAGACACCCGTGACCTTTGTGTTCCTCGAAAAGGCGGGGAAGGATAGACCTCGGGAGTCAGCTACACTTACGTAAGTCATGTTCGATCCCGGGGCCCCGGCCCAGGCGGAAAACACAGGGTGCCATTCTATACTTTCCTGGTCAGATTTTCCTCACTGTAGCTTTCTTCGTATTTTGAAAGTACGGAGTACATGTCGAAGCAAAATAATAAAACCCCAACCCAATTTCAAAGGCCCTCAAGCAAACCCAATATCTCCTAGTGATCGCATAAATCAACATGACTCGGAGATAAACCCTGATAAACCAAGGAATCCAACCCCTGGCCACAACTAACTATGTGGTTTAACTACTCAGCTACGCTCCTTCGCACCAGTGGCACCCGAACCAAGTCTTCCAGTGTCCCCCTCAAGCCATAAACCCACGCCTGAATAGCCCGCAACTACGGCTTATTTCTATACAACTCCTTAGGAAGATAGGGTTTGACGAAGCTTAAAAACAACGCTTTGGAAGATGTCTAAAGTCTACTCAAGGGATTATCAAGGGATTGAGGAGGCTCTTTATGATGCTCTGGCCCAGCCGTGAAGGAGGCTTCCAGAAAAAGTTCAGTCAGACTGGCGGAGTGATATATATCTGTCAATCTCTGCTATATTCCCGAGCACAAAAACAATTGAAAAACGATACAAATCTTACATCCTCATGCCATTTTCACCAAATCCCCGCTCTTCATCTAGACTGGTATAATCAAACTAATAGCCGCGGGAGAAGCAAAAATAGATTTTGACCATGTAAGCCAGATAGAATACCTAAATACTCCGTATATGGGCAGTAATTACTGTATGATTCGTGGACGTACCCAATTAGGAAGGCGGTTCTGGTTTTACAGGGGGGGCAGTGCGGCTCCCTTCGCTTTACAATATATGCACATAACCAATAACTTTCATAACAGACTGTATAAATGTGTTATAGATCACAATTTCTCAATCCCCGAAGATATTACATATGTATTGAGACTTGGGCCGCGACTATCATTACGCAGTACGGTGAGTGAAATGAGTTTGCTTCTTCCTAGTGGTGACCAAGCTATCGGGACGGTGTCAGTGAGCAATTGAATAATTTTCGTGGATACGAGGGTAAAAGTACGGGTACACAAAACTTACGTTGTCCCGCCCCGCTCACTGGCACGGACCTGGGGGCCTTTTTTTTTAACTTGGCTTTGCCCTTGACTCTCAGGCGTTTACATGATATATATATTTTATCCGGAAAATGGAGTTCAGGGAGTCAAGTTCATTCGTCAGGACAGAAGTACATAGCAAGTAGCAGATATCATTCAGATCATGGGTGGCTGACACAAATTACACCCGTGGACCTCGACCCGTTGCACTGCACCTCTGATTGGTTCAAAACAGCCCCCTTATAGCCCTGCGGATCATCACACAACAGTGAGCTAATCATCTTAGAGCGATCAATACGTTAGCTGTTGTCGAACCAGTTATCTTTCCCCAAAATCCCCCCCATTGACAGTTGTTGCACGGGATATGCACTCTCAAAACGAAGGGAAAAGTACATACAGTGACTGGACATAAGTTTTTAACACGTCGGGCCCCACACCCCCCTGATTATATAATATACTGCCGGTCTAAAACCTCCATAAATTCATACTATAAAATCTAGTATGGTGTATACCACCCCTGGCTCTCAATGATAGCCTCCACCCGGTGCGGCATTGTCTCAGAGAGATGCTCCAGGTGCCTCAGCTCTAATTCATCCTATGCCTGCTGCGCTGTTGCCACTAGTATCTCCTTTGTTGTGTCATTGTTCTGCATATGTAGGAGATCAGGCCGAAGCTCGTATGTCTTAGCTTTCAACAACGCCCAGAGGTTTTCAATTGGATTCAAATCAGGCGAGTGAGGAGGCTATTCCATAACTTCAATCTCCATCTCAGCTAATACATCCCGTACAACATACGCAGTATATGTCGGAGCATTATTATACTGAAAAATACTATCTAGATTTGCAAGCAAGATAGGTAGAACCCGGCGGTATAACTCCTCAATCACTAGGCCAGTGATACCAGTACGCTCAGCCTCAGGATTCCCAAAGAGTGGTATAAGCCCTGTACGCCGTGTAGCGCCAGAAAATATAGCCCAAAATATCTACTTCACTTACTTTCCTCGGTGTGGTAATCCTTGACATTGTCCCTCCTTCGGTTGGTCTTTTGGACGGATAAAGGTCCACTCTCGACGTACACCAATCCCACGCTCAATAGTACACTTATCAGACCAAAAAACACGGGCCCAATCTTCAGGTGTAAAGTGCCGATAGCGTAGGGCCCAGCGAAGGCGTTTAACCGCGTGTTCTTCCTTTAAAAAGGGCCGCTAGCTACATCGCTATTTACGGAGGTTCTCCGCATTTAAAAGACGTTGTATAGAGCGGTATTTGACCTTATGATCAACCTCAGCAAGGAGGTCTTCGGCCATAATCTTTGGGTTTCCGTGGATAGCGTTCAAGATCTGGTCTTTATTAGCTTCAGTAAGCTTTTTTGGCCTTCCAGATCGCGGTTTTGATACGCCTGCTCGGCGCTCGCTCTCCTTTTTCACAGTGTACCGGATTGTAGAGATTGGAATATAAGGATAGCGGTTATGAATACGTCTATACCCCCATCCTATAGCATGTAGCTCACATATACGCTCACGTATAGCAGGCGTAAGCTCTTTTGAACGCGCCATAGGTGGAATGGTATAGAGGGTAGAGAGGAGAGATACTAAAGAGAGAGATAAATATAGGTAATTGGATCTCCTTTTTGAAAAGCAGCTTCACGTACTATTTTAGCGTGGTTTTCATATACGCGTTTTAGGTAGGCGGTATATCCCTACACTAGCGGTGAGCTATGTGGGGCTATGGGTGTGTTAAAAACATATGTCCACTGACTGTACGGGCAGTCTTCCTGATACTTACGGTACAAAGGACCGTTGAATACAACCTTGGCACGTAATAGCGCTGAACCCGACAACTCGGGACGCTAATAACTGCCTGAAGACAGAGGGGTCATAAGGGGGGGTCATAAGACTGCGGTGTGCTTGCAGTTTTCACTTTTCACTTTCTTCCTGATCCATTCCATCTGTGTACAAGCCTGTGTCTTGTCCGAAATATCGAAGATGCATCCAGAAACACAACGCGCCTCACCCCCGGTCGAGCCCGACGTTAGTATCCCATAAAAAAATTTTTCTTATTTTTTTTTCTTGAAATTTTTCGCGCATTCCCTTTGCTTATCTAACTAATGTCATACTAGTCGGACACCGATGGGGCCTCATTATACTCTGACTCGTAAGGCCGGTGACTTGAAATGATTTGTATTTTCTGCTAATCGTCACAGACTTGACAATGCCAGTTACACCACAAGTGTGACATCGAGTGTGTTGGACTATCAGTATGTGAATGTGGCTGGAACATGTGTTTAATGGCGGCTAATAATCGCAGATATGAAGTGTGTTTATCGCTATTTGATCCCGAATCTTACTGATGAGGTGCAGAACGGTCGCAGGTATCATTCATACCATGAAGGAGAATACGTTCTAGTACGTGACCCTATCAACGTTTGGTCTCCGTCTCAGACTAATGTTTAATCAGCCAAATGATGAACGGGAACAAGATCGCCTTGATCTGGTTAGTTTTCACTCGTTGAATCTGATGATACAAGATTTTAACGAGCAACAGAGCCACCACATTTACCTAATGATCCTCAAAGGAGAATTGTGCCAAGCACCAGTCCAAAATCCAAAGCGAGTATTAGATCTCGGGACAGGAACAGGTTTATGGGCAATCGAGTATGCAGAGTAAGTTCTCTGCCAATTTGTCTGTCTATTCTACCCCTAACAGGCAATATAGTACAAACCCAAACGCACAAGTCATCGGTAGGGGCACATGTCTATAATCCGATCAAAACGTCGACTAATGGAACCAGGAATTGACCTAAGTGCTATTCAGCCATCATGGTACGTGCTTATGCTACTACAATGGCTCCATATATAATATTGACAGATGTCCAGGGTGCCTCCAAATTGCCGCTTTGAGATTGACGACTTTGAACAACCATGGTCATATAGCAAGCCATTCGACTATATCCATGGGCGCGAATTGGAAGGTTCCATTCGAGACCATGATGTTCTCTTCAAACAGGCACTCGACAACCTGAATCCCAATGGATGGTTTGAAATGGCGAGTTTCGACGTCAACACGTATTCGGACGACGGAACTCATATCGGCGCAACGAACTTTCTCTTGTCCATTAAGCACATGCATGAATCCTCGCGCATGTTTGGTAAGGACATGGCTTCATCCGTGTCCTGGAAAGAACGGATGGAGAAGGCCGGGTTTGTGAATGTCAAAGAGGATATCCACAAGGTATGCTCCGCAATGTCTTTTTGATAACAATGAAAACCCATGCTAATCGGTAAATAGCTGCCTCAAAGCCCATGGCCCAAAGACCCCAAGCTCAAGGAGCTTGGTCGGTACCATCAACTCAACATGCTCGAAGCCATGCCCATTTACACATATGCGTTGTTTTCAAGAGTGCTTGGGTGGACACGCGCCGAGATCGAGGGACTGCTGGCAGGAATCCGGATGGAGCTGCGGGATACATCGTATCACTTGTACACGAAGTTGCGAGTGGTTTACGGCCAGAAACCCGACCGACCTGTAAATGTCTAATCGATGTGAATAGAAATCTCATCTCCCGAGTCATACATATTTCACATATGTTTCTAAATATAGACTACGGCATGTGTCACGGAACTCGGGAGACCCCGGGGCCATAGTTAATCTCCGCTGTTAATGCTTCGATATTTGGGCGGAGGCTCTGCTTTCAAAACCAACCTCCAGCGTAGTGAAAATAATTAGAATTTTGTTTTCACTTTCTTTGAGGTGTCTATATCCTAGCTAGAGGCTGGGGAAAACAGAATTCATATTCTCTCTTGTGGCTGGCTTCTTGCCAGAGCAGCTCTAGAATGTGCTCCTCCGTACGTCGTCCAGGTATGCAACCGTTGCAATTCAACATCCCTTGTGGGTATGGGCGTGCGTCCAAGCCGAGCGATGAAAACTTCATGTTCGTTTGCTGCGTCGGTCACTCCCTTCTGTCTCTTTCTTCTGTTTTCTTCCCATTCTTTTACTTGCTGACTTGTCGGGATCATGTGCCGATATATTAGTGATATATTTACCAGAAAAAGCGCGGTGTAATTTAATATATTAGGATATTATAAATTAATGAAGAAATTGGGAGAGAAAGAGGCTATCTGTATGTCTTCAAGACAGCCATATCCTCAAGATTTCAAGAAGACGCCAACAAAATGCGACCCTTGGAAAAGCAACGAACGCCATGTTGCAAAATAGTCCCTGTATATGTTGCACAAAGCAAATGTCATTGTTTTGAAAGTGTTCATCGGTATCGTGAGGACATAAAAAGCTTTGGAAAGCAGTCGGGGTCGGCTTGATAGGAGGAAGGTCGCACATCTTGCATGGCCATGATCGTTGGAGGTATTGGTAATGGCGTTCTTGAGGTAGAATAAAAGTTGGGCTCTTTTGCGGTCTGACAAAAAGAAATGCCGATTCCTGTCTTCAAACCATTATTAGATACCAAGTTTGATCATGATGTGGTAGGCTGCAACACACTCACCATTGTCAAGCTATCTTTGCCCAGAATAACGCCCCGGTGGAAAAGTGTACTCGTCATATAAGTCCTCTTTGGCCGCCATGAGAGGTCCCCAGTCCTTTTTTATGTCCTTCCATTGTTTCTTCAAGCGCTGGAGAGGTGAAGGATGTGACTTCTCCTGGGTGGCGTTGAGATCCTCGACGAAGGAAGACTGTGACGTGCTCGTTTTAGGGGTAAGTCCCTGTGAATCAATATGTTCAGGCATAATGCGATGAGAATCTGTGATTTATTTATTTTTATTCCGATTTGTATTTGTACGGTGATTTCACAGACTTTATATCTATATTTCTTTGAGATAAGGATGACATGTTGGCAGGGGTCTTATTTAAATCTGTGAGCCGAGTCTTTCCCGACTGATTACCGAGATATCACCGCCGAGGTATCTCCGCAAGCTTACCCTGAGGCATTTGAGTTTTCTCTATTGATTTGCGGCACTTCAAATCTTCGGTTTTTCAAGAATTGCAGCATGATTCGAAATGGTGGCTAGTATTGGGCAGCAAGTCCTCTTCTTCAAGCCAGATGACTGTCTCGGTTCATGAGCAGTTATTGAACCACACATATCATGCTACACTTCTAGAGATGAACTACAGTCCATGCATAACTAGAGAATGCGGGTAGGTATAGAGGAAGGATATGTCGTGGGGGAGGGGGGGAGAGGAAACCAACCTTGAAGGGGAAGAGATGTGAGCTATGGATCCGCCCTGGTACGGTGGGTCCTCTCGCCAATAGATGCGGACATTCTCTATGTATGTACAGTACAACACATAGGCTAGCTTATTTGACGCGTTCCAACGACATATTTACTAAATAGCAGATTGATCAAAATTCGGAACGGCAGTCGTGACTCCTAAGTGATCATATTTCCAGAGGACATAGTTTTATCATGAGCGGTAGAAGTCTAGAATCATCCTTGGAAAATTTCTGACCTGTATCCCAGCAATCTCTCACTATGATATATGCTAGAGTGTGCATTGCAGGGAAGCTAGGGAAGATATAAAGTTGCTAAACGACCCGAGTTTATCCCTTTTTGCCCTCTGTTTCTCTTTCTGTCTTGAAGGGAGTTTCCATAATTTAGGCTCAATCACTTCACGTTCTTGACAGAGTGGATCTTCTTTTCTGAGCTAGCTCCGTAGCCGTATGATGATTATCCATCGGTCGTCGAGATCACTGTCTGTCTTGATGAGGCTCTTCGATGCTGTAATATTATCAGCCAATGAGAGGCGATACCGCCTACCCCCACCTACCCCCACCGGCCATGCCGCCAACCGGAGCCCTCCAAGTAGCCCGCGGAGGGAGGAACCGCGGACTTTGCCGCGGTTCAAGTCAACATCAGACCATATAGTCCAAAGAGCTGTCCTTGATTGTAAAGTATTTAAAGATCTCGACGGTAGCAGGAAAGTGATAAATAAGAAAGTCAACTTTCACTCAGGATCAATAGAGCCACTCGAAAATATGAAAAGCGAATCTGTAGTGATCATCGGGTAAGTGGGAGCTAAAACACGCGACGACTGTTTCGGAGTCTTGGTGCTGATCCTTATCAGAGCCGGCGTGATTGGGCTAAATGTAGCCCTCGTTCTCGCAGAGAAGGGCTATGGTCGACACACGACCATCGTTGCAGAGCATCTTCCAGGAGACACTTCGATACATTACACTTCACCATGGTCCGTTGGAATTCCTGTCGTCAGTTCACATTCAAGAAATATTAACCGGAGTTCAGGGCTGGTGCCAATTTCTCAGCCATTTCTGCGAGTGACCCGAACGCATTGCGATGGGACAGGCTTGGATATACGTATCTTCTCGATCTTGCAGCCAAGGATGGGAAGAATGCGTTTGTGAAGGAAACGCCTTCGGTGGAGTATTGGGATGAGCTACCATCCCGCGAGAAAATCGAATCCATGGCCGCATATCTTAAAGATGTGAGTTATAGACAATTTACTTGTTTTTCGGATGTGCTTATCGATGTTGTCATTGAACAGTTCAAGGAGATTGCCACACAAGACCTGCCAGCGGGAGTCGCATTCGGCATAGAGTTCACGACAATAACACTCAATGCACCGATGCACCTTCGGTATCTGTTCCAGAAGGTCACCCAAGAATATGGGGTGCGAGTAATCCGCAAAAAGTTACCCCAAGTGTCGTCCGGCTATCTTAGCGAGGATACCAAGGTGGTGTTTAACTGCACCGGAAATGCGGCAAAAGAGTTACCGGGAGTCCAAGATTCAAAGTGCTTTCCCACCAGAGGTCAGATTCTACTTGCAAGAGCATCTCATGTGCAACGAAACATCATGAGACATGGCAAGGACTATGAAACATATGTGATTCCCCGACCATACTCGAATGGAAACGTGATCCTTGGTGGTTTCATGCAAAAGAATGTTGGGTAAGTGGAATCCATTCAGCCTTTGCGAAAAAAACCATTGGCCAATTGCTGTTTTCTCTTGGGTGTTCCACATGACAGTAACTAAACCATATCGACAGTACACCGGATACATTTGGAGAAGAGACAAACTCAATTCTTTCTCGAACGACGGCTTTGCTTCCTGCTCTAAACTCGACCGAGACTGAGATTCTTGGTGCATTTGCTGGGCTACGTCCATCTCGTGAGGGTGGTGCTCGTGTTGCCCGGGAAAATGTGCGAGTAGGCGCTGCAGGACGCCACGGAGTTGTTGTCCATAACTATGGTGCCGGTGGAACTGGCTACCAGGCGGGATATGGAATGGCGGTTGAGGCAGTCAACACTGTGGCCGAGGAGATTGACGCGCTCGATATTCAATCCCGTCTTTAGATCTTGTTTCCAATGTCCAGTATGGGTGGATTTTTTTTTAGTGCTATAATTTATAGATTTCATTGCCCAGACAGAAGGACTATTTTGACATAAGGTAAGAGGTTTGCAAATTGCAAGTTTGATTTAGCATATAGAGAGAAAGCTTTGATTCATTGTTCGTGTGGTATCGTTTCATAATTTCATAACAACTTTATCGCTACTTATCCAGCCTTGGAAGGTCATGTAGTGATACTATCACGGTAGCTCTGCTGGGCTATTCATCCCACTCACTTCATAGCTTGGGGGAGGACTTTCATCTATATGGGAGTAGATGATATTATCGTCATGATCACCATCATGCTGCGTCACGATAATTTTCGGTACAGGTCGCTCATTTTTCACGGGGTTTAGACCTGGAAGCTCAAACACAGATATGACACTCGTCTCAGATGAGAGTTCTGGGATTGCAGGAGTGACCATTGAGACCTCAGATGGAGAGAAGAATGATTCGTCCTTGCTTGAAGTGCTCGGTAGGGAGTCAAGGTGGCCAAGAACTGTCTCGAGCTTGTCATGAGAAAGAAGCATGCGGGATTCCTTTTTCAGGGCAAGTCCATAGTCACGACGCTTCCAACTTCTGTGAGCTTGGGGCCTTGTTTGTCTAAAATGCTTTACAAATGAAGCTAAATCATTGACGGCATTTTCGGCCTCGGTGATGGTCGAGTCGATCCACTCAAGCTCGATCTCACCCAAGGCTGTCCTTTTGTCGTCCCGCAAATCTCTTGTGTGCCCCACCGTGGAATTGACGAGTTCAGTTGCTTCATACAGCCCTTCAATCTGCTTGTCTGGAGATAAGGAAGAAACAGTGACAGAGACTGATTTGATTGATCTGACTTTTGTGGATGGTGACGTGGTATCGGGAGTTTGAGATGGGCTTATTGGTTGCGAGTTAAGTGCCCTTGAATAGAATCGTGACTGTGAGAACATTGGTTCTTGGGTTTTTCCATCGCCTGCTGTGACATGCTGTTCCGTATCTTCAATACGGGCGGCGCGGTATAACTGATCTGCTGATTGATTCCATTTTGACACCGATCGATATAGCATCGATTTAGCTGACCGCTGACACCGATCCTTCGAATCATTCAATGTATCTGCTGATCTGTGCCATAACTCCATTGTCGATTGATGATAACGATATCTTGAATCATCCCACATGGCTGTCGAACGACCGACGAGGTTCTTTGTCGATCGCTGTAATTTTTCTGTCAGTTGGCTCTTTGGCCGATGTGCGAGGTCGGCCGGTGCCATTTTCAGACGAATGCCTTTGTATAAAAAAAAGGAAGTTTTTCGGAATTTGGATGTCTCAAGTGAAATCTGTAAGGCAGTTTTGAGACTGAATGAGCAAACGTGGAAGAAATTCAAGGTATATAAGTATCCAATATCAACCCAGCCTTACTTTGTAGGCTACACAGATTCCCGGAAATTAAAGACGACTTTCACCCAATCAATCAAAGTCAAACATGTTGGTTGCCAGCAGATTATGGCGATGCTCGAAGGCTGTGTGCTAGTAGGAAACGTATTCAGCACTGGTGTGTAGATCCACGTTTATCATTGGCCAACATTTTGGGCGTCGCTAAATTTGGCTGTGGATGACGGGGGCCAAACTGCCTGGGGGCTTGTGCTGCCCAATTAGCGTGGGCTTAAAAGTTTGAATTTCAGAGTATGTACGGGGTATATTGTGGCCGATACGAGGTTGTCCTCCGACCGTAGTAGCCCTTAAGAGTCGATCCTCAAAGTTCATATTGATCAGAGAGCAAAAGTACTCCAAGGTTACAAATATAGGGGGAAAACACAGTTCCTATTGAAGTAGGGGGGCAGTGAATCACGTGCTCTCTTGGCAATTGATGTCATCGTAATTCCGTAGCATTTCCCGTGATCTCTGCCATATTTCCCCGGATTATCTACAATGGTTGTAATTGATGGAAATTCTTCAGATAAGAGACCCTCAAATTTGTCCCAAATAAGGTCAATTCCGGCGGGATCAGCCCGGAGCATCAGATAGTTTTAGAAATCAACTCTAATTTTCGACAAAATATAGTTATAAAAGCAGCATGATACAAGCAGCATGATGCTGCCCATCAAGATAGCAGACCAGTTAGCTCTAGCATATCCAACATGAGAATTCCCCAGGTATTTGCGTTTGTTGCAGCTGTGGCTGCAGTGACAGTTCCGCGCTCCAAGCACTCTTCCCCGGCCCCGTTCACAAATGTGACCATTTTCTCACCACCTTCCAACTACATTGTTCCAAGGACGCTCTACCCGCGTAACGAGCAGCTTCCCAACGGGGATCTTCTTGCGACATGGGAAAATTATTCCCCAGAGCCACCGGCTGTTTACTTTCCTATCTACCGCTCCAAGGACTACGGAAAGACCTGGAAGGAGATTTCAAAGGTGCATGACACTGCCAATGGGTATGGCCTGCGCTACCAGCCGTTCCTCTACTCCCTACCCGAGCGAGTCGGCTCATTCAAAAAGGGCACTCTACTTCTGGCCGGTAGTAGCATTCCGACTGACTTGTCGTCCACAAACATTGATCTTTACGCGTCGCAGGACGATGGCGTAACTTGGAAATTTGTTAGTCATATTGCTTCTGGAGGAGAGGCTGTTCCTAACAATGGCCTGACTCCTGTGTGGGAGCCATTCCTACTTGCCCAGTATGTTCTTCTGTTGTGCCTACAAACATCTTACTAACCCCATTTATAGCAAGGGAAAGCTGATTTGTTATTACGCTGATCAGCGGGACAATACAACCCATGGACAGACAATAAGTCACCAGGTCTCAACTGATTTGAAGAAATGGGGGCCTGTGGTAGAGGATGTCGCATATCCGACATATACCGATCGACCCGGCATGCCAGTTGTAACCAAGGTGAGCTAAACTAAGAATAACAATTCACTACCGATTTCTTTATGCTATATCTAGAAAATACTGATCTTGCTAGCTCCCTAACGGTCAATACTTCTACATATATGAGTATGGCTCTTTCTTTGATACATCAAGCTACTCATTCCCTCTGTACTACCGTTTGTCGTCCGACCCCGAAAAGATCGCCTCGGCCCCGGGCCAGCGTCTGGTTGTCTCCAGTGGTGCTAAGCCGACATCTTCGCCATACGCTGTGTGGACACCTTACGGTGGCAAAAATGGCACCATCATTGTCAGCTCCGGTACGCAGAGTAGTTTGTTCATCAACAAGGCCCTTGGCGAAGGGGAGTGGACAGAGATCGCTTCACCCCAAGAACACGGTTACACACGGTCTCTGCGGGTACTTTCGGGGGAGGGAGGTCGTTACCTGGTCGTGCATTCTGCAGGTGTGCTACTCGGCACAAATAATCGGGTCTCAGCAAGTGTGATGGATTTGAAAGAGGTATTGTAAGTGAAAAGGCAATTATGGCGGCAGATGGCTCGTACTACATGCTGCTCAAGTGCGGTTACTAGTTGTTTGATCGTTTTGATTGACTGGTCCCATTGTTCAATATGTATATGCTTGATATTTGACCAAAAAGCATTCTAGATTTTGGTGAAAGACTTCAGACGTTATAAACATTATGTGCTACCGAGAATTCTGAAGATCAACACCAAAAACTTTGCACAGCATCTATGACCTTGAAATACTGCAATTCCATAGTACGCTAAGCATGAATATGAAGCTTCATTATGGAATAGTAGCAGTCAATCAAAAAAGAACAGCCAACATATCGGATCCGAGCCTTGAAGGGAGCACTAAAAAGCCCATCTAACGTCACACCGATACCTCTGCATCTGGCAAACTTGAAAGAACAAAAGGTTTCCTAAGCGTTTGCGTGGGCTTTTTACTCGAAAGAACCGGCTATTATCCTTGATGGTGCGTTGATAGGTCTTGACCGAGAAACTAAGAAGGTAATTCTAGAGAGCTTGTTTGCTGAACATGGTTTCATTAAGCACTCTCGGCAGAATGTAATCATGGAAATAAACTCAGGTATGTATACGCCCTATAACTATTCAAACCATTCCTTAAACTTACTGCTACAGCGTATCGTCTTCTCTATGCCAAGAACGTCATCGCGCTGGATGAAGATAGGAGAATCATTCAACATGGATCGTCTAGTGATCTCATGAGTTCTGCTGGCTAAATTAAAATGCTCTCCAATGGTGTCTAATCAGTCAACAACACTGCTCGATTTTCTGATGTTGTATTGGATGACGAATAGTTGCGGGAATTGATGTTAGATTGTCAATATACGTAGTTAAATCGACGAACTGGCGACTGAGTTTTCTAGCACTATTATTTTCAGAATATTGGTTGGCCTCTTCTGTCAGTCTTTCTTGTATTCTGTGTCCTGTTTGTTCTCGGTCTCAGTTTTCCTCGTCAGTCTCAGCGAACCTACCTACACATCAGGTTCTCCATGTTGCTGACGGCCTGTACAGAAATATGGATGGCTACAGTGATGGACCCGCGCCATTGGGCAGCATCCCAATGAGCACGTTTATCATCGGCTAGATGTTTATGCTGCACTTGGTCTCTTCTCACTTATGACTACCTTTGCTAGCTCTTGGTATGATGCCAATATTGTTTTTGGTCAATCGTTCCTCTTGACTAACTTTTATAGGATTCTCATCATGGTTTTACAACCCAGAACAACCCATCGGTCCCACGAAATTATCTTGCATACTACAATGGGGTAAGAGAGAACAACAATTATTGATTACTACTGGTTTTGACCTTCAACTCAGAGCGACAACGTCGACTTTTACGGATATTGGAACTACTCATGCCAATTTTTTATAATAGTAAATTTTTTTTAATTGACCTGATTTACTGTTTACAGATTTAGTCAAGATCACGAACTCATCGACGAAGAGCTTTCTTGCATCGTTAGTGCTAATAGTCAATGCTGCGCTCCACTGTGTTGTAGAATGATCTTGAGTTTTTGTTGGCTCTTCTTGTTACAACAGTAGTGGTCTCGACCTGCATTCTGGTGGTGAACTACGTGACAAAGTTGTACGTTCAGACCTCTCGTCAGATGCGCATTCTAGACATTGAAGCCAAGGCCCCTCTATTATCGCAGTTCTTAGTAGCCCTCGGCGGTATCTCCAGCATTCGAAACTATGGCTGGATAGAGGATTACCAGCGCTGTAATCAAGTTGCCTTCGACGCTTCCCAACGCCCTTCCACGAATTTTCTGGGTATCGCGTTATTCAATATCGTCCACTTCAGTGGCACCCTCTAAATGCTCGTGACATACTGGATTGGACTGGGAACCTCCACTGGGGCTGTTTCCAGAATTCGCTCATATGTACAACCAGCCACTATCGGGGATCTAGATTCCGAAATTGAGGTCATCCCTGAGGACTGGTCTCAGCAGGGTGGTATTGATATAACTGGCCTTTCGGCATCTTACGAGTATGCCCTTGGAGACTTCTTTGATTTCTTTGGATATATGCTAAGTAGTTTCTCTATTGCACACAAACTGCATGAAATTCTAGACTTTGATAAATTTGACTTCATGGAAAACGGCAAAATTGTGGAGTTCGATACACCCAAGGCGCTTTTGTCGAAAGAGGGCACGGTTTTAGGGCTTGGTTGAACGCTTTTCATCCCAGCCCGAAAAGATAGACAGGTGATAGTCCTTTGCATATTTTCTCTTCTTGTTTTTGGGTGGTTTGAGACAAGAGAACTTCCCCAGTCTCAGCCCGAGTTATAGGTCAATATGTTCGCAAAGCCCTAGCTTAAAGGAATGAAAATATCTAATGCTCTATTGTAAGTAGTATAGATGAATATCGTGCAATGGTAGAAATTTTGCAGTGTCGAACCTAGCTACCGCTGCTAAGGACGGGGGATCACATACTGACCACCTAGCTAGTCTCAGGGTCTCTGTGGCCAGGGCCATCTGTATGACACATACCAGCCCTTACATCACGCTGCTATACGTAGAGAGCCGTGGCTATCGTTAATTGCTATTATTGATTTCGCGTCTTGGTAGCAGGTTATGTCGACGAAGTTGAGTTCTTCCTACCATAGCTCCGGGGATCGAATCCCGCAGCACGAGCGAAAAGTTTTACCAGCATCGAGACAATATCTTGGGCATTCTGGACCCAGCTATACGTCTTTTCAATCCACTATAAGATCCATCAGTGATATTCTAGCAAGTTTCACGATGATTTCTTACCTCCCCATTTGAGCGAATCCGGATAAACACCCACTCGTAACCGTCCGTCGCGATTCCGTACACAGATCTGTCTCTGATCTTGGACTGCTTTCTTGTTTCGTGTATCATCGCTATTCAGATTAGCACTGATAAGTCAGGTATAATACAGATTAAGATTACTCACCCATATACGCGAGACAATGTAACATGCCGCTTTTAAGCAAGTGCGGTCTTTCCACTTCAACCATAGCCACATTGGTCGCATGTTTATTAGGCATGCCATATGAAAGTGAGTAATCAACGATGCCGAAAAGTTTCACTAGTCGATTCTGGCTTTTCCAATTGAATTTTATCTTGCGTTCAAATTGCAGGTGAACAGACTTGAGTGATACGGAAGGTGCAGTAGAGGAAGCTGACGCAACGGGGGTATGGGGCTTCGGAGCAAACTCGCGCATCATCTTGGCCAAAGTTGTCAAGATAATCACATTGATACGAGATCTTATTAATGCCTCGCTTCTAGTTGAGCCGCCGGTTGCGATGTCATAGTTTGCGAGGATAGAGTCTATACAAGTTAGCATAGAAACAAATTCACATCAATAACCAAACTTACTTAGATGAGGAGGGAGCGAGACCTTTTCCGTCTTTCTGGGAGAAAGTTCGAACTCGGCAGGTGGACAGTGAGTGAGGTTAAAGTGATGAGGAATTTCAATCGGATCCAGGTCGCTAATGGCGATCGTAGACATTTTTTCTTTATTCTTCTTGTTAAAGTTTCTGGGAGTCTTCTTTCGAGAAACAATTTGCTCCATGGCTAGAAAACGTGCGCGGCGAGTTGAAGGAAAAGGGGATGCATAAGATATAAAGAGGGATTAAATCTGACAGTATGCCTTCCGTTACTCTGAAAGGCTTAGTACATCAATACTTTCCATGGTTCTAGAATGTATATAACAAGGTTTGTGAGTCTGGCTTGTATGGATGTCTTTTGGTATGTCTTTTGGTATGTCTTTTCGTATGCCTTTCGTGTGTGCCTTTTCGTGTCTTTCGTATGTCTTGAATGTCATTGTAGATAATTCCCTCCCCCTCTGTTATAGCTATAAAGATACAATCTACTTTCGGGGCGTTTATACATGTGCAGGAATAAGTTCAACAGTCCGATTGTCAACCTTGGAAAGGTTCCAAGGCTCCGTTTCCTAAAAGGGAAAGTACACTGAGTCATATGAAGCACGTTTGCTTCCGAGATCGAAGTTCCATCTCTTCAGTTAGTCAACTTTATCGGCTTGGCTTTTTTCAATGTATTCACTTGCACTCTCGCCTACAATGATTGAAGAAGACTGTGCAATTATCAAGACAACCAAGGGACATCAACGGGTAGTGAAGGCCTTTGGCCTCTCACCTACTAGGTGGTGGAATAAGAGGCAACTCAACGCAAAAAAGACCTGGAGCATCCCAGACCATCTCGGTAAGTTCTAGCTAATTGTCCACATGTTTAATATCTTGCTTGCTAATAACTAATAAGCGTACCTGTGGGACGATCTTGATTTAATCACCGCTCGGGAGAGTGTCGCACATCCGTTGTTCCCAATGAGAATAGAATCACTTCTCCTCGCGCTGCTCGCAGATAAGATCAAGAAAGAGTCACTTCATCCTGACGGGCCCCTAGACTCGCCCCACTGGAGCTTTCGGAAGCGGATGTTCACGCCGGGAATGACAGACGACCAAAGTCTAGCTCCAGTGAATATCATCGACTACGTTTTGTGGTATGGCCACTGCTGGGAGCTCGAAACAAACATGATTGTGATGAAGACTAAGAGTCCGGTGCGTCGGAGCTGGGCTCTACTTCAAAATATGTCGAATATTCACCATTCTCGCAAACTAGCAGGAAGAAACGCAGTTATCTACGGTGTCATGACTGACGGGTTGAAATGGGTGTTCATACATCTAAGTAACACAAGTCGGGTGAGTCCTCGAGGGAAGCTAGGGAAATTTGTTCACTCACACCTTATTTAGTATACAACCAAGGTATTTTCTTGGGATGACGAGCGAGACCGGATCATTGCCCAGACTCAGGATATAATCGATCAGGCAGTCGCTCTTCACAGAAAGATACTATCACGCTCGTCTCTACCTACACCTACTGTTCACCAATCTAGTCGATGTCAACTCAAAGAGATTTCTGCTCCATGCAATGGCTCTGATGATGAGAATGGTCGTTTAATTGAGGAAAATACCTATGAGATGGATATGGGACCCTTGGCTTGGTAAATTACTGGAAATCCAAGTTTGATATGTACGGCGGGCACGTTGGACAATGGGAATGTTTGTATTCTCTGATAGCCAGTGATATCTCTACAGTAACTAAATATCGCAGTTCTTTCCTTTGCTTGCTTGTTTCGCAGTCTCAGAGTTTCTGGTCTACATAGCATATTGTGCCTGAGGCATAAAGTCCATGCAAACGCGTTAAACATACCTGCATTGGTGTCCAATCACATGATGTCCACACCGACAGGCTCTAGGTCAACAGTACGTACTCTTCCTTTCTGCCATGCTCGCTCAACATAGAAACTTCATCTAGATGTCTATCGCAACACTCCCGACGGAGCTTGTATGGAACATCTGTGGCCATCTGGAGCTGCGTGACTGGATTGCGTTTCGAACCACCTGCCTCGGAGTGTACACGAAGTCGCTGGATGCTTTTGCGGACCGATATTGTAAAAGTATCGGCTTGATTCTCACTAGTCACAGTCTTCGTCGATTGGAACAGCTCGCTGCAAATAATTGCTTCCGAACACGAGTTCAAGAGCTATGGGTCGTACCGTCCTTGTTTGGGGGCTTTTATGAGATGGATATTGATTCCTTCGAGTCCTGCACCACTTCACATAGAGACAGGCTGCCTATTGCCCAGATCAATACGCGGCACACTGCATATCAGGCTTTTGTGGCAGATCATCTCAGCATCATCGAATCCGATACTCTTAACAAGGTCCTCAAAGAATGTATGGCACGATTTGAGAACCTTACTGTTATTAGAATGCAACATAACGACTCCGAGTATTTCTGGAACTCAGATTCAATTGCAAAGGATGAGTTCAGGTGTCTCGGTTGGCGCGACGTAAAACGCCAGCTTGGATTCAATCCATTCGGATTGAATATCAGAAAACCCATACACAACCTCTGGAGGAGCAGAGCGAAGGACCACGCTATAGCTTTCTCAGCTCTTCTAGAGGGTGCAGTTGCCTCAAACAGGAAACTCAAGAAATTAGACATATGCAACGATGAACATTGTGCCCTACCCTCTTCGGATATTACACTCAAACTCACACACAAATCCCTGCTCTTATCCCTGGAAGGATTAGAACACCTGCACCTCTGTATCTGTATCTGGGAGGTACATTCGGATGATTCTTCACTCAGATATCTCATCGATATCCCTATAATAGTTGCACCAAGCCTCAAAGTCCTAACATTCTCACAATGGGACCGGAATGGTGTAATGAACCCTCACTATTTTATCGACCTCTCCCAACGCGTCAACTTCACCCAGCTAGTTGAACTCGATCTTTACTGGATCGAAATCACCTATGATACCCTCAAGGCATTTTTACGCACCGCAATGCCGACTTTGAGGTCTCTTGCCCTGCAGTCCTTGAACTTGAGGGGTGTAGCCCCAATGGACACCGATAGTGGCCATCATCTATCAAGATGGGACTCTCCAGAGATGATTGAGGAGAGCAGTGCTGCTTGGCGACAGGTTTGGAATTTCCTCGGAGATGAATCCTTGCTGCGGTCTCTTTCCTTGAAACATCTCGGTTATCGAGGCCATCGTCTGCACTTGCGCGATAATTTGAGCAATCTCAGTGGGTCTTCAGAGCCGAATGGGCCGATAATTGCTATCTTTAATGCTGAGCGTGCTGGTGTTACCTTTAAGGAATGGGTCACTCAGCTACAGACAGGGCCACCACGGGGGCCGCGGATATGGTATGATAGCATGCCAGGGAAAGACTATACCGCACAGATGATTTAATCTGATATTCTCATGAGGAATTGCTACAATACTCACAGATTCAACGCATCCGAACTGTGGGCACAACTTTCACTCAACTCTCAAATATCCCGACATAATCATAAGCCTCGCACGGTCAATCCTTCCAGCAACAAACGCAAACCCTCTCCACCTACCTCAACTAAAAACAACTCCTAAACCTACCTCCTCTCACGAGCTTCACTTGCACCTTGACGAAATCAAAGCTCGTCGAATCAATATCAAACCCCTTCTGCTCTCCAAAAACCCAAAAGCTTCACTTCGCGAGCAACTCCCCGCTAAATTAATAACATCAAACCGGCCCTCTCCACCACCTGGACGTTCAAGTCTACATACTCATCAACCTCACCAGCCGCAATTTTTTCCCCCAAAATATCCAATTGGCCGCAACAACATGAATACCCGCACACGCAGCAAGCTGCACAAGCAAACCACCAACCCCACCCTCACCAGCAACAACAACAACAACCACACGCTGATCCAACTGATAAGCATGCTGATAATCTTTGTCCTGATGACACTGTGGTTACGACAGCGCACGCCTGCCCGGAAGCGGAAGCGAAAGATCCGCATGCACAAAGAACGCCTCGTACGCCGTCTGCGCGCTGAGCGGCAATTCAATACCATTTCTTCACGCCCAAGACCCGCTGGTCTGTGTGCGACTTCGTCTGTTGTCGCGAGCGCGTATGAGGCCCGTGTTGAGACGCAGTCTGCGGAAGTCATGCCGAAGACGGTTTGAGGGGAATCGATGAACATGGGAATATGTTATTGCTATGCTTGAGAGGTCGTGGTCCTGGAATGTGTAGGGCTGGTGGTATGGGTCGGGCTATGTGAGCATTTCATGGATTATGGCTGTTGCTTTGATGTGGATTAGAAGTTGATTTGGATTTGGGACTGTGAGGGTTAGGATTGGGAATAGGGTGGTCGGGAGGACGGTGCTGGGTGGACTCGGATGGCTTGCGTGTTAGGGGTTTGTCGGGGTAGGGATTTGGGAGAGAACAATTTCAGAGGCAGATTGAATGGATGTCTGGCTTTTATGCCGGAGTTAAGCATGGTTTTACAGATAGGCACTTGCGTGCGGGATACAATAGATCAAGGCATCAGGAGTTCAGTTTTATGCTTCTATGAATAGATTGAATAAGAAATACTAATGGGTTTCATTAACCATCAAGGTAGTCATGGGAGGCATGTCTCGAGAGAAAAGGAAAATATGTGCAAAGCGCAATGCTGGCTGTACAACCTCAAGAAAATGATTCATGTGGACATGTGTATCCTCCCGGTTTCATTTCAGGGAAAAAGAAGAGCGTTTACTCGACCGAGGGCAAATCGGCCGAAAGAGGCAACTTGCGGGATGAGTTACCGACATACACCTTCTTTTGGGCGTCGGAGATTACCCAGTTCTGGGAGTCAACATCCCAGTTAGAGACGTCACGGCGGGTCAGAGTAGTGGTCCACTGGAGGGTCTGGCCAGGGGCAATAGTGACTCTGTCAAACTGACGCAGGACCTTCGACGGCTCATCATCGCCACCAAGGGAAACGTACAACTGGGGAACTTCGTCACCAGTCACGGACCCGGTGTTAGTGATAGTAGCGGTCACCTGGTAGAGGTCTTGAAACAGACCAGGATTGCCACCGGAGTTACCGCTAGCGGGGAGGAGGTCCTGAGGAGAGCCGTCAGTGGCATCCTCTGGAATGTAGTCCTTAGAGTCCATGCCATAGTCAGGGTCGCCGGACGACGCACGCAGGTCGGTCGAGTTCAACCACGGGTAAAGGTACTGGCGGACGCGCTTAATTCCTTCGGGGAACAGATTATCCGAAGCCTTGCCAGCTTCACCGAGAACGGGGGCTTTTTTGGTCTTCCCAGTGGTTGCTTGGTATTTGTTGTATTTAGGCGAGACAAGAGGAATGACCTTCAGGTCGGAGAAGGTAAAGTTGGTATAGCTCAACCCGTAACCGAACTCGTAAATGGGCTCCGTGTTATCCTTGTCAAAGCGGCGATAGTCAATGAAGACACCATCCTCGAAGTCGTCCTGAGGAGCATCCGCACCGTTGTTGGGCACTGTGAGGAGAGGAGGCCCGTAGTCCTTGCGAGCCTTGCCCCAGGTGAATGGAGTCTTACCACCGGGGTTGACACGGCCATACAGTACGTCCACCAGACTGCGGCCGCTCTCCTGGCCTGGCAAACCAGCCCAGACAATGGCGGTAATGTTGTCGTTGTCATACCAGTCACTAATCAGAACAGCGGATGTGCTGTGAATCACAACGATGGTGTTGTTGCAGTGTTGACTAGCAGTCTTGATCACCTCTTCGCCATTCTTCCACAGCGTCAGGTTCTTGCGGTCACCTTCGTTGCCATCAACGTTGATGAACCCCTCGCCAGAGTCGGCATTCACGAAAACCAGTGCAACATCAGCCTGAGCAGCCAGGGCGGCCATCTCCTTGAGGGCCCAGCTATCGGTCACAGCGAAGACGTTGGTCTGCCCGTTGCTGTATTCCAGGACTTCATTTTGGATGGCTTGCTCGGGTGTAATCAGATAAGGGAAATTGGCAGTTCCACTACCCCAGCCCATGGCCAAAGTTCCGTTGTCACAGCCACGGTCGTTGCACCCATTGGCGCCATAAGCATTAGAGCCCGCATCCTCTCCCAGAATAGCGATAAACTTCTCGTCATGGGTAAGAGGCAGTGCACGACCCTTGTTTTTGAGCAGGACAGTGCTGTCAGAGCCAATCTTGCGGATGATCTGGGCATGGTCACGCTGGACATTTACGCGCTCGTTGACCTTGCCCCAGCCCTCGCTGACCATAGCATGCTGGAAGTTGTATTCATCGCGTGTCCAGGAGCTGAAGTTGGGAGGGGTTCTGACGCGATCACGTCCAACCTTATAATAAGCAGCCATGATTCGGACAGCCATATCGTCGATGCGCCATTCTGGGACGGTGCCGTTTAGAACGGAGATGGTCAGGTTGGTACCCCAGTAGGAGTAAGGGCTACCCAGGTAGACATCACCGGGCATAGACATATCCAGACCGGCCAGAGCAGACCCAACACCGCTGTGGTGCGCACCCCAATCGCTCATAACAAAGCCCTGGAATCCCAGCTCGCCCTTGAGCAGCTTGTTGAGGGTGTAGCTGTTTCCGCAACCGTAACTGTTGTTGATCTGATTGTAGGAGCACATGACAGAGCCAACACCAGCACGGATGGAGTCCACGAAGGGCCAAAGATACAACTCGTGCATGGTTTTGTCGTCAATATTTGAGCTCAGACTCTGAGAGATGTTGTACCCGTATCCCTGAGCCTCGCCAGACTGACGGAAATGCTCCTGCTCATTTCCAATGAAATGCTTTGCACAAGCAATGACACCAGCATCCTGCATCCCCTTGATGGTTTCGGCCATCATCACACCAGTCAATACAGGGTCCGGCGAGAATCCTTCCCAGTTACGACCGCCCTCGGGGTACTTTCCCAGAGGGCCAGCAACAGGACCCAGCTGCACATCCACGCCCTTGTCGCGGTGCTCTTCTCCCATTGCCGTACCACGCTGGTAGGCAAGTCGCTTATCCCATGTCGCGGCAACATTGACACCAGAAGGGAAACCAGAGTTGTAATCACCTTTTCGAATTTCATTAGTTAAATAAACCAATTGTGTTCGGGGCGGGCAATCTTACTGAAGCGTATACCCAATGGCGAGTCCTGCATGCACATTCCCCACATCCCAAGTCGGGGAATGCTCCCAGTCTCACCAACACATCGCTCTTGCTCCCACCCGGTACCGGTTGTCAAGTTGACTTTCTCGGCCAATGTTAGGTTAGAGACAAATTCGACGGCGCGTATGTATGCATCAGACCACTCGCCCGCACCAGTCATCCATGGAGAGGGATAATATGGAGGAGAATAGGCCAGAGGCTATTTTGACGCGACGTTATTAGCAGTGATATAATTGATCGACTTGAATTGAACTCACATCTGCATTAACCACCGAAGCCGTTAGGCCGGCTACTTGTAGCCACCCGAACTTCATTGCTGTCAAAGTGCTGTGAAAGTGAGAGAAGAACTCACAGAGACAGCATGGAAAGAAATAGAGGTGTGAGGAAGGAACTAGCCACAGGAGAGGGAAATACATGGACCTTAAATGTTCGATTTCTCACAGGGGGGAGCTAATATTTGTGCACGTACTCCATATAATATTTACTCCATAAAATGCAATAAATTGAGAAAGTGATCGACATTAAGGTATGCACTATCCTGATCATATTTACATCCTTTCCTATGATTGGCTATGGTTGATACTCACTGGAACTGGACTTTAGAGACACCTTGAAAAGGGGACACAAGGCACAGTATAAATAGTGGCTGGTAAGGGACACAGGGTGAGAAATCAACCCCCTTTCTGTGCTCTGGTCCACAAAGGTCATACCTCGACATAACCCACTCCTTACCTTGGGCCTGAATTCACTATAGATCGGCTATACTTCGGCTCACATTGCTACCTTACAACGCTCGTGCCTCTTCCCCGCTAATTCTAATTCTCCGTTGGATGTAGGTCTTGGATCTTGGACCTTTCAGCGTTCGGCTTCTTACTCCGTATGGGGGTATGTTGGGGTCTGCATACAGACTCACCTGATCTCGAGAGGCGACTTCCATTCTAATCTGGACGGGCCAATTTCTTGATCACCACTTCTCCTACCGAATGGGGAAAGCCTTCTCATCACATCACTCCGAGATGCAAAGACCTGGTCGCCCGTTCCTACAACACTGCACTATGTTGTATATAGCTAATAAAAAAAAAGATTCCATTTACTTTCGATCCAAGAATACGCTGTGTTCTAATAATATTGGGTCTATTTTCCCACACAGATACTATGGGATAAGCCATCCGCAGCTAAGCGTTTTCGTGGAGATCAGTGCGGGGGGGAGGGATGCCGACTCTTACGGCTTTTGCGCGATTAATTGTCTACTTGGCCAAGCGCATTCTCCCGTGTTCTTTTCGGAGACTATTCATGTAGTGGAATGGTGCACTTCAAGGTGTTGCATACAAAATACTCCCTTAATACTCCCTTCACCGAGAGAAAGTTCCCCCACACTTGTGCCCCGGCATCGGACCAAACCCCCATATCCCCGGTTTTCTCGGCTTAGACCAAACTGCCAGTACGGAACACGCTGATCCCGGACGGGATGCACCGCCAGGCCATCTTTTCCTATTTTGCGGCTAATCATCGGTGCTAGAACTTAATAATCTTTCGTTTCAGGGCTTCCACCGGCTGGGGATTTGGCAGTCCAAGCAGTTTAGTTTGGGGGATCGGAGCGTTGAAGGCTTGTCCTTTTTGAATAGATTGGATTTAGAGAAGTATTTCTCATCGGTCATTTGTGGTTTGTGATGCAACAGGTAATCTGAGACATCTTGACGTCATTGGAATAGTGGATGCCATTCCTCTTGGTTATACTCTAGCTCGCAGAGCGTCGGACTCGGGACCTGCAATCGGGGATAATGTTGCCATTTCGCCGTCGGGGCGTGGGGTCCGGGGAAATATCCAGGCTTGGTGTGGTGGCCCCACATCTTAGGTGGGATGTCCAGGCACAGAATCGTCCCGCTGGGGCCCTAAGGCCGAGATGCCGTGGTACGGATCAAAGTACTCGTAATTTTCAAGGCTCGCTATTGCAGAAGAGAACAGGGTTGAAAGCGATTCTTGGTAGTAGTGTAGTCCTCGTTCTCATTTCCTCTGTTAAATGTCAAGGCGGCTGGAACTATCAACTATCCCAACCGAATGTGAATGCTAAACCAGTGCCAAAGTCAGACATCACTGCTGATATCGTCTAGCACTTGGAACAGAATGTGATTTTGCACTCTACAGCCTGTGCCATTTGCACCTCCTCGGAATCCAGACCAAATTTTTCGTCGAATCTCATCAACACCAATCCCTTTGGTGTTGTATTGATTGATCATTTCTTCTGCAATAGCACACAGCGTGGAATCAAGCACATCTTCGTCAGAGATCGTCTCTGGAATTTGTCTCTCGGACCGACATCCACACAAAGCCGGGTCTTCTTCTTGTGGAGTTTGCTTTGGTGGCTGATCTGATGGTTGCACCACTGTCGAGGCACATGCCCCACTGACCGCTGTTGGCAGTTCAGTTGTCACAGATCCCTCTTTGTAGACGTGAGGTACTACCATTGACGAATTCGATGTGCGAGTGGATCGACGTGATTGAGACAGAGTACTATTTCCCTCCGCTCGCTGGATAGCAGGGATGGCAACCTTCCGGCTAGTGTTTGCTCCCGTATCCACTTCCTGCAGATACTGCTGGACAGAAGCACTCGAAACTCCCAGTGATCCTAGCAGGTCTCTCAAATGCTTATTTTCAGCCTCGACTTTTTGCGTCGCCAGTCGATGCTCGATATCTTTTTGTTGGGCTTGTTCTTTGCATACTGCAAGACGCTGTTCTAACTCATTCACGTATTCCTGCTTCCGAGCTCGACTCTTGCGCTGGTTCTCACGCACCCGTGCGAGTCGCTCCACATTCTTCTATAGCAGTTAGGGGTCATGTATTGACTGCAACTACTTCAACGGATATGACTGACCTTCTGGTCTTTCGTTGAATCCATCAGTTGCGGACCCAGGGGTACGGGGCATGATCGGGTTCCCTATCAGTCGAGTTTTTCATACAAAGCGCTCATCGGATTGAATGGGAGATGACAAGCGTGGTGGCAGCCAGTTTGACACTGTCTTTGAATTTCGAGTTCGGAGAGAAGATGCATCATTGCTGTCTGACTTTTATGGCTGATATTTGGTGGTCACGTGGACGTAATTTTTCGAGCTGCCAGTAGCAACTACAATTTAGTTCCATACATGGTAAAATGAATGGAATAATTAATATGTTCAGGGAGAGACTAGTACTCGGGATTCCAGTGGTGCCGAAAGAGGTACGGCTTTGTGTTGCTTTGCTAGTCTCCCCCTCCGACCAAGGCTTCTATAAAGTACTGGACCGCCCAAGGTATAGAGAGCAATGCCATGCTAAAAGCCATTTAGCTATTCAATGTTATCATGGATACTCAATTTACATATCAAGCCAGGAGTTTCTCAATCTGGGTTAACTTAATAGGCGTTTCAGGGCAACAAAAATCATACAGACTGGTGACAGTAGAATGAACAAATGTGATGCATATATTGTGTCTAGCTACCGTTGCCTACTCTCTCCATACAGAGTATCACAAAGAGAAATACTATTTGAGAAGTGACCACATAATTCTTGAGTATTCCTATAGGTAGGTACAAGCCGTTTGCTGAAACCTTGCAGGAACTATGTTCTGGCTAGGTACAGTAGCAGACAGAGTACCTAGGTATAGTACACAGGGAGCATTAATTCATTTAAAGCCCATCCGCCCATCTTGAGGAGAAGTTCACGGATTTATACAATCATTTTTCCAACCAAAGAGAGAGGCAAGCAAATATGTAGCCCTCGGATGCAGCCCGCAAACGATCGCCCTCAACGTCATTGGCCGTCAGTCGTGAGCTATATTCTTTTTCTGCTAATTCGCTCCTACTTTTTTCCCTCTCACAGTAAATATCATTATTGCATTCCACTCTCTCTCTTACTCACATTATCACAAGTTTATCATGATTTCTACGCGACACCATCCTAGCGAATTCCCCTCGCTCGACACCGGGAAAGAGCTGTCCAAGCCACCAGCTACTACCAACGCCAATTCGCGCAAATGGACCCATACACCTGCCGCGGCGCTGACAATCTGGCTCGTCATTTCAGTTCCCTTGGTCATATGGGACACAGGCTATGTATTGTTGCGACCGCATACTATGCCCGGTGGAAGTCTACACTCTCCGATCTGGACACCTTACGCCCTGTACGGAGAGGTTGACTATATCTACGGCTGGCCCGCCTTCAATGCGCGCAATGGCTTTACTGCTGCTCAAACTATCATGAATATTTTCGAGACTATCGGTTATATATCCTACCTCTGGATTGTCTACCACTATGGGTCGACGATTAGAAGAGCCGGGTCGCAAAAGATCACCAAAGGATTCACCTGGTTGCTGAAGGGAGAGAAGGTGGTCGCTGGGCGCATCGGTGCGATCGCGCTCCTGGTCGCTTATACCGCTTCTGTCATGACTCTGAGCAAGACTATCCTTTACTGTAAGCTGCAATATTTGCCTAAGCGTTGTGTATTGGTTTATAACTCGATAAATAGGGCTCAACGAGATCTTCTCCGGCTTCGAGAACATCGGTCACAACGACCCGCTCACTCTCTTCCTCTGTTGGATCCTCCCTAAGTGAGTTCGGCCTATTATATTTCCACACGAAATTCGAAACTAATGTTACTAAGTGGTATGTGGCTCGTGTTCCCTAGCTACAACATCTATATCCTCGGAGGTGAGATTTTGAACTCGCTTGAGCTCGCAACACCGCGCCAGAAGGTTGGACGCCCAAAATCCACATAGGATCTGTCGCGCAAACTAGGGAGTAGATTGCGTACAGAAATTCGACATTTGCAATGACCATAGCGAGTGTGCTTGAGAAAAATTCGGATCACTTCGGCCTATCTTTCGGTAGGTGGCATTTAAAGGTGGCTAGTATAAGAGAAGGGAAAAAAGCATCTTTTTCTGTAATGCACTCGAGATGATCGATGAATATCTTATTGTGTTGGCCATTCAGAGCAAGCATTACTCGGGCAGGTAGCTGTATGCTAGTCCTAGTCTTCTGTCAAGCTTCCGATGTGCCAGCCCAGATGCTAACTCGGCTGTCCTACTGTCATACGCGTTCGGGTCCAGTCCAAGAACGTCAGACATACTGCGAGTATATCCATGAATTTATGATGTGTGATTTTTATCGCACGAGGGCGAGATCGTAGATATATTTCTGGACCTAGAGCTAGTATACGAGAATAGTATAGGAGCTCGGGGGGGATATACGGTTGGAGCAAAGACTCCAGGCATGTGAATTCAAATCGATTGCGTACTTTCTTCTGCTTCAAAAGTTTACTCCAAGCTACAAAAGACTTCCCATATACAACATAGGTTATGGTGGAGTCTCCGTAATATGGGCGGCGTCAATGGCTGAATCATTGCCAAGCCATTCGCCGCTGAACCTTTCCCCATATTCGGGGTCCTGCAATTTATTTTCTCTTCAATACAGCCTCTTGTTCGCTCATCTCACTTTCTCGGTATATTCCACTCCAAATATACATCCCCCACGACGAACTCGGCTTCCATCTTGGGAGCAACTTCTTTGTTCCCGCCCGTGCCGAAGGATGCTTCGGGCCTGGGTCCTGGGGTATCTGCACCCGTCATGAACCAACCCGATTCCGACAAATCGCCATCGAAAACCCCTGGTGTCAGCTTTGATCTAGGCCAGGAGGAGGCAGCAGCTCTCGACGACTTCGATACGCAAAGCCATGCCAGCTCCCGTGATCCCGGTAGCGCACAAACAGCGGACCCCGCGCTAGGCCCAGACAACGGGACACTAGACCAACGAGACGACGGCCAGTCCAATCTTGAACCTCTGAACGACGACGATAAACCGGCTTGGAGCGAGATGAAGACCAAGGCTGGAAAGGAGCGGAAGCGCCTGCCGCTGGCATGCATCGCATGCCGCCGCAAGAAAATCCGCTGCTCGGGCGAAAAGCCTGCCTGCAAACATTGTACGCGCTCGAGAATTCCGTGTGTGTATAAAGTAACTACACGGAAGGCGGCGCCGCGCACGGATTATATGGCTATGTTGGACAAGCGACTGAAGAGGATGGAAGATCGCGTAATTAAGACAATACCCAAGGAGGAGACGAGAGATATGGTCTCTATTGGGAGATCGGTTGTCAAGCCTTCCGCCTCGGTCCAGCCGTCAAAATCACAGAAGAAACGAAGCGCGGAAGAGGCATTTGCAGCAGAAATGGAGGAATGGACTCGTGGGGATGTCCGCCCACCACAAGAGACGTTCCCAACGAATCGTGAAACCAAACCCACCGATGGAACTGGCCTTCTCACCGAGGGAGCCGAATTCTTACCATCATTGGAGATACAAGAGCATCTTGCAGAGGTGTTCTTTGATTGTGTCTATGGGCAGTCATATCTCTTATTACACAAACCCAGCTTTATGCGAAGGCTTAAAGCAGGCTCAATTCCCCCTGTCTTAATTCTTGCTGTCTGTGCTGTATCTGCACGATTTTCCACACACCCTCAGCTCAACTCCGATCCGCCATTCTTGCGTGGAGAGAACTGGGCTAATCCCGCTGCGGCCATCGCTCTGAGCCGGCACGACGAACCAAACATTACTATCCTTACGGTCTTTTTACTTCTTGGTCTTCACGAGTTTGGGACCTGTCACGGTGGACGAAGTTGGTCATATGGAGGCCAGGCATTACGAATGGCCTACGCGTTGCAGCTCCATCAGGAACTTGATCAGGATCCAGTACTCAGTCAGAAGAATGGCAACGGCTCACAGCTGAGCTTTACTGATCAAGAAATTCGACGCCGCACCATGTGGGCATGTTTCTTGATGGATCGATATAACTCTTCCGGAAGTCAGCGGCCCCCTATTGGGAATGAAAAATTCTTACAAATACAGCTTCCTATCAAGGAAACTCACTTCCAGATGGAGATACCTGGTCCAACAGAAGATCTTGACGGCGATGTCATTAATCCCGTACTTGAAGATGCGGGCCAGCTATTTAATGCTAAAGAGAACATGGGTGTCTCGGCATACATTATCCGTGCTATCATCATATGGGGGCGCATCGTTGACTACCTGAATCTGGGTGGGAAAAGAAAGGACTCACATCCACTTTGGCATCCACAGTCAGGATACATGCAGCTTAAGCGGCAAATTGAGGAATTCTCTGCGTCTCTTCCGGCACCTTTGACCTTCACCTACGAAAATCTTCAAATCCATGCATCAGAGAAGATTGCAAATCAGTTCATTTTCCTCCACATCATCACACACCAGAACATGCTGTTTCTCAATCAGTTCGCTATTCCCTTGTCTCCAGGGGGGCGACCGCCAAGAGATATGCCTAAGTCATTTCTCAGTAATGCAGGCCGAGCCGCAGTGGAGGCTGCGCATCACATATCAGTGCTATTTGATCGAGCTTCGGCCTATCCCCTCACTGTCCCTTTTGCTGGTTACTGCGCTTACTCGGCAAGTACAGTTCACATCTGGGGGATCTTCTCGAAGAACGTACAGCTAGAGGCACGCTCAAAAGAGAACCTCCGGCATACCTATCGCTATCTCAATAAAATGAAAAAGTACTGGGGAATGTTCCATTATATGGTTGAGAGTGCCAAGGATCGGTATCGCCTGTTCGCTGATGCAGCTATAAAGGGCTCTGTGGCAACTGATGGCGCATCGTTGGCACCAATGTTTCAATATGGTGACTGGTTCGACAAATATCCCCATGGAGTGTCAAGAGTACACTGGGAGGGACCCGAAACGCGACACAAAGAAACGGGCGAAGACGCAGTCATGGGCCAGAAACCCGACCTCCAGAGCGTGGAAGATTTCTTTGCCGGCCTTTCCCCCACTCCGCAGCCAGTTCAACCCCGCAAGTCCCGACCTCGCAAGAACAGCAAGCTATCAAATGGAGCACCGGGTATGGACCAGACTTCACCGCAGTCTGTGATGGAAGCCATTATAGGAAACGCCCCCGGTGGCCCAGACAGTGCATTCCCACAGCCATCCATGTTCCAGCAATCCCGGCCAATGCCATTCGGTCAACCACCTTTCGACTTCGGTATCCCACCAGACCAATTACCGCAACTAGATCGGCAATTTGTCTACGGTTCATTTGCTGACTTCGATCCCGCCTCATTCGATCCAAACAATCCTCCTATCCCACCGCTCAACGGCGTCGAAACTCAACCCCCAGATCAAACACTGTTCACTGGCCACATGGACCCAAGCGCCCCTGCGGGAATGGGCGAGTTCTACCAGCCCAGCGCATGGTTCCTGCCCTTTAATCTTGATCCTGTTGGCGGCGGAAACGCACCATCACAAGCTCCGCCCCCGGCTTCCATGCCTGGGGGAAACAATGGTGACGGCACGTCATCTGGGATCCCTTCTGTGGATATGTCGGGCTTTGGGGGTGCCGGAGGCATGTCTTTCTAAGCGCATATGATCTTTCTTGGTTCAAATGGTTCGAATATGAAACCCTCGTAGCTGTGATCGGGTCGGGTATTATTCATCGGCTGCTTTCTCAATGACAGCTACGTGGTGTTTCAGTTTTCTTTACAATTATTGCAGGAGGTTGGAGTCGGGGTTTGGGGGCTGGGTTCTGTTACTTTCGTGCTACTGTTCATATCATAAGCACATTTGTGTTGGTTTCTGTAAATAGTTCGTCTCCTACTTGTATATCCCTTTCTTTCCTGGGTAATTCTGAAGATCACCCATGTGTAATTGATTTTCCATTGCAACCTTGTAGACGATTCTGACCGAGCTTAGCAAAAAAAAAAAACTCCTCGATTGCTCGAACCTTGACCAAGATACTTCAGCAAATCAAATCACCAAAAAAGAAATTGTTGTGCATCATCCGTGAATCGAACACGGGCCTCGTCGATGGCAACGACGAATTCTACCACTAGACCAATGATGCTAGTTGTATGGTTAGGCACACATTGTGGGGACTATATTCGCTTAAAATTTAGATACACAGGCAGCTCGAAGTATGAGATCAGCATTGAGCATAATCCTATCAAGTATCTGTGTAATTGAAGTGGGTGGATATGACTTGAGGTGATTTATGACTTGGTCCTGATTATGCTCGCGTTCAAACCCGCTGTATGTCAATACAAATCAACGCAGATGGCACATGGTACATGGACCATAGTGTGGATATATATCCAGCCAAGGTATGTAAACAGCCACAAAATATGTTCGTGGAAAGACGTTAAAAAAAAAGGTGCAACACAGATAACCACACAAGGAGAATAGCATCAGATTATATTGTTTGAACAATCTGAAAAATAGAAGTGGCCATAGCTGCCACTAGATGGAAGGGATTGTTGAAAAGGTACGGGAAACACAAGTCGCTATAAGACAGGGGAAACCGGAGGAAAGAGAGAATAAATATCAACTAATCATCCCACTCTTCATCCAGTTGATCTATTAGCCTATTCTCGGCATCCACATCACGCCCCTGGCCACGTCCTCCCTGCCCCCCCTCGTCCTCCGATGGCGCCAATGAAACCGCCGCGGCCACCGGAGTCCGCGCGAGTGTAACCATTACTCGTGGGGGATCCCTTGCAGCGGAAAAGATTCCCTAGCGAGGAAAAGATGATCACGAACATATCCTGTTGCGCAGAAAGAAAGGAATGGTCAGCGTCATGCTCCAACAATGAGGCTCGCAACCGCAATCGATTTAAGCACATGCAGTCGAACATGTAGTCCATCTAAGGAGGCAAGATAAGTGGTGACTATGCAAAAACTGTCTCGGATCCAGGGATCCCGAAGATGAAATGACAAATCCATTGACAAGGGTCCAAGGAACAGCGCATTGCATAAATCAAAACATCTTGCCAAACATATGAAAGTGTACATGCCGTGACCAAGGCAGGCGGACAAAAACCCAAAGAATCAAATTCAAAGGGAGGCAGTGCAAGAAAGGAATGACCGATGAATGACAAGAACCAAGGAAATGAACCGAAGAGGCCAAACGCAACCGTATTCTCGAAGTGATTCGTCTCCAGACCAGCTAGAGCGAGTTCAATCCATCCTTGAAACAGGTAGTCCTGCCGCATTTGAATCCCGGAACTTATGTGACACGAAGTTGCCATATCTGAATCTGCGACGAGGCCAACATGGGATCAATGCTAGAATACTTACTTTAACAAAGTCGAAAACTCCTGCCCACAGGCTGAAGTTCGGACACTGACGCCAGCCACGTTGATGCATGACCGTTCGCTGGTAGGCGCAGCCACCAATCAGATATACGGCGATGGCGATCAGCATACTAGAACACAGGGTCAGCATGGATTATATTGGGTCTTTTCCCAGTAGATAGAAAAGTGCACTGACATGACACCAAATACGCCGCCGGGTCCTAAGCCCCCAGCGTTGGGATCCGCGGCGATTCCACCACATGCCGCTGAGCTGCGAACTTCGAAAAAGTACGTGCATTCATCCATGGAGCCCACGAAGGAAGGTGTAGCTACATTTGGCGCAGCGTCGCGGTCACAAAGGAAAGACATGATAGTCGACTTAGTGCGTGTAGAGACATTGGAGCTGCCCATGTTATAGTCCGGACAAGGCGAGCCATTGGTATAATTGAGGACGAGTTTGCGGCCGCGGAAGAAAGGTTCAGATGCTTGTTGCCTGGATATGATGGAAAACCGTTAGCACAATAAGCAGCGAATGAGTCCCAACAAATGCGACTCGTTGGAATGGAATTCTACCATACCCTATGGAATACACTTTATCATCCCGCTCGTAATATGCACTGACGTTCTTCCACCGCGATGACTCTATCCCGACCACGTCCGTCACATTCTCAATCACCGGTGCGCAGATATTGATTGTGAAATTGGCTGGGTAGTCGTGACCCCTGGCAAACCAGCTGCCTTCACGCGCATCTTTCAAGAGTTTCTTGCCATCCTTCATCTCGGGCGGGGATATTGCGATCGCATTCAGATCAAAGTACAATCCAGTGGTCGGGGAGCGGGCAACACATGGTGCGTCATCTTTCAAATGAGTAGAGTATGATGCGTTAGATAGTCCGAGCATTGAGGATAGAAGGAAAATGGAGTAACGAGCGGAGCTGGTGAGCTTCATGGTGGGCTATGTTGGGGTCAATCAAGGCAGTCTAGAAAAAAGAAAGTGAAGGAGAGACTATAGAGAAAGAAAGATATCTGCAAGATGATAGAAATGACATGGATGATGAAAGGTGTATAAGAGTAGTGTTCAGGTACCTAGGCACTGGTTGAGGCTTACGTAGCATCGCAGCTGTGATTATGCGGAGCAAATCTGCGGACATCCACTATCCGACGTCGTACGCGATCTAAGGCTTCAGGGTCTTATTTAGGGATCTTTCCTCCCCCAAATTCCCGGATTCTTTCTCTATCCATCGAATCCTTCATAATGTCTACCAGAAAGGAGTCTAAAAAGTTACCTGTGCAGCCAGTGCCAGAGAAACGCGGTTATGAGTTTGGTGGACCGTATGTTTTTCACTCCTTCAATCAATCTAAGCTGAGCTGACATTTGCAATAGACTAGGTGCTTTTGGTATCATCTTTGGATTGCCGACCCTGATTTACCTCTTTACCTTTGTCTGCAACGATATCTCCGGTTGTCCCGCGCCGTCGCTGTTGAACCCCTCGACTTTGTCGCTTGAGAAATTGAAGCATGAAGTGGGTTGGCCTGAGGAGGGAATTTCGGCGCTTTATGATACCAATGTTACACTGTGGACCCTGAGCTACTATGCCTTCAGCCTGTTCTTGCAGGTCTTCCTTCCCGGTCAGGAGGCAGACGGTGTTGTGTTGGCTTGCGGAGGACGGCTGAGATACAAATTCAATGGTATGGCAATGGCTGTCTTTTCTCGCACATCGCATTCAAACAAGATCCTTTTTTCTGACTTGGTTCATTTTATAGCATTCTCTTCTGCCATTATTATCCTCTCGGGCCTCGCCGGAGGCACTTACCTCTATGGAGCCGATTTTGTGGTGTGGACATTCCTATGGGACAACTATGTTCAGGTCATTACAGCAAACTTGTTGATCGCTTCTTTTGCTGCACTGTTCGTCTACGCGAAGAGCTTCACAGTTCCAGCTCCTGGGCAGGCAAACTCAAGCCTACGAGAGCTAGCACCTGGGGGCCACACGGGCAACATGCTCTACGACTTCTTCATCGGCCGTGAACTCAACCCTCGTGTTCGCCTGCCCATTCCGTTTGTCAGCGAGGCATCACGCACCCTTGACATCAAGGTGTTTATGGAGATGAGACCAGGCTTGCTTGGATGGACAATTCTAAACTTGTCCAATGTGGCCCACCAGTACCGAACCTATGGCTATATCACTGACTCGATTGTGCTGGTCACTATCTTCCAGGCATTTTACATCCTCGATGCGCTGTACATGGAGCCAGCGATTATGACCACCATGGATGTAATCATGGATGGATTCGGATTCATGTTGTCTTTCGGCGACGTGGTTTGGGTGCCCCATTTATACAGCATCCAGAGCCGGTATCTCTCTGTCTTCCCCTACGAGCTTGGATTGACCGGTATGGCCGTTGTTCTGGGTGTCACGGCCGTTGGATATTCGATCTTCCGCGGCGCCAACAACCAGAAGAACCGTTTCCGCACGAACCCCAATGACCCCCGCGTGAAGCACATCAAGTACATCGAAACTGCTGCTGGATCTAAATTAATGATCTCCGGCTGGTGGGGTCTGGCACGTCATATCAACTACCTGGGTGACTGGACTATGTCGTGGGCATACTGCCTGCCGACTGGTGTTGCGGGATATGTTCTCATCGAGAGCATCAACCCAGCTAGTGGCGCTGTCCAGAAGCAAGCTGTGCAGACCCCGGAAATCCGTGGCTGGGGTATGATCTTTACATACTTCTACATGCTCTACTTTGGTATCTTGTTGATCCACCGTGAGATGCGTGATGAAGAGAAGTGCGAGAAGAAGTATGGTGCTGACTGGAAGCGCTATACTTCCATCGTCCGCAGCCGCATTATCCCTGGGATTTACTGAGTGATCCCAAAAACTCATTTTACGGGCCCACGGATTCTGGCTTTTGTACATTAATTCTCACTATTTCGGCGAAAACTATTATGATAGGCTTGCATTCTTTGGATTACAATCTTCCAAAGTTGTCGCAGGATAATTTGACAAAAAAGATAGAAAAATATTTTACCAAGAGGCGATTATTAAATATCATTATCTACATCCAAGTTTCGCCCATGCCATTCATTGCGTCACGTACTGAACACCAAGAGGTTTGAATCCTATCAGATTCGAACTATTTCTCGTGGATTCCATGACAGTATCCATCAAGCGGAGAAGCTATGGGAATAATTATTCAAGTTGATGGCAAGAGTGAATCGCAAGTTCGGAATTAATATGATGACCTAACAAATACAAGATGTGAACCTTTCCATTGGTCTTTAATCATCTTCAGAATCTCCATAATCATCACCTGCTTTCCTTATAGAATCAACCATGTGAGCTTTCAGGTCTTTGACGAAGTGATCAATCTTTCTCTTGAAGTCGGCGCCAGATCCCATAAGTAACTTATCATCCACATTCCTAGAAACGAAGACAGCAAAATGATGACGGGTCAGTCGTTCAAGTCGCATATCCTGCCGTTGTGCTTTTGTTTTGTTGAAGATGTGAAGAGTTGACAAGTAGTCCAAATCCTTTGTCTCGCATGCGCCGTAAATCCGAGGTCCAGTTAGCACCCGGCATTCGGTGTCAGTCAAGTACCTGACGGAAGGAACTAGCACATCTCGGAATCCATATTGACATCCTGTGGTATCGATAATCCATTCTTCGTCGCTATCAAGTCGTGTTATCTTCAACACCATGTGTGGACCGCCGTGTAAATCAGGACCAGGAACAAGCCTAGTTGGAACCCGTGGTCTTCTGATATTGACGACTATGGTCTCTATTCTCAATGGCATACCTGCTTTGTTTTAGCTATGGCTTTACTTGGTACCGAAGAGCTGTAAAGGCGTTTTACCTCGAAGAAGTTTTCTGGTCAAGGGTCCTAAAAGGGCCATGGCTGCTGTAGATTGGCTTTTCACAAGAGCTGCTTCCTTGTGCTCGATGTTGTCGGTCATGTAGTTTGGGAAGGGACCCCGTTTGGATCGAGACGCAACCGTCCTTTGATTTTGATGGAGATAGAGAACTCCACCTCGATACTCGATCCTAGTTATGTCCACGTCGTATACAGTCTCCCTGTATGTCAACATGGCTGCCTTCAGTATTTGGGCAGCTCGGAGCAGTATCTTTCGTCGTTGCATGCTCTTGCAATAGCGTTTGTGCTTTGGCCAGTCCATTACCTGGCAGTCGTGGCCGCAGTAAAACATAGCCCGCGAATCGCCGCTTTGGTATTCAGGTGCATTGGAGCATCCCAAACACATTTTCCTAGTTTTTGTCCCACATTTCGCGCACTCGACTGAAGGCCTAGGAGCCATGTGGAAGGCAAAAACATGGGCTTCGACCACCTTCAAAGCTATGTTGAAGACACGGGATATCCATTCAATTTTGGCTGAAGATGTGAGGTTGTAGATTGACGAGGCTGGGGACTGGAAAGTGGGGAGAGATAAAGGAGAGTGGCGAGAAGAGCGAGAAGATCTAACCTTCAAAGGTCGAGAGGAATCTTGAGTGTTTTGACCTTCCCAGCGTTGACAGCCCGTTTGACTCATGGAGTTCTGCCTGCTCAGGCCAACAGTTCGTTTGGTATGTAGTTTCACGGTCTATCAAAGGCTGATGTCAATCAGGAACAGCAAACCAGTCCTCTTCACCCTTTGACAGCCCTTTCCTCCCGACATGATACTGCCCTAATCATCCCTGGTTATAAATTAAAAAAGTACTTTGTACGGTTTATAGCTTTGAGCATTTTTAGATAACTATCTCAAAAGATATCGAACAAGAATGCCCGAAGACCACGATGAATACATCACAATGCCGCATAAGCGGCCAACTATTCTTATTATGGGTATCTTGAAAGGGAAATAAAATATGAATACAATGTATATATGTACATGGCCTAGATTAATTTTCATCGAGCAAACTTCCATGCTCAGGACTCAATCAACGCTTTCGTTTTTTGGGGTCAACTAAAACATCTAAGGCCCAATATTCATCTCCTGAATTAGGCACCCATCCCTTGAGAACCAGTTTCGCATCTCCGATGGCCTGCATACGGATGTGCAATGGGTCTTCCAAGCTGCTAGGATTTTTGAAATCCTGGTAGGTGGTTATATCTGGCATGTGGTGTTGAACTGTATTGACGTGCGAAGCTTCAATTTCCGCAGCACCCGCTAGCGATTCGGCTGGGGGAAAATCGGCTGGATAGATACGTGGAACCGAGGCAGGCGAAATTTCGCGAAAAAGAGCCCAAAGCTTAGCCCGTGATAGAGAAGAGGCCCCACGGGCACCAGGCGAGGATGCCCGGTTTCCTTGCTTCACTCCGTTGATGATAGTCTCATACAAACCGGTTTTGGAACGGCAAAGGGTTGGCACTGACTTGCTGCCGCTATCCATGGTCATTGCCGACGGGTGGTGATACGAGGGAGCCAATATCCAAACGGCGCTCACATTACCTGGTCGGGACTTACTAGATCTTGCACCAGGCGTTGAAGGGTCTCCTTCCTGCTCCAAAGATAACGCAGGACAAGGCACGGACTTCTGCTTCGCAAAAGGCCAAAGTGTCGCCACCTCTTCACTTGGCACCGAAAGAACCTGAAATGACCGGAATCGATACCCTGGCGTGCTTTCTTGAAACTTGGTCTCACTAGGCCAAGATCGCCCACGCAAAGCCTGCATCCGGCCGTTCTCGCCAAAGGAGCGGTCACAGCCAACTTGACTGATCTCATCCTCAGGAAGAATCAGACCTGCGAGATAGGCGTTTTCGGTGGGAGCAACGAGGCGACTGGTATTACAAGACAACAAGGAGGAAACCTGCCGCAATGCAAGCTTATCTGAGCAGGACTTGCTGCGTGTGGACTCGGCGTCCATGCGAGCTGGCTTTCGACGCACGACTCCGAGAAGAGAGAAGTGGGCCCGGCCATCTAGAAGGGTCTCTGCACCAGGGACCTCTGCGTCTTGAGATTTTGGTAAAGGGCCTTCTTGCTGTAGGACTTCCCACGGTGTTGCATCTTCTTGGGCTGCCATGCAGAGCTCCATACTTGCGTCGCCGCATGGAGCACATGTGCAATACATGTAGATATTAATGTCAGGCTGAAGCTCAAAAGGCGGCCATTCTGTGCGTAATTTGGAAGTACCATCTTCATTCTCTTCAAGTTTTCTCCGCTGTATGAATGGAGAGCCCGAGACTTTTTCATTATCGGGGGCGGAATTGTCATGGCCATTTGGGAATTGCTTTTCCCGAAATAGCACACTGTTACATTCCGTCAAAAGCCAATAGTTGAATGCTCGGATGGCCAATATCTCGGCATGACAGTCATGTAGGACAAGGCCCCTGCAGCGTGGGATATGAGATGCCGGCAAGCATTTTGCGCCCGTCCTACATAAATATCAGCTTGCTTGAATGTAGGTCGCTAGCATATGCCTTGGTCAGGTTTGCAACCAAAACTTACGTGACAGATATGCAGGTCAGACTTTCCGAGGGTGTGTTTTCTCCTATTAGCGAAGTGACAAAAATGTTACTATTAGAATGAAAAGAAAGAATGTGAAGCGAAGTAAAGAGCAAATAATGGATTGATCCCATTCACTATCCTCATATAGACAAAGATTGATAGCTCTTCTATGAATAACTCATCCAAAAACATACCTTTAACAGCCACAATACCAGTCATTGGAATCCATTCCCTTGATCCATCCGGAAATATGGTTGGTTTACTGCGCGTTGGCAGAGCATCGAAATGTGCATGAACCAACGATGCTATCCGGGACGGTAGCGACGACCCAGATATATCAGCAGACATTGTATATGATCATAGTCGAACTAACAATTTCTCAAACAACTGATAGCTTTGCGAAAGGTAAAGAGATAGGATCGAAGAATATCAAGATGCTATACGATCACGTGAGACCCTACATGTGATGCCTGAGGCGTCAATTGCTCTCTTTTGTCTTTCGAGCTTTCCGCTTTTCTTCTCAACCTAACGTCAACGTCTCTACTATCCATCATGGCCGACAAGCTCCGCACCATCCAGAACCTCGAGGCTCTCCAGGCCCGTTACATCGGTACCGGGCACGCCGATACCACCAAGTACGAATGGACGTCCAACATCCTGCGTGACAGTTACTCCTCCTACGTCGGTCACCCTCCTCTGCTATCCTACATGGCAGTCGGCATGGGCGAGCCCAAGGAGAAGGTGCGCGCGATGATGTTGGAGAAAATGGTCAGAGGCGCTGGTAATCCACCAGAGGTATGTGGTATCTTGCAGAGTTGCTCATAATATAAAGTCGGCTTTGCTAACATGTGCTCTCCAATGATTCAGACTCAAGAGTAAACCCACTCAGTGTTGTTTAATCCTGTATTTCTTGATACCCATTGTCGTGCCCTTGGCTTTCCCGACAGGAAGGCAGGTCCTCCGATCCTCAGACCACCCCTAGTCCAGCCCAGCAGCCTCGCCGACATCAGATGATCCCCTCTTTATATCGGCCTTTAAACTGTCAAAGCCCCATTCTCGAAATTTTCGCTCGATCCCTTCGATACGGAACAACACTTCCAACCCAAAATACGAACGCTTTATGCGAGCAAGGCCTCTCCCCGGGAATTGGTATCCCCTATGGATTGCCATTTTGGCCCCTGGAACTTCGAGCATCCTCCAATTCTTGTTAGTCTTGTTAAACAAGAGTAAACCTGTGATACGACAACATGCCTACCACATGAATTATGCGCTCAACAGCCTCAACAGCAAGTTCTAAGTACCCAACCAGCATCATGATGGATGACTTGGTATTGATCGATGGACATTGAATTCCCCAACAGCATATACTGCATGGGAGAAGCTGTTCCAGACCTGTATCTCGCTTGATTGATCATAATCTGCAAATCACAATCTAATAACAATTGTTTGCAACATAAGGATATCCAAAATTAAGGTTTATTCCCATACATATTGATATAGTAATAGATACAGGATAGAGTAGTCATATTAATCATGGACAGATTAGAGCCCAAACAAAGCTCAGGACAAACGAATAGAAGAGGCTATCAAACAAGCTATGTAGTACTCCGTATGTATAAACCAAATAATTACGCTCTAGCCACCAATTAAGCACCCTCCGACTTCGCCGCCAACCTCGTATTCTCTACCTGCAACGAAGAAACAAGATCGATCCATTTCTGGCGCTCGGAGCGAAGCTGCTTGAGCTCCTTCTTGAGATCATGTACCTCGTGCTTCAAGCTATCTACCTCAGACTTGATCTTGGACTTAGACTTCTCCAAGCGCTCTGCCTCCTTTCGCTGCTTCGATTGAATCTTCAACACAAGTTTCCGCTGGCTAGCTTCAATCTTGTGCAGCTGCTTAACCAGCTTAGACTCCCCATTGAGAAAGTGAGCGGCTGCTTTGGAGAGAGGCGCTGGCGGTTCAGGCGTTGCCGTCCGGGTAGATGACTTGTCTTCGTTGTGAATTTCGCTCTGCACTTGGCTCTGGCTCTCTTGTGTGCGAGTGCTGGGGGGTCTGGGGGACATATTCGCCCCAGCACGCTTGCGCATCTCGCTAGTATCGCTGTCTACCTCACTGATGCCTTTCAGTGGGGTTCCGGAGACGCCAGGCGGCTGCGATGAGATCTGAAGCTTGTCGAGTTCGCCGCGAACTTCGACTAGCTTGCCTTCGACCTCGCGTTTGCGAATGGCTAGCTTTGCGAGATCTTTCTCTTGGGAAGTGAGCTTGCCATTCTTTGTCATTTTGATCAGCTCCTCCGAGGACATGTTGTTGTGTGCTGCCTCGTCGATGGAAGTAGCTGCGTGTTCGGAATTGACCGAGGAGGAAGATGAAGCCTGGTCCCGCTCATGGGATGTTGAAGATTGGGCATCAAACGCTGTTTGATCCTGTTGAACACTTTTTGTGTTTAGATGTGCCACGCCATCTGCATCGATGTAGGAAACCTCGTCCGCAGATGGGAGATCACCCGATACCTCATGGTGGGCACCATAGCCTAGAACATGTGGTGCGAATCGCTCTAATCCAGTACTGAGCAAGCCGGTGACACTGGCGATGAGACCATGATGCGAATGCTCGCCATCGCTGTCGAGTGATTCGTAATCTGAATCCGAATCGTCTGCCTGATCGGAGTCGTATTCATTCGGAGTCTCCCCAGCTTTAGCCTTGGCGCCTGCTAAATTATTCGCAGCTTCCGTACCTGTGCTTGCTTCTTGCTTAGGCGGCTTATCATCTTGGACAGCCCAGTTGATGAATTTAGCGGCGTCCGTCCCCACGCTTCGCGGTGTTCCCTTGTCAACCATCCACCGTGGGATGTTGCCGCCCGGGTCACTCCTGGTGACCATGATCCATTCAACAGGATTCATTTCTTCGTCTTGACCATCCCCATCTCCATCCTGCTCAGTTAGCCCCTCAGGGCGTTGCAGATTGGAGGATGAAGACCCATTATGATTCTTAATCCCCTGGTGAAGGGAGCTGCTTCCACTGCCGTTTTTCTTAGGAATCTCCCGAATGAGCTCGACAGACTCGTACTCTCCGCGAGTATACCCCGGCTGATGCTGGATACTGGGGTGGTCACAGGGCTTGGAGATCATGATCCAGCTGCGACCAGGCTGCTTAGAGCCCCCAGCTTGCAACCCACAATCAGAATTGATGACCAACTCCACAAAGTCACGGGGAGCAGTAGGTTTGGGAAACTGCGCCGAGACGTGGTAAACAATTAACTCTCCCAGAACCGAGCCGTCATGGTCCTGGACCTTAATAGTCTCGATCTTTTCTTGGGCGCCGATCCCGCGGATGCTCTTGTCGGGCGTCTGTCCCTTCGCAATCTTTTTGCGGTTTACTTTGAGCGTTTCATCGTACTCAGTTGAAAGCTTCTTCCGCCACCGCGAGAATGGAAGGCCTTCGTGCACACTCCGTCGCCCGAACCATGAGCCTCCGCCGTCGCTCGCAGAAAGTTTCCACACAGTCACATCCAACGGGTTGTCCTTTGGTCCGCCCATCTTCACTGGCTTCCCCCATTCTTTTTGTAGTTGTGTGATCTCAGGGTCGGTTTCTTCCACTCGTGCGGATGAGGGGATGATTCGTCGGGAGGAAGAGTCTATCGGGGCGTCTAAACCGGGGTATTCATCGCTGTCGGAAATTGGGGGATCTGGAAGTGACTCCGCTATCAAGCGGCTGTTTTTCAAGATCTCGCGCACGTAGTCACGGAGCTCATCAGGATCCTGGGGGACATCGTCCCATGATGTCGGCTTGAGGCATTGGAGGGCCTCATGTAGAGCATCCATAGGTGCTGTGAGGAAATTCAATTATTTTGAAGTCTCGGAGGTCTGCGATGCTGTTGGTAGAGTCCAGCAAATTGGATTGGTAGCGTAGTGATGTTGTTTCGAGTGGTAGGATTTGTCAGTTCGTGATTATGTCGGAATCAGTTCATGGAAATGGAATAAGCAGTGGCGAACAATAAGGTATCCAGAATTCAAGACTGAAATTTCTAACAATGCTCAAATGGCTTGCCCAGACGGAACCGGGACGGAACTGTAACTGCTCTGTAGAAAGGTTCCAAGTTATAAATGAAGCAACTGGTGGATCCCAGGTAAGAGGTAAATGCAATAAACTACAATGCAAAGGGAAAATAGCACAAAATCCAAATCAAGATGCAGGTAGAGGTGTTAAAGGATGTGAGTGTGCGAGTATCGATCAAGTTGGATATGATGTAGCCTGGACAAGGTTGTCTTGGCGGCTGACGTCATACACTGGGGTAAAATGCCAAAGTTATGTGGAGTTGATTGATACCTTGAAATGATCCTAGTGTATAGATCTACTTTGACATCGAGTCTTCTCTTAAATACTTGCCATATTTCATGCCGTGTTTTGTCGGAAGATAAAAAAGATACCCAGTTACACATACAAACTGATAGGATGAAAATGTGTACGCACTTTTTAAAACTAAGCTAAAGTGATACATACAATATTTGGACAGAGCTGCTGATAGATCAACAAAAAAAACCAGGAGAAGAGAAGCAGCCAGCGCAAGGACCAGCCCCTCGATCAGGCAGATCATAAAGGAAGGTATCTGTCAGATCGAGCATCTGATTCTTGTCGTCGGGACAAAGAATGAAGGGCTCTTCCATCCAGTAAAAGAGCCCACCGACAGAGCAAGCTTGTCCAGGAATATCTATAATCCAGCCTGGACGATAGAAGATGAATCTATCATTGCCAATTGTGATTATGGGAGGTGAGTTCGTAGCACAAAGGACGGAGATGACTGCCGCTCAGACCACTCGTCGCTTGGGGCGGGATGTGGAGATCCCCAGGTCACAGACCCAAGGAGGAAATCCAGTGCATCGCCCTTTGCGCTCGGTATCTGCCACAGGCGGATGTACTCGAGTCTGACGAAGGTTGAGGGCAATCATCTCTCGCACTCGTGTTGTTGATCTTCACCGCCTCGAACCAAAACTGACCAAAAATGCGTGCTCCAACTAAGCATCACGGATGCAAGGAAGGTGACGCTGTCGCATAAACCTATCCTCCAATTCTTCAATGAAGAGAACTGGCCAGTCCGGTACCCAGTACCAGAAAGACAGATGTCGTAAGAAAGGCAAGAAAGCAAAAGCAATCGCTGAACCCAGTCCAGTCGAGGAACCTAAATTTGCTTCCTTCCTTTTCCATTGAGCTGCGACAAAAGAATCGAAAACGTAAGGACATTCCACGTCCAAATTCATATCCTCCACATGCCGTGAGGCAGACCAGTCTTCATGACATATATGCGGGAGTAACAAAAGAAATGAAACATAACAGAGAGCCGACCCGCCGCTTCTTGATGCAAAAGAAAAAAAAAAAAAAAAACAAAAACAAAAACAGAAAAGAGCAAATAATCAAACATCGCTGACGCTGGAATCGAACATCGAAAGTATCAAAACAAGCGCAGAAAAAGATAATTCTGGTTATCATGCAAAAGGCAGGAGGGAGTATCACAGATGCACAGAGTCAAATCGAAGAGAACGCCGTCAAGAATGCGAATTGTCGTTGCTTGGAATCGGGTTCCCGGTAGGGAGATAGACGAGAGAGGAGAAGGGGGAGTTGAGGAGCCGCGAGGAGCCGCGAAGAAACCGAAAATCGCGCCCGCATCTAGTTTCAAGAAACGATCCACGTTTCTCAACCTCACGTTGCACAAGCCGGGAGAGCCTGGACTTGGGAATGGTCGACATCACCGAGTCTACTCGGGAGGGCTGAGTTAGGCGATCGTGCCATATGGCATCGGAGCAAAGTCGCCCCAAGTGAAGCCCCCCATACCCATGTTGACAGCCGTGCTACAGGGTTGTATAAGCATGCTCGGGAACATGGTCGGGAACATGTTCGGCAACGGGAGCGGACTGAGAGCGGCCGGTGGGGTTGGCATACAGGTGGTCGGTAGGCATTCGTAAGCCTGGAACGGCGAGGGAGTGAAAGGTTGGCTGTAAGACGGGGTCGGAGAGGCAAGCTGGGCATCACTGAAACTGAGACTAGCCCAAAGATTCGGATTAGAATCACCCGTGGTGGCCGGGTTGGGGCTGGGCGACAGTACTTTCCACGACTCGAGTGGCGCTGGCTGGGGCACCGGGTTCTGCCACCAGTTTTCCGGGCCTGTCGAACTGGGCAGGAGAGGGATTGGGCGCATGACATCCGTCACTGGTAGTGAAGGTGCAACCAGTGGGACAAAGAGCTTGCCGATGGCTGCCTTTGCTTCTTCGCTGCGGCCGCTCAATAGCTCTCCAGCGCCGTCCTCTTCCAGTCCTTCGAGAGCCTGAGCATTGGTGCGGTAGACAAACTTGTTGGCGGCTTGAACGAACTCCTCCTGTAACCTCTTCAACTCACCATGCTTTCCTGGCCAGTTGTATGTATTGGCAGCGGCATCCACCGAGTAGACATCCTTGTGGAAATCAACGAGGGCTTCGATGGTTTCCGGGGTCAACTTGAAGGCCACCTCGTTACGGGAGACCATGTCGACATGTACAACGTAGGCCTCCATGTGAATCATTTGGTGGTTCTGCAGTGATTCCCAGAGCATGTTCTCATTCTTCTCTAGATCTGCCTGGGGGACTTTGGTGAACATCATGGAACACAAGGTCCAGATGGCATTTGTTGATGAGAGTGTTTCTGTCAGGCACCGGGTGTGCTGGGTAACATTGTTCAAAGGACGCTTGACTCGGTTAACTCGCTTGAGGGCCGCCGTCAACCAAGGCTCAACCTTGGTGTTTAAGACAACATTCGGAGATGATCGTGGCGCAAATGCAGCGGCGGAAGATGGGAGTAAGACTGTTGGCATTATGAGACTGTGCAAAAGGTGATACGTCCGGCGTTGGTGATATAAAAGAATGTAGATTGAATATAAATCATAAAGGCGACATTCGCCCACACAAAATGTTGTTTTTTGGATAATCGGAAATTCTCTAAATGTCGTATAATCCAGTATTAAAGTGCGGGCGAATGCGCAAAAAGAACAAAAATTAGAATATAAAGGAAAGGAGATGACATGAATGTCAGTGTTATAGAAGAAAGAGAGGGAAGTCAAGATAATATGAGAGGGGAACTTTTTATGGAGGTTTAATAGGAGTATGTGAATTTTTACTCCGTATTAATTTTATATTAGAACATTTGTATGTTTTCTAACGGAGTACGGAGTACAACATACGGTATTTCGGTATATGCAGTCTGATGGAGTCAATGTACATCAATGGCCAACATCTCGGACTCCCCGATCCACAACTTGAAGAATCGGTGGCGATAATAATACTTGATTGAAACAGTTTAAAAAAAGGGCGCGAGAGTGTTTCATCAAATTTGACAGGTTCCTACAGTTCCATCTCACACATCCGTTGCACGTCCATTTGGCCAGAACAGCTGCATGATGCCCTAAACTGCAACAGCTAAGCCCCAATCATCCAAATGGCTTGAACAGGAACAAACCCCCGAGAGTCTCCATCGATCATCTAGAATTCGTTTACATACTATGTACTCCATAGCGGGGACTGAAATACATTCTCAGCTGGGCGATGTGCATATTTCAGTGTGCGCCAAGATCTACATTTCGTTAAGAGATACTGGATCCTCTACACTAGCAATCCCATGCTTTGGGGTGAAGACTCTATTTAAATTTGGCTGCAGCCTGCAAGCCAAGACTTAGTTTAGATTCCTATTTTTCAATGTGTTTCAACACTTTTGTGCTTCAATATTCAACTGGATATCAGCCTTGAAAAAATAGCATACGGTTTACATTAATAATATTACACGAAACACGTCCATAACAAGCATATCAAGGTTTTTTTTTGACCTATCGAGTGCTGCTAATACGATACAGAGTAGTAGACCTCAGCTGATGGAGGGTCGAGCAAGCGTGGGGCAGAGCCCGTCTTGAGTCACTTCCGGGCTGGGATTCGCTGAGACGAACCGAGTCCGGCCGATGCACAGAAAGCTGAGATCCCTGTTACGATCCGCCATTGGGCTGAGCCTCTGATGCCAGACTTTGGAACGGGCGCCACTAGCCTGTATGTACTGGAAATACCGTTTCTTGTTCTTTTCTTGTCCACATGATTCAGGTTTTTCAATGATCTCATCTTACTCGCTATACTCCGCAGGCGCCTCTACCTCTGCCTCTTCCCTGAAATGGAATCCCTGCTGCATATGATGTCGGTCACATGGTCTGGTGTGGGTGTATAGGGTTCGCTCTGAGGTGTGTTTAAGTTTCATGCTAATTTGTATCTATAGAGCGCCATATAACGTATGGTGTATGGAAAAAACATGCGACCGAGTGCTTTTTCCTAAAATAGTGATGAGGCGGTGCAAACTGCCCGCCACGTGTGGCGGATATCTCCGGCCCCACATGTAAAATATGCAAAGCCCTACTCCGTAGTTAACTCCCATGTATGTTGTGGTTTCTTGCTCTGTTCACTTTACAAGTTTTATCAAAAACCGGCTGGAGAAGAGATATGAGTTGGCAAAAATTGAGAGCTGGAATCTCAGGCGGATCCTATCCACATCCATATCCACAGCCAGGCGGCTGCTGAAACTCAGCTCTCTCGGGCCTGTACCAAGCCTAGTTTCATGATTGTCAGGCTACCATCAAGTTACATGGTGACATCACTGTACTATGAGTGTAGCAGTATATGAAAATTCAATGTGTTTCGCAGACTGCATCGGTTATGACTCATATGGGCGCCGATGATGTTCGATTTGAAACGAAGCCAGATAATGCCCTAACATACCACAATTGCGTGGCGACCAGTGGTCGGGTGCCTGTTTCTCTATGGTCGGTGCCCCAATAATGCCTGATTTTGCAATATACCGTTTGTTGGACAAACTCCTAGTTGAAGCCAGAATAAATCAGTGCCTTTTAGGTATGCGAAATGACTGGCTTACTGTGGCTTATTTGTAGGACATATCCAAGGGGCTCGGTCATGAATGAGTAGTACAGCACACTCCGGGTCTTGTACAGAACATATATTAGATCAATTGATCTCGAAATTCGTGACTCATAGATCACTGCTCAGTGTTCAGAAAGCCCTGATGATGTTTCCCTTGCTCTCTGGACACTCAGATTGTCAGGTCACACCTAAGCCTCTGAGCAAGGAGTTCGGTTGTGTTGAAAATCCCAGAACGTTTTTGATACTGCTTAGCAGCCTTGGGAACAATGCATCCAGTAAAAGTACTGAGTCGGAAAGTGTTCGTGTATCGTACTGACATCGCTAACGGGGAGAAAGCATACGAGATCTCCAGTAATTTTAAGGAAATCGCCATCTTTTCCCGCGCTTCATGAAGATATCAAAATCTCTACATGGTACCTCTCACTTTGCTAGTCAAACTTTACACGTGCTGCAAATTCATCGCTCGTATGATGTATTGTATCCATATAACGATAACCGTACAGCTCTTCTCAACCATTGTTATCGACATTGATTCCATTCATATCTAGCCCTGGAACGCTGAAGCCCTGTCTAGAGTCTCTCCAATCATGAAATACTATCTATGGCTAGATAGTAGTACCACTCAAACATATCCTGGCAACCAATAAAGCTTTGTTAAAGCGGTGGATTATGTAGATCCATAATTTTTAATACGATGAATTATAGAGAGAAAGCTCATTTTTCTGCCGAGAAGCAACCTGTGTTGTTGCGATGGTCCCTAGAAGATGCCATATACTATTTGAATGCATCCAATTAGCTCTCGGGGGGACAGGTAGAGATGGAAAGCGAAGTATGGGTCAATCTAACCCTTTTCCCCCGAAGTATATATAGGTATCTTAAATACGGTCTGGTTATTTCAATGACTTGATATCTCTGGTGTTATTTCTAATATGGTTCTCAGGTACATCAATACTTGGAAAATAGTGGTGACCTTGAAACTTTGTCATGGTGGTCCCCAAAACTTCAATGCTTGATCTGCGGGACCAACCGCCCCGAGGGACGTTGAGTGGTGGCGTCAAATATATGACCTGCATAAAAAGGCTTGGTGAAATACCCTCGTAAGCAGGTAGCTGCCCTGAGCTTGAATCTTTATAGTTACAAGCCTTGTGCAAGGCCCGAAATACTATCCCGCATTGAAACCTGGAAGCTTGGGGCAATAGTTCAAATTAAGTCAGATATTGGCTTGCTTGATTCACCGAGCAAAGAAAAATAACAAGTATGCAGTTGCACGAAGGAACAAGCACAATTCTGGTCTCGCCGAAGAGGAGTTGAAATGTCATCACGAGAACGCCCAATATATACATCAATATACTAATGCAGGAACGGCAGATCCCGCATAGAATGGCTTTTGGGGGCTTTCTTTTCTTGCCTGGTGAGCTAAAGGCACCATACTCCGTAAATTGTACCAAGAAATATCTGCTGGAGGAAAAACAAGGAAAAGCATGGCGAGTGAGGAAAGATCGTCAGATAAGCAATACCACATACGATAGGAGGATTTTCACACAATGGGGTTACTCTGGGGTATATAACTTGCCAAAAAAAGGTAAGAACTGCACGCGGGATAATAGTAAGACCCGTTTCCCCAGAGAATGACTATATGCCCGCCAATCACTTCGTCCCAACAATTTCCGGTATGAGGATCGACCAGGAACAGAATATGGCACCCCACGCACCCCTTTAGATGTGAGGACAACTTTGTGCGGAAGTTTTTATTGTATAGCACTTGGAAAGTAGGGTTATGCAAGAATGGCGAACAGCTGCACCTAGATGAAGCTTGCCATGATAAATCAACATTCTGCATTTACGCTTTATACAAACCAGGGGAGCTACCAAGTCGCCAGGAACGTTAGTATTCCCATTTCCCCTGGCCAAGGACCCCCGGCGCCGATCTACACGCTAGCGCGTTCAAGCGGGTAATGGGGGCTAACCGTTCACATGCTTTTTCCGCCGCAATGCCTGCATGGCGTGCATGATCAAGCCAACACACATTGATCTTTGGCTGATGGCGTAGTTAAACTATATATAACCACAGTTCATTCCAAGCTTGATCAGTGTATGATTAAAGGACATTCCTAGAAAGAAAGCCCAGTTATAAAGAATTAATAGAGAAACATACATTAAAGAGGTTCTCTCCACAATTCTATATACTCCCCGCCCCATGGGGTTTGTATATCCCGAGGTCAAAGATGCCGCCTAGTACTAGAAAAAGGTGGGAATTGAACCCCATTGACCGGATGCCCTTGCCAAAGTTGGACAAACATAGTTATAATAGTGGAGAACACCATTAAGCGAAGGGTGTGATTCAACATTGGTTCATTGGAATGCGCTTAGCGTAGGGCCCGACACTCCCCTTTCTGGCTTGATCCAATGAGAATCGTGTCATTGGTCGAGATCAGCGGTCAGTTGGGATGCCTGGTCAACATCTCGAGTCAAGCGAGATGTCTGCTCTAAACTGACCATTTGGGCCAAAAAGACAACCCAATGCCGATCATCAAGCAGGAAAGCAAGCGTAGTGCTCTATGCCCAAATCAAGTGATGTGCTAACTCCGCAAGTCGTATTTATCAGTATGCCTATTCGTCGTCCCCGCAAGTCTAAGCCACTAGCTTCGGACGGTGAACGGATCTGTTGACAAAATATGGTCCCTGACTTCGCTCGCGACTTGGAGGGTCATGGATGATCCGCTTGAGCCCGCGAACACGGAACGAAGAAAGGCAGTCCTCCGTCCAGATCGGGTCTGACCACCCCATTTTCACTGACATCAGTATTACCGGAAAGACCACCCTGCTTCACATGTGGGTTGGCTGTCCTCGGCTTGCCCCATACAAGGATCTGCAGTGGAAAGATTTCCAAGGACATAAAGGAGACCCAAGATCTCCCCACAAAATGAGTTCTGGTCTCAGACGTCAACCGCAGGGAATCCCTCCTGTCAAGTTACCTTTGTATAGAGCAACGGCCCAAGATGCGTTTCTCCGCCGCCTTTATTTCAACCCTGGTGCTCTCCAGTACCGCGCTGGCTGGCCCGGCTGCCCAGGTATCCTCATCTGTGGGAGCTGGTGCGACCCCAGAGGCAGAAGCGAACAAGAAGGATGTTGCGCAGCCCCATGCAAACAGTGAGAGTACATCAGACACCACTCCTCTTGTGCAAGTAACAGAGAACATTGTCAACACTGCTGCGCAGCAGAATACTCAGACTGCAACTCACGCAGCAGCAGCAGTATCGACCGCTGAATCGAGCAGCAACGACAAGGAGAAGGCTGCTGCGGACACAACCAGCACAGCGCAGAAGGACACCCAGAGTACTGCGACTTCTACCAACAATGAGACTTCGGCCAAGCCGGACACGCCGGGCCTCAACGACACAATGCCGACAGGTAACTCTGCTTCGGGAAGCCCTACCGGAGAGACGGCTGCATCTCATGTCTCTCAAAAGATCAAGACAGGATCTAGTGCTCAGGAGACGGCTACCGCGACCCAGACTACGAAGTCTGCAGAAAGCACACAAAACTCCTACACAGGGGGCGGTAGCACGGAGAAGCACTCCTCGGATGCTGGAAAATTCTTTGACGGAATCGGGGGCCTGTTTTCCCCTACTCTGCTGGCGGATATCGAGTCCTTCTTCCACCATGTCGGCTATCTCCTCGATGACGATACCACACAGAATACAAAGGATCTGATTAATACTGCTTCCGGTCTGCTCACCAAGAGCCTGATCACCAAGGTCACTGGACTACTTGACAACGCCAGCGACCTGTTGACTGCCGAGTTCGTCAAGGAGACCAAGAGTCTGATCAAAGCCGTTGGTCCTGTGATCACTCCTGAATTGTTCAAGGAGATCAATAGTCTGCTTGGCAACGCAAACCATCTCCTGACCGCTGAATTCGTCAAGGAAACCAAAGAGCTCATTAACACCGTGTCCCCCGTCCTTACGCCTGACCTGTTCAAGGAGATCAACAGTCTTCTAGGTAACGCCAACAACCTTCTGACTCCTTCATCTGTGAAGGGAATCAATAACCTGCTCACTAACGCCGGTGGTCTGTTGACTGCCGACTTTGTCAAAGAGACTAAGAGCCTGATCAGCGCTATTGGCCCTAATATCACACCTGAGCTGTTCAAGGAGGTCAACAGCGTTCTTGGCAACGCTAACAAGCTCTTGACCCCCTCAACTATTAAGGAGATTGGCGGCTTGTTGAGCAATGCCAACACTCTCTTGACACCTGCAACAATCAAGGAGATTGGTGGCTTGTTGGACAATGCCAACACTCTCCTGACGCCTGCAACAATCAAGGAGATTGGCGGCTTGTTGGACAATGCCAACGCTCTCCTGACACCTTCAACAACCAAGAAAATCGGCGGCCTTCTCAACAACGCCAACAGCCTCCTGACCGCCGATTCTGTCAAGGAGATTGGTGGCCTCCTCAGCAGTGCCAGCAGCCTTTTGACACCTAGCTTCGTGAACGAGACCCAAGGCCTCATTGGCGGTGTGTCGAAGTACCTGACCCCAGAAATTCTCGCATCTCTCGGCCCCCTACTCTCCAACGCCAACGACCTCTTGACGGAAGACGGCGTCAAGGAGATCAATGGCCTACTGGGTAATGCCAACGATCTTCTCACCGCGGATTCGGTCAAGGAGATCGGAGGTCTGCTTTCCAGTGCCAGTGATCTGCTCACGCCCAAGTTCGTCCGCGAGACCCAGGGCCTCATTGATCTAGTCGCGCCAGCTATTACATCGAAACTCCTGACCAACGTCTCCTACCTGCTCGGAAACGCTACTGGCCTGCTGAACCCATCATTCGTCAATGACACCCGCACTCTCATCACTGATGTCTCGCCTGTCATCACCCCCAACCTCCTTGCTGAGGTGGGTGGACTTCTAAATAATGCCGGCGATCTCCTCACACCCAAGTTTGTGAACGAGACCCAGACTCTGATCGAGGATGCCGCAGATGTATGTTTCCATTCCCCTTCACTAGTTTGTTGAATGTCCTGCTGACTCCGATTTAGATCCTTCCTCTTGTCACAAAGCTGCTCGGGTCGTTGTAAGATATTCTTGATATTCCGATACTTCCCCTTAATTTCCTTCGCGACGAAGCATTCATTGTGACTCATGATGATTAATGGTATATATATGAGTATCTTTAATACGATATAATCGAATGAAAAGAGATGTTGATTCATGATATTTGAGATTTCTGAGGCTTTGATTCGAATGTGTTGCCTTGTAGGTATGGAAATTATTTGACATAAGATAATAGCTCGTCGATTCCCATAAGTTTTGGTGTTCTTCGGGCGAGCCATTGTCGGAGTTCATCAGTTCTAGAATTCCCAAAAAAGTCAAGTGATGTTTGTCCCAAGATTTTGCAATTGGGTTGGAGAGCCGTGTGGTATAGTGTGGGTTAAGAGAGCTCTCACATGGGTAGACATCGGCGCAAAGATTTTTTAGCCTGCCTGTCTCTCAGTTGCAATATGAAAGGCATGTCATTTCCCCGAGACGTGTTCACAGCGTTATAAATCCACAGTGAATGATAGAAACAGTTGCGTTCACGGAATCATGTATGAAAAGTCCTCCCAAGCGTGGCTGGGGACGAATAGAGTCTTCGTTGAAGGGTAATTTGTCCACCAGGAAAGCCGACAAGACTATGAAAGACATGCCTTGGGTTTTCCTTCGTGGTCTGAATAATTTGGGAGAAATGTTTCTACCACCTCCCTCAAGACGGGATGTCCGATGCCTTGGTCTCTTGAAACTTAGACACAACCTTCATCTCAGTGTCGCGTTCCTTGACCTTCTTGTCCATGGATTTTTGAAGCTCCTCTCGTTTTCTTTTAGCAGCTTCAATCTTCTCTTTCACTTCTTTGGAAATTTGTTCTTGCGCATGGAGCGCAGCCTCGCGTGATTTGTATTGTTCTTCCAGCTGCTTAAGCTCAGTTTGGTAATCTCGAGGTATGATTGGTTGACATGTGACTGGGTGATAGAAGTATGGTGGTAATGGTCCATCTGGAACTTTGATCTCGGAGAGGTCAGGGTGGATTGGGGTGACGCGGGTTAATGAATCCAAAGGAACAGCCGCAGCTGAGGCCGGGGCAGGAGGGGTAGTCTCGGGTTTCACCATGATTGTGGAGTGCAAAGAGACTCAAGAATGGAAGTATTTTGCAACCGAAGAAGTTGTAATAGTTGCCTGAGGATTCCGAGGATGTGAGTCGTATTGGTGTAAAAGTGACCGCGAGAGTCTACAGGATGTTGATTCTGCCACATAGTCACACTTCACCGCTCGTGGTGTCCGCGACGTATGCGGAGAGGACTCTTAGCCAAATTGACGACTCTATCGCTGCTTGTCATTTGATATTCATGCTAGGTGATTCTTTTCTCGGCTCTATCTTGAGATATTCCCTCGAGGGTGGTCCTGAGTGGACCAGTCGGTGTGCCTGAGTTCCCACAACCTTGAGCCGGTGACGTGACCGTCAACATGCAGGCATTTGGTATGTTCCCTTATACTTCTTGATTGTTGTAAGCTAACGCACCCACGATAGTCCCCAAGAATAGACGCGTAGGTTATCTAATAAGGCCAAGTCAAATGCATATGTAACTGACCTTTGCACAGCCCAGGTTCGAGCTCGGTTTAAGGGTATGCATTCTAAACACAATATGGAAATGCTATCAAGACTTCTGACATTGAAAAGATTATCGATATCAACAATGTCCCATTGGGCAACAGCGTTGCTTTTGTGCGATGGCGATTGCCATCGTCAAGCTCCACTGAACACCAAGGCCATACAGAAAAAGCAACTCTGTCGGACCACCGCGCTTACTGGGGCTATGAGAAAACCCTTCAAGTGAGGCTTACGATTGATAGGACATCAATGCTCCAGGAGTGTGATCTCAATTTTGAGGTTTTACAAGAGTACACCTCGTCGCCTATGTCTGAAAAGTGCGTGCTGGGCAAAATCAAACTCAACCTTGCCGAATACGTGGACAAAACCGAGGAAGACGAAGGGATCATTCGGCGGTATCTGATGCATGAAAGTAAAGTGAACAGTACCGTCAAGATCGGAATCGCAATGCGCCAGGTAGAAGGTGACCGCAACTTCACGACGTAAGCAAATTCCTATGCTTATCTCCGATTCACAATCTCAATGCTGATCATTAAAGACCACAGTTGAAATCTGCCACTGTCTTCGGAGGAATCACTGGGGTTGTTCACTCTACCGAACAGCCCGTCAACGCTGATGAATTTGGCCGGCTGCCGTCTATTGACACCAAAAGCCGTGAGATTGCCGATATGCAAGACATGTATCGGCGCACTTTAGCAGCATCATGGTCTTCGAGAGCCTGTGATCTACCTGCTGATAAGTTGATTGAAGAGTTGTTTGCTGGAAGTTCTTGCTGGAATAACGATGCACACAATGCCAATGCTGGCATCTCAGCGGGAGATCACCGAGATTCTCTATTGAGCCCAGAGACAGTCCCACGACAAAGCCGCCCCGGGAAGAAGCTATCACCCAGTTTCGAGCGGCGCCCCAAGAGTTCTTCCAGCAACCGCTCACACAGTAGCAGTAAGACCCCAGACTCTCTTGCTGCGCTTGGGCATCAGAAAAAGGGTGGAAGTATCGAGCAACAGTTGTATGAAGGGGCCAAGGGTCGAGCTTGGAAAGTGCCAGATACAACGAATGAGCTCTCCGAGTTCGATGTAAGGGAAGATTTGCGCAGCTGGGAAGTTATGCCAAAAGACTGAACTCCTTCCCACGGGAGGTCTGCGCTATGTATTACATAATAGTATATTGCTTGAATTCCACACTTTCAAGTATGCTTTTTTCATGAAATCCAGAGACATCTGTTGAGAGGGCTTTGTTCTATATAGCCGAATAAATTGTTCACACGTTTTGTATGAGACCTCGGAAGATAAACCTCGGGAGATCAACCTCGGAAGACTGCGACAGAATGCTGATGCCTGAGGCAGAAGTTCATTTCTTATCGCGGCCTAGCGTCGCGATTATCGCCGGAGAAAAGCAATCGCAAGATAATTTGCCTTCTCCACCTTTACAATAGACCTACTGTTCTGTCATGCTTCGACGTTCCGCAGGGAACAAGCTGGGGCTTCTGAGCTTCCAACCGCTTTCATATCGGAGACCACTATTGTTATACCCATACACCGTCCTTCCCCGATACCAGAGTAACTGGAGTCGCGATCATGAACACGATGCTTTCGATGGACCCAATTCCGAACGAAACCGCGAACCGAAAAATAATAGAAAACGTGAAGCCGGTACATTCACATTGGATGTGGACACGCTTGGAAAACCAGGACAAATCGTTGTTGTGCCTTCAAGACGTCGTCGAATGTTAAATCGCAATCGCGACAAAACCCTCCAAAATGAATCTAGCGGCACAATCAGCTCTATGTTGGATGGAATTAATGAGGAGAGCTCATCGCCTAGCGATAAGTCGGTCCAACAGAGAATTGAAGGGGTTCGTGGATCATATCAACTGGGGCAGACTTTGCCTGCTGCCGACTTCAAGACGTTGTGGTCAAAATTGGCTTCCTCTTTCACATACAAGCAATTGTCCGAGTTTATCTCAGAATACAATCGCAATAATGTAATAGAAGAGAAAGGCTGGACGTGGGGGTCAAGTAACTCCAAATCGCAGGACAAGTCATTGGGAAAGACCAAGGGCTCCAGGGGGAAGTCCCGGGCTGCAGAGACGATCGTTCGGGATTGTTGGCAGCTGGTGGCTGAGGGCGAGTCTGGCCAGTTGGGATTCCGCGTTCCCGCACATTTTATATCTTTGCTTCTCCATGCTGAGCATTTCTCTTTCCACGAGCTAGCTAGTCTCCATGGCTGCGGAATTGATGTCACACAATCTGCGGGCCTGGTATCACTTACTGGCAAGCGAAATGATTGTGAGTCTGTTCGCGAGATTATCATTGATGCCACTGGCAGAATTCGCGAAGAGGATGTTGGAATCAACCCATATACCCACGGAGACGGAATCAATCAAGTTTTTAGCGCAGAATTTTTGGAATGGGTCAACAGTACCCACGGGGTATTTGTTGAGTACAAAGCACACAGGCCGCCACAAAAGATTCTCTTTCTTGCCGAGAATAAGTTGGGAGCGGATAATGCGCGGAGGACCTTGAACTTGGCCTTATCCAACACCACCCCTTCAACGACGCCATTTTCAACCTATTTGCCTGCGTCGGAACTCGCCAGTGCTTATACCTACAGACCAGAAGCTCATGCCTCGTGGTTTGAGCAGCAAAAGTCATGGTTCCGGTGGGCTATGTCATCCAGTCAAAATGCGGAGGCAGAAAATCTGGAAACTCCCTTCTTCGATAAGCATCAAACACGACTATCAGATGAACTATTGAAGCTTCTCCGAGTTACTACTCCGGAACATCGGTCCAGCGGCCGGTTTGCGCGAATCTGTGACAGCTGTGGTTGGGAAATGCCTTTTCATGCAAAGGCCTTCTCTCGATAATACAGCTATCAGTCCGGCACAGTTGGGGCGACTATCCCTTCCACAGGCTTTTACAGCTGACGTACCTCGGGTGTCGCGTTTCATCAAATCACTCATGCCTACCCGCCCAAAGAATGAGGCACCGCTATATCGACTTCGGTTGTCTCCAACGTCCAACGCAGGTTCCCCACCAGAACTCGAAATTGAGGCAGCCATGAACTCGAGTTTGACTGGCATTGACATCCTCAGCGTTAAGGCTATCATCACTACAAACAGCGTTGACTACCTGCTTCCAGAAAATGGCCTGGACTTGCGTTTCACACGAACTGTGTCACAAGACCTCTTGTATAACCCATCTCCCCACTCAGAACTCCCGCAAAGCTCTTCTGAGCACCTATTACCCGAGCCTTATTCCTCGCCACAAATTCAAGCAATGCTGCAAAGCCTCAAATTTTCCCTCGAGGGCTCAATCGTCAGCAGTGTATCTTCGAAAGGCCCTGTTCCACTTCCTATATTTTGCAACATCACTCTTCCATCTGGTCTTGTTCCACAGTCTCCCTCGCAAAGAGTTGAATCCAAAAAAGTGGACGAATCGATGACAGAGAACAGCGTCACTGTCGAATATATGTTCCCTCCACTCACCGACATTCGAGGTGCCATTGTCCAAAAATACGACTTTGACGGGCGGCCACTGGACTACCGGTATTATGAGAGCGGTTCGCTGCTCGCTGCTCGGACAAATGAAGTCTCTCTGGGCATGGAGATTCCCCAGACCGACTCTGCCGCAGAAAATGACCAATCTGAGCAGCTTGATCAGGAGTTCCATTCGTTCTACAACGCGGCGTGTGGCATGGCATTCAAAATCCATGGTAACAGATATGTGGATTGACAGCATGGGTCACTTCTTGTTTGAACTTGTACAGCGTGCATTAACGACCATCATCATATGGGATGGCGGCGTCCTAGGGCTGTATTTACTGTACATTATATGTAAACTATCTCACTGTTCAGACACGTATTATGTTTTGGGCTTGGGTCTGCGTAGTCTCAAATCTTTTCTTATAATAGACGCAACTACTAATCAATCATAATTTAGAAGTGCGAAGTCGATTAAAATGATACTTTGCATGCTCTCAACTGCAGCTGATTTTGATACATGTAGATATCCTGCATATTATTGATCTTCGGCGTGACAGCCTGCATTGCCACTGATTGAGATGATCTTGATCTGCAATCATGTATGGATTGACTCCAAAATCGGAAGTTTTGTCTCAAGGTGAGCCAGTGTCCCCAAGTCCTGTTTCCTAGTTCCAGTTTTTGTCTTGTTATGCATGTAAATGGTATTGTGCAGCTCAAGGCTAACGGGCCCAAGAATATTTGGCCAAGAGTCCTGGGAATGTCTCTTCGGGAGCTTGAAAACTAGTTGATTGATATCAACTCAAGCCCAATCAACTTTATACTCAATGTTCAGATCAAGCCCCGAGCCCTGTGTACCTCCGAATTATCCTTAGATTTAGTCATAGGCTGATAAACCATATTTTAAATCATTCTTCCACGCTGAATATAGTACAAAATTGCATCAAAATATAACATATACCTACGTTGCACTCCCCATGTTGTACATTGTAGGCGTGACCTTGGTGAGGCCCCACAGCCGATCAAGGCCCGTGACGTGGAACACCTCTCATCTCAACTACTCCACGCGCGATACTTCCAAGGCCAGGTGCTTAGGACTGATTAGTCGCCTTGATTGATTACGGATCCACAATCAAATACATACCTATTTCGATCCATCCCACTATCGCCGCTGTGCCCTCCGATCCTACTGTTCCCGCTGCTCCCCTCACCCACATCCAGCATGAAGACCACGCGCCAGTGATTTACACGGTATGGAGAAAACACGGATTGCTAAGGTTCGAACCTATATTCAGCGCTACAATAATTTCACTCACTCACCATCTTGCTTCAGGTTGACAATGTGACCTTGGCTCGCCGCGGAGAGCAGGTCGATGGCACTCTCCATCTCACCCCTCACCACCTCATCTTTTCGCACACCCCACCAATCTCTCCAGAAGATCAGATAAAGGGTGTGACAACAAGGCCCAGAGAACTATGGATCACATACCCTATCATCGCTTTCTGTACCCTGCGGCCAGCTCCCGCAGCCTCCCGCCAGCTCTCTTCCATCCGCCTCCGATGTCGAGACTTCACATTCGTCTGTTTTTACTTTGTAAATGAACACAAAGCGCGAGATGTGTTTGAAAGTATCAAGCAGTGGACGTGCAAGTCCAGTCGTATCGATAAACTTTACGCCTTTAGCTATCAGCCTCCTCCGCCAGAAAAGCAGTTTAATGGATGGGAGCTGTATGACCCGCGCAAGGAATGGGCACGCCAGGGCTGCTTAGATGAAGGCAAATCATGGCGTCTTTCAGAGATCAACGTGAACTATGAGGTATGCTCGCCCAAAATAGTCCACATGTACTCTACTGACCTATCTTAGTTCTCCCCAACCTATCCCGCCCTCATCCCCGTACCTTGTTCTATTTCCGACAATACACTTAATTACGCAGGGCGCTATCGATCTCGAGCCAGAATTCCTGCTCTCACGTACTTCCATCCTGTCAATAATTGCACCATCAGCAGAAGCTCACAGCCGCTGGTCGGTGTCCGCCAGAACCGCAGCATTCAAGATGAAAAGCTTCTGTCAGCTATTTTCTTGACTTCTCGCTCCGAGCGGCCGTTGGCGAATTACTCAGCCACAGAGAAAGAAGCAGATTCTAATACCCAAGAGACGAACCAGGTGATGGTTCCCGAGTTGAACAATGCCGAGGAGCTCGAGGACGAATTGATAGCCGCTACAACTGGCGATTCTGAAGATCATCTCTCCATATATGGCGCCCAGCAGTCGAACTTGATTGTAGATGCACGCCCTACCGTGAATGCATTTGCCATGCAGGCTGTTGGACTTGGATCAGAGAACATGGACAACTACAAATTCGCTACCAAGGCATACCTTGGCATTGACAATATTCATGTCATGCGAGACTCACTGAACAAGGTGATAGATGCACTGAAGGAGTCAGATGTTACTCCGTTGGGGCCAAATCGTGACCAGCTAGCACGCAGCGGCTGGTTGAAGCACATTGGTGGGATCCTGGAGGGAGCCAGACTGATCACTCGTCAAGTTGGTCTTACTCATTCTCATGTTTTGATCCACTGCTCTGACGGCTGGGATCGCACAAGTCAGCTCAGTGCACTGAGTCAGATTTGTCTGGATCCCTACTTTCGGACGCTGGAGGGCTTCATGGTGCTGGTAGAGAAAGACTGGCTTTCATTTGGACATATGTTCCGACATCGATCTGGTCATTTGAACAGCGAGAAATGGTTCCAGATCGAAAATGAACGTATCGGCGGAGATCCCAACCGTGCCTTTGGTGAGGGTGGTGGTGCAGGGAAAGCCATTGAAAATGCATTCCTTAGTGCCAAAGGGTTCTTTGGTCGGGACAACAATAGCCGTGACTCTTTGCCGGACTCGGATGGAGAGCTTCAAAACTATGACTCGGATACTCCTCTCAAGAAGCCCACTACACCGCGCTCCGGGGTGTCCGAGAAGGAGACAACCAAACCAAAAGAGACGAGTCCTGTGTTCCATCAATTCTTGGACGCAACATACCAGCTACTTCACCAACATCCGACACGATTTGAGTTTAATGAGCGTTTCCTGCGACGACTTCTCTATCATCTCTACTCTTGCCAATTTGGCACATTCTTGTTCAACAGCGAGAAAGAACGCGTGGACTGCAAGGCCAGTGAACGAACTCGTAGCGTTTGGGATTACTTCCTCGCCCGCCGGGAACAATTCACAAACCCTCAGTATGAACCTGTCATCGATGACCATCAACGTGGCAAGGAACGCCTTATCTTTCCCCGGGTCAGTGAAACACGGTGGTGGAATGAGGTGTTTGGTCGAACAGATGCGGAGATGAACGGCCCCCGTTCCTCGGCGGCTCCAAGTGAGATCCCGGAAAGTACGGTGCTGACTGGTATTGAAACTGCAAAGTCAGACCGTGCTAGTAGAACGACTGATGTATCGGGGATGACAGCTGCTGTGACATCAGGCGTATCTAAGCTTGCATTCCCAGCGGAGCGCACCGACAAACCGACCGAGTTGGAAGTAGAGATGCAATGAACCGAGGTCTTCAAAGGACTCGTTGATGATTTTCAAGCATTTACAAGTTTCGTGTTATGCAGCCGCATTCAGAGTACTAAGAAAGTGATTCGTCCAATGCCGGGGTAGTTATATTAAGGTAATCTTTAAAATATTTCTGCCTTATTGCCTTATTAATGCCTAATAAATAAGGTGGTAATGCTAGTCTCAATATGGGAAGGCGCCGGCAAGCGAGGGTTGAGCCCTGGCCCAAACGGGCAAGCAGCCCTAGTCCCGAAAAATCCCCACTAAATAATGCACTCTCAGAATTGAAGTCTCTCGACCACGATCCCCTCCGTCGACAACCCCCGATTCCACCACACAAAATGGCCGCTGTTCAGGGTGCTATCTCCAAGCGCAGAAAGTTCGTCGCCGACGGTGTCTTCTATGCCGAGCTGAACGAGTTCTTCCAGCGCGAGCTGGCCGAGGAGGGCTACTCCGGTGTGGAAGTCCGTGTGACTCCCACTGTCACCGACATCAGTACGTCAAATCCGAAAATCAATCTCTCCTGCGTGATCGCTTGAAAATTGCTGGTGAAATTGCTGGAAAAAAAGAGGAGGAAGAGGAGGATTTACGATCGCGATGGGATTTGCGGAATTCGAATGGGGATTTGATGCTAACGGGCTTGTCCAGTTGTCCGTGCCACCCACACCCAGGAGGTTCTCGGTGAGCAGGGTCGCCGCATCCGCGAGCTCACCTCCCTCATCCAGAAGCGCTTCAAGTTCCCCGAGAACTCCGTCTCCCTGTACGCCGCCAAGGTCCAGAACCGCGGTCTCTCCGCTGTCGCTCAGTGCGAGTCCCTCCGCTACAAGCTCCTGAACGGTCTTGCCGTTCGCCGTGCCTGCTACGGTGTCCTCCGTTTCATTATGGAGTCTGGTGCCAAGGGTTGCGAGGTTGTTGTGTCCGGAAAGCTCCGTGCCGCCCGTGCCAAGTCCATGAAGTTCACTGTATGTCTACACCGGGGAAAATTGCGGCCGACGAATCGATCGCAAACGAGCTTTTGGGAAGAATATCATGGCTAATAAAGTAACAGGACGGTTTCATGATCCACTCCGGTCAGCCCGCCAAGGAGTTCATTGACTCCGCCACTCGTCACGTTCTCCTCCGCCAGGGTGTCCTCGGTATCAAGGTTAAGATCATGCGCGGCTCCGACCCCGAGGGCAAGGCCGGCCCCCAGAAGACTCTCCCCGACTCGGTTACCATCATCGAGCCCAAGGAGGAGCAGCCCGTTCTCCAGCCCATGAGCCAGGATTACGGTGCCAAGGCTATTGCCGCCCAGCAGGCCGCTGAGCAGCAGCGTCTTGCCGAGCAGCAGGCCGCTGAGGCTGAGGGTGGTGCGGAGACTTTCGCCCAGGAGTAAATGTTTTTATCTACATTAGGCCCGGCTCTTCCTTTTTCTTCCATCTGTCCTAACCTAACCTGATACTCTACCTCACGCAATCAAAATTACATGACCTTCAAAGCCTTTTATTCGCTATTCTCTAATGTATTGGCCAATACGGTGGAGGTCAATTGGAAGGTGTTCGAAGGTCTGGTACATATTGGCAAGAAAAGGTCTTTCTTGTCATTGGATATCAGATATCATATGCTAGAATCAAAGCCTCGATATCTGTTCTCCGTACCCGTGCATGTTCCTCGATTGCCAAGTGCCTGCGTCCTACTTCACGTAGTATGAGGAAACATCAGTCTTGCGTCCGAGTCCGAATTTCCAACGTTGCTTTGGTTCAGATGTGACTGGGGAATCTTCAACTAGAACGTATATATCAAATCATGGGACAGATTTCCTGGTAGAACTACGCAATTTAATGCTTTCTGGACATCTTCCATATCCTCTTTAGTGATGGCAATTTGTTAATACATACATATCTTGTCTATCGTTATAAACATGTAGGTTGAGACTGCGGTGTGAAAATTACTGTGGATACCTATGTAGATATATATCTATATGAAGACCTACGAAAGTATTCATGTATTCATGGACGAATTTCCAATTAAACTGGAAGAGTAGGAAGAGACTCAATGCTCCGTTGGGTGTCACTAGTATTATTTCGTAGCAAAATATCATCCAAGAAATTTCCGGTACAGATGCAAATGCAAAAACAGTCAAACAAGATGGAGTACATGTCCTAATCGGGTCCAATCATAGAACAAATCGAATCAGATTATCCAAAATTCAAAAAAAAATCAAGAAGAGGAATGAGTACTGTTAACGCTCACGATATGAGGCAGTGGCAAGCCGACTAAACAGCAGCTCGGGATGCTCCAAGATCTCCGAGTGCCGACGATGCAGCTCCTCGAGTTGAGCTAGGGGATTCTGTAGACCGCCATAATAAGTATGTTGCGTTGAGGAGAGAAGAGAACACATCAACCGTGACACCCACCCATTCCTCCTGGCTAGGCACGCCATCCGCAACAGGGAGGGCAGCCGTACCGGAGGCCTCATCCCCGTAGCTGATGCGGTGGATTGGGGCCGGCGTTACGGGCAGACTGGGGCGCTCAACTTCTGTTGGGAAGTCGGTAATCTTGGTGCTAGGACGGGAGCCGGGGACGGGGGGTGATTTATCGGGACTGTTGGAGTTGGCTCCCGGGCTGGTCACTTGTGATTTTGTGCGCCGTGCTTGAATTGTTTCAATGTAGCGCTGGATCTCTGGATCCTCATCCCAGGCGTTAGAGCGGCTGTATGTTTGCCAAGAGTCGGCACTGGGTTCGAACGGTACCCGGGTGTAGGAAGACGAGGGTCCGGGAGGGGCAGGCTCGCTTAATGGTGAATGTTGTTCTGGTTCCTCAGGTATCACGGGGGTTTCCACTAACTCCACAGGTGCCTCCTCGGCGAAGACGCGGGTGGGTTTCGGAGCGTGGCTCTCCCAGGGGAAGACCGTGATGGGTTTGGGTTTGGGCTCTGGCTTGGCTGGAACCTCATACCACATGTTTTTCGGTGCCTCCGGGTAGGATGACGGGGGTTGGAATAGATGCGTATCTTCGGACATATTGTAAGTTTTCTGCTGTAAACTGAAACCTTCGGGTCTCGTGTTGACCGGTGGTGGTTCGCTATGGGATATTAGCACTGTAGATGATATCGAGAGATATGCTCTTACCGCGAGGGATCCCACTCGGACTTGGGCGCCTCAAAGGTCGAAACCTCTGGGACCGGAGACGGGGGTGATTGGAAATCGATAATTGGAGGAATTGGCGCCAGCGGCCGTGGTTGGTGAATATGGACATCGGGGTAGTGTATCTGTGTGTGTGTCTGGGTCTCTGCTTGTGTCTGTTCCTGGGTCCCAGTCTGTGCGTGCGTTTGTATCTGCGTCCCGTATGTATCGTGGTTCACTTGAGGCGCAAAAGTGATTGGCGCAGAAGGCAATGGTGGGATAAATGTTGAGACATGCTCCTCTCCACGAACATACTGCGGTACCATGCTTAACACAGGCACGGCAGCATGGCGCACATAAGCAGGAGCATGGTGTTCGTGGTGCGGTTCTGAATGGCCGTGCTCGACTGGGGGTGGTTGGTGTAATTCCTCGTGGAAGCTCGCGGGCTCTTCAACATGGTAGGGCTGCCGTTCAGACGAGGGCTGTGTTTCATGGCGAGAGCTTCTGTCATAACGCGGAGTGCTTTCAGAATGAGGAGTGCTTGCAGAACGAGATATCTGGTCATAACTAGGGAGATGGACTTGCTCGCCTCGAGTCAGCACCGTCTTTTCAATTTCGACTGGCGCGCTCGGTACCTAGAATTGTCAGTCCACATCTTCATGATCTTGTATATCACTTACAAAAGTCGGACGATAATGTCTGTCATAAATGGCCCACCACCGGCCTAGAAGCTGATTGTACGGGGACTCCAGTGGAATAATCTGCCTCGGCATTTTCCATGGCTTCTGGGCACCAATAAAATGGATCAAACTGATGGTACTCTGGAAATGTTTGTACGCAGGAATGTACTGGTAATTAGCACTTGGTGTGCAGTTATACGTGAAGCTTAGCCTATGCCAGTTCCGGAAATGCATGTTCAGCAGACCCTGGTCAGCGCCATCGAAGCTGATACCTCGCTGGGCGAGTGCTTTTAGCGCATAATAGTCCTGTAGATTAGGTCGAAGAACCATCATTCCACTATTAAAGCAATCCGGCCATCCAACGTCAGGGGCGGCAGCAAAGTCTGCCTCCAGTGATAACAGCTCGTCAGGAGCTCGGAGAGCTACGACATCACAATCAATGTATACGACTCGCTGGTATTGTGTCAGGCGCCAGAGCTCGATTTTGGTGAATGTGGCAATCAGGTCTGGGCGATCCATGAGCCAGAGGTTCGCCGGCGTGTCATTTACCATCGAGCTCACCGGGATCAGTTCGTCGTAGACGGTCTAATTTGTAAGATAAAGGTATGGGTTTGGGGAATGCTGCACGTACCCTTAACTCGTCGATGGTGCTGGATTGTAGTCTGTCTGGCGTAAAGAGCGCCACCAACCTCGCTTTTGTACCATTGTCGCGTAGGGAGTGGGCAAGGACCATAGCACCTATTGAGTTTTAGAGAGTAATTTCACATTCCACATCCATGAGAACATACCAGGAAGATAATTGTCGCTCAATAGAAGCTGTTTCATCATTAGTTCACGCCATAATCAAAGGAAAGGGGTAGACTACTGTGCAATAGACTGCTCCATTGGAATCCATCATGCCACTGAAGTGATGAAACGATGAATGAAGAGATGAAAAGCACCCCAAAGAAGAAGAAGGCTATATTTAACCTGTCAATTGCCAACAGTTCAGATTAGAGCAATATTTTGTGATACCTGGACCGGACGCAGATTCAGGGGACGAAAACAGGAGAAAAAATTCTTCACAGCATGTTGTGCAAGGTTGAAGAGTGGGCAAGTGGTAAGATTCAAATGGGAAAGCAAAGGCCGTGAAATTAAGGTCAAAGCTCCCCGAGGGGGAAGTGGAGTGGCCCGGGTAAATCATCGATCCCGCCACTTTATATTTCCATTCTTCTCTTCTCTGTTCTCTGGCAATTCTTTACAATTCTTCTACAAGCTCCCATGTTTCCTTGAATATTCCCTTTGATTTCTACATTTGATGTCTACAAAATGATTCACCAGAGTGACCTAGGTGGGATACTCACTTTCCCCCTAACCGCTTTAGAATCGGGTTGCTCCCCGCATGAATACATTGAACATTGCCTTTATCGTGAAAAAGTAACCTGCACACCGGGGTAGGATTCAGCAATAACCGCCCCAAGATCCCTCTCTTCGCCTTGAGCAGCCCATTGAACAGTCTTGATTAAAGCTGCGCCGCTCTCACGTTCAAGCGGAGTCCAATGCCCAGTACGGGGAAGTAGCAAAATTTGAGACCCCTGCACCAAGTAATCACCCATCCCATCAAGACAAATCCTGGAGTCAAGAGCAATATCATCCTTGCCCCAGAAAATTGTCGCGCTAGCTTTGAGAGCGCCCGGGGGACCTTCATCAAATAGCCCAGCTCCGCTGCTCGCCATTCGCTTTTTGCATGCAATGCTGTGTAAGCTAGCAACAGTCTCGATGGATTTGACCCAGGGTGCCGTCGCCGCTCGATCACGGTAATAAGCCGCCATATGCAAGACATGTGCTAGCGCGCGCTCGCCGAGGCTGGCGGGATAGGTATCAGCGTTAGGAGTTTTAGTATCCAGTTCTGCGGCGGACGGACCCATGGTGCTAGCCATGCTGTCGGCCACGTCGATGTGGGTATGTTCCTCCTTGTTGTACGAGGCGAGGTGACTGCTTCTCAACAGCGACCAGTTGCCTCCGGCCAGGAAGTAGTAGACCATGGGCGTGGGTAGCTGCATGGCAAAGATATAGCCGGACAGCAGAAGCTGGCGGGCGAGAGGGGTGATGGTTCTGAGTGCTTGCACCAATGGGCCACGGGCGTGTAGTGGTGAACGCCAGGCGTTAGCGAGCATCTTGTTGGCCGAAAAAAGCAGACGGCGGATATTGGATTCAACCAATTTCATCTGGATCGTTAGTTGAGATATAACCTTATATTAACAGGTGTTCTGACATACCGATGGCCCGTTGGACAGGATGAACCGATGGGCCAGGGACGGAGCTTCGGCAGCAAGGCGCATGGACAAGACACAACCCCAGTCATGGGCGACAATGATGGTTCTCTTCTTGTTACTTTCGTTGTCAGAGTCCACGCCATACTGGGTGCGCAGGGTGACAATCAGCTCTGTCAGTCTCTCCAAGACACTTGTTGCATTATATTCTTCCAGGCTCTCCGTTCCTCCATATCCGGGAAGGTCAATTGCAACGAGCGAAACGGCGTCTTGAAGAGTAGAGGTTTTGATAATGCGTCGCCAGATTGCCCAGCTATCGGGGAATCCATGGATGAAGATGACCAATGGTTTATCGGAATTGATCGTTTCCGGTATGTTCGGGATATCATTACTGACAAAGTGGAATTTGAATCCGCTTTGCAAGGTTAGAATGTGGTGAGAGAGACCGTCGAAGACTTTAGATAAATTCCACAAGCGATCGCGAGCTGGACAGTCAGCAAAGAACTTTTAGGGAGAAAAATAGCTCACCAAGCTGTAGGTCCAGTTTCTCGTTTTCAGTGGGGCGTTTGAAGTATGTGCCTTTCGCTATAGCAACGAGGGCGTAAAGAATCACTGTAAAGAAGCCGTATGTAAAAACGACCGTGCCAATCAAGGCACGGGATAGAGATTTGCCCATGTTAGGACCTTGGAATCATGTGTTGAAGGAGCAAGAATTTCGCCTTGCAATAAATCTAAGACAAACCGGGCTGCTTGGGCCGTTCGCGGGTCCACGGGTAGCGTCACACCTGAGTCAGCGATATACAAGCGGGCAGCTGACAGCGGGTACCTACATGTTGATATGTAGGTACGGAGTACGAAGTATATATTTAGATACAAATTCAGGAATACCAGCATATTACACTGTAAATTGTAGAAAATTAACAGCCTTTCTCAATCTATTGCATACCAGACGCCGCCTCCACATGCACAAATATTATTGGTAGAAAACAGTCCAAGGGAAAGGGTATTAACAAGGGTCCAAAAACAAAAAGCCATCATCTCGTCGAGGGAATATATACAGATCAAAGAAGGAATCCTAGTTGCTCGCGATTGTCGTCTACCAAGCGGCCATACCTGGAAAGTCAGCGAGTTAGCAAGATTCTGTGATGGAATGACGAGGTACTTACTCGAGGAGTAACCGGAAGAACCAAACCTCCAGATCGTCATTTCGTAGCGTCTGCTTTGCCCAGTCCTGGCCCTGGCTGGCGATTTGAAGAGCGGACTTTTTGCCCTCTTCTTCTGAGGTAAAGTATCGCATGCTTTCAACGTACTCGTTGCCTTTCAAGCTGAGAGGGACGTAATGTACCCAGGGCTTTAGCCACTCGTCGTGCCACTCGCGGAAGATAGCAATCTTGTAGACAAAGCTGTTGCTATGCAAAAAAGCGTGGAATCGGCCGCTAAAAGCGTTACCATCGATGTCGACCAGGAACTTGTGCGCCCATGCATCTTGTTGCCCAGTCTGCTTGAACACTCCAAAGTATTCAGTCTGCGCGTTGCAGTCGTCCGGGTCGCATTGGCCAATAAGTGTGAACTTGACATCGAAGAAATCCTGATAGGCGTCCCGATTAGTCTCCTGTGAAGCCCAACCATCACCCTGGCGAGCAAGAACTTTAGTGGTGCCCAAGGCGTTGACGTTGTCGACAAATTGTTGCCGATGTTGTCGGCGCCAGCCACCCGCCCGCGAAAACCCACCAGTTGTTGAGCCACGCCAGTACATCCGGTTGGACTTGGCCTCCCACGCATAGTCTTTTTTATGATCGTAGGGGACCTTGTCGGCCCAGTACCACGGACTTGGGTAAATGATATCCTGGAAGCTGGAGATTTTGCTCTGCGAGAAAACAGGGAACAGGTCATGGACGACATCAAAAGCGTTGGGCCGGTCAAAGAATCCATAGGTATAGCGGAGAGAGGGGGTATTGCAGATGTCAGAGGCCGCCGTGGTGTTGTAGATAAAGCCGAGTTCGCCATACGCGTAAGGATCAACGTCGTCGGGGGCACCTTCGTCGAGTGAGCGCGCTGGGCTGTCAACCGGACAAGAGACACGGGAGTTGGTCCAGGTCGGTTGGTGTGCGAAGCGGTTGAAACGAGTTGTGCGCACCTCGTCGATGCGGTCGCCTTTGTTTAGGTCCGAAGCACGTGGGGACCACGCATTGGTTGGGGTTTTCTTGAAGGCTGATGGGATGATGACATTCTTGGCTGTCTGCACCAATCGCTGGAGGTCTTCGTTAGGGAGGATCACGCGGGGCTCGTCGTGAGTGTTGAACACCAAGTCCATGTCGGGCAGGTATTTCACAAAAGCACTCATCATACCAGCCGTGGCGTCTCGCTGCCACTTGCGATCATCGCCTCCTCCATCCGTTAAGGACACCTTGCCGTCACGAATCAGAACACCAAGCACCGCATTGTCAAATCCAAGGGTTTCACGCGCCCGTTCTCGAATCGTTTGAGGTTTGACACCCCAGAAGGGAAGAAGGGAATGATAGATGGTGTCAAAATCATCGATGAGCTGCACATTTCTTGACTGGGCAAACTCGAACCACTTATCGAAATGTGGCGGCGGGTGCATATTATAGCGGCGCTGGTATTCACTCACGGCCTCGGCCAGGGTCTTTGATTGCCGCGACTGCGCATGATCGAAATCCCGTTGAGCATTTCCAATTAGACGTGTGATCGGGTGTTCCTTCTCGGGGAGGTATGTGTTCTGCCCCGCATGGAGCTGAGGATGTTGTATCGGTTCGGGAGGAGGCAATTCTATGGGCTGTCGCTCTGGCTGCGATGATCGTAATAGTAGGATCGAAAGACACGCAAGAACACCGATCGCAAGTAATACGATCAACCGTTGGATGCGCATGCTGCCATTGGGGAGAGGCATGAAGAAAGAGAGTGAGTCTTAAGGAGGGTTCTCCACAAGTCTAGAGTTCCTGGGTTCCAAGACCCTCGGGCTATTAACCTTATCCGCCAAGCCTTTCTAACGTAATCGTAATCTAGGGCTACAGGTACAACGAATCACATAGTACGGAGTACTCCGTACATAGTACCCTTTGTATTGTTACAAGGGCCTAAAAAATGACAAGAGGTAGAATGGTACGGAGCACCGAGTAATATGGTTTCCTCTGTGTGGCCCCCAATTCTTGACGGGGTCCATGTACTAAGTGGCGTTGCCTAGATCCAGGGGAGGTTGCCCATAATCTCTAATTCAATACGTGTCACCAAGAGCGCTTGGACTACAACATATTTCGATGTACAATATTATACATTGTTCTCCATACAGAGCCTGAAGAATCTCGCTCAAATATTTGATAGATATCTTAAACGTTCGAAGCAGTCACAAATCTGGTCATCCTCAAATATTTACCAAAAGAGCGCACAGCCCATGTTAACTAGGCAATTATTTCGAACCCCTTGATCTTCCATCAAGGGGCAAAAGAAAAGGGGCTTAATTTAGTGCACTTTACGGAGCGTGTAGATTGATGTTCTCCCCAAAAACAACCTCTAAACAAGCATAAGATAAAATAAATCACAAAATACTGTTTGATTGAACCTTGAAACGAATTCGGGCGTTGGGATATGGTATTTTCCCTACTCTCCATAAATGGATGGATGAATGAGGCATGCCACATGAGCTTATATATGATGTCTATCCCTGGAAAAATTATCAACATGCTGATCAAAGGAATACAAACACCAGACGATCATCAGACATGGCTGTATACACGCCGTATTATATGGTTCCAGCCTACACTAACATAGCAGCCGAGAGCATACCCAATTAAGCACAGAAGCTGCCAAAGTCTGCAGAATGTACTTCTGCGCCTGCTTCACATGAGAGTATGCCGCAACACACAACAATATCACCAAAGATACGTGACCAAAGTAAAACATCTTTCTGCGTTCTTGAATGGTACCCTGCAGAAGCAGAGACTGGAGTCCATTCTGGGAAGCAGGGCGCACGAAGAGAACGAGCAGCACAGCCGTGAAGATCGCGACCAGGCCACATTGGACATCCAAATCCTGAACTCGCTTGAAGAGCAATATACCAAATTCAGGGTGACTGGATTGCACGAAGAACAGCGTATACAGCGCGGCATGAGCTAGAAGAAGAGAGACGATCGCCCGACCAAAGAGACGGTGGTACGGTGTCAGCGCTCGCTGAGAGATACCAGTCAGAACAGACAGTACAGATGAGGCTGCTGGTTGAGAGATGTTCGCCGGCGACATCAGAACCTGTAGTGGCAATTGGGAGAGTCCAACCCGGCCCAATGCTTTGGTCAAATGGAGGTAGTCTAGCATGTTAGCTGGTTCCTGAAAGCTATCGGGAAAGGAAGACATACCATCACCACTGTTCCATATCGAAAGGCCTAAAAGCCATAGTAGCCAGAGCCCGCAGACAAGATACTGTCGGTTCTTCCCAGAAACCGGGCCACCGTGCTTGACACTTGATCTTGTAGCAAAGCGAAGGATTCGGATGGCGACTATGACGATAATAGCTGACCATTGTGCGTAATACCCTCGAAGATCAAGCAGGTCCCTGCGGTGCACCTGGTCGATTTCGGAGAGAGAAACGAAGTGGTACGGCCACGACATGGTGACTGAAGAATGAGAGAGATACTGTAGAATTCCAACCCAATTGACAAGCCCGCAAGATACAGCGCGGCTCAAAATAACACAATTGGGATGTTACTATTGGTTTCACAGATCGTTGTTGATATTCTGCCACTGAAAAATAAGCAGTCAAACCATGGATATGCCCTGGGCGCCCGAGAAGCCCGTGGCTTTTTGCTGACAAATGAAATGTTGAACACCTCCAGGGCTGGGTACAGGGCTGGGGGCTACACTCCCGCCCTCCAGGCTTAAACCCTTTCTCAGATAACAAAATGTAAGGCAACAGCCCTCTGCTGCCAAATTTACATCTCACGTGGGGTTTACATGCAAGGTCTTTAGTTGCACATCTGCGTTTGACTACCTACCCTGGCTAAACGTTTTGTAAAACTTCTACATTAAGAACGCCTGAAAGAAAAGGACGCTTGGCTATTTTCTAACCTGACAGGATGCCTTGTTGGGTATTCGCCGAACAAGTACATAGTTTAAGGGGAGGTCTGCATCTCATCCTGGTTGCCACCGGCAGTCGTAGCAAAGTAGCGGACATCCACATCGTCATCTTCCTGCAACTTCTCCAGACTAGGCACAACCCTTGATTGAATCAACTCCAGGCTCTGAGGTGAGGGCGTGATAGGTTCTTCAGACTTTTCCACCTCAACCAAAGTCTTATCGGCCGGCAGACGACGCAGTGTGGCGATGAGAACGGCGTAGGATTTGGCGACATTGAAACGAATGTTGGGAATTTCATCCGTTACCAGGCGTTCCAGGATAGGGAGAAGGGAGTTCTCAATAATTTCCAGGTTGACAACGGGAGTGAGAGTCTGATAATTAGTATTGATCGTCATAGAAAGAAGGAAAACTTACAGAAACAGCAAAGCACGTGGTCATGCGGTAAAGATAGTTAGGGTGTTGACCCATGGCCATCACCTTGGGAATGATAGAAGCTTTTGACCACTCCACGCCGAATACCTCTGTCAATTTCTTCAAGTTCTCAGTGGCGGCCTCTCGGATGGAGAAGACAGTGTCTCCGAGCCAGCCCATGCAAAGATCGCTCAGCTGCTCGTCAAAGAACTCGACTCCAAGTTGACTTGCAAGGAGTGGGATATATTCAATGATAGCAAGGCGAACACGCCATTGCTTATCCTCAGCCAGCTGAACAATGGCGGGAAGAAGAGACTGGGAGAGAAGCTGAATGCCAATGACTGTAAACAGTTAGGAGATGAAAATTCATGTAGAATCAACGAGTGCATACCTTTGTTGACTTGCTCGAGCTTCGAGATGATGTGCAGACGGACGTCGGGGAATTCGTCCTTGAGCATCTGGAGGAACATGGGGAGCAGGTGGGCAATAGTCCTGGACGGTCAGTACCAATTACTGCTAGCAGATATGCAGGATACTTACTCCTCCTTGCCCAGGATGGGCGCGAGCCCGCTGATCTGAGTACCGAGGGAAGCCCGGACGTGCTGGGATGGGTCAGAGACAAGGTCTTCAACACTGGTCATGATCTCATTGAGGAGAGTGTCGCGATCGATCAAATTGCAGAAGCCTAAATATGTCAGTCAGGCATCAACTAATCACCACTAAGTGGATCATACCCGGAATTTGGCCAGCAATTGCAGTTCGAACCTCGGCCTCTGTATCTTTGAGGAGCTTGACAAAGGCAGGCACCATGTCGCGGGTAACAACCTCTTCGTGGACAGCTTTGGCAATCTGTATACATTAGTATCGCCCAACAATTTGAAGTCAGCAGGCAATTTACCTTTTCATATCGATCGGCAACCATGTATCGGACCCTCCAACTCTTATCCTCAAACAGGTTCCGCAGCGATGTTAACAAAACACCGTGGCTGGGTTGCTGTTCTTTGGGAATTTCTTCCGCAATCGCAATAAGAATGTCAACTGTGAGAAGACGGACGCTGTCCTGATCATCACTCGCCAAGTATTGGAAGAGGGGAATTATTTCATCGATGACGACTTGGCTTTGCATTTCCTTGACAAACTTGGCCAGATTGTTGGCCGCCTGTCGCCGCACCATCGGGGTTTCATCGTGTACCAAAACTCCAAAATGCTGTCGGAGACTCTGTTGCAATGCTGGGCTGGCCTTCTTGTATGGTGTAGAATAAAGACCAGTCGCAGAGACCTTCGAGGTGAACCAGTCTGCCTTTGACAAGCGGAGGACAAGCGGGACAAAATACTCCTCAACTTGGCTCTCCGAGAGCTGCTCGCATACTTTGTTGAGAGATTCAACGGCCTGGAACGTCAGCATGCGCCTCAGAAACTTTTAGCTGGTGTGGTACCTTCTCCCGCACCAACGGCTCTTCGATAGCCGCCAAATTCTCCAGCGGGGAGAGCAACACGTGCCCGTATTCCGGACCTCCAACATATTCTGTAAAATTGCCCAGCTCTTCACTCAGTGCAGTCAAAACTTCGTCCTCGTCCTCGACAGAATCTATCATGGTTAGACGGGGTTGCTAGGCGATTGAAAGCTGGACAAACCATCAAGAAATGGGATGAGCTCCTCCCGGGTTCGGTCGGGCCCAAGTGCAAGTGCGATCGTGGATAGACGGTGAATGGCATTGAGTCTGAGAAGAACATCGTCGTGCTAAAGTAATGTGAGCTCAATATTGTCTGCACGACAGAGAGAGATATACCTTTAGCTCGTCAATGAGCACGGCGATGGGGTAGAGCTCATCGTTCTCGTTCTGGCCCTCCATTGTGGGTTTGAATATGTATTAAGGAGATTCGACGAGTCCCGGTCCTTAAGAGGGAAGAGGGTGGTGTTGGACCTGACGGCGGTTCGGTAGAGGAGGTGTGAGAGGCAATGAGATGGCTGATAAGGATTAGTTCCGACTTCGCGAGATGGCAAGGGGATGAATGGTGGTAGAGTGAGGGTGGGGTTTTGGGCCGCATGGACACCTTCAGCAGAAGCATACCTCGACAATTGAAGAGTCTCCTGATTAACAGCAAATTAATAGATTTGTCACAAGTTCGTAAAGAGAATAGAAAAATGCCCCCTTCGATGATGCAGCAACCGGAGCAGGGCAGTCGAGCTTTGATTGTTTACCGGTGTAAATTACATACTGGCGGTGTGCACATAAATGTTTGAATATGGAGGGGACTTACCTTACCAATACCGTGGTCACAAAAGAGGGGGGATCTGTGGCGGTGGTGGCTTGCGGGCAGAATTTCCACCAGCACAAGAGTCATCCAAAGACTTTGTGCACCGATCACGGCCTTCTGAATTCCCGTACGACCTTTTCCTTGATCTTGTCGGAGTCGCCTACTTGGGTTTTGCTCTGGCTTACCGGACATTTCGCTGATTGACATCAGATTTCACAACCCCCCACCATGCCTACCATCTCGGTTGACAAGGCCGCTCTTTTCAAAGAGTTGGGCCGAGAGTACGTCTCTGCATTTTGTCATTAAACTATGCTAACATTGCTACAGGTATACCACGGATGAGTTTGATGAGCTATGTTTCGAATTTGGTGGGTTGATTAGGAATTCTTTGCGGGGCATGACTGACTCTGAGCAGGAATTGAGCTTGACGAAGATGTACATCCTCCGAAATCCGATTATAACCAATGCTGATCTTCTCAGACCACAAATTCGGACCGCCCTATCGTCGATGGAAAGCAAGAAGCTCCGCAACTCAAGATCGAGATCCCCGCCAACCGGTACGCCTGATATATGAAAAGAAGAAATGGAAGGACCTAGACTAAGAAGATCTTAGATATGATTTGCTGTGCTTTGAGGGAATTGCGCTCATGTTGAACATCTTCTTGGGCCGAAATCCCCTCCCTGAGTACAAGTTGACCCAGCCGGCAAAGATGGAGCAGATCATTGTCAAGGAAGATGTCAGTGCTCCAACACTCAATTGCTCAAACTGAGGGGCTTTGCTGACCAACATAGACCACGAAAATCAGACCCTACGTGGCTGGTGCAATTCTGCGGAACGTCAAGTTTGACCAGGCTCGTTATGCGTCCTTCATTGCTCTCCAAGACAAGCTCCACCAGAACTTGGCCCGGCAACGAACACTGGTATCAATCGGTACCCATGATTTGGACACTGTGAAGGGCCCCTTCACTTATGAGGCTCTCCCTCCCAAGGATATCAAGTTTACTCCGTTGAACCAGACTCAGGAGATGGATGGCGAGGAATTGATGAACTTCTACGAGAAGCACCAACAGTTGGGCAAGTACCTTCACATCATTCGTGACTCTCCAGTCTATCCCGTCATCTACGACTCCAACCGGACTGTCTGCTCTCTGCCCCCTATCATCAACGGTGATCACTCGAAGATCAGTCTGAACACCACCAATGTTTTGATTGAGATCACAGCGCTCGATAAGACAAAGCTGGACATTGTGAACAAGATGATGGTCACCATGTTCTCCCAGTATACCTTGGAGCCGTTCACCATCGAGCCCGTCCAGATTGTGTCTGAGCACAACAAGGAGACTCGTGTCACCCCCGACCTCGCTCCCCGCACTGCTCAGGCTGAAGTCTCGTACATCAACCAGTGCTGTGGCTTGAGCCTCAGCCCCGCTGAGATCTGTACTCTTCTCACAAAGATGGCCTTCCGCGCCAAGCCTTCGACCACTTACCCAGATATCATCAACGTGGAAATTCCTCCTACCCGTGCCGATGTTCTCCACCAGTGTGATATCATGGAAGATGTAGCCATTGCCTACGGTTTTAACTCGCTGCCCCGTGCATTCCCCGACATGTCCGGAACAGTCGCTCAACCTCTCCCCATCAACAAGCTTTCCGATATTGTTCGTGTGGAGACTGCCATGGCCGGTTGGTCAGAGGTATTGCCGTTGATCCTGTGTTCGCATGATGAGAACTTTGGTTGGTTGAACCGCAAGGATGACGGAAATACCGCTGTCAAGCTCGCCAATCCCAAGACCCTTGAGTTCCAGGTTGTCCGCACCAGCCTGCTCCCAGGTCTGCTCAAGACTATCCGTGAGAACAAGCACCA